CCCCCCATTCTCCATGATCCTCATATTTTTATCTTTCTTGTATATCGAGTTTTCTTTCTGTATTTACCGCTTTTTATTAAAGATTTTTTGTTCCATTTTTTTCTATATCTTGGTTTTTAGATTGCAGAATAGATCAGTGCCGGGCGTTGCTATTATAACGGATTTCGATTTTGGTACAGCTTCTTAGGTATAAGGCAGGGTTTTTTTAGATAATGTGCTCTATTCTACGTAGTATTTGGAGGCAAGCTCTGCCTGCATTTTCATAGCACCTTTTTTCATGACTCTTTTGTTACCCTGCTTTGTCTCCTTAATAATAGAGTACTTTCCGGCATGCTCTTTATATCAACTCTTTTGGTTCTCTTCTTTCTAATTGATATTAGACCAAAAATTTACCATGTTATAAATCGTCGCTCTGTACTTATTAGCACCCGTTCTAGTCTTTATATCGACTATGATTTGGATGCTTTTTCTAGGGGCGAATCTTTTTCTGTAATTTTTCATGGTATTAATCATATTTCTGTTTTCATGTCTTACATGTAGTTTACTCTTGATAATCACTCCTGCTCGTTTTCTCTTCGTTTTTTCTCTCCATGTTAGGTTCGCTGTCCTGTACTTGTAATTGTACGCCTTTGCTTTTTTTTGTGGGCATTATCATACCTTACGAGGTTCTAATCGGCAATTTTCATATGTTTACACTTTTGATAGTGAATCTTTCCTTTATCGTTCCTGTGCTTGAGAGGAAATCTCGAGCCGCTATAAACCAATTTTGGCTTTTTCCGCCCAGCGAAAATCTGGTTAACGTATCATATACTGTAGCATTTCTCCCGCGACTTGAGCGAGTGTATCCCATTTGGGGTACAGGGTGCTTCCCTCCGATCGAATCTCGATTGCGCGCAAATCCGTTCATGAGCATATCCACATACGAAACCGATAATCTCTCACTTCGAGCATATTTCGACGGATGCCTTTGGCACCTGAGAGCACCCATGGAATTCTCAACGATCCATGCACCTGTAGAGTTGATCGCATCTTTTCCAATCGGACCGCCTCGGATGCTGTAGCCACGGTTGGTTCTTTTCTCCAGTTCATTTTTTTGACGACAAATGTTTCTGACTGGATTTCTCTTTTGCGGAAATCCTCTCTCTGCAAGGCACTCCGCCTTCCCTATTGGTGCTAAGATTTCGTTCTTGGTCCGCATATCAAAACAGCCTCCCCCTGGATCTTTTTCGGTTCGGAGAATCCTACTACGAATAATACTCGTAAAAAAAGTCGCAAAGTGTCTGCAAGGCATCTCAGAGTTGGTCTCCAGTATCAGCTCTCCCCCTTCTTTGCTTCGCAGCGCATTCTTAGCAGGCAACAGCTATAGCATTCACGCGACTATCTTTCAGAATACGTGCTGCACTTGTCCATACGCGGTACAGTCCTTCTGCATATGGCATGATACCTTCCGTGCTGTCAGAGCCGAGCGCTGCTCCCCATATCTTGCGCAAAAGTTCAACCCGCGCAGGCCACAATACAGCATGTGCCACAGTGTGCGATGCATAGGTCCCGTAGCAACTAACAAGAATTCCGTCTACCACAAGGCGCCCTGAGCGCGTCAGCGGCGCATAGAGGCCATCACTCGTAACGAGAGTGTCAATTGCCACCACGGGGTCCGGCAGGTGCGCAGCAATGTCGAATAAGGCGTCGCCTATGCGGATATCTTCTGCGAAAACCGCTTCACCTACAGACGTCTCCAGTTCGAGGATCTTCTGTATGTGCTGCTCTTTCTCATGTGAAAGACTCGACACAGCTGTCATTTTGCGGCCCGGGACTCTCGGGTTCTCGTTCATCCGGTACACCAGATGCTGCCTCGTCAAGCGCAGCTCCTTCCCCGAACGCGTCTTGATCAATAGGATTTCTGCTGTGGCGCGAGTCTCTTTGTGCAACCACCCCAGAACTGTGTCCTCGACCAGTCGCCCACGTGAATCGACGCCGATTACGGTCATACCCGGGCGCAATTCGCTTATCCGCCGCGTCTTGCCAAGACCATCAATAAGCACCGAAGCACCCGCTGGGAAGCAGACCGCAGCGCCGCCACCCACAGAAACCTGTGTAACATTTGCTGTCGGTGAAGGCGTCACTGAGACGGTAGGCGTAGGCGTTGCTGAAGTTGTCGGTGTTGGTGTCGGTGTCGGTGTAGGTGTGGGTGTGGGTGTTGGCACAACTTTCGGAGTCGAGATCGCCGCGAGACTCGCTCCACTTGGCAGGATACTTGGAACGCTACTTGTAAAATTGGTAGAGATCTTCGTCACGTTGGATACGAGCGCGGTAGGTGCTAAGATAGAGATATTGTAGCTTGCATTCACTGCTGATGTTGCGCTGAATACACGTTGAACGTCGAGGCTGCTTCTCTCGTACCAGTCGGCGAACCGCGAGGCTATTGACACGAAGATACTATCGCAGTTATCCGACACAGTGACGTTCGCTCCAGTTCCATTCAGCTTGGTTTCTAAGTTATCCTGGAGAACGACCGCAACATCAACATACACGGTCTTGTCCACCACACTGACCACCGCAGAGAATGCAACACCGGCTATTGCCGGGGTAGGCGTAGGTGACGGTGTTGCCGTCGGCGTAGGTGTTGGTGTAGGTGTCGCAGTTGGCGTTGGTGTCGGTGTCGCAGTTGGTGTTGGCGTCGGTGTAGGTGTCGGTGTCGCGGTTGTCGTAGGCGTAGGCGTTGGTGTTGCAGTTGGTGTAGGTGTCGGTGTAGGTGTCGCGGTTGCCGTAGGCGTAGGCGTTGGTGTTGCAGTTGGTGTAGGTGTCGGTGTAGGTGTCGGCGTTGCAGTTGGCGTAGGTGTTGGTGTCGGCGTTGCAGTTGGCGTAGGCGTTGGTGTCGGTGTCGGTGTCGCAGTTGGCGTAGGCGTTGGTGTCGGTGTCGGTGTCGCAGTTGGCGTAGGCGTAGGCGTTGGTGTCGCAGTTGGCGTTGGTGTCGGTGTCGGTGTCGGTGTCGGTGTCGGTGTTGCAGTTGGCGTAGGCGTCGGAGTTGCAGTCGGTGTTGCAGTTGGTGTCGCAGTTGGTGTTGCCGTCGGCGTAGGCGTAGGCGTAGGCGTTGGTGTCACAGTTGGCGTTGGTGTTGCAGTTGGCGTAGGCGTTGGCGTAGATGTTGGTGTCGGTGTCGCGGTTGCCGTAGGCGTAGGCGTTGGTGTTGCAGTTGGTGTAGGTGTCGGTGTAGGTGTCGGCGTTGCAGTTGGCGTAGGCGTTGGTGTCGCAGTTGGCGTAGGTGTTGGTGTCGGCGTTGTAGTTGGCGTAGGCGTTGGTGTCGGTGTCGGTGTCGCAGTTGGCGTAGGCGTAGGCGTTGGTGTCGCAGTTGGCGTTGGTGTCGGTGTCGGTGTCGGTGTCGGTGTCGGTGTCGGTGTGGCAGTTGGTGTTGCCGTCGGTGTCGGTGTTGCAGTTGGTGTCGCAGTTGGTGTTGGCGTCGGAGTTGCAGTCGGCGTAGGCGTAGGCGTAGGCGTTGGTGTCGCAGTTGGCGTAGGCGTTGGTGTCGGTGTTGCAGTTGGCGTAGGCGTAGGCGTTGGTGTCGCAGTTGGCGTTGGTGTTGGTGTCGGCGTCGGTGTCGGGGTTGCAGTTGGCGTAGGCGTTGGTGTCGGTGTCGGTGTCGGTGTCGGTGTCGGTGTCGGTGTCGGTGTCGGTGTTGCAGTTGGCGTAGGCGTCGGAGTTGCAGTCGGTGTTGCAGTTGGTGTCGCAGTTGGTGTTGCCGTCGGCGTAGGCGTAGGCGTAGGCGTTGGTGTTGCAGTTGGCGTTGGTGTTGCAGTTGGCGTAGGCGTTGGCGTAGATGTTGGTGTCGGTGTCGCGGTTGCCGTAGGCGTAGGCGTTGGTGTTGCAGTTGGTGTAGGTGTCGGTGTAGGTGTCGGCGTTGCAGTTGGCGTAGGCGTTGGTGTCGCAGTTGGCGTAGGTGTTGGTGTCGGCGTTGCAGTTGGCGTAGGCGTTGGTGTCGGTGTCGGTGTCGCAGTTGGCGTAGGCGTAGGCGTTGGTGTCGCAGTTGGCGTTGGTGTCGGTGTCGGTGTCGGTGTCGGTGTCGGTGTTGCAGTTGGTGTTGCCGTCGGTGTCGGTGTTGCAGTTGGTGTCGCAGTTGGTGTTGGCGTCGGAGTTGCAGTCGGCGTAGGCGTAGGCGTAGGCGTTGGTGTCGCAGTTGGCGTAGGCGTTGGTGTCGGTGTTGCTGTTGGCGTAGGCGTAGGTGTTGGTGTCGGTGTCGCGGTTGCCGTAGGCGTAGGCGTTTTTGTTGCCGTCGGTGTCGGTGTCGGTGTCGGTGTTGCCGTCGGTGTAGGCGTTTTTGTTGCCGTCGGTGTCGGTGTCGGTGTCGGTGTAGGCGTAGGCGTTGGTGTCGCAGTTGGCGTAGGCGAAGGTGTCGGTGTTGCCGTCGGCGTTGGTGTTGCTGCTGCCGTAGGTTGTACGATTATCACTTTTTCCAACCAAAACATTACCAGGACGAGCATCAACATAAAGCGAAAAGCTCGTTGGTGTCGACGGCGTGCTGTTGTAAACCGCTTCTTCTGACTTAGTGCAGTTCCTTTCGCCATACTTGAGAAGAGATATCTATTTGTAGGCTGATTCGTAGAACCCATTCGTTCTTTAAACCAGGAACTTTTGCGCTATACGAAAGCTGGCGGGTACCGTAAGGCTTGCCGTGTTTCCACGTCATTTTCGCGCTGTGACGCGCGAACGGAGAACCTGTACATAACGCCCATTCCGACGCCGGTGTAACGGAACGGGCGTCTGCTCCTATACCTATGCACCTATAACGGACATTTTTCTCGTGACACCCATATGACGTGTAGACACGACAGGGGGCAGCCGACGCCGCCAATTGGTGCGATCGCCACCATCGCGGTGCACGGCGTCTCGCTCTAGCCGCCGCCCTCTGTGGTACGGCAACGCCGTTCCGCCTACGTGCAGCGGCCGCACCGGCGCTATGAGCGCCATTGCTGTCGGTTTTGGCAGGCAGTTGGCGCACACGATAGGGCGTACGAAACGACCGGAATATCCGAGAGGATGTATAGATAATGTATCATGGAGGTAGGGGGTTGATGGATACCGAACTGCGCACTGAAAAAACACACAAAAAAAAGTACGAAGAATAAAATGCACATAATCGGAGAACGCTGGCCTAAGTAAACGTCTTGTCCATGAAAAAATAGAATCGGGCTCGGTGGGCGGACGTTGGTGATCAGGCAGCCGACTGACGCGATGCGTCTCTCCGTTGAAGGAAAACGCGATCCTGATCACTTGCGTGCCGCTCTACTATACAAGTTGTATTTGCGTTAGAGACGTAGCAAAGTACAGTTTTTCAGTTCATTTGTGCTTAAAACTTCAAGAAAGTGCATTCACGTGTTGTTTTGCAGTATGCATCAGGGGCGTTTAGAGAGCATTCTTTTTCAAAAAAATAACTATCAAAAGGAATGTTGTACAAGTGCAAGTCGACGATCCTGGAGGCCCAGGGTCACCGGCTGCCAGAAAGAACAACAAAAAGTGCTGAGTCCAGAAGAAAAGGAAGAGAAAATGAAGCAAAAAGCGGCCCCAAGTCGGAGGCGGCAGGAAAGACGACTGTACGACCATATGGTGGTGAAAGCCTGCCTCCTTAAACATATCAAGGATCCCTACGGAGAAAATTGCGAAACGCTATTAGAAACCGTGTCGAGTTGCACACCATGCGTATGATAAAGGCGTCGTCAGTACAAATGAATCCGGTGAAGGAGATGTACGGAGGCGTGACACACATGGAAACAATCGAGCCTCCCGATGAGTTCTTCGATTAGACCTCTATTCGTCACCTGAAGCTTGGTACAGAGAAAGCGCGGAAGGAAAATGAGGTAGTCCACGCTCTCCATGAAAACTTCGCGGAATTCCGCTTAAAGGGTAATCGATAAAAGGGTAACCAGGCTAGCTACAAGTACGTGGCAATGAAGTACATTGCGAACCTGAAGAACCATTTGAAAGAGAACCTCGAGCGGTTCATGAAACGCGCCGTGTTTGCACTCTACCCAGGCATCCCTCGCAAAGGAAAAGGGGCGATGATCAATGGCATCACGAAGGATCGTAAGCATAAAGATGAGATCGGATGCGTCGACAAGAAGGCGTCAAATGGGAGCACGGATGAGGATTCCGTCATCCGCGCGGCTATACAAGAGCATCGTGCGGTACTGGGGCTGGCGAATCCAACAGAAAAGATATCAGAGTTGAAAAACGATAAGGAAAGATACTATCGCCTCATCCTGCGGTATTTCGTGTTTCTGGACCGAGAGCTCGAACGCAAGGCAGAAATGAAGCTGAGTGAAGAGACAAATGAAGAGTGGGAGAGACGGAAGTCTGTCCTAATGGGGAAGCGCTTCACCGTCGTTCCATTGTCCAATATCAAGTCACATTTCGTGACTATCGACTCCAGAATCCTTCACGGCATCATGAAGGAGATCAGTCCGGAGTTCAATGTAAGGAAGATAGAGTTCACTGGCCAAAACCGGGAGACGTACTGGAAGAACGTCTTCCATCTCAAACGTCTCAAAGTTAACAAACGAAAGGCATTGACTGGGATGATCGAAACCGATGGAGTGGCTATGTGTGTACACGATCGGTGGTCCAACCCATAGCGTCCAGTCCCGTCCTCGATGATGCAAGAAGATGAGAAGGAGGTGGATCCTTCGACGCCGAAAGTGCATGAGAACGACTTTGTCGTTGGCGCGGACCCCGGAAACACATATATCGTTACCGACGCAGTACCCAAGCGTGCGGAAGATGGTACTGACCGCAACTTATGTCAGAAAGATACGCGTCTGTTGAGTGTCTAGAGCGGGGTACTCTCGAGGATCGGCAATCATGAATGCAAGGAAGGAAATCAAGACATGGACTGCAGAAATGAAGGATCGCCTAGAAGCTTTGAGCGAGGTGACGAGCCGAGGAGCCGGCTTTTAAGCGTTTCGGGAATTCATGCTAGTTCGTGTTGCCGACTGGGATGCGCTGTGAGAAGCGTATACAAAGCCTCGGTGGGCTCGTCTGCGAATGAATCTATACTGTGGGAAACCGCGGGCATTTGCCATCTTTTTCAGTCAGTTGAGCGCTTTGAAGGAGGATGAAAGTCAGAGGCTTGTACTAGCATCCGGAGCAGGACGCTGGAAGACCCAAAAAGGGATTACGCCAGCTCCAACGACAAGAACATACAAAGAGTGCGCAAGGCGTTTCGTCACGATACCCGTAGATGAGTTCCGAACATCGTAAACACACCATGAGCTAGGGTGTACACTTCAGAGAGTCGAGATGGAAAAGTGCCAGAGGAGCCCCGAGGATATACAAAAGTACGGACCGCTGACGGAGGAGCAAATGGAAAGGAGGGCGACAGTTCGAGGATTGCTTGCATCGGTCAGTTCTACTAGCGGCGGCAAGAAACGTATGGAGATTGTGAACCGAGACTTGAACGCCGCCATCAACATCAGACGGTGTGCGATGCTGGAGGGAGACCTCCAGAGTGGACAAGATGGTATTTTGTGGGACAACCTTTCAAAGTGTTCCTATATGAGAAAGAATTGCAAGCTGTAGTAGTTGGCCGGTCCAAAACGGTTGGGAGGCGTCTGCACCTCAGCTGTAGACGTTTCGTCTAGGGCGGGTTTCTCGCCACTACTTTGCCCCACTCGCGGGCGCGTTTTTTTTCTGGAAAGGCGTTTGTTGTCGCTGCCGTCATCCGAAATACCAAAGCCCTCCATAGATCCTACTCGCTAAAGGCGCAGTTCTGTGCACTCTGTATCGCTCTTGAGGCGCTGTACTTGTTTTCGTCACTATCCGCGCACTCGGTGCCACTAAGCATACTTGCATCCTTCGCTCTAGGTGTGTTCGCTGGTGAGAGTCACTCTAGCGTTCGCGCTACCTCCAGGCAGTGCTCGCTTGCAGCTTTTCGTACCCCAACGCGAACCCTAGGACTGCACCATGCTTCTGCAGAAACGTCTGCTCACAGAGCTTAGAGAGCTCCGCGAAGACCCGACAAACTTCTGCCTGGAGCCCGAGGAAGGCAACCCACTCCGGCTGCAAGGCTACCTGCGCGGACCCGCCGCTACACCTTACGAGGGAGGCTGTTTTCGCGTCGCGCTGACACTACCGGCTGCGTACCCGCTCGTGCCACCGACAGTGCGCTTTCTGACTCCAATTTTTCACCCAAACATCAACTTCCGCACCGGCGAAGTTTGCCTTGACATTCTGCAGTCGGCGTGGTCGCCAGCCTGGAGCCTTGCGTCGTGTCTGAGGGCGATTCAACTGCTCCTCTCAGAGCCGGAGCCGTCGTCTCCACTGAACTGCGACGCTGGGAACCTGCTGCGCTGTGGTGATAAACGAGGCTTCTGGTCGATGGCGCGTATGTACACCCTGCTGCTGGCCACGAGCAACGAATGATTATACTAGGTTCATTGCGTAGGCTCGCATAACGACCGATGTGGCAGCACCGTTTCCGCAGTTGCGGATGCGCTTCCACGAAAGATGCGCTATCCAATTGTGTACCACATCTTTGCCAGCAGCGGTGAAGGGATGCAAGAGCGTGTACGCAATAGAGCCTGTAATGGTGGGAATGGAGGCATACATCGCGTCGCGGGTGTATGTCGTACGGTGCGGCGTCCGGGCGAGACTGCATAAAAGCTCTCGTACCCGACGCGCGCTTCAGCTGCAGTCATTATGAATTCGATATCTATGAAAGTCAAGGGCACGATCGCTTCGGCCTGTAGAGTGACGTTGGGCAATGTTCATGGCAGCAGCTAGGCGCTGTCCGGGATTTGCCCAGGTTCCCGGTTGGCGCTTTGGCAGGCCTCGAGTGAGCGCGAATACCTGGGTGCGAGCGCTTTGGAGTGGAGAACTGTAATGTACAGTTCTGGAGCTGGTGCTAGGTCTTCTGAAATCTTATTTCGTACGTTTGTCAGAGTTTCATGAGCACACAGCAATTCAAATTTGTTTCAAAATGGCTCTAATTTGTAAGAGCCGCTCTCTATGCGAGAAAAGCTGGCGCTTACTTCATCCGTGCGGACCGCTCGATACATTCTTTCAACCAATCATGCGCTTCCGAGACGCCAGCGAGGATTCCCATGTGCTGACTCGAACTGCGTCAAAACGTGTGCCATTGCCTCCTTTTTTGGTTAGGAATAGCCTCGCATTGATGATTCCAATAGCTGCCCAGAAACAAGTGCATTGGAAGCACATTGCTAACTACCTGCGATTTGACAACCGATGAGCATAGTAAGCAGCACGACGACGAGCTGCAGCTTTGACAAGGATTTCATAGAATCTTGAACAAAAGTGTTCGCACGGTACCGCAAAATGTCACAGCTTATCCACATTATCCAATGACCTTATACCTCTATCACGGAAAGCCAGACAGTTTACCTACCTCGTAACCAGACAAATCGGTACTCCTGTGGCCTCAGGCGATCCGCTGCATAGCACGACTCTAGCGTCGAGTCGGATACCAAGTACAGAGAGCCACATCCTGAGATAGCCTGACATCAACCATGATACAGTTTTGCGTAGCGGGGATGCTGTCGCGCCCCTGTAAGGCGTTGCAATGATGCGGATTCGCGTCGCAGTCTAGCGGCTGCTTATCATCTCAGTCAAACGAGCAACAAGGTGACATGGCAAGTGCGCGTCTCTGGACATGTCGCGATCCAAAAGGCACAACTCCGAGGGCCGCAGGATACGCATTTCATCCATCAAGCTCCAGCCTGGAGTTTGCTATCATGCTCGCATCCAAGTATCGCATACACGAGGAACGTCATACACTTAGGATCTTAAGAGAACCCAACTGATGCGGATACATTGCGCAGCAGATTACAGAACTGCATGACATGCTTTTCCATAGACTAGAAGCGTGTAGCGCTATGGCTCCCAACGCATCATCTTCCGCACGACTTGTGCGGCCGGTTCCTATGGATTCCCATTTTCTATTGTGCGAACGCCGCTTAGAGCACGGCTTTTACGGATATACATCCACGGGCACGCCAAGTATCCATCGATCGATCGGTCGATCACGAGGGCGAACACAAGTCGTCCATCAGAGCATGGCCGCACTGCACCAGCAGCGAGTTGCTGCTCGTCTATGACGGTCCAGACATCCTTTCGTGTCCGCGTACGCTATTCAATAGCATAAATTGAGACTAGTTCTGCAACGGACCTCGCGGAGCGTGCCACTGCAGATGTTCAGATCGTACACAATACAAGGATAACCCTTCTGCGTCTGGAGCTGCGTCAAACTACTGCTGGAACGCCGAGCCCCTGCATTCCATCGTTATACACCAGGGTCTCGAGCCTGCTCCCGAGCATGCGCTGCTTTGCAAGTGCGACAACATTCCTTCAACACTGCTAGGGCACAGAGAGTGAGAGCAGGTCAGGCTCTGACACAAACAACCTCCGACAGCTCCTCAGGTTTCAAGCACCTCACATGTCCGTAACCTCGCGGACACCGATCGGCACTATACCTGCTGTGCGAGCTCGTCTCGGAGACGACGAACCTCAGACTTGAGGCTCAAGTCCATGAACTTGTCGCCGAGCTGCACGGTGAAGCCTCCAATGAGGTCCCGATCAATCCTTGTGATCAGATCAACACGGGCATCCGGCATATCCGGATAAAAGCGTCGCTGCAGCCGCTGGCGCAAAAGAGCCAGCTGCCACTCGGTGAGCGGCACTGCACTCGTAACGACTGCCTGCGTTGAGCCCCGCTGCGCAGCGATCACAGACTGGAACGAATGCAGCACCTGCGACACGTGACTCAAGCGCCGGTTATCCGCAAGTAGATCAAGAAGTCTGCGCACAAAGACTGTTTGCACACCTGCGGCGTCAAGTAGCTTCTCGAGAGCACGCTGCTTCGCTACCTGCGAGCGCGTCGGATCCCGAAGAAACTCTTCGATCCGGGGATTCTCTCGCAGGAGACGCTCGAGCGCGTCAACGTCACGGTGGACTTCGTTCAGTTGGTTCGCCTTCATCGCGACCCGCAGCAACGAGCCCGCATAGCGACCGGCAACACCCGTCAACTGCTTTGTCGCGGCGACTGCGCTGTTGGCGTCAGCGGAAGCCGCCGACCCAGCGCTCGTTGCCAGTCGTCTCCAGTACGCGGCACCGCAGCTCGCAAGCAGTCCCAGGTTTGATCTTACCATGACGGCGGATAACCAGGCTCGTTCCCGAGCACCGACGCTGTAGCACCCGGTTTCCGAGTTTCTCGCTCCCGGTCGCTGGTAGCCTGTAGCTGACGCTTCAACGCTGGTGCGCACTGCGCGCCGCTTCTGTTTGATCGACGCGCTCGAACGAAGACGGAGCGCTGAGCGTCATAATCTGATGTCTCAGGTACGCGAAAGTGCACTCGACTTGAGACGTTGCGGAAGCACCTGTTGACTTGTCTATTGCTCTGGAAAGTGCCTGCTACGTCCTCGAAGTGAGTTGTTTGTAATATTTTGTAAAGCATTGCGATGAGGAATAGGCGATGAGGATGCAAGGCAGCAACCGCTTCATTCTGAAGAGACTGAAGCATAGAAGGAATCGATTTCATATTGCGTACGCGTTTTGAAAGCCTTTACTTTACGATGATTCTGCGGTGACCGTTGTGCTCCAATCACTGCATCTATTGCACAACAAATGGCGCGCATTTAGGTACGGGTGCCGCATTGCCTGATATCACGGAAGGCTTCTCGTGTGCTAAGGATCACGCAGCAGCCGGTAATCTCCTTCTAGATCGATCACGACGCGCGTTCCGTACCAGGGTGTCGGAGCCCTTTTGCTGTTTCGTAGCGGATCCACACAAGTGGACCATGATGATGATACAGTGTGCGCACTGCACACGCTAGCCAGACTGCCTGCTGCGCTCTTGCGCTGCCTGCAAGCACACAGAAAGCCCTCAATCATTGGCAGCTGCAACGCTGTGACCCACAAAAAGACCAATCAAGAAATTCTGAAACCTATGAACACCGGTAAGCGTATGGTGGTCGCTTTCCAGGTCGAGCGCATTTATCGCATCATAAAAGGCGCTCCATAGATTCCATCGATGTAGCGCTCTAGAGTTCTCAGCAACGAACACGAAAGAAGCATCGATGGGCGACACGCATGTCACGCGCGTCACGCGATGCGAGTCGAAAGCCGCGGAGGTGCCGCAGCGCTGCGCACTTTTTCGAAGCACCAGTGCAAACGCTTCTGCGTTTACGTGCCTGCTAAGTGTTGCCTGCAATGAGCGCTGCCCCAGCTGTCAAGTTTTTGAATCCCCACGCTGAGGTCTCCCGTCGTGGCTTGGCGTTGCACGCAAGCATCACTGCGGCGGGCGGGCTCGAGGATATCCTGCGATCGAACCTGGGGCCGCGTGGCACCCTGAAGCTGCTCGTGAGCGGTAGCGGGGAGCTCAAACTTACCAAGGACGGCGCGGTGCTGCTTCATAACATGGAGATCATTCATCCTACAGCCAAGATCATCGCAAGGGCCGCGACTGCGCAGGACGACGAGTGCGGTGATGGTACCACTAGTGTCGTGCTGCTGGTTGGTGAGATCCTACGCCAGGCGGAACGACCGCTCGTGGACGGTATTCACCCGCGGCACCTCGTGGACGGGATTGAGTTGGCCCGGACCGAGCTGCTCCGAAGCTTTATTCCCAGTGTACAGATCGCCGTTGATCGCAACGACCGCGAACAGCTCGGACGGGCCGTTCGCTGTGCGCTCGCGACGAAGCTCTCAGATGACGCTTTGGTAGCGCATATTTCTGACCTCGTTGCCGATGCAGCGCTGATCGTGCATCACGATAACGAACCTATCGATCTCTTCATGGTGGAAATAATGACAATAGAGTCGCGCACAGCGATGCACTCGAGCTTGGTGCGAGGTCTGGTTCTAGATCATGGCACGCGGCACCCGGATATGCCAAAGGATCTGGAGAACGCGTACGTGCTCACCTGCAATGTCTCGCTCGAGTACGAGAAACCCGAGCTAGGTGGCGGGTTCTTCTACTCTAGTGCAGGGCAGAGAGAGCGACTCGCACAGGCCGAGCGCGAGGCTGTTGCTCATCAAGTTGAAAAAATTTTGCGTCTGAAGCGCCAAGTCTGTGATGAGGTAGGCACGAAAGCGGGATTCCTGATCGTCAATCAAAAGGGCATCTCGCCGGATGCACTGGAGATGCTAGCACGCGAAGGAATCATGGCGCTGCGGCGGGCAAAGCGCCGCAACATGGAACGCCTCGTTCTTGCGTGTGGCGGTACGGCTGTGAATTCCCTGGATGACCTCAATCCATCGGTGCTGGGAAAAGCGGTACGAGTCTTTGAAGAAACCCATGGAGAGGACAAATATACCTTCGTGGAGGCGCCCCCGACAGCGCGCAGCTGCACGCTCGTGCTGCGGGGCTCCGACAAGCAAACGCTGCAACAACTGAAGGATGCCGTGCGGGACGGCCTTCATACTGCCCGGCATTTCCTGGATGACGCCTATGTCGTACCCGGAGGTGGGGCGTNCGAGTGTGCAGCGTATCAGCACCTCCAAGCGTACAGCAAAACTGTCCAGGGTCGAGCACGCCTCGGTGTCCAGACCTTTGCCGATGCGCTTTTGGTGATTCCAAAGACGCTCGCCGAGAATTCCGGCCTAGACGCACAGGAAACCGTCCTGCAGATGATCGAGGCCCACGAAGCCGGGCGAACGGTGGGTCTGGATGCGCACTCTGGTGAACTGGTAGAGCCGCTCGGACGCGGCATCGTTGATTGCTGCCGGCCGAAACGGCACGCGCTTAGTTTGGCCTCGACAATCACCACACAACTTCTGCTCGTCGATGAATTGCTCAAGGCCGGACGTGATACCAGATCGAAATAGGCACAGCTTTAGGCATAATATGGCCCTACTGATTGACGTACACGTTTCAGGCTAGTGGTCGGTGATACGGGGGTCCGTTGGACACCCACTCGAACGCATCGTTGCCCTGATGCGGATACGGCTCACCGACCTCAGCTTTAGCGGTAGTGTGGCGAGCCTTGGTGTTTGATCGCTGCCTCAGACGCAAATTACCGTCAGCACTGTCTGGATTTGACTCTGTCAAACTGTGAAGGCGCTGTTGCTCTCATCACCGTGCAGCGATCCATACCCTTGAGAAAAGCCGCACAGCCGCTACGCGCTGTACGTTGCACGGGCCACGATCCGGAGATCGTCGAGCGTATCGTCGAATGCTGCGCTTTCCGCTGGGCAGAGCGACGGGCAGCAGCGTCCAGGCGTGATACGAATAGATTCCAGCCTCAGCGTACTTTCGCATGCTAGTCGTCTTTGGTACTGCATCGCATGGGATCGAATTGCACAGAGCGTAACCCTGGGGCAGAGCAATACACAGACGTGTTTGAGCCCGCGCTCAGACTGTGGTGCATGATACCAGCGGCTCCCCAGCTGGAGAAAAGACGATCTGGATAGTATCGCTTACATGAGCACGCGAGCTGTATCCCCGACGGCTCGCATAACCAGATCGAGACGAGTTGACCGTCGCGCTCGAAGCATCCTTATCGATTTGCTCGTTCGAGGCTGCGCTGTGCTTCCGAGCAATCTAGCGTCAAGCGTTCCTGATCCAGGTCAGTGCCCTGCACAACCCCAGCGCAGAGCGATGTCTGCACGCTCGCCCGCACTCGTCGCATGAACGACAACAGCGCACCGGGAGTGAATCGTGCGCCACGAGAGCACCGCCTGAGTGCACTGTACATTCACAGGCACGACTCGGATGTGAACGAAGAGCGTTTATTCGTGCTCTGGTCCATGCGCTGGTGCGTTTATACAAGAGCACGACGCGTGTTCACTGCGTGCCAAGACAGGGCTCAGACGGGAATGATGGTAGCGACGAGGACTCCGCAGTGCTCAAATCCAGCAGCTTGAATGCACTGGCTGGCATCGGATAAATGCCTCTTCAATAGCGTCATCAATGCCGCTGTCTCGACAGCTGACGCGCACGAGTACACGATGATATTCACTGCCCTGCACCACTGCACCACAGATGCGGCTCGTCTCGGATCCGATATTCACAAAACAACGCATTCTAGTCACGATCCAGGAGCGATCGGACGGTAGCCGTGACACTGAAAACGGCAAAAGTCGCTCCATTGGTGTCATCGACTGTGAGCATGAACGTTTCTCTTCATTGGGTAGCCGCTATCAGCACTTTTCGAAGCACGCAAGATCCGCTCGGGTATAAAGAACGGTGCACGCGAACCTGCATCAAGTGCCAGAGGCACTTTGTCTGCATCTACATGCCTTGCTCAACCCGAACCCGTTCCGTTAAAGTCATCTCTTGCAGACGTGGAATACAGGTGTTGCATGTACGCGGCGTACCGCATGAGGAGCGCTCAGTGAAGCCTTTCTCTCATCTTCAGCCTAGATGCTACATGGTGCTTCTTGAGATGGTCTCAGACCCGATTTGTATGCAAGATAGCAACGTTGCTCAAAGAGCCGAATAGGTGCACAGATCAAACGCCTCTCCAAGCAACTGAGCATGCCCAGTGCGCTTCGGTGCGAATGCTCCCACGCCAATGCTTCGGAAGCAAGTGACCGTTCATCGACAACGATGCCGTGTCCGTGCGTAAGCCTTGCTTCTGGGATATGAACCGATCTAGTCGACCAGCTCTGGTTAGTATCGGTCCTCAGGCCTATCATTGCAATGGCCCATATGCCCAAACAGGGCAGTCACACTCGTCATCTATAACAAGTACATCACTGGACATGCGAACTTACGCAATCCAACCACAGGCGAATAAACGTACCGACGCATCTACGACTGTGTGCATACGCAAGCGCAAGCATCTGTCAACAAAGATACAAATCCTTTTTCATCCACTGAAACCTGAAATGAACCCAGGCATCTATGAAGGTACGCATACCCAACGGCAAGCACCAGTGAACACGGACAAGCATTGCTACCTGCGTTCGCAAGCATCCTCAGCTAAAGCAAAACATCCAGTGCATTCATTCATCGCTACACGAGGCACTAGACGGTACCTCGGTATCAGCACCGATGAGCATCAACACCCATTGGCAAAGTGTCTGTAGAAGGGCGTGATTGAGCTGACGATTCTGCGCGATCTCGTCCACTAGAGCGTGCCAGACCTTCTCCAGTAGCGCCGCATCTCCAAGCGCTTGCGCAAAGCCTGCTACCTGTTCCGCAGCGCGCGTCTCTTTGGTACGCAAGTCTTCAATACAGTCATGCGCCTCCTGCTTTCCCGCGTTCAAGGCTTCGGGTGAACGCTCCGCCAATAGCGCTAGACGCTCACGCGACTGACGCGCAAGATCCTCCACACGCTCGATGATCTCAGCGTCTCTTGGAAATGGGTTCTCTTGTCCAAGTGGGTCAACGCGCTCCAGCCGCATCCATAGGCGCCTAGACAACGCCAAAACCAGGAGAAAGCGCATCTCACAGAAGAGCAAGCGATCTGTTACGGGAACCGGCAGTACCCTGTGCTCAACTGCCCAGAGCGGATCGTGTTCCGATGCACCGGAGGTATCGATTCCATAGAGTGCTCGCGTAAGCGCAGCAGCAACGCGTTTCGACTCACGTTGTAGTGCAACAAGTCGGTATCCAAAGTCAAAGGGTGCCAGAAATCGTGCCCATTCAGAAGCGACAAGCCCCGTGCTATGCCCGGAAGCCGCTAGCTTCTCAGTTTCGTCCTCATTCGTAGCGACGAGTTGCTCGTACAGACTTTGGAGCCTTGCACGATCCAGACCAGACTCGTGCGCGCCCATAACGAGCAACATCCACAGGCGAGACCAGAGCGAACGTTCGTGCGGTATGGCGTGCGGTGCAGGTTCTATGTTCCACGGCAAAAGACCCGGATCGAGGATGCCATGCTGGCGCAGGTTCTTCGCACCGACATCGGGTCGGATGAGCAGTCGCACCACGGACCAGTCGCTATTGTCGATCAGGTCCGGTACTGTGGGTTCCTGCTTCGACGTTGTGGTCACAAAGCTGTCAAAAAGAGCGGCTTCGTGAAGCACTTTGCCATGGACAACTGCAAACTTGATGACGCTTTCAATCGCTGAAGGTCATCCAGCCAAAAGTTTGCGTTCCACACTCGCTACCCTGTCAAGGCCCCGCAAGCAGTTCATCAATCACCAATTCAGCTCACCGCGCGATGCGAACCCCGCGTTTCATAGTGCTTTGGGCAGAGCTCGTGAGCACAACTGAATAACCGGAAAGAGCCTAAAAGCGGGCGATTTCCCTGCAAACACAGCTCTGTCCATCCCAAAATATTATGGTAAGGCGACGATCGAGCGGTCCAGAGCTCCTCAGCATTGCATCCGATGATGCGGGGTTGACTTGTCAAAAAAAAAGGAAACTAGTCGCAAACTATTTATCAAAGAACAACTATCTTAAAGCCCCACACCCCACGTTCGCCTTGGCGGTCTAGCTTTTCCAGAGGAGCTCTGAAAGTGAGTCAACGCGGGGTGTTCGGGCGACGGGGAAGGAAGCCCACGCCAGGGACCTTGACTGCAACGAACAGAGGGGCGCAGGCAGTAGCAGCAGAAAATATTGACGAGAGTTCTGAGCAGTCATCTGCTGCTCCCGAAACAACGCTGCAGGTTCGGGCGTGAGGCCTGGATCCATCCTTGAACTCGGGCTCAGTTTTACCTCCTTCGTTGGTACCTATCTAAACTTTGGAAGAAATATCGGCGGATATTTTGGAAGACGGCTGGCAGCATGTTCGCGGTTGAAGCTGGAATATGCGACTTATCCGCCTATGTGTTTGGGGAGCGGATACGAAGCTGCTGAAAGGGTGGTTCGTAGAGTATCCCCAGTGGTTGAGGGTAGCTTCACGCGTCCGGCAAGATAAAGGTCGCATTCGAATCGACCTTGACTAATGTACTTCTGATGCTAACTTCGCGCAGCGGCAAGCATTCTATGAACGACTGGAATGCAGGAGGCGCTGGTGGCATGTGCGCTCAAAAACCCCGTGGAGGGTGCGTCTAAATCGACGACGTATCTGCGGAGTACCGCAGCGCTACTCCTATTCCCTTATGTGCTATGACTCGATAGGTCTCACAACTTGTAATATCTGGGGTGTAGCCTCGACACTGGACGACGAGATATCGAATCACCAGTACTATAACGAAGAGCTGATAGAAGTCGAGGATTCTACAATAGGAAAAGAGACCCAACGAGGTACGGAGAAGGAGATACAGAAACCTCATGATCCACCTAAATGCAAAATAACCAGAGAAAGCAGCTCAGGAAAGAGCCCGAAGAAGAAGTAGACCAGCAAGAAAAAAAACAGAAGAATAGAAAGAAGAACTCCCGAACGAGCCTACAGGCGGGAGCTCCAGCGAGCCCATCACAAGTCATCCCCCGAAAGGGCACCCCCAGCGGGAACTCAAGAAAGCTGCCGCCAAGCCAAGTCACCTACTCACAGCGCTGAAGATCCGAAAAGCCGTGCATGCAAATCCGTAGACCAACTGGCACGCGAGTTTGTAGATGGGAATCAGAAGATTGCCAGAGAACTGGGACTGCTTGCACCAGAATGCAACAGTTGCAAACCTCAGTACCTGAAACGACATACCAAAACTCGGATTGATGAATGCCACCGACTCAACAAGATCGTCAACCGCACCGCCATACGCGCCAACGCCGGAGACAAGGAAGCGAAGGCAGCGCTACCGGCGCTACAGGCGCAACATGAGGAAGCTATCAAAAGAAAGAAGAAACTTTCCAGAGAAGACAAACGAGAGGATCGAAACCGCAAAATCGCCTCCCTGGCGAAATCTATGCTAGAGAGCATCAACGAAGATGAGACTTGGCGCTACATCCGATCGAGACTTGACCCACCAAAAAAGTGCTTGGGGCTCACACCAATCGTTTATGAGGAAGAGCTGAGGACGGAGAGTGCCTCAGTGAATGAGGCCTGGACGGACCACGGGCCAGAGCTGCATGAAGACGCAACTGGGCACTGCCAAAACCGAATCTATTGGCACCAGTATGCCGCAGAACTACTGCGCCTCGAATCGGTACCGGAATGGAACGACCCAATCTTCTGGACTGAATATGTTCAGACCCTGCTATGCTCAAGCAACCGCAAAACACCTGGCGTCGACGGTATCGCGACGGAGTGGATGAAACTTGCGACCCCAAAAGACGAGACAACAGGGACACCATCGATACCACGCCTCAAGTCGACACCCTTTGTGGTACGGCAACGCCGTTCTGTCTCCGTGCAGCGACCGCACCGGTGCTATACGCGCCATTGCGGTCGCTTTCGGCAGGCACTAGGCACACACAATAGGACGTACGAAACGACCAGAATATCCGAGATGAAGTATGGGTAATGTAACATGGAGGTAGGGGGTTGACGGATACTTCACCGCGCACTGAAAAAATAAAACAAAAAAAGTAGGAAAAGAAAAATGCGCATAATCGGAGAACGCTGGCCTGAGTAAACGTTTTGGCAATGGAAAAAAATCAGTCTCAGGAAATGTTCGGTGCTGGAGACGAAACCTCCAGAGTGGACAAGATGAAATTTTATTGGACAACCTCTTTATGTCGAACTGTATGAGAAAAAGTTGGAAGCAGTAATGGGTGGGCGGTCGAGGAAAACTGGGAGGCGTCTGCACATCAATTGGAAACTTCTTGTCTAGGGCGGGCCTCTCGCCACTACTGTACACTGCCGTCCTTCGACTTAGAACGGCGTTGAAGGCCTGGACAATGACCTCAGGGATACCTGACTTTGGAGTCCAAGGTGCTGGTGCAAACCAGATGCATCGAGGGCACGAGTCAGCGAAGGTTGCAGACGAAAATGCTCAGCCATCTGCGGGCACCCTACTTTCGGCACTGGTGAGTGCTAACCCCAGTCAAGCAGCCTTAGCAGCAACACAGCTGGCAACGCTTCTGACTCCAAATGCAGATGATCGAACCCAACACTCCACATCGCCGGAAGTAGAAGCGAAGTCGGTCGATTTTCAGGGGTTAGCACAGGCGCTGCTAACGGAGTACCGCGCTGTACTGCAGGGGTTTCTGCGATCCGAACAGGCAGCTCTGACGATGAGTGCCCTTCGCCTTCTCGCTGCCGTTGCCCGCTTCGGCAGCGGTTACGCACGGGAAACGTTTTTGACGGTGCAACCAAACCGCGACTTGCTGGTTCAGCTTTTGCAAAAGCAGCGCCAGAGACAGCAACGAAAGCGAAGGCGCCTCTCCGAACTGGAGAAAAGAACCACAACATTGGAAAAGTCGCTTTTGCAGTGGCTCGACGCGAGCGCTCTCGCTTCGAATACGTTCGCCCCGGACCTACGAGAGCTGTATGCAGTACTCCTTCGGCAGGTGCTCCAACGAATCCGGTTTCGCCAAGGCGCCAATGATATAGGACGACTCCTTCGAGTACTCCGCACGGCAACCTGGCTCAACAGCGGTCGTATGCTTGGTAGCCTCCTTAGCATCGTTGAGTTCGTAAGAGGCGAGCAACACCGAGCAGGTCTGATCAAGATCATCGCGCAAACTCGAGACCAGCGCTCCCTAGCGCAATATCTCGCACGCGAAAATCTTTCCAGTTCCGTCAAGCTTCGCCTCGCTCAAAGCATGTTACAAGCAGGTGGCCCCGAAATGTCTTTGGCATTTCTCAAAGCGCTTACGTCGGAGTCAGCGCTCCAGGATACCAACCAAAGCCAATCGATCTGGAAAAGCGAGCAAGTTGCCCTTGCGATCGCTGCGCTGCGGCAATGTACATGTACAGCAGCATTCTCATTGCCGCAGAATATGCGACTAGACTTTGTGACTTGCAATGCGTGGATTGCAGCACTTGAAAACGGAGGCAAGACAATCCCGTCATTAACCGTGCTGATTGACTATATCCGACAAGAGGCGATGCGAGCTTCCAATACCCTCGGTTCGCTCCGGCTTGCGCGCGGCTTGCGTCTTCTCCGCCTGTGCATCGAGAAGCGCCCTGAGCAGATTTTTCAGTCTGGTCTCGACCTCACAAAGATCATACCAAAGGCACCAGAAACAATCACTTACGCTTGTTCGTTCACAGGCGCTGAACTCGTACGAACGCTCGGAGCAATGTTCTCCCAGAACCGGAGCATCCGTCTAGCGACCCGGTTGCAGGATCTCTTCGAGTTGAGGGCGCTTCCAAGAGCCCCGCTGTACGCCTTTTTCCTGCAATACCTGAACGAATACGGCCTGCTGCGTAATCCACACTCAGGCGAAACGTGTTCGCTGGAAGCGAGCCTTTGGTTAGATTTGCTGCGTTTTGCTGCGCCGTCCACGAGAGCGCTGTTTGAGCGCATCATCACTGAAGCAACTTGCAAGCCCTATGCCATTCTTGATGATGCTTTGCACAGCCAGGCTCCGGGTGAAACGAGCTTTCAACTATCGCCGTTGTGGATTGCAGTCGAGCGACGCGTTCGGAGCACCAGCGATCCCTACCTGGAGTATTGTCTCAAGCATATCAAGGCCTGCATGGCGATCATGCGGTCGGGTTCTGAGACCACATCGCCACCACCAGCACCTGCTGAGGCAAGTCCAGTATCCGTGGAAAATGCTATGGTCGTACCACGTGCAGGCCAGCAGGTACTGCAGGTGCTAGCGCCGGATGCTCGCCATTTGGATGCGCTTTACGATTCCCGCATCGGAGACGCTCGCGACTTTATTCAAAGTGGTGCGCTCCGATCGGTCCTTTTCATGCTGGCTGTGGAGCAGAACGAGATCCGCCACAAAGCCTACGATATTCTGGCAACGTTTTATCGGCTTGTGCCGGTTGCAGTGGAACTTCGTGAGCGCCGTCTCGTCCAGGCGGTGTTGGATGTCCTGCGCTCGTCCATCACACAGCCATATCAGAGGCTACCCCGTATCCAATGTGCGCTCTTCGCCTCGTTAGCAGAGATTGTCACAAACGGTAACCATGATTTGTTCAAGTTCGCTTGGAAGGTAACGCTACTGCGTCCGTGCTGGTCGCTCATGGAGGAACTCCCCGGTGTCCATGAGATGATCTATTCACCGGAAGAGCGCGTTCACGAATTTCTGCTGCAGCTTCTTCTTGAAGGTAACGACACCTCGGATCCTTTTTACGCTATTTTGAGACGCCATCGTCTTTATTCATATCTTGTGGGACGCAAAACCTTCGCCCTTAGATTTCGAGATCGCCTGCAACCGCTGGTCGATCAGGTGCTGCATCAACTATTAGCATTCCCAGAAGCGCGTAAGCGTCTGGAGAGAACGTGCGCACTAGAGACATGGCTTAGGCTCTCACGCACGTAAATCCGATCATCTACGAGTATCATGATCGGGGCAATAACGCTAAGAAATGCCACAGCTACGTCTTGGGAGATGGACTGCGGGTGGATCCCAGTTTGAGGAGGCTGCACCACCTGCTTCGCGGTACGTATCGCCCGGCATGCCAGTGACAGGCTGTTCGCGTCCAGTCGTACAGCTGATGGATTCCTGGGTGCCTCGGTGCATGTAGCATATGCTGCGAGCGCTCTACTGGAACGCTAGAGACTATTCCTGTAACGATGCCTGCATGCTTTGTCAAAGCCAGGAATCCGATACGCACTTGTTTCATCCATGCGGTTGCGTTTGAGGGTATCTCTGGTCGAGAGCGAGTCACGTGCTGCGCTGCGCTCTAGCGACCTCGTGGTGCATACACTTGGAGCCCTGTCCACTTGGAGAGCAGGCAATGGGTAAGCGAGTCCTTGTGCCACCGAAGCCCTCATTCAAATACACGAATGGACGGGTGATCCGCTTGCAGAGGTATCGCTCGTTGGTCACTTTTCGGCAACCGCGTGTCTGAGCCCGTCAAGGACGCATGTAGACGCATTCAAAACTCGGTCATCCGCCGTAGACAGCTGGAAGTACCCGCAGATGCAGCAGATGCAATCGATTCTATTGCATGAGGCTCGTTCTTGAAACCTCTTAAGGTTGCTGTCATATTAACGGTAGCTTCGACGCGTGAACGAGCCCATATCGCACCCTGTAAACACAAGTTTGTGATGCGCTGTCAACGGAATGCGGTTTCTCGTCTTCCGCGTTTCATGGCATGCTGTGTCAACGATACCAAGACCCCGCCGCACTCGATCAAGCGGGCGCTCTGGACGAGTCTTCAGGCCATGCGCAACATCGCAGTGCGACACTGCTTGTCGACGAGGCAGCGTCGGCTTCCCACGTTCTCAATGTCATCTCCATTTCAAACGCCAGAATACGACTGCTGACAAAGGGTTCGGAAACCTGCCCTCCGTGCAGCAACCTTTATCTGCTCTATGCTCGGATGAGGGATGCTCCCAGACGCCGACCCGAACCGAGGCCGGCACTTGTCGTACTAGTGCTCATCATAGCGATACCCACGAACGAGACGAAAGAATTCGAGTACGTTCTCCTCGGGAGTCTCCGGGAGCACCCCGTGGCCAAGATTCATGATATGTCCTGTTTTCCCAGCCTTGGTAATGATCTCGTAAGCTCGCCGTTGAATGAGTTCTCGCGACCCGAGCAAACATGCTGGATCCATGTTGCCTTGGACGGCTACGCGCGGGCCCAGCCGTGACCGAGCCTCCCCAATATCGATGGTCCAGTCAACGGAGACGACATCGACTCCAGTCTCCCGCATGCGCTCCAGCAGATGTGAGCCTTGATTAATGTAAAGAATCAGCGGCGTCTCAGGGTGCGACGCTTTCACCTCTCTGACGAGCCGGTTCAGATACGGACCCGCGAACTCGTCAAAATCCGATGGAGCTAACTGCCCTGCCCAAGAGTCAAAGATCTGAATTGCATCAGCACCGCATTCGATCTGAAAGTTCGCATAAATCGCCAAATTGTCCGTGACTCTCGCAAGCAGCTCATGAAGCAGAGCTGGCTCGGTGAACGCTACTTTCTTGATCTGCGAATATGTCTGGCTCGAGCCGCCCTCAATGCAATATGTGAGCAGCGTCCAAGGAGCCCCTACAAATCCAAGCACTGCAACCTCGGGTTCAACCACACGCCGCAGCGTCTGCAGCGTCTCTCGAACAAAAGGCGTCGACTTGTATGGATCCATCTCACGGAAGCGCTGCAAGTCATCGTAGCTCCGCACAGGTGGACTAACCACTGGTCCACGCTCCGGTATATCAAAGGTTATGCCCATTCCTGGCAACGGTGTCAGGATATCCGAGAACATAATCACCGCATCCGGGTGATACGCACGATACGGCTGTAACGAGATCTCTGTTGACAGCGCGGCGACCTCGGAGCGTTCCCGAAACGACGGATGTCGCTTGCACAGTTCACGGTATGCGTTCATGTGGCGGCCAGCCTGACGCATGAGCCAAATAGGCGGTCGTTCAACCTGCTCATGCCGTATCGCGCGCACCAGAAGCGGTTGCATGGCTTGTGCACGCTCGCCCGCAGCACTTGAACTCGAGGCCGTTTCCTGACCGGACGCTTCCACAGCCTTCAAAGAAAAAAAGCGTTTCGGACGCGAAGTATACGCTCGCCTACCACAAAACACCGTCTCGAGCGTTCCACTAGGCAGCAAAAACATAGGTCGTGTATGTGCTTCGGCCTTTTCGGCAGTCTGACGCTGAGCAGTGCCGCAACCCCGTCGACGCCCCCTACGAGACGTCGGCGAGCGGCAGCGGGATCGCGCATCGGGCGAGCGTCGCGCTGCGAGGCGCGACATGAGCGACCTCGGGGGTGTGTCTCTGAACCAGCGTTCGGTGAACACGGAATAGGGAACTGCTCGATCAGGTTGTGCTTTTCGATATTTCTACAGGGATTAGGGGCGACAAGGCCTCGAGATTAGAGATGTAGTGATTATGAGTTGGGATCTTTTGTGCGTGGGTCTTGGCGCTATGGGTAGTTTTTTGTAGAGGGGCTTCTCCGATGCACTTTTTCGGTTGGGAATCGTCACGCCCGCGAACAGAGGTTTCTTACATTATCGATACCATCCCGACAATTCCTACGTACAGTCACCCATACGCCTCGTTTCCTCATACAGAGCTTGCGCGAATCACGCATGCTTCAAGTTTTTGAAGTTTCCGCTCCGAGGGAGCTCATGGACACTGCTATTCGTGCTGGTGCAATGACGGGCAAAACAGGCTCGATGATGCCAATTGGCGGCACGATCTGCGGCCCTTTTCGAGACAGAACTGAATCCCTCACAGGAAACATCCTATTTACATCGAAAGACAGGCAATCCTACGTTTGAGGCAATCGACGAAGCAGCACTCGGTAGCAGCTTGATACCTCTCATGGGGGTATGCTCCCGGAGGCTCCCGTGTGTCTCCTATTTGCACCAAAGCGGGTCATGCGTTTGCAACTGCATCATCGCAGGTATCGCTTGTAGTGCAGAGTCCGGTACCGCTCTGCGCGGGTCAGGGATGTACACGGATCGAGATCTCTCAGCTTCTTCTCCAGCCTGACTTTCTCTTCAGGTACGTATTTCATCACAGCGAACATCGCGTTCCGAAAAACCTCCTCTGAAGGCAGCAGTGCGCGCTTGCACATGCAGCTGACAGCGCCCTCGTCGAGGGAACCTCCTAGACGATGCTCGTGAACGGCGAGTACGGCACCGGGCGCGGAAACGGAGGAGGGTATCGAGCGACGTCTCCCGAGCACGTCAAGGGCACGTACACGCCAGCAAAGCGAGCCTCTAGGCGTCGCAGTGCAGTGTATGGAGGAGATACTAATGGTCACATTATAAAACTCGAGATCTGCTACAAGCAAACGCTGCGAAGAACACGCGGAAGCTGTTTAGGAAGAGGATCATGTTGCAAACGAACCGCAAGGCGCAGCTTCCACCCGTACACGAACCGCATCGACAATAGCCATGCAGAGCGAAATAAGGACGTTCCGGCTGCACCCCACAGGCTTCGACGGTCTGCAACGGAGCTGCAGGGAAAGAAGCGTCCGGCGTATTGAAACCGGAGATAAGAGCACCAGAAAGGATACAGTCGCATAAAATGCCCTCAAAGGCTGGTCTCGATAAGGACAATCATAAGAGACCTTAACTTAAGGATACGTCTCCGAGACAGCTGAGCGGACGCGTTTCATCTAGGTCTGGTGGAAACGCAGTTTGTTGTGATCGATCTGCCGCTGTTCAGATTGGTCTTTCTATTGTGTAGGATCGTGGAAACTAGCGAATCATACCAATGTGGGCGAAGGTTATATGCATCTATTGAAGCAGCCATGATTTTACACAAGAATTGCGCGTTGCGGGAACCACCACCAAAACTTCCCTCAAGAGAAGATCGATCGTTCATAAGATACTCCGAGTGCGGAGTCTGCAGTGAGCCACCAGCACAGCGCCGGAAGCTCCGATGCCGACACCATACAGAGACAGCACGGCTTTCCGATACGTTAGCCGGCGTCGGATAGAGGGCGAGTCGCATTGGCGACGACCTGTCTTCGCATCCGAATCTACGCTGATCGCGAATAGGGTCAGGCGGTCACTCGAAGGTCACCAAGATACTGTCTTGACTCACAGTCGCGATCGCGTCGAGTCACCCGACAGAATTGTGCTAGTGTAACAGGATCAGGGCGTCGATGACAAAAAACAAACGCAGTCGGATACGCATAGGCAATCCAGTTGGAATTGTCGCTGCGCCCTAGGTCACGAAAATCCCCAGAGTCCACGCGCGGTACTAAACCTTCGTTGTAGACCGCACCATCCCGTTCTGCAGCAGGCACGTGCGGCGCGCCGCTCAGATGCAAAGCCCGAATCACGGCAGTCGCGTCGATGTCGGCAATCTGCGGATGCCGAATAAAATAGTCAGCCAGCCAGTTGTCCCAGCGCCAATTGCCAATAACAAATGGTGGCATACTTTGTACAGGAAAGTCCTGCTTCCTGCAGATGAAGTAATCGAGACCCCAAGCAGCGTGCAGCTCCTCGTTATCGGACGCTCCTGGAGACAAGTTCCGGTCGTATCGACGGCCGAATACAGCAAAGGAACCCATCTGCTGCCTCGCCGCTTGAATTAATTCCCTTACCAACCCCGAAAACGCAATATCGAAGTTTGTGTACATGATAACCTCAGTGTTCGTGTTTGCAAGACCGGTAGCTACGAGACAAGGAACGATGGGGATACCACGGGCGCCCGAGCAACGATGCGTCACACAAAGAACATGCTTCGGGAGGCTGGTCGCTAAGTCGTGACAGAAGTCGGCGCGATCAGCGATCAAGACGATGCGAGAAGCGAAGCGCAGCCAGCTTGAGATTGCTTCTTGAAATACGTCGCTCAACCGCCCGGCATGGCGCCAAGCACCGCTCGCAGGCACGCTGGTGATGAGCGTGATACCCTCCCCGGTGGAATCCTCGCCTGGCGCGGGTGTTGGCCAAACCTCGTCAGCACGGTGTGTTCTCGTGTAGCTCGTCAGTGTGGAAGCGCTGTGTCTTTGAAGCGGCGCCTTGGGCGAAACAGAGTAAAGCATTACAAGTAGTGGAAGTAGTAGCACGAGAAACGCAATCTTTCGAGTACGCAACCAGAGCCAACGGTTCGCGACTACGTGTCGTTCAGCTCGGTGCACCGGCTGCCATTCGTACCTCAACCTCCACTCCTTACCGTGGTGTCGCATGGCCAGCAGGTACGCGATTCGCCGCTACAGGAAACCTGAACAACACACGTACCGAGCTAGTAGCACAGGTCAGGTGCCTGGCTCCCATAGGCAGGACCCAGGAGCTTCCCGTCCTGCAAACTCGACGAAACGCCGCCGTCCACCAGGCTCTTGTGGACGCGCTGCGTCCACCGACGCGCACGGTACCAGGTTCCGCGCTTCTGTTTCCCCGAGGTGCAGAAGCGCTGGTCGCTTGTCAAGCTTTCAAAAGGGCTCAGGGCCGGCGCTGCGGCTCGGAACGCCTGTGTGCATTTTGGAATAACAGCGGCCGGTGCGCACCCATGACAGCGCAGTGTGTCGAAACTCCGTGACGGATGAAACAGGAACTCTGCGCTGCTTGATGTGTTCCCGCCTTGAGATGTATTTTCCGAACGTTTTCGGATGTGGTGCCTCATTCCTTATGCGTAGCAGGCTCGTATCATGCATTGTTCAAGTTTTCGATTTTCCCATTTCAAAGAAACGCATTGGCGCAGCGATTCGCGCCGCTGGATTGAAGAAGAACGAAGACTCGAAGCCGTCACTCGACGACATATTTACAAGGCTCATGGTGAACGTACACTGCACAGCGCTCGTCTACGAATCGATTCCGGTCGAAAGACAAACTCCATCTCTTTGTGGCTGCAGATAAAACGGCATTGGACGGCAGCATGATCCCGCTCGTGTGATACGCTTCCAGCGCCTCCGCTCTCTTCTGTTGGTATGTGGAAAGGGGGCGGGTCTCAGACTTCAGACACGCTAGGAATCACTTCCGGTGGAGTGCATGTCATCGCTTTGCGTGACTGGTACGTAGATGGATCGAAAATTCTGGGCTTGTTCTCCAGTCTGGATTTTCTCGTCGGGTACTTGTGCCATCGTAGGCAAAATCGCCTAACACATCTGTTTTATCGAAAGCGGCACGAGGTGCTTGCATGTGCAGCGGGCGACGTACTCGCCGAGGGGATCTTCTAGAAGAAGCCCATATTTATATGGTATGCTGCCGAACGTGTATACGGGGGAGTACATCGAGGTGAGTCTTCTGCGCCTAGCAACAGCATGCACTGAGCGATGAGGCCAGCCTTCTTGAGCCATAAAGCGGATTTTGGAGAAGATGAGGCGGGCATATGGGAACACCTGGCAACTGTATACAGTCGTCGATGCGGAGGGAGCCCCGACGCAGTACAATAAGAAGACGAGCATTGCAATCGATGCATGAATTGCAACTTCTGCCCGTGCATCAAATGGGTCGATAGCAGCAGAAAGTAGCGAAATCGGGACGCGAACGCTGCCGCCAGCATCCCTCGACTTGTGTCATCTGAGGTAGAGACAGGGAAGAGACCGGCGTGTTTAATGCCGAATATAATAAAGAGAAAACCGAAGCCACTGCATGGAAAATATCCCAAGGCTGCCCTGGGTAAGGGTATGAATATTCATGACCTGCAGTGTGTATGCCGGTGTTGGCGAATCAGCTCCTTTTTCTAGTATTTCAACTCAATGCTGTACCATCACAGCTGCGGTGTAGGACAGGAGTTCGAAATCACGATGTAGTATACCTTATAGATCGTCAAAGAGTTGCCTGAAAGATTCAAATTCTTTACTGAATAGTAGAAGGAGGATTGTATTCCTCCTTCATATTCGTCATACCACCGTACTCGGATGTTTCAGGAACACTGAAAGAAACAAGTAGATGCGCTCTGCGCCAAAATCCTGTATTGTCATAGACTGCTAGCAGCCAATGATAGAAAACGAACCGTTGAACACCCAGCGGAAACCAAAAGCGACGATACTAGCCACCACGAGCGTCTCCGTTTCTCAACTTCTTGTTCGTATTGCCCTGAAAACACAGAGGTACAGTTGAATAAAAAAACATGGCGAGGTCATTCATCGGCCATCTTGCACCGAAATTTCAACTATATTGTTCCTGAAAAGTCACAGTGGATATGAAACACAGGGATGTCGGTTTGTTTTTCAGTTGATGGGGCTTTATTCTTCCCCCGACGTCTGGCAACGTCCTTCAACTGGACAAGTTAGTGTTTAACCATTCTTTTTGCGTTCGAGCTTTTGTCGATTCTATTGAGTTGGTACTGCTTTTCATTCCTATGTACGCTCCACAGTTCAACCCAATTGAGGGAGTGTTTTCTATCGTGAAAAGTAATCATCGCTCCACTGGGTGAATCACTGCAGATTTCAGCATGATGACACACAGAGGCACATGTCGTCTTTCCTCCGCGAGTCCTACACATCCAGTAAGGTCCTCACCTAGGGACGTAGAGAAGTGAGTTCATTTCGGAATATTAAGGGATGTACTAGGGATCATACTTGAGAGTGTCGAGACGCAGGAAAAGCTGCGGAGCGCTTCGGAGGTAGGAAAGCTGGACGATCTGACAGAGCCCCAAATTGCACACAAGGCACGAGTTCGAGGACTCGTCGCATTCATGTGCACAACCAATGGCAAGACACGTATGGAGTTCGTAAACCCCGACTTCAATGCCGCAAGTAATAGTTGAAGATTCGTAGTGCAGAAGACGGGACCCACGGAGCTGACACGATCGAACTTTATGGAATAGCCTCTCAGGGTCGAGATACACAAGGAGGAACTAAAGCCGACAGCAGGGCGCCGGTCGGGAAAGGCCAGGAGATATCTGCACGTGGATATTCAGTTATTTTAAATGGTTATGGGACAATTTTGGGTTCCACTGACTGCATCTTTGCGTTCCCATATAGATATAGATATAGATTTATAGATAGCAAGCGCACACTTACACAGTCGCACAGCGCCGCCTGAGCAGCGCCTCTGCGCTACCGTTAGCGTCGCACGCCGGGGCGCGCGAAGCGTTCCACCCTGCAGCACTGGTTCGCAGTGCTACCGCACCAGCGACCGCCTCGAGATCTGCAGGCCTTCATGCCCAAATGCTCTTTGTTATTGGCGTGGCAGGGCCCTCCGCTGCGGGTAAATCCTCTGTTGTGGAGCGGATCGTGTCTGCGATCGGGTCTCACCAGTGCGCGCTGCTCTGCTTGGACTCGTTCTACCACGGCCTACCGCCGGGTTGCGATCCGCTAGAGTACGACTTTGATTCGCCAAATGCGTTTGACTTTGAGTCCTGCGCTGCGGCGATCAAGGAGCTGGCGCTGGGCAAGAGCGTGTCCCTTCAGAGCTACGACTACGTGACGCACCAGCGCTGTGGACCGGAGATCACGCTCCCCAGCGGTACAGAAGTGTTGATTCTGGAGGGAATCTTGACGTTTTATCATGAGAAAGTCAGAGAGCTGCTGCATTTAAAGGTTTTCGTCGACGAAGATGCGGATGTATGCTTGTGTCGACGTATCCAACGTGATGTTGTTCAGCGCGGTCGATCAGTCGAGTCCGTTCTTGCCCAGTATGAGAAGACTGTGAAACCAGCGCTGGACAACTTTATCAATCCACAAAAACGACTTGCCGACATCATTATACAACGCGGCGTCGAGAACGTCATTGCCATCGACCTGCTGGTGAAACATATCGCGGTAAAACTTGAACAGCGTGGACTCAATCGGTTGTACACAAACCTGCATGAGATGCCGCTGACAGGCCAGGTTCGCGCCCTGCATACGTGCTTCCGCCGTTGTGATGCTTCCAGGGACCAGTTCATCTTCTATGTCGACCGAATGATTCGCCTTTTAGTGGAGGAGGCCCTGAACATGCTGCCGTTTCAAACGAAACGAGTCACGACACCTACAGGTGAGGTTTATCAGGGGTTTTCGTTCTCAAACAGAATAGCGGCAATCAGCGTAAGCCCAGGGGGTGAAGCCATGGAGCATGGTGTTCGTGAAGTCATCCGGGAGGTTCGCATTGGAAAAGTCGCTGTCGTCGCCAGTGCAGACGGAAATCGCATGATCGAGTTTCACCGCTATCCACCAGGCGTTGCGCGTCGCAAACTCCTTATTCTGCTTCCGGTGCTGGACACTGGTGCAACGTTAAACACGGTGCTTACGGATCTGGCACGCATCGGGTGTATGCAAAGTAACATGATTGTTCTGTCGCTGATCGCCAGCCCCGAGGCTATCGCCGCGGTATGTGGCAACGGATGGACGAATGTACGCCTTGTCGTGAGCGCCGTCGATCGCGGCGTCAACGAACAGGGATTGGTGGTACCGGGTATCGGATGGTTTGCGGAGCGCTACTTTGGCACAGAACGCTTCGAGTTGTCGGAATGCTGATGGAAACGTGCCGCTGGTACCGGGCTCTGGTCTCGTTATCGTGCAGACGGGAAAAGTCGCACTGTCTGCTGTTGACCGCTGCTGGAGAGGCTGCCGGCGAAGTGGTTCACAGGGCAACTGATGGGCCCAAGGCAGCATTGACACAGCGTTCCCTCTGGATAAAGCCCAGATCACATACCGCGGCCACGACTCCGTCGCGCAGCGAGCATCGAATGCATCGTTCGAGCAGTGAATCAGCACGTTTCGCCGCTGCTGGCAGGTGCGGCACCTGCCAGTGATGCACCGCCATGCCGATGCCGTGCGTCTACGCATCGCTGGGACTCACACTCGAGGTCGTGAGCGTCGCGCGCTTCGCGGAAATGACCATGCACGCTTTGGCTCGCGCGCAAGCCATGCAGGCTCCCATGGATAGAGAATGGAGCACGCGTGTCGCTGGTAAACGCCAAATGTTTTGACGATGCCAAAAAAATCGAATACCTGATATACGCCCTTTACACGTTCCAAGCCAAAACCCCATGCACACGCACTAGTGGAGCAAGTAGTATTTTCCTCCGCCACTGCCCCAGAGACCAACACACTCCAAATCGACCCCAACCATCTTCAAAATCACAACAAACGTAACGCGTACCATCAAGTTGTCTCTTAGTAGTAGCTGCTCTTCTTCACGGGCTGCTGCGTCTTCTTCACAGGCTGCTTCACGCAGACGTTGGTCTTGATGATCTTGTATTCGATGCGGGTCTTCTGCACTGGAACCTTGCGCACCTTCTTCACTGGGATCTGCCGAGTGCGCTGCTGGGTGATGTACTCCGTGTATGCAACCTGTTTCTGATGCGGCTCCTGGATGGTCACGTAGTATGGCTGCTGCTTCTGCTCCGTCCGGTACTCGGTAACCGTGTACGGGATCTGCTTCTGACGCTCCTCCTTCTGGTACTCAGTCACCTCGTAGGAGACGTTCTTGTATGCAGTGTAGGGCACAAGCTTGTATTTGACAACCTTGAACGGCACCTTCACGTAGTACGTCTCCGTCTTGAACTTCTGCACTTGGTACGGAACTTTGACCTCGTACTGCTTGTAGCGCACCTCCTTCACCGGCTCGTAGTAGGTCACGTTCTTGTACTTGGTGATTGGAACCTTGACCTCATATTTCTGTTGCTCGTACACCGTGTATTCCTGGTTCTCGTACACAGTGTATGTCTGCTTGATCGGCTGTTTGGTAGTCTCCTCGTGGCACTGCTGCTGGTACACTACCGGAGGTGGCGTTGTAGTCCAGGCCTGTGCTCCACTCGCCACGGCGAAGATCGCCACAAAGAAAGCAAAGATCAGCAAAGTGCGGTGCATTGGGTATTCGTCCAGTTTTCTATTCAACTTGTTCGAAAGCTTTCGTAGACTTGCGGCTCTCGTTCTTCTTGTCAAGCGATAACAACGACAAAGCCAATGCAATTCTGTGATCGTGCGGAGGATCGTGTGAAACCTAGCCTGTGCTGGGCTGGATCTATCAAAATGCTCTCGGACGGGCCTCTGTTTTCGACAATCGACGGCATCTGTTGATCTCGATACCTCGCTGCCGCTCAACAGAACTGCGAGTGAGCCTGCGGCGCTGTTCTTGAGCGAATCAGAGCCACAGAATGCATGGCGGCGGATTTCACACGAGCGTTGTCGACGCGTCATCTGCCGATCCGAATCGAGCTCCGAACTCATTTTGGCCAGCGTCGTGTCCGTAGGACGTGTGCACTGTTGCTGGCGGTTTTCATGGCGGCGCTGGTGCCGAGACCGCCACGAGATGGGCAGCTTGCGGCGACTGGCTGGCTTCACAAGCGCGATCGCGTGTCCTTTTGGCTCTCTCGCAGCGAAGCCAGAGTCAACGACGCTGCAGCGCCCTGGCCGTGGTCCAGCGCGCGATGCCGCTGGCCCTCGCGGTGACGCGCGCATCTCGCGCGACCCGGGTGCGGTCCTGCCGGGCAGGGCCAACAAGGCAGCGCGCCCTGGACCGAATGGAATTAGTACGAAACGATTTTTTATATCTATTTTGCTATAGAAATGGATTTTTATGTACAATGCGGCAGGACGGCCGTGCGTGAGCAACTATGTCTTCGTACAGTCGATACACGTCTAACCGAACCTTAGTTTCGCAGGCTCTTGCCTCTGGGTGCCTTTTATTGCATAGAAACGATACAGAGAAGTGAAATCTGTGAGATAGACGAGTCAAACCGTGCTGGGATCCAGGAGAGGGGTTTTCTCGCCGCGGCTGGCGCGGAAATGAACACACTGCTCAGAGCGACACGCGCCTTGCTTGCGAGCTACCGACGTCCACACCGGACCAGCGCAGAGACAAACTGGTTACGAGATAACGCCCCATATGTGCCTCCTGACAACACGCTCCCACGCTATCCTAAACGAAAGAACCCTGTCAAACGTGCCAAATCGCTGCTTCAAACCCTGCAGCAGGAAGAGTGCACGCGGCTTGTGAACAGTGGCGAGGCGCGGCACGGCGACTTGCTCAGGAACATCCAAGCGGGCGACGTTGTGGAGCTCAAACTTCGTACAAGTATGACGGATCCGGGCGCCCCACTTCGTACGCTAGTGGGTCTCTGCATAGCCGCCCGACACCGGAGTGTGAACTCGAGTTTTCTTATTCGCAACGTCTACGACGGTGTCGCTGTGGAGCACTCTATCATGGCGTATTCGCCATGGATTCAGAGTGCACGCATTCTAGAACAACGAAAATACAATCGGAACAAACTGTATTATTTACGTTCGCGACCGCTCCGTGAGTCTTTGGTGCGAATCGGAGCAAGCAGCACTGACTCCACCTCGACAGCTAACGAGGATACACCCTAGAATATTCATGAAGCCCTGCGCCCTGCGTACGCAGTGTGCGCTTGTCATGGATTTGCTGGATACAAGATGTATGCTGAGTGTGGAAGAACGCAGAGAGCGGCTGTCAAGGCTCCCATGCGGAATTTTTTCACAGCAGTTTCCGTCGTGATCGGAAGCAAGCAGTAACATACCCAACAGAGCTATTTTGGCATTCTCTGCGAGATTGGAGCCCGGACTGACGGAAACAACTGCGCGCAAAGGACATCGTAGCGGTAGATCCACGCTCTGGTATGACCTCGCTTGCTCCATGGGACTAGGCGAGGCATATCTATGTAATCGTACTTGGTGCGGGATTCACACCCGCAATGCACCTACACTGGTGACTACCGGGTGTAATGCGCGATACCGATGCGTTCGCGAGCAACACACCAGTCGCTTCATGCTTGCCTTTAGCACTGGGTGACGTAGGGTGCGCAGGCCTTGCGAGACAGAATTCATGCCTGCACGGATGGCCTGCAGCTCGGGATGCTGCGTTTGCACCCGCTCACATCGTGATGCGCCGTATGCTGCTCAGCGTTGCGCCAATACGGATCGTTGTCGATGTGCTTTAAGCGCCCGGTCAAATGCTGGCTGTAGTGCTTCTTCAGTGAGAGATTCCAGCTGAACCAGCGGCGCTTTGCCCGTGCTGCGTAAACAATTCAACAGCCGCATGTACAATCGCTTCTTATGACATCTCCAAGGGAATGACGACACCACACTGCACGGCCGAGGACGTCTTTGGGCTTTTGTCTTGCTTTGTTTGTTGACGCGTCGAGAATAACAACCTGATCAGAAAAGATTTTGAGTGGCTATGGTTGCAAGCGCCGCATGCGGCCCCTGGTACCTCTGCACGGCGGCCGCTAATGGACCTCCAGTTTACCGATACGCTAAAATCGCTTTGCATTAGCGTTTCGAAACGGAGACATCGACCTTGGAAACGGCAGTGTCCAGGTTGCGCATTGCGTCTGATATCCCGTTTAAGGCTCTGTATTTCGTGATGGATCTTTGTGGCATTCTGGAGATGTCCATTTCAGAAAACGTTGCCGACCGTCGCTGTGTTTACGAATTGCTCTGCGTTCAAAGAATCACCGCCCGCAACGCATTCGTGGATCATCATTGTTGACATGGCAATCTGTCATGACGTGGCGCCGTTCCCACGAAAGCGAAGCTTTCCGAGCCTGCTCGCAGCAAATCTGAAGTATGCACGACCGCAAAGTGGTTAACAGCTTACCCTCAGCTATAAAAAAGCTGCGCAAAGCCTACGTAGACGCTTGGGAATTGTGCTAAAGAGAAAGCGTTTGGCGTCGCGTCAGTGCGGGAGTCTGCACCCGTGTCAGAATCAGCAGCATCACTAAACTGACCGCTGCGTTCCTGCCTTGCGGCTGTTTCCGAAATTTGCTCCAGCTCTGCACCCAAGATATATTGGGAATGAAAAAAAATAAGGGGCCTTTGTATCCATTCGGAGTTTTAGGATTCTCCGTCTGCTTTTCTGGATGCCTCTTCCAATGCTTTGCATCGAGAGTGCGTTACGTGACCGGACGCAAACTGATTCGTTACGCCCGCAAACAGAGGTTTCTTACATTGTCGATACCATCCCGACAATTCCTACGTACAGTCAACCATACGCCTCGTTTCCTCATACAGAGCTTGCGCGAATCACGCATGCTTCAAGTTTTTGAAGTTTCCGCTCCGAGGGAGCTCATGGACACTGCTATTCGTGCTGGTGCAATGACGGGCAAAACAGGCTCGATGATGCCAATTGGCGGCACGATCTGCGGCCCTTTTCGAGACAGAACTGAATCCCTCACACGAAACATCTTATTTACATCGAAAGACAAGCAATCCTATGTTTGAGGCAATCGACGAAGCAGCACTCGACAGCAGCTTGATACCTCTCATGGGGTATGCTCCCGGAGGCTCCCGTGTCTCCTATTTGCACCAAAACGGGTCATGCGTTTGCAACTGCATCATCGCAGGTATCGCTTGTAGTGCAGAGTACGGTACCGCTCTGCGCGGGTCAGGGATGTACACGGATCGAGATCTCTCAGCTTCTTCTCAAGCCTGACTTTCTCTTCACGTACGTATTTCATCACAGCGAACATCGCGTTCCGAAAAACCTCCTCTGAAGGCAGCAGTGCGCGCTTGCACATGCAGCTGACAGCGCCCTCGTCGAGGGAACCTCCTAGACGATGCTCGTGAACGGCGAGTACGGCACCGGGCGCGGAAACGGAGGAGGGTATCGAGCGACGTCTCCCGAGCACGTCAAGGGCACGTACAGGCCAGCAAAGCAAGCCTCTAGGCGTCGCAGTGCACTGTATGGAGGAGATACGAATGGTCACATTATAAAACTCGAGATCTGCTACAAGCAAACGCTGCGAAGAACACGCGGAAGCTGTTTAGGAAGAGGATCATGTTGCAAACGAACCGCAAGGCGCAGCTTCCACCCGTACACGAACCGCATCGACAATAGCCATGCAGAGCGAAATAAGGACGTTCCTGCTGCACCCCACAGGCTTCGACGGTCTGCAACGGAGCTGCAGGGAAAGAAGCGTCCGGCGTATTGAAACCGGAGATAAGAGCACCAGAAAGGATACAATCGCATAAAATGCCCTCAAAGGCTGGTCTCGATAAGGACAATCATAAGAGACCCAAACTTTAAGATATACGCGCGAGTAGATGTTCCGGTCCAGCGTAGTCTGCCGTGGGCATAGAAGCTGGGCCAGCTGCTGCCAACAGAGCTGCCACCTGTGCGAGCGCTCGTGGAAACAGCAGCGTCGTACGTCGACGAACAGAGCTAAACACCCTGCAGTTCTTGCATCGCTCCGCAGCGACAAGAATATCCTTGACAAGGTCCGCTGGACACCTTCGACGTTGACGCACTTTGCGCCAAGCTGGGGGTAGCGGAACTCGCAGAGCAGCCACCAGCGCGCTTCTTAACTTCCCACGGACGCCCTGTGCTGCAACGAAGTTGGACGCTAGCGCCCGCACGAGCCATTCGCCACTGAAGAGGCGAGCTTCCTACTCTGGTAGCCGGAATCAGCCTTGCGTCCCAGAAAACTCAGTTCGATGCCTGAGCCTCGCCACGCGAGTTGATAACATCCCCCCCGCATTTCGTGATGCGGTGCTTTCGCAGACGCAACGACGCCCTGCCTTATTCGAACGAGTGGCATTGGTGCAGGTACAGCGCCGTGCACCTCGCAACCTTTCCCCTAAATAAGCACACAAACTGGTGTGCCAACGGCAGTTCGAGTCTCGGAAATGGCACCCAAGAAAAGGACAGATGAAGGGGAAAGACGGCCTATTCTTGGTCGATTCTCCCACAACCTGAAGATGGGCATCGTCGGCTTGCCAAACGTGGGAAAGTCGACGTTCTTCAACACGCTCTCTAAACTGAACGTTGCTGCGGAAAACTATCCGTTTTGCACAATCGAACCAAACGAGGCTCGAGTACCGCTCCCAGACGAGCGCTACGATTGGCTCTGTGAGCTCTATCGACCCACGAGTCGCGTTCCGGCCTTTTTAGAGGTTTGGGATATCGCTGGGCTGGTGCGTGGGGCCCACGAGGGCCAGGGCCTCGGCAACGCCTTCCTGTCCAATATCCAGGCCGTCGACGGCATCTACCATGTATGCCGTGCCTTCGACGATGATGAGGTTATTCATGTCGAAGGTGCGATCGATCCTGTGAGAGATCTCCGCATCGTGGCCGACGAGCTCCGCTTCAAGGACCTGGAACGCGCAAAACGCTTACTTACGGACGTACAAGCGCGTCTCACGCGCGCTGGGCAACAGGCACCCAAGGAACTTCGTATCGAAGAGGAAACGCTGCACAAAGTCATCGAGCTCCTCGAGAAACAGGAACAGGCAGTGCGACACGGACACTGGAGCAACGCCGAAATCGACGTGCTCAACCGGCATCTGTTCCTCACCGCCAAACCCGTTGTGTACCTGGTCAACCTGAGTGAGCACGATTACATTCGAAAGAAGAACAAATGGTTGCGCGCCATCAAGGAATATGCCGGCGACGAACCCGTCATTCCATTCAGTGCCTCACTCGAGGCGCGTCTGGTGGATTTGGAGCTCAACGAAGGCAAGCAGGCCGTCGATGCCTACCTAGCGCAGCACGAGACCCAATCGGCATTGCCGAAAATCATCCGCGGCGGATACCAGGCTCTGAATCTGATCAACTTTTTCACCGTTGGAGCTGACGAGGTACGCTCCTGGACAATCCGACGAGGGACACTCGCTCCTCAGGCTGCTGGAACGATTCATTCCGACTTTGAACGAGGTTTCATTTGCGCTGAAGTGATGCACTATGATGATCTTCGAGATGCTGGCTCTGAGAGTGCTTTAAAGGCAACTGGCAAGTATCGGCAACAGGGCAAGACGTACGAGGTACTGGATGGAGATATTTTGTTGGTCAAATTCAACGTCACGAGCCAAGGCGTCAAGAAAAAGACTTAGAGACGCGTGGTGTATCGGAAAGGTGACTGCGGACCGAGGGCAAACGAAACGCCCGCAAGCAAGCATGCAAGCAAGGAGCGTTTACTCAGTGTCCAGAACAGGCGCTGGGAGGACTCTGGGCCTCCCCGACGTCGCCATTGCCATGGGATTCCTGCGGACGGCCGCTGCCGCTTCATGCACCGCCGGAGGCAAGTTCCGGGTTGTGCAATGCATACAAACGATGTGCGTCAGCGCGCACTGCAGATACGAGGAGGTGCTTCAGTGGCGAACCGGCTATCGTCCTTGTGTCGAATGGCACAGACTGGATGCGTTTCGCGTATCGTGTGATGCTTTCGTCACGCGCATGTCCGAGCAACGCCCAGGGTGCGAAGCACTCTGGCATCGTATTCACAATCCACTCGGCATAAAGTTCCGTGGTTGCGGTGCTGGATGCTAGAACGGGGTAAATGAATTGCATCCGACCTGGAGACGAGATGGCTGCGCATACAATTGAGTATGAAGTGTTCCGGGCCAGGTACCAGGTCGTATGACAGACAGGACCCGCGCATCTGTGTCCATGCGGAGTATGCTTCATCAAAATCGTCATCAACAGGTCTACGAATCCGTTGGTAATCGGCTGCATCGATGTGTCCGTCACAGCGTATTATGAAAGTTGGAGCATCATGCACTTGAAATGGGACGCGCCAATAATCGCAGCTACTCTGCGAGACATCCGGTTCGCGTTGCCCCGTCTCTGGACTCGCTGAAGCGTGCCGGGAGCGCCAAGGCGAAATGGCTAACGAGCCGATCCCTTGGTCGACGACACGAAGCACCCGATTTCCAGTTAAGGTCTTGGAGTCAGGAATCCAGCGATATCGAAGAATGAACTGGTATCATCGTTCAACGCTCGTCCGGAAAGGTCGTTCGACGTGCATGGATACGGTGCTCGAGGCACACTGGATTGCTGAACGGTACCGCATCAATGCGTGGCTCCAAGCGAGCATCCAGTTATGCTCCATTGACCACTGATTTTTTCATCGTAAGTAGTCCGTGTTTCAACGCAATGCGCATACCGAGTCCTGACCGATGCCCGTGAACGTTCGCCCCGACACGAGGCCGATGGCGGATTAGGCAGCACAAGACATTTCCGAATGTGCATCGAGACGTTCTCAGGTCTCTGTGCAGAGAGTGCTTGCGAGTGCGTGGTTGCTGGTAGCAGCACACCATGACGAGCATCTGACTTTTGATATACTCGTCATCTGAAGGTCGGCGGTCAGCTTCACGCCCAGCATCTAGTGGATAGGGATTCGTTTCGCGCTCTTCTTCTCTTCACGTTTCAGCATACACCCGTGCTCGTGATGCGACAATAGCATCCTGAACGCATCAACGGAAATCGTATAGAATCAATTTCTGCATCGCGTGTACGCTTCACTCAAAGGAGCAGGTGTGCAGCGTTTGCATGAACCAGCGGGGTCACCGCCAGCGGTTACCAGGAAATCGCACGACGTTCGATTGATTTACCTTTTTCCTTCGCTTTGAGCGAGTTGGCTCATGCACGATTCTGGGCTGCGTACGGATGTAACCGGTGGCGATTTCAACGCAATCCCGTGGACTCCTGCCATAAGTTGTCCGCGAGAGTCATCTGGACGTTGATCGGCACTCGAAAGCGATGCATCCCTTCTATAAATCCGCGCTTTTGCCGGCCAAGGAAGTTCGGATACTAGACCTCCAGAGGACGATTCAGGAAGCGCTCGACATTGACCCGTCTAGGGTATTGGTTTTCGACGTTTTTTGATGCTTTTTCGATATACGCTGTAGTTGCTCCGATCGCCGACGGGTAGCGGCGACACGCCAAAGTACGCTGAGAAGCGGATGTGCAAATCCCTGATCCTACAATCAGACAGCACTGTGCCGTCTATCCCGGACATGACCCTTGTTGTCGGACGATGATTTCATCGAAAGAGTACCGAAGAAACGTGGACAGCTGGTGGCATAGCGTTCGGCACTTGTGTGAAGAGATGCTTCACGAGGTGTGTCAGCGCGAGGGGAAAGCGGCGAGCCGTCCTCGTGTAGGAAACCAAGCGATCCCCATTGGTATCCAGCATCTCACTTTACGCAAGACTCGGCTTGTCGATTTGCTCAAGGATGGAGGCCTTGGCAACGGTTTCAGAGAGATGTGTCCGCTCCAGATGCCTCTTTCGCTCCTGGCCCTACACGTCCGCCCGTCGGGAGCATCTTGCTCTTCATTGCCGTGCAGTTCCGTCTTGTTCTCCGCTGTTTGGCTGTGCGGCTTGGATGTGGTGATGGTACGCCACATTCGTTTGTTTCTCCGAGATCCACAGACGTGCACACACTTGTATTTACACTGGGTAGACGGGGATAGCGCGAACCGCATGCTTTAAGTATGTATCGACGAATTCTCAAACAGTTTTTCGTCACTTTCCCCGATGCGAGAAAACCCCCAGGCAGAAGCATACCTTGTCGCTCCCGGTATCGCACAAGCAGAGAGTCAACACAGCAGATCCGGACTGGTACATATCGAAAACGATGTGTCGAAGAACGTGTGGATTACAGAAGCGAGCATCTCGTCACCTGATCTGTCAGCGTAAATTTGGCGTTTGATTCGAGAGAGGACGCCCTCGAGTCAATCGAACCTGGGAGAACAGACGAACCCGAAGCGCAACCCAATACCAAGATTCATCGCTTACGCTTTCGCCGCTTTTGAATGATAGAAACCGACGTTGTCTAGGCGCGGTTCAGAAGCATGCGAGAAGCAGATGCCACAAGGCGTGATTCGACGAACGATGAGCAAATGGACGCTCCTGTTCGCTCAGCGATGTACTTGCGACCGCACGACAGCATCGTAGCTCGGGCGGCTGTTGTTGTCGCCATTCTCCATTGTCAACTCTTTACGAATTACGGTATACGGGTATCAAAAGCGTACCCATACGTAGTACTATGATTTCTCCCGAATCACCTGCCCTCGAGTGAAACGAATGCACCCGTGCCCCCTGTTATACGTATCCACGATTCACTGCGAATTCGGTCATGCGTTGTTCAGTGCACGACTTGTCCAGCGTACAAGCGCGCTTTCTTCTTCGTTCATTCGTGTCTCTGCATCGCCGTTCTCTCTAGTGGAGCAGAGAACTCATCTCCTGTGGGTTGTGTTCTTCGTGTTCCCTGGAACACGCTTAGAGAGGAGAGCATGGACGAACAGGCGGTTGTGGAGATAGCGTTCGACAAGCTCTGTTTTGGGTGCACGACAATGCCCAGGACACGCACTCGGAGCAGAGCAAGGTGTCCTCCTGCTGATTGTAGAACAATGGACTTGTTCAATTGAGGCCGTTCTTCGCAAGCAACAAGTTATGAGATAGCGAATTACCGCCACCTTTCACCAATCGATAGGATACAAACCTCGTGTTATGGAACATCTGCGAGACAAACGAAGAAAAACAAAAACATCGTCCAGGTACAGATTTTCCAGCGTTCATTGCAGTGGGCATCACGCGCGAGGCGTATCCGGTCTTCGCTCATTCCCCGAGTTGTTTGTAAAGCTGGTCAATCGTCTTACGATAACGTTCCAACAGTTGGGGGCGCTTCAACTTCATCGTGGGTGTGAGGCAGTCGTTTTCAATCGTAAATCCTTGATTGAGATCATTCAAATCCGTCTCCAGGTGGATCGCTTTCACGTACTCGTAGCCCTTGAGATTTGATGCTTTGGCCTGGGCCTGCAGTTCTTTCAAAAGCTGTTGCTTGATTTTCTCCCGTGTAGATGGCGAGAGCTGGGTCAGCTGCCCGGTCTCCGCAATGAGGCCCTGTCGACGCAGGTAGCCGGGGTCGGGAACCACCACCGCCACGAGTGAGCTTTTCATAGAGTTCCCATATACCCAGATTTGTCCAATACCTTTCGCTTTTTGATACTCGGACTCGAGCGCTTCAACGGCCACGTATTCACCTTGCGCTAACTTGAAAATGTTCTTCTTGCGATCGATAATTGAAAGCGTTCCGTCGCGATTAAGGCGACCGATATCACCAGTGGCCATCCAGCCGTCATCATTGGGGAACGCCTCCTTGGTGGCTTGCTCATTCTTGTAGTAGCCACATGTGAGGGCTGGCCCCTTGAGCCACAGTTCCCCGCGTGGACAGGGCTTGTCACGATGTGTGTACTTCATTTCGGGTACGTCAACGAGCTTGAATTCAAAGCAAGCCATGACGCCACCCACACTATCGGGTCGGTCGGTCGGCGAGCCCACAAACGCGCCTGCAGTCGTCTCCGTCATGCCGTAGCCCTGGAGCATTGGCGCACAGAACACCGTCCGCATGAAGATATTCAAATGCTCAGCAAGCGGAGCTGCACCCGAGAAAAAGAATCGAACACGTGGAAATAGTCTCTCGCGTATCTTTTCGAAAAGTAAGCGGTCCCAAATCCGACTGCGCGTTCCCGCGCGAACGTTCGCCGACTGCATCGAATACGCTATGCGAAAGAGCGTTCGCGCGACCAAGCCACGTTCCGCTATCGTACTTTGGACTTGCTCGTAGAATCGAGCGAAAACTCTGGGAACTCCGATAAATACCGTCGGCTTCACGTCCATAATATCTTCGACGAGATGCTTCACATCACCCCCATAATACGCGATCGATGCACCCGATACGAGCCAAAGAGTCTCCGCTGCCTGAGCGAAAATATGGGCAAGTGGCAAATACGACAACAGCACATCACCAGGGCCGATCGGGATCTGGAAGGCATCGGTCGCCCGCTGCAGTGCGGCGACCTCCGCCAGCAACGCTTCGTTCTTGAGCATCACGCCCTTCGGCGTTCCTGTCGTGCCGCTGGTGTACATGATAACCATCAGTTCATCATCGTCGCTCTCAGTTGAATCAGGCGGAGCATGCTCGGCACTTCCCTTCTCGAGCAAGTCCTGGAACGTCATCAAAGAATCCATAGGCTTGTAAGCGTCCAGCACAATCAGCTGCACCTCACGAGAACCGACGGCACTGCGTGCCCGCTCGAGGTTCTCCTCCGAGGTGAACAGCACCTGCATACCAGAATGCTCAATAACATAAGCGGCTGAGTTGGCGCCTAAACTATCATAGACGGGAACTGGAACCAAACCCCGACTTGAGCAAGCCAAAAGCACGATCATCCATTCTTTGCAGTTCTTCGCGTAGATCCCGACGCGGTCACCACGCTGGAGACGGAGCTCGCGCACGAGCGCGTCACCTACGGCAACCGCCTGCTCTCGAACTTGCCCATAGGTCAACCAGTCGTAGTTCCCAGACCGCTGCTTATTTCTATACCCTAGACAGTGCGCAGCGTCCCCGCTTTTCCGACAACCACGTAGGAACATGTCGTAGAGCGTGTGCAGTGGAACGTTCTCGTCGGGGAAGGGGCGCCTCAAGATGGGCTCCATCGAGTACCCGCACACGTAGACCGCAGATTCAGTCGAGGTCTCCTGGGAGCCAGCCTTTTTGATGCTGCGCAACTCCTTGTTTAAGGACATGAAACAGAGGATACAATGTATTGAGGCTTCGCTTACACACGCAAACTAGAGTCAACTGACCTGCGCCCCAGGAAAACACGTGAACGTTCCCGGACGCTCTGCCAGTGGCGTACGCTAGGCACACGTGGACGAACGCGCCAGCCGATGATCGCAGGAGTCCCGCTGCGCCCGACGCTGAATCGATGATAGGACACAGGCTGGCGGGCGTCGAGGCCGGCGCAGGCCGGGATCGCAATTGGCGACATCGATGCGCATGGGCAGGCAGCATCATATGGAACTTTATTGGAATAGTATGGACATTGATGATCACGCTGGCGGAGCAAGGCGATTTCCCTGATGGACACGGAACGTTTCCATGGACCATGGATCCTAGTTTCCGGGATGCGTATTGCCCATCGGGACAGTGTTGGTCGTCATCATCATCATCATCATCGTGCACCCTACATTCACGTTCCATGAATTGTACTTCCGTTCGGATGTCCCGGTCGTTCCGTAGGTTCTATCGTGCGCCGAGTGCCTGCCCTGATCGTCCGCGATAGCGCCCATGACGCTGGTGCGAATGCGGTATGGAGACAGACCCGGTTTGCCGCACTACAGAGGGCGTCGGCGAGCGGCATCGTTCTTTCAACGTGGAATCTGGTCTTTTGGTCAATGCTAGCGGATTGGCACGCGATCCATTGCGCATCAAAAACATACGGGTATTGTTCAGGACTTTGCTTGAGACGGGGCCGGTCGAGAGTCGGCTGCGCACTGGCCGCTTGAGGTCAATGATTGGTGTGCACCGGGTTGTTTGTGCTGCGACAAAGGTTCTTTTTGGGGTGCCCTAGCTTGGGAGAGCGTTGCAAAGCGAGTTTGGTGCAATCAGAGACACGCGCAAACAAGCCTGTGTGTCTCGTGGGCGACGCTATTGGCGCTTCAACGTTGCGTACCAGACGAGTCGCAACTGACGTGGTGCTGTGCGAGCCGTGTTCGTGAAGTTTAACCGCAAGAACGGGACCTGCGGTGCAGTTTTGGAGTGTAATGCATTCAGAAAACAAGAGGACCTTGTTCATTGGGCAGGGCGTGCTCGACCGGCACCGGTACGTCCGCACTCGACACACAGGCGCTGTCGGCGAGACGGCACCTGCCAGCGCCCACGGCTGGAACGTTTACGCCCGAAAAGGTGGCGGTGGCGGTGGAAAGCGTGGCAGCAATCGCGCGGCAGGGCGCCGTCTCACTCAAAACGTCCGCCCCGGACTAGGGACGCCACTGCCGTTCGTTGCACCACCAGACGGCGACATACGACGCAGTACCGCAGAGCAGCGTAACGCCGAGAGCGATCGCTCCGCGTCGACGTTCCTGAAAAACTTGCTCTTCCGGCGAGCTGGAACGAGCGCTGAGGGCTCGAGCTCTCGTGACGCGAGTGGCTCATCGGCATCGTACACTCCAGAAACGATCGATGTGCTGAAGCGTGGTGCCTGGATCGGGATTTTCTCACTCATCGGTCTCGAGTTCTTCATTCATGTTCTATACAAAAAGGACTGGCTCTCGATATTGTCGAAACATCCATGAAACAAACCAGTTATCTAGCGGGCGAGTAACTGTGTGCCCGATACAATGCGAAAAGCGCGGGGACTTGGCTCTCAAGGCGTTGATGGAACCATGCGGGATGCGGAAAGGCGTCGCCGAAGTTGCCGTCCATCGCGAGAGATTTGCGGTTCCGACCAGAGTCGTCCCATGTGCATCCATGGATTTGTCGTGTACATCGGCGAGCGGATACAGCTTTCGTTTGGGAACGCAGCGGGAACGAATGAAACGGACGAGGTCACGCTCGCCCGGACGGCATGCGCGAACCATGAACTCGCCTTAACCTGGTGTGGTGTGTGTGCTGGTCGGTATCGTAAGCGCTAGGAGGACGCGAGCGTTTACCAATCACTACTGGAGGGAGCGTTCAGAGACACGTCACGTACAACGGAAACCGCAAGCGTTGTCTCGGTTGGACAAGCCGCGAGCAATGCATCTTGCATCCGTGTGATGCGCTAAGCCCGTGCCCGTAGATAGCAGCCGACGGAAAGTCTGCCATGTCTATACCAGGTGGCGGCAAGCATTTGAAAACATAAAAACGTTCGCTTGCGCGCTCGTTCCTCACGAATACTGGTCGTGCATCCGGGCCTCCCATGCATATTCGATTTCAACGGAGACACGGGTTGAGCCATGAGACTCCGTGGCGTCTGTCGCTTGCGCGGCTTTTTCTGCAGGATCCCCCAGGTCGCACAGACACATGTGCTTGGAGGTGCGGCGGTGCTAGCCAAAAGCGCATGTCGGCTACGGAAGCTTCCGAGCAATTCGCAGTCGATGAGGCGAGGGCCGGTCCGCCGCACAACAGCGACAAGCACGGCATACAAGTATCCCAAATCTGGCGGAAAGAAGCAAGAGCGCTAGCTGCATTCCCTTGTACAACATTGGATACGGGTACGAGTCTAGCTCAAGCCGTCTGCGACACGCAATGTCGACAACGATATCTTCGTGGCGACTCGGGACGGGAACACCAGTGACGCTTCACTGCGAGGCAGCGGTATTCAGGCGCTGGACCAAAAAAGAACGGCCCACAAGCCGATGATTCGGGCGCCAGAGGCAACGATTTCCTTAACAATCCCCATTCGCTGGAGCGCGAACGATCCTCGGTGGGAGTCGTTCCCGCGAATCTGCTGTTCACGGGCTTCCAGACTGCTACCGATCGCTCACGAGCAAAACCGTCCCTACCGAGGAAGCGTCGGACCCAGGCAGTAAACGCGCACCCACAACTTGTGCTTGGCACAGATTCAAGATTCTTTCTGAACCCGTACAAATACCTCCGTCCGGCAGCTGCTGGCACTCGGAATACTTCCCCAGCGAACACCACGCACACGTCCAGCGCAAAAAGGCAGTACAAGGGCCCTCGCTAACCATATCCCCATAAAGCACGACTCGCTGACCTCAGCGCCAGCGTCGTCGCCGCACTGACTGACTCACCGACTGGCGCGCCCTGACGCAGGCGACCTCAACGCCCAGTTTTACGTCAGCAGCGGCACTGCCTATTCATGTAGGCAATCACGAGCATGCTGTTCGGGAACGATGCAGCTCGAGCGGGCACGTCGACGCGCGCTCCCGATCAGGTATCTCAACATCTCGGGTCGGGTGCTGTCCATGCCGTGACGCATCCCCCTGTGACGTGTCCGTGTCACAGGAACCCTCGGCCCCGACTCCGTCCCTCATCTCGCCTAGACATGCGGCCACGTGGCCCTGGTGTTCGCCGCCGCCGCGCTGCTCGACGTGACAGGCGTGCGCGCGCTGAGCGTCGATGACTCAGCATGCACGCAGCGTGCGTATACAATCTTTGCGTTGTGCACGCGGCGTCGTACACAGGCACGTTCGAGTGGATACGAGAACAGCGGAAAACTGAGAACGATATGGCAACGAAAGCAGCTTCGCGCCCATTGGGGCTGGTGAGGTGTTTTCTCTATTTTGTGGTGTGGGTGTTTAGTTTGACGATTTTTGCGGTTATTGCAGCAAAGCTATACCGTTCCGTCTTCGGTATCAAGATTTGTGCCCTGAGCAGCGATGAAACTTCTTTGAGCTTCTGCCAGTGGGGCATAGCGGCTGGTGTTATCGGCTTTGTCGGGTACTTGTTCCTCGATATAGCGCTGATCTTGAGCTTGTTTACCTCTATGCTGGAGAAGGAAATTCTCTATATAGAACTCGTTGTGAACGGTTTCTTCATCTTGTGGTATTTGGCATTCGCAGTGGTCATGAGCGTGGGCGTGGCACGCTACAAGAGTCTTGTGGGGTCCAGCGATTCGTACGTGAATACACCAGCGGCTCTGAGTTGGGTAAGTTTCGCTCTCATCATCCTCGCAGAAATCCTGGTTATGGTGGACTTTCGCAAGCCGAGCGAACAGGAGTCAGCCGATGAGCCGGCGGAAACAGAAGCTTAAACATTTGTGCGGCAGTTTATGTGCGGGATGCATTGATTTCCGGTACAAACGCACACACTTTTTCAACGCGTATCCAGGAGTTTTGCGAATACGAGAATAGAGGTGATGGTATGTATTCGGGTTCTCCACGGGGATCATTGCTGTTGCAGCAGCTTCCCGAATGATTGCCGGGTAAAGATCGTATGTTGCTCTCGCACATATCCATTGCAATGCGCCTTCACGACGGACACGAGCGAGAGACCAGTGCGCTGTCGCCGCTGGAGCAATGCTTGCATCGTTGCCGTCCACGTCGAGGCGCGCGCGTAACATCATTGCTCTCCATGAATTTCATGAGCAGAATGGGGTCAATGCAACGTCTCTGGATCTAGACCGAGTCCGTCGATATACAACGGAAAGCGCTCGTGATGTCCTTCGTGGAAGGGCGCTTTCGTGCGATCCACAGCCTCGATGTGCGAGCACTTATCAGTTCTCTGCATGGATTCAATCTCCAGATCGAATACCCGGGATACATGCGCAAGCTTCGTGTGGCGAATGCTCGATACATATCTCGCCAACGCCAAGTCGCATTGGCATCTTTTCGCAGACCCAAGATCAGCAGCGCACTGCACAGGCGCGTCTCGCTCGATCCCTTGTCCGTTCTGGTGCGCAATGATCATCCTCGTTTGCGTGGAGCAACGTACATCTTTCGTGCAGGGACAGATATCAGGCGATTTTCGGGCAAAAGCAGCGCTGTGAGTCTACCACCATACACGCATCCGGTATCCAGGCCGATGCACTTGTCCCAGAGCTGGAGGCCCATGTATGCGTCATGTCCAAATACAACACGAAGCGGACCTTTCCAGAGGCGCGCCCAAGCCATGCCATTCGAGTGGCGAGCGCTTGGAGCACCGTTTTCGAGCACAGAACGCAGATTCATCATGTGGCGAGGCAGCTGTTCCTCGAAAGGCACATCCGGCTGGAATCCGGCGTGAACAAAGACCGTTTCCAGATCCTCTGAGCGGATGTACCAGGGGCAGCTCCGCAACCATTCGTGCTCCTGTTGGCTCAGTTGCCGCGCGATACGCTGATGATCGACGGAGGCGTAGCTGGGATCGTGGCCTCGCATCATTGCTTCCCGACAACGAATGACCTCGTGGTCGTGGTTGCCTCTCACGGCCCGAGCACCGATTTCACGGGCCATTTGCACGACGGCTTGCGAATCGGGGCCCTTTGCTACCAGGTCTCCGAGCAGAATCAACTCGTCGCCAGGTCGATAGTCGCAGACGCGGAGTAGGTCCTGCAGCTCTGTGATACAGCCATGTACGTCACCGATCGCGATGACGCGTGGATGGTTGCAGAGGTAGCGGCTCCATTGGCGATCATGTATCCGGAATCCAACGACTGGCTCAGCGAACGGTGCGGCTGCTGCCGACTCCTCGCGATGGGAAAGCTCAATCACCGGCCGTTGGGTGGTAGCAAAGGTGCCGTCGTCAAACAGTTGCCAACGAGATGCTCGTGCAAACCATTTCTCGAGAGCGCCTTTCGCCGTCCAATCTACAACCCCTGGAACTCGAATAAACGCAGTCCCTTCGCGCTCGCAAGAGCCGCTCGATGACTGGACACCATTCGAGTCTTGGCTAGCGAGGCATTCCTCGCCCATGCGCCCACAGCATCGCTCCTTATAATCGCTAGACCGCAGAACGATCTCTTCACCCGGTGGCCGCAAGCGTAACTCATAGTAGCGATGGGGTGGTGCAACACCGCCCGGGCTTCGCGAGGGATAGCGCGACGGCGCTGCGCGGTTCCGCGGCCCGCGAGCATTTTGCGGCGCTTCCTCGGAGACAGGTGCCAGAAACTCAAAAGCCGGTAGGTTCTGGGGCCCGCCCCGCAGCAGCGCCTCGACATGCCGACGCGCGCGCTCCACTGCAACAAAGTCTGTGTACTGAAGCGGTTCCTGGAGAGTGTTCGCAATGTGGCGCAGCGCCGTCGGGAAGCTTGGCACCGAGGCACGCGCTGTTCCGCCTGTTCTCGACAGCGAAGCTGCCTGCATCCAGCGTGCTATTGGTCTCTCGAACGCCTTGTGGTGCTGAGGACACCTCGAGTAAAAGACCGGTCGAGTGAGCACCAGCGTCTTTGTAGCGGTGTGCCTTTCGACGTCCCTCTGTCCTTTCGTAGCTGCGGACCTGAGCAGTCTGCCACGCTGCTCGCACTCGGCGAGGAGCGACCGGCGTCGCAGGAGCAAGGCGCCTGCGCCCCGCCGGTGACGTGAACGTCGGAAAGCGGGTACAGCGCTTCCGAGCGCCGTAGAGTGAGCATCCAAGTGCTTGCCGAAAGAACTCTGGCAAAGGTTAGCCGTGTAACCCAGCGTACCACTTGGTTGTGCCGACAAAAAAGCCCCCGCGTGCATTGGAGCTCACGCTCACAAAGCGCTGCGAAACAGCGGCACCTTGTTGGAAAGAGAAACGTACGAGTGTTGACAACTTTACATAGCATGGGGGAACAGGAACCAGCGTCAATCTGGGCATATGCATGCACATTTGTCCATAATAATCTATTTGTTCCAAATATTTCAACCTTCTTCCCTACTCGACCAGCCTTGGCACATGTGCGGTCAAATCGCCGCTGGGGCACGCACTCGATGTGGGCACCAACCGCGCATCGCGAGTCCGCAAATGCGTTAAGCGACGCCAACGCCGTCGCTCGGTGTGCTCGCAGCGCGCAACGAACGCAGCTTCACGTCATGCATGACCTCAATGGTTCGCAGATCCTTTGAAAAGAAAACTATTTCTTTTCCTCCGGCTCTTCATCTTCACCCCAGTCGATCACGCAGCGTTCGGAACAGTCGTCCCCATCGGCGGCCGGTGCTGCACCGCGGCGTGCTGCAAGTACGCTTTCGAGCGTGCCGCGCCCGGTCCACTGCAGACGCCGATCCGCCCAAAAGTCATACACGGCATTCGCCAACTTCTTCACCAGGGGAACGCTAGTCACTGCCCAAAGCCAGCCGAGGCCAACTGCTTCGTAGCACGCTCGGAAGACGTCCACCTTCTTCACAACCGTGCCGTCGGGGAGAATACCGTGAATGCGGCCCATTGCCTGCTCAAACGTGATACCGGCATATTTCGCGGGGTCGTAGTCTGGCGACGTAATGTCAACGAATGCAATACGGCCACGGCCCGCGTCCCGCGACTGTAGGAAGCGTACTTCCTTCATGCAGATCGGGCATTCACCGTCGTAGAGCAAGGTGACCAGCGGGGTTTCAGACGCGATCTCCTGATCTGAGAACCTCCGGCTAGATTCTTCTCGAACTTTGGGCGATGGAAGCGTTGACCGACCAGAATCCGTAGCTGTCAGGCCGCATCGCAAGACACGTCGCTGCGGTGCACGCCAGAACTGGGTGCACTGGCGGTTCACGCTCCCGCTCACGTTCGACCCAAAAGCGCAGTGATTTCGTAGCAAAAGAGCCCGACACCGCAAATTACAACTCTTGTACACAGGGGAAACTATAAAACTCGAATTCATTGCACAAACACTTGCTCTGGTGCCCTCAAAGGCACGAAACAAACGAATTCAACCAAAATCCGAAGATGATCGTATACAACGGAAATTGTTTGCGTTGAATTGGCGCTGCGCTCCTGCGCATCGCCGCGCGCTCCTGCGCATCGCCGCGCGCTCCTGCGCATCGCCGCCGAAGCGCGGCGGTGGCGCCTTCGCGATCCGCCGCCATGCGTGCGCGTCTGCGTGCCTGGCAGGCAGCTCGCTGGACACGCGTGTCAGCGTGGGGGAACGATGCGCGCGATCACTTTGCTGACGCGGGCGAGAACGCAAGCGTTTTGATCACGTGCTCGTATCACCAATACCAGATTCTGAGTGCATTTTCTGAGACTACTTTCTTTCCTTCTCGATTATCTGCTGATCTACATATGCTGGTCTCTCGTGAGTCTTCGGTTCCGTTCTCAGCATTCGCGGGTTGTTGATGGCGGCATTCGAGTTCCGATTCCGTTGCGTCCGGCTGCTGGTCACGCAAACCATGCACAGGTGAAAATCGCGATCCGCGCTTCGCTTGCTGTTTTCATCTGTTTTTGTGTACAGCTGGGGTCCGCGCTTCACAGCGGTGACATTTGACCGCTGCCAAGTGTGCCTATGCATCGACCATATCTCCTCGTCCTCCGAGCGCCGTCCTACAGCGCGCGATCCCGTGCTTCATCGCAGGCTACTTGCCATTTCGGAGAAGAGAAGATTCCCCTTGATATCCATTGCAGTTTCCGCACCCGGCGCCGTGCTCTGCGATCACGTGCTTGATCTGAGCGATGTACTCGGCGACGGCGCTGATGGCTGCAAGTCCAACCGCGCCCTGTTCCGTTCGATAACGTATTGGTGGAACACGATGTTGTTCGTGATGAAACAAACATCGGGGGGTAAATCCAGATTGGATAACAAGTCGAAGGTATTCGATCCCTTGACGCTTCCTTCGTGCAAAACAGTGACGTACGTAGCACTCGACACGGACACCCGGATGACTCAATTCCGAAATCTAGACAACGTTCCAGGCAAAATAGAGACAGACTGCAGCCTCCGGAAGTATGTCCTGTGAGACGTACGAGGCAGATAGCGAATCCTGTTTCGTTGACCGCCGCAGAGAGCATTGAGTGTACCGCTTGAAAGCAATGCATGATTCGAAGTGGCATGTTGCGCGTATTGTCGGTATGAACTCGTGAACAAGTCTCCGAGGGACGACGTCCAGCATTTTCCCTCGTCGAAGCAATGGCGAGCATTGCGATATCAATGAGTTGCCTTGAGAAAGAAAGAGACAAAACTACAAGCATACGTGGCTTGAGCACGCTACAAAAGTAAGATATTGAGAAGATTGGAAACCTTTACGTACACATTGGAGACGAATATTGGTTCGTTTACGAACCCTAGTTCCGGAACATCGGGAATGGTCTTGATTTCGGTGATGTAACGAGTCCTAGTGGAAGAGCGTCGAAAAAACCACTCTGAAACTATGGCCGAGAATCCTAAACCGACACACGAGTGCTCAAGCCCTTGTTGCTGCTCTCGAAAAGTCACAGCTCTACATCTGAAAAGACAAGTCGAGAAGAACCTATCCACGTACATAGCGAGCAGCCCAGTGCTCCATTTTAATCTCCCATTGGTGGAGGTCGTCGCTGCGGTGTCCAGCCTCGTCTGCAGCACACAAAATCCCCGCGCGTGAATTTAGTTTCTTCAGGATCAGCATGTGAAGACATTGTGCCTCGAGCTCACCGCCTGCAACGTGTTCAAAACGCGCTTGAGTAAGCCGGCCCTCTCTGGCCTGACGGGATCCAAGCCCTGCGTCCAGCTGTGTTGCTTCGGTAGTCCGTGCTCCGGAGCAGCACAAGCGCGCCCAGTGCGCGCGTAGCCGAGCTACCCAGCCAGCGGGATCCGAACCCCATTCGAGGTCAACAAATCCATTCGATGCCCAGTGGCGATTGCATATGAGAGACCCAGATCCCAACCTGCTTCATGACGAGCAAATCCGAACGTCTTGCGAAACCCCCAGCGAATCGTCCGCACGCCAATGCACTCCCCCAGTGTTGCAGTGCCTTCGGTTCAGCGCCGTGTGGCGCTGTGATGATGCATCCGTAACCAGAGCATCGGCGAGTGTTCGCGGTTCTCGAACGCAAATCGACAGGCTCAGGGTCAAGCATTCGTCAAAAAGGAGCCGGCGCTCACCGCTCGCGCTCTGCCACGGCAACCGCAGCTGGCCGTGGTGTCCACGGGGCTCGAGTCCCGGCGATACGCGTCCATTTTTCACGGTGCTGGATTGTTGAGTCTGTCCTCCGGAATGCTCACGTGCGCGATCATTACCGACGTTCAGGGAAGCTCGGCACGCATGAATGCGGGGACTTATCACCATGTCCCCGGAGCGCGGCCGAAATGCCCATCCCTTCGGGTGCCCTGCGGTTACAGGCCGATGCCACCAGGCCAGCGTAAACTGTCGCCGCTGAGACCCAGCTAGCTGCCGTGCATCTTCGCACGACCGAGGACATGCAGACGATCATAGTAGGCTTATTTTTAATGCAAGCAGCGGCTGCATAAAGTCGCAAGATCCGTTTTACGCGCAACAGCCCCGATGGCGCTCTGGCTCGAAAATGCTCCTTTCGGCTTCGACAGCGTTCTCGTGTGCAACAGGACTCCGCTCGAGGCGCCCTGCGTGACCAATGCGCCCTGGTCGGCTTTCCAAACAAATCCGTTTCTGTCCGTCTCGACCTCCGAGAGACAACAACGCGCAGCTTCAAACTTTACGTGCTCGTTCGGGAACTCCTGGCCATGTGCTTTGATCCAGTCCGGAGCTTTTTGAAACTCGCGTCTTTCCAACTTGATGCGAACTACGAAGGGCAGGGCAACAAACGCCCGCATGGTACGCAAGCCCTGCATGAAAGACAGGGCAACCCACACATAGATACACACACACTGGCGTGAAAGGCGAGCGCGATCCCAAAGTCGCCGCACATAGAGCGAGACGCGGGCGAAAGGCACTGGCCCCCATGTGGATAACGCAGCCACAGGCACGAGACCTGCGCTAGCCTTGCCAGGAAGCACTATCCGCTTCCATTGGAAAGCAGGCCTGCCGCAATCATGGCCTGCCGCAACTGCTGCTCTGCGGATGCTGTGATATCCGTGAGCGGAAGTCTCGTGGGGCCCACCGGCCAGCCAAGCAAACGCAGCGCTGCTTTTGCCGGTATTGGATTCGCCATCACGAAGAGTGCCTCGAACAGGTCCATATATCGGCAGTGAATTCGAAACGCCTCTTCTGGATTCCCCAGGTCCACGAAGTGCTCAATCATCCGCTGGATCTCGGGACCGATGAAATGAGAGGCAACGCTCACCACACCATTGCCTCCGAGCGATAGAAGCGGAAGCGTCAGCGCATCGTCTCCAGAGTACAGGGCGAAGTCGGGTGACGTTGCTCGCCGAATTCGAGCAAACTGCTCCAGGTTGCCTGATGCTTCCTTCAGCGCCACGATATTCGGACACATCTCCGCCAGCTTGATCGACGTTTCCGCTGTCATATTGATGCCCGTGCGTCCGGGGATGTTATAGAGCATCATAGGCAGATCAGGTGCTGCGTTGGCTATCGCCCGAAAATGTGCCATAATACCCTGTTGTGGGGGTTTGTTGTAGTACGGGACAACTTGTAGGGTTCCATCGAGACCCAACTTTGCCGACTTTTTGGTCGCCTCAATCGCCTCTTCCGTCGAGTTCGAGCCAGCACCCGCTATCACCCGACACTTTGTCCCTGCAACGGCCGACTTGACCACCCGAAAGAGTTCGTACTCTTCCGACCAGGTCAGCGTTGCCGACTCTCCCGTGGTGCCTGCAACAATTATCGCATCCGAACCGTTCTCAGCAAGGTGAGCAGCTAAAGATTCAGCAACACCATAGTCCACCTCAACGCCAGTCAATTTGAATGGCGTCACCAGAGCGGTAATAACGCGTCCGAAAAAGTGCTTGGGGCGCTCCACCTCTTGGGCCTGGACCTGCTGCTCGGTGCGAGCCGTCGTGCAACACAGAGACCGTTGCAGACGAGAACGGATCGCCAACCGATGCTTATGATGATCTCGTGTCAGGCACGATCCACCCGGACAACTTGAAAGAAACGCCATGAACCCGACACCAACTTCACGTAACGGAAAGTCGCGAAAACGCGCCTCGGGTGTGCAGAGAATGCGCGGGGCGCCGCCTACCTGCCAGCGCTGGCGCCCAGCATACGTATCTCGCGACTGTACCCTTCACAAGGTGCGTACTCGTGTTGATCGTGGACAGACGCTGCACGTCGGAGTTGTAGCTGAGCGGCCTCCACAGTGGACAAGGTGTCTGGGGAAAGAGCAGGGTGCTTGGTTCGCTAGCGGAATAGAGAGGAGCCGGCAGGCAGGCAGGCAGGCGCCGCACCCGTGCACTCGAGGCGCACTGCTTCCAGCGCTGGAAGGCGCCGGTGCGCAGCGCGTCGGTGAGCACGTTTCTGATACCTCGTTCGGGCAGGCGGCAAACACAGGCTTTACTGAGAAGCTCCGCTCTTTTGCAGGTTACGTGGATGGCACTGTGCTTTGACAGGATTTCGAATCGAGCGCATGTGCCCGGCCAAGCAAGTGCGGCCGGCCTATGCTATCCCAGTAGACGGATAGAGGTCTCATGGCGCGGGTTTTTTATGTAGGAACGCTGCTGCTGGCATAGAAGAAGGAAGAAGCGTGCGCGGAAATGGTGAGGTCCAGGCGCTGGTATCGACACCGTTCGGCTACTCAGAATCGACTCCTTCGATACACCGTGTCTGCATCATGAGAATCGGTGGATGCACGGCATCGTGGTCGTGTACGACGCCCAGCGCGCGACACGCATCCGTGGTAGAACTGGTTAGACTTTTCTGATCTTGCGCGATGGAAAGAAAGCACTATGCTGCGCGCTCCACGAAGGTGTATTCATTCGGGAGCAAACATATGCCCGAGACCATTGTCGGGAACAGTCGAATACGGGAGCAAGACGCTTTCATGCTTGCGCTTCTGGGCAGTAGAGCGAAATCGCGTTTGATGCTGGATGCACGGGATCTCGGGCTTGTACGCGGATCTCGCTTGTCATCTAGGCAGTCAGCGGGGATCGACTTTGATGCTGGAAGCATCAGACAATGGACCTGTGCAGCCCGGAGTTTCCGAGTCTTATGCATAGTACGTGTCCGCGCATGAAGCGTTCAGGGATCGACTACCGGCTTCATGCAGGCCCAGTGCTCGGAAGCGTCATTCAATAACGGACACGGCATCATTTCGAGTGGGTTCTCTGATGCAGCAGTGTATGGAGGCGTGCTTGGAGAACGCAAAATCACGACCCACCAAATTTTTTTGGTGGATCAGAAGACCGTTCGACGCGAATCGAGGTGTTATCATTTGAGGAACCACAAAGTCGGCAGCTTCGCTGGTCCCTGCACAGTGCTCGGATCCTGGAGCTTTGGCGAGCCATGGCGTCACACGGTGATCATTGCGCTCTACGTACGTCCTGTGCAACGGAATCAGTGTTGATGATGCAGGATCAATGATTCCATTCAGGTAGCGATGGCGGAGCAAATGCTTCTGATTACGTAGAAAACGACCAGACTTGCTTAAGAAACGCTACTAGGTTCCATACGCTGCAAATCGAACTTGCTCTTCGGCATATGATTTATAAAACGTGCAATGTTTTACCACCATCGAGAGTACATATAGCTGCCCACGCGCAGACACCGCCCAGTCTTTTTCTATCCGCCGACTGCCATCGGTTGCGGTTTTTATCCAGGCACACTGGGGGTATTAGAGGCTGCCACTCGAATTTAGTTCGCGTCAGCTCCGCGAGTCTCGTTTTCAGCACCGCACATCTCCTGATATTGCTTGTGACGTCGAAGTCTCCGTTCACGAGCCGTTCTATGCAGTTCATCTGGTGCAACGCATCAATGCAGGGATTGCCAGAACTCGTGCCCTCTGTGCGATTAGATTCTCGTCATCGCCCCGTCGGGCAAACACATTTTTGTGGTCCATCTCCCCTCTTCTTGGTCTTCTTCGCTCGATCGTCGAAAAGATGAGAAAATTCCCGTTCTTTTCCGACACCCGTGGACAGAGGCAATCCAGGATCCTCGACTTCAATCTCCATACCTATATCTTATATTCTCTATTTCTCTAAATGAACGCACTTTGCAGCCCATCTGCTATAAACCGAATAAGGCATTTGATGACACACACCTGACTAATCAATCTCACTGTGGTCAAAGAGCAAAAAGTAGTGCATCTAGTCGGGCAAGTCGGTGCCAGCCTCGAGCGCTGCCGAATGAACGACAGCGTTCGCCTCCACGGCACGCGCGACTTACCGGTACGGTGTGTTCTTTGCACTACCTGTTCGTTCGTTCGTTCGTTCGTTCGTTCGTTCGTTCGTTCGTTCGTCTTGCAACGGTTGCGATGACGAGGGCGTTTTTCTGGGCAGCAGAGGCGGCAGCTAACTATCGCTTGACCGGCTGGGTGTTCGCTCAGGGAGCGAGTGCTGCTTCGTGCAGTTTTCGACCGTGGAGCTCGCTCGCTTCCAATCGAACGGAAGCTGGTCTACGGAACGTTGCCGAGCGCCGTCGAGCCGCCTGGTATGCCCCGCGGGTGCCTAGCCACGCTGCCTGGTGGATAGTTTGCAGCCGACGACTTCACTTCCAAGCGGGTGTCGCAATGATCCCGCATCCGAACAAGCGCCAACGTGGTGGCGAGGACGCGTTCTTCCTCACAAAACGAGCAGCCGGTGTTTTCGACGGTGTCGGTGGCTGGTCGGCGCTAGGCGTCGATCCGGGCCTCTATTCAAGGCGGCTTGCCGAGCTCGTGCGTGCAGGCACAGAAAGTATGGACGCTTCTGGTAGCCTGGTTAGTGTCCTGGATCAAGCGGCCGCGTCCAATGATGTGGTCGGTAGTTGCACTGCGTGCCTCGTGGCGCTCAGTACTCCGTTGGAGAGCGCGGAGGTCGTGTCGCGACGTGGTACGCTCACGTGTGTGAACTTGGGGGATTCTGGGCTCCTGGTCATGCGCAAGGGCGATGTTATCTTTCGTTCGAAAGAACAACAGCACTACTTCAACTGCCCGTATCAGCTCGGATCTCAGAGCAAAGATACCGCGTACGATGCGTTCGTGGACCGTTTCGAAGTGCAGGCGGGCGACTGGTTCGTTCTGGGCACAGACGGCCTTTTCGACAATGTGTACGATAAAGAAATTGTTGATTGCATTCAGGACTGGTACCGGGAGCGTACTGAGAAGAAAGCGGCGGCAACAGACGTGCCGCCGGCGGAGCGATCCCGAGCGAATGCTGTGATCAAATCCACGCTGAAAAGCGAGCCGGATGGCCACGCACGTCGGGAAATGCACATCGCCACTGAGCCAAACACTTGTGCACCCGCACCAGCGATGATTGTGGACGGCGCGCCTGTGCTGCAAGACCTGGCAACGCGCTTGGCACAGATGGCGGTGACGCTCGCAGCAGACGAAAACCGAATGTCGCCATTTGCAGTGAACGCTCGTAGTGCTGGCTTCTGGTATTATGGCGGCAAAGCGGATGATGTGACTGTTGTCGTAGGGCGAATCGTTCGATCGACAAGCTGAGGAACCCGAGTGCGGGCGTACCGCTGGCAATCGACAGCGTACCGGAAGCTCGCAGCGATCCACGCACACCTGCGTTCCGCCTCGCAAGGCAATTTGTCGAGCAGAGGGACACCTCCTTGTTCACTGGGGCAACAGGGTGTCGGCGTCGAAAGCGGCATTTAAGATGCATACGGATTCCCGGGAACATGGACGCGCCGTGTACGAATGGACGGACGATTCCCCTCCTGGACAAGATGCTTACCCGTGTGATTCGGGACCAGTGAAGTGGCGCGCAAATCGCTTTGATAATGTGTTTTCCAGGGATGACTCTCTCTCGTTCCTGCGATCACGCGTAACCGGGCTTCAGGATCAGCAGGAGGCACTGCTAAGGCGCAGCGACGGCGAAAAGCGCATCCCGTTGGACCCGAAGCAGTAGCTTGTTGAAAAACGCCTCCAGTGCTTGGTTTCTTCGCGGGTAGGCGACTTGTCGGTTCGAACGAGCGCGACTCGGGAACCAGGCACACCGTAACGTACAGGGGCGTTTACGTCATCCCTAAATTGGGTGCTTGCAGTCTTCGGCAAAACAAGGTACAGCTTTTTGATCACGCTCGAACGCGAACGCGCATCGCGGAGAGGTTATGCCTGAAGACGGCACGCCATGGTGCGTTCACCAGGCCGACGGGTTCCGGTCGATGTCGACACGCGCCTTGGACAATATGCCTTTTCGCGACTGTGCGATGACCCTCATGAGCTGTCATCGAGGTTTCATGATGTGAACGCAAGCCTATTTGCGCCGTTCTCGACATCGCCTGTGCTATTGAAACCAGGGAACGGATCGACGCCGTCCTGGCTATGCATGGGCGTTCGCGATTACAGGTCAGTCGCTGAAAAAATAGCACAGCTCGAGCTGGTCACGGGTGATGCACGCTCCATTCGATTCGGATACTGGCCAATAGTGCAACAGTCCGTCTCGCATCCGCACAGGCTGTTGCGTGTTCGCGGGATACCAAGGCGCCCTGCCTCTTGTATGTGCCCTGTCTGCCAACAGGTAACATACAGTGGCATCTGCGGGGGCATGGATCCTCGCGCTGTGCATATTGTGTGCTGCAGCAGGAACCCTAGCACAGATTTGCATCGGAGAGCGCACAAAGTGCTGCACGATAGGCTTCACCAGCGACCCGCTCTATTTGAAATGGAGCGGGAAGCAGGCCAGCGGCGAGCACTGTTGCGTCGCAGGCGCGGCCGTCGAGCTCAACGTTGTCATCGCTGGAATCGGAGGCAGGCGATTCCACCAGCTCTTCGAGAATCAGGGAAGAACGTTTCAACCACTCCTGCTCTTCCGGTCGAAAGTGGCTCGCATCCATTACCAGTTGACCATGACGGTTGAAACGATGGAGGAGCTCGAGGGCATCAGCGAGGTGCTCCTCACGATGCTCCTGCGAGGCGTATTCGTTGCGGCGAAGGTCCACGTCGAGAGGGAGCGCGCTCTGCGAAGCTCCCGCAGCCTCGTTCTCATGATCGCTCCGGCTTGAATGATCTCGAGTATGCTGTTCGTATTTGGCAAAAAAGGCACGTGCGGCAGCGTGGGCATCACTGGGCCTGACTCCATTTGCAGATGCCGACAACGCCGTCCGCATTTCAACATACTTTTTCCAGAAGCTTTTCTCATCAAGGACGCCACGAGCCACTGTATCCTCGTAGGCGCGCTGAACCGCAGGTTCCTCTACAAAGATCTGATGAATAGTTGCCGGATCAAAGCGATACTTGACACGGCGCCCGCTCTCCTCGGCGGGTCGAAGTTCCGATAAGAGTGCCGACGGTAGACCGGCACGTTGCGCGGGTGCCTCAACAAGCGTGCCACCCTGGAAAAGCCTCGCCTGCCAGCTTGCTGCCTCCCGATACGGCGCATACAGGCGATAAACATCCTCAGGAACAAGACCGGACTCGACCAGCTCCCGATAGAGCGGATCGTGGTCGTCCACGGGCCTTGCAGCCGCCGCCGCCGCCACCACCTCCCCACGACGCCGAAGCCCACGAGCGATCGCCTCACGTGCCTGGTCACGGGACCGCTGGTCCCCGCCAAACTCGAAAACTGCGGAGGTTGCATCCTCCAGTTGTAGTTTTAGAAGGTGTACGCGGCTTCCCGGGGCCGATACCAGAACCTGCTTCACCCGACTCAGCGGTATGATGCGAACGGTTGCATCGCGATCCAGAGGCAGGAACTGAAGAACGGTATCCGTCAACCGCAAAGCGCCAGGCAGTCGATGAAAACGGACAGGCCACTCCATGCCCTTCCACCCAGCAAACAAGTCCTGGTGTAAAGCGCCCCAGCTCGCAAAGCGAGTCCCGGTTACAATGCCCTTGTCGATGCGGACCAGCAGCGCTGCCTGACGCGCTCGGGACGATACCCGCAATACCATCGCCGCGCAGTACTGGACAACGAGCTACGACGCCAGCATAGATGATACGTTCATTTATGATGTAGAACGGATGTATCAGAGCAGATTCCAGAACACGATATTTGTCGACTTGCATGGAGGAGCAGCGCGCCCTAGTTTCGTAACTGCTTACACGTTCAGCAAGCAAGATAATAGTGGCATCTCCCGGGAGCAAGAGTTCTACGCTGTGGTGCATCAGGAGTGTACGCCGTCGTCGATGCCGCGAAATACCGAAATGCATGCCAGTTGAAGAGTAACCAGTGCCGTTTCCGGGAATGATTGCGGTGCGGAGTAGCTCAAGTTCGATGACGAAGCACAAGCCAGGAGCACGAATGAATGCCCAGCGCCCGCGCTAGCGCTGATCGCAAACCTGCGAAAACCTTCGGCCTATCCATCGGGAAACCTCGGGCTTGATGGAAGAATACGAGTCGCAGCGTGGACTAGCTTTGCCCATGTGCTGTAGCGCGTATTCGCCGTCCGTCATATGCGCATGATTCGAATATCATGTTTTCTATGCGAGCGAGCAATTTTTGCATCGAGTTCAGCACGAGCGAAGTACACGACTCGCCATCGACAACGACAACGGCGAGTCAGCAACGCCAACTGCTCCCAACTTTACGCCCAGTGTGAAGCGGCAGGCCATTTCCCGCCGCTGCATGCCGCATCGCATGCAAGTCGGGCTTCCTCAAATGAACTTGGCGGCCTCCAGAGCACTGATCGAGAACGCTCACGACCGACTCCTGGATGGGTGCTCATGCACCGGTAGGCATGGACAAGCCATGATGTTCTCCGCCTATTCAGGACAGAAGGAAGAGAATCGACGCGCGGAAACCATTTCGTGTCGGGCCATCGTTGGTGATATGCGCGATTTAGGAACGCTGCCGACGCAGTGCGATGGGTGCCCAAGCTTCCAAGCGGGAACGGGTACCCGATGCGCTCCAGTCGGGACTGGAACGTATCGGCTCGCGTCGTACCAGGCTCATAAACAAGAGCGCAAGCCATGCAGCTGTGGTACAAAGTTGCTCGACGGACCCGCAAAGGGCCACGGCAATACGTGCTGCGACAAGCGCGCACCGCGTACGCGATACGAGCGACGTAACGTCCATGGGTGTTGGTATGAGCGCTAGGGGACACTCGGAAGAAGTTTTACACCAGTTCGATTCACCACATAAAGACCCCATTAGCAACCTCAATCGCTGCTCTCCGACGAGAGGCTGCGCTGCATACGGTGCTACACGGGTAGCGCCGCGTCTACTCCGAATCAAGAGCTCGCTGCTTCCTGGCCGCTCTCCTGTGCGGGAGCGGCAGCCACTGTCCTCTTTATCGCCTTACGAGTGTTCTCTTCGCGGAACCCGTTTCGAAACCGTCTAGCAACCGTCTTCAAGTACCGCATGCGCCCAGTTCCTGTAGTGCGTCGCCGCTTGCTCTTCAAACTCCAGTTGTAAGTCCGCTTTCGCGGCGACGGGTACCCGCAGCTCGCACAGGTACTTTTCTGGATATGGTACGATCGTCGTCCACAACGGATACAGAGTGTATGTGATTTGCCGTGACGGCGACCCTTGGAAGATGTTCCTTTCGTCATGGTTCCCTGACGTTGTTATACAACGCGTCCTGAATGAAGCAGCGGCGTGCAGCTGGATCCGCGGATGAGCTTCGGTCACGAACGCCGTTCGAAGTCGAACGACGCCGGCAGTACGCAGCAATGGCGGCGAACGCGCCTTAGACAAATCGTCTCCAGCTGACGTGCAGACGCCCCCCCCCCGTCTTTTTGGACTGGCTACCCACTACTGCTTCCAGCTTTCTCTCATATAGTTCACCTTTGAGAGATTGTCCAACAAGGTTCCTTCTTGTCCAGTCTGGAGGTTTATTCTCTAGCACCGCACATCTCCGTAGATTGATTGCGGCATTAAAACCTCGCTTCACAAACTCCATCCGTTTCTTGCCATCACTGGTTGTACTTACTGATGCAAGCAATCCTCGAACTTTCGCTCTCCTTTCCATTCGCCCTTCCGTCAGCGGTCCGTACTTTTGTATATCTTCAGGATTCCGCTGGCACTTTTCCATCTTCCGCACGCTTCGGTGCTGCGATGGTTAGGACATTCGTATTCCCAGGGTCCACGCCTACGACAAGGTCGTAATCCTGCACCTCCTGCGTCGCAAGATCCGCCTCCTCCCTTTCTTCATCCTTGGTCACGTCAACGACAAGGTCTCTATCCTCCACCTCCTGCGTCGCAGGATACACCTCTTTGTTTTCTTGATCCTTCGTCACGGGCGCAGCCGAGGGAGGGACTGGCCGATCTCTCTTCAACCGCCGATAGTTTGCACACAATTCTACTCCATCGGTTACGATCATCCCAGTAAACAACTTTTGCTTGCTCACTCTCAGACGTTTGAAATCGAAGATACTCTTGCAGTACGTCTCCCGGTTTTCGCCGGTGAAGTCCTCCCTGCTGACACTGAACTCCGGACTGATCTGCTTCATGATGCCGTAAAGGACGCCGGAGCCGATGGTCACAAAATCTGACTTGATGTTGCACAATGGAACCACGTTGAAGCGCTTCCCCGTTAGGACAGCCTTCCGTCTCTCCCACTCTTCATTTTTCCCCTATTCACCTTCATCTCCGCCTCGCGTTCGAGTTCTTGGTCCAGAAACACGAAATACCGTAGAATGAGGCGATCGTATGTTTCCTTATCTTTTTTCAACTCTGATATCTTTTCTGCTGGATAATCCAGTCCCAGGATTGCACGGTGCTCTTGAATAGCAGCACGGATTACAGAAGCTTCATTCGTGCTCTCGTTTGACGCCTTCTTGTCAACGAAATCCGTCTCATCTTCATGCTTACGATCTTTCGTGATGCCATTGATAATCGCCCATTTTCCTTTGCGAGATAGGCCCGGGTAGAGTGCACACACGGCGCGTACCGTGAAACGTTCGAGGTTCATTGTCAAATGGTTCTTCAGATTCGTGAGGTACTTCATCGCCCCATAGATGTAAATATCTCCGTCACCTTGTATCGAGTACCATTGAAGCTGTAAAAGGTATGTTCTTCGTGGAGGGCGTGCACTAGCACATTTTCCTTCCGCGTTTCCGCTGTACCAAGCATTAGCTGACAAATAAAGGTCATGTCGAGAAACTCGTCCGGAATCTCGACTGTTTCCATGTGCGCCATGTCGCGATACATCTCCCTCGCCAAATGCATCAGCCCTGACGACGCCTTGATAATACTCTCGGAATACGAGTCGACACGTTTTTCGATAGCGTCTCGCAACTTTTCCCTGTAGGGATCCTTGATATGTCCAAGAAGAAAGGCTTTCACCACCATCTCGTTGTACAGTCGTCTTTCTTGCCACCTTCGACGTAGGGCCTCCCCTCTTCGGTTCTTCTTCTCTCTCCCTGTTCTTCTGGACTCGGCACTGTTTTTTGTTTTCTTTCTGGCAGCCTGCGACAGTGGGCCTCCAGGATCGTGGACTTGCTCCTACATACTTTTCCTTTTTTTAGTTTTTTTAAAAAGAATGCTCTTTGAACGCTTCTCTTATATACTGCGAAAAAACACTCGAGTATTTTTACTTGAGGGTTGAAACAGAAATGAACTGAAAACTATACTTTGCTACGCCCTCAACGGGAATCCGACTTTTACAGCAGAACAACACGCTATTGATCAAGGTCACGTGTTTCCCTTCAACAGTGGCATGCGCGTAGCGTCTCATGCCTGCCCGATCTCCGAGGTGCGCTCACCGAGCGCGATGCAAACTAGTCGCAAACTATTTATCAAGGAACCACTATCTTAAAAGCCCCACAAACCACGTCCGCCTAAGGGGTCTAGTCTTTCCGGAGAACCTCTGAAAGTGGGTTAACGCGGGGTGCTTGAGCGACTGCGAAGGAAGTCCACGCCAGGGGCCTTGACCGCAACGAACGGAGGGGCGTAGGCAGTAGCAGAGAATGATGACGATAATTCTGAGCGCAGTCATCCGCTGCTCCCGAAACAACGCTGCAGGTTCGGGCACAAATACTGGATCCATCCCTGAATTCGGGCTCAGTTTCACCTTCTACCTTGAGTACCTACCTCAACTTTGGAAACAATCTCGGCGGATACTTTGGAAGACAGCTGGCAGTATGCTCACTGTCGAAAGTGGAATAAGCGACTTGCCCGCCTATGTGTTTGGGGAGCGGATACAAAGCCGCTGAAATGGTGGTTTGCAGACTTTTCCCAATGGTTGAGGGTAGCTTCACGCGTCCGGAAAGACAAAGTTCGCATTCGAATCGACCTTGACTAATGTACATCTGATTCTACGCTAGCGCTGCGGCAGACACTCAGTGAACGACTGGAATGCAGGAGGCAATGGTGGCATGTGCTCTCACACACCCTGTGGAAGCTGCGTCTAAATCGACAACGTATCTCTGGAGTACCGCAGCGTTACTCCTATTCCCTTATGCGCTACGACTCGATAGGTTTCGCATCATGGAATATTAGCGGGATCGCCTCGGTATTTAACCACGAGATATCGAATTACCAGTACAGTAATGAAGAACTGATACAAGTCGAGGACTCTACAATTGGAAAAGAGACCCAACGAGGTACGGAGAAAGAGACACAGAAACCTCATGATCCCCTTAAATGCAAAATAACCAGAGAAAGCAGCTCAGGAAAGAGCCCGAAGAAGAAGTAGACCAGCAAGAAAAAACAGAAGAATAGAAAGAAGAACTCCCAAACGAGCCCATCACAAGGTATCCCCCGAAAGGGCACCCCAGCTGGAACTCAAGAAAGCCGTCGCCAATCCCAGGCACCTGCTCACAGCGCTGAAGATCCGAAAAGCCGTGAATACAAATCTTCAGACCAATTGGCACGCGAGTTTGTAGATGGGAATCAGAAGATTGCCAGAAAATTGGGACTGCTTGCACCTGAACACAACAGTAGCAAGCCGCAGTACCTCAAACGACGTACCAAAACTCGGATTCATGAATGCCACCGACTCAACAAGATTGTCAACCGCACCGCCATACGCGCCAACGCCGGAGACAAGGAAGCGAAGGCAGCGCTACCGGCGCTACAGGCGCAACATGAGGAAGCTATCAAAAGAACGAAGAAACTTTCCAGAGAAGACAAACGAGAGGATCGAAACCGCAAAATGGCCTCCCTGGCGGAATCTATGCTGAAGAGCACCAACGAAGATGAAACCCCAGGCTACATCCGATCGAGACTGGACCCACCAAGAAAGTGCTTGGGGCTCACACCAACTGTTAAAAGGAAGCGCTGAGGACGGAGCGTGCCTCAGTGAATGAGGCCTGGACGGACCACGGCACAGAATTACATGAAGACGCAACTGGGCACTGCTAAGACCGAATCTATTGGCACCGATATGCTGCAGAACTACCGCGCCTCGACCCGGTACCGGAATGGAACGACCCAATTTTCTGGCCTGAATCTGTTCGGACTCTGCTATGCTCAAGCAATCGCAAAACACCTGGCATCGACGGTATCCCTGCGGAGTGGATGAAACTGGCGACCCCAAAAGACGGGACAACAGGGACACCATCGATACCAGATGAACCTGACACAATCTTAGGCAAACGCCTTCTGGAGCTCATTCAACGCATGTTTGAAGAAGCGTACATCCCAGATGTACGGAGGGCTGTCGAGGTCGTACCGATCCTCAAAAAGGACTCCCACACACACACAGACATGAACATCTACCGGACTATGCGCCTCATCCCGTCAATCATGAAGCTACTTCGCGCCATGCTCACGAACCGTATCCACAGCGGCCTCCAGGAACGCAAGTTCTTCGCCCCAGAACAGGCTGGATTCCGGAGCCACGAGGAGTGCATGAACCATGCCCTGACCCTCATTGAAGTGGTGCAACGTCGCTTCATTAGCGACCAACAACCAACTTACGTATGCTTCGTCGACTTCCAAAAGGCCTTTGACACGTTCCCGCATGAGGCTCCATTTATGAAGATGGAACGAGCCGGAGTCTCCGCAAAGTGCTTAGCGTTCTTCCGTGCGCTCTATGCAGACTCGTGGATGCGCATCCGACTAGGCGACGGCTCAAGAACCCCTTCGATAAGAATCCGCCGTGGACTGCGACAGGGCGATCCTGCATCCCCGCTCCTTTTCAACATCTTCATCAACGATCTGCTTAACAACTACAGACAATACGGGCTTGAGGTGCCGTGGATAGACTGTGGAGATGCCCGATGGGGAGCGCCCATATGGGAACCGCCTCGCAGGCCTTCTATTTGCGGACGATGTCGTGCTGTTGGCACCCGCCCCGGAAACGCTTGCGGCTAGCATGGAACAAGTCAGCGCCTGGGCCGATCGCTGGGAGATGAGCATAGGAGCATCGAAGTGCGGCGTCATGGCCATCCATGGAGACTCGCAGAGCATTCGCAATCGCTCGTGGCGGTTGCAGAATCAGGAAATTCCAATCGTGGAAAAATATCGCTACCTAGGGTCTGTCTCACGCCGACGCTCGACGAAAAGGCACACGTTAACGAGATGATCGCCAAGATGCATAGACGTACAGCGATCGCATGCCCATTCTTATCCGACCCCTCTATCCCCTTAGCAATCCGTACCAGCGCACTAAGGATATGTATCATCCAGCCTGCGACCTGTGGTGCTGAATGGTGCGGCATGAAGCACACAAATGCCTCGCGTCTGCAGACAGCCGCCAACAGGGCAATGCGACTCGTTGTAGTTGGATGCTCAATGCAGAGCAGAGCAACCAACCTGCTGGCACTCGGACTTGAACTCCAAATACCCTCGACAGAGGCGATAGCAGCAGGCTGCCGGGCACGCATATGGGGCAAAGGGCCAACCATGAACACCTGGTTCAGTCGGATATCCATGCAGACCCCAACGCACCGCAAGATCACTTGGATGAAATCAGCGCAGATTTGGCTGAAGCGCCTCTTAGGCGAAAACACGCTACCCAATCATTCCCCAGGAATATAGAATTCTCCCGTCGCCTCAAGCGAACGGTCCGAACAACAATATGGGAACGTAGATACAGTACCAGTCGCGCGAGTAACGCCGGCTTGACTCTATACCGGAACTACAACCTAGCATACACATGCAATTACTGGTGGGAGGCGCTGGAATTCCCGGGACTTGCTCGAGGTACCCAGTGGCTCGCCAAAATCAGCGTTGGTGGCTCCTGGCTACCAGCACCGGCTCTAAGCCGGATAGGAACCCTGGAATCGCACTGGGAGTCACACTGTACCTGCTATCGAGACGAAATCCCCGAGACGCTGACATATTTAGGCCTACAGTGGCCGCGCTAGAAGCAGGAGCGCAGCGAGCTCCTCGAAGGACAGCAGCAGCTCGGCAACACCGTGATAGTCGAAGGCCGGACACTCACTCTGAGTGCAGCACTGGCAACTGATGGTTCGCTAACAGATCCTCAGTGCTCATTAGTGGCCAACAAACTCACGTGCTACCTTCTAGGCGGAAGGTCCAGCGGATCGGATGCGCACACGGGTTTAGTGCTCTCTACGCCTTCCTTCTGTAGTGGGTGTCAAGCACAAATCCGCATAGCCAACCGACAACAATGCATTCCATGCATGATCACGAAGGAGAGAGGCAGCTCCCAGAATTCATCCTAACAACCAAGTTTCTCCAGCGTGTCGTGCAGCGAAGGCAAGCCTGCATCCGCAGACTGTACGAGCACAAACTGACGACGAGACCCGATTCTACGTCGGATGAAGCACACCTCGAGCCGACGCCCTCTGTGGTATAGAAAAGCTGTTTTAGCCCTATGAGCTATCTGCTCCAGCGGTTCAAGCGCAGACGCGAATACGGAACGGCAGGTACTAGGCACACACGATAGGACGTATGAAACGACCAGAATATCCGAGACGAAGTATAGGTAATGTAACATGGAGGTAGGGGGTTGATGGATACCTCACCTCGCACTGAAAAAAAAGAAAGAAAAGAAAAAAGCGCATAATCGGAGAACGCTGGCCTAAGTAAACGTTTTGTCAGTGAAAAAATGCCAAAGTGGTTGCTGTGGCGAGCGTTCTCGGATTCTGCGCTCGTCATCAGCGCGCTGTAAGGTATCCCTCATTCCACGCCTTACTTCCACGTTCCGTAACCCATACTTTCTCTCGGATATAATGGTCGTTCCGTACGTTCTATCGTGCGCCGAGTGCATGCCCAGAGCGTCGGCGATAGCGTCTACAGGGCCGATGCGGTCCTTGCACGGAGACAGAACGGCTATGCCGCACCACAGAGAGCGTCGGCTCGACAGGGGAAAATGATACGCACTCACAGGCGCCTCGAAGCCTTTTTCTGACCAGCAACCAGATATCGGTTTCAATTTGTCCCGTGTACACTTCGAACCTGAGAGGCTGTCCCAAACCTTTCGCTAACGTAAGTTCCGCGCGCCTCGCCTTTTGTAACACAAATGGTCTGATTTTGATGGCGGAGTTCAAGTCTCTGTTCACGAATTCCATGCGTTTGCTGCCTCTGATGGGACTCATCAATGCAAGGCGCCTTCGTCAGTGTGCCCTCTGTCCCGTTACAGTCTCGTAATCGTCACATCAGGCATACAAAAACTTTTCACCCGCCGTTCCTCTCTTTTTCTACTTTTTCATAAAACTTGCTCTCCTTCGCTCGATGGTCGGTGAGAAGAGAATTTTTCGTTTTTTCTGTTGAAACCGGCGACACTAGCACATCAGGATCCCCGATTTTCATACATACACATCTCCCTAGGATAGTTTATTTTTGAAAATGGACGCTCTTTGAACACGTCCGCTATAACCCGCGAGGAAGCACTTGATGACACGCACCTGCAAGCGGAACACAAATGAGGTGCAACATTAAAACGAGGCCAGCGTATCATGCGAGACGCGAAACATGCCAGTCTCTGGAGTTCGTTGCGACAAGACGCGCTCAGACTTCGATAAGCGTAGGTTTCCATTGTCCTCGAGGTGCATCCGCTGCATCATTGCCGAGATGAAACCGTCGCGGAACACCGCCAAAGGAGCTGGAATACCTGGCTAGCTTTCGAGGTCGTCACAGAGGTCCGCTGGCTCCGTCGTCTGTTCGAACGTGCAGCAGAAGCGGTTCTCTGGGTGCCATAAGCGGTGCCAGGTGACCATCGCAGCACCCGTCTGCGAGCAGGCACCAGCCATGACGCCGATATCCAGCCTCGCCGCTCACAGCGGAAGCAACGACTCGTGCTGCACACCAGTCATTGCGGCGATTACTCAGAGTAGAGAGTATGTCACTGCGTTCTAGGAACTGAACATAAACGACTCTAAATTTTTTCTATTGCTCACCATCCTGGAATTCCCTTCCGCCAACCGCTCCATCATGAACAAGATCGCGTTCCAAAAAAATCGCCCATCCAATGTTACAGCGTGTGCGTGCAGGGGATAGCGTACACCCTGGAAGGATCGCCATGAGCAAGCCCATGATCGGAGAACACGGCACCGGGCGCGAAAACGAATACAGGGAACACATCGGGCCCTCTGTACCAGTCAAACGCGCACACCGATCAGCGAAGCATTCCTTGGTGCGGCACAGGGCATTTTTCGGAAGAGGTGTCGTGTCGTGCACGTACGGTAATCACTGACCGTGGCCAAGGTTCATGCTGCAAAGGGCGCACTGAGGCTGTCTACAAAGGATATGATCATGACAAGCGCAGCCGAGATCGCAACTTCAGCCTGCCTGTTCGAAATGCGTGAATGAGAATCGAATGCTGCGAACTCGGGAGGAGAACGCTGCCATCAGCATTCTTCGACTGCTGACAAACGGAGCTGCAGACACATTAGAGACCAGCACATTGAAATTCAGCAAAAAAAGAGCAATAAAAATAACAAGTCACAAAAATACGCACAAAATCTTGTGTTGACTCTTACGGGAAGCGATCAAAACTTTATTAGGCACGCCCGTGTTCGCTGCGTGGACCTGTTCCGTCTTATTCTGGTATACGTGTATCGGCAAAGCGCACATGCAGTCCAGATACGCAGAGTCCTCGATGCGACTTTCTTGTGCAAATGCACTCCATGCAGAGACCTGCCATGCTGTGGAGCTGGGCGCGCCCACGCCGATCCCCACCGCCCTCAGTGCTGCAACCTGAAGGTGCAGGCTCCCGGACTCGCACCAGGGTGCAGCGGGAACTGCGAGCGCCGCCGCCTCTCCAGCCGCGGGAACGGCGGGCGCTCTACGGCTGTCGACAGCCCCGCGCCGGAGGACAGCACGCCGGCGCTGATCCGTCCCTGATGAGCGCCGCCGCACCCCGGCCGTTGCAGTGTGTGCGCTGGGTGTGCGCGATGCCGACGGCGGCCGCTGTTCGAATGCCCGCGTGTCCGCCATCGCGACGTGTATCGGGATCCTCCGGAAGCTGAGCACCTCCGGTGGTGCGTTCCAGCGCCCGCATTGTGCTTGCGTTTGTGAAGGCTTTCGGTGACTGCGGATGAAGACACGAGTGAAGCGCAGCTCCAAGAGCCCGGAGACCTCTGCTGAACCTGAAGGCGCACTGCGCGCGTTAGCGGGTCTCGCTGCCTTAAGCGCGTTGACGAGAACCCCGACGCACGCCTCGACTGGAGTGAAGCGCAAGCCGTCTTGTGCACGCCACGCGCCAGACAACGCGACGGATCCGGGGACGGCCAGCACCAGAAAGCCGAATATGAAGCCCACAGCACCGAAACAAAACGATGTATCCGACAGTACTGAGGAAACACCCCAGATAGGGACACCGATCAAGGTTCGCAAGAAAGTGACTGTGCGCCGCGACCTCACCTCTGAGACGGGATTTTCTGGCCTCCCACGCGAGTGGGAGCACCTACTCGTTGGCAACGGTATCAGTCGCACAGAGGTCTTGACGAATCCGCAAGTCGTACGCGATATCATGGACTTTCATTTGCGTCGATCTGGGGCGGCGTCGCCAACGCACCATCCCAGCCAAGTCGCAGCCTTAAAAGAGCGCAACGAACGGACCGCGCTCCACCAGGATGACTCGGCTGCGAAGCTGCTCACTGAGACGAGCCCCGAAGATGCACGCCAAACCGGGGGCGAGCCTGTACTGAGGGCCTCGGGACGCTTTCCCGCCATTCAGGAACGAGACCCCAGCGACGTCTACGTGCGCCTGCGTAAAGTGGGCGAGGGTGCAATGGGCGTTGTCTATGTGGCAGCCTCTCGAACCGATCCAACCAAAATTGTTGCGATGAAAAGGGTCGAAGTTCGGTCCGAAAAGGTCATGAGCGCGCTCGAGCAGGAGATCTTCATGATGCATAGCACTCGCCACGCGAACATCGTGCAGGTTCACGAGGCGTTTCTCCATCGCAACACGATGTGGATTGTTCTCGAATACATGGACGGGGGCAGTCTCACAGACTTGCTTTATGATCTGGCAGAGCATGGTGAACGAATGACGGAGCCAGAGATCGCCTATGTCTGCCGAGAGGTTCTGATTGCGCTCGGTCAGCTGCACCGCCTACGTCGCATCCATCGTGATATCAAGTCTGATAACTGTCTGCTTGGTCAATCGTCGGGGGCCATCAAGCTCGCTGACTTTGGATATTGTGCCCAGTTGACACCAGAGCGCGACAAGCGAACGACATGCGTTGGCACTCCGTTTTGGATGGCGCCCGAACTCATCAGAAGCATGGAGTACGACTACAAAGTTGACGTCTGGAGCCTCGGGATTCTCGCCATAGAATGCGCCGAGGGCGAGCCTCCATGGATCAAAGAGACACCGCTCCGGGCCATGTTCCTGATCACGACCCGAGGGCCGCCCAAGCTGGCGGAAGCTGCCCGCTGGAGCCCAGAATTTCACCACTTTTTACACTCCTGCCTCGCGATGCAACCCATGGATCGTTGGAGCGTAGATCGGCTCCTGACGCATCCGTTCATTCAGAGGGCTTGTCCAGCGACGCAGTTTGCGGAGCTCGTGCAAAGATACGTACGCCGTAAACGTGCAATTGCGTAGACGACTCAAGTTCATAAACAACAGGATCGGATGGTCTGAGAGCTCGTGGGGTCCTCGTTTACCGGCCCTGTGCAACTCTGACGCTGGAACGCGCATCGCTTGCCTGCATTCGCGCTGCTCTGTGTGGAAGACCACGAAACGATGCATTCGATGCTCGTATACGTCCTCGGACTCTGGGTGTTAAGCAACAGCGGTAAAATCGCATAGAGTAGTTCATGCGGTGGTTTCGTTTCGGGGTTCGCGTGTCGGCCGCTCACCGGAAGACACCCTGCCGCGAAGTCTCGATGAAGCCGGCATTCGCCGGGAATCGAAAATGAACGCATGAATCACAGGCGCTGGATGCGCTGTCGTCGTTACGAGTGAGCAGCGAATGCCGCTCGCCACCAAGAGCAAATGCGTTGTACGCATTTGTCGCGTCCGCTGGAGCGGCAACCTCTGTGCCCAGTACGCCGTCTGACCGGGAACGCATACACATTCCGGAGGATTCTGATAAAGTCCATGAACTCTGCTCCATGAACAGCAGCGGGTTCAGTCATTGAACCTATTGGATTTTTAGAGTGAATCACAAGTCTGATTTCCTGATACATCTACGGACGGCAGGGTCACAGCTTGGAGGTAGCCGTTTCGAAAACGGGCGACGGTAGATGCGGTGGTTGCGTAACTCGCGTTTCGGAGCTCCGAATGCGATATCAGCCGACCACAGCGCATCTGGCTCCATCAGGGAGCGCTTCAGTCTTGCCGAGGTTCTGGGCGCCCGCCCCGGGCTCCGGCTCCAGGCACCCTGTTGAGCGATTCGGCCCTCTCTGCAGGCAAAGCGTCGCGGAAACGTTGAAGTTTGCGTCGACGCGAGTCTGCCGGGCAGCTCCGACATTCGAGTCACCGAGGAAACCAAGTGCGCTCGTGCATGCCGACGGCGAGAAACAGCGATGTCCAAAAGTGCAAGCTGCCGATGACCAGAGATATCTTCTTGCGCGACGCATGCATCATGCACACTCGGACTGCAGGTCCTGGAAAATTATAGGTAGCTCGTACGCTCCGCTTCCTGTGTAAACCTTCTATCCACGCCAGAGCGTGTTGCCTGCGATATCCCTCTGCGCTGACTTGCGCACACCCAATGCATAGATCTGTCAGAAGCGGGAGATGGATCCAGCGTACGCCCATAACGAGCAGAGCAATGGAGCTGCGAATATGAGACGCCCCACAGCTTACGCCAAGTAGAATGGTGATGCCGATCCTGCTCGACGAGCCTTGTCCAATGTCCCGACGCAGTGTGAAGCTGTTGCTGATTCACCGTGCACAGCCTAGGTGCCAGTCTGCAGCTCGCTCGCAGGTATACGCAACGACACTGGTGCGTGCCGAGTGCCATGCTTGCGTCCGACGCCTGCCGCGCATAGCCCTCATTCATTGTCACAGTCTCGCTACGCCACAGAGGCTATCGCGCGGACCGTGATGCAGCGGTGCTTTCCCAGTAACCGGTATCAGCGGAAACGACATCGCAACGCTGTGACTGCCGTTTATGGACTCGATGGTTGAACGAGCGCACGTCGAGCGTGTCTACGGTACACCGCGTCAAGGCATTCGATGCGACACGCACTCGAACGTGGAACGCAATTGAAGTGAACAGCTGGCAGGCGCGCTCCCGAACAGATGAACCGTCAACGGATGCGTGCACTGCGGCTGCCGCCGCCGGCGCCTCGCGAGATGCCCCGCCGCTGGAGCGTCGCACGCGCTTCCCGAAACGTGACGCAGCGGAGGCGCAGCGTGGTGCAAACGGTATCCAGTGTTGCGCTTGAGCGGCACCGAAACGACGTGAGTTGTAAGCGATGGCGGAGAGCGGCCAGGTCAACCGGTCGCCTACCGACGCGGTACCTTTGACAGGGGACACACGTGCACCTGTGCACTCCCCAGACGACACAGGGTTCGAGGCGAGCGCACACGGCACGTCTGAACTGTCCAAGTCTCTGGATGCGGAGGCGACAGACGCCGCAGCCAAGCGACCAGCGGCGGCATCCTCAGTAGCGTCAAGCAGTGAGCAACCGTTTGACTGCTCCATCTGTTTTGAGGTGCCGCTGGAGGATCCTGTGGTCACCATGTGTGGGCACTTGTTCTGCTGGTCGTGCCTGCACCGCTGGATGGCGCAACACGCGACGTGTCCGGTTTGCAAGTCGCTGGTGGATCGGGAACGAGTCATTCCGCTTTACGGACGCGGGCGCACACGCGAGGACGTCAGCGATGCCCCGAAGCAGCAGACGAAGGTCGCCAGGCCAAATGAAGCGATTCCACCGCGGCCTGCCGCGAGGCGGGTCGAACCTCCACCCCAGACTGCCAACGGAGCGCTTCCGCCGCTGCGGCCGGGAGCAGAGCACCTCAGCGACTGGAACGTCGGCGTCGGTGCGGGCAGCTTCATGCCGTACGGCACGGCGGGCGGTATATCTTTCACTCCGTTCGGACTGTTTCCCTCTATATTCGGCGTTCAGTTCACCTTCCCGCCGCAGCCGCCCACGGGAGCGCCGAGCGCTACATCTTCGACCGCAGCTCGGGTGAATCCTGGTGACTCAGGCGCTTACGGAGGAGTCCCAGTTTCTGTACAGACTGAAGATGCAACGCAAGCGATGGTGAGCCGCATGCTGCTCATGCTTGGCATGTTCGTCATTATGTGCTTACTGTTGTTTTGATACCGCCGACACCGACAGTGGCTCAACGCGCGTGCTGTGGATTTATATGGTATCGCGCTGCTCAGCACAGTTTAAACGTTGCGGGCACCGGTACCAGCTCGCTCAGCGTTTGCAGCGCGAATGCGTTGTCCAGCTGGGCGGATCAGTGGCATTCAAATTCAGACTCGTGCGGCAAGCGCGGAACTTGGTGCGTCTGCGCTCTGCAACCTGTCGTTGCTTGGATATCGAATTTTGGTTGGTATGCACGTTCCACTAGAATATGCTGGGGAATATTGCAGTTGAGTTCCGGGTGTTCCGGTGCATTTCCTGAGATAGCTTCTCAGCACGCTTTCACGGTATCTGCGTATGCGGTAAAAATTATGGCCTTTCAAGAATACCACATTTGCGACTATCGCTTTTCCTTCGCATTGCTGCAGGCAAAAAAGTTGCGCTAGTGCTGCGCATTATGAGGTTGAACACGGAGCCAGAACTCGAGGACTCTTAAACAGGCCGGTGCTGTTCATGCCTGCTCCTGGGATCCAGCGCCGTGTACCAGGCAAAGGTTGGCACTTTTTGGTAGAACACTGGATGCTACGCTTTAGATTTGTGGACGCGTCCTTGCTGGACTCTTTGGGATTCGCTGTTGATTCGGGCCACGCTTGCGAAGAACGCCGGCGCAGGTTCCACCAGACACCGGAGTATCGAGCCGATGCCATCGAAGCGACTGCGACTGCACGTCCACCGGTGCAGCATGCGTCCTACACGAGACTCAACGCCCGAAGGTACGCTGGATCGATTCAGCTCGAATGCACGAAAATAGAAGCTGCTCTGAATGTTGAGGTACACCGAAGCGTCCCGACCATGCCTAAGATCTCTCCTGCAGTTGCTGGTAATCATTGCGCATGCGGGGAACTCTGGGTACGCTCATCGATCGCCCAGCACAAAAGAACAAAATATCCATTGGCATCACAGGGGAAAGTGCTCCGCCAGGCGACAACATGGTGGCATTGTCGGGCCACAGGCAGTGTCATAGCCTCGACCGCAGTACCAAAGACCAGTATGGTTTCTTGGTGTTAATGGAAACATAACCAACGAAATCTGCGTCGTTTCCAAAGCGCAGTGCCCGATATTCGGTACTGATTACCGTCCTGGTTTCTGCGTGATGATGGAAACGTAGCGAATGAAATGTGCTTTGTTTCTCGAGAGCGCAATGCCCCATCGTTGCGGTCCTTCGTTTCCAAACCTCAGACCCAGGAAGCCGCACATGTCCTGAGGGAGACGAGCTCAAATACTTTCAAGTCCCACGGCGTATATTCTAATCACGAGAGCCTGAACTATCCACTGCTGGTTTCATCTCGAATCGTCACACGTTTTTCCGCCAGTGTACCAACACACCGCACTGGTGCGTACAGTAGTTGTTTCAGCAAGCCAGCATGTCGGCCAGCTCAGCTCTGCGAGAGCCTTCCATCACACGCTCTGCAGAACTGGAGCCAACCGGTGAATCTATGTATCATCTAGAGCTTTTTTTCCATCCAGAAGAAGCTGGAGCAGGCCTGAAGTACATCCAGCTCGGCGGTAAGTGAAGCTGCGCGTTTCCAGCCGACCGACCGCCTCAGCAGCGACGCGTTCCAACGCCAAAACCGGGCGGAAGCGCCCTGTCACGGTGCGTCCAAGAGACGCGCCCGCTGGCTCCACCGTTACCAGACGACGGATTTGGCGATTCTCTGTTCTCAGCGCCAGAGATGCGGGCTGATAAAGGTTCTCAGCACTCAACGATTGACAGCTGTGGAACGCACTGCAACGCCGAGACCCAGCTTTCCACAAAGTCGTCCCTGACGAGCACCCGCGCCCGGTCCGAAGTTGGCCAGTACTTGATTGAAGCATCCTAGGCACGGCTCGCTGCATCGTCTGCACAAGACGGAGGAGAGAACGTACCAGGGCTCAGACGCTAGCCAGCGGCAGCGTGCATACGATCGGGGCTCGCGCACAGCGCCGGGAATCGCCCGGGAGGGCCTTGCCTGCTCGATGCTGGTGTGGCGGTAACGCAGCTTCTGCGACACGAGCAGGAGTTCCCTGCAGACGACTACCTCAACGGTACCTATGAAATCACTAGTCATTCCGCACCAAGTCTCTATATCTCGCCGGATACCACTCGATGCTGGTGTGGCGGTAACGCAGCTTCTGCGACACGAGCAGGAGCTCCCTGCAGACGACTACCTCAACGGTACCTATGAAATCACTAGTCATTCCGCACCAAGTCTCTATATCTCGCCGGATACCACTCGATGCTGGTGTGGCGGTAACGCAGCTTCTGCGACACGAGCAGGAGTTCCCTGCAGACGACTACCTCAACGGTGCCTATGAAATCACTAGTCATTCCGCACCAGGTCTCTATATCTCGCCGGATACATCCATATTCCCTGTTGGAGGCAACGGCTCGTTCATATAATCCGTAGAGTGCCGAGTATGCGTTAGCGCTTTCCCTGACGTCGGTATCCATTGCGTAGCTGGGATTCCCAGCCAAGACTCGACCATAGACCAAAACATAATCGCCCGAATTCTGTTGCTAAGCTTTCCCGAAAGCGTGCTTCTGGATTAGTGCACAAATCGCGAGTTCTGCCTCACTTGATTCATAGGAAATGTTTCGGCTGACTTGGTATGGAGCGCGTCCTCGTACGAAGGTGCATCGCCGGTGCGGGAGCGCTCACAGGCACTTGGAATCTATAGGACACGCGCTTCAATGCCTATGCTGGATGTTGCTACTTCGGCTCACACTGAACAGTTTCATGCTGCGGATACGCTTCTATGACCTGGAGAATTGCAGGACGAACGCAAAGAACGAGGCACTGCTGATGGAACCCTAAACGCACTGTACGGTGACGCAAGTCTGGGTTCAGCGCCTGGCGTCGAATGCCGAACCGTTCATAGCACAGCCTGTCTACCGTGCACGAAGCTTGATGCTTGATCAGTCTCGAGCTGGTGCCCCAATGACGGATCTCGTTCGAAAATGCAAGTCTACATGCATGACACATTGTATACGAAGTTGAGCGGGCTCGCTTTTAAATGCCGAGCATTCCGTGAACACCTGTGTAGATGGATTTTAGAGCGACGCATCGACGCTGCTGACGTACACACAAACGCGTGATCTTCAAGGCCGGAGCCATCATAAATATCCCAGGGATGTATGGTGCGGTAAATAAGGCTCGCAGGGCGACACCGTGCAGGTCTTCGGGGGCGGGCGTCTAGGCTAGAGCACCTAGGACGCCGCTTTGCATGTCGGTACATCGTCAAGTCGAATTACGGAGCAGGATATTCGTTCATGAATTTCTAGGAAAACCGTTCCATGTGTATATATGGGGCATGGCAGCCATTCTGGACTGCTGAACCGTCTCATACAAGTGTCTTGCTTCAAACATGGATGAAATACACGCTGTCATGGTCACTGTTGTTTTCCATCGCAAGTCTTCAGCGTTTCAGATCCGTGTTTACACGAAGTACTGCGCGATTCCCTCAAAGGTTCGTTGATCACCAAGCTGTTGGGCGCTGTGCGAACACCGGACATTCCCGGATGTACATCGAGGTATTTTGCTCCTGAAATCTCGCTTTTGCAATCCTCTGGTCGTCAATATTCTCGCCAGCTGATGTTCGCTCGGCCTGACGTACACCGTCTCGTGTATCCGGCTCTGTTTCAGGTGCTTTTTCTCTGCCTGTTTCATTGAGCACCCATGCTATTGATGCGAGGGCATCGTCCTGAATGCATCTACGGGAGTCGTATGGAATCGATTCCCGCACTCGTTGGACGCCGTCCACAAGTCCGCAAGGGTGCAGTCATCGCGCGCTCCAGTGCTTCCAGCGCCATTGCCTGGCACCCAACCACACGACATATCGGAGATTTTCGTTTACAACTCTTAGTCGAAGTGAGTGCATGTACGCTTCTTGCTTCTGTACAACCGAAACTGTTGGTGACCTCCGCGCGCTCGTATGAACGCCCCGTAACGATCGTCCGCGTGCGCCGCTTGATCGCTCGTGTTCTCTCTGAACGGTAGCATACCTTCAAACAGTGCCCACTTTTCTGGGCCAGTACCATGACTGGAAAACGTCGACAATGCGCGCCTCATAAAGCGCCCGAACTGAACCCGGACATGATGTTGCTTTCTGAGGTTTGCCTGGTACGTTTTAGGACCGGCACCTCACATACTTCGATCGTCGAGATGGCGCGGCGACGCGGCAAGATATGCTGGTACGCATATGCGCAAAACGCTGATGCCTCGCTCACGTCGAATCGCATCATCTGCTCTGAACATTTGTGTCGTGTTGTCGCGCGAAGGTTTGATCGAAAAATCGAGTGGAGTGTAGACAACTGGCGATCTCGCTTCCGAAACTTGTATGAACAATCGGTTGAGGAGACGCGTCGAGGCAGGAAACAGAAAAGCCAGGCAAGACGAGCGCGGTGAAGGGGGGTTGCGATCCGTAAAAGTACGCAGCATATTTTGGTGTCGCGAACGCGAAAGATTCGTTTAATCATCGATGAACATAGAAATGCTCTGGGATGTCTTGGAAAAACGAATTCGTTTCGATTGAGCCAGAGAAAACAAGCCAGCACAGAGACCAGCTCAACTGCGATGCCAGCTGCGGTGTCCTTGACCGCTCCTGATTGACGCAATCCGATGATACCTACGAGCCGGACGGAACAAAATGGGAAAAAAGAAGCCACAGAATACGTCGACCAAGCACGAGTTGTTGAACGATCTTGTCCGTTCGGCGACGATTCGGTGATCAAGGGATTAAATCGCTGCTAGGGCTGGTGTTGTCGTCCGTCCCGTTTCGCTCGTCTTTCAGAACAGTGGTTTGCTCCGGTTTGCGTAGCCAAGTGCAGGTGTACCATTTCCCCCGAAGGACATTTCGTTGCACGAGATGAACTCTCGTTCGTCCTGTGATAAGCGCTCGCGTTTCACGACGAGATCAGTCTTGCGCTCTTCGACGCGTGACTATCTAGCATACAGGCGTGCTTTTCGATTCGTATTTCTGGGTCTCTTCATCACCGTTGTCATTAGCGGTACGGAGGCGTCAAAATCCAGCGGTGACTTTGGTAGTATTTCTTCATCCAAGTACGCTACACAATCAATCGGCAAGGAAACAGTCGAAGAGAGGTTCTGGAGGGTTCTACTGCGGGAGACTGACGTGTCGGATCAGAGCGATGAGAAAAGCGGTTCATGCCCCAGTTCATTATAGAAGGACAGGCACAGGTGGGGCCGTTCTTTTCGCGAGCTACCACAGACAATACCAATTCATCCAGCGACTGTAATCGGATCGACACGATGCATTCTTTTTATCGAATACCTGCAAGAAAACCAAACAATAACCAAAAGAGCGTGCTGGTACGGGTAATCGGACATTCGCTGCTCTGATTGCAACCAAAAACATCTCAGGAATTGACGATTACTCAAGATACTGCAGGCGCTGGCTCCAGTAGTAGCAGCGTGCATCTGGCCAATCGCCGGCAAAAATTCCGGACATGCGGAAGCGGCACGGCTTGATCCCGACGCCTGCGATCTATTCCTCTATGCGTCGAATGCTTGGGGTGCTGGTGTGCTCTCAGATGCGCAAGAGGGTGGCGCAATATGCCCACGTTCAACCCAAATTGCCCTAAAGTCGATGTATAGACTCGATCGCGACATATTTACAAGCTGTCTGTGGTCAATGTCGCTCGAGGCGTATCCTGGTGCTTTGTTTGCATTACGAATCGCAGCTGTACGGAGCATCCACTTGATCAGCTTTCTGAAGCGAAATCGACAGCTTGGGAGCTGTGAATCTTGGACGTACCGAGCACCGCTCGGTATCTTGAGCATCGCTTGCACAGTGTTGCGGTCAGCAGGGAACCGCTTGCGTAGTCGCAATCAGCGCATTTGCTGGCGCAGTAGAGGCAGTTGCTCTGTATACAGGGACTGTCGAAGAGATTCTACAACTCGAGCTCGCTGAAGTGGTTCGTTGCACCACAGCACTTATGGAAAAGGATGGAACACTTGCTGTTCCTTGGCGCAAAACGGATCAGCACCGACTCCACATGGAGTTCGCAATCCAAATCATAGTCAGCAAGGTGCCAAAGGAGACTCTCAACTCGTCGTTTTCCTATAGTGGAGTGCACTACGCTGTTCGCTATGGATACAGTAGTAAAAATCCGGGGTCCGCGGCTTGGCGACGCAGCCCCAACTGAAATTAATTATTCGGAAAACGACCTTAGCAGCGACGTAGGATGTGATGGCATGCTTCAGACGGGCGTCAAACTTGGGGCACGCTTTTCCAATTGCCAGACTCGAACTGGTCTTTTTTCCTGCGTTCCCCAGGAGATCAATGAAAGCGCTCCAACCAGACCGGTAGCAAGTAACAAGCGATAGGTAGCGGGCACGCTCTCTGTTCAGGGTGGCGCAGAGAGTCGAAGCCTCCACGTGTCCCGCACGAATCGAGCATATGAATACAGCGGGGAACCGGTGCATATCGACACAGCATCGCTTCGATGCTTGCAGCATTTCGTAGTACATTCCAGGTCCAGATCGATACACTGAGGAACCGTCGTCATTGCACAGGAATGCAGCCACAACAACTGTAGATTTGCGTCTCATGCGCGGTGCTGCTGGCAAAATGCTCGGTTGTACTGCCTGTGGCGTCAGTGCTTTACAGAGGCACTGCTCGGGGTTTCGGAAGCCGCAGCGTGCTCGCCCTCTGAACCCGAGCTCTCAAGATACAGGGCCAACATCGGCCTCCCGGACGGGGCGTCACGAACAGTTGCGCGCCATGGCAGCTGAATAAGCCTTCGTGCTCGCCAGCGCTGCAGCTCAAACTCTACCTGTTTCAGCAAGGATGGCGTGACTGGTCGATGTCGAACAACATCAGCAATTGCTCGGTTGACCCAGCGTATCTCTCTGCTAGCCTGATCCAGTGCCTGATCGAGCTGCGCCTCAAGACGGTTTGCAGGCTCCTCCTTTGAATCGCTGAACTTGTCTAGTTCGCGTTGCTTATCAGGTAGCGCGGTCTGCTGTATCCATCGGTGCCATCGTTGGCGCCACCATGCGCTCGTCAGTGCCGTCTGAATGCACGAGTTTGTCAACCAGAAGAGCAACACCGCCGAGGGCAGGTTCACGACCCCCGGCGTTATCACGAGCACCGCACCTTGGAGCAACACTTTCAGCGACTGGCTCTGTAGCCAGTACTGCTGTGTAGGAGGCGATCGCGTTTCAGCAGAGGTATTTCCGGCCTTACTGAAAGGCATCAAGGGGAAGCTGTACTCCAAGTTCCGCAACATGAGCACCATATTGCATAACGGCAGCAAGTAAAAGGGATCCGGTTCGGAGAGATCTTTCAACCAAAGACCCGGCAGCGTCCCGCCAAGGTCACCTGCCAAAGCGAGCTGTCGAACTCGCAGTGCAGCGAAGACAAAAGCTGGCAAGCCGACAACGCGTCCCCAAGGTACAAGCGCTCTCCAGCGACTTGTGCCGTACCGTTGTAACGCTTTTCGTTGCAAGCACGTCAAACTCGAAAGAAGGTCATCGTTCGAGGCACTGGTCCGATGATTCAGTTGTACTTGGCTCGAACGGGTCAGCAGTTGGTAGGCAGCGGAAGCGAGTCGTTGCGCCTCACGCAAGCGTAGCCACTGACGGGCCTGGTAGGCCTCCAGTGGAAGGGTTATCAGTCGCAGTGCTATTGCAGAGCCCGTCAACCAGAGCACCGTCAGGCCCCCAGAGCGTTTAGTTTGTTCTGGGTCGTGCCCCGCGGTCATAGGTCGGCTTGGCCCGAGTCCCAGCGAACCGCGATACTCTCTAGCGTCAGTACGAATGCGGCTGCAGAGCAACGTTACAGGAACGGAGCACTGCAGACCGTAGACCCGCTGTTCTAAAGACCGTCACTGAGCGGTGCGTTGACCTACGTTGGGGAACGCTCTCTATGACTGTCTACAGGCTGCCTGCTTCAATCAGTTTCGACGAAGTGATTCAGCGAGTCTCACGAGAAAACGTTGGGGCAGTCGTCCGGTGCGCGGTCGGTGAAGAGCAGCTCGTGGTTGCGACGAGTCACCGTCAAGAGGCATGGACCGTGTTGAAGAGTTTTTTGATCAACAGATGCGTTCCGATGGAAGCAAGGGAAGAGGAGCCAAGTCTTGGTCTCGAAAAGCCACAGTACTGGGATCGCCTTCCTGCGAACGGACGCACTCCAATGGAACGAAGCGACCATGGGCGCGGTCTGGAGTTTCAGAAGTCGAGTCAAGATGATCCCGTTTTCGAGAAAGAATGCCTCTTGTCCGGTTATGGTGCACAAGCGCCCTCTCAAACCGGGACAGAGAGTTTGCAGATACCGCAGGTCGCTTTGCTCGAAGAGCCTGTGCCCCCAGCGTACTTGAAGAAAGCTGAAAACGCAGCAGTGAGCTTTTGTGGTCTGGTACGCAAGGATCGACTTTCCAGCGATAGGGTCGTGTCGGCACTTGTTTACGAAAGTTACAGAGAAATGGCAATGCTCTACATACATCGCATCGCTGCAGAACAAAACCTCCACATGTTTGTCCATACTGTTGCAGGAAGCGTGCCCGTGGGTTCCGTCTCCGTGCTGGTGACTGGCCCCTCAGTGGAGAGCGTACGTCTGGCGCTTGAGGCTCTCAAGCGCTATGTACCTATCTGGAAAGAAGACGTCAGTGTTCCATGCATTTAGCATGAACTAGAATACCCTCGATGACACCCATCGTTGGCCTCGGAAGACGCATGCGGCTCTCCGCGTCACCTGCAGGCTTCGCGAGATGCAAACGTCGCTGTCGAGCAGCGACTACTCTGGATCCACATGGGCTCACACGCAGTGATGCCTCGTAAATAGGGCTTATTTGTGTAGATGAAATCTCGATAAACAATCCACTCGGGATATGCACCGCTGGCGTACAGCGATGACGGATGTAGAGCGACAGGATGATACCCTGTACGGATGATCCGATAGGATCGCTGACCTTCCCGACGCGCTGCATGCCGGAAGAAACCCACACAGATACATCTTTGAACGAGCTCCAACAATCGTTCTCTCGTTGAGACTTCCGCAGGTATGCTCGCAGAGACCTGCGCTGCCAACGCGTCCAGCTGCGGCGCATTCGCTGCGTATAGCGGGGTGCACTCCAGCAGCTGCATGAGTTGAGTGAAAGCATCTGCAGCAGCGGACAGCAAACGTTCATTGAGATGATGCTGGATGCACCAGCGCTTTCGCAGCGGCGGTGCCTGCTGCAGATACTGGTGCAGTATGCGCCCAGCGGTAACGAGGTCGCCAGCACGCTCCTCGACAAAGAGCTGCTGCCAGTGCCTCTGAACATCGATCCGGCGCTCCCCGGGCAGCACAACCAAGAGTCCACTGCTCCATGCATCCACACTGAGCATCGCTGCAATCTCCACTACCTGGGAGAGCACCATAGGCTCGTGCAGCGCCTTGGCGGCCAACACCATACGCGCTTCCATCGGCTCCAACGGCAGGCCAGCCATCTGTCGACCGAGCAGCGGGTCCAGTTGAAGTTGATCGTCCAGGGCTTCAAGCTCGTGCAAGTGAACAAGTGCGCGTTCCATGCTGGATCGCGGTGGTGGATTCACAAGCGGCAGTTTCCAGGGCTGATCCATACCCATGGCATACAGTTGCAAGAGTGTGCTCGCCAGATCGCAACGGCATAGTTCGGGGACTGGATACGCGCTGAGCTTTGGCCACAGCGTCTCTGGATAGAGCCGAATGCAGATGCCACCGCCGGCTTCGCGTCCAGCGCGCCCCGCCCGTTGCAAGGCTTGTGCTCGACTAATGGGACGAACCTGCAAAACATCCGCATCCAGGGATGGATCCAGGATGCGTTGTTTGCTCAAGCCTGTATCGATAACAAAACGCACTCCGGGAATCGTCAGCGATGTCTCGGCAACATTGGTCGCGAAAATGACCTTGCGAGCAGCAACGGATCCAAGCGTCTGCGGACGGCTCTGATTGATCGCAGCTAGCTGCTGCGCTGGAGGCAACGTAGCGTACAAGGGTACCGCAAAGAGCGGCGCGCTTCCCGGACCCCGTCGCCGGAGCCTTTCTGGGAGTAGCTTGACGGCGAGTTCGATCTCCTCTTGGCCAGTTAGAAATACTAGAATATCCCCAGGCACGTTTTCCAGATGGAGATGAAGTTGAAGGACCAGGTTCAACGCCGCATCCAGATGCTCTGCGCAGTAGTCCGCTGTGTAGAGAATATCGACCGGATGGAGGTTCCCTGGTATCGAACACACGCTGACCGGCCCGATCGCTGCGCTTTGAAAGTAGCGCAATAGCGTCGTCACGTCCACTGCTGCTGACATGAGCACCACCCGGAAAGCGTCCGTCGCACAGGTCGGCTGCTTGCGGCGTTCGATAAGCGCTCGACGTGCAACCGCCATTAAAATGTCCGTCTGTATGAGACGTTCGTGTACTTCATCGATGACCAGAGACCCATAGCGACGAAAAAGCGGATCGCTGATGGCCTCGCGCAAGAGTACACCACTTGTGGCGTACCGCAAACGAGTTTTCTCGGGATCGGAGCAGTCGTCGAAGCGGACTGCATACCCCACGTATGTTCCGAGTCGACAGGATAGCTCCTGACTGACGCGTCTGGCGACGCTGATGGCTGCCAAGCGACGTGGCTGCGCTATCGCGACGGGACCGAAGCCCTGTTCATCGAGGAAGCGGGGCACGAGTGTTGTCTTGCCGCAACCAGTGGTGCCTAGTAGAAGCACAACAACGTGGTTCTTGACGGCGTGGATGATTTCGTCTCGGTGCTTCCATGCTGGTAGCTCCGTTGCGTTCGTTTGCTGTCGCATCGCTCGCCCTCTGCCTGAGAGCCTGGCGTTCAGCTGGTGCACCGAAGAGCCACAAGCGGTACGCGATCTGCAACTTAGGGTGTCCCACGTGTCCGTTTAAGAGTACAGTGCGACGCGGCAGCAGCTCATACGACTGTGCGCTGCAACTGGAGGCGTCCCCGGTGTCCGTTCAAGAGTGTGGAGAGACGCCCCAGCTTGTCACTAGATTTTTAAACCCTTCCTGGCGAAGTATTCGCAACCAGTACCACTGCGATGCGTTTCACTATCACGAGAAACGGTTCTCAGAAAAAGCATACGACGACTGGGCTATGTGGTTATCAGAGCGAAAACGCTTCGCGTCGTTACGCTCAATGTATACCGACGTGCTGCCGCCTTCCAGTGTTGCACGGCCTGCCTGCCTGCCTGCCGGCTGCTACCTGTTTCTGTTTATCCATATGCAATTCGAGTTTGAGACGCTGACCCCACAACGTTGGATCGGGTCTGCTCATCGGGTCCCGTTTTTGGCACCGCAAATCGTCTGATATTGATAGCAGCGTTTTCGTCCCTGTTCACGAACTCCATGCGTTTGTTGGAGCTCGTTGAACGCACCAGTGCACGGAGTCCTCGAACTCGTGCCCTCTGTGCCATTTGCTGCTCGAACAGCGCTCCGGGCTTTTCTATATCCGAAGTGCTTCGCTGACGTTCCTCCATTTCGGCCTTCAGGAGTTTACATCCCGGCTCATCCCTTAATTTCTTTAAAATGAGCTTACTCCTTTATGCTCTCGCCAGAGGACCCCCCTCGGAGCGAGAAGGATTTGCGGAAGCAAGACGGCATTTGCCCTGGAATCACCGTGTGCTGAACGCTTCAGTGAGTCGCTCTGTGAAGCGATCATTACGTTTCACGATAGGAAACACCCGTTCGATTGGTTTGAATCACGGAGCGTACGGCGGAACGAGAAGCAAGCCTATCCCTATAGAATCGGCAAAATCTCGAACGGAGGAGGAAAGATGAAATACCTCGTTGTCCAATAGAAAGATGTCGCCAGGCGTCTGAGAAAAGTCCTCAGTGATTTGACAAAATGCATGGTGCTGTTGCATGAGCCTTCTCTAGGAGAGAAACGAAGGCCGCCAAATGTATCTACTGTAGCGAGAACAGGTGATGATGTCTCAGTTCGCTTCGATTTCGATCGCACATACAACGGGCTCCGTCTCCACGGGTACCTATACATGCTCTGACCGTTCTGTTCGAAGGAAGTTTCATCGACTGGAAAAACAAACCCACATCCCTGTGCTTCATACGGATGGCGACTTCCCTGGAATGCTGTAATGGACATTTCGGTTGAAGATGGCCGTGAATGACATTGGACTTTATATGCGACTGTACCCAAGTATTTTCAGGACCGCACCAACGAGGTATTCAGATACGTAGACGCTCTTGGCAGCTACTGTCGTCGCTTTTGTTCTCCGTAAGGCGATTAAAGAGCCGTTTCATACGATTGATTGCGGGCAGTTTTTCACTGAGCCAGTTTTGGCGCGGAACGCATGTACCTGTTTCTTTCAGTGTTCCTCAGATATCTGAGCACAGTGTTATGATTCACCCGAAGCAGGAATGCAGTTCTCCCTGAACTATTCAGTAACGAATATATCCTACAGTCACCTCGTCTGCAAGCTATACAACACATGCCATCGTGATTTCGACCTCCTGCTATTCACCGCATCTGAGGGGAAACACAATTGAGTTGGAAGACTAGAAAACAGAACGGGCCCTATAACTCGGGCATACATATTCAAATGCTGTTGTCTTCTCCATACCATCCTTATTGGCCTTTGCGAACGTTTTCTATGCCTGCTTGCTTTTCCCATCTTTCATATCCGGCATTGATTAGTAGGTTCTCTGCTGCGCTTCCAGGTCCGTTGTCAGCGATCCAAGCATTTTGGTGGCAGCGTTCGAGTACCGATTTCGACACTTGCGGCTGTGATTGACGCATTTCATGACCCCAAAGCATCTGTGAACGATGCGTCGCCATCTGCGTTCATCACTTCTGGAAATAGTCCTGGTACTCCGTTCGTCGCAGTGACCGGAGGTTGTGGTCGGGTGTTCCCGCATGTCCGCTACGCTTTCCCCTACGAGTGCTGCATTGTGGCGCGAAAATGCTTGCTTTACCGTCCGATACATCCAGGTCAGAGAGCAGAGGTTTCGCCTCGCTGCTCTTCTCGGTTTCCTGCCCAGTGCAATGCACAACGATCATGAACTTTTTCTGAGCGATACCATTGGCGAGTACTCTGTCCGCGGTACAAACAAGCGTACGCTGTTCCATTCTGTAGACGAGTTGTGGAATCCGATGTTGACCATGATGAAACAATTATGAAAAAGCGAATGCAGGCTCGAGACCAGGACGAGAGCTTTCGCTTCGTCTGCACTTGCTTCAAGCAAAGCAGCGACGCACGCCCCACTGGTACTGATCTCTGGAATGTCTCAAGTCGGAGTCCGGGGTCTTTCTCCACGCAAAAAAAAAAGAGATGGGCGCCTCTGCAAGCATATCCCGTGAGCGGTCTCCAGCTGTTGTGGAATCTCGTCTAGTCGACGGCCACAAGAGAGACGCATATGTTGTTCGCATGGAATCGATAATTTCACGTCAGCAGTGGGGTGAATGTTCGCGAGGAGCCTTGCGAAAGAGCCGTCGAGAGACGACGTCGTTTTCTCTTTCCGTCGTGAATTCAGGTGCGCAAACTGCTGTGCCCTCGAGTCGCCTTGGAACAGAAAGCTCGAAAACTTGGCATAATGCGTGACAAGAGCACGCTTCACATAGCAAAAGACAAGTGCAGAGACTTGTACATAGGAATTGGGGAACGACATCGATTATTTTTCGAATCATGATTCGATGCCATTGCGAATCATTTCGGTTCCGGTAATATACGAATTCCAGCGGCAAAGCGTCGAAAGAGCCACATCGTAAAGGTGACCGAGAATCCGAATACCACCCGTAGATCCGCTAGCCCATACTGATAAACTTCGAATGCCGGGGCTGTATATCTAAACCAATTTTTGCCAAAATAGAAAGGCTGCGACAGAGCAAGCGGTTTCGTGTTCCATTTGAATCTGACACGGGGGCATGGGTGGGTAGTTTTTCAGGGAACTTGCTCCGTGCACAAGGCTACTCATAGTCCATGCAGGTTCTCCCGACTAGTGCTGATGGCAGATACGCGTTCCTACGCGCACATAGGTAAGCTATGGTTCTCTCCGTCTTTGACAAGCTTAAGTTATCGGAGGCATGCTCCACGGGGCGAAAAGATCTCCCGCGCAGTGGTGTTTCAGACCCACGGATGAAGGATAGCGCGTTAGTGCGACGTACCCATTTTTGCCTGCAGCCCGAAGTGGATCCACACGAACAGATACACGAGATTCGCCACAACATAGCCAAAATGGTGTACACTGTGGCGCCTTTCCGGAGTCTGGGGTCGTCTTTTCCCCCGACGCGTTCGAGTAGTGCCGCCCAAAATAGACTCAGCTGGTAGACGCTGGGGAAAACCATGGCAGGGACGCCTTCCGCTTCCTCATTCATCCATGGAGCCTAATCGGACGACTGGACACTTTGCATTATCTGCACATTTCACTTTCAGCGATTGCCGCCGAACGCGCACAACGCCTGCGCATCATTCTTCCAGAGCGCACCGCTCGTACCCCGTTGAGCCAAAACCCGGCTTTCAGCTCGTAAAACGAAAGCCATGAGCCTGTAGCGTGCAAAGCAGCCGTAAAAAATCCTCCAAGCTCATCTTCGCTGCACGTGTCTGCAGCAGCCCCTGTTCCGACAGTATGCCGTGAATCTCCGTACGCACAGCTGTGAGTGCAGATCCGTCCTCAGCTTCCAATGGCACTGTGTCCATCACGTCTGGAGGAGGCACGAATGAGCTGGCAGCGTTTTCGTTCTCATCGGTATCGTCTAGTGCCAAGTCGGTGTCGTTCACCATCTCCATCAGCGCCGACGCTGTTGTATCCGCAGAGGTCGTGTTTTGAGACTTTGCCGCCTCATCCCGAATGCGGGCTCGATTCGTTTGAAGCAGTTGCACAACCCGCGACTGACCAAAGAGACTTCCCAAAGTTCGATGCTTGCGAGCGAAGCAGAGTCGCAGCAATCCATCCCATTCACGGAAATCAAGGGGAGGTGCCGGCTGTCGCAACTGAATACGGACGACGCTACTGTCGACCCGTGGAGGAGGTCGAAAACTGTTACGGCTCACTTTCATGAGGTGTTCTACGCGGGCCAAGAGCTGCACATTGACAGCTAAACGCCCATATGCTGGATCACCAGGTCGAGCAATCAGCCGTTGCGCAAACTCGCGCTGAAACATGATCACTGCGGAGCGAAAGGCAGGTCGATGCGCCAGCAAACGGAACAAGAGCGGTGACGAGATCTGGTACGGTATATTGGCAACGAAAACGTCGAAGAATGGCCAGTTTGCACGAAGCACGTCACCGTGGATGACCTCCAAGCGACTAGCAAGTTCAGGGCCCAGTGCTTGCACCCGTTTTGTTAACTCGATGATCATGCGCGGATCGACCTCAAAAGCGACCACTTTCTTCGCATACTTGAGCAGACGCACGGTTAGGTTGCCGGTACCTGCTCCAACCTCTAGCACGGTGTCTGTGGGTCGAAGCTGAGCCTTCTCCACCATGGCGTCCGTGACGGCTGCATTTTTTAGGATATGCTGACCCCGCGACTTGTGGAATGGAAAGCCACGAAACTGCTTTCGTTTCTCCACGCTCCGTTTCGGAGACATTCTTGAGCACCACTAAAAGCGCTTCTTCATGGACACGGGAAAGCGTTCGCTGCACCGTCGAAAGCTTTGTACATCGAACGAAGCGAAACGTGTTGACGGCTACCAGAACGCGGAAACGCTACAGACAGAAGCAGCCTTGTCGTTGGGGTTGTTCGGCGTGTCTCTAAAGCGCACCGCCGGCGGCGGCGGCGGCGACGTCGCTACATGCAGGAGTCCACGCTATGCCATACCTATGTTCGATGACAATGGAAAACAGCACGGGTCCATCTATTTTTACCTTTCGATTTTCTTCCGGAACTTTTCTTAGTTGCACGGCTACGACATTGAAATGCATGGCAGAGCTATGCTGGATTCATGGGTAGAACGAGGATTTTCGGTCGTCTCATTGGAGTGGCTCCTGCGACGCTTTCCCACTGGAGTTCGTGACGTTACCGGCGTCAAGACCATTGGCGACGCCCTCGAACTAGCGTTCGTTACCTAACCGATATCGTGATCCAATATATGGGTGCAGGCCTCCGATGTTCTCCTTTCCTGACGTTTAGCAAGCTCAAATCATGCATTCTCCAAGAATTCGATTTTTCGATTCCAAGTCGAATCGAAGGTGCAGCAATGTGCAGCGCTGGATGGACTAGGTAACGCAACTGACGACGTTCGTTGACGGATTCTTCACAAGCGCATGCCGAAAGTTCTTTGAACTTGTCACATCCAGTAATCGTTTCCATTCGAAATACGAATACTTGCATGTTCGTGCCTGTAAACGAAACGGGATTCCATTGCAGCTTGATAGCTCTCACGGAATATGCTCACAGCGGCTATCATCTTGCCCGTTTGCGTGGCAAAGAGTCTTGCATTTGGAATCCAATCACTGCCGCGATCACTTCCAGCAGAGCGTGCGTCCTCGCAGTGTACAAGCCAGCATAGACCGATCGAAATTTCTCGACGCGATCTGCAGCCTAGATTCTCCTTCCAGTACTTGTGCTCTGACAGACATGAGTGCGTTCCACAAATCCTCTATCGAGTAGAGTGGCGTATCCCTTCTGCAGCGAACCGAGTACTCGTCAAGGGGATCGCCCAGGAAAAGCCCGTGATGCCAAGGTGCGGTACCAGGCGCCGAAATGGAGCAAGGCATCGAGTAGAGCCTCTAGTTCCCGTCAAGGGCATGTAGCGTGCGATGAAGTAAGCGTTCACGCGCCACGGGATGATCCTCGTAGGCAAAAGCGGTGTGCTTGACATCTTGGAGCACCTGAGCGTCGCCGAATTTCACCTTTTGCGAAGCGCCTCGCTGTGTCCAAAGAAGATGAACATGGAAAGCGAAATCTAGACCGCAACTACTGTCTTTCTCTGCGATGTGTTGACAAGAGCCGAATGCGGCGAAATCAGGACTGCAAGGCTGCCACCAACATGTTTCGACTGCTGGCAACGGAGCTAGACGTAATCGACAGACCTGCGCGTTTCCATCCGAGGGAACAGAGAGGAATAGGAAGTAGAAGCAGATATAGACAGCTCGACCAGTGTTCAAGCCACTGCAAACAGCGTCAAAGTTTAGCGTATACGCCAGAGACGCACGACCCGTTCCAAATAATGCTGACACGGACGCGGCCTCACTTCCACGGAGCAATTGTACTCAGACTGTTGTCGTAAGCAGCAGTGTACCTGCAGGAACCTGGATCCCTTTCGTATTCCCCGAAACCACTTTAGCACCCAATGCGAACCTGTTCAGACTCATGCATCTCACACCATTGAGGTTGCAGGTGTCGCTACGACCTTCTGGGCAAGGCTGGATACCCGTAGCGTTGCGCGGCTCTCACCTTGTGATCGTGCCCGGCGAGAAGACGGGGTCGAGCAGTTGCGGCGTGTTCAGTCACCTTCCGAGAGATGAAGCTCTCTTCCCTGACCACAGTCTGCAACTCCCCAAGTCAGACCGAATTCTAGTTCGGCGCTTCGATCTTGCTTGTAGAGGGAGAGTCGCTCGGCAGTTTGGCACAGCGGCTCTGTGAGGGCGCCTCCATCGCCAGGGCGCAGCGCTTGCGCCTAGCCGTACTGTCGCTGCGTCTCGGTGAGCGCTTCAGGGCCAAGTCCATCAGTGCGACTGTTACGGACGTGCTTTCAGTGAGGTCTGGAGCATGCCCGGGACCAAACGGCAACGCACAGGAAAAGCAACCGCAGCGTCTCGTGCCTCCGGGTCGGAGACGACCGAAGTGGCAAGCGTTTTCGTGGCAGCGCCGGCTGCGGCCTCTGATGGCGCTACGAGCTCCCCGGTCGATTTTTTGCGTGATCAACTTGCCCAAGGCGACTGGAAAACTATTGAAGAATGGTTGGAAGCGGTCCCTGTCACGATCAGTCGAGCGTCCCAGGTTGAGTCGGTCCTCGAAGCGCTAGAGGGGTACGTCGCAGCACGCCGCGGGGAACCGTTGACACCGCGGGAGGGTCTGACGCTCATTCGAGCGCTCTGGCGTGGACTCATGGCTCGCACTTCTGGAATGCGGGACTGGCAGTTGCGTGCTCGAGCTATGCGACTGTTGAGTGCAGCGCTACCAGTTGACGATCGCTCGCACGTGAACTTGCGGAATGCGTATGCTTCTCTGGCACCGGGTTCGCACTGGCCTCGGCAGATCCCGAACGTTGAAAAAGAGGGAGCGGCGCTCCACGCGTCAGCATTTATATCCAGATCATCGCGCTCGACCAATGAAACAGATACAAAGGCGGATATTACCAAAACGACGACGATAACGATGTCTGGTCCCGAGCAGTCCCACGCAGACACAACGAATCACTCTGATGATCAGCAGAAGCGAACGCATGCTTCTACGCAGGGAATGAGCACGGAATCTACTCGCCCGGAGCAGCAGCCGAGCATGGCACCGAGTCCGACTGCACTTGCAGCTCTGTTGCGGATGCTCGGAGGTAACGTTCCTGTGGACGCAACTGACGCCAGCCGCGTTCTGACTGATTTTCTCCCTGCACCTGGCGATGGCGTTGAAGACAAGAGCTCCGACATATCGAGTTGGCATCGATCGATTCATTTCGCTGGTGTTCAGCGATCGCTCATCCAAACCTACAACTGGGTCGAGGCCTGTGCGGTGGGCGCTCTCGACGCCAGCCTTCTGGAGCAACTTCGCACGGATGACTGTTTCCAGCTCTTGCTTTTGTTACGGATTTGGATGTTTAGCCTGCGCGTTGACCATCCTTCATGGGTTTCATTGCGGAAAATGATATGGCAGCGACTGGAACACCTAACGAGTCCTCGTTCTCTCCATGTACTTCGACATATTTGCCAAGACGAAGAACATCGATGGATGGTGTGGAAAGGTCGCGGATGTCCTCGCTTTGAGCGAAATGCGCTCGAACCGTGGGATACATCAGATGCTCCTGGCGATACCGCTGGTGCGACGGATGCCCAGATGAATGGGCCAGCGTTGCCGTGGTTCCTCGTAGAAATGCGATCCGCTCCAGGACAAGAGAATCTGAATGAAACGCATGGTCGTCTCGAAATCGGCAGCCTGATCGGCATGAAGGAAGCGCTGACACCTCCGGTGACGGCGTGGTTTCGGTGTCGATATGCGCGAGCATATCGAATAGATTGGCTTTTAGCGGCAACGGAACAGCAGCTGCCGCTCGAAACTTTTCTGGACACACAATTCGTTGACCTCGGAGCATCCACATCTGCAGCGCGAAGCGACGTCCTGCTGGGAAGCACACAGTACGGCTAGTTGCGCGCTGACACTCGCACGGTATCGTGAGCGGATCCTGCATTGGTGTACGCTGGCCATAGCTTGTGAACGAGCCACCCTTCCAGACTGGAAATGCTTTCGGCGGCAGCGTCTAAAGTGCGCAGACTTCAGACACCGGCGAGCTGCGCCCCAGCGACACTGCAGATATGCATAAGCGACGCAGGAAGCCGTTTCCGGTCTGCATGTCTCATGGAGGTGCAGCGTTCTCGAAATGGTATTGGCGCTCCCGAACCTGCTGGTGAACACGAGCCTGAAAGGCGGCGGGGTCTTGCACCAGCATCTCGGCGGCTGCAGCGTTTAGAGCATCGTTCGGGTTCGGCTCCAGTAACAAGTGCAAAAGCCCTTGAACTAGCGATACGAGCGTATACACGGGTCGCCAGTCCTCACGTAAAATACTCAGACAGACCGCACCGTGTTCGTCCAGGTTAGGGTGCCAGACAGCGTCGAGGCAGCGAACCAGTGGCGGCTCGAAAGGATACGTCTCCAGCACCGTAAACGCAAAGCGAAAGCACAGACCCTTGTACCAGCCCTCTGCTGGAGACAGCGTTACGATAAACCGGGAGATATCCGAAAGGTCCGGAAACTGCAGCTCGAGTTCCGGTGCAGTCACGCCGAGCTCCGTCAAGTCCTGCTGGAGACGCTGTTGACTCAGCCAGCGTAGCGACGCGGGTGTTGGCACTCCAGCTACCTGGGAACTCGGTTGCGGCGGGGTGCTCGCCAGTTGCGAGGTGCTGCGAACTTCGTCACTTTTGTCTGCATCGTCTGTGGTTTGTGCGTCTTTCCATTCGGCCAGACGCAGCATAGTACCGACCGCAAACAGACAAGCGCTACGGGTGTTGAACCCTAGAGTCCAGCGCAAGCGCGAGCTCCGTAGGTGCAGCGCCGGGCGTCCTGGAAACACCCGGTGGATCAGAAGGCTCTGACTGCTACCTTTGCATCGTACACATGTCAGGCCGCTGATCTCTTGACTATGCGGCCTCTCTCCTGTGCAAAACAGATGGAGGATGAGGGAGCCTGTCTCCAAGCGATGGCCCAGAGCATACCTGGGCCCTCGTTGTTTTTCACAGAGCACATGTCGTGACTGCAGCTTCGTGTTTACACGTTCTACATCATGAACAGAGCGCTGTTCGATAAACGCGTCTTTCCAAGAGCCTGGTTACAGCCTCACTTTACCACTGGCACCCCGTCTGTCGAAACTTTCGATGCGGGCACCATACGCATTCGCGGAGAGCCCAGACACCTCGCAGAGCGATACAGATGCAATCACCACGCTGACTGAAGATACACATATATCGATTAGATTCATGATGCATCGGCAGAAGCCGTCCCAAATACGATGCCCCACGGGGACCAGTGAGAACTGAGGCTCTGTGAGTGCAACGCATTCGAGCGCGTCCCAGTATCACGCGGGTGATCCTCGCGAGCGCCTCGTACGAAACATGGAGTCTAGCGGGACCGGAGTCAAACTCGTAGATGAATCGATCACGAGACTTCAGTCGGTGTATGTTTCTATTAGACAGAGTCTAGCGGGAACGGAGTCAAACTCGTGGATGAATCGATCACGAGACCTCAGTCGATGTATGTTTCTATTAGACAGAGTCTAGCGGGAACGGAGTCAAACTCGTGGATGAATCGATCACGAGACCTCAGTCGATGTATGTTTCTATCAAACAGAGTCTAGCGGGAACGGAGTCAAACTCGTGGATGAATCGATCACGAGACCTCAGTCGATGTATGTTTCTATTAGACAGAGTCTAGCGGGAACGGAGTCAAACTCGTGGATGAATCGATCACGAGACCTCAGTCGATGTATGTTTCTATTAAACAGAGTCTAGCGGGAACGGAGTCAAACTCGTGGATGAATCGATCACGAGACCTCAGTCGGTGTATGTTTCTATTAGACAGAGTCTAGCGGGAACGGAGTCAAACTCGTGGATGAATCGATCACGAGACCTCAGTCGATGTTTGTTTCTATTAAACAGAGTCTAGCGGGAACGGAGTCAAACTCGTGGATGAATCGATCACGAGACCTCAGTCGGTGTATGTTTCTATTAGACAGAGTCTAGCGGGAACGGAGTCAAACTCGTGGATGAATCGATCACGAGACCTCAGTCGATGTATGTTTCTATCAAACAGAGTCTAGCGGGAACGGAGTCAAACTCGTGGATGAATCGATCACGAGACCTCAGTCGATGTATGTTTCTATTAGACAGAGTCTAGCGGGAACGGAGTCAAACTCGTGGATGAATCGATCACGAGACCTCAGTCGATGTATGTTTCTATTAAACAGAGTCTAGCGGGAACGGAGTCAAACTCGTGGATGAATCGATCACGAGACCTCAGTCGGTGTATGTTTCTATTAGACAGAGTTTAGCGGGAACGGAGTCAAACTCGTGGATGAATCGATCACGAGACCTCAGTCGATGTTTGTTTCTATTAAACAGAGTCTAGCGGGAACGGAGTCAAACTCGTGGATGAATCGATCACGAGACCTCAGTCGGTGTATGTTTCTATTAGACAGAGTCTAGCGGGAACGGAGTCAAACTCGTAGATGAATCGATCACGAGACCTCAGTCGGTGTATGTTTCTATTAGACAGAGTCTAGCGGGAACGGAGTCAAACTCGTGGATGAATCGATCACGAGACCTCAGTCGATGTACGTTTCTATTAGACAGAGTCTAGCGGGAACGGAGTCAAACTTGTAGATGAATCGATCACGAGACCTCAGTCGATGTATGTTTCTATTAGACAGAGTTTAGCGGGAACGGAGTCAAACTCGTAGATGACTCGATCACGAGACCTCATTCGGTGTGCGGTTCCATGCCGCTTCCTTGCACTCTCCTGGACGCAGACTCTGCAACAACACTGGGCTGCACAGCCACGGGTACAAACGTGAACGCTGCTATGTGCAGGTGTGCGCCGATCCATAACGCTGCCACTTTGTGCTGGCACGTGCGCCTGTGCAACAGGTTAAGCGCACGACGCCTTTCGGGGAACTGACTTAAAGCAAACTCCGCTGCAAGTTTATGGTTTCGAGACCGGCACGTCATCAGAGACAACTTGCTTTTACCGTGGAGTCGCTGTGGTTCGGTTTTGTACCTGCGGTGTGCACACGGCAGTGCAGGTACTCGCGCTCCGCGTGGGTGCATGGTGCGGCATGCGCTACGCGCACCGCGGCAGTTATGCCATCGGCACGCTCCTCGCCTACACACAAGAAGCACTTGCGTGTGCCAGTTGCCTGTGCGAGCGTGAGCAGCCACCAGGGAACGGAGCCCGAGAGCCGCTATCCGAAACCGCAGCTCCGGGAGGCGCGCACTATCCGGGAACCACCAGCAAGTGCTGCGCTCAGTGCCGCACAGCGACGGCAGCTACGCGAGGAGGCCGAGGCACCGTTCCGCAAAGCGCGCCAGTTTCTCTATGCCGGCGGCGTTGCGAGTGCAACCATCGCCAGCGTTATCGCGCTGAGTAGCCTGGTGGCCCTCACGGGCAGTGCAACCGCCACCGAGAGCTGGTGGCAGGCTGCGCGCAACCTCGGTATCGACGTGACCTCTGGTGTGCTCTGTGCAGCACTCTACCGCTGGGACGATGTGGCTGCCAAGCGACGCCTCGAGCGCATGCAACAGGGAGCGCGCCTCGCTGCGCTACAGCTAGAGTCGGAGCCGGGACCTCGCTGGCGCTTTCCCCTCGCTTCCCTGCGAGGGCAGTATCGAGTCATCATCACTGTCACGAGTCTGGAGAAAGCGCGCGAGTGGCTCGCTCAGGCCGAGCCGCATTCGGATGCACTCATTCAGCGGAGCGTTGTCTGGGTGCCAGTCCTCTGGGACGCGGCCCGACAAACGCCTACAGTGCCGTCCAGCGCGGAAACGCGGTCTGCTTCAGGTGTGCTCGATGCTTGGCTCGTTGCCCTGGATGCCGCCCGCAGACGAGCGAATGCATTCTGGATCGCAACCCCAGCGAATCCTCAGGAATGGCTTGCCTGGATCCGGGAAGAGTGTGCGCGTGCATCGAATGTGAAACCGAGCGATGATCTCACGTTCGTCATTCGCAGGGACGGTCGCGTCGGTGCACGAATCCGCGGACTGGTGCGCCTGCCGCGCCTCATGGCGGACCTGGATCGGCTCGGGGCCCAAGCGCCGCGCTAGCTGCAGAGGCGTGGCGAGTGCCGCGCACCTGCCCCAGCACCTCATCCAGGCGGCGACAGAATCGTTCGATGTCGATATCCCGGATCCCAATGGCTGCTGCCAGGTTGAGGTACGGCACCGGATAATCCGCGATATGCGCACCGTACCCGGCTAGAAGCACCCCCTGCACGAGACGCCGCTCGGTGCCGAGCACGGCGCGCGGCCCTGAACAGCGCCTCGCGTACAGCATGCTCCCGATCGCCGTTGGCTCGATGCCGCCCTCGAGCATGGTGTGTTCCAGGCTGATTGCGAATGAGATTGGGTTATCGGGCGTGTGCAATAGTCGTTCGCCGTGCTTGGCGAGTACTGGCGCCAGCTGCGCCTGGAAGCGCTGGAAACGACGCTCGCGTTCGCGCAGCAGTCCCGAGAAGCCGTCGCGGCCGAGTTGGAGCAGTGTAATGAACAGATCCACTACCGGTGCCACGGAGGCGCGACCCGGATATAACGACTCCACTGCCTCGATGAACGTGGGGGAGGTGCCAGCAACGCCGGCGCCGCCGACGGGCACCATAAAGTTCTTGTCGAACGAGAAAATGACGGCATCGACCCGACCTAGGCGACACGCTGCGCACACGAGCCCGTTGCAGCGGCGGCTCTGCACGCCATAGGCATGGTTAATGAGGTGCGGTATGCCGTAACGTGCACAAAGCTGAGCGATAGCAACAACACGGTCAGGGGCACGCGGCGCAAAACACGATGTGGTGCTGATGACGGCAGCGTAGCGGCTGGGGTCGCTCGCTGCCAGACGCTTCTCCAACGCCTCCATATCGGTGACGACCTGGTCGCCATCGAGTTTGTTTTCCAGAACATCAATCTGGTAGCCAGCGGCTCTGATGCATTTCAGACATGCTTTCTGGTCGATGCGGATCCAGAGGACGCGATCTGCGGCGGGTCGCTGCCAGCGAAGCGCCAGCAGGCACAGCGTCATCGCCATGCCGGTGGCGATCGGCAGCAGCGCGACCCGACGGCAGCTCCTGAAACCGGCAACATGGAGCGCATCCAGCAATAGCGCCGCGCATAAACGCACGAGGATGGATGCACCGCAGGCCTTGGGCTGCGAGGCAGCCAGGTCGCCGGCCCGGCCCATGCCGTGCGCCATTCCGAAATGGCGCGCCCGCACGAGTTCGCTGTAAATACGGCCTTCGCGCTCGCCGACGTTGGCTTGGTCTATAAACTGGTTTGCGTCCAGGCCGGCGAGCTCGTCGACCAATAGACGAACGGTGTGCTCGTCGAGTCCCTGAGGCAAAAGTCTTCGCTGGGTAAGGAGTTGACGAAATAGCGCCGTGCGACTTCGGCGGGCGGCTTCGGCGACAGTAACGTAGGCCGGATCCGCTAGTGCTCGGGCTTTTTCGAGCAGATCCGCATCCATAGGTTGCGCAAGCGGACCACCAGTTTGGATCCTGGTCGCCGGCCGCGGGTGTACCTGGAACGCAGCAGCGTCGAGCGCCACCGCTGGAGAAGAAAGACAGCGGCGACGTGCGCCGGCACGAAGCCCTGGCCCTCCGCCGGACGCGCGCGCTACACTCGGCCAGCCCGGGAACGCTCCTCGGGCAAAGCGCAACGCTTATAGACGGTGCGCGTGCGCTGAAAGGACCTAGGCCGACCGTCGCTCTTCGCAGCTGCGACGTAGCAGCCTCGCAAGAGCCGATGTTGCGGACACCTTTTCCAGGTAGCGTCACGCCGTACGCGTCGCTGCTGCGGCGCTGGTCCGCCAACGCAAGTCTCTACCACCTACGACGCTGGGCTGTGCACCTTATTATTGCATGCTTGGCAGTCTATTCGACGCTGCGACTGATGGCTCCGGATCGAGGTAACCTCGCGGACTGGCTGGATGCGCTAGCCGCCAGCCGCGATAGCCCGTCGGCGGCGTTCTGGGACACCCCCTCGGCGCCGTTCCGGGCGAAAGCGGCTACCGCGGAACCCGCGTCAGCGCCGAACGCTCAGCTGGGACGCATCAGTGCGCTCGAATCACTTGCCACATTGTCAACGACGTCCTGGGCCTGGACGTCGAAGGCCCAGAATCTGACGCCCCCACGCATTTTCGTGTATCCTGGGTGGTTGTATAGTCAACTCTGGGGCGGCAGTGCATCCCAGTACGTACCAGCGTACGCTGCGTTGGCAGCGAATGCGGCGCAGCAGTATGCGCTGCACTATCCGTACCGCACTGTTGACCCGGACGCCGCTGATATCCTGGTGACGCTACTGGCGAGCGCTTCGCCCAGCGTTGCATCGCGCGGCCCCATCGAAGCTGCACGAGCGCTTTGTCGCGCACTGGCGGCGAACCGTGGCTCAGAGTCGTGTTGTCGCCGCTGTCGCCATGTCATCCTCGCAGGCGAGACTGCGCTTATCGTGTCCTCCACTGAGATGCTCTTCGACACTAGCGTGCCAAGCTTGGAAGTGCGCTGGCTCGTTCCGCCTTTTCCGAATGCATTCGACGCGCCAAGCTCCAGACAAAAGACAACGGAATCGCGGCCGTATACGGTTTCCGTGTTGACGCAGCTGCTGCCGTCCGAATCACTCTACGTGGCGTCCTGGTATGCCGAGACTGACGTTCGCTTCTTCACCAGCAGCGACGCTCTGGACCTCTGGTCGCTGGCGTCGAGCACTCGTTTCTGCTTGGTTTCGGCGAGTCCGCATTGGCAGGGACGTATCGCCGTGGCCATGAGCGCTGGCTGTATCCCGCTGTGCATTGCTGGGGACTCGGCCCGGCTTGTCCTCGGAGAATCGGAAACCGTTCTGCCAGGTTCTCCGGACCAGTGGCTTGCCGTTCTGCGTCTGTACCCCACGGAGCGGGTCGAGCAGTTAAGCGCTGGCGTCCAGGCATGGTTCCAGAGCCATCTGGGGGCCCCGGGTGCGCACGCCCTGGACGACGCTACGCCGGCGTATGCACAACAGTTAGCCATCCGATTCTTCGTGTCGCTGGCAGAGGAGCGCGCTAGCGACGAGGAGCTCCTCGCGCCGGACGATGCGAAATACACACCAGACATCGGGACGGCTTTATCGGAAACACTCGATCGTGAACTGCACGAACAGCAGTGACGCACACGCAGTAAACCCACGAGTTTCTTGCCGACAATTGCGAATCGTAATCGATACTCCAGATCACCTGCTATACTCCGATCACACGTAATTCATTGCGGAACTGATTCCGGTCTATCCGTGAAAGCGGTAACATCCCGAAAAAGAATGCGCTTTGGTGAATGAACGACAGCAAGAAAAGAAAGCACGATGTGATGCTCCAGGGCGCTGCCGCCGTGTTTTCGTTTCTATCACGCATGCACGCACGCATGCGACCTGTACACGTGTCCTGTGCACGCATATCCCGCCGCCGCTCACTCGGAAGCCATGCACGCGCGCACGCACCGTTCGCGAACTGATGCTGTGCACGTGTCCAGCGGTGATGGGCAGCGCGGAACACACGCACGGCCGCATGCGTGTCGTCGTGCAACGTGTCCGCACTAGATGAGGGCATGCCGGTGGCGCATCGCCGACGGCGTGGTGCGTATCGTATTCGGTAGTGGGGATCCATAAAGTGCTCCAGCGCAGCGCCCGTGAGGTACCCATACCGATTGCCCGGTGATGAGGACGGGCTTCGACATCCTTTTCTGGACGAGAAGCAGCATCAGAGAAGCCCGCGCCTTCACACCTGGTGCCGATAGAAGCGCCCACCTGGAGCCGGTTCATCACTGAGCTCTAAAAGCCATGCGACAGGAGCTTATCGCGCGTCCCTGTGCAAGATGTATCCCATCCAGCAAAGCACAGCACAGCACAGCACAGCACAGCACAGCGCGCTACAGCAAACGTTCCTCGCGTTACTGCTGCGTAGGGCACTGCTCGCGAGGCAGTCGGCTGTCCGCCACCTTCGCTTGGGCCGCTCGATCATGAGCGACTGGTACAATCATTGTTTCTGGCTCTGATCAGGACACATTCGTCCCTGCACGGTCGAGCGGTGTCTCTGCATCAGCGAGTCCACATGCTGCGTCTCGATCAGAAGCGTCCCATTCGTCGCCCCAGGCAGCATGCCGCGCTCTTTGATAGGTTCCGTCTGCGTGCTTGCGACGCGTATATGTGTGCTGTTCAATTTGGCCGTTGCGCTGGCAGACATGCATGACAACGTGGCCTCCACGTCGTAGCGGCTCCCGCAGAATTCGACCTGGTGGAGCCTGTGACTGCGTTGCGGCGCGCGCAGCGTCGTCGCCGTCGTCCTCCTGGACTCGTTCCAGCGCAACGTAAGCGTATCTGCGCAGAGCATGACCCCGATGCGAGGGCATCATACGTTTTCCTTCGCGATCCAGAGCGCCGAACGCTTTCAGGGATGGATCTCGATGATAGCGTTGAGCAAAATGGCAAAAGTTGTGGCGGTAGCCGTGTTCGCCCCGCTCCGCCGCGATCTTGGTATTGTGCTTCGTGCTCAGCGGACACGGACCGGAATGGGGGCACGGTGCCGCGACTTTCACGGAGGAATGGAAGCGCTGCAGTAAATGGCTGCGCACAGCTTCCATACGGGCAAAACCTTCAGCACAACCGGGCTCGATGATCACGAGCATCCCCCGACAGCGCATCCAAAGCTGCTCGAAGAAGTCGAGGCTTCGTTCGTAAGCGCCGCCATCAGATCGACAATGCACGGCGGTGATTAGGTCATAGTCGTCAGGGGATTCCAAATAGGAACGCGTTTTCGTATCCGCACGCAGCCACGTTTGGCACGCCGCGGTCGCCTCAAGGTGTGAGTGCAGGAGCACGGCATCGAGTTTCGTAGAGGGCCATGTTGCCTGAGCAGCTACGATGCCCATTCCCCCAGAGGTGCTCGCAATATCGAGGATATGCTTCGGTGACCAGGCTGGTCGCATTATGGATAAACGCAACAAGACGCTGCGCAGTGCAGCATAGTGCCCAGGTGCCTTCCAGGCGAGAAGCGCCAGCGCCTTGGCGTGACCGACATATGCAGGTGAAAGTCCTGTCACAGTGTCAAAAAGCGCCCGGCGCAGTTCTCGTATCGAAACCGGGCTTTCTTTACCTGCACTGAATGCACTTGTCAGTTCCCGCAGGATGTTTGGCGCAATGTTCTCGGGAAGCCGAGCTGCCCCAGCACCCAAGCGCCCAGTGCAGAGGCGCCGGACAGAGCTCGCGTGAGGTCCAGTTACTCGCGAGTCCCCGAATCCAGCAAAAGAAAAAGTTCGCTGAGTCAGCGATCGGTTCAGTGCGCGGGCACTTGCGAGCATCACTGAGATAGAGGTCTTCTGCCCAAAGCTCGCACGGCTTTAGTTTTTGCGGTTGCTCACTTGAACGAACCCAATCAAACCTAGGGGTACGACAGATGTGCTCGCCGCGCAGCCTACGGTCGTAGGGGCTCGTCAGCGCTGCACCAGCGTCCTCGGCGCGCACACCTGGCGTATTTCATCATCGAGAGAACCCTCCTCTGCTGCTCTTTGTGTGCGTTGAAGCACCCACGTCTTGATACGTTGGCACTTGGGAAACAGGAGGAAACAATGACTGCAGAAACGCTGAATGCGTCCGACGCACTCTCACTGCGTTTGCGGTGGCGATACAACGGAGCTGTGAACGGACGCCTGTGCTGACGTTTTTCTGTTAATTTATCTCGTTCGCACTTCAGACGCATCAACCAGCGCTCAGTCACTGGTCGAAAGCAATATCGTCCTGAAGGGAATAGAGGAGAGCTCGCAGCACCCCCAGCTTGGCCGGATACGGGGCGCTTGCAGCTTCCTCGCTTCCGACAAACTGCAGCGTGGACGCAACCAGCTACTACCACCAGCCTCGAAGCTTGCTTCGTGTCGCGCTGCAGAACAGGCGGAGGTTATGCGAGCCATTCCCGACGCCGTGTTGATGCTGCAGCTTTTTAAGGTGGCCGAGTGCTGTTTCCTCGCAAACATAGCGGCCGGCAAAGACGACTTGCGAAGCATCTTCGGAACTTGGATGGACCCACAGCCATGTAGCCCAGAAGTTGAGGTGCTATTGGGAGACGGTGGAGCATTGGCCTCGGTATCCATCGACGCCGTTTCAACAGCATATGCGGTTCGAGTCGAGAGGGCGCTGCCATGGTGACGCCAGCGGCAGCGGTGTCTGAGGACCTCGCGGCGCATACCACAGGCGCATATCACCAGCAGCGCACTGCTTCCCATGCGGTTTAACGAGCATTCCATGCAGTTTCTCAGGATCTTTCTTCATCGCCAGAGCAAGTGAATCGCTGCCTGTACTGAGCTGCAATGTTTCGGATGGCGACATACTCGCACGCGATCATACATGGGATCTATAGTCAGCGATCGAAGGGAACACTGCGCGCCCCTAGTCATATAGATCGATCGGCAAAGTGTTCATATGCTGCGGATGTGTCATTCCTAGGTAAAGAAATGTGGTCCGCTGTCAGATCGCTCGTTTGGAGAACAGGTGAACAGTCCCATTCGTCACGAGGGGCCCTTTCCTGAGGAAATCGTTTCTCGAGGGCCTCTTGAATGATCAACGCTCGTTTCGCAGAGTTGGGTTCTCGGGGGGAGAACCACACCGTGCTCCGCTCCAGCCATGGGGTGCTCGCCACCCCGACACGTGAAAACAATCGATCCTCTCGTGGAGTTTCCCAGACGTGGGAAGCACGGAATGGCGTCTGCCCATTCTGGAGGACTTGATCCAACTCAAGGACACGCATGAGCGCCTGCTCGAGGCTCGTCCGATCATGTTCCAGTTCACGGACCTGCTGCTGCGTCTCCCGGAGACGATCCCGCGTGCGAAAAAGTTCTGCCCGGGTCTCAGAAAGAACTTTGCGAAGCGCCGGACTGGTACATGTCAACGAACCGGGCCTCGTAATGGATTGCATAGGAGAAGCGTGTGCCATATCTTTCTCGCCGGGGGCGTTGTGCTCACTCAGGCGATGGAACAGGGCGTGCACGTCCGCGCATAGTCGCCAGGGCTGCTGTTCCTGCTGCTGTTCCTGCTGCTGTTCCTGCTGCTGTTCCTGCCCCTGCTGCTTGCGTTTGAGCACCCGATTTCTCAGGATCTGCTGATTATCTTGTCGCCTTTTCCGCCAAGAGCGTCGATATAGTTTAGATTTAAACATTTTCAGACCGAATTCTGTTCGGTACAGTCGGCAGCTCGCACCCGTACGCGGGCACCTTTGCAGCGCGTGGCGACAGCTTCCCACACTTTAATGTTTTGGGGTTCCTGACGATGTATTGCTCCCGTAGAAACGTTCAAGTTTCCTAGAATTTAAATGGCACAGTCCACTAGACCTAGAACCGCTCTGTTCCACAGCGTTCTGATTCCTAGGTGCCGCTGAGCGGTAACCGAAACCCCTGGAACGCTGAACGCAAGTCGATGCGGAGATCGAACACCGCACGGCATCGGCTGCAGGCGGGTATCCTGCAGCGCGCAGCGCAATGCATCGCATCGATGCATTGCGCGTAACGCTCCAAGGGCGGATGCGTTGCTTGGCACGGGCGCGCGATCCGCGGACCCTGCAGCGGCGCGTACGGCAGATCGGTATCCTGGGAGCGACGGCGATTGCAACGCTCTTGCACCAGACGCTTTGCTATTGCAATCGTGCTTGAAAAAAAGTGCACTGGGAAAAACACGGGCGTTCACACCAAAGTTTATGACTATTCTGAATACGATCAACACCGGCGTTTGTGGAATTTTTGGGCACAGCTTCCTTTTGCTATCTCTAGTCTACGGCTCTGAATGCGCACGAGTGTCTTGTGATCCCAGTTCCGTTGTCAAGAGCCGAAGGATGCAGGTGGCGGCGTTTGATTCCCGATTTCGCAGCATCCGCCTGTTGGTGACGCAGTTCATGCACAGACACAAGATGCGATCGAGGCTTTTTTGCCGCTTTCATGCTTTTGTATATTGCCTCGGTGCTAGCTTTGCAGCAGTGAAACTTGACGGTCGTCAAGTGATCCCAAATGTCAAGCACATCTCCTGCTCGTGAAGCTGCCGCGTTGCGTGCAAACGCTTGCCATATCATTCGGTACATGTGCTTGACGGGCTCAGAAGGTCCCATTGGATTCCGTCTACGGTTACCCTGCCCGCGAGCTCCGTACCGTACGAAAATGGGCTTCTGCTACCAAATCTCTTCAGCGAGTGTTCTGACCGCAGCACAGAGAAACGCTCGTTGCCCCATTCGATCGAGGATTTACGGAACGCGACGCTGTTGTCCATGAAGAAACAAGTACCTGGAAAAGCGTCCGGAATGGATAAAATTCGACGAATTCGGATCCGTCCACGCTTGCTTCGTGCAAAGCGATGACGCTTTTCTCCTTGAGAGAGATCGTTTCTTTGCGGAAAATCCGAGCCCCAAGAACTTTTTTCCATGCAAACAGCGAAACCATGTGATTCTGGAGGCATATCCCCTGGGAGGTACCATACTCTTTTGGAGCACCGTCTCATCTTTGATCGAAAACTTACAAGAATACGGACTTGGAATGGAATTGGTTATTTTACGTGACATGTTCCGAGAACATTTCACATGTGCTTTTCAACGAATCGTCAATGGACGACACCAAATTTTTGTGTCATGTCCATCCAGTGGCGCCAATTGCAGCGCACGCAACTTGCGTTGAAACAGCAACATCGAACAACTGATTTTTCCGTGATCTGAATATGCTGCACGTAAGGCGAGGAGGAAAATGGAAGCCTATACGTGCGAGTTGTATCGTGATATCAGTTCTTGCACGAATGCTGGTCCAGGAGCGACGAGAATCATCTCGATTCCCGTGTAGAACAGAATTCGAGCGGAGAAGCATCAACTCCAAAAAAGTCGACCGAAAGTCCTAGAGCTACATGCAAGTCCATAAGCTCTTACACGCAAACTTCCAATGACGGCGCAGTTCATCTTCAAAAACTGCAGAAAAGATCGTAACGCAGAAACAAAACGAGCACATCCGTGCTTCGTTCGTATCTGACCAAGGCGCAGTGCGCGAACGTGCAACGCACGAGAACACACCAGACATCGGCAACCGCCGAGTCCATCACCGCGAACCAGCAACAAAAGCTTCCATCAGAAGCTACCTGCTGAACAACATTTGGTGCTCGATCAACTTCGGGTCGAACGCTCTGGAGTCATCGTCGATCGACCGCAAATTCTGTTCGGTATGAAACCGACCAGCATGCATCGAATGCGTCCCCAGCGATGCTCCTTGAAGCGAAAGCGCGCAACAGAGCTATCGGCTGCGTACACCATCAGCGATGCACGGAGCGGGCTCTCGCATACTCCATTCCCTAGTCCTTATCGGGTGCGGCATCAATGCGTCGAACAAAGGTTTCCACGGCTGCGCGATTGTTATCGAGAGCCAGCGAAGCAAGATGCATGCCGCATAAATTCGTTCAAGTTCCATGAATCACGAAGAGGACCTCTGCGGCAATCAGGCTCCCTTCAAGCGCCCATACGGATACCCACTCTGCCGTCCGTGCCTACCCCGACGCCGTCTGCGAGTGCACCGTGGACATGCCCCGGTATCCGGCGGCCTGCGTTGCTGGCGAGCGCGCACCCGTCCCAGCAGGCTGCGGATCGGCACCTCCCTGAACCCCCGAATCGTCGCTTGCTGCCGCTGGTCTGCTGCCGGGGAACGGGAAGCGGCGCTCGTGTCGACACTCGACAAGCGCTTTCCACTGAGTAGCGTTTCGGGTTCAGAACTCGCACGCTCTGGGATATGTAAAGGTGTCGGGAGAGGTTGGCACAGCTAAGAGTACCCTACGCTTACAATGAAGAGGCCGAGGAGACGGCCTTGGTCTCTGATTCCCGCTGTGAGCGGCCTCCTGAGAGGCAGAGGAACCCACGCTTCGAAGACTCGTTCGAACTCAGTGAGCGTTTCGAACGTGGATGCTGACGAAAACCAAAGTCCTAGCACCTGCGAAGCCGTATTTCGGGTTCGCTCGTACACCATCGCGAACGAGGACATCATCTTACTCGGTTCATGTGAATCGCTTGGTTGTTGGGACGCGGAGCGCGCTGTGGCGCTGGAGACCTCACCCAGCACATACCCGGTGTGGGAGGCGCTTGTTGAGCTCCCTGTAAACACGCGAGTGCGTTACGAATATGCGAAGCGAGTGTATGACATGGATCGCGAACAGCTCGAACGGATCGTTCGTGAACGGCATCCGCAACCCGGACGGTTTATCGATACAGGGAACGAAGGCGGCTTTTGGTTGATTGATGATGGTCACCTGCGAAACAGCTACTTTGATGACCCTCGAAGCGACGAGCACGCAACGCCGACAGACGCCAACAGCCCTGGGACAGGCGGAGATCGGCTCTGTTCTACTGGGGCTCGGCGAGTCCAGTATTTGGGCCTCGATCAACTGACACAAGCTTTTGAGCGAGAGTACTCTCTCAGTGAACAAGTGAACCTGAGGGAGGACTTTCTGCGCACCTTCCAGCGCCTGGGAGTTTTTCGTATTGGTTCGCGGCGAAGTCTTCCGACTTTTCTGCGGGGCCCGCTGCAACCGAAAGTGATGCGGCGGAACAAATCCGGGATTACTGTATTCAAGGATAATCCTTCATGGTTTATTGCGCTGAATATTCAGGCCGGTGTGCGCCGATCCCTTCAAGTCCTCCACGAGCAGGAGCGGCAGCAGCGCAATGCCCCTCTGCAGGATGCGGACTTTGTGGCAGCCTTTGTATGCCATGTGGAAGCCGGAGACCGTGTCCGCGAAGTACCGAACCGGTATATAGAACCTCTTAGCGACTCGATCAAATGGGAGTTTTCGGCACCGCGCGTTTTCGCACGTCTGCGTCGCGTGTTCGGCTACACTGACGATGAGTTCCTGGGGTCGCTCTGCAACCCAGCAGGACTGGTAGAGATACCCAGTCCAGGTAACTCCCAGGCACTTTTCTTCCTGACGCACGATCAGCAGTTTCTACTCAAGACCATTACGCGACAGGAGTACTCGAAGCTGATTCAACTGCTACCAGCATACTTCGCTTACGTTTCTTCAGATCCGTTGGGCACTCTGCTCCCGCAGTACTTAGCGCTGTTTCAGATCCGGACTCGACAAAGACACCATATTCGTTTCGTTGTCGTCCCGGACCTATTCCCGTCCGCTTTTCGCTTGCATGAAAAGTACGATCTGAAAGGAAGCCGGCGATCGAAGCCGCGCCCCAGGTCGCTACGGAGCCTTCCTCAACGGTACAAGAAAAAGGCAAGTGCGTCTCTTGCGGATGCACGCACTCGCTCAAGCAAATCACCAGCTGCTTCAAATGAGACCGGAACAGAGAGACCTCCATTGCATTTGCAGGTGCCCCAAACGTCTTTCGTGGAGCATGAGTGGTCAGAGAGAATTGCATTCTCTCAACTGGTTGCGGTGCCGATATTCAGAGAGGATGACATTCGCTCACCGTTTCTGATTCGCGCAAATGATTACACCATCCTCATGCGCATGATCGAGAGGGACACGGCGTTCCTGGAGGAGCTCCATATTATGGACTACTCGCTTCTCATTGGGCTCTCGGAACCGATCCCGGCACCATTATGGAAACGCACGCACAGTGCGACTCACGAAGGACGAGCGCATGGATCGGAAATCCCGTTTGCCGATGAGACGCAGAAGCAATCGCTGCCGGTCATTTTGGAATCAACAAACACAGACCAGGAGGGGCTTCTCTTGAGCACTGTGTCGCCGCTGGCGAAGCTTACACTGCAGCTGCCAGGTTCGACGCCCGGGATGGCCCCGCAAAGTCCAACTCTCGCCCAGAGAATCACCGATGCCACTGAAGACAAGCTTCTTTTTCGGGATCTGATCGCGTTTCGCCGAGAGGCTGGCAACTACGTTGGATACAAGCTTCGCCTCGGCATTATTGATGCACTGCAGGATTACAGCGTACCCAAAAGACTGGAGTTTGGCTGGAAACTCTTTATTTATTGCGGTGCAGCGCCATCGGTTTGCCCGCCAGCTTTCTATCGTCGACGATTCTTGCAATATATGCAGAACGTTTTTGTTCCATACAACCCGGTTGAGCTCCCGATCCGGACAAGCCGCGACCTCGATGGCTCCAACGGCTCTCATTAGGGTTTGCGCAGCAGGTTGCGGTTCGCCTTTGCGTCGGCAGCGTGCATGCGTCCGGGTGGAGTGACGAGGCCGCTAGGCGGCGCTGCGAAACAGCCATGAAATGGCGTCTGCTTACAGGCATACTGGGCACGGTACCCGATACTCCTGCCAGGAGCGACTCGATGATGAGTTGATTCAGTCACGAGCATCATCACCCGCTGCCCTCGTTCTACGAATGAGGTTGCTGCCTTTTTATGTATGCTTTTCTCGGGGTGAGCATGCGCATGCATGTATACATGCGTGAGTGCCGTCCATCCCAGAGGTACCCCAGCGAAGAAACCGCGAATCTGGGAGAGGTTCCGCTCATCTCATCACTGGACTTTTTATACCCGTGTCAGCATAAAATCGAAGAGGACGACTTGGTGGACGCGGACGTACTTGCGAAAGTTTGGGTCTCTTCCAAATGGCATCAATACCAGATCTTGCGGAATTTTCTGTAACTGCCTCCTTTCGCTTTCTCTGCCATACAATACACCGGTCGCTCCGTTCTGTCAAGCTCCATTCTCAGCATTCGAATGATTTGATGATGGCGTTCATGTCCCGATTTTACAGACCCCGGCGGTTGTTGACGCATGTCATGCACAGGCGCCAGATACGACCTATGCCCGCCTTGCCCTTTCATCTTCTTTGTATGCTAGCTGAATACGCGCACGCAGCGGTAACACTTGCTTATGGCCAAGACTTTCCATATGTCCCTAAAAAACCCTCACATGAGGGACTAATTACGACACGGGAAGGCTTGTTTCATCGCCCGGACCATGGCTTTGACGAGTACAGCGGCGTCGGCTTGATGCCTTCGTTAGTTAGGGCGCACGTGCCATCTCCCATGTCCATGGGTTTCTTCTGAGCGCTCCCATCGATGCGTACGCTGTCTGCGACGTACAGACACAGACACAGACACAAGCGAACGCTGTTCCATTTGCTAGAAGACTTGGGGCAAGCAATGATGTCCGTTTCGGAACGAGTACCGTTAAGAGAATCCAGGATGCGGAACAAGTCAAAAAATTTCGATTTGTCTTCGCCTCCTTCGTGCAGAGCGGTGACGCGCGCTCCCCGAGGACGCGATCGCTGCAGTGGCCAGGTCCGAGCCCAGGACCCTCTGAAATGCGAACGGAAAAGACCGGAGACTTTGACAGCGTCTAGCGCGAGATCTATGACGCTGCTGTCGACTGCCTTTTGCGGCGATGCCTGCAGAGAGAAGAGGCTTTCGTTTCTCGACCTGACCTGATCAGTTGACAACACCAGTACAGTGAATGTTCTGCACGAGCTTGTGAACGTGACCTCAGTGGGTGCAATCGAGTTTTTCTCGTGAATCCAGTGGGTTGCGAATTGCGGTGCCCACAAGATTTCTTCAAAAGCAAGATCGGAAACGTAGAAAATGTGTGATTTCAGCGAACTGCACGTAACGAAAAAATAGAGGCGGCTTTATCTATGAATTGAAAAATGATATCGATTGTTATACGAACCCTTGTTCGAGCGCATCGCGAATCATCTCGATGACAGTAATGTAATGATTGCCAGCTGGACAACGTCGAAAGCGCCTCTTCGACATGACAAGCGATCATCCCAGACCTGCATAAGAGGCCGTACGCCTTTTCTGCTGCACTATAAATGTCGACGCTGTTTATTTAGAAAAAAATTGGAAAAATTCGAGCCGCTGGAACCGCATGATCACTTCAATGTTCTGTTCGCATCTGGTACAAGTACAGGGCCAGCCGCTCGGCTTGTTCCCGTGCACAGCTGATGCGCCACGTGCGACCTGAGGCGTTTTCGTCGCTAGGGGCCAGGACAAGTGCTGGACACAAGCGCAACTTCTCGAACCGAGTGGTGTCCATTGCACGTCAAGCCTGTGACGAACACGCATCGTCGGAACGCCTGTGCAGTCATTTGGCGAGACAATCTCCGCAAACCTTCCAAAAGGATTTCGTTTCCATGGGCCCTCTGCCGAGAGAGGCGTTTTCTAGACATCACGCTGACGACGAATTTTCAGCACATAGTCCAAGACAAGTGATGAAGCGACATTCCATTCCTGCATCAGTTTCTGGCTGAATTCGAGGCCGCTGCAGAGCCATCAAGATCGTATCGTGCACGACGCGATCCAACAGGATGCAATCATCCGTACTTGAGGCGCAGCGACTGCTGCACACTCGATATCACGCCTGCGACAGGGCACCTGCGACTTGCCGCTGCGCGTCGAGGCCGGGAAAAGCACCAGCAGAACGCTTTCCTGGGGTCCGGGGCTTTGCTCCGGTGAACCTGCGCTCGAAATGCTCGTCCAAACGTTGCGCTTTGCCACCGACTTCACGTCGGGTAACGGAGAAGCGTGATACGTCGCCGTGCAACTCGCCTCCGTCAATGGCATCAGGTTCGTCATCACCATTCAGGGGCTTCATCAGCGCCATGCGCCTTGAGAGCGCGTGCTGCCGATGTCATCCGGAGGGCACAGATTCCCAAGCTGCTCCAGCAGCGAACAAAAGATGGAACGGTTACCAGCGTGCGCTCGCTAGTCAGCACCTGCACGTGCAGCGAGTCTCGGGTAGAGGTATGCTTCAGACCCATAGAAATCGCCAAGAAGCGTTCCAGTTCGTTTGAACTCTCGCAAGATGGAAATGCACAGTGCGTGTGCGCGCGTCCATTTGGGCGTCGTGAACCCGGCGCACCAGCATATGCAACAACATAAACAACCATGTTGGACATATTCATCTGAAACGAACACATCCTATCGATACACGTGTCCCGGGGTACGGGCCCGGCGACGTGTCTATGCCTTAGAGGCCCCAGCAGCATGCCACAAAATGACACCACAGTGCCATCGATACGGAAAGAGGTGTGGTGATGGACTGTACGAGACCGTACCAGCCCTGGCGGCGCGCAGTGCACGACAGCGAGCTTCTCGCTGGCGGCAACGCCAACCAGGTTTCCCCGTGGCACGTAACCTCATCGAAAAAGATGCGCCCAAGACGCCCCGCGATCCAGTCACTTGATATCATTGCCACCAAGTTCATGTGGATGACAGGCATGCGGCCGAGCGCCACCGGAGACAGACGCGTACTGTCACGTATGCTCACCTGATCGGAATTGTCTTTGATTTCGTTGTCGTTGCGGTTGCAAGCATCAGGTACGATTCTGCTTGCCCGCAGATGCAATTCTCAATGAGCATTTGCGGAACCAAAACAGGCCCGAATGGCCATATGGCATCCGTTGGAGATCACCGCTTAGCTTGCGCGCTGCAGTACAAGTCCGATGCCTTCTCAGTCGGTTTTGCAGGGCTCCAGACAAATTCGCCCCAAATGAAGTTGGCGAAAGTCAGTCAGCAGGCGACGAGCCATTTTGTCCACGTCCCTCTGCGTGCACTGCCTTGCCGCAAGATAGAGAAAATCCTCGCCATTCTGGAAATCCGTAAACCCATACCGATGTTGCAAGATTGATCGAACAGCGTGCCGCTCATTGGCTGGCAGCGACGGATGCTCAATCCAGGAGGATCCATCCAGCGTCAGCAGCGTGTCGATCAGGAGGCTCGCGATGCGCTCCACATCGTACGCCGTCTCACCAATATCGTCACACATGGCCAACCGCGACGCAGCATCTTGCTCCTCGAGTTTCGGTGGAATGACGCCTGGCGTATCCAGCAGTTCCAGATCCTGGGCGATCCGAACCCACTGGAGCTGCCTCGTGACCCCGGGACGTGCAGCAGATACCGCTGCTCGGCGATTGCAGAGCCGGTTGATCACCGCTGATTTTCCAACATTTGGATAGCCGATGACCGCCACACGAATCGGTCGAGAAAGCAGGCCTCGACGCGCCCTCCGCTCATTCACGGTTTTCCCTGCAGCAATGCACGCACGCCGTAGTTGAGGAATGCCGGTTCCAAGCTTACCATCGGTTGGGTAACAGGGTGCATTCGCCTGGTGCTCGACTTGGGACGCTGCGCTCGCGCGGTCCAGTGCACCACGTCGAAACGCAGCGAGCCAGTGTCGGCTTGCAGCAACGGGCACCATGTCCGTACGATTGAGCGCAATGACGCGGCTTTTTGTGCCAAGGATATCGTGAACGAATTGCGGAAACGTTGTTCGAGGGATTCGGGCGTCAACGACCTCGATGACAACGTCGATCAGGGAGAGACGGTCGCGCAGCTCTCGCATCGCCTTAGCGATATGTCCGGGAAACCAACTCGACACCGGCGGTGGCATGCCTGGGGGCAACGCTTCATCACTGGGTAAGGCTTGATTGCCGTAGAGGTTCAGTGCGATGCCCCTGGTACGTTGCACCCGTAAGTAGCGCATACCGCGTTCACGGGCAGGGCGTTGCGAGCACTGCCTTGTTGCGGACCAGACAGGGCGTCCTGCCAACCAACCCTGAACCGAGCAAAAAGCAAGCGCAGTATGGAATACTTGCACTCGACTAGAGACGCGTGCGCTGTCGGTGAAAGCGGGACCGCGGGCCCGTGGCGAGTTCCCCGTACTCCTCTTTTGCGGCAAGAACTCAAGACGCTCTGCTCGCGCCTGCTGGGATCCAGGACTCGTGTGCGTAACCTGAAAGTTACGCTTGACGTGCATCTCGTCTCGCCAGGCAAGCAGAGCGTCAGCCGAGGAGCGTTCGACCTTACCTGAAGCGAACAGCTGGTGTCGGGTCTCTGTCCAGCGTGCTAAGAATAGAGAGCGCAGCGCTGGAAGATCTACGTGCCGTCCAAGTTTGCAAGGTTCAACGTCTACGGGTGCCTCAGAAGGCACAAACCTGAAGCACGTGCCTGCCAATCAGGGTAGACAATCGCTACCAGTCGTTCCACAAGGCAAACGAGCGTCAAAGGCCCTCGAACAGCGACGCTAGAGCGCGTATACGCGGACAAGACGCTGTGCCCGTCTGGGCACGACGTCCGCTTCGTCCGAGTCGTAGCTTCGCTCCACGCTGTTCCTGAGCAGCGGTTCGGAAACACTGATGCAGTGTGCGCTCGGCTTTGCAAACTCAGTGGCATTCTCCCAGCGACTACGGCATCGGTGGAGCGGAATTCGACGAACTGTTAGCTCAAAGAGTGAGGGGCACCAACCACTTCACTTGAGGTGCCTAGGACGACTAGCTTACCCGCCAGGCGCCAGCGTTGATGCAACCGCTGCGGAGGCTTGCAAGGTACAACCAGAGCAGCGGCGATTGCAGCATTTCACAGCAAAAGCCAATGTGCTAGCATGCAGCATAACGGTTTACGCCGCTCTGGTTTTTGGTGCAACGGAGCTTACCGCCGCGACGCCGACACCGGCAGAACTGCAGGCCCCGACGACCAGTGTCCATGCGGTTTGGGAGCGGGAGCCCGTTCAGTCCGTGTTTGTTGCGGACGAAAATGTTCAAGATGAGCGCGCACGGTACACAAGTAGCCGGGCTCGAGAAACCCCAACGCAAGTTTCCTCCCTGCAGGAGCTGATCGACGCAGCAACTCGGTGTCGGGAAGCGCTGGAGCTGCTGCGCGGCAGCCTGCCGGTGGTCGAAACCGCAGCGCCCCAGCCGCAACAGCAGCAGCAGCAGCGGCGGCAGCCCACAGCAACCGCTTCTCCTGACCAGCAACGTGATCAAATCGAGGCCTTCCGACTGAGTCTTCGACGAGTGCCACTCTCGGAGACGCGGCGAAAGTTTTTCGATCTCGCCCGTATGTTGGACAAACTGGATGCAAACACTGCTTCAGCAACGCAGCCGGGCATGGAATCGTACCGCAAAGTTGTCCGAGCGTTGGAGGAGCTGGATGGTTGTGCACTCCAGGCTACGCGGACGCGCGGCCTCGAGCGAGCCGAAAAACTGCTGACGCTTCGGCAGGAATTGTATGATCGAGTTTTGCAAGCAATGGATCAGATGCTTGCTCGTGCTCATCAGCTTGCGTTAGAGCGTCGTTCATGATCGTTTTATGCTATCTTGCCGAGCAAAAGAAGATGCTGGCATGCTACATGAACCGTCTGGAGCAGAAAGATCGTGTTCGCTACGAGTCGCGCTCAAATGATGCTAGGAAGTACGTTTCAACTTGTTTACCGAGCGTAAATTCGTGTCGAGCGGTACCCTGACTGGAGGCAGCGTCCGCACCGTGCCTTGGCCATGGAACGCTGGCTCACGGACGCAATGCGTCTCACGTTTTGATGCACAGGCGCTGTCAGCATTGTCCATGCGGGAGCAGCATCGTGACCAGCGAGCTCGTATGCATTCCTTCTGCTCAACAGAGAAAGCTGTCGCACGATTCGGTCATTATCGAAAACCAGCAACACCAGCGAGGACCGAGTCAGGGCTACGATTCGCAACTGCGGTCTGTAAGGAGCTGGGATGCGCATGGCGCTGCTGCTCGCCTAGACACTGTCGAACGCGAAAGCGAATTCCGACTGCGTCTCGAGTCGGCGCCCTTAAAGGCGCCTCAAAGCCGCTCTGTTACCGTTAGGCGAACGGCATGTCGAAGCAGCCAGCGTCCTCGGCATGTTCAGTGCCTGGAAGGCCGGTGTCAATGGATCGAAAATGGCTCTGGTTCTGATAGGAACTCCAGCATGGACCTGTCGGCAGGTGCAACGGTTTGCCGGAGATGATAGTCCTCTCTGCCTCGGGATGGCGGCGGTAGCGCTCGCGCATCCGCGGGAGTTTGGCTATGCGCATCGATTCGACATCGTGAGCGGGCGGGTACTATGCATCGAGCAGAATCTGATGAGACTCACGGAGACGATACCATGAATACGAAGCAACTGCGCATCCGATGGGATCTGGTTCCTCGTCTTGATGCAAGACTGCGAAAAAAGTCGCCGCCCCGGAGCTATTCGAAGCGTTCCAAGAGAATTACGAGCGAGGCCGCCGATCCATAACATGATGCAAGCGCTCGAATCAGGAGTTTGTGCTTGTTGAACACCCGGATCCAAGCACAATGCCGAGCTCACATTACCTATATTTGGCAGGGAAGACAAGAAATTCGAGGATCCTCACTCCGATCAGATTCCATACGTGCTATTGCAACCGCGAAAACGTGGAACGGTGTTGCATACGGTACAATGGCCGATAGTCCATGAATGGACAACGCCAGCCGAGGCCCTTGCGTCGAGATAAGTTGAAAATGAAAGCGAAAAAGATGCAGGTCATTCTGTAGAAGGGATCACACGATTGAATGCATTTCCAATTATGCGCCATGCAGACGCGCTCGGCACCGATCCGGCACCAGGGCAACTATTCTGCTGCGTCGACCTCAGAGCATTGCGCTCTACTCGTCATGAAAAGAAGGATGGAAATGCGCTGGGAAGCAACCAATCGCGAATCTATTCAAAATTGCGTGCAACGCGGCTCATTCAAGAACCGTGTTTTGAATCCGCCTCCAACTCGGGCGTCCATGAAAACCCCAAGATTACCAGGCTTCTCGCGATGCTCCTACCTTGTTATCGAAGCGAATAGACTCCCGTACTGCCTGGAAGTGCACAACAGAACTCGATCCAGAAAAGTTTCTGGCTGCTCACTTCGACATCATGCCCATGATGAACCTTTGCGTTCCCAACTAGCGCTGCTGCTGCTGCTGCTGCTGCTGCTGCTGCTGCCTCTACACTGCATCCCAATGCCTCGTCAGCCTTGCGCCAAGTCTATGCCTCTAGACTATCACGAGCGCGGAATAGCGCATCTATCAGACTGGGATTCTCTAGAAGCAAGCCGGTTAGGTTTTCGTCCATGAACGTGACACGATTCTGTGCCAGCGTGCGTTCTAATCTTTCCTTATCCTTCAAGGAGACTCCGTCATCGTGCGTCTCCCCGGTCGGTACCAGAAATACATAATCGGCGAGCACCCATTCCGCAACGCGCACGACTTCGTCGTCATTCAGTGCACTGCGCAACGGTAACGCGTACGCATACTTTTTCATCGACTCAATCGCTGCTTCATCGGTAGTTTCACTCACAAAGTAACAGCCGCAAACCCGTGAGTGCGATGAAAGCAGCTCCGCTAAGCGCTGTGCGACGTGATTCGCCCCCAAAACGAGCACACGAACAGTCGCGAGCTGCGGTGTGGTATCTGGTGGACCAGCCCCGCCACGTGCAGCTGCACGCCGCGGCACTCGTTCGTTACGCTGAGAACTCGTGCCTGCTGGCTTCCAGATAGACCGTGGACCGCGCTCCGTGAGCACGAAGCCTCGCTGAATCCGACGCTCCGTTCGCCGATCAAGAAAAACGGTTTTCCCATCTTGAGACTGGATAAAAGAGGCATCTGTAGCAGGTGATGAATCCTTTTCCTCTTGAAGAGACTCCTTGGGTACCTGCGGTGTCTCAGGATGCGAGTCTTCTGTTTGCATTTGTGAGCACACAACCCCTGAGCGACGGTGAACAGCGCGCGGTCGATGCAAAAACTCCGTGCCAGGCCATACGCCGAAGCACAGCCTGAGGCTGTGTTGTTTCCAGGCATCTTGACTCTTCCATTCGCGCATCTTGTAATGTTTTATCCCGGTTTAGCTGCACTTCCAGCAGTTCCCGCTGGTATACCGCAAACACCTGAAGGAGTGAGCGTTGTCCAGATCGACTGCAGCTGCGGGAATGGCGTGCGGCATGCGGTTACGAGCAGCGCCGCGCTGCTCGTTGCGTTTGTGCAGGGAACGCAGCAGAGCGTTTCAAGCACACCAGCAAACACGCTTGTCTGTAGTGGAGGGATCAGCGCCTACGAGGCTGGTGGAACGCTCAAGCTTCCACTCTGGCAGAGGAGAGACTTGTGTGGAGTTTTTTGAAACGTGGAAGCGTCTACGGAGAAACTGGGGAAGCTCGTGACGTGTTATCTGGAGCGCTTGCGCTTCGAAGGGGAGCCTCGTTCAACGCACCGACCGTACACCGGAGAGAGACAGCGTGCGACGTACAATAACGCGCTGGGGACTGAAGGTGTTCGCTTTGGCTAACGCGCACATTCGAAGCAGAGACGCAAGTGCGTCTGTGTTCTGGCGTGCACTGTGGACATGTTGGCGAGGGAGAGGCGCTGCTGCGCTGGAATGTTCGCACCGCCCTGTCCAAGTGATAGAGTGCTGGTATCAAGCAACTGTGGCTTGAACTGTGCACAGCTCCACCAGCGGTTCGGAAAACAGCGCTCCGCGTTGAACTCGCGACGCTGGAGTCGACCACGCGGGCGATGGGGCGGCATCGCCCTGGGGAAACCCCGATACCCGAAAGCGTTAGCGGCAAGCTGGGGTGCGAGCGGCCTTTGCGCATGCTCTCAACCGATACACCAGAGCGTTACCGCTATTGGAGACCTTGCCCACGAGGTTTCGTCACTGCGCCAGTCTGTGCAGGAGCAGGTTCATCGAACTTCAGAACTGCTGGACCTTGAAGCTCAGCGGAAACGGCTCAAAGAGCTCGAACGTGCAACACTCTCTCCTGAGATGTGGAACGACGCGAAAGAGGCCCAGCGAAAACTTCGCGCACTCGCTCATCAAAAGGCGCTTGTGGAGCGCGCTGAACGCTGGCTCCGAGCTGTTGCAGACGCCGATTCCGTGGTGCAGCTCGCAACTGCCACCATCGAAGAGTTGCAGGAACTGCCAGCCACGCACGAACCAGGAACCACTGGCGTACAGACGTCTGCCACCGCAAACCAGGACCTGGACGATGTGCGAGTACTGCTCCATGGGACCCTGGCGGAACTCGAACGCATTGCAAGCGACCTGGGAAGCTTCGAGCTGGAACGACTCTTCTCCGGCCAATACGATCGGTTTGGAGCACGCGTCACCGTCCAGGCGGGCGCCGGCGGCACCGATGCACAGGACTGGGCCGAGATACTGCTGCGCATGTACACACGCTGGTGTGAAAGAAAGTTTGGAAATGCCGCATCGGAGAGCGGTGGAACCAGTAAGGTTGTTCGTGTCTCCGACCTGTCACCAGGTGAGACGGCGGGCATCAAGTCAGCCGTTCTGGAGGTGAACGCTCCGTACGCATACGGCTATCTGCGATGGGAGAAGGGCACGCATCGACTCGTTCGACAGTCACCATTTAACGCGGATGCGAAACGTCAGACGTCGTTCGCAGGGGTAGAGGTGCTTCCGATTCTTGAAGACGAGGAGGAAGAGCTGCAGATTCCGGACTCGGACCTGGAGATTACGACGATGCGATCAGGAGGCAGCGGCGGTCAGAACGTGAACAAAGTCGAAACCGCTGTGCGCATTGTACACATCCCGACCGGTGTATCTGTGCGCTGCTCGTCTGAAAGATCGCAGTCGCAGAATCGCACCAAGGGGATGCAGATTCTCAAGGCCAAGCTGCTCGTCATTCGGGAGGAGCAGCGCAGCAGCCGCTGGGAGGAAATTCGAGGCGAAGCCGTCGAAGCAGCCTGGGGTCAGCAGATCCGTAATTACGTTCTGCACCCATACAAGCTGGTGAAGGATCTGCGGAACGGTTGGGAAACCGGAAACGTGAGCGATTTCTTGGACGGCGGACAGGAAATGGATCGCTGCATCGAAGCGGTGCTTCGAGCGAGCGCAGCAGCAGCCGCGAGATCAGTCTCATCGGCTGGTGCCGGTGCGGGCTCGTCGTCGACAGCCCAGCAATGAGTGAAGTTCCGTGAGGGCACCAGACACGACGCATGCCATACGCACAGATCATGACTGGACAGCTCGATGGGATGTCGCAGTCGCTTGGCTATACTCAGGGCAGTGAACGCTGCATATGTGCGCCCACACATGCCCGCTTTCGTTATTCTGAGAGGCATTCGACAGAAGAAATGTATCCTGTAGAATGAAGAAAAATCCTCGGAAGACTTGATGTTGCCGCTGGTAGCTTGCGAGAAACCGCCCTGCATGTACACGCCAGTTTCAAGGAGTTCCGCACGAGATTAAACCAGCCTTGTCTCAGAGGTTGATCTGAACCTTGTCCAATGTATACCGAACCGGTTAAGCTGTATCTTCAGGACTATATCCTTGACTGCTCATTCCACTCCATACTGTCTCTGAGGAAAAGCACGAAACACTCCACACGATGCCAAGCTTTTGTATCTCTCATACGAATGACATTGATGACACAAATCGACAGAGAGGTCGGCGCGCTCCTATATGAGACCGTCGCGCGCTGAACAGCACTCGATCGATTTCGTACGAGAGAGGGGGAACGCTTCTTGCATAGGCGACGGGATTTTGTCTCCTTCGATGAGACTGTACTCGGGAAGAACCGTGCACCTGTCTATGGGTACTCAAAGAATAAAGGACCAAGTACAGTTCGTGAAGAAGAACCAAGCGAGCATTTCGACAACAAAAGCATCACGAGAAATACTCTGGTGTGGTCGCTTGCAAGTCGCAACACGGATGGCATCGTCCGACACCTCATCCTTCGTCGAAGCTGTGCGTGGCTTCTCCATCGCGCAGGCTTCTGTGCTGCCTCTATCGCGCGTTGGTTTCCATCAATCAAAAGCGGTCAGGGATGACGCAGCTCAGAATGGGTTCGAGGTCCTCCTCGTGTCAGCCGATTCTCCCTTGTTCCACGCAGTCAACGGCGCAGTTCACTGTTGCATAACGCCATTTTTTCGCTGAAATATGTTTATGTGGGAAATTTGCATCCGTGCCATCGTTCTTCGACAAATCACCATCTATCTTCGCTTTCCCTGAACTGATGAGTTGCTTCACCGGACGGGCGCGAGGAGATACGGAAAGGAGCACATCCCTGTTCGTGGGCATGCTCGCGACGGACACGGCGACGAAAACGTTCTTGAAGTATAGTAGGTACATGCAGAAAGCAGGAAAGCTTCGGTCTGACAGTGCCCCAGGTGCGTCTGGGTCCCTGGTAAAGCGTCGTATTTGGCGTGCAGCGATCACACTCTTGCCAACCCATCAAGTAGATGGCAAGGCGAACAAGGAGTGGAAGAATGAACCACCAGGAAGTAAAGAAAATGATATTTTTTACGTGAGGACGACGTAGTGCATGAAAAAAACTTTCTTATCGGGAATTTCCGTGGAAAAGCTGTTGTAAAGGCCCCACAACGACCAGACATCAATGAGGGGAATCTTCCAAAATTGTGAAATGCAGGACATCATTAGATATCGCCAACCGCGTAACGTGCTGAAGGCTAGCCCAGCGTCCCTGACCGGGTAGCACCTCGCCAGGCGATTCTCAGTGGGCATGCGAGATAGGAAGGTGTTAGCGGCCCTCATGCCTCCCGATATTTTCGATGAAACCTTGCTCCTGATTACTGATGGTTGAGAGAGAAAATGGAATTCGGTTTGACATTTTCAGGGCTTGGTATAATCAAGAGTCCGAAAGCATGTGCATCAGCGAACATACCAACACGTGGCATAATAATGGCCTCGCGATCCATCTCGACGCTCTCGACACCGTCCAGAGCAGATGCCGATGCGTTGCACGCTTCATTCAGAGCGTAAACCAACTTCTAGATGACTCAAGCGAACGATCCTTCGCGGGAGAATGTGAGATCCCGGTAGGTAAGCAACGGTTCCGGGTGCACGGATGCCACAAAACAACCTTCACTAAGTTACTCAGTGGGTTGGAAGGGGAATTCAGCGACCCCTCGAATCGTTTGGTGCTAGTCGATGGCTCTGGACGTACTGTGGCACCCAAATACTGCATTTCTGCGCATTCGACGGGTGCGCTCAACGCGTACTGGGACAGATGCTGTCCAGTCACCACAGGTGCCGTCAGGACGAAACGAACGCATCACGAGTGTGTGTACATGCTGAAACTCGTCGAGTGTAAGAACGCGGAAAAGAGACGGATGCACGAGGTGTTGTGCGGTAAGCGGACAGTTGGATAGAAAGCGAGCGACTCGAAGTTGAGAAGCGTACGATAGCGCAATTTCACCAGCAATCATGCGTCGAAGCACGTTCTGTATCGAGGCTTGAGTTCCTCGATCACGATCCGGAAGTGACTCTTGGATTCGGAGCGTCCAATGGCTTGCTGCTGAGCGCACTATCAAAGTAATGGTCGAGTACTTAATCTGGGTTTTGTGTTGAAACGCTGACGACGTCCGATGCATAAGATCATTGAGCATGAGATAGAATCGGATGCCCGCCAGTAATAACGCATTGATATGATAGGATTCGGCAAGTTATGGAATCTGAAGCGCCATATACATCTATATGCACCAGCGATGATTATTCTTGTGAGCTATTGCACGATAACCGCGTTCCGTTGTTGGATATGACTGAGTATAACGCCGACGATGTCCAGAAGAACTCGGTCGTCAGTGCCGATGCTCCTAATGCATACACAGGGCAAGTCCGTAAACGAATATAAGGCGAAGACAACAGCGCTATAAACGATACGATGTTTTCTTTACCGGTATCGCCGAGGAAGCTTCCAAAGTCAGCATGCGAGCACACGATCCTGCAGCGTTTGCCAGCAGCGCTGCGACTTGTTCGCGCCACAAACGCCCCTCTGGATCACGTTGCGCGCCCCATTGACCTATCGCGGAGTCTATGGTACCGTTCATGTGCCAGCGTACTTGTTTCAGTTGTCACGCTGAGGTTCTGGTTTCACCAAGTCCCTGTTGCCACGCACGAGACCAGATCGTTCTCACAATACATAGCTGCACAATCTGACAGAATAATGCCTCCGCACAGACACTAAGGTATCCTCAACGTCGTCAACCAATCCCCGCGTCCGGTGCGCGATGATCACGAACAACCTGCCAATCAGTGAAACCTCGTATCGCCGGCGTTTTACAGCTTGTTTTCGAGGCTGTCATTGCTCTAGCAATGGAAGCCGCCGGACCAACAGCATCTCATACAGAGAAACCGTCATGAGTAGACGCAAACTCATCAGGGCATCGACACATCCAGCAAAACGGCGTGTGGTTCATCGGAGGCTTCGATGACTTCCGACGGCGCCAGGTGATCTCTGGGCTGCGTCGGCACCAGTTGCGAGACAGAGCTGTTCTCGCTGGGTGCATCTGTATCCGGGGTTCGCTGGAGCCAGCCCTGCCGGTGTCGCAGAAAAGCCAGGAATCCGCCCTGCGAAAGCGCCAGACCCAGAAAACTTCGCCATCCGACATGGTCCCCGAACGTCACCATCCCCGCAAGAATCGTGAGCAATTCCTTCATGATGCTCACTACGGAGATTGCCAGCGAAGAGGTTCGCTGGACAATCGCATACTCGAGCCATAAGAGTACAAAAACGAGACCAGCGATACCAGCAAGGGAGCCGAAAATCGCCAAGATCTCGCTCGTCTCTCGCGATGGACCTCGAAGCGACTCCCAGAGCGGACGCAGCTCCAACAAATAGACAGCCGGTGCCAGAAAAAACGCCGTTACAGGTGCCAGAAGGACGACTGCTTCCAAAGGCGTCAATCTTTTGTCGACTCGTGTCTGTTGAGCCGTCTTCGTCGCTGGGTCCGCAGAACCATCACGTACAGTTCTCTGCAGAATCACCTGGCTTAGCGCCCAGCGAAATCCACCTAATGCGATTCCTGCCAACAAAACCGTAGCCCCGACTATTGAGAATTGCAGCGAGTCTCCAGTTGTCATGAGCGCTGCACCCATGCACATCAGGAAAAGCGATCCGAGAGTTACCCAGCTGAACAATTCGATGCCGAGCAAAATCGACCAGAAAAGCACAAATAAAGGTGCGGTGCACTTGAGCAGCGTGCTGAAGGCTACCGTGAGCTTCTGCAGGGACCAGTTGGCGCAGCCTATTTCCAGCGCGGTACACGCGCCAATTGCCACGAGAAACCGCCACCAACGTGGGCCCGTCGGCCATCGAACCGGTGGCGACCATGGCACAGGCTCGCCGCGGTGCAGGTTGCTACGCAGCCAGCTCCCCAGAACAAGCCCCGCGCCAATCAGTGCACAACCAGTGTTGTTCGACAGCGTTATCAACAAGGGAAAGGGGAAAAGCGGGCGCTGATCACGAGTGGCAGGCACGATAGCACCCCCTGAAAGCAGATACTTTGTCCATAGAATGATTAGCGCGCTGCAGCAGAACCAAGCGATGCATAGCACTCCCAGAACAAGCTGCGAGCGGAACCGCGTGAAACCGCTCAGTACCATCGCGACAATCTATTGAACGAGCTCGCGCCAGGGATATCGCGCGTGTTTGGCGTAACGTGTAGGCACCGCTGTCGACCGACCGACCGACCGACCGACCGACCAGGTGCAAGTCCTGTGGAGCAAGTTTCCGGGTGCGGTTTGTCAGGCCGCTGGACCAGTTCCAGAAACGGTTGAATCGGTGACTCAGGACCCGCCAGCCCTACAGTGACGACCGTGCTTGTAGCTCTTTACATAAAAGCGCAAGCGCCCGCAACAAGGAAGGCCACTGCATCCATGCAAGAACGAAACAAGCCACACAGGATACCTGCGGATTCAAGTACCCAAAATCCAAGAGCGTTCGTGGCAGCGTCATCGCCCGTCCGTCCGAATCATCCGTTTCGTGAAGCAGGCGTTGATGACCGGAGGCACACAGGATGTGCATCGCTTTCCAATGAAGTAAAGAGATGTGTATGGATGTAAGGCTTCATCCCTAATTCAGCTTCGATCTGCTCCGTCCGTTTATGTCCATATTTTCAACGTACAGCTCCTGCAACGCCTGCTGCAGCATCGCCGCCACGTATGCATCCGCTTCCTGCTGCGAAACGAAATCAGGGATGGGTGCGCTGGCTGTGCGCGCGTGACGCACCGAGCGTTGCACGATTGCGTCGCGCCCGAGGCGGGCGATGAGGCGATCGCATGCGCGGATCTCTGGGTGCGTCGCGGGAGCCGTTTCAGGACGTTGCATCCGGTGCTCGCTGCGTCAGACTTGGAGTACTAGACGCAAGCGTACGCAGCGTATTTGCTCACTAGACGGCGCTTGCCTTCCGAACAGTTTCTGAATACGAGTGACTCCAACGAAGAACATACATCGAATCGTCCAAGGGTCTCGGACGCGACACAAACGTTTGGTGTTCCTTCTTTTTAGCCGAATATTTGACCTCCGGCGTACTTTCAAACGAGCTTGATGGCTTTCTTGGGCCTCCGAACAGGTGGCGGCGGCGGTGGCAGTGGCGCTAACGCTGGAGCTACCACAGGCAGCACACCGACATCCCAGCGCGGTGGTCGCACTGGGCCTGAAGCTGGTTCCGGGCGGGTGAGGGCAGTGGTCGACTCTCCCACGGGTTCGAGTGCCGCTGCTGCTTCGCCTGGTGCGGGTCGCGGCGCAGCTGAGCGTCAGGCTTTTGCGATCATTGAAGAGCGACAGCGCATTCGGAAGCGAGCTGCTGGAAATGAGCGCACTGAGGAGAATCTGGACACCTCCAACACGGAGCAAAGCGACGGCAGTGGCTACATTCTCGGGCCGGTTGTGGCAACGTATATTCGCGGCCGTTTCCTCGGCAAAGGCGGCTTTGCGAAATGCTACGAAATGACGGATGCGCGCACGCAGCGCGTCTACGCTGGAAAAATTATTGACAAGAGCACCGTGACGAAGCTGCGAGCTCGCCAGAAACTTCGGAGCGAGATCCAAATCCATGGATCGTTGCGACATCCGCATATTGTGCGCTTCGAGCACTTTTTCGAGGACGAGGATCACGTCTACATTTTACTCGAGCTGTGCGACGCACAGAGCATGATGGAACTTTTGAAACGACGCAAACGTCTGACGGAACCCGAGTGCCGCTACTTTATGATGCAAATCCTGGAGGCGGTGGAGTACATGCATCGCAATCGCGTCATCCACCGCGATATTAAACTCGGGAACCTATTCTTGACCAGCGATTTGCAGATCAAAATTGGAGATTTCGGCCTCGCGGCAAAGCTCGAGTACGATAATGAGCGCAAGCGGACCATGTGCGGCACCCCGAACTACATCGCACCGGAGATCCTGTGCGGCAAGAACGGACACAGTTACGAGGTTGATATCTGGAGTCTCGGGGTCGTTCTCTACACCATGTTGATTGGCAAGCCGCCATTCGAGACCGCGGATGTGAAGACAACCTACAAACGGATCAAGGCCAACATCTATACGTTCCCTTCGCAGGTACAGATTAGCCGCCCCGCTCGTGATCTCATTGTGTCCATCCTGAATGCAGCGCCAGAGGGCCGGCCCCAGCTCTCTGATATCTGGTGCAGCGAGTTCATGCAAGGCCCTGTGCCCCGTTGCTTGCCGCGCAAGGCGCTCGATGAGGAACCAACACTCGCAGAAATAGGTCTCGATTTCGCGTCTGGGGCCGTCCAAGCAGCTGGTATGCGGTATCATGACAGCGCGGATGGCGCGACGGGCCCCCGGTTTCCCAGTGCGGCTCAGAGCGTGCAACAACAGGCTTGCTCAAGTACCTCTGCACGAGAGAGAAACCTCCCTGCGGTACAGGGCATCACTCAAAAGGGAACCTTTCCGCGAAATCCGTTCACGAAGAAGCATACAGGCACCGGGCCGGTCGCAGCACTGGAGAAGCCGCATGCAGGTTCAGCGCCTGGGAATGCCCTTGGTGTCGTGCACCTGCTGGAGCGTATGGAGCTTGGTACCGCAGAAGCGCCAGCACACACCACTGCCGAACGCATGCACACGGACGGCAGCGCCAACCTGACCCCGATGAGCGGCGCGCGTGCGTGTGCAATGCCTCCGCCCGCATGCGAGAGCGCCAGTCGGCACGATCGACAGATCATTGCGGCAGCGGGAAACGATGCTGGCGGCCACTGGGACGCAGCCGATATGGATGAGGAGGAGCGGGGCATGCTCAGACGCGCCCAGCACGAACTAGCCACGAGCTTTGCACGCTTGCCGCCAGAGGCCATGATCCCGACCTCGGCTGCTCGCAGTGCATCGCCATCGGAGGTACTGGGACCCCCTGGAGCGCGCTCTGGGGCTCAGTCTCGAAGTAGTGCCTCGAGCGCTGCCTGCGCGCAAGCGGGTGACCAGCGAGGTGCCTGCGGAGGCGGTGTGCTCGCGTCGCCGTTCCAGATTGCGGATCCGACGCGCACCGTTCATATGGGCGACCTGCCAGCCGACTGCAAGACCACGCCACCCGAAGTCTGGATCTGCAAATGGGTGGATTACACCTCCAAGTACGGTGTTGGGTATCAGCTTTCGAATGGTGATTACGGGGTTTATTTCAACGATGCAACCAAAATCATGCTGCATGCGGGCGGCGATGCCAGTGCGATCGAGTATGTGGAGCGAAAACGCTTGGCGTTTGGAAGCTACGACGACTGGCAGATTTTCACCTGGAATGACCATCGAGAGAGCCTGCGTAAGAAGGTAACGTTACTGCGGCATTTCCGCCAACACCTGGATGAACACCAGCCGCCTGGCCAGGAGCCGCCAGTGGCGCAGGGTACCGTTCCGGGTAGCGCAGGTGCTGCTGCTGCAGTCCAGCGGCCGATTTACCTCAAGCGCTGGATGCGAACGCGCCATGCAATGATCTTTCGGCTGAGCAACCGTGTGATTCAGGTCGACTTTTTCGACACAACACAGCTGGTGTTGTCGGCAGGCCACGGTATTGTGACGTACCGCGACAAACTCGGGCGACGTATCCAACTTCGGCTTCATGCGATTCCCAACTGTCCCGAATTGGTCAAGCGACTCCGCTATTTACGTGATATCTTGGGGCATTTGACGCAACAACAACAACAACAGCAGCAGCAACCGGTTCCGCCAGCGCAAGTCTAAGCAGCCGTACACGAGGACGTGGTGTTGCTCGGTGCTTCGTTATCTCGCGAGTCGTGGCCCGCGGTGCGACGCTGCACAGGTCGCGACCTCGCGTTCTTCAGCGCCGTTGCGGCCGCTGCTGCCCATTCTCTGCATGCAGCATCGACTGCAGTCTACTGGTTGAGCACGCGTATGAAGCGCGCTAGACGGTACGCGCTCAGCAAGTAACGCAATCGGTCTTGGGAAAAGGCACCATCGTTCGGGTTTGCGACTCGTGCCTTGGTTTCAAGTGCCGGTGGGTGTTCCCGGTGGCGAAACTCGGAATGCGTGGTTACCAAACAGCTACGCTTAGCTGCCTGTCACCATCTAGTTCGAGGATGCGTGCCGTGCGCGGAATCCCTGTACATGCTGTGGTCAGGTACGGATGCGTGACCCTACGAAGCGACGCGGAGCGTGCGAGACTTGTTGGTCGCGACACCCGCCGGGAATTGGCACGGGCCGTTGTGTATTTTTTTCTGCGCTCGCATCGGTACGGTATCGATCACCCTAGGCTATGCATGACCGTCTAAAGGTTGCCTCGCGTCTGCGAGCTTCTCAGCCACTTGCAATAGGGCGAAGCGGTCGCGCGCTTGCGTGCTTCACTCCCGCGAATTCGAGTGCCCGTGCACTTTGGCCCGTGCGCGCGAAGAGAGAAGCGTCCAGAGTCGCATTGCGCCTGGAGGGCGTGTGGGAAGCGCAGAACCTCCATACCTGGAATCGTTCAAGAAGCGTAGTCGTCAAAAATGCCACCGATTCGGATCGGTCTACAACCAGTCACAGGCAGTGCACCGTAGTTTTCCGGCCGCAGGGGAAGATTTTCCATGTTTTTCGCTAGACGCGCGGCTGCTCCGCGAAACAGGCTTCTTCCCGTCGATAGGCAACGTAAACTCGCTTGTATTGATGCCTTTCTGCTATACCTAGAAATTGGGACTAGAGCTCTTGGAATGTTGATCGGGGCTTGGCGCGGTATCGAGCCTCCGCCGAGCATGGACGCGCGGTCGATGGCAGCAGAGAGGCGATCAGATCCGATCCTACAGGTACGGATCCATACGGACACGCATGTTTAGGTGCAACTCGCATCCACATACATCAATGGAATCATCGGCAAGCACACACGGAGAAATACGGACACGCATGTTTAGGTGCAACTCGCATCCACATACATCAATGGAATCATCGGCAAGCACGCACGGAGAAATACGGACACGCATGTTGAGGTGCAACTCGCATCCACATCCATCAATGGAACCATCGAGGTGCCCGATCAGATCAGGCGACAGGAGGCGCGCGCGCGATCATGCAGGCACCGCACGCTGTCACGCTTGTCACGAGACGCGCTCCAGGCCGCTGCTCTCCTCGCGAGGCGTCGATCGACGAAGCGCAGTGATGGATTGCGACGACGCAACGGCGCCGTGCGCTCCACACGCGTAATCGCGGACTCGTGTCGAATTCCTGCGATATACAGCGTACGGTTGTGACGACGACAAGGACGAGGACAACGTCGTGTTTTCTTGCCTACTGAGCACGACCCAAGCAAGAATACGCAATGCCGGAACACTGGTCACCTTACGCTGCAGAGCTGATTGAAACAGCGAAAAAAATCGTAACGCCCGGGAAAGGCATCCTGGCTGCCGACGAAAGCACTGGCACCATTGGGAAACGCTTCAGCAGCATCCAGGTGGAGAACAACGAAGCGAACCGGACTGCGTATCGAGAGCTTCTCTTCAGCACTCCAGGTATTGAGGAGTTCATCAGTGGTGTCATCACATTCGAGGAAACTCTTTTCGCGAAAACGACCGACGGGAAGAAACAGCTCTGTGACCTACTGCGAGAGAAAGGGATCATCGTTGGCATCAAAACCGACAAGGGCACCACGCCGCTACCAGGAACCGACGGCGAGACCGCAACACTTGGCCTTGATGGTCTGTTGGAGCGGTCTAAGAAATATTACGAGGCGGGTGCGAGGTTCGCCAAGTGGCGTGCGGTCTTGAAGATCGATCCCGCCACAGGTTGCCCGTCACAGCAGGCGATCACGGAGAATGCGCACACGCTTGCACGCTACGGTGCTATTTCACAGATGGCAGGTCTGGTGCCGATCATCGAGCCCGAAGTCCTCATGGATGGGTCGCATACGATCGAGCAGGCGGCGGCCGCACAGGAGCGGGTGCTGGCAGCAGTCTACAAAGCCATCCAAGACCAGAATCTGCTTCTGGAGGGAACGCTCCTAAAGCCAGCCATGACGACGCCAGGAGCAGAGCACAAACCCGCAGCGACACCCGCTGAGATCGCCTTTTACACGGTACGTACGCTATCGCGCACGGTACCTCCGGCGGTGCCAGGAATCGTGTTTCTATCCGGCGGCCAGAGTGAAATCGAAGCAACGCAAAACCTCGCCGCCATCAACAATGTGAAGAACGTCTCGAGACCATGGGCGCTGAGCTTCAGCTACGGACGCGCGTTGCAGCAGTCCTGCCTCAAGGCCTGGAGTGGCAATCCGGCGAATGTGGCGGCAGCACAGGAGGCGTTTCTGAAACGTTGTCGAGCGAACGGCCAGGCGCAACTCGGGAAACTCGTGGACGCCGACGGTGCCAGCCAGGAATCGCTGTATGTGAAGGACTACAAGTACTGAGGGTTGGTCAGACATGTACACTCCGGGGGGGAACGAAACATGATCCAGCGAGTCGATCGAAAGTCGTTAGTTGCCGGCAGAATGCAAAGGACGGGACCTGCACACTCGAAAGGGATACTGCAGAGCACGCGATCGACGAGCGCCATCCGTAAAATGATTGGAATCGCGTCTAGTTTATATGAGGTAGCGTCGGCGGAATCTTGTCAGAACGAACGGTCCGGGTTCTGCGACTCGCGCCCTGCGGGAGATCCGACACCTCACGAGTGTTCACGACTTTGGTATGCGCCGCTGTCGAGCAGGGGCCCGGCCCCAACGCCCGCTGAGAACCTCGCTCCCTAGCGTTATCCGAAGGCAACCCGACGCGCGTGTACACCGAATATGACTGCAGGTCTGATGCTGAGGCGTACACGCGACCTGCACCTTCGTCTTGGACGTATACCGCACCAGTTTGAGCGTCCAGGACTCCTAGCGATGGCAGCGGCTTTCCGAATCTTTGCAGGAGAGACAATAGCAACACCAGCGCAAACAACAGGGAAACCAAGCGCCACGGCAGCTGCACTGACTCCGAAAACGCCGCTAGTCGTCCTGTGCAGCGTAGGGAGCGCGTTCAGCACGAGCTTCCTCCACTGCGAACATACAGCGAAACGCGCTCTGAGGACCATTCCACGGTACCGAGAGACGCTCGCGAATGCAACGCGCCTCGTCCAGATGCAGCAGGTCAGGTGCTCGGAAAACAGTCGCGTATGAAGCCGCCAACGCTACCTGCTCGACCTATGCATAGTACGTACGATCCGCTAAACGAATCTGCAGGTCAGCTGCGAACCAGAATGTGCACCATGGCAAGTGACCTCGTCGTGATCAACGCGGGGCAAGCGTCAGCACTCCGAGGCTCGCGCTATGCCCCAGAGGCGTCGACAACGCACCGAGATCACGGCGGAACGTCGGCAGCATTCATCTGCTCTAGAACGATGTCGGTTTGCTCTCGATTCCCTATTGCCACTGGATCCATACTGGACGCGCGTGCAGGTGCAAGGAGCAAACGCTCAGACGCAATTCCATCCGAAAATCATATCCGTTTGCTCCTGTTTTTCTATTACCAATGGATCTATGTTCAAAGCGTCCATGGGTGAAGGGAGCGCGTGCTCAGGTGCGAGTCGATCAGAGACTCCTCCGCTCGTTCGATGCTTGGGCTCACTAACGTATTTCTCGTCCTTCACCATCAGATCTAGAAGCAACACGCTTGCACAAATCGCCGGTTTCGCCAAGTTGCAAGTCAACGATAAAGCGATCAGTTCACAGGCCTCGTTTGCAGCGCAAAAAGACGATTTTTCATCTGGTCACGGGTCAATGAGCAGCACGGTATCCGCGTCGGGGGATTCGGTCGACGCTCGATACCGCTTTCGCGGAATGGAGGCTTCGGCAGCATCCTCAGCGGGAGCCATTGTTTCCGAGTCAGTTGCGTCGATTTCGATGAGGTCAACTTCCGAGTCCGGTCTGCTGCTCTTATTCTCATCGCGCTCATTATCCGGATCATTTGACGACGGCAGAGGAAGGGTTTCCCACTCACCGATGCTGCTGCCTTCGAGGATGCGCCAGTTTGTTTCTGTCGCAGCAGTGTTCTCAGTGCCGGGCACCAGATACACATCGAAACGCAGTCGCTGAAACTGCGTCCCATGTTCTTCTTTTCTTTGGACGGCATCGATCTGCAGCTCCGCCGATGCTTCGACTCCAAGCGACGCCAGAGATCTCTCGCAGTTTGCACGCCATAAGCATCGCTCGTCTTCATCATCATCGTCATCGTCGTTGTTGTTGCCGATATCTTTAGGCGAGTCGCCGTTCGCCAGTGCGGTGATCGCATCCGCAGGGTCCGGGTCCTCATACAAAAGCGCAACGCAGGGTTCACCGCGCGCGTCTCGTGTACAGAGGCCAATCAGAAGCGCGGCTTCTGTACCGATACCAAGCTGACCGTGCAAGCACTCGCGTATGAATTGCCCGAGCGTAACCTGCGTTAGGGCGCTGGTCAACGCGATGGCTAATTTGCCGCGGGAGCATATGGAACAATCTTTGTTGGGCGCTGCGAGCGCTTCTGGCAGCAGCAGCACGGATTCAGAGCGACTTCGGGATGGGGTTGGTGTTCGCAGCACAAAGACGCAGCGGAGTACACTTCGCGCGCGTTTCAAGTCAGTGGCGTTATCTGTCCGCTGCACCAGTTGGTGCCATTTGCAGAGCTCCGTGAGTGCTAGCCCAGCCACCATAGCATTCGTGGCAGCGATCGCGTGTACGATTCCACCGGCAATACCTTTGACTTCGAAAGGGCTCTGCAGCGGCTCTACCCGATAGCAGTGTGCGCGTAAGTTGCTCATGGCTGTGACGAACGCCAACGCCTCAGCATCATCCTTATCAAAGGTGCGAGGTTTCGAGCAGCTACATAGTCGCGGAACCACCTCATTGAGAACCGCTAAACACGTAGAGACATCCCAGGCACTGGTCTGCTGCGCAAATCGCTCATCTAGTGCCTCTAGGCGCTGCTGCTGTTGCTGTTGCTGTTGCTGCTGCTGTTGCTGTTGAGTCAGCGTCTCGAGGTCGTCGAGCAGCGCGCCCTCCAATGGTCGAGGTCGTCGTTGTTCACCCGCCTCCTGCCGTATCGCGGCTTGTCGTGTCACCTCTTCCACGAATAAGAACCTCAATAACCGAACAGTATACGCCGCAGGTGTCTCCTGACCGTCCCATCGACAGTCCAAGTCGCTGAGCATGGACTCAGCCGCTGACTCTGGTGCAAAAAGATGGTTGAAGAGATGTTTTGCCCAGGCAACACAATGCGCTGGTTTTTCGGGATTGGAGCGGATCGTGCAAACCGCAAACTGACGCGTTCCCGACTTGGGTGTGCACTGGTAGCACTCACTGACCCCCGGCAGGATGGGCACGACCTGACCCAGGTAACCAGCACTGCCAGTGTCGATCAGGAGCCTCCGGGTGGCTATGCACATCTTGTTCACGTGTTGGCGAGCCTCCAGGTTGTCCAGCGCATTCAGCACAACATCAAAAGAGCGAAAAAAGTTCCATGAAAACTTTGTTGTGTCCCGAACATCACCTGCGTGAGCGACCAACTCGAGTCCCTGGCCGGGCAGCGTCCGGCCGAGGTTCGCCACCACCGCCTCGCTTTTGAGCCGACCAATGTCCGAACGCCGGAACAAAAACTGCCGGTTCAGGTTCGAGGCATCCACCCGGTCCAGATCAACGAGATGAAGACAGCCCACCCCGAGCTGGACGAGACCGTGGGCGAGCTCGCAACCGATGCCGCCGGCGCCCACGAGCAAAACCCGCAGCGCTGACAGCGACTCCAAAGACGACACACAGGGCTGTGCTCGCGTACTCGGCTCCATGGTCGCACGACTATCAACGAGCATCGGAAACAGGTCTCGAGTCCAGGCCCAGCTCGAGAGACGAGCCGCCAGGAACGACAGCCGACGCACCCTCTCTCGATTACAGTGGCTCAAGTGTGGCGATATGGACAAGTGGTGCGTTTTACGCGACGTATCGCTGCCGGTGATGCTGGCCAACATGTCGCCACGTGACTGCAGGCGCACCGTCATGCTCAGGACTGGTACCCGACTACCGAACGCTGGAACGGGTTCCTGATCATTCAGAAGGATGACGCGTCTACATAGCGCCCTTCTCTGGGACGGTATTTATGCCCGTATTAGGAAGCGCTGGTGCCTTCACGATCTCGTCAGGTATCCGCTGGCATTGGGTAAGTCCAAGTACCCGGTGCACGGTATCGACGAGAGCTGATGTGATATCCAAAATCCCGCTGGGACGCGAGCGCTGCAGAGTGTGCCACCATTCCAGGATTCGCTACCTACATCAAAGACCTCGATATGAGGCGAAGCGCTTCTGCAGGCGGCGGAATCCGCGCAGCATTGGTACCAGTGGGTGCAGAAGGCGCCAGCCGCCGCACCAGCAACATCCTCGGTTGACAGTATACGCGCCAGGGTCGCTTCGGTGAACCAGCGCTGCCGCAGGCCAAACACGTTGAAGCGCGCACAGGTGCGGTATCGCATGGGCCTGCTGCCCATCCCCTGGATGAAGAGCTTCTCGGAGCTTTATTCGATGTTCCCGCGCTGTGCCGTGGCTTGTGCGTCAACGCACGCTTCCTGAGCACAGAATGCACGCTGCTGCTGCTGGCGATGGTGGCGGTGGCGGTGGCGGTGGCGGTGGTGGTGGTGGTGGTGCGACAGCGCGAACCAGCCTCTTTCTCCAACTCGAATGTGCCCTTATTCTCGAAGTAAATCAAAGCACCAAATGCTCAGATCCTGCGTACGTGTCGCCCATAGCAGCGTTGCCCTGAATCAGCTCCAAACTGAGCAGGGGCGAATGCGCCTGCCGCAAGGCGGCGGTGCGCTATACATCCTCATCGACCAGCACGACATCGCGTGACGCTTCGCATTCATATACTGGTCGAATCGAGCAGGCCTCCATTCCATTCAGGAACACTGCGATAAAGTTCAGCGAATGCAGAAATGTCTACGAAAGCAACAGAATCTTTGCCTTGGTCCCCGGGAACGCTCATGCATCTGGAAGCTTCGAATGCGACGTAGGCATCCTGCATCGTCGATGCACGCCGAAGCGGCATGCGCGCGCGCCTCGCCGTGCATGTAGCGAGGCGAGACACGCATGATTCAAATATGTTTATTTTGGGATGAATCTCCCAGAGTCCATGCGCATCGCAGCGCCCTTCGATCAGGACGGGTGCACAGCCGCTGCGAACCACCCTCGGGGATCGGCTGCTGGACGGGCATCCACTACCATGGCATACCGTGCGCCACGTTTCTTGTGTACAGGGATACAGAGAACCCTCGACTGCCACAGCAAACAGCACGAATGGTGTGCATGACGGAGCAGGAGGCCATCGTTGGCTTTCATCCGGCAAGCGTTGATGAATCGCGTGCTTCAGCGGGCAGTAAAGCTGCGGCCTAGGGCCTCCACGGTGCGCAGGCGACGTATTTCGCGAACCGCCACCAGGTGCTGGCGAAACCATCCGGGAAAGGGAAATCCATCGCCTGCCGTCCGCGCCTGCATTCGCAACATGTTAACAAAGACGCAGCTGGGAAAGGGCCGAGCATGTGGTACCGGCTCCTCGCCAGTGTCATAGAGATAGCCAAACTCCATCTGAGCACTATTCATTTGCTGCTCCACCAGTTGCTTGTATTTTCGGAAATAATAGCGCACTAGATCCTGTACGCGACGATGCGGGAGCAAATAACGCTGGATGAGGGAAAACTGCTTGCCGTACTCGAAAATCCCTCGCGCAAATAAAGAACGATCCTCACTGGTCCAGCAAGTGGGATCCACCGCCTGTGGAGCCAAACGCTCGGTCTCAGTGACCACGACATAGGCAGCGTCCACATCATAGTTGTTCTCGTGTAGAATGCAGTGGAGCACAAATTCCTGTTCAGCGGTCGCCGGTAGACCCCAGCGCTTTTCAATAAATGCGCTGCATTTTTCTAGGTAGGTACGCAGCTGCGCCTCGGGTATCTTTCCCGCATACCAGTATACCGAGCCAGGTTTCTCCAGGTACGTTTCAATATGCCGCTGAATCTGTTTTCGCAACGCCTCGAGACTCGCTATACGCTCGCTGTCGGTTGCGTATCCGCGTTGCTCGCCATCTGGAAAGTCGGCAGGTATTGCGGCTTCGGGGACCTGAAAGGCTTCACCAACCCGGGGCATGATGCGGCGAGCCGGACGACCGGCCGCACTACTTGGCACGCTGCGAACTAGCCGAGACGCAGTTTCTGGTTGAGATGCTGCGTCTGATGCTTGGCCCAGTGACGCGGCAGCGCCGTCCGACTCTCGCCCAAGGGAATCGCGCAGTCGCACGCCCTCCACAGAAATGGCCGCCGAATCCGGCTTGGAGGAAACTTGCGTCGCGTCAACTGAGCTGTCAAGCTGGACAGCGCTATTCGATGATATGGACGAGTTTTCCACGCATACCAAAGCTCCCGTGTCTTTCAAAAGCGTTTCGGTTGCCACAGAGTCGAGGTCTACCGCATGTCGCTCATATGTCTGGTGCTCCGGGGCATCGCCGACTGCCACCATGCTCCCTGGATGCGCCAACGGCATCTGCATAGATGGCCGTTTCGACAGCGTTGATGGCGCTTGCAAGACGAGTTCGGCAGCAGGGCCAGTCGCGGCAGGCACCTGGCCCCCTGCTCGTGCAGTTGCTCCCAAAGCGCTACCGCACGGAGCGATGTGTTCGGCTTCGATTGCGCCGGTCTCCAGTTCAGACGCATTCGAGGATGCAGTGGAATGCAGATCAGCGTGCACTGGGGTCTGGGTCAGACCCGTGGATTCGCTCTGCGCGGGCAACGCATGACCAGGGAATCCCTCGCAGCCCCCTGTCGACGGGCTCGCACCCTCCGCCGACACAACGGTCGTCTGCCGTACGACTTGGGCGCTCGCAAATGAATCGTGACGCAGCTTGCCTTCAGATTCTGTGGGTGCGCTTTGTATTGCGACGAGTTGCGATGCTGCCGACTCGCTATCAGAGCTCTTCTCGACGCATTCGCGGAGCGTATCCGCAGGTGCGCGCCTGTGCGGAGACGGGAAGGACGCCGGCGGTGCACCGATCTCTGCAAGTGTCAGCCTGCTGTCACTGGCGGTACCCAGAGAAATGGCCTCCACAGCGGCATCCGCTTCGCGCAAATGCGCTCCAGGCATAGGCTCAGCTTGCGAAAGCTCCGCACTGGCCAGTCTCATATGCGGACTAGGCGAACGCCTTGAGTCTCCAGAGATCATCATGGAGGAAACCGCGGGCCTCTGGGGAACACGCTCTCCAGCATCGCTGTCGCCAGTGAATTGTTTGTTATATGAAAAGCCTTGTCCAGCAGCAGCTGCAGCGATTGCCGGTGCCCTAGTCTCTGACGCGTTTGAACGCATTCGTGCATGCTTGTCTGAGCGCTCACAAGGCGCCAGTGCGCTGGGCGCCGCGTTCCACTGCTGATCCGAATTACAATCCGGACAGATAAAGTCTCCCTCAGGGACCTGGAGTAACGGGGGCGAGCAGCAGTACGTGTGTCGAGCCCCGTTACAGCCATCGCAAAGCAAAAGGAGGTCCTCGTCGTGCCCAGAACCACAAACGGAGCACACAAAGTCATCCTCAATGTCGTCCTCAAGGTTAGAAGCTCGTGTTGACGTTATGAGACGCTTGCTCCGCTTCGTGCCTTGTGCGTCTCGGGGGTGCGCCTCTCCGGCCTGATTCCGGCGAGTCGGCGCAACGCTTACCGCACCTCGTTTCGCCGGCACGCGCTCTGCGCCAGTGTAGACCTTGGGTTTGCCAGCACCCATATCAGAAGAAGCCTTATCGAGACGCGAACGCTTGCGAGGCATGATTTATCGCTCCTGGCCAACACTGCTCGTACCACACGCTGTGTCTAGAGTCGTCGCTATGGGGCCACCCCGCTCGTGTTCGCTTGACAAACAGCTCCCAGGATCGCGCAACGAAAAGCCACGCGCTATTGCCCAAGTATTCTATTCAAAACTAGTCTCGAAAACTGTAACAGATTTGCAGGTTCCTAGTACTTTGCCTGAAACAGCCGTCCACCCCGTCTTTGGCTAGAATAGCCAACACAAGTTGCAACAGAAAGTATGTTGATAATGGTGCTGCATTAGCGCTGAGTAGCGCGATCGGGGCCTGTCGCAGCGCCACGGCACCAGCGGCGATCGACGGTACCAGAGAACAGAAGAGAGCACTGAACTGCTGGCTATGTTCCTGTGTACCGTTTTCTCCCGAACGGGTTTTCTGGATATCGAGGTGCGATATTCGAGGTGTCTCCATCGAGAGGAATGGATCTGTCGGTGGGTTTACGGGTTCTCGGTCGTCTTCCTGGCGAGATGTATTCGAGTATATGCCACTGGAATGCGGTATTGCGTCGGAATCAAGATGATCCGCAAAGCCATCGACCTCGGCTTCGTGAAATAACCGATAGCATGGTGCGATGCGGACGTGCAAGCTTCCCGTTTTCTCGTCTCCGTACGTGTAGCGTGATGAAATGATGCAAGCTTCAATTTTTCGATGATTCGGCTTCAAGCCAACTTGTAGACGTAGCAATGTGCGTCACTGTTTTGGCGATGGATGTAGCGTGTTGTCGCCCATAGGCGTCCTTTTCAGAAGCTCATGCCGATTGGCTCACTAAACCAGTCACGTCAGATAAGCGATTCCGTTCCGAATCTATAGACCCATAGCTGTGTCTCCATGCACAAAAAGCGTTTGACGCGAACATGTGACATGCCACGAGACACATTCCAAGAGGTTCACGTCAGTTGTGTTTGCATGCAGAACGGTATAGAAGGGAGAATGCAGTCGTGGCAGCGATCACTTCTAGTGCCACATGCGTCACCCTCTTGTCGTGAAGCGAGTGTAGACCGATCGAAATCTCTCGACTTGATCTCCAGCCTGGATTTGCTTTTCGCAAGTCGATTGGTCATGGAAAACGTCGCGTTTAACGAATTCCTCTGTCCAGGGAGGCAGCTTTGCGGTGACCCTGCAGGCGTCGACTCGGGGAGCGCCAAACGATGTATCGATGATCCGCGGCGAGCGCAGAGGCGTGCTAAACATGCACGTTGCAGCACAGCGAGCCCCGATGATGGCGCCTGGCGAGTTCCAACGAGTTCATTCCCGGCGTCCAGATATCTGGTGCAACCAACTGAAGGCTCCCGCTCCTCGCGGTTGCTGCTTCGTATAGCCCACGATTGGCATTTGGGCAGAGAACAAAACGCCAGTGAACTGCACAAACGCTGTGCAACACACGATGGCAAAAGCGCGTTCGATGCAGTGCCGGCCTTGATCCTGGAAGAGGCGTCGTCAATCAGGACGCGTAGCGTAGACGAGCTTTACTTCACAGGGACATGAGCATCGAATAGGCAAAGTTCCGCACACCCATCAAGAAGGTTATGTGTATTTGTTGTGGAGAGACGCTATCCAACGTATCATATCATGAACGCTCTTTCAGATTCTAATACTGTGCAATCGATAAATTTACACGGATTCTCCCAGATGCGTAACTTTTAGTTGTACACAGGGAAACGACCACGATGCTGACCGTGTTTAGAGCTACCGATACGTTCAGTCATGTCGCAGAATGCGATCCACATCACAGCTGCTGTCTGTTCATCGAGAGGTCCTGCGTTCGTACACCATCCATGAATCAGGTGCACAAGTGGACAGGGTCCAGGGCGCTGCTTCGCTAACGCTTTTGCTGCAGGCTGGTCTGCAGCACCGCTGTGCGACGCACTTCCAGAAATTCGGATCATATACGGACAAAATAGAACCTTGTTCGTTGGCAGCCAGACGAGGCGTCCACTTCGAACACAACATTGTTGCGGTCTCCGAAACTACATCAAGTTCGTGCGAACGGCTGATTCCTCACTGTGGAGCAGTGACGGCGCGATTAAGGAGAGTCTGGATCGACTTGACACCATAGGTTTTCGCCACGGTGTACGGCTACCGTGGTGAACGCGTTCCACTTGTTCTCTTTACACGGACGCAACAGAACAGAGACCGAGTACGACCAGCTGCCCGGCTGCGAAACTTTTGACGACACAGGGCACAGGTTTGTGGTGAACGCGGGCTCACGTGCACCGCATTATTATAGAGATTTCCAAATTCGGTGTACGAAACCCTTGAGGCTTGCCCTGATCGACGTGGCGCACCAAGAGAACTCGGGGGAACCGGACCATAAAAATAGCACTTTTGGGACGCCGCCTACGCGCACCTCTTGTACACAGGACGCCAGCAGCACGACTGGTGACGGCAAGCATCGAAATCATCCATCACATTGCTCTCAAGCAGAACAGATCCATAGGCGCGAGCTCGCTGCAGCTCGTGCGCGGAACTTTACGAGCGCTCCCAAGGCGTGCGCTGCCTCCGGAGGACCTGAGCATGCGGGCCAGCCACTACGTTGACAGTCGGTGTGCTTTTGGATGCCTGCTTGGTGCGTTGCACGCGAGCACTCAGTTCTGCCAACGAAGCGCGTCGCGTGTCGCTGCACTCGAGCTTCGAAAAAGCACTCATCTACTCCGCGTTGAACGCAGGAAGACCAATGTCGGGTTTCGACAGCGACCCGGTTATCCTGTACTAGTACCGGTGAACAATCTCCAGTACCGGCAGCTTCGCTGCTGCGCGAGCGAACCTCCGAATTCTGCAAAGCCCGGAAAAGACGCGCAGCCACCGGAAGAATCCGAGCAGCAATTCTTCTCCGAAGAGTTCCAGCGTCGCATGTCAGACGAGTTCCGCGCAGCGCTTGAGGCGGAGTTTGATCGTGAAGACCCCCTCGAGGAGAGTATTCGAAACGCGTTTTGCCGAGAGGAGAGGCCGCCCCAGGAGCCGGGCCCGCCGAAAACGTACCAGTTGTACGATCCTGATGAAGTGGTCGCCGAACTAGACCGCTTGGCGGCATCCGGAGCTTTCGACGTCTCTGAATACGGCGATGCGGATACGTTTTGGGAAAGATACGTCAAGAACAGGAGCGCCAGCGCTTCGCAGGACGGCGACACGACGCAGACCGACACCGACGTTGGGCGCGATGCAAGCATCTGGGAGCTAGATCTTGAGCACCTCGATGATTCGTCATCCGCTGAGGGTCCCGATGCTGCTGGCACTCCGGGAACGCAAGCCCTGCTTCAGTTGCCCTGCCCGGGATGCGGTGCACATCTCCAGGATGATGATCCGGACGCCCCCGGTTACTTACCCGCACGGGCCCTGAGGCCGAAAGGGCAAAACGCCGAGAAACCGCTGACGTCGAAGGTCTGTCAACGGTGCTTCCACCTGACGCACTATTCGAAAATCAGTGCCAAAGGGCTGACGCTCATGTCCCCGGAGCAATTCCGGGAGATCCTCGCCCCGTTGGCAAAACAGCGCGCAGTGGTGGTTTGCATGCTCGACATTCTGGATCTGTCCAGTTCGATGCTGAAGGAGGTTTCTCAGCTGGCCAATGCCCAAAGCCCTGTACTGGTTGTTATCAATAAGGCAGACCTGCTTCCCTCGTCGGTGAAACTCGGCCACATCATGCAATGGATTTGGAAACGTTGTGCAGCTTCGGGGATGCGACGGCGGCCGCGTGCTGTCTACCTCATCAGTGCAGAGAGAGGGCTCGGCATCCGGGGTTTCGTCCAGGGACTCGTGGCCGCTGCTCGAGAATCCCGCACCGATCACATTTACATCATGGGTGCCGCCAATGTCGGGAAAAGCACGCTACTGAATCGCATCATACGGGGGCATCCTGGCCACGGCTCAAAACCGACGCGTGAGCTGACCACCAGTGTTGTACCTGGTACCACACTGGGCATGGTTCGTTTGCCCCTGAAGAATGCCGCAACCGGCGAGCGCATCGTGATCATGGATACACCTGGCATCGTCGAGCCTCGCCGCGTCAACCTCCTCTGTCTCGAAGATATCTCAGAGATGAAAGGTATCCTGCCAAGACGACGCCTCCGCGGTATCACGTATCGTCTCGAACAGGGCAAGTCTTTATGGCTGGGCGGTTTGGTAAATATCGCCCTGGCTGAGGGGAAACCCTGGTTCTTCACAGCCTACGTCAGCGAGCAGGTAACCGTTCATGTAAGCGACGCCAGCAAGGCACTGAACGAGACGTATCGCGTACAGTCCGTGAAGAACGGCCTGTTATGGCCTGGTGGCTTGCGTGTGCCGCTCGCGACCGTAGAACCTGTGCGAATGTGTGTGGAACACGGTACCTGGAAACGAACTTGTGCCGATATCGTGATACCTGGTCTCGGCTGGGTAGCACTGCTGGGCAGTGGCTCCTGCACCGTGCATGTCCGAGTTGCTGGCGGCGGTACAGTGTGGAAGCAGGAGCCTCTCGCTCCACGTGCGTTAGCGGAATTGCGGACAGAACGATATTTCGGGGCGCCTCGCCAAGTGTTGCGAAACACCAAGGCCTCCTCCTAATGCGATCCCAGAAAAAAATGGGGTTTATGCTGCTTTGGCTGTTCGAATTGTTGCCGTCCAGGAGATTGTAGCTCTACGCGTATCACCATGAGATAGAGGCGGACCTCGAACTAGGGCGTATTCTAAATGTTGTGTCTCGTTCAACTGTTATCAGCCCCAGCCTCTGCGTACTGTTTCTTGTGCTGCTTCCTTTCTCTATCTCGCAGCTTTTGCTTTAATGAAGCCGGTCGCACTTGTGTCTCCAGCTTCGGTGCCAGCAGTCGACGGATGTTGATAACAGCGTTCAAGTGCCGATTCTGATGCGTTCGGACGACGTCAACGCACTGGATGTGCGGGTAATAGTTGCGATCTGCACTTTACTAGCCGTTTTCGTCTGCTCTGGAGACAGCCTCGGCCTCCGGACGGCGTCAACACACTGGATGCACGGGTAATAGTTGCGATCTGCACCTTACTTGCCATTTTCGTCTTCTCTGGTGGCAGCCGTGGTACGCCCCTGGCAGCTACGACACACGACCCTGGTCAGCAGCTGGAATATGTCCACCACAGCTCCTGTTCCTTCAAGAGCCCCCTGGTCCCGCGTAAGGACACACGGCATCGCTCAGTATATGCTCTTGATGGACACTGATGGATCCAATTGTTACCCTTCACTGTACCCGCACTGAGTGCCCTGCCGTAGACTCCCGATCGTGTTCTGAGCGTTCCCATAGGCGAGCGCTCTGTGCGCTGTACACACAAGTGCCCGACGTCGCACTCGACAGAGGATTCATGGAACGCGATGCTATCCATGATGAAACAAGGAGGAGAAGGCGAAATGAGGCTGGATATCAAGTTGAGAAATTGCGAATCGTCTACGCTGTCTTCGTGCGAACCGACGACGCACGCTGCACGGGAAGCGATCGCTTCGATAACCCAAGTCCGAGTCCAAGACCCTTTACCATACAGACAATAAAGACAGAGGTCTTTAGGAGTATAGCTCGTGGGACGTATCATGCTGCTGTGAAATGCGGTTTCGCCGATGGGCACAAACACAAGAGTATTCGTCTCTCGGCCGGATTCGATTATAGGACGTGGAACTTTCTGTGAACTGTCGACATGAGCTTGTGAACAGGCCTTCAGTGCTCGACGTCCATTTTTTGCATCGTCAACGAATTTGCACGAGTTGCTGGCTCCATGCATTACCTTGAACCAGGAAGATTGAAACCTTGAAGAATGCTTGATATGAACACGCTACAATCAGGCAGAGGAGATGAAATGAAACTTCTATCGATCCGTTGGGTACGAATTCGGTAATCTGACGAGTCCCGGTTCGAAGACATCGCCAATCACCTGGATTTCGACGACGTAAGGAATCCCAGCGTCAAAACGTCGAAAGCGCCACTCCGAAAAGACGACCGCACCCCCCTGACACTACGTCTGAGTCCGTCATCCTCGACTGCAGCTCTTCGAATTTCAAGGCAGCACATCTAAGAAAACGTTCGGCGAGTAATTCTAAAAGCAAACATAGAACGACTAGTTCACTGCTGTAGTCGAGTCGGTCTCGAGCCTCGAGGTTACACCGAGCGACTAGGTCGGTTCAAGGCCTTGTTCACTCCTCGGTGCCGCTGCGCCAGCGAGCCTGCTGCAAGCAAGCGTTCATGGAAAACTATGTGTATGCGCTCCGAATGGACGCTATGAATCTGATGGATCCCTGGTCTGTGGATCAATGCATCAGCAACCATGAGCTTGACACACCAATCCAACTCCGGGGTTCGCGGACGCCGACAAGAGCAACGCTCGCATCTACAGCGGGGTTTTGAATAGCGCTCCATGGTATGCGGCTGCTGTTTATGATGAAAAAGCGCGCCCATGATGCCCCGGGTGTCCATCATATCTCTCGTATGCCTGCCGCTATGGTTTATCATGAAGATGCATCGCTCGATATTCCCAATACGCATGCTGCCGGCAGCGATGATACAGCCTGCACCAGCAGATCGGCTGCAGGTGCCGTGAACCGCTCATCTGCGGCTGTCGCAAGAGGCACGTCGCCCATGCGGAATCTACCCAGACGCAATTCCAGTGACCGCGGTGCTCTGTTCAAATAACTGCAGCTGAACCGTCGCCAAAAAAGCTGGGATGGAATCCATTTGGCATAGGAGCGTCTCCACTTCAGCTCGAAGAGCACGCTGGACAAAATCCGTGGCCATCAGCTCGAAAGCACCTCGTTCATTGCGATGAAACTGGATCTTGTCATCCGCATTTTCTGCATAGAGGCTTTCCAGTGTGTAAACAGAGCCAGCGATACGTAATCGCCAACCGAAGAGATAGTAAATAGATTCGACAACTTGTTGGATTTTCGCTCGCGCAGCTTCACGCGTCCGCTGAACGAGCTTCCAGGGATCCATATGGTGACCAGTCGCTTCGTCATCCCCGGCACCTGAGTCCACGCTTGGAGCGGGCGACTCCGTTTTTGAGGATCTATCTGCTGTTGTTGTTGTTGTTGTTGTTGCTTTCATTTTGTTCGTGCTCGTCGTCGTGGTATTCGGCATTGTCGTGGTGCCTTCACGTGCCGACACCGTGCCGAGCTGGGGCGGTGCCTTACGCGGATGCCACAGCCGATAGCGCTCCGGATCGAAGGCACCTCGCCCGAGTCTGTCCTCTGCCTGGGCCAGTGCAGCAGCCAACGCTTCTCTTTCCCGGTATAGAGTACGTAACTGCAGCAAAAGTGCAGGCCGGTCCAGGGACTGCGCAGCCGCTAGCGCGCGCTCCACCGTCGCGTGTTCTGTTGACGTTACCGCATCAGCACCCAAACTCGAGACTTGGGTGCCATCGTGCCGCTCACTCGAAGTATCTGCAGCATCATGCATCGTTCTATATGCAGTTGCAGTGCCGGAATCCTTCGAATCAGCCGGCAAGCGCCTCGATCCGTGCGAGTCGTGCGACGCTGTAGCCTGTTGCGGAAAGAGGCAACCCTCAGGCTGAGCCTGCCCCTGAGCAGCTTCCCATGTCCTTTTCAGTGCCTGGTATCGAACTTCAAGAGTAGCCCGCGCTTTCTCACTTTCGATAGCACGAAGTCGCCAGCGTTCTGCTACCTCTGTGCGTGCCTTGAGCTCGCGCTGCAGTGCCCAAACCAGCGACTGGGACGCCTCTAGCTCCGCACGCAAAGCAAGCTGCTGACGCACTGAGCCGTGTTCACCATCAAGAGCAGCAGCTGTTTCCAGGGATGCACCTGCGCGGAGGACAGCGGCAAGCTGGCTGCGCAAGTCCCGCAGCGAGGCTAGCACGCTCGAAATAGTCGCTAGACTGTCAACCCGCGGGTGTTCGCCCGCCTCGCCACCAGGTGCGGGACAGTCTCCGGTTCCCGCCGGATCGCTATATGACCCATGCACAAACTGATGGTCACTTGCCTGTTCTGAGTCGTTGATGATAGCTTCAAGCCGCTGAAGACACACCCGAACCTGGGCAGTCAACGCCTCGTCCACGCGTTCCACAGTAGCGTCACTGGCCATGCAGAGCGCCAGGAAAGCGCGCCAAAAAATGCTTTCGCCTTGTCGCCATGGCTTGCCGCGTGCTCCCCTTTCACGCTTGGTTCAGCGTTTATGAAGAGAATGGACTTCGGGATGAGTCAAACACGAGGAAACTAAGTACAGAGGCGGCTCCCTCTGACAGAAAGTCTCCTAGTTTCCTCGGGGCGAATTCGGGACGTCCAGTGCCGATCCTACGCGGACCGGTGTATCGAATACCGCCCGCTCTATTTCAGGCGTTTGCGGTACCTCACAGTGGTCGATTCGCGCTGGAACCCGAGCATGCGGAACCTAAAACACGCGTCCAGACTGGGGATAGTCGCCCTGGTACGATTCAAGCGACAGTGCTTCAAAAACAGCCTTCTGGGGAAGCCCAAGCACAGCGCCCTGGCAGCAGTGCTGCAGGTGCTTCTTTTGGAGCCCCTCACAAGGCACCGCTCCAACACCAAGCCCTTACTGAGCACCCTCACGGAAACCGAGCCGACCTGCCTCGTACTGGGGCTGAAGACGGAGCATATGGTGCTCTCAAAACCAGGATCGAGAAAGCGCTGCAGATCATGCGCGAAGAACTGCAAGAGACGATTTCTCGTTGCCAACAATGGTCTTTAGTGCTCGAACAGGAGCAGCTATGGCAAATCGGCGAGCCTAACGATGATACGGACACAATGCAGCGAGTAGAAGCGTCGATTCTTCGTGTCCGTCGGTGGCTTCGAGAGGCGCTCGAAATCGAGAACGTGTTGCGCGAGCGCTTCTTGCTCCCCGAGCCCAAACCTAGTAAAGCGACGCGAGACGCAGTGCAAGCGCAGGAGCACGTTTCGTCTACCCGCGGCTCGTCGCGCCCTCGCATGCCAAGGAGCGGGGTATCATCGGCGCGTGGCGAAACTGCCACCCTGCCGCCAAGTCGTCGCCTGGCGTCGTCACAGACCAGAGCGACTGTTGTGGGTATCGATACGAATGATCCTGTGACTCGACTCAGCACGGGGCGGAGCGCTGCAAAGCGGCATGAAGCCGGGCGGCAAATGGTGCAGACTGCGGTCGGGGAATCTCATTCAGGATCATCGGATTTGCGGGCTCAGCGTTCGCAGATACTGGAACAAGTAGAGGATACGGTGAAACGCGAGATGATCTTGACGAGCGCAGCGTCCGGAGGCACCATCGAAGCTGCTCCACTGCGCACGCCAGCGACCAAAGCGAAGGCAGAAGCGCCCATTCGTACAGCACATGGAGATAAGGAGGAAAAGTCCAAAGAGCAGCACTCCGCAAAGCCTCAAATGCCGTTGACAAGCGCGCTCGACTCGCACCGTGGGCGAAAGACGGAAGCCAGCCAACTGCAACGCACCCGGCCGGCACCCTCTCTATCTGCTCGCACCCGGTCGCCCGACTCGAGCAGCACCAAGGCCGTTGTCAACACAAACCGTCCGATACATGTGCGCGATGCCTCAGGAGGGAGTAAGGAATTGCATGCCCCTGAAAATGCAACCAACAAAACGAAACGTGCCACCACGAATACGGGCGTCCAGCATACACCAGCAGCGGCAAGCGTCGCAGCACAGAGCACAGCGCCAAAAGCGGAGCATACCGAGGTGCCAGCAGGCTCTTCACCGCCGCGACTGCATCGTAGCCCGGGGATTCTGTCTCGGAGACTGTCGCGCTCACCTGAGGCTGCACCTGAGGCGGGTCTGTCTGTGGTATGCAGCGAGCACGACGAGGCCGATTCCAGGCTCGACAACAGCTCGGTGACGAATCGTCCCGCTCGGGTCGCACTGAGGAAGGTTAGCACAGGGCGCTCTAGCCCGCCGACGCCGCAACTGCAGCAGGGACTCGAGCGCCTCACGCGTTTCGGTGCCGCAAGACCAGGACCTGACTCGAGGGCAGCGACCGAGAACGGAGCGCTGTCAGAGGCAGGCTCGCGTCTGGGTCGCGCTTCCACAGCAGGTCCGTCACAACCGTCGGAGGCGGTCTCGTCGACAGCAACAATTTTAACCAGCCCAGATGCTTCCGGTTATCTGCCACGACTGCGACGCCTTCGAGAACGGGTGCAGAAAGCTCGCGCCCTCGCGGAGGCGAACTGGGACCATGCGTAACCGGGTTGTTCTCGGTGAGACAACGAAGACGTCCGCGCTCAGCCAGCGATACTCGTAAAGAATGAAAAGGGGTCCGAAAGGCTAGAAGCTCTGGGTCCGCTGCTCGGTGGCCCCCATTTCGCTTGAAGCACTGGGCTGCAGCGCCCAGGAAAGCGTTTTGTCGGCGTTCCGGTCGGTACTGGCCTCTCGTCGTTCAGCACAATTTTGCTTCCCCTCTGATGCGATGGCTAGATGGAGAGCGAAATCACGGTGCATTGAATCGTATAGATCGTAGACGAATCGTCTGAAGGATACATATTCTTTACTGGACAGCGCACGGAGATCTGCAATCCGTGTTCAGGTCAGTCAGAACACAGGACTCAGATGGTTGAGGGAAATGAAAGAAGCGAGTAGATGGGCTCAGCGCCAAAATCCGATATTGTTAGACAATGCTTGCGGTCAAGTGAAAAAACGACCCATAAATCACCGTGGGTAAAGCAAAAGCGACGATCCTTGTAACCACGGTCGTCTCTGTTTCTCAATAGCTTGACCTTGTGGTCCTGAAAACACTGGGGCACAATCGCAAAACAAAGTTGTAGTTCACGTACTGCCATCTTCCACCGACATCGCAACTACTAAAGTGTTCCTGGAACGGCGCGATCGTTATGAATTACAGGCACGTTGGTTCTTCCAGCCGATGACACTCGCCTCGGATAATAAGGCCGGAGCGTATACGGGTACTCGCGGAGCGGGAGCCTGTTCTAGACACGGTCGAACGCGAAGAGAACTATGGCATCATCAACTGTCCCAGCGGCAGTGGATTCTTTTGGCGGCACCAGTTTCGCCCGTAGCGAAGGCTCATCCAGCAGCTCCAAACAATTCATCAAATCACGAAAGACTTTTTCCCTGATATCTTCGGATGTCCTTCTGTTGGTCGACGTGGAATTTCACGATTCCCTTCGCATTCGAGATTTTGCGGATTCTATCGGGGGTGGAGCTGCGTTCCATTCCTCTGTACACTCTATGTTGCAACTGTATCGAAGGCGTATTTGCTATCGAGAAAAGTAATGAGCGTCCCCCTGGGCGAATCGCTGAGGCGTTCAGCACCCGGTGACACCGGAGCAAGTGTCGTCTTTCTTATGCAAATCTTCCTCGATCCAGGCAGGGTCTCACTTAAACGCAGAAAAACGCGTTGATTTTCAAAACGAATAAGGAATAAGCGTGGGTTTACGCTTCGCAAAGACTTGATGCAGGACAGCAGCGGAGCGCTTCAGTGCTAGAAACGCGCGGAGCGCTGGCAGAGCACCAAATGGAACGGCGGGCACGAATTCGTGGAATTCTTACGCTGGTGCGTTCCACCGGAGGCAGCGCACGCACGGAGGGAGTGAATCGAGCCTTGAACGCCGCCTTCAATATCAGGAAATGCACGGTGCTGACTGAGAGGCCCGCGAAGCTGACGCGATACAAATTCGTCGGACAGTCCCTCGGACTCGAAGAGTACCCGCATAAAACCTGAACCTGATCGCAGGCGGCCAGTCCGAAAAGAATAGGAGGCGTCAGTGCTTGGGTATACGTGTCTACCCTCCATGGTCGTGAAACGTTCTTCGTTTTACACTATATAGCGGTAAACCATCGACTTTCAAAGTACAGCAATAAAGGCTTAAGCATACACACTTGGTCTGAGGACCTTCAGTTGTCTTTTCTGAGTGGTTCTATCGACGCTTTGCGGATGGAATTCATTACCGGGATCAAGCTGATTCGCGACGCCCTTGTACGAGAAATCGTGAAATCAGCGATATCGCTCTCCTATTTATACTTAAAAGTATTGATTCATTTCCGATCGTTACTTATAGAATGCTCAAACTACTAGATCCTCAAGTATTCGATCCCTCTCGTCCAAAGCGACTCGTAGGCGCACCGATTCGCGCTGCTGGACCGGGGACGACCTAAGGCCGATGCAAACCATGGATGACCGCTTCACGAGCTCATGCCCACAATTCACTGCAAGTTCCAGGTCATATGATCGAGTTCGTTCGGAGGACAAATGCTCCTCCCTTAGTAGCCGTCACTGACACCGCATTCCACAGCAACGCATTGCCTTGGAGAGCGTATGCTCCCAGAGGCTCCCGCTCCATTGTATGGAGAAAGGTCCGGGAATCGGTCTTGAACCATCGTAGCGATCGTTTCTTGTGGATATTGCGTTACCGCTTTTTTTCTGCAAAGCGGGTGTAGACGGTTCCGAAACTCTTGACTTGATCTCCAACCCAAATTTTCCTTACTGTAATCGTCTCACAATGAACAACATCGCATTTCGCAAATCCTCTATCGAATGCGCCTGCATGCGCTGGCTGGATCAACCGATAAAGCACTCGCCAAAGGCATCGCCTGGAAGGAGCTCGTGACCGCACCGTGATGCGTCGGGCGCGGACGCCCGCGAGTACATCTTCGGAAGCCTCCAGTACCCGTCAAGGGCATGTATCGAACGATGGTGTAAACGTTCATGCGGTATAAGGCAATGCTCGGAGAACATGGAGGTGTGGTCGATGGATGAGAATTCCCGGCCACATCCATGTGTTACCGCTGCAAAGCACGCACCGAAGCTGAGCATCATAGAGATGTGTACGGTAAGCAAAACTCTAACCGCAACGACCGTCTCTGGACGGAATATGCCGACAACAGCCGAAAGCTGCGAAAGCGAGACTTTAACGATGCCATCAGCATCCCTTGAATGCTGCCAACGAAACCGGAAACAAAGGAGAGGCCGGTGTATGTAAACTCGAATTTGACAAAGCGAAAAATGAAGCATTCGTATCCGAATCCTGTAGTATCTAGCGGTACGGTCAGTGGAGAGCCTCCCAAACATTAGCGTTTACGCCACAATTATACAACTAGACGCGATCTATTTTGTTTCAGTTTGGGTGTAGATACGCGGTGGATAGTCGCTCGGTCGGGTGCCCCTGTGCTCTCTGCGTCCACGACGCGCACACCTCGTCAGGCAGTTTGCACAAAGGATGCCGTATCGACGGATCTGGCTGTTTGCTCCAGTGCCCCGATCCATGCGCGCCTATGCAAACTCAAAACGTTTCTGTTTGATTGCGATCTGCAGGTGGAACAATCTAGGTCTTCAAAGTTGACTTGTCCGAACTTCACAGTTCCCAAAGATTAAACAGGAAAAATTCTCTCAAACGGATCTGCACCTGAACTTCCGATGGACCACTACCACATCTTTCACGCATCTAAGCCCTTGACATCATAATAGAACGCTCAGCGTTGAACGCTGTTCTGAACGTTTCGTGGCTGCTGACGGCATACGCCCTGCGCTCGTGACGCCTCCCGCGAAACCTCGCACTGGATCGCACAAAACTCCTGTCACGAGACCGACATGCGAGTCGATACCAGCACAATACGCGCAGCCTACATGCGAGTCGATACCAGCACAATACGCGCAGCCTAAATGCGAGTCGATACCAGCACAATACGCGCAGCCTACATGCGAGTCGATACCAGCACAATACGCGCAGTCTACATGCGAGTCGATACCAGCACAATACGCGCAGTCTACATGCGAGTCGATACCAGCACAATACGCGCAGTCTACATGCGAGTCGATACCAGCACAATACGCGCGTACGCGCGCGCACACGCGCCGTTGCACTCGCGACAAGTTTGCCCTGCCACGAGACTAAAGAGGTGTTTTTTTGCTTCGTGGCGCGCTCACGTTCACTCTCGGGCTTTACCGCATACGCACGAATAACCACTCCAATGACACCGTCGGTTTCACCGCACCCTGATGAACGTGTCCCGCCAATAGACACCACGGCGGTCTGGAGGGCCCAGCACGCCCCCAACCGCACCCCAGAGCGTCAACGAATCCTCGTTACCGGTGGAGCGGGATTCATCGGCTCGAACCTAGTTGACCATCTGATGGAGCTTGGTCACGAGGTCATTGTTCTTGATTCGTTGTTCACTGGTACCAAGGAGAACATTGCGCACTGGATAGGACACCCGCGGTTCGACTTCATTCGTCACGACGTCACGGAGCGCATCATGCTGGAAGTCGACCAGATCTACCATCTGGCGTGTCCCGCTTCACCGCTTCACTATAAGTACAACGCGATCAAAACCATTAAAACCAATGTCCTGGGCACGTTGAACATGCTCGGTATCGCAAAACGCACCGGTGCACGACTTCTGCTGGCAAGCACCAGCGAGGTGTACGGCGACCCACTGGTACACCCACAACCAGAGAGCTACTGGGGCAACGTCAACCCAATCGGTGTGCGCTCTTGCTACGACGAGGGGAAGCGCGTGGCAGAAACGCTCTGCTTTGACTATTATCGTCAGCATCATGTCGACATTCGAGTCGCTCGTATTTTCAATACGTACGGTCCACGGATGGTGGAAAATGACGGGCGCGTGGTCAGTAATTTTGTGGGCCAGGCATTACGCGGAGAGGAGCTGACCATTTTTGGCGATGGTAGCCAGACACGCTCGTTCTGTTTCGTCAGTGACCTGGTGGACGCTCTGATCCGACTCATGAATACAGAGGGCATCACTGGTCCTGTTAACCTGGGTAATCCAACAGAGTTCACGGTTCGGGAGCTCGCTGAACTGGTTCGAAGAAAGCTCCCGAAAAGTGGACCTATTCGGTATTTGCCGCCGACACCCGATGATCCCGGTCGCCGACAGCCGGATATCCATTTGGCGCGCACCGTCCTCGACTGGGCGCCGCGCGTCCCGCTCGAGGAGGGCCTCGATGCCATGATCGCCGACTTTCAACGCCGAGGTATTGGTTCGAGACCCGTTGCGTAACGCGAATCTCCGCTAGACCTGCGCACTGCAACGCATGCGGCACTCGAGTCGCCAAGCTTGGCCAGTGGTGGCTCGCAGTGATAGAGCGTACATAGTAAGCATTCAGTTTGGTACCGAGTGCATGCGGCAGCGACTTCCAAGGCACCCAGCAGCGTTACGTTGAGTACTGGTCAACGCTGTGCCACATATATCACGACGCGAAGCTTTTCCGAGCAGACGCACTCCGGGAGCAGGGCAAGTCGTCCCGTCCGCCCATGACACGCTCGAGTTGGCTGAATTGAAAAAGTCCGTGAACCGACGATATCGTCGCGCCACGGCGTGTCATGTAGGTCAGCTGTGTTTCCGCAGAGTTGGCTGAATTGAAAAAGTCCGGGAACCGACGATATCGTCGCGCCACGGCGTGTCATGTAGGTCAGCTGTGTTTCCGCAGAGTTGGCTGAATTGAAAAAGTCCGTGAACCGACGATATCGCCGCGCCACTGCGTGTCATGTAGGTCAGCTGCGTTTCCGGAGATGAGGCCGAATGTGTCGATCATGTCGCAGGATTTTTGCATTTGGTGCAAAGTCTGGCGGAAGGCGCCATAGTCATGGTTTAGCGAGTCTACAGATACCACGCAATCAGACGCGTGTGCACTGGATATTCCCCTGATCATCGTGAGCCTTTGAACAATTCGAGGCGTTATCATTTGGCTGGCGTTATCTGTGGACAAGGTTCTATATCAGAGACTTGGTGTCTTCCATATACACTCATGCTCCTTCACATGGGAACAGAAAGCCGGATGCGTCGATGATTCACCATGCGTATAGCGCCAGCAGCTCCTGGGGCGTCCTCTGCCTTCGGTAATCGCGGGGCGCAGCGCAATTCAGACCAATGGACGACACGCCGTGCGACACGATACATAGAGGCGATGTCGGCACCAGCGTCGACACCGCGCGTGTCCGCCTCGACGGGACGTTGACGTGCATGCATCGCATCGGCAGCGGTGACCCTGCGTTGCATGCAGCCGCGGACGTGACAGGACACGTCATTGGCAGCAAATGGACACGCATCGTGCATCGACCTTTGACGCGCAACGACAGTGGTTGTTTCCACGGCTCTGGAGCGACGCACGGAATCTGTTGCCGCCCGGGTGCTATCGAGACTGCCGATCATAAACATAAAGCCCATGTGTCTTTCAGAGGCCTTTACGCGTTTCATCGATTCCAGAGCAGTGCTTCCGGCAGGAGCACAGGCTCGATCGATCCAGTGAACCGTCGAGTGCCGCGCGTACTGCGGGCAATTGCTACGGTGCTTGGGGCACCACTAAAGATGTTTCACGGATGGATTAGGGCTCTGGTGCGTGACCAGGGTACGTACCTTTCGCGCGAGGCATTGCCGGTGGTTTTGCGTCTTTATTGCGTCATGCAAACAAGTTCGACGCGTGCTTCCAGCAAAGAAGGACTGCTACAAGCGCATGCGAATTCATGATTTGTCGATTCCCCACAAAGGCGACGTGGTGTCATCGTTTTCAACTCGACACAAAAGCGAGCTGACGTGCATACGCATCTGATTTGGTACACTGCATGCTTTACGATGACTACCTCGACATTCTCTGCCTCGAGCCTCTCCACCTTGATCTTCTCCACCTTGAGCCTCTCCACCTTAACTTCATGTAGCAAATACGATATTTCTTCCTTTCGCCGGCAAAATTGTTCTTTTTCTTCCACGATCTGGTGTTTTGGGTCCGATCCCAACAGGATCGCGGCGCTTGCTGCTTTTCCGGCATCGGCTGCGGGAGCCAAGGCCACACATCCTCAACAACTACGGGTGTGGATGCGCTGGCGCTGGTGCTGCCGCAGGCGGACCCGGGAGCTGTGGCGCTGGGCGTGCTGGTTTCGGTCTCGCAATGCCTGCAGGCGGATTCGGCATACGATGAACAGGCTCGGACATGGCGTTTGGCATAAGCCGATTGGGACACTGGCTGGTATTCCGGATCACCCAGGTTGTGTCCGAGATATCGTACCGTTGGGCCGAGTTGTCGCCCTTGGTCGCGCAATGTGTGGCATTCGTGTCCTCGCATGCGACGCGGTGCCATTCGTAGTACGCGTGCGTCTCGTTGTAGATAACGAGCTTGCCCACGCCGAAAGAGGCCTCACGGAAAGCGGACCAGCTTGGCTGCGGCATCAGCCAGTCGGTGTAGGCGCCCTCACGGTTTCCAGCGTCGCCGAGATCGAAGTGCACCGGGCCACACGAATTCGTCTCATTCTGATATACCGGGAAAGTGCGCTCGTACGCGTGAACGTGCCCAGTAAGAACGATGTCGACGCCGTATTTGTAGAGCAGCGGTTCCATGGATTCTCGCATTAGTAGGCCCTCGCCGATGTGAACAAAGTTCGAGCAGTACCAGGGCACGTGCAGCATCACCAGCACCCAAGGCGTACGCCGCCGGTCGATGCGCGCGAGCTCCTGCTCGAGCCAGCGATACTGCACGCTGGAATGGTTGAAAACCGTGTATGACCCCAGGGCGATGATATGCAGCGGTCCCGTCTTGTAGCTGTAGTACTCAAAGGACGGAGAATTCGATTCCTCAAATGGTGCCGGGTACCGGAACAGGTAACCGATATTCTGCTCATTGCCAACATTCAACTCGTGGTCGGCATTACAAAACAGCGATAGCTTATGCGACATCAGCGGTTCCATTAGACGGCCCCAGGTATCCCAGCGCTGCTGAAAGGCGTCCGCATACGACAGGTCTCCAGCGAGCAGCACCAGATCGGGATTCACATCGTGCAACAGATACTCCATGTTCAGGGCACTGACGTTGGTCTGGCCTACATCGGCCCACATGCCCAGGGTCAGTGGTTTGCTATGGTCGCCATCCATGGGCAGCGTGGTGAAATTTCCCTGATATTCCCCATCAATCTCATAAAAGTACTGTGTGTTCGGTAGAAGGTTCTCGAGCTTCACCGTGAAAATGAGAGGCGACTGATAGAGCGATGCGGGGTTATTGTATGCTGCTTTCACGGATTCGTTTTCGGGAATATTCGCCGCGGTATCGTTGTTGTAGACTGGCCACCAGGGCTGCGCCCACGATGCCGTGTTCATAAGCTTGGCAATTTCAGAGCGGTTAAGAAACGGTGCGCCCATCGGCGGGTTCCAGAGATAGCTATTGTACTCTTGCATGCCGGTGTAGACCCGAGCAGTCGCGAGACCTTCATTGTCGAGCAGGGATGCGTTCCGACCATACCGAACAGTTGCCTGCAACTGTAGCGGCATATCTGGATTCGAAGAGATATCCCGCACGAACACAAGTGTAACGCGATCGTGACGATTCGCCACCAGGTGCACCTGCTCGACGCCGCCATTGCGAGACTGCAGGCGGATATCGGTTGGCGGCAAGTCTGGTGACGGACCGCGCGGGGCGAAGTACGAGCTCGTGCGTGAGATCCAGGCGAGGTCAGCTTCGCTGGATAGCACAGCGAGCACGCCGATCGCGCTCAGCAGCATGCTGAATAATAGTGCTACGAATGCCCAGACACGCTTCATCTCTGTGTGTGAGGTGCAATAACGTCCGGCGTAAGTGCAACTTGAAAACCAGTCCTCGACTCAATATCGATGCTTGTAGAAGAAAGAACACCAATAAATTCGGCGCGTGCGTATGTCGCATGAGTTCTGGCATCATCCTGGAAACAGAGTGGATGCAGCCGTGATCCGGGGATTCTGTCGACGGATCACGGGATGCGTATCGAGCGCAGCAAGCGCGACCGTATTTCGCGTATCCGTTGCATCTGATGCAGGCAAGCCGCGCGATGGCTGTCCGGATCAGGTGCCTGCTGATGGGCTCTTTGTCCAGGTTGCGCGCACCCTGGTGCATCGGAGAGATAAACTATATATATAGGGAGAATACTGTACTTATCGAGAAATGGTGGCGTCGCATGGTTTTGCCTGCAACGTCAGGTTCGAAAATGGACAGCGATGGACACGGGGGTATTCTCTGATTCAGCCATTTCAGGATAGCATTGGAGAGGTCCGATTTGCCCATGCGGGTGAGCAAACTAAAGTTCGGATCTGTTGCCACGATCACCAACAAAAGCATTTGAGGGACTTTGGTCCTAGTGCTTCTTTTCTTACTTACTTGGTTCCAGCGTTCTCCACGTACGTCGCTGTTTTCCTCTCTAGCTCCATTGGCAGCGGTCGGCGGGTGTCGGTTGCAGCCACCAGGTCCCGAATTCGTCGCCTCCGGCTGTTATCAACACAAGGCATGCAGAGACAAAGGTTGCGTTCCACGCCCCTCTTACTTTCTTTCATCTTCTAGTTCACGAGCCCCTGTGCGGCCTCCGCCTTTGTGACACTTGCGTGCGGTCAAGTGTTCCCAGTTGTGCACCACATCTGCTCTTTGTGGAACGGCCATTTGCCGTGTGAAAGCTCGCGTCATCGCTCGGCGCATGCCCCTGACCGGTAAAGTACGCTCCCATCGATGCATTTGTTCGTTTTGGAGCCAGCAGCAGCAGCAGCAGCAGCAGCAGCAGCATCCTACGATCGCGGTCTTCATCGGGTTGGCTCTCTTGGCCATTCCTTCGTCAGTTGCACATGCATATGCCTGCGGGTCCGTTCAACAGCGGATTTGGAATTCGCAATGACTTCCATGATGAGACAATTTTCAGAAGCAAAATCCAGGCTAGATATCTGGTCGAGAAATTTCGATTTGTCTACGCTCTACTTGAACCAAGATCGGTACGGTAACGAATTCCACCGGCGAAGCGTCGAAGGAGCCACACACCTGAAAGACGAACGAGAACCCTGAAACGACGTGTAAGTCCTTAACCCCATATTGCTGCAATTCGAATGTCTAGACTGCACATCCAAATTATGTTCGAAAAAATAGAAATTTAGGGTCTGGGCGAAGAATGCAGCGTTCCATTTCACTACGACATCAACGGAGAATGCCGCCCATGCCATCACGATATGCATCCGCACTCGCCGACAGAAACCAAGGCCGCAACGGCTGCACGGGGCATGCGGTTCTCGCAGTTAAGACGTCGTCCAGTTAGATGGCTGATTTCGCTCCGCCATGAAATCTGTCCTTCTCAAACGCAAATCTTGCAATGCACGCTTCATAGGTAACCGTGGTGAAGCGTACCCAGGGCATTGCGCGAACCAGACAATCCTGTGCGCGGTGTCGGTGATCCAGTGAGAACGATATCGCCTCCAGCCGGCGCTGTGCACTGGTCAGTGCTGTTGCAGAGTCATCCGATAAGTCTCGTGGACGGCTCCGACCGGATCGCGGCAGAGGATGCCATCCAGGTCACTGTCCTTATGTTTGAGACCGATCTCCATACAAACTTGAAATTCGGGGATCGCGTGCCTCTGACAGCCAGAGAGGCCACGTCAACGTGACTGCCATCACGGTTTCTGAACCGAATTGCACTGCGAGCGTGTTGAATCCGTTTTCTTGCAAAATTCAGACAAATGATGGGAAGCGCCGAAAACGGCGCGTTTTACACGAGTCTCGTGTCCATTGCACGGACATATTACCAGCGAGTATGCAGGTAGTCTCTCGAGTCACCCGTGAAGTATTGCGAGATCCTCCACTGCAGTACAAAAATCAGGCGATACACTTGGCAAAAGAAGAGTTTCCAAGCATCGATGATCGTGCTTGAACGTCATACTTCAGCTGTCGAGAGCACACAAAGTCGAAACCGGTGTGTGCATCCTGCTGGAGACACAGCGCCACCATCACACGGGCATTGTAGCCGTACAGTTGCACCGTGGTTGTATACTTCGTTACGCCGCGCCACTCCAGTATTCGTGGCAAATCTCCCACAGCGTCCGCCTCGAAGGGATAGCGCGCATCCGCTGTGGCGGGCGATGAGCATTCCCAGTGCCGTCGAAAGCGGGACATCGCGCTAAACCGCATCAGGAGCTCCGCGAGCAGGCGACCCTGGGCGCACACTGCTCAGCGATCGTTAGCGAGCATTGCTGCCTCGAGCGACGAGCGCTGCGTGCAGTACCGGCAATGGCATTCTAGGCGCAAGGTCCAGCGTATCGGATACGCACACGGACCTAGTGCGCTTTCTGCGCCTACCCACTAGCGCGTGTCAAGCACAGAACCCGCATTGTCAACCGACAACGCATTCCATGCATGATCACGAAGGAGAGAGGCGGCTCCCAGAATTCATCCTAACAGCCAAGTTTCTCCAGCGTGTCGTGCAGCGAAGGCAAGACTGCATCCGCAGACTGTCCGAGCACATAATAATGATGAATTCCGACTTTACGTCGGGTAAAGCGCGCCTCGAGCCGACGCCCTCTGTGTGTTCCCGAAACGCCGTTCTGTCCTTATGACCTATCTGCTCCAGCGGTTCACGCGCAAAGGCGTATGATTAGGGTAGGTACTAGGCACACACGATAGGACGTATGAAGCGACCAGAATATCCGAGAACCAGTACGGGAAATGTAACTTCGAAGCGGGGAATGGGTCAATGGATGCTTCATCGTGCACTGAAACAAAAATCGAAAAAGAAAGGAGAGAAAAAGCGCACAATCGAAGAACGCTGGCCTATGTAAACGTCTCGTCAATTCATGAAAAACGCACACGTATCCATACACGTACACAGCACGTGTCCCTTGGGGTGCGTCAAAATTGGCGGCGCTCTGGGAAACACGCGACTTTGCGTTGACGCGTTTCGCTGCGTACGAGTATGACACGTTCGAGCAGAAAGGCGGAACCAGAGCGTGTACGCAGTCGCCATACTTCCAAACCGAGGCGGCTCAGCAACGGAATTGAAACGTCGCTTCTCCTAACCTTGTGAATAGGAAAAGAAAAGGTTGCACGGGAGCGGTTGTGAGCTGCAGGCTCAAGGCCCTGTTCGGCGTGCGACGCAGGCAAACGCGTTTTCCTCCTTGAAGGAAACGTATATGGTGCGGATTTTTCGGCTGCAACGGCGTGCAACGACCGATGAGAATGGAGCCGGGTCTGGTCTATGCCCGGGCACCCTATGCGGGATCCGCAGGCGGGCCGGGCTCAATCTGGCTCACCCAGCCGCATCAACCAGAGGCGCAAACGCCTTCGCAGATTCCAGTTTTTTCGCGCTTACAAGCGTCAGCACTTGCGGGAAGCATGTCATCGCTCAATTCCAGAGGATTTATGGAGATACACCTACCAGGAGATGCCGTACATCCGCATCTCGAGCCGTGTGCCGAGCGACTCCCGAGGTGCGCTGAGACGTTGCCATTCGGATTCGCCGCGTCAGGGACGCCTGAGTCGAGATATGGAGCGCAGCATTCTGAGGTGTTCGTCGAAGGGTCGCGTCATGGTTTGCTGCAACTCAGCGGCCTCCAACACCAGTACGATCCACGAATTCCCGCGGGCTCAGCAGCAGAATCAACTGTTGCAGCGCTTGTTCGCGAAGTTCGCAGTCTACGTGAACGCGTCGAATCCCTTGAATCGTCCTTCTGCTACAGTGCGCTACGACAGCAGACGCGAACTCACGAGGCCTCTGCAGCACCCAGGTGTGCAACCTATTCCGCTTATGTGACACAGCAAGCCGAGCCAGCCACGCCTGTCCGAAACAGAGCATTCGACGTTCAATCACTGCAATCAGAAAAAAGTTCGTCGCCCAGTTCAATAAAATCGGGTCTGGACAAGGCTCCGGGACCACAGACACGCACGGCCAGGTCACAATACATCTTTGAATGCGTAGCGGAGCACGCTTTGAGAACGCCAGATGGACATTCTGATTTCGCGAGAGGCGTTGCGCACTCGGTTGCTCGTCTGGACAATGAACAGTGGAACAGGGACTCAGCACTCTATGGTATCTCTAATCCAGCAAACACGACCAGCTCGAATGACACCGCAACGCATGAGCGACGCCCTATTCCAGAGGCAACGGAACGCCAAACGATTCGAGAAGCGGGCTTGCGCGTCGAGATTCCGGACGCATGTGCCTTGGCTCGCAGCCGCCCGTGTCATGGCATATCACATGCCGCGGTGTCATTCAAGCACATCGCAAGCTACGCGGGTTCGCACGCATCGAACGTCGCAACCTCTGGGGCCTTGCCTGGGGAATTACAGAGCGTCCAGTGCACAACAGCAGCGCGAGAGAAGAGCACTTCTGTGGATCCCAAGCACAAAATGCGTCGTCACTCAGTCTGGTCTGAGGAAGAAGACTGCATGTTCAGACGCGCCTACGCAACGTTCGGTTGCAAATGGAACCGGATCAAAAGTTTCCTACCGAACAAAACTCGTCAGCAGGTTCAAAGTCACGGGACGTACCTCATCAAACGCGGCGTCATCAGAAAGTTCAATTCACGATCCTGGACTCGGCGTCAGCCCAGTGAAGCAGCATAACCTCGACATGAGCATATCACTGGAGCAGGGACGCAGGCAAATGTGCATTGCTGGTTACGTCGGGCCTTGGCATTGATACATGCACCATATGCTGACGGTGGCAGATGCACCGGACTCTTGGCGGAAAAGTGACGAACTCGTGCTGGATTCGCCGCTCCAGTAAACAGACAACGACAAAGACGTTTGCTCGCTCGAAAACAAATCCAATGCATCATGCTTGCGTCCTGCCGATCAAAAGGTGTGCAACGTGGAACTTTGCATCTCTTGCAATCGTCGAGCGCCCGATGACTGGCACAGAACGCCTAAAGCTCCCTGCCAAACCCTTGTCGGATTAAACTGGAGCACTGAACTGCTGGCTATGTTCCTGTGTACCGATTTCTCCCGAACGGGTTTTCTGGATATCGAGGTGCGATATTCGAGGTGTCTCCATCGAGGTGAATGGATCTGTCGGTGGGTTTACGGGTTCTCGGTCGTCTTCCTGGCGAGATGTATTCGAGTATATGCCACTGGAATGCGGTATTGCGTCGGAATCAAGACGATCCGCAAAGCCATCGACCTCGGCTTCGTGAAATAACCGATAGCATGGTGCGATGCGGACGTGCAAGCTTCCCGTTTTCTCGTCTCCGTACGTGTAGCGTGATGAAATGATGCAAGCTTCAATTTTTCGATGATTCGGCTTCAAGCCAACTTGTGGACGTAGCAATGTGCGTCACTGTTTTGGCGATGGATGTAGCGTGTTGTCGCCCATAGGCGTCCTGTTCAGAAGCTCATGCCGATTGGCTCACTAAACCAGTCACGTCAGATAAGCGATTCCGTTCCGAATCTATAGACGCATAGCTGTGTCTCCATGCACAAAAAGCGTTTGACGCGAACATGTGACATGCCACGAGACACATTCCAAGAGGTTCACGTCAATTGTGTTTGCATGCAGAACGGTATAGAAGGGAGAATGCAGTCGTGGCAGCGATCACTTCTTGTGCCACATGCGTCACCCTCTTGTCGTGAAGCAAGTGTAGACCGATCGAAATCTCTCGACTTGATCTCCAGCCTGGATTTGCTTTTCGCAAGTCGATTGGTCATGGAAAACGTCGCGTTTAACGAATTCCTCTGTCCAGGGAGGCGGCCTGCGCTTATGCATGTGGCGGACAGCGTACTCGCAGATCGGATCATTCAGAAAAAAAAAGGCCGGTAATCTGAGGTTATTGAACAAGACGCGGACACGGAGCCGGGTATCGAGCGGAGCCTTCTGCGTCCGGCAATTGCACATGCCGAGAGACGAGACAAGCAACCACACAACACAGGAAGCCAACCGGACAATGGTGTGTGTGTGTGTGTGTGTGCGTGTGCTGGGCCTCGGATAACACCTGGCCGAAGCAAGGAGTCAGCGCTGCAGAGAGCGCACCGGGGCTATATATGAAAAAGATGAACATGGAAAGCGAAGCGTAGATAGCGACTCCCTCCTCAGCATGCATTGCTCAGAAAGCATCCAGGAGCAGCGAAATCGCGAATGGAACACTGCCATCAATATCCTTCGACTGCTGACAACGGAACTAGAGGGAACGCAGAGGCCAGTATATTCAAAGTCAGGCATGAGAGAGAGAGGAAAACGATTCAGTCGCGGAAACAGCCGACAATCGCTGATGTTGATGGCAATGGGAACGCGCCCGAGCTTCTACTTCTACGCCCGAGTTCGGTTCGTGGACCAATCGCATTTCGTTCCTTATTGGGCGCGGAAAGCCCGTAGATCTTGGTGCCCACTTGTTTACGCAAGGCCTCGTAGTGCGCGATGCCCCAGTGAGGCTTCCTCGCCAGCCAAGAGCAAGCACAGTGGCCTGAATCAAAGCTGTATCGAGCAGGGTGCAAATCACCGGGTCATCTCATGCTCAATGATGTATATGGGAGCACTTTTAAGACAATTATATCGAAGGTTGTCTGGGTCACTGGAATTTCGATTGAGCTGGAGAATGGACAATGCGTGACTATACTCGAAACCATGGAGGCCCTCTCGGGCCCCAAACCGAGCCCCGCCCTCTAGCTTGCTTTCGATACAGACACTAACCGAGCTTGTCACATGGAACAGAAATCCCGACACCCAGATCCATAACCATTAAATGAGCGCTCTGTGCTAACACTGTTTGAAACGCGCCCAAGGTCATGAATGAATGCATCGGCGTTGTCCGAACTGGAATCACAAGACGCCGCCATATCCCGCTGGTGCGCAGTAGGCATGCGATCATGCACGCTGCATTGCATTGGTGCATATCCCAGGAGAGTGTAGTCGTCAATGTGTCGGGCCGGTGGCGCCCATGATCCACTGCTTGTACATGCGAAAAAACACTGGCTGATCGTCAAGGGTAGCGCCCAGACACCGCTTATATTCAAAGGTGCTGGTGCATGTTCCTGCCCGTCGATCGCAAAAGATCCGCTGTCGTGCTTCGCTTCCGGCAAAGCCGCGAAATTCGCCTATTCAGGTTTCCATGTCGCACATGATAAAGTGCAATAGAATCGCCGACGCAAAGGTACGCAACGAAACCGCAAGCCGTTCACGTCGCTTCTGTAACTTGTATAGCGATCGGTTGACGCTGCAATATCTCGTGACATGCCCAAACGTTCCGGGTCGAGTCGCGTGCTGGCTCGCTCAGGCAGCAGACGCTATTGCTGTCGTTCCCGATGGATGTGATGCCTCCGGCAATGCGCTCAATTCTGAGCTGGGTTGTATCGCCGCATTTCCATCTGGGGCCGAGACACGATGATTCGCTACCAATTCCACTTCCGCTTCCGCTTCTGGCGAACGTCTAGTATCCAGACTTCTTGGTGACAAACTCTTGAAAGAAAATATCCTTTCACGTTGTTTCCGCTTCGGGAACTGCAATAAAGGCATGATATGCGGGTGATCTTCGAGACGAAGATCGTCAAGAACTCCGCCAAAGCGCAGCCTTCGCCACATGCGGAAATCTATGAATGGTAAGATGGTCCAGCGGGAAAGGTGCAGTTGCAAACCCGCATTCACGACCACGAGACATGACAAGAGCCGATGTGCACGCCGGGGCATCCTTCGAAACGAACGCAACAACCAGAGCAATCCTGGGCCACTCACACCTGAATCTTGTCGATGCACGTAAACCAGGCGATACTTCTCGCGTTGCGATAACGCAACAACATGAAGAACAAATAAGATAAAACGCAACGATATTTCCCTCTCGTACTGATGATATGGTACATTTTTCCCCAATATCACGACAATAGCTTCCTCTGCAGGATCGAGACGCGGCAGAACCCGAACGTAGTCGTAGGCTGCGTGGCGCGGGTACGGTGAGTCGCTCGACGCCGCAGCTCGGAGCATCTCAACAACCAACGGGTGCTTGTGATAGGGTACATGTCTGTGACGCCGCGGGTGTAGTCGCCCGCTCTCGCCCTTCTCCGTATCCGGGAGACTGTTCTGGGAGCTCGACGCTGGGAAACGTTGTCGATTGGGCGCGCTCGCCGCCGTAGATGCTTGCGACTCGGGAGCATGTTCAGTGCCTTTGACCGGTTCGTTGCCTGTTTTTCGAGAAAAATCTACCGAAGAGGCAACCTTGACCTGTGCTTCGAGGTCTTGTCGCTCCATGTCCAGCGACTCAACCTTACGGAGAGCTTGTCCAGCTCTGCGCTCCTTCAGACCGAACAACTGCGGTACACGTCCGTTCGACATCCCAGCAGCAGATCATACAGTACACAAATATGTGAGCACAAACGCTGCCACGAACAAGAATATTATACTTGATTGGTTCAGAAACAGACTGCACTTGTCGGACGTTCGTCTAGACAAGTCGCTGGACAGAGCGAGCAACTGCGAATCGCACGGCACGCAAACTGACTGGTCATTGATCGCCGGTGCGCCCGCGATGCCACCTAGGCCGTGGATCGCCCAATGCGTCGGCGACGACAGCAGCGCGCGGGCTACACGTGTCCAGGGGCCACGCACTGGGCAGCGGCATTCGCTTCGAGCGCGCATCGACCGCGCTGTCAAACAATGAACAGAAACGATCAACTGACTCCAAACTCGATACCAGTTCCGTTCGACCTTCACGGTAAGCGCTGAAAGGGGAAAATATTTCCATATTGTTGAAAGTTTACCCTGCAGGCGGAAGATCTTGCGGGCCTGACGAGTCTGCGGGGCTTACGCTCCCTTGGACTCTGCAGTGGTAGGATCTGTGCAACCTGGTTGAAACGCTGCCCATTCTGGGACTAGCATCGTGTATGCTGCGTCTGGGCGTCGTCCTGATCGCCATAGTCTCTCAGCGTATGGCTTCGTGCTGTCGCAGACAGCAGGTATGTCCGCACAGCTTGCAGGCTCCCAGAATGATTTAGAATCCTGATTCCATGTTAAATGAGAACCATCCCTCGAACCGACGCCCTCTACGGTATACCAAAACCGAGCATCTGTCTTCGTACTGCATCCGCTTCAGCGGTTTAGGCGCTATCGCGAGTGCAGCACCAAGTCAGGTACCCCGCGCACGATAGAACGTACGAAACGACCACTATATCCGAAGAGAAGTCTAAGCAATGGAACTTGGAGGTTGGGTGCGGCATGATGAGCGATTTCCCGAATGCTATGTTCGATCCCGCAGTCTGGTATATCCATAGTCTGTGGAAAAGCTTTTCTCAACCTAAAATCAGCGCGCTGCGTCGTGTCTCCGGCGCTCGATCGCCAGCCGGCGCGCCTCTGAGCTCCAGCGCCAGCGGGTAGCACCCGACTCGTCCTCTTCGTCGTCGAGTTCCGCGACAAGCGGACGCTTCAGCGGAACAACACCCAGGGTTTGCAGGCGCTGGGTCGTATCCGACTTGTGTCTATCTCAGGAAAATGCTTTGGGGCTTTGTTTCCGTCACAGCAGCGGTTGCGACAGGCACACAGCAGCGAACGCGCGCACGCGTTGGGTGCTCGCCTCGGGCGCTGCTGCTGACAGCGCCGACTCGCCACAGGCTTTGCAAGGGCACGGGTCCCGCTTCCAAAGCAAGGACGGCGGAATGCATCACTTCCGGGCCAAGGACTTGGAGAGCTACGGTTGCTCAATGTCCAGTGGACGCGTCAACGCGACGGCGCGAGAACCCCGCTATTGTTGTGATCGGGACGCGGGGCTCGCCGCTCGCGCTCGCCCAGGCCCACGAGACGAAACGTCTGCTCGAAGAGGCGCACCCGTTTCTGCGCGACCGAGAAGGCGCCATTCACATTGAAATCATCCATACGACTGGTGATATCGTATTGGACCGCGCGTTGTCGGAAATCGGGGGCAAGGGGCTCTTCACGCGCGAGATCGATGAAGCGCAGTTGCGTGGCGATATCGATATTGCCGTGCACTCGATGAAGGATGTACCCACTTTCCTGCCTCCGGATATTGAGCTCACAAGTATCCTGCGCCGCGAAGATACGCGTGATGCCTTCGTCTCCTTCAAGGCGAAGAGCCTAGACGAGTTGCCGCCCGGAAGTGTTGTAGGATCTTCATCTCTGCGACGACAGAGCCAGATTCTGGCACGGTATCCGCATCTCAAAGTGATCAACTTTCGTGGGAATGTCCAAACGAGATTGCGCAAACTCGAAGAATGCGTCGTTGACGCGACGCTTTTGGCACTTGCGGGCCTTCGGCGGCTCCAGATGGAACACGTCGCGACTGCTGTTCTCGGAATGGAGGACATGCTCCCAGCGGTAGCGCAAGGTGCGATCGGTATCACAACGCGACGCGGAGATGATCGCACTGCAGCACTCCTGGGTCCGCTTTCGTGCCCACGGACGAAGCTTTGTGTCGAGGCAGAGCGGGCGTTCCTCGCGAACCTTGATGGGAGTTGTCGCACACCAATTGCAGGGCAAGCCTGGTTCGATACGGACTCTTCGGAGCGAATCCATTTTCGCGGCCTTGTTGCGACGCCAGATGGCCGAGACCTATTCGAGACCACAAGGCAGTGCACGCCGGCAAACGTTATCGATGAATGCGCAGCCGCTGGAACTGAGCTTAGGGACCGCGTAGGCCCAGATTTCTACGCTTCGCTCGTGAACTATGTTCAGGAACGGGATCGCGCCGAACCAGGTCGTCAGACGAAGAGCAAACGTAGCACATCGTGAGGCGCACATGCCTCCGGCCCAAGGCCAGATGACGTTGCGTGACGCCTGCCTGGGATTTCGCGACAATAAGTTCGAAATTCGATGAAGTGTAGTGTCTACTGGAGTGCACCTCAGCGCAGGCAATCGTTATAAGCGATGTCCGTGTGCAAGCTCCATCTTCTACGTGTAGCAGAGGCGCTGGCTCTCTGCGACACCGGGCGACATGGTATCCTGACCACGCGGGACGCGGCGATGCCGACGAGGGTCTGTTCGTTGCTATGCTCCCATTATCATCGGGTATCTGACATGCGTCTTTACTCGTCGTGGATGTTTGCGAGTTACGAGATTGTTGGATCTGTTTAACCAGTGCGGCTTCATAGAGTCAGGAGACGAGGGCGGCGCACACAGCTGTATGCGTCTTGCCATGGTGCCCAGTGACCGTCCATCCCTTTACGTACGTAGAGCAGAAACGTAGTGCTCGGCACCTCTAGGAGCAGGTTGACGTTCTCGTGTGAATTCGAGAAACTGGAAGCGTTCTGAGATTGAAATACCTCGGATCGAATCTCGAATCCGTTTTTGTTTTGCCCAGTTGCGGATACCCGAGTCGCTCAGAGGAGCACATCAAAATAATTTTTTCGTTCTGTACTGCTCGGGTTCGTGGTATGCCCCGCAAACATCAAAGCTCGGCCGCACGATGCGAGAAAACTGGCGGTGCCGCCAGCTCAGCGGATGAGCGAGTCCGTGTTCGAAATGCACGGACCTCGGACTGGCGCAGCGCTGTTGAGGCCTGCTGCTCCGCGCTTGCTGGGTCAGGAAATCGATATTGTCAAGAACAGTATGCACATTGGCGACGAGCTCGATGAGAACGATTCAGACTCGTGCCTCATTTCGGTTCGGTTCCGCGGGTCACACGTGTCGTTCCTGTGGATGCAAACATTCGCCATCCCTGCATCACTGGGGAATGCGCATGACGCAAACCAAAATAGAGCCAGCTCTTGTACTGGACGCGATTTTTTTTCGTGAACGCCATCCCGAGTGTTCCCTTTGGGTACGAAAGCCACGGACACGGGTCTACGGCTGCCTTGGCCCGAGTCCATCGGATGCATGATATCCCCGTGCAGCGGTGAAACGCTTTTTGGAAGGCATGCTTCGAAGGTAGCTCGACTGACGAGACGCAAACCATGACCATATGACTTGGCACGTGCGAAAAGTCGCGGCATACACGCAGCAACGCAGCTGGACTTGGTTGCAGTTGATGTGGAGATCGCCACGCCTCCCGGTGTTGCGGGACTTTTGAGGCCTACCACGTTCGTGTGCACTCGCACGTGACCATTAAAGCAGATTCGTATCGCAGGCACATAGAAGCAGAGGTGCGAAGACAAGCGGCGAGCATGATGCGGATGCACCCTCGTATGATACGCGCGCATACACACGTGCATATTCGTAGTCCTCGAACACGACACGAAAACCACACATGCAAAAGATCGCAAGAAGCGTACCCGCTATCATTCTAATAAAGCTGCTGCGGGAATTCCAGGCTTGATACTTGCAAGCGTTCGATGCGCTTCTATCTCAATGACGACAGTTATTGGCGTACTCGTATTCAGGAGCGAGAGGCGGTCCAGAGCGCCATGAGAGAACGCCTCTGCGTCGGGGCTATGGCCCGCGAAATCTCATCTTCTTCAAAAATTGCGGTATCAGGGTGCTCGTGGATCATGGCCTTCTGCAAAAGCATTCCAAGCCGCACAGTTCCCGCTTTAAAACACGAGAAATTCACGTATTCACACGTGTGGCACGCTTCAAGAGATGCATCGTGCGCTTGCTTCTGCACCTTTCCGCCAGACGCTGAACGCTACCTAAAATTCTGTTTAGAGATAAACATTCAAATCTTCACCAGGGCTGCCTGTCACTCGTTATCAGAGACGGGTACTCTGGGATAATCGACCACCGGTCGCTGGCAGTGCTCCGAAAACCCTCTGGGCTGAACAGCGACGTGGACGCAGCCGCCGCCGCCCCCACTGGACACGCCTCGCCTCTCGCACAGCGAGTGGCAAGGCGCAGTCGAGCCGCTCGCTACGCGCTCCGACTCGGTGCGGTTTGCTCCCGCAGGTCCCGTACCTCGCCTTTTCGCGTCATCGCTTGCCTCGAACCGGATGCTTTTAAGAAAGGTTTTCTTGCGCGTAGAATACGATCTCTTCAAGCGTAACGGAACGTGCCGCGCGCTGCACGCCAGAGCCGCAGCGACAGTGCATGCACCTGCAGGAGAGCGCGACGAACGCGTCTACGCGTACCTGGCACGCGCTGCAGAGGGAAACCCGTTCAAAGATGCGCTTCGCATTCTCCAGACGACGCGTGGAGAACCTTTGACGCTGACGACGAGTCAATTGAATCGTCACGTGCGAGCACTTGCCGCCGGTTTGCGAGGCGAGCTCGGCCTCCTTCCAGGCGATCGTATCGCAAGTTGGTTGCCGTCAGGTAGTGCAGAGTTTATCATTCTCGCACTGGCTAGCGCTGCTTCCGGACTGGAGCTCGTTTCGCTCCCACCGCCGAGGAGGATCCTGCGGACGTCATCACCGCTGCCGCCCAAGGATGACACGAACACTAGCGCGCAGGACGGCGTGGTGGACGACATCACACTCGAGCGCGCGCTGCGAATGCTTCAAAAGTATCCACCTCGGGGTCTCATCTGTTGGCATGATTACGAAGTTATCCCGCGTGCAGTAGCTGCCCGAATGCCGTCCCCGGAGCGTGTCGCACCAGCAGGGAGCACGCTGAGCAGTGTGCTGTATGATAATTTGGATGTGCCGGTGCAGCTCGTGCGTGCACTATTCCTGGCTCCACCGACGGCTGCAGCTGAGCGCTCACCCGTAACCTGCGATAGTGCTGGATTGGCAGGATTTACGCCGCTCACAGGTCATACCATACGGCCGCAACCTGCATTGGTGCCGCAGCAGCTGGAGTTTGTCGCGCATACCGGTCCGGAGAATCTGCGCACGCTACTACGCTATCGCAATATGCTCGTGTACGATGCAGATCCGCATCCTCTGGAGGATAATCTCAAACATAGTCACGAAAAGTTGGGCACATTCATTTTCTGCGAACCGGAAGCAGGCCAAGATGGTAGCACTGGGCATTTCGGTGCAGGGAAAGATTGTTACGTACATCTGGATGAGATGGCGATCTTAAAGCACGCCCAAACCTTGGCTCAGAAACTGGGCGGCATGCACGCCGATCACGGAGATGTTGCCCATGGACGGGTCGTGCTCTCGCCCAGAAACCGCGAGCGCGCACATCGTGTCATGATCACCGGCCTCTTTGCAGCGCTAACGAACGGAACCCTCGCCATAGTGCCCTCCTATGATGCAAACGCGGAGCTGGGCTCAAGCATCGCCGAAAAGCAAGGCGGCACACTGCTCGTACACGAGCTGTCCCAATCGTAACCCCTCAATGTTCCCGAGGTGCAGCGCCATCACAACACCAGCTGCGAATTCGCCGCCTCAGATCGTGACCGCCTCGACGTCCGCATTTCCGTGTGCCGTTCTCGCTATGCCGGCTGCGGAACGCAGGTTACGCGCGAAAACTGCAGGCGCTATGCGTGACAACGCAGGGCGTGGACACGTGTCCGTTCACGAGGCAACCGATCGGAGACCTCAATCATGCCCGTATACCGCACGGCGTCTGCTGGTTCATGCGCGAATGCGTGTGCATCGGGGGTGCGGCCGGCGCGCGATCCGCCGCAGCCGCAGCCGCAGCAGCCGATAGACTTTGCACGCTATGTTGCACGCACGCACGCTATGTTGCACGCACGCACGCACGTCGGCGTATATGTCTATATGACATATCGATGAAGGCTGCTGGGCAAAATATCGCATGCTCGCCGGTTGTGGTTGTAAACGTCTTCCGATAGCATGCAGGCGCGAGTGCCTGCTTACTTAGGTCACTTGCTGGGTACTCCTGTTGTGTTCGTATTACTCGTCACAGTTTGGGCGAAGCGCCGTCGCGAATGCCTGCAAGGATCCAGCGACAATCTTCCGCTTCAGAGCTGCTCTCTTGACTGCTTCCACGAAGCTGTAATCCAGCTGGTGTTTCGGTAGGATCCATCCCGGGCATTGATGCTGCATCCGTTGCTGGGGCGTCAGCCCTGCTCCATTCAAACAACCTGCACCCGACAGAGCTGCATCAGCGTCCAGGAGGAGTCGCCTGTGCGTTCCTCAACTGCCTCCATAGCTGAAGCGCCCGATCGTAACCAGTAAACCGTTACAAACCGCGTTTTCGAGGAAAAGCTAGCCCCGCAGTGACCAGATCCGATCACGGGGAGTGCCTTTTACACGGTCTGCAGCTGGGTGCAGTCCAGGAACTCGCTGCACACGTGCTCGTTGCGCAACATGCGATAACGACTCAGAGTCGTGGGATACGTTGCGCTTGCATCAGCAAAGTCGAACTGGGTCTTTGCGAGCACTGCGCGAAGCGGCCGTTGTTTGGCTCTTCCGGCAGCGTTCTCAGGTCCTGGTGGCATCCAGCTCCGTAGCCTCCTCGATTTCACTTATCAAACGGGTAATGTCTATAACCGCGACGCTATAAACGTTGCCTTCGCAACACGCGGTGGTAACTTGAGCAGTTTCCGGTCAACGGTTGCAGTGATCACCAAACGTTTGGGCAATGAACCTGGCCTGGCGTCACAAAACCACCGCCACACCCTTGCATGTTGCAGACGGTTCCCAGCCTCAAACAGGAGTCCAGGCTTTTGTACAGGCGCTGGTTGTCTCATGCTTGAACACATCTCACGATGAACTCGTCGCCATGCTCCAATACGTCGCATGCCCGAACCGATACGCCTCGCGTTGTCCCCGGCGAGCATCCGAAGCTGTCGCGCTGAACCGGCGACAAACTGCGACCTCTACTGGTGTTCGCTTGCCACTTGGACGTTGTCACGTGTCACTACAGCGCGCGTCGCGGACGCACAGACCTGCCTTCTGCAGCAGATCGAGTCTGAAGCATGTTCCGCAGCCAGTATGACACTGATGTAACAACATTTTCGCCACAGGGTCGCCTCCTGCAGGTAGAGTACGCCATGGAGGCGGTGAAACAGGGCTCCGCGGTGGTTGGGGTCTGCTCAGCAACGCACGTTGTCTTGGCTGCCCTGAAACGCTCGTTTTCCGACTTAGCGTGGCACCAACGAAAGATCGTTCCTATTGATGAACACATAGGGGTTGCCATATCCGGTATTGCTGCAGATGCCCGCGTCTTGACCAAAAGAATGCGGGACGAGTGCTTGCAACACCGCTTTGTCTACGGGGACGCTATGCCGGTTGGACGCCTCGTGCACCTGGTCGCAGACCTGTGCCAAAAGTGCACACAACGCATTTCTCGACGGCCGTATGGTGTAGGGTTGCTAGTTGCTGGCGTCGACGAGAGTGGCCCTCACCTCTATCAAACCTGTCCGAGCGGAGAGGTTTACGATCTCGTGGGTATGGCATTAGGAGCACGTTCACAGAGCGCCCGCACCTACTTAGAACGTCATATGGATGAGTTTTCATCGGCTTCTCGAGAGGCGCTTATTCGCCATGCTCTATGGGCACTGAATGAGACGCTTGCGTCCGCCAAAGATCAGCACTTGAGTGCGGAAAACTGTGCGGTCGGGGTTGTCAGCATCGGCGATGATATGCGTTTTCATCTTTACGAACATGAGCAGGTGCAGCCACTGCTGGATGCCTGCGCGTTTCCAAAGTCTGGTGGAACGGCAACGGAGACGAGCACCGAACAAGCGCCGCAGAACGTAACGGACTCGGACGAGCATCACGATGCAACCATGCAACAGGATACACCCTGAAACGATGATTTGTTGCCGAGTGCTGCGACAAGGGCAGGATCCGGTCCTCAAGATGCGCTCGCGAAAACAAGGACAAGAGTTCTGCCAGCAATTTGCGCTGCCTTATTCTCAATGACCATGCATCGCCATGGACATCCTGACGAGGCAATGCGCTGGTGAAACCCGACCTGTCAACGAGCCCCCGTCTGCATACCTCGCAGTGTTTTTTTTGTTTCATGGAAATCCGCCGAGTACCGGGCATCGTCCTGCTCGTCAACGGAACTCGTCCGGAGGAGGCAGATGCATGCCGGGTACAGCAGGGTACTGCGTTGACACCTGGCGCCGTTGCGACCCTTTTTCGCATTTAGGTTCCTGCTTCCCCGTCAAGTATCCGCCGATGTTGCGCCCGACTGGTACTCTTGTAGAATCTGTTCAAACTGAGCCAGCTGAGTTGGCGACCCGATAATTAGGCAAGTTCTGGTGTGGAGCGGGTGATCGCCACCAAGATTTTGGCTGAGAATGCGACAGCCCCGCTGGTCGATTGCTCGAGCGCCGGCCTCCTCGGCCAGATACGCCATTGGAGCTGCTTCGCACAGGGCGTCTACGTTATCCGCAACTAAAATGCCTCCTCGCTGCATTAATGTATGAAAATCTCCGATCAGACAACCCGTGTGAACGGCGCTATACTCATACTGGTCGGCCAGATGACGCAGGGTCTGTGCTAAGGCGTCATCACCGAGGAAAAGCTCTCGAGCAGCAAACAGTATCGGTGTGACGACATGCGCACTCGCTTCCGAGGCTACAGTAGAGGTCCCGGCGGCTTCCGTCGGTACAGCGAGTACAGTCTGCAAGCGCTGTCGACCGCGATCGTACTCGGAACCGAACTCGATCGGGCCGCCTCGACACATGAAGAACTGCTTGGCCACTGGATGCAAAACAAAGCGATACACTCCGGGATTGCCTCGCATGCAATAGCAGAGCTGTGTGGAACTACCGTAAAGTGCATAGCCCGCCGCTACCTGGTCAGCGAAGCAAACTTGCAAGTCCTCGCGCCGACCGGCTCGGCCAGGTGCGGTCTTTCGCTTGTAGACGGAGAAGAGGGAGCCCACGAGGCCTTCTGAGGGCGCAAGCTCCTCATCAAGATCCAGACTCACTAACACAATCACATAACTCCCGGACGGCATATCCGGGGGTATCGACATCGGCTCCTTCTGGTCTTTACTAACCAACAGACACGCATATCCATCGTGACACAGTGCAAAGTACAACTGCTGTGTGACTAACCGAGGCGTAAAAGGTGTCGACTCTAGCGATTTCACAAACATTTCCCGAGTGCGTGCTGCTATCCACCGGAACTCTGTGGAGAGGTCGTCGAGTAAACGAACCAGCTCGCCTGTAGCGTCGTGTCGCTCCGTCAACGTGGCTCCCGAGCGCTTGAACGCGTTCCGAACATGCGACGGGAACGGAACAGAGGTATACGTCCCACTCGAGGTCGGTGAGAGCTTCGCAGTCCAGTTCCATATAGGACTCTGAGGCAGGTCGCAAACCTTCTCCATTCCGGTAGTCTAGTGTCTCACGCGACTAGAAGAAAACGTAACTCGAACGTTACTGCAAGTGCTGAAGCGTGTTATGAGCGCGCAGACGCACGCGTGCAGTCGCACATCCAGAGGTGCACTACTGCATAGCGTTGCGTTGCCTGGAATCAATGTCGTTGTCGCGACTGAATCGATGCACCTGAAGTGTAACGGAAGAGGGACGCACGCGAGCACTCGTACATCCAGAGGTGCACTACTGCATAGCGTTGCGTTGACTGGAATCAATGTCGTTGTCGCGACTGAATCGATGCACATGAAGTGTAACGGAAGAGGGACGCACGCGAGCACTCGTAAATCCAGAGGTGCACTACTGCATAGCGTTGCGTTGACTGGAATCAATGTCGTTTTCGTGACTGAATCGATGCACCAGAAGTGTAACGGAAGAGGGACGCACGCGAGCAGTCGCACATCCAGAGGTGCACTACTGCATAGCGTTGCGTTGACTGGAATCAATGTCGTTTTCGTGACTGAATCGATGCACATGAAGTGTAACGGAAGAGGGACGCACGCGAGCAGCAGTACATCCAGAGGTGCACTACTGCATAGCGTTGCGTTGACTGGAATCAATGTCGTTGTCGCGACTGAATCGATGCACCTGAAGTGTAACGGAAGAGGGACGCACGCGAGCACTCGTACATCCAGAGGTGCACTACTGCATAGCGTTGCGTTGCCTGGAATCAATGTCGTTGTCGCGACTGAATCGATGCACCTGAAGTGTAACGGAAGAGGGACGCACGCGAGCACTCGTACATCCAGAGGTGCACTACTGCATAGCGTTGCGTTGACTGGAATCAATGTCGTTTTCGTGACTGAATCGATGCACATGAAGTGTAACGGAAGAGGGACGCACGCGAGCAGCAGTACATCCAGAGGTGCACTACTGCATAGCGTTGCGTTGACTGGAATCAATGTCGTTTTCGTGACTGAATCGATGCACCTGAAGTGTAACGGAAGAGGGACGCACGCGAGCACTCGTACATCCAGAGGTGCACTACTGCATAGCGTTGCGTTGACTGGAATCAATGTCGTTTTCGTGACTGAATCGATGCACATGAAGTGTAACGGAAGAGGGACGCACGCGAGCAGTCGTACATCCAGAGGTGCACTACTGCATAGCGTTGCGTTGACTGGAATCAATGTCGTTTTCGTGACTGAATCGATGCACCAGAAGTGTAACGGAAGAGGGACGCACGCGAGCAGTCGCACATCCAGAGGTGCACTACTGCAGAGCGTTGCGTTGACTGGAATCAATGTCGTTTTCGTGACTGAATCGATGCACATGAAGTGTAACGGAAGAGGGACGCACGCGAGCAGTCGCACATCCAGAGGTGCACTACTGCAGAGCGTTGCGTTGACTGGAATCAATGTCGTTTTCGTGAATGAGCCGTTGTCGTCGATAGCCAGTCACAAGACCTCGCTCCAGGGACTCTCGCTTCTGACGTATGGAACAGAGACCTGAATGCGTACGTTTCTCCGGTGGACACCTGCATATACATCTGCGAGTCATCCTGTCCATGTGCAAGCGACCGCTGAAGCGTCGCTAGCGACGCTGCAACTGCCCCGGATACGCTCAGCATACGGACGGTGTCCAGATCGATCATGCGTTTATTCCAAAGTAAAAACTGACCAGAGTCCAGTCGCAGACAATAGCGCTCCACGAGAAATGACTTCGCTTCCCATAAATCTGCACTAGTCGCGTATCCGAGTGTATCTGCTTCGATACATCGCTCCAGACCCGTCAGCATGGTTGCTTGTGTACGCCCTGAAAGTGCACGCTTCAACAATGCTCTTTTGGTGTCGACGGCTCAGGTCCTGTATCCACATGTGTAACCTGATACGCTGACGTTATATCCAAGCCAATTTCGTGCGCTTTCAAGTCCCTCAAATGAGCCATGAAGCGTCTCGCAATGTGATGACAAAGAAAACGCCTCCGGGCTGACCTGCACCGATTCCTTCGTCGCTGTTCGGCCTGGACGATGCGTCTGGCGCTGCCCACGCTATTCACACTCGACGCTGGACCAAAAAATCGTCCAATGCCTCTGGCAATGCATCGAGCGGGGATATTTCATCGACATTAGAATAACGTAGGCAAGAGACGGACCGCAGCCTTTTTGTGTCTATACGGCTGTTGTTGGAGAGCGCATACATCCCCATCGGTGACCTGTTTTCGTTTTTGTCGCTGGCGTCGGCAACATAGCCGACACGGCGCGTACTTCCAGGTACCCAGAGGCGTTTCCCAACACTCGAATCCGTGGCTTCTATTCTCGAGACAAGCGACATGTTGAACCTGGAATCAGGTGACGTGCTCGCTTGAACCGCGTTTATACACTTGCTGACTTTGTTCGGCCAAAATTCCTCCCGTTTTGCTCACGTACCAAGTCCAGAAGCATCGTATCTGCGCTAGAAAAGTAAGCAGGCACCACGCCTGCTCTACCAGTAGCTGAAAATAGCAGTCGACGCTGACCGCGACCACTCGTCGTCGTCATCCTCGGCGGTGCTGCCGACGGTCATCGCTCCCGAGCGGTTCTGGGCGGCTCGCTGTGAGCCACCCTGTGTCGTCTCGTGGACACTCTCGGATACCTCTATGTAATCGCTGCCGCTGCGCCAGTTCTCATCCTCGCTGGGTTCGGCGACGCTAGTCTGGCGCCACTGTGCCGCTTGGCGAGACGCTCTCCGCCGCTCCGAAGGACGCTCATCTCGTGGTTCGTCGTCCGCGAAACGTCTGCTTCTGGCCCCGTCAACGTCCTGAATATAAGCGCCAAAAGCGGTAGCTGCATCTCGCGTCATGCCTTGATACCGCGGAGGCCGGTACGGCGAGTCGCCTCTCGCCCGGGAATCCGCTGCTCCACGAGCAGTACCTGTGGAGGCCAGCTTGCTCTGTTGCCGGGACTCGTTCGCGGAAAGCGCATGCTCCGCAGCGGCACTCCATTCGGGTGGCACATCCACCAGATCATCTCGTACAATTGGCTTGTCCTCGGGGACCTGCTCCTCAGCGGAAAATCGGTACGCTGCGCGCTCGATCCGTTTGCTTCGAGCTCTCTGGTTGCGGGCTTCGTCGTCATCAGCGTTCACATCAGCGTCGTCTTGGGACCAGTCGTCCAGCAGAGAGCCACTCACGTTCTTCTGTCCACCTGGCGCTCGTCGTTGTGTAGCGCTTTTGCCGGGTTCATGGGGCTCGAGCTTCGCCCCGTGCACGTTTCGGGTTCGACGATGGCCCTCAGTGCGACCCGTGCCGAACTTGTCCGGGGCGGTAGCCCCGGTCGCAACCATATCTTGAATCTGACGTCGGGCGATCTGGAGTTCCTCTTCGAGAACCTTCACCTTCGCTCGTTCCCGGGCTGTCTCGTTCTTCGCTTTAATAAGCAGCTGTTGCAGGTTCAACGAAAATGACGGACCCCAGGCGGTCATCGTGCGTTCTGATTCTAATTCGGGTCCCGGTCTTGACGCCGTTGCAACTGATTCGCTCTGCGACTGGCCGGGAGTTCCGCCCAGATCCAACAAACATGCCTCAACGACGCCGCGGGCGTCTCGTACGAAGGCCTGCTCTTCCGCATAGATGCGCTCGAGCGTGCTGGTACTGCTGTTTGCCAGCGTGACGCGCTTCTTTTCCGCCAGTGCACGACCTCGCACTTCCAGCAGATCCAGATGATCCCGAAGTTCTTTCAGGCGACGCTGTGCATCCTCTACGGACTTGCTGGCTGCTGAAAACGCACCTGCCAGGTCCGTATTCCGCGAAGCCGGCACTTCCGCATTCGGCGACGAGATAACCGATAGCGCGTCACTGGGCACCGAGGGCGCTGCCTCCGTAAACTCGCCCGCTGTATTCGCTCCATCTCCAAAACGCAGACGGAGACTTTGCTTCCGTAGCGCAGGGGGAAGTGGGCGCGGCACAACCGCCTTGTCCGCAGGCTGACGACCCAGAACAGTCAAAAGGTGCGCAGCGCAGCGAAACTCCTGCAAATCCAGCTGCCCATCTCGATCCTGGTCGGCGAGCTCCCAGATATCTCGAAGAATGGCACTGCTTAAGCGATGCTGACAGAGTTTCGGAAAGACCTCCCGCGCGATAGAGCCGGTCATGCGCAAGTCCGCAAGGCGTACCAGCCTTGCTGCTGACTGATGCCGACCCGGCTGGGTACCGCCTCCACAATACTGTCGCATGAGCGCATCGTATTCTGCGATTTGCTCATAGGTTGGCGTCCAGGAGAGCGTTTCACCCGGGTTAGCGCTGGTGCTAGAAGAAGCGCGCGGTTGCGCAGCGGATGCAGCCCCAGGCGTTGTTTGAGCACTGGGGCGCGAAGCAGAAGCCGGATCGATTTGTGGGATGAGCTGCATCCCGCGAAAGCGCCGCAAGCTATCCAGGGAAGGCTCGCCACCGCGTTGGCATATGGCAACAAGTCGCAAGGCAACAAAAAACTCGTCCTGATCCAGATACCCACGTCGACGGGTATCCGCCAAAACCCAAATTTGTCGTAGCAGATCTTTGTATAGGTTAGAGCGGCGCAGAAGCGAAGCTGCTGCGTCACCAGGCACATAACCGGTTGCGGGGTCGCGCACCTCCCGGTACCAGACAAGGTATGCCTCTCGTTCAGTGGGACTCAGCTGGAGAAGCCTCACAGCCTCGTTCGAGTTTGTCTGACCCGAAGTCGAGCGAGCTGGCTGCAGCGATGCAGGACGGTTCCCCGCAAGGCCTCCACTCAGGTCGCCGGGGCGCGATCCCAGCGCTCGAGGGCCGCCAGCTCCTGCACGTGGATAAAAGCTCATCGAAAGAACGCACGCCTCCAAAGACGATCACAGCACGTCTTTATCAAATAGGGCACAGTGAAGTGTGGGAAGCAAATAAAGCCACACCCCGGTCCGTAGCGTCAATTCGACGCCAGCCGTTCGTCAACACGAAACACGGCACGCTTCGTTTGCTTCCGTTGTGAGCGTGCTACCAAGCCCGTGCTCGTTCTGAACCAGTTTTCCCAGGCACACCTGAGTTCTAGACTGGATGCAGTGGAACTTGAGCTATTCGCGCAGGTAGCGCCAGGTGAAAGAGGCTTTGGCTGCGCTTCGCAGTCGCAGACAGGAGAGCTAGTCACTGCTCGAGCCGCTACTGCTGAACGGCAATGCTGTCGCATTTCAGTAGCGCGACTGACGCCTTAGGCGATACAATAGACTTGTGTTTCCCCAGACGCACGTTCGTACTGGTGCTTCAACGTTCTTTGAAGGCTTTAAATGCTTCCAGTGAGACTTTGTTCTACCCTAAGCACGTGAGTTTCTCTTGTATCGAGTGGAAAGACAAGCATACCTGACATGGTTGCAGCGCGTTTTTCCGCAGCCGAGTGAGACGCCTCCGCGCAGGGCGGCGCTTCTGGAGACTCTGGACTTTTTCCGCGACCGCTTTTACCCCAAAGTATACGGTATGGGTGTTGGAATATGCACTATAGATGACAGACGTGGTCCGTGGAAGGTGCATACCTGGAAGCATCGTCCCGCTTCTACGCACGCACGCAGGAGCCTGTGCGCCTCCGGAGAGCGTCGCCGTGGAGTCTGGCAGCCTCACGCCTCGTGAGAAGCACTCAAGTCCGACAAAGCGCTTGCGTGCTGAGAATTTCACGGCGAGGTCCATACAGGAAGGATAACAGCAGCCGCTTTGGTCATACAGTTCTATGTGAAGACAGCAGATGCCACGAGAGCGTAGCACGTTTGGTGTACGTGGCATGGTGTTGAGTTTGCGCGCGGCTCTGCGGCCCCTGCAAGGTGGACGTGCGAAACGACAAGCATTTGCGTGTCGGGCTGTGTTCATGATGCTTGCATATACTGTATACATCCGTAGCTGGGGCGCACGGCAATGTGAAGGTTTCATCATGGGAAGAGACGTGCGTTCGTCTCAGGGTTTTGCGATACTCCATACGTGTGCTCTTGTTCGCCTCGACGTGAAGGCTGTACTGGTGCGGATCCGCAGGAAGAGGCGCACGCAAGGCCACCGAAAATGGTTGTTGCCGCCTTTGCATGCAATTGTATTCGCCGAGCATTGACGTGAACGAGATAGGAAACTGCAACGGGTACATGTTTTTCGCATGTTCTAGGCTCCGTATCGTTTTCAGAGCGGCCAAACCATGAAAGAGGATGCTGGTACCTGTCCATGTGCAGCTTGCTGGTGATCTCTTCGACATACCGGGTCATCAAATGTGTATGAAAAAACTTGCGAAAGCGATGTACATGCCGTGCCTTGTCGTCAAACAAGAAGCAGACTTGCTCTGTGTTCCCTGAAGCAGTTTGCGATCCTTGCTGATGCGTTTCACGTGATTTCCGTTGGCGGAAAATGAGAAACAGACTGACAACGCGTCTCCAATGGCAGTCACTAACGATGTAAAATCTATCATGCTCACCAAAATTTTCTGGATGCGCGAGTGCTGCCTATTAACCAGGTTGAAGAGCAGCATCCTCGCTGTATGGCGGCTTCAACGTTCCGTAGGCTCTTGACGAGCTGTCCTTCGCTGCCATGGCATTTCCCGGAACGCTTTAGGCTAAACACCCGATTCCGGCGAATGCAGACGCACAGCAGACGTTCGTATCCAAACTTCCGGAATTTGAAGCGAGGACATATCGATCGGCTTCATGCCTTTTGTAACACGGAAGATTCTAGTTTTCTCTGATGGCGAGCATTTCGCAACGCGTTTTTCCGACGTCCTGTGCATCACGACTCAACCGATCATCTGATCATCACAAGCGAAACGCGGGACTGTCATGTCGCCACGCGATCCAGGAAGATCGCTGGGTACTGGAAACTCAGAAAGCGCACCTCTTATCCATACAGGTAACGTTGAAGCCAACCCTTTGGTCTTATACGCTTTGCATGCAGGGCTTGCGGGGGCCACAGTGCCTGCACGCGACCAGTACGAGCAGCTACCGAGAAACACTGCCACACTGATGGCTGTGGAATCTCTTCACCAGGTAGGTCGGCATTCCGGCATCGACTCCTGAGCCATATGCATCATAGCTTCGGGCGTTTCTGGGAGCTTCCATTTCAGATGCGGTTCGAGCTGAGGCTGGGAGCTGGGGTTCCACACACCACGCAAGTAGCAGCGTGCCGCATGTCGACACAAGCCGCGGGCTTTGGTGTCATTCGTCACAACATTTGCGTATTCATCAAAGCATGCCATAAATCGTCAGTCTTGGTGCATCCGGCTACATGCTCTGTATACCATTAGTAATGCCACCCGCGCTGGTACTGGTAGCGGACGAGAGACGGTGCAGGTCGTAGCCATACGCTCGCGCCGGAATAAAATAGGACGGATCCCTTAACGCTTCCGCACCCGCTAAAGGTTCGGTTTCTCCCGCGTATCATGAAAAACAGCCGTTGCGGAGTATTCGGCTACAGCTTCGTCTTGTGTCCTTGTAGATTTGGCTTTACATACACCAGTCTCTCTTATCGATCCCGTACCGTTTGAATCAGACGCAGGATGTTGACTGGAGGGGTATATTTCTGCGTTCACAGCTAATAGCTGTTGGGGTCGCATCTCACGCGTAGATGATACATTCGGTCTATGCTTCGCTTGCCATACATGACTTGTTCGTCAAGCGCCTCTGTACGCTCTTAATAGCAGCGACACTTGGATGTTACCTCGTGTTCCCGTATTTCTAGTATACCTCCACCACCAGGCGCCGCGCAGTGGTGTGCGAACGCTTGCTTAACTCCCTGGTACATGCCCTTGGCGAATACAGAGGGCTCGCCTCTATTGCATCCGCAGTTTTAGCGCCCGATACCGAATCCTATGATCACAGGCTTCTTCTGGCCGACACCTCTACGAATATTCCTTGTGCAGCACACACAGGCGCACGCTGTTCCATTAGATAGAGGTTTTGTGGAACGCCAAGCGTTCCACGATAAAACAAGTCCCGAAAAGTGAATGCAACCTGGATATCAAGTCGAGAAATGCCGATTCGACAACGCTCCCTTGTCGCAAAGCGGCGACGTACGCTTCACCGGAAGCGATTGTTGCAGTCGCTACAGCCTGGATCCGAGACGTGTTCTCACCGAAGGAGGCGACTGGAGCTTCTGGAGGCATATCCGTGCGCGCTTTCATGCTGCTGTCGTATGCCGTTTCGTCGATGGTTACAGAGACATGAGGATATGCCTTCCTACTGGATTCGATTTTTTGATGTGAAACTTTCCGTGAAGTGTCGGCATCAGTGTTTGAAAAAGTCGCCAAGGCGCAGTCAATGATGTTTCTCATACATCCAGCCGCGCGAATTGCTGCGCTCACAAGTTGCCGTAATACAGAAAGAATGTAAGCTTGAAGAATGCGTGACTCGGAAATGCTACACACAAGCAAGAGAGAAGAGAGGAGATTTTACGGATGCATCGGAGACTGATATCAGATATTTAACGAAGCCTTGTTCGAGAACGTCGCGAATCGCCTTGATTCTAGTGACGCAATCGATTCCAGCAGTAAGCGTCGAAACGGCCACTCCAAAAAACTGACCGAGAATCCTAGCTCCATGCAAGAATCCGTGAATGCTTATCGCTCCACGTCGAATTTTGAACCTGTACATTTAAAAAAAATTCCGAAACAAAACGACTGTTCGAGAACACATCGTGCAGTTTTGTGTTCCAGTTTAACCTGACACCGGTGTAGAGCACCGAGCACGCATCCGGAAGCATTTTTCGCAGTTAACGAGCACGCGAGCTCCGCTCTGAGCGCTCACATCGCCTTTGAGCGCAGCTGCAATCGGGGTCAACGGCTGGAATCCCACAGACAAGTCCTTACTCCAGCGTACCGCCGAGTCGAAAAAACCAGACAAATTGCAGTCATGAATGTCGCCCTCTTTGGTGCAACGCTGGTCATGAACACCCCAAAAGACCGGGCGACGAGCACCCAGGCCCGGATGCGCGCATGGGATGCGTCTTACGGCCCGAAAACAAGTCTGGACTCTGAAGAGTCTGCGGAATCCTCTCTGACAACTCCAGAACTCACTGGGGGTCGTCAACGCCCCGTATCCCTTTGCGTTCGTAAGCTAGTGGCACAACGCCCGGACCCATCGATAATCAGTATTGGTCAGCGCTGCTGGGATCGGGGTCGCAATCACGAGGAGCCAATCGCCTGATCCGAGTCGCTGAACAGGCGAGCCGCTGGATCCCCTCAGCGGTTCTACTATGGCCCCACCAGGTCGCCCTGGTTCCAGAAAAGGAAAACATACCTCAGGGGGCAATTCTTCCAAGTTAGCTATGCAAATACCACGCTGTGCCTCAAGGACTCGCGCGACGATCTCGCCATAGTCGTGGACTCGCGTTGATGCACCAGTCACTGCAGCCTCTGCGCGCACCGCTAGCGCCACGTCGCGAGAAGCATGCAAAAGCCTGATTTCACCATTCGCACCGTTCACTAGAACGATTACAATTGGCACACGTATCTCTAGCAGGTTTGCGAGAGCTCGGACGAGAAAGTTCAAACCGGTCGCATCTGAGATGGGAGCTGGCGCTGTGTCGCCTTTGGCGAAATCATCAGTGGCGAAAGGTAACTCTGTGCGCGTTTCGGCTGCGGATTCGCGCTGTCTGGTAGCGCTGGCCTCCAGCCGTGCAACACTCACCAGGCTCACAGCTGCAGCCGTTGCCAGCAGTTCACTGGTGCGCAGCGCAGACCATTGTCCCAGCACGTCCCAGTCTACGCCGTCAGCTGAGACAAAATGATTGAGCGCCAACAGGAACAAGCACGTCAGTCCGAGCAGAAACCGCAGCTGTGGCCCGTCCAGACCGGGAACGTAGAAACCGCCTCCACGCTCAACCGCCGCAGACGGTCGGCTATACCAAGCGCCAACGCTACTTCTCTCTGGTCGTGTACGCTCATGACCGGGGTCCTTCAGCAGCAACCAGGAACGCTGCATAGACCTATGTGGCCTCCTACGACCCGCTAGTCGAGCTGCTGTGGTATTCACGCGTGCAAACGCGCTTGCCAACCGGGATCCGAGCAAGTTTGCTCGCAGCCAAACCGCACCAGTCTTTGTAGAACAACTGCTCAGAACTCGTACCAGACGAGGCCCGGTACCAAAACAAACACAAACCTGACAGCCCTGCATCGCTTTCAAAGCGCTTGTACACCTCCCTGAAACGGAACGTCCACTCGTAGCGTCCAGCTCGCAAAGACTGGTCTCGTCTGCGTCAAATCTAAAGACAGCAGTGGACGATGCGCTCGGTTGCTGCCTTGCAATGTTTCTTCCGAACTCTATTTTTTTTTTGATGTACTGCTTCGACACCTGAAGCGGAGCAATAAAAGTCAACAGATGTAAACGAGCTTAGGGATGCTCGGTCGTCTTTACAGAGTAGGATATTCAACGCTCTGCTCCTGGTTTACGTCAACAGAATCAAAATGATTGAGGATACCCTTGAACAGGGGTTCGTAGACTGAATGGTATCATTGTCCGGCGCATACGTATAAACTTGCACTCTTTCCCGTTCCTTACGTTTAGTGTCCTCGACTCGCACATGCTTTAAGTGTTCGATCTTTCTATGTCAAGGCGACGCCCACTGACTGCAACTCGCGCCCCTGAATGGACTATGAAAAAAGCATCGACGTTATCCATCGATGACTTGTTCAGAGGCCTTTGTTGGCCGTTCACTAAACTCGTCACGTTACATAATCTAATCTGATCGAAAGATAAATTCTTCTGTCTTCCAGGCGATTGACGAAGCGGCAATCAACAGCTGCATTGCACCTCTCATGGGATATGCTCCCAGACGCTTCCATCTCTTCTATTTTCATGGAAAACGGTCTCGAACTCGGACACGAGCCATTGCAGCGGTCGCTTCGAGTCGAAATGCGTCACCGATTTGCAAGTACGGATCGTTCTCTGATCGATTGCTATCGGCTTGTTCTCTGGCCAGGATTTCCCGTCTGGTGCTTGTTTCGCCATGGAAAACATCGAGTTCCGCAAATCCTCTATCGAATGAACGATTGTGCACTTGCCCGTGCTGTGGACAGTGCACTCGCTGGGGCATTGCCCAGATGATCCCCGTGATCGTTGTGTCCGGCACTGAGCGCAGAAACGGTGGAGGGCATCCAGGGAGACTTTCGGCAGCCACCAGAGGCATATACCAGACGATGAAGCAAGCCATCACGAGGCACCAGATGGCGCCCAGAGAACTATACGTTATGGGCATATGAGAAGACCCGTGCATAGTCAATTATCACCGCTGAGAAAAGCGCTCTGACGCTGTCAAGAGAGCAAACGAAAATGGCAGACGAAGCGTACATCGCAACCACCACCTGCGTATGCAATACGCTGAAGCAGCTGGAGTCGTCGAAAACTGTCTCATGATCGCTGCTATCAACACTCTTGGACTGATGAAAACGTAGCTCACCGGACGCACCCGGCGAGTGCTTTCAAAATCCGAAAACAACGGAGCGGAAAAGCAAGCATTCAAAGAAAAATCCCGAAAAGGCTACTGTTGATAAAAATGGAAAGAGACTCAAACATCAGAAAGTACACCCCGGTTCGCTTCATGTACTCGTTTCCTCGTATTTCGATATCCTTGTATACAAACAGGGGCGCGGTTCGAAGAAAGAGACTCAAACATCAGAAAGTACACCCCGGTTCGCTTCATGTACTCGTTTCCTCGTATTTCGATATCCTTGTATACAAACAGGGGCGCGGTTCGAAGAAAGAGACTCAAACATCAGAAAGTACACGCCGGTTCGCTTCATGTACTCGTTTCCTCGTATTCCGATATCCTTGTATACAAACAGGGGCGCGGTTCGAACCTGGTAGGAAACGGCCGCCGCCACGATCCTCGCGCCGCCTATTTTGGCTTCGATTCGCCTTTCGAAAAGCGCAAACGCCCTCTGGGCTTATGCAAGAACCAGCACGGAGGCCAGTGAACCCCTTTAGAGTCCGAAGTACGAGCCTGCGTAACAAGTTCCGGGTGCTTGCTTGTTTCCTATGTGCTGTCGTTTGCTTTGTTCTTGGACTGGCGTTGGTCGCGCGCTCACTCGCCCTGAATCGTCGGTTTGCGCTCTGGTACCGAGGATCGCTTCAACCGCCATCAGCGTTTGTTTTAGCGCTTGCCCAATCACGAAACGGTCATTCTCACAACCAATTCGTTTACGACTTTGCGGATGCAGTTGATGCTTCGAGATCAGGTACCGCGGGGCTGATGAAAGCCGTCCACGCTGCGTACTGGTCGCAAGACTTGTCTCATCACACAGCGCTGCTGGATGACGAGCAGGCGCCGCTGCTCTATCCAAGGCGCATAGCCACATTTCCTGTTCGCCGCCGTGCGCTGCGACAGTCGTTCGTGGATACTGCAAGACTGGCCTCTGGGATGCCGGGCCCAGCGAGCGACCCAATGGCAACCGCAATGGACGCGACATGGTTCGCAGACGATGGCTGGGGTGTGGCCTCGAACCCGAACATTATCGCACGAGAGCATTATGTACAGGAGCGCTACGATCGGATGGCATTGATTGTAGTCGACCTGTGGGACACCCACTGGTGCAAGACCGCAGCATCCAGAATAGAGCGGTTGCTTATTCCACCGTTGAATCTTGCTCTCCGAGAGGCGCGGAAACGTGGCATGCTGGTCATCCATGCCCCCACAGACATCGTCGCATTTCTAGAGCAACGAGGCAATGCCGGAGAGCGGCGCATGCGGGATAACGCCCGACGCTACACGACAAGAGCTAAGCTGGACGCCCTACGTGCTACCACCAGCATCGTGGACATGGCGTACGAGGCGGCGAGACGCACTCGCGTCCTACCCCGGCCTGCCGGCTGCATGTGCTCGGCGGACCCGCAAGAACGATGCGAGGAGCAGTACGGTTGGTCGGCCCTGCACCCGCTCCTGGACGTGGATCCCGAGAATGATGTTCTCGTTGCCGACGATCTCGTGGAGCTCGTTGCTGTCCTCGAAGGACGAGGCATTGAGCGGGTCATTTACGTTGGCGCGCATCTGAATCTTTGCATCTCGTCAGCAAAACGAATATCGATGTACTCGCTGAACCAGACGTGGTCGCACGTGCGTAAAACCGACCAGTCCGTCGATGGGATTCTGTTCGCGCGAGACCTTGTGGATGCGTTCACGACATACAGGCCCGCTCATGGACGAACGCCGGACGCTGGTCTCAGGAATGTGATTGCGTTTTTGGAGCGCGATCCCGGGGGCTTCGGGTCCGTGAACCTGCTTCGCGACGTGCTCGCGCTCGAGAAGGACAAACCGAAACTCTCGATCGCTCCATGGGGCTCGCTTCTGGCACCACACTACTTCCTAGGTGGATCGAGTGTCCTCGTCACAGTTGAGACGTCAATCATTGGGACCGGGGATCCGGATATCATGCTTGCTCCCGTTCACCAGACGATTTCCATTAACCAGAGCGGTGTCTATGTTTGGCGCGAAGCTTTCGGCATACTGCAGACAAGCCGTCTCCCAGAGATAGACCCGTCGGACCTGGTGTACCCTGGGGTCACTGCCGGCGTCTATCTGCGATTGCCCGTGAGCATGAATAGTTGCAAGTACTGCGTTGAACTCGGAGCACTGCTCACGGGGGGATTTCTCCGGGAAGTCGTCGCGCTGAACGCAGGCGCGAATTGCTCGATCGCCAAGATCCAGGAACGCCACACGAGTCGCGCTGCAGCGCGCAGAAGCGACCTCGATCTGCTCGAACATAGGCCAAACAGCGGCTCCGGCTCCAGCTCCAGCTCCAACTTCAGCTCCGTATCGCTCCCCGCGCAGTGCGCATATCGAGTGGACATCCCGCGGGACGATGTCTCAAAGGGGGAACTTTGTCTCTGCAGCAGCTGGCAACTGCGAGATGAAGTCCTGATCCGCCATCGTCGCGGACGATTGCACGCAGCCCGAACCTCAGCAGTGGTAACCGTGCTCGATGCCGCTCGTGGCGTTGTCATCGGACGCACACCAGTGCTCTGGCCCCGTGATTCGCGACAAGCATCTGATGCGGATGCAAATCACACGCCCTGGCGCCTCTGTCTCCATACACGGGAGATACGCTCAATCTGGATACTCGTTCAGAGCAGATCCGAAGCTGAACTCGTTCAGCGTCGGTACTCGGATGTCGTGATTCAACATGCGTGCCCGTAGGCATGCATGTCGTTGAAGGGACACGTGTATGCCTGCGTGACGTTCAATGCCCGGGACAGCGCGCGCTGAAAGGCCGCTGTGCGTGCGCATGGCGACTGTCTGGATAGATGGCGGTGCGCGGGACGATGACCCCACACAGGTGACGCTTCGCATAGCGCTGGCAGGTGCGTCCTTCAGTGCAGCCGCTGTAGAGCAGCTGCATCTCGGTTCACGCGGTTCCAGATTCATCCCAGCAGGTCGTGATGGGCAACGACGCATCGCAGGTCCAGGTATACGGAAATCGGCACGAGTCGTCATGCAACGCCCAATCGCAGGAAGCACGCGGCATTAGAGCGGTGTCCGCACAATGTGCTATTGCTTGTATCGCCTGGCGCGAAATTCAATCATGCCGCGGCCTAGGACGCACGTCCGTTTAGGATGAGCCGAGTACCTGTGGGGATCTTCTCTCCAAGGTCTGGACACCTGTTCGGACGACAATCTGTTCAGAGTGAACAGCACGTCTCTTGGGGCGTTCTGTTCAACGTCCGCACGCCTACTCACAACAGGTGGACGTGGGCGCTGACACGGCTGGCGCGATTCGCGGATTCACAGGATCGTCTCCGTGCGCGATCGCATCTTTCATCGCTGGGCGCACTTCGCAACGGTAGCAGCTGCGGCGGCGCAGGCACCATGAAAACGAAGAATGCCGCTGTGGAACACAGTCAACGCCGAACAGCCTGAAGCAAACGTTCCAGACAACCGCGGTTTCGCCATCGCAGATCCTTGAACGATCCTCCAAGCAACACTGTCTACTCTTCCTTCGCCATAAGCGGTCGTGCTTCCCATGTTACCGTCCCGAAATGTCCCTGAATCGTTGCAGACGTCGAGATACTTCTTCCAGAACCTGAGACTGTTTGCAAAAAGCAAATCGAACGAGTGTATTCGCCCGATCAGCATGCCGCTCGCAGAAGAAAGCCGAAAGCGGGATCGGCGTTACACCGCACTCGAAACTGAGCCAGCGCGCAAAATTATAATCTGCTCGATGGCGCGTTGCGTCATCAATCTCAAGCCCTGGCACCCTACCGCCTTCAAGTGCACTCAAAGCCGCAGGAAACTGGTTGGTAAACCCAGGCAGTTTCCCAAAATTCGCGACGACAAAGTAGCCTCCTTGCGGAACGATTGGATCAAGGCCGCTCTGACGCAGCGTCGCCACCAACTGGTCCCGACGTTCCTGGTAGAGCGCAGCCAGTTCGCGGAAATAATGCCGACGTTCCGCCTCCGCTAGACATTCGGCGACGGCCACCTGCATCGGCGTACATACCGAAAATACGACAAACTGCTGCGCCGCGTGGAAACGCTGAATGAGTTCCTCTGGCCCAATCATCCATCCTATTTTCCATCCGGTAACGCTGAAGTTTTTCCCTGCAGAGAAAATCGATACGCAACGATCAAACATGTGCGGCAAGGTTCCGAAGCTAATATGCTCTCGCCCCTCGAAAACAATATTCTCATAGACTTCATCACTCACGACCGTGACCTGCGGGTGCGCATGGACCAACTCCGCCAGCTGTTCAAGCTCCTTCCGAGTCAGGACTTTTCCAAGCGGATTGTGCGGCGTGTTGAGCATCAGAACACGAGTTCTTGGTCCGATGGCCTCGCGCAGCGCCTCCCAGTCGATGCACCAGTCCGCAGCACAAGATGCGGGCTCGGTCGCGTCCTCGTTCGCCACCTTTGCACGAGGAGGAGCTCGCCATACCAGCGGCACGCAGCGCGGAATGCCGCCCGCCAACCGAATGGCACCCATATATATATCGAAAGTGGGCTCGAATACGACCACTTCGTCGCCATCGTCAACCAAACAAGAGATCGCTAGGTAAATGGCGCCAGATGCACCGTTCGTGACGAGCACGTTTCTATTCGGGTCCAACCTTCTGCCGTGGAAGCGCAAGCGTCCGTACACGTCCGCAATCGTTTCCAACAGTCTCGGATGACCCCGTGACCTCGCGTACTGCTGCGTCTCTGGGGCCAGGTCCGCAACGGCGTTTTTCGCAGCCCCAGCGACCCACGCTGGGGGCTCCCAGTCGGGGAAGCCCTGACCTAGGTTCACAGCGCGTAGCGCAGCAGCGAGCGGTGTGAATTCAAGCCACACAGAAGGTTTCGCACCCAGCGCCACCAGTTTGCGGGGTATGGTGGCGACCGTCGGCCCCATCGAACCACGAGTTTGCAGTTCCGCGAGAGACGATTGCCAGCTACGGTGGCAAGCCGCTTCCCGGCCTGAATGTTCTCGGACGTACCGGGGCGTGCGATGCACACGTGGCGAAGCCCGCATCAGTACCGCTGCTACACCCAGCGCGCCGCTGCTTGCGCCTATCGCACGAGCACCAGCATCGCCAAGGGTGCCGCCGCAGGAACAACTCTGGGCGTATCCGCGTTCCACGGCTTCGCTGACCCTGATATCTGGGGCGTGAACGCATCGCTTCATGTAGAATAGATAAGCGGTCGTTTTCGCATCCCAGGGACTTGCATTCGCAGTAGCATTGACACGAATGAACGTTACAGATGCTGCTCGGGCGGCGTCGAGGCCGCACGCCTCACTCCTGCGGTACTAGTCCGATCACATCCGACTGTCGAAGTGTGTATCGAGCCCATAAACGCGCATTCGACACCGCAAACTATGTCGTTGCCTCGTCGCTCGAACAGGTCCTGTGGCATTCGCTCCCGTTCGATACCCGGTATCGCAGACGTAACCCACCAGATAGCACTGCTCAGTCGCATCCTGCAGTCAGCGCTGCCGCCGTTCTTTCTGCCAGCTGACGCCCGCGCGCTGCAGCAGCGGCGGCTCCGCGGCGACGCCGGCGGCTGCGCCCGCCCCGCCGCCATCCCTCAGAGGCTTTGCGTTGGACGTAGTGCGGTGGGCAAGAAACACGCCAATCGCTCTCACTGAAAGTGAAATGGCACCTTCCTTTAAACAGCTTAACAGCCCAGCTGGTCTTGCGGTTCTTAACGAGTACCTTGCAGATCACTCGTACATCAACGGGGTGCAGCCCTCAAAAGCAGACGCAGCTGCGTTTGCGATTCTGTCGCGACGCCCGGCAACCGCGCTCGCAGGACTACCGCACCTGTCGCGCTGGTACCGCCACATCTCCTCTTTCAGTGCGGCTGATCGTGATCGTTGGACCGGAGATACCGACGGCATAGTGGAAGAAGAGCCAGAATCTAAGGAAGCGGCGTTTGACGCGGACGATCTGTTCGCCTCTGACGACGAGGAGACAGACGCGGAGGCGTACCGACGCCAACAGGAGCGCGCCGAGGCTGCCCTGCGCGAGAAAGAGAAGCGAGACGCTGCGAAGGCCGCGCAAGGCAAGGCGACCGTTGCCAAGTCGAGTGTTGTATTTGACGTGAAACCCTGGGAGGCTGAAACGGATCTGCAGGAGCTAGAGACGAAGATACGACAACTGCAGATTGACGGCGTAACGTGGGGCGCTGCGAAACTGGTACCGATTGGCTACGGCGTTCGAAAACTGCAGATCATGGCGACCATTATTGACGATCTCGTGCCGTCAACGGATATTATTACAGAGGAAATCGAAGGCCTCGAGGAACTTGTTCAGTCGGTCGATATTGCCGCTTTCAACAAAATCTAGAGACGTAACCGGTGTCTGCTGGAGGATTGGATGGTGCCGACGGCTCTGTATTAGAAGGGATTTAGCGCATGGAAAACGAACACTGAGAATGAGCGTTCCCGGGCTCTCGCCTGCCGATACAGCGCAGAGGGGGTATTCCAACCGAAGGGTCATGCGTGGAGCCGCTCGCCTGACCCTGAACGGTAAGATGTTGCGATCGAGTGCATACTGCATGAGGCTCTGGGGTTGCAGAACAGGTTCTAGTGTTGGAAGCGACGCGCTTGATATACTTGCGAGTCGCAAGCTGCAGTTCGGGTCGCATCGCATTTCAAGACTGATGCGCGTTCAGGCGAGTTTCATCAGCCGTATGTCGCATCTCAGCAAAGATGCGGTACGTTCAAGTCGCCTCCGCAAGACTGTCGTCGACGGCAGAGATACGCTATAACGACAGTATGCATTGGCTGAAAATGTTGTCCGTGGTGGTATGCGTTCCGCCAGCGGTTGGCATATGACTCCCGATGCTTAGGAAGCCATCGGGGATTTGTCGGCAGGAATGGTGCGCCCTTGGCAGCTGAGCGTTTTTCGAACGCATGCTGCGTTCGGTGAAATTCAGAGTCGCAACTGCAGCACATCACATTCTGTTTGGCAGGGGTTCAGACCCCGTTTTGTATGAGGTAAACGTGCGGGCATATATGAATTTGTGATCCAAGTACTTCAGTGGATGAAATGCTGCGCATCATCCGCGGTGCAGGTTGCAGAGAAAACAAGACATATGCTTGCGAAACACTCGACCGACCAAAGCTTCCAAAGCAGTCCTGCGCGAACGAGCTTGCAGGATGCCAGCGCTCATTCAGGTACACTAGTCCGGGCGCCCGAGATGACACGCGACAACATTCTTGACAGCTCCGCTCGTTAGCGTATTGGTGCGAGGATCAGCTGGTGCACCCCGTTGTGTTCCTGGATCACTACAGATCCACGTTCCGAATGCCGACGCATGACCGCCAGACGGGGCACACGCTGTCGGGCGACGCTAGTCGAGCGCCACGGAGGTGCGGCTCGCTATCGCCGACCGCCCAGTCTACGAACGGATTCGCTGCAGATGCCTCTCGCACGAAGCGCACCGCTCAAGTTGCCAGCGACGGGACACAAAAACGCGGGGAGGCACACTCCTGTTTCCGGGCTCGATACAGGCATAGCGACACGCATCAAACCACATTCTCCTTGAAGAAGAGCTCTAGACAGGGCATCGATTCCCGAATGCTCCAGATTTAGGTTTCACTGCCGAGCCTCATTGCAACGCTCGGCCCGCATCGCCTGCATGCTCGAGCAGAGCCCCGCACGGGTACCGAGATGTCGCGATGTCGCCGAGTGCCATCCGAAACTTGCATCCAGCTTCGCATGAAGCGATGATACCCGGCGCTCAGCACCCGGTGTGTGTGTATGTGTGTGTGTGGATACGTCGCACCAGACCCCTGCAACTGATGCGTATCGTGGTCTGGGATCACTGGGACCTCGCGGCAACCTCAGTGGACTAGTGATGTTTCGCCTGGTCCCCGCTCGCAAGGGCGCACCCAGTCCGATGCATTGATCCTTCACCATGAGAGAAACACCAGGATAGCCCCAGCAGCGATGCTGGCGATCTGCGCGGATTCTGTGAAGACAAATACTTCCGCGCGCTCTATACGATTCGAGGTCGCGGGCTCTTCCGCTGGGTGCACGAAGCAAAACGAGCACAGTGCTTTAGGGTGAGCATTCACGGAACTCGTCGACAAGCTGTTGGCAGATTATCAAGAGCGAACATCTTGGACCGAGGAACGGACTGGGACCAACAGGCTGAACTCATCCTCGGGGAAGAGTCTGTGAGCGTTACGCGCAGCAGCTGCTCGAGCTGCGCACCTGCGGAGCTAGCTGCGTCCAGGGAGGGAACAGCTGGAGCCACGGCCCGAGACACGTGCCAGGGCACGATAGCGAATCTGCGGATTTTCAGGGAACCATGCGTCATATGCCTGATGACGAGGACATGGCAGCCATCGCGCTGCGGTATCAGCGCCTGGAGCGCATCGGTGAAGGCACCTATGGTGTCGTATACCGCGCACGCGACCGACAAACGGGGCAGCTCGTTGCCTTGAAGAAAATTCGTCTAGAGCAGGAGGAAGAGGGTGTTCCGAGTACGGCTTTACGTGAGATTGCCATCCTGAGGGAACTCAACCAACCGAACGTGGTGCGCCTACTTGACGTTGTACATGGTGACGCAAAGCTGTACCTCGTCTTTGAACACCTGGATCAAGATCTGAAACGTTACATGGATACACTACCGCCGAATACCCTAATGAGGCCCGAGCAGGCCAAGTCATTCCTGTACCAGCTGATCAACGGTGTTGCGTACTTGCACGCCCGGCGTATTCTCCATCGCGACCTGAAGCCGCAGAATCTACTCATCGATGCGGCAGGTCGCCTGAAGCTTGCGGACTTTGGCCTCGCCCGAGCGTTTGGTATTCCAGTGCGTCACATGACCTCGGAAGTGATCACGCTATGGTATCGCGCACCGGAGATATTGCTGGGATGTCGCAATTACGCTGCCCCGGTAGACATGTGGTCGGTTGGTTGCATCTTTGCGGAGATGATGTGCAGGAAGGCGCTTTTCCCGGGGGACTCCGAAATAGACCAGCTTTTCAAAATCTTTCGTGCACTGGGGACCCCTAGTGAGGAAGTTTGGCCCGGAGTCAGCCAGTTGCCGGACTACATGAGTGCGTTCCCCCGATGGCCTGTTCGTCTGATCCGGGAAAGCGTACTGGCACTTGGCGGCGCCTGGACCGAGGATGCGCTCGATCTGCTGAGCCGTCTCCTGGTTTATGATCCTAGCAAGCGCATCACAGCCCGTCAGGCGCTGATGCATCCGTATTTTGAAAATATGGACCGGGTCTACGGAGCAGTACCACCGCAGATGTGGTTACCACAAAGCTCCGTCACTCTCTGATCGAATCGTTGGGGATCGTTGCGATAGTGGCAGGCCGCATGATTGGCGTTGTCGCGCAAGGACACGTGTCCTTCGAGCATCTAACTGCCGCCGCTGTCCAGCGCGTGTCATCGTTTCTGGACTGTACGCCGTTCAAGTCGGCGGCCTGTGCATGTGTTGCAGACGCTGCTTCGGGCTTATTTCTGATCGCTTCGAGACGTGTTTGGCATGAAACCTCACTCGCGCTCGGCGTACAACTTACAAGCCACTTCCAGAGCCTTTTCGAAGCGGAACACTCGTGGTCGCTCATTGAAGTCCGCCAGGAGCTGCAGACCAGCAGTGTCCGCCGCCGCATACAAATGCCGCCACTGGCACCAGAGTCGCCAGAGATCCGCTTTTTCTAGCTGGCCTTCATGGAGGTTTTCAAGGCGCACAAGTGCCAACTGTTTCTCGGCTACAAGTTCTGGATAAACGGTGAATACAACCCGTGGCTGTGCTGTTGCAGCATGCTCTCGATACTCCTGCAGGTAGGTGAAGAGCACATATCGCGAGTCCTGAACCTGGCAAAGCATGGATACGTACGAGTTGCCGTCAGCAGCGCGAAGCAGTGGGAATACGAACCACGGATACTTGCTTGCTCGCTGTGCGAATGCTACGTATTCAGTCGCAGATAAGGCGCAACCGAGCATCGTAGGTTTCGTACTGTGGTGCAAACTCCATAAACTGACACAGTTAGCAGGCGTCTCTCGCACGAACTTGGCCAAGTGCACAACTTGGTTGAGTTCTCGTGGTGACGGGTACGAGAACGCGCACCTTCGCTGCAGGCGCACGCCCGGACAGCCGCGAAGTGCCAAATGACACCCCTGCCCAAGAACGCCTTTAAAACCACGTACAGCACTCTTCTTCAGTGACGATGTGCTCATTTCGTGAGCGTTCTCCGGCAGTGTCGACACAAGCTGTCGCCCGCTCAACGAGACCTGGAGAGAGCGGTGATGTTTGCGGGAGGCAAATGGGGGAATGGGGGGCAGGTACCCTCATTGCACAGAAGCGGACACCGGCGCGAAGCATGTCGAGCCAAGCGCACGAGCCGTATCGTCGTGCGCCTTCACCCAGCAACAACCGCGCAAACTGCTGTTGACGCGCGAATAACCTTGCCGGCAAACCGAAGCACGTTCAGTATTAAACCTGAACTGGACTGGGACGCAGTGCACTCCAGGAACACGTAGCGCTCGTAACCGCGTCGCCTCAAAAGCGACACCCCGAGTCAGGTGAAACGCTGCGTGGACTTTGCAGGCGACGGACGCGTTCCTCGGTGTCCGGCGGAGCAGGGCGTTGGAGAAACCCACAGGGCGCGCCTCCGACTGAACTTAAGAGTCACGCGTTGTGGTTTGTTGGAAAATATCGGTAATGAATAGGCGACAGGTTCCCTTTGCTTTCGTGCCGGGCGTAGCGTCGAACGGGTACCGACACCGAGCACCCATGAACCACCGAGTTTCAAAACGCAACATCACCCGAGCGCTGAGAGTATTCTGCAGGGACACGGGTGCACGTAACGCTCAACCACCGCCGCCTGATGAACGGCCCGCTGAGCGACAAACTTCGAGTACGCTTGAGCAAGAGTTGAGACGCTTTCTCCAGCGAAATCTTTTCTCTGGGTTCGGCACCTTTGAAGAGGAGCTCACTGGGCAGTCTGCCGGCGGTAGGAGCTTGCCGCAAGGCGCGGATGACGGCGACGGACGCGAGAACGACACGGCAGCAAAGCGCCGTACACAACTGAGACGAATCTGGGGTCTGTTTCGAAAGCTTGCTACTCCATACTGGCGCGAGTCTCGTACGGCGAAAACAGACTTAGCGGCCGTGTTTGCGCTGACGCTACTCCAGTCCGGTGTATCCGTGGCGTTTTCCTTTATTGGTCGTGATTTTTGGACGGCGCTCAGCAATCGTAACCCCGAGCAGTTCACCCAAGAAATGCTGCTCTTCCTGGGTGCGATGCTCGTCGGCGTGCCGGTCGTTGTGTGGTACAGCTACGCCCGCGACCGTCTGGCGCTGCGCTGGCGGGCCTGGCTGACGCGCTTCCTCCTGGAACGATACTTTTCCAACAGTGCATATTACCTGATTCAAGCCCAACAGAGCCTGCTTCTGGAGAACCAGGAAATGGATGGACACGCGGCAGCACCGGAGAGGCCCCAGGTTGAAGTCGATAACCCGGACCAGCGACTCGCTGAAGATGTGAATGCCTTTACGGCCACGTCATTGTCGTTTGGCCTTACAGTGCTGACCTCTATTCTGGATTTGGCTTCGTTCAGTAGCATACTATTCAGCATTTACCCGCAGTTGTTCGGAGTGCTCATAGTGTACAGTGGCTTTGGTACTTTTGCAACGGCTGCGATCGGGCGCCGTCTTGTGCAGTTGAACTTTCAGCAACTTCAGCGCGAGGCTGACTTTCGTTATGCACTCGTTCGGGTGCGGGAGAATGCCGAGTCTATTGCCTTTTATCGTGGAGAGGAGCGAGAGCGCAACGAGAGTGAAGAGCTTCTCAAACGAGCGGTAGATAATCAGGCAAAACTGATCGTCTGGCAGAGAAATCTGGAGCTTTTCACGACAGGCTACCGATATTTGATCCAGGTCCTGCCGGGTTTTGTGGTTGCACCTCTTTATTTTGCCGGCAGGATCGAACTTGGAGTCATTAACCAGTCCTACTCTGCTTTCAATCATATTTTGAGCGACTTATCCCTATTTGTAACCCGCTTTGAGGCACTGACTGCTTTCAGTGCCGGTGTCGATCGACTCGGTGAGTTTGCGGAAATGCTGGACGCTGCCGTCTCTTTGAATAAGCCAGAGAATGCTGAACGCTGGATTCGGATGAACTTTGTGAGCGCGACGGATCCGTATCCGTTGCAGGTCGACAAACTGACCCTGTGTGTACCGCGCGACCGCAGCGCCGTCGATACAGCCAAAGAGGGCACGTCGCTGTTCACCGAACGGGTCCTGTTTGCCGACCTGTCGTTTCAGCTTCGCCGCGGGGAGCGCCTCCTGGTGACGGGACCATCGGGGGTTGGCAAGTCGTCTCTGCTTCGCGCTATCGCCGGTCTCTGGCGACGAGGCCAAGGCCAAGTGCGACGCTCGGCCCGCGAATCGACCTTCTTCCTGCCGCAGAAGCCGTACTGCACGCTAGGTTCACTACTCGAGAACCTGTATTATCCACAGACACCGCCCGTCGCGCAACAAGACGAGCTGCGTTCTATCGCGCTGAAAACGGTTACGTTCAATGGACGTTCCAGCGCTGGAACGGAACTCGCACGTGACTCCCGAACGAGCCCGCTCGCAGAGCGCCTCTGGCAGGTGCTCGAAGCCGTGGGTCTCAGTGAACTGGCGCAGCGCTTTCCCGAGGGTCTTCGCGCCGTGCGAAACTGGTCAGAGGTTCTCTCGTTGGGGGAGCAGCAACGCTTGGGCGTCGCCAGACTCTTGCTTAATGGTGCGGATTTAGTGATTGGTGACGAGTTCACATCGGCGCTTGATATCGCCTCCGAGGCGCGGGTGTACGCAGCAATCCGACAACTCGGTGCAGCTGTCGTCTCGGTGGGGCACCGACCCTCATTGCTCCAGTATCACACCAGAATGCTGCGCCTGCGCCCGCGCTCACGACATGACCGCCATCATCCCTCGCCAGATCCTGAACCCGTATGTGACTGGGAATTGCTTGACATCGAGAGCACAAGCGCGAAATCGATGACCTGGACAGAGCCCGCGCTCTTCGAATAGACAAGAAAGTGGACTTGCGGCTTCAGCAGGGAGCTACCGCTTCTCGCTGCCTGATCTGGGAGGAAATCACGCGAATGCTCTAGCAGAGAATGTTCGCGCACAGCGCGCGTACCGTGATCCGTGTCGCGGTTCCGCTTACAAAGCAGCCCCAGATGCCGATTCTATCCGCAACGACGACAGATGGGTACTGTTATCAAGCGATGCACCCATCCGGTCCTTGATATGGCGATCATATGCCGTACAGCGTCCCGAGATACTTTCCTTTGGGATCAGTTGGGATCGGAATGGTCAGTGCGTCGACGTCGTGAGCCGGCGCGCTGCCGCGGATCACTCAGGACGTCAGGCGGCAGCAGCAGCAGCAGCAGCGTGCGGCAGGCCGTGTCCAACGAAAAAAGAGGTTGCAGGAGCCGCACCTGATGCGTACCGCTTTTGCGCAGACCAGGCAGGTGCCCGATCGGATATAGTAAGGTTTGAGCTTCGGGGGCATGAGTCTGGGATGTACAGTACAGTACAGTACAGTACAGTATAGCACAGTACAGTATAGCACAGTACAGTATAGCACAGTACAGTACAGTATAGCACAGTACAGTACAGTACAGTATAGCACAGTACAGTACAGTACAGTATAGCACAGTACAGTACAGTACAGTATAGCACAGTACAGTACAGTACAGTATAGCACAGTACAGTACAGTACGTGTATGCATGCACGGACGCGCATGCCCACGGCGTCTATTGGATCGATGCGCAACGCGCCCTGGCGCAATGCATTGCTGAAGGCGCTGTTGTCGATCTCCGGATTCTGCCTGGATCGCTGCATCGGTGCTGTGGTTACGCAGCCTACCCTGAACGCAATGCATATGGCCGCGCGAGTGCGCGCGACGACCTGTTCACCGGGGAACAGCGTCGACCGACGCTTAAAGCCAGCAATCACCGCTGCGAGCCCGTGAATGGCTCCAAGCTGGAGTGCGTACCGACTTTACGTCGAGAGTTCTTCTCGCAGCTGCTTGCAAAGTTCAGGCGGTAGCGCCTGTTCGAAACTCTCGCCAGTGACCTCATTCCCAATGCTGACCCAAAAGTTGCGCAGGTTATTCTTCCGGGCGAATATCTCGATGTACTTGCCGTTCGGCACGAGCGCCTCGATCCATTCATAGAGCTCATCTGGTTTCTGGCTCTGTCCGCGACGTTCGCTGAGAATCACATCTGGTCGGGGCATGCCCGGTGCAGTGCTCAATGCGGAAAGGTCGTTCCCTTTCACACCGACCAGGCACGTCTCTTTCGCGTGCTGTAGATAAAAGCCGTGATTTTTCGCCAAGCGCCGATTCACCGTCAGCTTCACCCATACGATTTCGTCGACGAGCCGATAGCCCCAGCGTTCGAACATCTGTAAAGCCACTCGGTACTTGGCGTTGATTACCCATATCAAGAGGAGTCCGCAACGCTGCAGTTTTTCCAAGGGAATAGCCAGGATCGACTCGTCGCTCAGTTGGTTATAGCCGAGCGCCACACCTCTAGTTGGGTTTGCGGTGGCGAGCTGCCACGGAGGGTCCATCAGAATAACGTCGTAGTTTCCGTTTGCTGCTGCTGCGATCTGGTCCCAGTCAGCAAACCGGACGTCAGCTCGCACGGGTATGCAGTGTGGCGGCACCATAAAGTCCTCTGGTACGTAGCATAGGTCCGAAAAGACAGAATCTGTTAGCGCATCTGCCTTTGCAGTTTCGTTGCCGCCAGGGTGTTCGTGCCGGGCAACCGCTGCTTCTGCGGCGGCTGTCGCACCTGGTGCCGCAGCTGCCCCTGCGGGGTTCTCACTGCCGCCGTGAGCGTCCTCCGGATTGGAGGAAGCGTTTTGCTGCGTGAGATTTTTGATCAGGGACACATATGATTGTAGCAGACGGTTTTCAAGTTCCTCGGTAGACTCAAGCAGCCCCAGGGGCGCTGACTCCACCATGGCAACAAGCCTAGGCGCCGCACCAGATAGGCAGTGGCGTTTGTAGGTTTTGGCGCCATGCCGGGCGTGCGTCCGGTTGCACGACGCATCAAGTTGCCGCCACCCGGAGTCGGTGTCGTCCTCGTTTACCTCAATAGTGTTCCACTTACGTGAGCGTGTTATCAAATGTGCTTTCACGGTTTGTAGCAGATGTGTTTGAAGTACGTTCATTTGAAGAGATAAAACATTCAGGGGAAAGGTGTGGACATGGAATTCGGGGAACTCGAAGCGTAGTCACAGCCGGATGTCGGGGAAAAACGGAAAATTCTCCTCTCTCCGATTATCGAGCGAAGACGAGCAAGTGCTATGAAGAAGAAGATGAAGAGGATGATGATGACGAGACTTTCATGACGCTGAGTGTACGAGTTCGAGGAATCCTTACATTGATGAGTTTCACCAGCATCACTGCATGCAAGGAGTTCCCGAACCGAGAGTTCAACGCCGCCATCCAGATCAGACGGTGTGCGCTGCTGAAAACAACAATCGACCAGCTGACGGGATATTTTTTATGGGGCAGCCTCTCATACTTGAGGCGTGCCTGGATAAACTGGAACGATAGCAGCCAGTCGGTCAAAAAACAGCCGGGGAGGCCTCTGTGGGTGCGTGTGCGTGTGCGCATAGATGCACTCGATAGTCCTGAAGCGTTTTTCGTTCTCCTGACATGGCGCCCACGCCCAGGTATGTTACGAAGCTGTGCGATATTCGTGGTGCTTACGAACCGGTGCTAGAGACCCAACGGAGGACGTTCACCGATTGCTCGGTGCACAGCGGAACATGCGTATTGGTCAGTGTCTCCGACGGGTAAATACAGCACGTGATCGGCGGAACCTGGAATGATGGCCGCCTTCTCCGATGCCGATATTCATCGTGCAATCGGCGGAGCGGTGAGCGTCCCTGGTCGTCGTAAACTCCGTGTTGTCCGAGAATATACTTCGTCTCCGACCTGATGCTCAATCGATTAGCGTCGTGCGAACAGGCGTTTCGTCCGAGTAGGGCGACGTTCTCCAAGTGCGACACGCACCTCTTTTCGGAACGCTCGGAGATAATGTTGTTCCTCTTATTCTGTAATTTCCCTGGCACAGCTCGTTTGCATTCGCTGTGTACGCCCGGTGATAAACAAGCCGCACGTATGCATGCTTTATGCTATATGCCACCCTTTTCTCTATGCATGTTCGGCAAGTCGAGATCCGCAAACCTCAACGATTCTCGGTCGACAAATGCTGCCAATGCCGTCGGCCTCAGTCGCAGCACCAAAAGCGACGTGCAGTAGTTCTTGTCGAGGACGATCCGAGTAACCGAAATGTGTGTTCGCCTCTGTGAAGTCGCTCTTCACGGCCTCGAACACGTACTGATTCGGGTTCAACCATGGGGAATATGTTGGGGCGCGCAGGACTATCAGCACCCTGCTCTTTACTGGTTTGGGAGCACATGACGATTCGTGGAACGCGATGATGTTCGTGATGAAACAGGTATATAGACGAGAGCCAAAGCTACAGAACTAGTCGAGAAAATATCGATTCGTATACACGCCCTTCATGCAAAGCAGTGACACACTCTCCACCGGAATGGATTCCTGCCCTGCCTCAAGTCCGAATCCAAGAACATTTTCCATGGCAGATGCGCGACGTGAACCTCTGGGAGCATATCCCATTACAGGTTTCATGCTGCACTCGAATGCAGTGCCATCGATGGCAATAAAGAGAACAGGATTCGGCTTTCGAACGAAATCGGTTTTGTTATGTGATGGTCTCAGTGGTCTTTCAGCATGAGCTCGTGAACAAGTCGTCAAGCGACGAACCCGAGCTGTTTCCCTGTTCCATCGAGTGGCGCGGTGTGCGAGATTCACGAGTTTCCTTGAAACAGAAAGATCGCGAATTGATGCATGCCTGATTCCATGACACTACACGTGCTCTTAAAGAGATGAGTGTAAGTATGTAGCTGTGCTTTGACCAATGATATCGGTTATTGCACTAGTCCTTGTTAGGATGTGTCCCGTATGATCCAGATTCCTGTGTCACAACGATCACCGGCGGCAGAGACACCACTCTCCCACTCCGACCAAGAGCCCCAAAACCAAATATGAATCTGTAACCCAATATAAATGCAATCCGAGTGTCCACGCTTTATAGCTAAAAAAGAAGTCCGGGAGAATTCGCACGACAGAGAGCCAGCTGTTCCGCATTCCATGTGTATCGGACACGGGAGGTACCGCTCGATTCGACGCATCGATCCTGCGCGATCAACGCCTGTACCGCGCGGATCGCAACGATTCCATTTCACGACGCTCTGTGAGGACGAGCACTCGTGTTCGTAGTGCACGTTGCCGCAACGACAAGCGACTGTCGCGAGCTGTTAACTCGAGCGGCGCTGAATCAGTGTTGTGGAACCACTCCAGTTGCAAGTTAAAGGTTGACTTATGTTTGTTCTAGCAACGCAGAGCTGTTTGAACCAAAGACACGGGCGAGCATACGGTATAGTTCGCAAACGGGCCAGAAATAGGTCACCGTTCAACTGCTCAGCTGCAACTAGTAACGAGTCGGTAGCTGAGCTGCCCTCACTTTTGCACGGAATCGCACACACGACTGTGAAAACACAGGTTTCCTCAAGCCTTCAGCAACCAAACTGTCTCGCGTGCGTGTGGAAGCCGGGCTCTGACGCCGCTCGCCTACGAGAAGCCTGGACGGCGGCGGCGGCGGCGGCGAGAACTCGACGCAGACCAGCGAACGGCGTCCTAACAGCACAGCACGTACCGGTTGCAGACATCGACCAGCAACGAGCAGCGTTGCGGCACCTATTCCTGGAAATGGGGCTTTCGGTGAACGGCATGGAAACTTTTTATGAACCGCTTCTGGAAATGATCGAGCTCTTCTGCCTCGCCTTCGAACAGAACGTGAACCGAATTGGGCAACATGCGAGATCCCCGCTACGTGCGGTGGACCTGCGTTTGAGTTTCTTGGACTCCACTCCTTGCCCGAGATTTCATGTTGATTCTGTGCCCCTGCGCCTGCTCTGTACGCTACAAGGCCCTGGAACGGAAATTGCAAGGGAGACGTTCGTGTGGCGGGAGCGTTTCGAAGCAGCACGAAGCGTAGGCGGTGCCTATCGCATCCGAAAGTCCTGGTGGCAAACACAGACACTGTCGGCGTGCACAGCTGAGGAGCACGCACAGCACGTTGTTTTTAGGCGGCAGGTGTCGACGCCGCTGGCGATCAGTGTGCCCCAGTACATCTGGGACCCGTCATCTGGTCGTTGGTTGCTGCGGGATTCGCTCCCAGACGCCCCTGTTGAGCGACTTGTACCGTGGCATGCTGTGCTTTTGAAAGGCACTGGATGGATCCGTGCAGATGGCGATGCCAGTGCCGCCGCCGCCGCCATCCATCGATCGCCATGCATGCAGCCGACGGAAACGCGCTGGCTGTTCCATATCGATGCACACGTGTCTATGGACGAACACGGGGCTTAGTTGCGCGGGGCGCTACGCAGGTCCATTGCTTGCCGATGCACACGGCACAGGGACGCCCATGCAGGGCGCTGGAGCTCGACAATTGACGAGCTCGCAACCTGAGGTGTGTGGTGCGTGCTCCTGCACGCGCTAGCGTAGCAGTTTTACTCTGTAAAACCCTAGTGCCGAAAAGCGGAGAAATGCGGGCCTAGCAAGCAGCGCACGTAAACCCCGATCAGCGTCTACTCGAAATCAGAAATATGCTGTCTATTCGCATGCACGTTTGTCACGGCAGATTCCGGCGATGTGCAGCGTTGCCTGAACCTCAACGCAACCGCCACGCATTACATCAGTGCACATCGAGCGTTGAATGCAAACGAGCAACGTACCCGCTTCGACTGAAGAGAGGCAAGTCAGCCAGAACGGGTCGGCAACCCGAAAAGAACAACATCCAATGGAGCGCGAGGTTTGCGTTTTGGAGACAGAGATCGGTACCTTCGCATCCGCGCTGGACGAGAGCAAAGGTGCTTTCCGGAGACGAGCCACGGTCTCGGTTAAGCTCCATCACGCGTTTATGTGTACTGTGCGCATGCGTCGGGATGCACCTGAGCTTTATGCACGAATGCTCCGCTGTGCGCATATTGTTTACGTCCAGCGCCGATGAACCTTGCGAGAATCTTCCAAATGCATGCCTGCTGCCGACAACCAGCGAACAGGCCGCCATCTTGCTGCACTTGCCTCTACGTATAGTACATTGGCATCTCGTACCTTTCTCACTGGATGCGGTTTGTGTGGTGTAAGAGGGGAAAGAGAGCACCCGGGACCCCGTGCAACTTCGCTTGCTGTTAGCAACCAGGAGAGGTACCACTGCTCCCCTCAAAATACGTCTGTGGTCCGCCAACTGCAGACCAGGCTGCCCATCTAGGACAAGGTTCTGACGCTACCAACCTTTGGGTACCGAGCCTCCTGGAGAAGCTCGCGACGTTGCCGGATGTACCCGTCAACGTGGCGAGCGAGCGTCGCAGCACGCACGTACACCACGCCTCAAATGCGGCAATCGTCGAGTCTCGCGCGCGCCGCCAACGCTGCCCGCCCGTCGGGCGCCTCACCGGGTAGCAGGGACGCGTCCTTCGAGGCAGCGACTTGAGCACTGCTGCACCTGTAGGCATGCGTCCGGGTTTCATTGTCTATTACAAGCTGCCATGCGATCAGCGTAGGTTGCAGGCGTGCAGGTATCGGTGTTCTCCTAGGGAGCTTGGCTTTTCGAGTCGATCGTTGTCTGTACGAGCGCGACACGAGGAAGCACCTAGCGCTCGCGAACAACTGGGCAAACCTTGGCTCCGATCCCAAGACAAAGGCTCCGCGTCTGTTCCTCGGGTACCGTTTCGTCCTCTTCGAGACCAGCGTATGTACAAATACCCCGTTTCTGTTGTGATCCCGCTCTACAACGAGTCTGAGGCTCTGGTTGCTTTGCTGCGTGCGCTCTACGAGGCACTGGAGACGGAGAGCGCACCAGAGCAGTACCGTGGGCAGGTTGAGGTTGTGCTTGTCGACGATGGCTCTACCGACGGCACGACGGCACTGCTACGTAACATACTGCGTGACGAGTACAACGCCCCAGCTGGCGAGAGGTTGTTGCTGCCCTCGCACCTCGTGGGGGTCTTTTTCCGTCGAAACTATGGACAGACAGCAGCGCTGGCAGCTGGATTTGATGCAGCCCAGGGCGAAGTTGTTGTCACCATGGACGGTGACTTGCAGCAGGAGCCGCAAGATATCTTTCCTCTTCTGGAAAAGCTGAAGCAAGCATCGCTCGATGTCGTGAGCGGATGGCGTCGGCAGCGACGCGACGACCCGATACGCACGTGGCTCAGCCAGGTGGCGAATGCGCTCATTCGCACGGCAACCGGAGTCCACGAAGTGAACGATCTAGGATGCTCACTCAAGGCCTACCGCGCCGACATTCTGAGCGATATCCAACTATTCGGCCAAATGCATCGATTTATACCAGTTTTAGCCAAAATCGAAGGTGCTCGCCTCGGTCAGATGGAGGTTCGTCATCGACCGCGACGTTACGGTGCCAGCAAGTACGGCCTTGGTCGCACGTTTCGCGTCATTTGCGATCTGGTGCTGCTCCATTACCTTACTCGGCAGGCGACACGGCCTATGCACTGGTTCGGGACGATTGCCCTCGTGCTGGGAGCAATCGCTGTGGTGCTGGCCCTCCTACCCAACGCCCTGATCATGCCGCTGCTGGGAATGATTGCCGGCGTGTCCAACTTGAGCAGAAACCCCTTGGGTCGACTCGTTAGCCGTACAGCATTGCTTGTGCTCTCTGCCTCCGTGACCCTGACTGCACTCATTTTTCTTGGTCTTGGTATTGTCGCCGAGATAGCCGTGCGAGCGTGGTACGCGCAAGAGGCGGCGCCAGCTGGCCGACGTCCCCTGTACCGAATTAGGGAGCATCTCGAACGACACCAGCAACAGCGCGCAGTGAGTAGTTTCGGGTTTCGAACGACGTAGCGGTTTTAAGGTGGCGCACTGCGAAACGCTGAAGCACCTGGTGCGGTATCGCGAGAAGCGCCCTGCACTGCAAGGCTCCTGAACGCGGACCCGGATAGATCGGGCCCAGTATACGCGACCGCTGATGAAATTCATGTTAGCATGAAGCGGAACCGGCAGGCATTGGTAGCTAGCGCTTGGATGCAAAAGTTTGCGTCCCCTGCCAGTGTCATTCGTACCGGCCTTTGCGGGATTTTTGTTTGACTGCTTCCTTCTCGTCTCTTTCTTATATCCGGTGGTAAATACGCTGCTCCGTCCTTTCATCCAGTTTCCCTCCTGATAGTCGAAGGCTGTCAACAGCTGCGTTCGAGTTCGGACGTGAAGTTTCGGGCACTTATCTATCTATGCCGTTCATGCAGAGGCCGAAGTCGTCATCTACATTTCGCTCGCCATTTTGATCTTCTTTGTATGCAGCAGCAGCAGCAGCAGTGCACCATCTCCAGCGGCGACACTTGGGTGCCGTCGGGTGCTTCCATAGGCGCACCACCATCCAGCCTCCTCCAGACGCTGCCTCGTGTCGCGTCAAACTTGCTTCATCGCAAGGTGTACGCCCTTGAAGGACACAGGGGCGCTCCACTCGATGCCCCCCTCCGTTTCGACGCCTGGTGCCGTACACTGTGGTCGCGGCCTTCCTCTGGGCGATTCGTTCTGCGACTGTTCTGTCTGCTGGACACGCAAGAACGTACTGTTGCATCCAATAAGATATTTTGTGGAAAGCGATCTTGTCCTTGATGAAACACGAACCAGAAGGAGAATTCAGACTGGACAACACGTCGAGGCATTCCGACCCGGCTACGCTTGCACCATTGCGAGCGAGAGATACAAAAAAAACTCAGACCGGAGTCCAAGCGCCTGTCCCGTGCAAACAGAAGCGACGTCAGCCACTGAGCACAGATCCCCAAAGAGGTATCATGCAGGTTTCGAATCCAGATTCGTCGATGGCCACGACGGGAGGAGCAATCATCTATCAAACCGAAATTATTACTGGACATGGTATGTTCAGTGATCTTTTCGCATGAGCTTGCGAAAAATTCGCCAACGGTCAACGTCGAGTTTTTCTCCTCGTCAGTTCAGCAGCGCGAATCGCTGCGTACGATGGTTGCCTTTAAACATAAAGATCGAGAACGTGAAGAATATGTGATTTGAACCTGCTATACACAAGCAAAGAAGAATCGTGGATGCTTGCACGTCTGCATTGCATACGGATATCGATGCTTTCTTGCGTTCCCATGTTCGACTGCGTCGCGAGTCCTCTTCATTCCGGTGGTGTCACGCCTTGCAGCGACAATGCTTCCAAGGCGCTACATCGAAAAACAATAACGACCGAGAATCCTGAATCGACGTATGAATCCGCATGCCCTTATGGTTGCTCTTCTAGTATCGGGTCTGTACATCTCAAAAACAAGTTCAGATGCGAACATCAACAAAGCAGGTACAGAGCGCACTGCTCCGTTCTGGTCTACCACGGATGTGTGTCGCGTTCCAAATGCTGCCGTTTTCCAAAACGACCGGTCCTTGCCTGAGCTCGCTTGTTAGACTAGCCGGTCACGAGACCGGTCGACACAAAGCCGCACATATACGTTCAGATACAAAAACATATGCACAACATTATAAACACATGCCTGGGCTATGCATTCTTTCGAATCTCCTGCACTGCAAGGTGCATGCGCACGTTTGACGCCGCATAGGGCGCGGCGTCTTTTCAACATGCAAACTTGACTCTAGTTTCAGAATACCTTTCAACGAACCAAACACCCTGAGGCCGATTAGACGAATTTGGCTCGCTTATTCTACGCATTCGCCAGCAGAACGCTCACGAGGCCTGTAAACAGCACTGGCGCTTCGCTGGTTCCGCCTCGAGCCTCCTGTGCAAACTCGGAACGTCCAGTCGCGTGCCTGTGAACCAGCGTTCATCTGGACCTGCAACCCTTGAATACTGCCACTGGTTTCTCAATATCCGAAAACAAATAACTTTTCCGGAAACAGTAAGCGTTGTTTCGGGTGGCTGCATACCAGCGGGAGCGGAGCGGCTGCAGCAGAGCCTCGAGCCGCTGCGCTGAGCGCTGCATCCGCCTTGATGGCAAGGTTGGAGTTGCCGTCGATACAGGCGCTCGTTCGCTTGCCAGTATGATCAAGAAACCGCCTTCGAAGCTGCAGTTGCGAACGATATCTCATCACGCGGCTATCGGACATCGAGCACCGAGTCTCAACCGTAGTCTTCATGCCAGACGCAGCGCCTCGTTTCGGAGCAGCGTCGAGTCGCTGGAGCGTTGCGGAACTCGCTCGGTTTCGAGAAGCGCTCGCGAAACAAGAGTCCAGTGAGCGCATCAACTGGGCAGAGGTCGTTGCCCATGTTGGTACGCGGACCAAACGACAGGTATACCTTCGTTGGTTGCGTGAGCAACGTTCCGCACCAGCACCGACACCGGCAGAGCGAGACGCGTCCACCACGAACTACTTGGGGAGCACGCGACGACGACAACGGCGGCGACACTGGAGTTCAGTTGAACTTACTCGCTTGGCAGAGGCGTGCGAGTTGTTTCGGAGAGCTGATGGCCTTGTTGATGTTCAGCGAGTTGCAGCGTACGTTGGAACGCGCTCCCTGCGACAGGTACGTGATCGTCTCCGCGTACACCTGCCTCGTTATCCGACGCTGCGGGATGACGCCTCGTGCGTCGTTGAGGGGGTAACAGCGACAGCAGCTAACACAAGCGCATCTCCTGGACCCGCTGTGTCGAAGACTTTCTTCTGTACCCGCTGTACTGCAGCGGAATGGCGAGCGCTTTGTGAAGCACAGTTATGGACGAGCGCTGCACCGCCAGACTCCGCGACCTGCGAACCAGAGCCTCCACTCGAAACCTTGGATCCCTACGGTATATCACTGGTAACGCTTCTTGGTGCATTCTACTTTTACGGTGTGGGTATGGACGCCGCCAAGGCAAGCGACCGCGAATACCTGTATCAGCTAAGCGCACAAGGCGGGGCACGAATCGATCAAAGCGTCGAAGCATGGCGTCAGCTGGAATGGTTTCCAGCATACCTCTGGGAACTAGGTTACCTTGGACCAGGGACGTGGATCTGCTTCGGACCAGAAACCGCCTCGGGCGACTTGGCTCATGGAACGTCCCCGGACGTGGTAGGTATCGTTCGAGAGGGCGGCATCGTCGTCCCGCTGCCTGCCGGCGATGCTGCGGAATGCTCGCCAGTACCGCAATACCCGTGGCCTTCGCTGCAGGCGTTTCTGGCTCATGGACTCGTTCGCTGGTTCAGCTGCAACCAAAGCGCCCGAACGCCCGTACCCCGAGACGAACTAGTGCCGTTCGTGGCCGCAGCACTGAGGCTGGACGGACTGGGTGTGCCGGCGTCCATGTGGCCCCTGCTGCACTCCAGGCCAATACGGGCGAATCCGATGTGCCGGCCTGTAACCCAGGTGCCGCGCAAACGCACGCTCTATGGGGCATCGGTAAGCACACTCGTCAAGCTAGGCGTGCTGCCGTCGCACGGAGACTGTATCCTGGCTTGTTGCGGTATCTACGGGTCCATTCGCGGCTCCTGGATTTACGGGGCCCCGCTGGGGTTTCAGCGACAGGTCCGCATGGGCACCAGCCTCGCCGCCTTTATACAACGAGCTGCGCGATGGTCCCGTGCAGTCGGCCTGCCAGGGTCAGACGTGCTCACTTTACACGGCTGTTCGTTGCCGAACGCACCGTTACCCGCTGAGCAAATCAGTGCGTGGAATCCGATTCAGACCTCTGCGCCAAGCCTTCCATCGGGATGCTTTTTAAAACTGGCAAAAGCGGCACTACAAAGGGCGAATGCGCCTGCATCCTCACCCATGGTGACGATTTGTCTAGCCGTGCTTCTTGAGGAGCTCGTGAAGGTTCAACTCGAGCAGTCGACGCCAGGGTCATCACTGCACAGCATTTGAGGCTTCGGAGCGAACGGGTGCGCTCGGTGACGTCGATTACCTCATCAGCATGAGTCGTTCCTGGGTTCTGGGAATCCGACGAGCACCACGCGACTGGGACATTGCAGACACGCAGGCACTCAGCCACCGCTCGACTGCAAGCAGCCTTGAAGGTCCGGTGATGCTTTTGTCTTCTGGAGCTTGTTGATCAAGCGCGACGATGCAAAACGTCACTGTTGGCATCCGGGGTGTCGAAAGCGGGTGCCAGGGCCCCAGCAGCGCAACCCTGCAACGTCGTCAGCGCATACACTCAAAGCCTCGCACGGGATCTTCCATGGACAGGAAGACACCGCTTCAAGACCGATTCCACGCGCGTAGCTCGACGTCCACTTGATGCCGCTAGAGCATGTGCTGCAGCGCTGGTTCCCGCTACCTCCAAGTGATACCGGTTGTGGAGCATGCGCTTTGCATCCCCCGGGTTGTGCCTGGTCGCCTGTGTGTTGTTCAGAGGGCACGCTCCGACTCGGGCACTTGCCGCATGAGGTTCTCGAGCGCCCCGCGGTTCTGCTCCCGCACCGCCGGTTTCATCCGATCAATGAAGAGCACGCCATCCAGATGGTCGTATTCGTGCTGGAAAATTCGGGCCGTCCAACCCTGATACTTGACCTGAAAGCGTTTCCCGTTCGGTTTCATCGCCTCCACCTTGATCATGAGCGAGCGCTCGATATCGCCCGATACCCCTGGGAAACTGAGACAGCCTTCCATACCCTCCTCCGTGGCCTCGCTTCGCTCAATGATTCGCGGGTTCACGAGCGCAACCTCGCTCAGCCACGCCCGGGGGTCACCTTTTGGGTTAAAGACCATCACCCGTTTGTTGATACCAACTTGCGGAGCTGCAAGTCCAACGCCCCTGCTTGCATACATAACCTTGAACATGTCACGTACGAGTTTCAGCAAAGCGTCGTCGAAAACGGTAACCGGTTCGTTCGGTGCCCGGAGGACGCGGTGCGGGTAACGAACGATGCGCAGACTGACGCCTGGCACGATGCCAGGGTCGACTTCCTCCACAAGCTCCGGTACACGCGAGTCAATGGCATCCTGACCACGTCGCGAAAACTCCTGAACCAGCGTCCGTGTGCTGCGTTCTCGTCTGCGCGACGCGGGTGCTCTTCGCCGGACTCCCGGAGACGCCAACTGCCTCCGCTCTGCCGCACGCACGACTGTTCCTCTGCGGAGAAACGCAACCCCGGGTAGCCCCAGAAAACCACACAGATGTTCCGCACTCGCTCCAGATGCCATGCTTGGTCCTGGACACAAGCCGAAATGAGCAGCAGCGAGTTGTTGTACAGCACGCGAGCGCAGTCGCAGCGGTAGAACGACAACCTCAACAAGAATGCGGCTGCCGCTGCTGCTGCGTCGCGCACTTGTCGACGTTTCTGGTCTTTCACCTGAATTGTGTTCCACGTCCAGATGCGTGTCATCAAATGCTTGTTTCGCTTTTTTTAACAGACTGTTCGAGGTGCAACCATTTGGTGGAAGACAAAATCCGAGGGATAGATATGGACGTGGATGTAGGGGATTCTAGTGGGTCCAGTGTCGCCGAGTGCCGGGAAAACCCCCCGAAAACCCCCCGAAAACATCCACCTCGCTGATAATCGAGCAGAGAGAAGATTGAAGAGACGCGCGAAGCGGTTTTCTTCCGTTTTTCAGTGAAACTCTTCGACACGGGGCCTCTGGGATCCTCGACTTTCATGACGATACCTATCCCTTGGATTTTTCATTTCTTCAGAGGACGCACAGCTGCATGACCGTGAGTCAGGGCCCTCCCGGAGGAAGAAGGACGTGCAGAAGGACAACGACATGTGTTCCTGCGTGTCACTGTGTGCTGAACGCTTCAGCGATTCGTCCAGAAAAGCAATCATTACTTTTTTTACAATAGAAAATACTCCTTCGATGAGGCTGAATTATGGAGCGTACCGAGGAATGGAAAGCGGCGCGATCCCGATAGAATCCGGAGAAGCGCGAACGCACAGCGCATCGTGAAATGCCACTCTGTCCTGCAGGGGAACGTCGCCCGAGGTTCGGGGAAACTCTTCGATGATTCGACAACAGTGTCCGTGCTGTTATATGAGCGTTCTCTATAAGCTTAACTGGGGCCGCCAAATAAATCCACTAAAGCTAGAACAGACAATGTCCTCTGTCTCCTCAAGTTCAATCGTCCATTCGCAACGGGCGCCCTGCTCCGCGAGTACCCATATACGCTCCGACGCTTTCATCCGAAGCAAGTCTCATCGACTGCAAAAATAACAAACCGACGATCCTATACTTCGTACACATCGCATCGTTCCAGGGTTTTTTGTTGTAGTTGCGATTTCGGTCGAGGAAGGCCGTGTCTCATCTAGGACTCTTTTGCGCTCGTATCCCAGTGTTTTCAGGATTACACGAACAAGCTGGCGAGAAAATTTGACCCACGTAGTCGCTACGATCGTCGCTGTTGCTTTCCGTAAGGTATTCAACTGACCGGCTCTCTGCGATTGACAGCAGGTACTCTTCGAGAATACCGGATTTTGGAGCGGAGCGCATCTACGTGTTTCTTTCAGTGTTCCTCGACCATCTACGTATTGTGATGCGTCTGACCTGAAAGACGAATGCAGTCCTCCTTGTGCTGTTCAGTTAAGAATATATATTCTACAGGTAATTCCTCAACAGCCTATTCAGTACATGGCATCCTGATTTCGATCTCCTGCTGTCCACTGCAGCGACTTTGAACCGATGTTGAGCTGAAAGACTGTAATGCGCCTGATAGACGCGATCGGGAAAGCGCCCTTGATGCTTCATCGTTTCTCCGCGTTCCAATGCTCATACTTCCCGTTGAAGACGCTGGTCATATCGTATGTTCCATAATGCGCCGATACTGAGCTTTGCATTCGGAATAGCCCGATAGTGCCGAAGCAGAGGCAGTATGGAGCTGCTTCGCTAGCGCAATAGGCGATATGTTCGGGTACTGGACACAGGTGCTGTCGACGCACACCGAGGACATGAGGCGTGCTTCCCGATGCAGGGACGGCGTGTCTGCCATCCTGGCAAAAGGTCTCGGGAAATGGATGAGCACACGGGTACAGCGGTTCATGCAGCTGCCCACTGGACGGGTGCCGTGCAAAAGTCCGCGTGGCGATACAGTGAAGCATTCAAGTGGCGTTAGCGCAAGCAAGAACCGGTGCCCAGGTTTCGTTCTAACGATCAAGTTCCTTGAGCGCGTCGTCACGCGAAGGTAGGCCTGCATACATCGACTGCTGGATCCCCGCGTCACGATATAACTCGAGCTCGGCTCGAGCCGACCATATCAGTGATATAGCCGAACCTTTCCGTCTCCGTGCGGTGTCCGCAGCGATGTAGCGGCGCTAGTGCGGATGCTAACGGCAACCTCGATGCACAGAAGGGCGAAAGAAGGTACGAAATAACCAGTATCTTCGACGGCAGGTATAGCCTCAGGCCAGTGGAACTTTCAGGTCTGGAATATTCGAAATGACCAGAATACCCGAAGGGCAGTACCGCTAGCGGAACTTGGAGATATGGCACGGAACGATTCATACTATGCCACGGCTGCCGATATTGATCACCGATTGCAGGCTCTGGGGTCAGGGTAAACAGTCTGTCGGTTGTTTATCGCTGGAGCAGCGCGAGCGAGCACGCAAGCAAGCCGTGGCAACTAGGCACGCTAAACTCGAGTGCAGGGCAGCTGCGATACAATCCACACATGGAAACGAGACGCTCAGTACCGTGAAGGCATCGGGCTGGCCTCCATCGTGCCTGCTGCACGCAGGACGCAACGAATACGCCACAGCAAGCTCTCCGCCATTCAGGGGTCTCGGTGGAGCGTCCAACCTGTCGCTCGAACGCGACACTGCCAGCAGAACCATTACAGAAACAAGTCGGCGATTCCAACGGATGAACGCTCCACCTGGACAGATAAGAACAAGTGTGGAACCGAGTACGTCGCAGGTATTCCAGTGCAGTGCACATGATCACGTATGCTCAAAGTGACTCGCTGGGGTATGCCTGCATGCGACAAGATCTTTCATAGGTGCTCGTCCAATGCACTTGACGCATATGAATGGTTGCACAAACGCAGGTTTGCCCAGCACCCAGTGATACTGTCCAAGATCGCCCGTCAAGCGAACTCAAGGTCTGCTCAACCGGCGACCGCGAAAGTCGCTGTTGCTGTTGCTGCTGCAGAGCGCAATGCCCGTCGCCCGTGCAGCAGCAAACGACCTTTGCCTGAGCGCCATCGACATACCCTCGCTACAGCGCATCTCTAAAAAGAGCGCTCCAGGAGCGATAGACAAACCTCAGTGGCGTCAGTGAGCGATTCGAGGGCGTCAGCAGCTTGAGACGTTTGCGATACCGGACCCGTGGATCAGTCTCGTCTTCGTTGACGTCCACCAATAAAATAGACCGCCGCTCGAACGCCCCTTACGAGGCATCAGCTCATGGCAGTGGAAGCACACACCCAATACCACATCGCGCTTTGTCCCAGTAGCCAGATGCGTCTCCGAAATCCATGAGCGACGCTCTCTGTGTGGACGATGCATCTGCATGAACACATACGCCTCGTTTCGCGTCAAGTCACCGGGACTCGGACCTTTTTGTTCAATACAAAACCACGCATACCGTCCTTTGTAAATGAATCGAAAGTGGCTTTCTGGGTCGCCAACTTGCAGTGTAACACAGCTTGCAGAAAAGAGACGCCCGGACGCCGTAGCAGCGGCCTGCGCTGGCCCCGAATCCGCTGCTAGACGACATTCACATCGAGCGGTATGGCTGCAGGCAACCGAAACTTGATGTGGGGTTTCGGGTGGCGCGATGCTGGCCCACGTTGTGCCCAGAAGATGGAGATGCCTTGACGAGGCATTCGCTCCAGATCGTCGGTGTTTCGGATCAGCAACATTGAATTTTCCCGCAGTTCCGCATTGAGAAGGAAGAGCGTGTATCCATCTAACAGGCAGCAAGCAGGATCCTCCGCATACTCCTCGAAGCCGCCCCGGCCAATACTCCGGATTCGATGCCAGGTAAGCGTACGCTGCGCTGAGCGGTCGACTCGGGTAGGCACACATGCGCGCCCCGAGGATGCGTGGTGCTCGAACGCCACGCCGTATGCGTCGAACGACGCGATGCACATCCTCGTCGAATTCATAAAATAGGCATCTTCCAAACTAGACACGCGACTACCCATGCTGTACCATCATGCCCGTGGTCTTGCGTGCGGCCCAAGCTCGTGTCAACGACAAGCAGCGCTCGTCCTGCCTCAGTACAAGTACCCTGTCAATCAAGAGCGCTGTAGAACCCTGTTCGGCAGCGTCACTCGCAGGCAGGCCGCGGCACCTGCGCATCCTCCAGCGCCGATGGATCCGGGCCCTGCGTACTCGCGTCTTGGGCGTCACCGGGGACCTGCTCCGCCTCATGATACTGGTATCCGTCCTCGGCATCCGCTGTGGATGCATGAAGGCTCGGTAAGTACGCTCGCTGACCACCTGGTAACTGATACCAGACTCTTTTTGTCAGTTTCCAATCATCCAGAGGATCTATGTATGGCTCCTCCTGTATGCCGAGAATTTCAACGACGATCTCGAGCTCACTGCCGCTATGGAGATCCATATTGCGTCGGATCATGCGCTTGGTGAAACGGATCATCGCTCGCACCAGCTGTTGAAACGAGTACCGGGACAAGTCCAAAACCGTTACAATCCACGTCCATACGCGGTCGGATACTGTTCCGACGAGTGCTCGCGATAAGGGCAGCGCGTTGGGCGGTCGACGTCGTCGTCGTCGTCGCCGTTGCTCCCTCAGAGCACGCTCCCAGGTTGTTGCTTGCGACGGACGCTGGCTCGCGTTGCGCTCTTGATTCAAACAAAGTTGCGTTTGCTGCTTCAGTCCGGAAAAAGAGTGGGAAGCTTTGCCGAAGTTCGGTGCCGGCGCCAGTCGCTGGGCGCAAACCCTTCGAACACGCGTTTGCAGCAGGCGCTGGCTGCTGTGCACACCGCTTGTATGCCAGGCTGCGACCCGCTGGCCCACGCTGCCGTTGCCGCGCGTCGGGCCAGAGCGCTCGTCAGCCGAAACAAGGAAAACAAGGGGCTTCATGAAGACCAGGGCCCTACATCGGCGCTCCGACGCAGCCGTGCCTGCGCGGACGTCAGTATGCTCAGTGCAGCAAGTCCGTTGCACGTTGCACTGCGGCTGACTGGCTGGCGCGGCATTCTCGCCAACTGTACGCGTTCGCCTGAAGCGCATGCTCTCCGTTTCTGTAGCAGCATGACATCGGACAGTGAACTGCACGCTCTGTTCCTACTTTTTGACTATTTTCCGAAGATGTTTAATGGAAAATTCTTGCAAGTCGCAGTACAGCTATATGCCTGCGAGGATTCACACATAGTTTTCTACGAGCCTCTATCGGAGGAATAAAGCGGCGGACTAGGCGCTTCGTCTGTGGAGTACGTTACACCAGAGGATTCAGGATGATTCGCAACGCACTCGAACGAGGCATCGTAAACCAACCGATATAAGTATTTTTCGATGTATACGTACTAGCCTCTATTCCTCTCGTCTCCCTAGATGTATCGCACGCGAATGGAACACGCTTCTGGGTACCGGTGTTTCTGTATCCGGGCAACTTTCGTGGAGGCAACCGTTCGCGCCTCTGGATTGACAAGGCGAAACATCTGACCTCGTCCGGCGACGAGTTGCTCTCCAGCTCATGCTCATAGGTCTGTGATCTTGTCACGTCCAAGAATCGGCTTGGTTCCAAAAAAAATTCTCCTCTCTTCACGGCTGCCGGGTGAACGATATTGAACAGGCACATTGCGCCTCTCACTGCATATGATCCCACAGGCTTGCGTTGCGTCTTTCGGGATGGAAAAGCGTTTCGGACTCGAACCCGTGAGTCATCGCAGCGATCGCTTCCAGTGGGGCATGTATCACCGCGTTGCTCGACGTGAACCTGGATGATTCGGAGTTTTTTGCTTTGCTCTCCGGCTTGGAGTTTCCTTTTGGGTAACTTTTTCATCATGGACAACATCATGGTCCTTAAAGTGTCTATCGAACGAGATAGCGCGCGTTCCCCTGTACAGACGACAAAATACGCACTGAGGCGATCGCCCAGAACAAGTCCGTGATCGTTGTGTGCAGCAGCCAGCGAGCATGGAAACAGAGCAGGGCGTCCAGACGAGCCTTCTGTACCCGTCAAGGACGTATAGCGCTCCATGAAACCAGCTGTCACGCGCCCCAGCGCAGTGCTTCGGGGAAGATGCCTACTGGACAAATAGAAACACCCGACCACAGGCAAGCATCACCCCTGCGACTGACACACCGAGGCTGGACACGACGTGTATGAAAATGGAAGGGGAACTGTAGATCGCAACTTCTGCATGTGCATGGGATATGTCGACCATGGTCGAAAGCAGCGGAATCAGAGCCTGAACGCTGCCATCAACATCCTTCAACTGCTTACACTGTACAGGCAGGGAAGCGAGCGTTCGGTGTATCGCATGCCGGGGAGAGGATAGAGCGAAAAGGAAGCAGTCGCAGGAACCTGCCCAAGGACTGATATTCATGGCAATGGGAAGAGGCGCAACGTTTACTGCATCCACCCATGCTAGGTACATGCATCTCTGCTCCCTTATTCTGGAACGTTTATACTTGGAGTGGCGACGCGCGGCGTCGGCAACGGCTGCACGCAGTCTCTGGTGGGCCAGCGACGGGCGTGCCTCACAGACATCTGCCTTGACTGGGTAGCATCGCTAGTCTGGTGCATTGACGTCTACGAGGCACCATTGCTGCTCGAGTCCAGAACGTCGCGGAAACGGTTGTACCGGTGTGTGCCGAGCCCCTGGTAGATCCCGCTTTATCGCAGACGCTTTCCTCATGACCGGCAACATGTGTCAGCGCCTTCAGTTTGATGATGGTAGCTGCCAAGCAGCGACGCCGACGGCCTCCCAGATGGTGCATGACTCATGGAAACTGACCAGACGGTGCCGAACGCGACCACATCACCGGGTTCCCAGTAAAGAAACCCTTGTTTCTCTGCACAAGCATCTGCGTGCCATTCGCTCCGGAGCAGTACGTTCTCATGCATCAGAGGCTCGGCTGATCCACCGAGGACTCGGAAATCGAGTCTAGCGAGCGCCGGCACCGGGACGGCACGGACTCGGGGACCTTGCGCGACCCCGATCACTGCATCTTCGGGCGCCTTCTGGAGTGGCCCCGCAGACGGATGCGCGAAATATTGTACGCGGCAGTGCAGAGTGGCCCGAATGCTACCCGCGCTGCACCATTGCCTAACCATCGAATCCACCGACGCACTTGAGAAGATCACCTCTGTGGCATGCTTGCTCGCCGCTACGCTCTCCAGCGCTTCTGTGCACCGTACGAGCCGATCTAGACGGCAACACCGGGCCGTACGAAGCACAACGCTTGCGTGAATCCCGCGATCCAATGGTTACAGCGCAAAACGGATGGAATCCCACTGCATTCCCTCACGAGCGTACCTGTGTCACATACATGATCCAATGCGTCCTACCAACGAACTCAGAAGCAGCAGCATCAGCACACCATGGAACGTTCGCTTTCATTCGTATCTCGGAATGCGAGTTTTGGAGAGACAACCTGGATATAATGTGATGCGTGGTATACGTTTCACCGATCGCTGGTACCCGTCAGGCCAACCAGGGCTTGCGACGGCATGCGCTAAACGCGCGCTATCGATGCGGGCGCACGCATCGTATCCACTGGGCGATGCGTGCTGTGTCACGAACGCGCACGCAATGTCACATCCGATGCGATGCGTGCGCACGCCATTTCTGGTACGCGCACAGCGCTCTTTCGCGCTTCGACACACGAACTTGTATCGACGCGTTCGTGTCCGCTGTGTCTATGTCGCAAACATGGGAAAAACTAGTGCGACTGGTTAAACAAGTTGCTGGGTCACCGCTGGTTACTGCGCTGTTGATTTTAATGCAGTTTGCCCTCGGCACGGACAGGGGTCGTCACATCATCGCGCTCTGGTACCTGCGGCTGCTTTCCCTCCTGTTCCTGGTATGGCTGCATAGCTACATTCTCATTGCCTACGACGTCTTCTTGCCGCTAGTCATCTACAATCCCCTTTTACTATCTCTTCTTGGTCTGATATGGAAACTTGCCCGCCGAATAGAGTCGCTTCCGCTGGCACAGGCTGTGCGGCAGGTGCGTTCCGCGATCCGTGCTCACGGACTACGGCTCTGGGTGGAAGCTCTGGTCTCTTGGGCTGAAACCGTTGGCGGCCTTGAGCTCGTCGTAACCGGAGACGACATGCGATCTGATGAGTCTTGTATTGTGCTGGCGAATCATAGGTCCTGGGTCGATTCGCTCATTATCTTCTGCCTCGCCATGAACGCCGGGCGTGCGGGCGACTTTCGCTTCCTGGGCAAACGGTCGCTGGCGTATCTGCCGATTATTGGACTGGCGGCAAAGCTGACAGGCGGCGTCCTCTTCATTAGTCGGAACTACGCTCGCGACGAGGCCAAGATGCGGCGCACGTATCGACAACTGACGCAGCGGCGAGCTCCGTTCTGGTTCACAATCTTTCCCGAGGGGACGCGTCTCAACGCGGAAGAGAAGCTGAAACAAGCACAGGATTTCTACCATCGACTTTGCGCTGATCACGCTGGAAACGTCGATGCTAGTGCGAGTGCTAACAACGTCGACGCGCCGTCGCCAGACGGACCCGTGGTCGAGCCCCGCTTCTGCTTGGTGCCACGCGTCAAGGGCTTTCGTCAGGCGGTGCAAGGCTTACGCCCCGCGCTCGGTGCAGTGTACGATTGCACCATTTTCTACGAAAACCTTGCGCCAGGCGGCGCCGGTCGACCCGCACTGTGGCACCCGAAGCCAACCGCTGCGGATCTGTTTCTGAGAGCGACGCGTTTTGCGCAGAAGCGACGGTTTCGCGTCCACGTTCATGTCCGTAGAACGCCCATTGAAGAGATACCTGTCGACGATCAGTCGATTGCCCGTTGGCTTTTCAGGAATTTCGCCGAAAAAGAACGCCTTCTTGAGCAGGCCTTTGCGGAAAAGCGCTTTCTCAGTGACCGCGTCGCGCGATATCAACCGGCTACTTGGGGAAAGCTTTTCACAGTCATGATGAAAATCACTGTGATCCAGCTTGCGCTCTGGTGGTTATTGGTACAGGTCTATAGAATTTTCACTTGAGGGTTGCGACGCGCGCTTCAAGCGCCGACAGATGTAGTGCGTGCAGGCGGCCTGGTCGAGCACAGTCGTCAATGTGGACGCCTGCATGCCGTTGGTGTGAAAAATGCGGCTTTTGCGCATCGCGGCACTGGTCGGCAGCAGCGCGCTCACTGAACGAACGGGAAACGCACCCGTGGTACGTGCTGGAGCGCGTGGCTAGGTCGCGAACCGGAGCACATGCGCAGCTTTTCTGCGGACTGGTGACTTGATACTCGTAACCAGTGTCCGCAACGAGACCAGCTCGCGAGACACCGGCACATGTCAGACGACAGCTTTAGCCCGCAGCGGTGGCCGCGCGGGAGCGGACTGGTGCGCTCGCCACCAACGCAGGTCGCAAAGCGGGTGTCGCTGCGAATGCAGCAGCACCAACAGCAGCATGCGCATGCTGACGGGTACAAGGACGGACGTGAATGCGTCGCTTCGATTTCTCCCTCCGGCTCGATTAAGTTTAAGTCAGAATGGGAAGCTTTGGCGCGATGGGGCTGGTCCCGTTTTCATCCCCTTTCCACCAGCCATGACTCTGGTTGTCTGAGCGCTGGTGCCCAATAGCATCGCTTCCGACATCATAGATACAGCGCGCTCAACAATTCAAGTCATGACCACCGCGCATTGTCATTGCTTTTCATCTGCTCTACAACATACATCTTATGAACATCTAGCTGGATTGGCACGAGCGGACAATCTCCGCAAACATTCATTTCGCGTCGTCGTCGCAGTCGTCAGCAGCAGCAGCATCAGCAGCAGCAGCTCGCATGGCTGCATGCTGCGCTCGTGTATTTGAATAGCTTTACCAGCAACGCTGCTGGTAGCACGTCGTACCAGTCACGTTGCACTGGAGAAACCTTGTTTCCAAACATGGAATAAATCCCCCGGTAAGCACGAGCGCTAGAAAGTGACGTTTCACTGCTGCTACATCTCGACGACGGGTATTCACGTGGCTCGTCGGCGCGCTGCAGCGTTCCGTGCCACGCTGCTGCGCATGGACACCCATGGAGCGCCTCTATTCGGCCCGGTATACATGCGCTCGGGTCAGGTGTCGGGCAGTTGCACCGCTAGACGATCGCGATCTATCGTGAACGAGGTACGGAGCTCTGTTAACGCTCAGGTCCTCGGGTCGGGGGGTATGCTCCCCAACAAGCACTTGCATGCACACGCGAGCGAGTCCATGCCTTCATACTCAAGCGCTTGTAAATTCCATTACGAGGCATAGCTGAGCATTCTGTGCAAGTCTTGTGATTCACGCTCCGCATGACAAGGTGAAGTTTGCGAAGGGCTCTCCATGTGCCCGGCTCGTGCCCATTGTCGAAAACGATCCACATCGAGCTGCTCGAGAAGCCCCGCAAGCACGGTTGCCATGTGCCGCACCTCTTGAGACCAGTGCTCGGAGCTCGTTCGGTACACCGCGGGTACCAGTATCGGATAGACCTGGGCGCGATACTTTTCAACTAGTTCTCCGATTAACTCCTGGTTGCTAACCATGTAAATCGCACGTTCACTCACATCCATCTGCGAGCTGCATATACATTCCGCAAGCCGCGAAAATATCGCAGGCACCAGCACTGCAAACTGATTCACCAGAGAAACCAGGTTGATGTGCGCACTCTGTTGCTGTTGCTGTTGCTGTTGCTGGCGTGAACGCTCCGCAATCATCGCGTACCGTCCATGAAAGGCGACTCGACGACGACTTGACTGGATCGTCCCTGGATGCGCGGTGCGCTGTCGAGCGGTATCCGCTGAGCGGCTCAACGCAATGCCGCAAGCTGTGAGAATGTCGTTCATCTCCGTGAGGAAAAGAAGCTGCTTCCGCGCACTCGTCTGAGGCCAGTGGCGCAGCAGAGTCCGAATCGCTTCCACACCCAGTGAAACGTCCTTGGAAACGTAAAACACAATGCACATGGTGAGTTCCCGATGATAGCGCGCTAGTCCACGCGCTTTGTGCATCGGCAGAAGTACTCGACGAAAGTAGTACCGATGTTCTTCGCGCAGCGGGGTCGAAAACCCAGCAACGATCGCGGCGAGAATATCGAGTGCTTCACTGACGCCGTTGTAGCAGAGTCCTCCCCAGATCGCAGCCGGATGTGAGCCAGCGAGGAAAACCTCAGTGTTCTGGACGCGGAGACCACAATCGGCAGCGAGTGCTGCACTCTCGGGGAGGTTCGTGCAGCGTGCTCGCTGGGGATAACGCTCACTACGTGACCTCGTCTCTGCTGGGCAAGTTGTGCGCGCTAACGCACTCGACGTACGCATGTGGGCACAGTGTGGAAACCAGGAGATTTGCCGGAAAACATCATCTTCCGCAATAGGCCGCGCAAAGACCACCTCAGCCATCACCTTGCGAATGGACGGACGGAGTGCTGCATACCGAGCGTAGAGACGGTGCACGACCGTCCGGAGCGCATCTCGCTCCCGCGGATCCTCCGAAACAAAGAGGCTCAAAAGTGCATGCAAGAAGCGTTCGTTGAAATGTTTCGCGGCAAGTTCTTCGCCCAGTTGCACGCCTTCGGGTACTTGGCCGATGCGGCAGAGCGAAAATTCGATGAAAAGCGAGTACACGAGTTCCAAGTGCGGCCAGACCGGGTCGAGTAGGTTCCACGGATTGGTCAACTCATCATCGACGAATACAACGTGGTCGATATCGGCGACACATCCACGGGCAGCTGCTCCCTCGACGGGTGCAGGGCTGCCTGGTCGCGCGGCTGACGCTCTGCTGCTGCTGCTGCGCTCCGAGACGTAGTGCAGAGTCGGCGTTTCCCGTTCACTCAAGTACTCGGGTTCAGCGAGACGCTTTCGCAGCGGCAACGGTCTGAAGAGATTGGCTGCAAAAAACCGCACCCACTTGGACAAGAGAGGATAACAAAAGAAGGAGGAACTCGTTTGTGAGCGACAACTCCAGCTGGCGGCGCTCATACCGGCATCACGTACTGGGCGTTCCAAGGCGTTGCCGCTGCTCGTAATCTGAAAGATGAATGGCATTCGCGGACTTGGAGGAGCGGATGCCTGCTCCCGCTCCTGCTCCTTCCATATACCCGTGAACGCTGATTCTCCATGCTGTCGCGCTTGCTCTGCGGCGTCCAAGAGGTCCGCCAGTACAGCGCGTTTCAGGTCCATAAGGTCTGCTGGCGTTCTGATCAGAGGTTCCTGCTTGTAATCGCCTGGTTCATCTGTCGTGGTCGTTGCGGGCATTGCTGACAGCGTCGGTGACGACGATTCTTCGGGCAATACGCTACGATCGGGCGCCGTGGAGCCAGACAGAGCACCAATACTACTTGCAGCAGGTGCTGCTGACGCACCAGCCGAACAGACTACTCCCGTGCCGCTGTGCTGCGTCGTGCGCGGCACCTCAAGTCCAGCAACCGTCCCCTGCTGCGTATCGCCGGGTGCTACGCCTTGCTGTTCTGCGGCTGCCCGGCAAGCATTTTTGTTCGTGGCTAATCGCGTAAAGCGCTCAACCACGTTGCGGAGCGCAGCGCGACCCTCCAGCATCGTATCTTCGCAGGCGAGTTGTCCAAGGGCCGGCGCTGAGCGGCTCGCTCGCATACGCGGAGGCGATGTCCGTTCAATAGAGCCGGCTCGAGAGCTCTTGTGTGCCAGCAGACCAACGTACATTCCGCCCAAGTTGCCGTGCTCGCCGCCAATCGGTTGGCGCTTACTTTCCTCTTGAACGCTTTCCGAGGATTCCGGTTCAAGCTGATCTGAAATGGCTACCATTGTACGGAGAGATTGCAGAGCCTGGGCGTGTCGATAATGGAGCCACCGCTCAACACGCTGGTTATACTCGGTTTCCGCAATCCATTCCGGTAATGACGGCACAACGGTGCAGAACTCAAGTTTGAGCGCTATTGCCCGCGCTCGTGCCTCATCGTCAACAATCGTGCGAATCGGAGGTAAGTTCAGAATCTCCGAGAGCGTTAACGCAGCCGCCTCACCCGAGGTATCCCCATTCCCACGGGACGATGTGCCTTCGAAGGCACCGAGATCCCGCATCATCTGCACAAAAAGCTCATGTCGTGGATGCAGCTGCTGCACAGGACGGCGCAGCGCTCCAGTGTTGTCGTTCCACAATGGACGCTCCGTCTGAGCAACTATTCTCTGTTCACTTGTGATTCGTGTACTCCCGCATGCTTCGATGGACGGAGAGGCCGGCTGCGCACGCTGTGTCTCCGTCACACGCGTGCGCCTCTGTTCCCTCTGGGGTGGCGCGTATGGCTGCACCAGCGCATCCAGTGCACGTTGGAGACTTTGCGAGCGCAGTGCCGCACCGTTGCGATCTGCGCCCGTTGTTTTCCGTAGCTCGGGCTCATCCTGCAGAAAGCTGTCCGGTGATGGTTCCAGTTCCAGCGAAACCCGCTCCGTTTGTTCCGGAAAGTGAGGCTCCGGGGTTTCATGTGGCGGTGGCAGCGGCGACGCGTTGCTCGCGCCGCGTTCGCCAGCCACGGAACCCGAGGCGACCTTACTGGAACCGCCACACGCGATAGGGCGCTCCAGCTGCGGCTTCCGCGCAGAAACCCCGATCGTCGTCGACTCATACTCTGGAGTGACCCATGAAGCCTGGTGGTGCTCGCCAAACCCCATAGAACCGGCACTCCACGCCCGACTCAACGGTCGAATAGGCCGCGCAGCAGTGCGAGAACGTTGAACGCCTTCCTGCTCTGCAAGCTCGTTCATTGACGTGAGCACTTTGTTGAATTCAACACAAAGCGCCCATATGCACAACCCAAAAGTTATACAAGCGTTTTCCCTTCACAGACTGTAGAGCCCGCAACTGTTAAACGGCAAACGACTTGCCCGTGTGTGTGTGTGTTTGTATAGACCCAAACAACGAGGATAGACCCCAGATACACCCACGCGCAGCCTCGATACCACCGACGACGGCGACGACGACGATGGTGGCTTTTGGGGCTTTTCTACGATGGCGTGCCGGTATGAGGTTGTCGACGCCGCCCGCGCGCGCGGCGCAATCTCGATCAGCGGCTACATCCAGAGGCCTCCGCGATGCGCGTGATCGAGGCGCTCTACGCTCGACTGCTGGACACGTAGGTGCGTGCGCGTGCAGCGCGATCTCGCGATGATTCGATGCCTGGTACCGCGCGTGCGTGCAGCGCGCGCAAGGCTGCCTCTGCTGCTGCTGCTGCTGCTGCTGCTGCTGCTGCGTGTCGATAGGCTGCATGCATGCCACACAAAAGTGGCTCTCTGTACGTATCTCTGTGTTTCACTTGGGTGGAGCAATGGTCTGCTCTTGCCAAGCGATTACCGTCGGACACGTTTAGATGGGCAACATCGACATAGGCCGTGCAGGCAGAGGAGATAACGGATTCGAACCTTGTTCTAGAATGCTTGGTTGTTTCTTTGGAGTGACTTGTTTGACGCTTCGGTGCTGGAATATGGTACCTCAGAGGACTCTGTGTGACTCGTGATGCATGCAACCACGGGTTTGTCAAGTAACCGACGTGGTTCTTTGATTCGCACGTCAATGCGTTCACGCATCTCGTTTCGATGCGTGGAACGTGCATCAATCGGGCAATTTTCAAGTTTTCGACCGTTCTCTTTCGAGGCAACTCATGGGTACCGTTAACCGCGTCGCTGAATCGACGAGCGAGGATACTCGACGTCGTTTGTTGACGAGTTGTTCCCGAGCGCACGTCGAACGGTCACTGAGCGTGCACCGTCAAGTAAAGAATTTCATTCCAAAGACAAATACTCCGCATTTTTTGGTTATCGACTGGACAACTTTCCACATCTGCGTGATATTTCTCTCGGAATATGCTACCAGAGGTTCCCTATGCTTCTGTTTGCATGGAAAAGGGTCCTGGATTCGGACCTTGATGTTTGCAGCGATCGCTAAACGTACAGAGTACGCCTCCGCTTTCATGAATGGCGCGTAGACAGATCGAAATTTCTCGACTTGTTCTCCGGTTTGGGTAGTCCTTCTCCCGGCACGATTCTCATTATGGACAACCGCGCATTCCACAAATCCTTGATCGAATGAAACAGTGTGCGCTTGTGTGTGCATCCGACAGCGTACTCGTCGACGGCATCGCCCGGAACAGGTACGTGATCGCGGGGGCCGGTGTCTGGCGCTGAAACGCGCGAGGATATCTAGGGAAGCGTTCCGTACTCGTCAATGACCTGTGTGGAGCGAGCAAGCGAGCGTTTGGGCGCCATCGTGCGGCGCTCGGAAGAGCAGGCGCTGGTGGCGCTGGTTGCGTGAACGAATGGGGACGCATAATCACTGGCGCGTGTCGCCGCTACACAGGACGCACCGAGGTTGTCTGAGAAACGCATTCAGTTTCTACGCGATGCCTGGATCGGGACTAGCGCCTGTGCGTCATATGTCTCCACAATAGCCGGAAGCGGCGCTCTCGGGATTCTAAGGTTGCCACGAGGACCCATCAACTGCTTGCATCGGAGCCACTGACACTGGAGAGACCGGCGCATTTAAAACTGGAGGCAATAGATAGGAAACGCAAGCAGTCGCAGACAAGTCCCGCAGAGGTTAGCCTTGATGACATTTGGAAGAGACCAGGGGTTTGCGATGTGCGTCCAGATCAGCCTAGTGAACCCGTTCCATTTGAAACTGACACGGGTGTTTGCCTTTGACGCTCAAACGCATCGCGTGCTTTACCTTTCATGATGGCGGTGCTGCTTTGTGCAAGCGGTAGCCTAGTGAACCCGTTCCATTTGAAACTGACACGGGTGTTTGCCTTTGACGCTCAAACGCATCGCGTGCTTTACCTTTCATGATGGCTGTGCTGCTTTGTGCAAGCGTCAGCCTAGTGAACCCGTTCCATTTGAAACTGACACGGGTGTTTGCCTTTGACGCTCAAACGCATCGCGTGCTTTACCTTTCATGATGGCTGTGCTGCTTTGTGCAAGCGGTAGCCTAGTGAACCCGTTCCATTTGAAACTGACACGGGTGTTTGCCTTTGACGCTCAAACGCATCGCGTGCTTTACCTTTCATGATGGCGGTGCTGCTTTGTGCAAGCGGTAGCTGTTCGATACTCGATGTGTGCGCATGCCTCGTCGGACTCGGCTGCTGCGGCTCGTTGTCGTTGGGATCGCGGTGCAGATTTGCGTAGACGATGCAGATGCGGTGCCTTGTATCTTTTTACCATGCCTCGAGTAGCTCTAAAGCATGCTGTCTATTTGGACATCCTACTATATCGATGATTTGGACAGTGTGCGTTTCACGATCTTCGGGTGTTCAGCCAGCAAGCACTGAACTCGGTTGCGTTTCGCTCACGCGGGACGCCTGCGGACAAAAAACCCGTGGTTGCGTTCTTGGCAACTGCGGCATGTGCTTCGCTGTTGCTTGCACGGCGCTCGGGGCTCAGATCCATCGCTGGAAGCGCATTCCGACCTAGGCAAATGCTAGCGCGCTAGGGGCTTTCAAACTGCTCTCCAGATCTCTAGTCTTTGAGTGCGCATGATACTCGCGTGCAAAAGACAGAGCGTGCATGCGCGCTCTCCGGGCATCGCTCGGATGCAATTCGCTCCAAAAGCAAGCGCAAGCGCGCTGTTCTCCTCCGTCCAATAGCGAATTCAACAACAATCGTCTGCGCTGCTCGATAAAATGAAGCATCTGGTATGAACAGCCTCGACGACTGCCTTTCCGCAGAGACAAAATAGCTCCCAGCGAGCATCGCTAAATTGAACGCGCTCAAGCCGTACCACTCAGTGACGACATCGCTGCATACGACGCTGCCAGCGATCGCGTGGTTCTCCCTCTTTTCCTGCGACAAGTGTTCGCACAAATCCCCGAAACAAGATGCGGCTCAGCAGGGAACGTCTCCGAGATGATGCATCCGCGAACCACACGATGACCCCGATGCCGCCGAATCCAGCCGAAACGCTGTGAACAAACCAGCGTTCACGACTCTTGACGGCTCCAGACGCTGGACACCGTCCGTGCAGCGCACTGCGCTCTGGGACCGCATCGACTTCTACACGCCGCTGTGCACCGTGTGGTCACTTAGAACCGGTGATGGCGGTCCTGTCTTTCGCGTCGCAGGTGCGTGCTGTTCACGCGCAATAGTCGTTGTTGTTGTTGTTGTCGTCGTCGTCTTCGTTGCTAGCACTCCGGCTGATTCCAGCCACTGCCAAAGACAAATACCGCTGTGCACCAAATGCATGACAAATAGCATCCAACTAAAAGCAATTACCGTATTGATGCTGACCTGATTCGGAGAGGAGCTTCCAAGGCTTGCACTAATCACAACACTGCCGATGAACCACCAGACCATCAGAAACAACTGCACGATCATCTCGTACACGGGCGGCAGAATCCTCGCCAGTGCGTTGGTTGCGAAATACACAACAGACAGGATCAGGACGAGGACCCAGCCGATGACTCCCAGGGCGATGGCGTAGCGGCAAAGCGCCGTCGAGTTCGTGCTCGACAGCGCGCACTGACTCCCATTGTACAGGGAATTCGCTGTCACACCGAAAACCACGATTGCCCAGGTAAACTCACACAAATAGAGCAGGGTCTTGGACAGGCTGCACCAGGTCTGAAACGCGAGTTCACCCACTGAGCGCACACGACAGAGGCACACCGGCTCTTGCTCTGGTGGAAAGGGTCCAACACTCGCCGCACCGAACGTCAAAGCGGGTTCAGCGGCACCGGCGCCGACCTTCGTGGGACCCGTCTGGGGCCCGCCACCACCAACGTTGCCCACCGAGTCCGTGTCGTCGAGTGTGTCGTTGCCAAGCTCCACCGGCGCTGGTGCAGCTTTCCAGCCTTGAACGGAAGTGCTCGGAATGTACGCGTCGCCAGCGGGTCGAGCGTTGCGTTCGCTGGCAACAGGTCGCGTCTTGGGGTCTGGGGTCCAGCGCGACCCCTCAGCACGCTGTGTCTCCGGTCGCTGTGCCCTCTGTGACCAGCCCTGCTCGAAATCCATGAAAAATCAATCCACTACGAAACGTGCCGCCTCGAAGGCAATGTTCGTCAAAGCGCACCGGTGAAGAAGGCGGCAACGTAACACGTCACGTAAAACAGAAAATACACGCATTGCAGGACACGCATCAACGGCTGGCTGGCGCGCAGATCGCGTGCGCGACGTGTCCGCGCGGTGGCGATAGGCGCGCTGCAGGCAGCATCGCGTGCACGGATTCTGGAATAATGTCGAGTGGTGAACGCCAAGGCATATGCACCCGCATAAACATAAACACAGAAGCGTGTGTGCTGCTTTCCTGATACCAGACGGCATACGCGTATCCCGGAACGCCTCGCTAAATGCACGGATACGAGTTGATGATCGAGACGGAAAACCTCTGGGTCATTCGGGGAGGATTCGGCAGTTTGCGCGCGTCCCGATGCAGCGATGACGGGCTGTGGCATGCGCGCGTGCTTTCGGGTGTTGCCGCTCAAGGTCGCTACGCCCTGGGATGACGCGAGGACAAACACGGGCGTCTCGTTCGGTGGAGGTATCGCGAACGCGGTAACGATACATCGACGCGTGACGGATCAAGCGCCCTGATCAAACTGGCAGTCACGAGGTCGCTGGATCGATCCAGGCCCTATCTCCAACAGGAGCACGATGCTGAGGCCATTCGAACGTCGAAACCGCTACGTGATGGTTATATTTACCAGTTTCAGCGCGCGCCCCAGATGCCGATGCATGCTTGTCGCCCTGGGGGCATCGACGGGAATCTGACTGCGTCGATTCCAGCACGCGTTGGGCGTTCTTATCGAAAGCGCAAGCGCACGGCCTTGACACGGTACGGCACGTCTTGCGACAGAGGCTAGCACCAGTAAACGATGCCGCTTGTCGGTCGTTTTCTTTTCGAAAGCGCTGAACGAACTGGCGAGAGCACACGTCTTGTCTCGCTACAATACGAATCATCGGCGAGCACCGGCTTGATCATCTCGACGCTTGCGAATCTGGTCTGCAAGAGCCGTGCAGACGCTTACGAACGCGCTGAATGAAGCGTGCAAAGCCGTGCATCCTGCATGCGTACGACGGAATTCGAGGTGTCGGGATGCACGCCGGTCGCCGATCTACGAGTAGCGCTTTGCACTAAGTTTGCACCCACAGACGAGTATACCATGTAGCCCCCGGATACATTCCGTCCGAATGAGACGAATAGCCGATCGTGTTGCAATCAGTATTCGCGTTCCCGCACGAAATCGATCGCGAGTATCGATGAACGCGCGAGCAGCTCTCCCACGCCAGCGTGCGTACCCCTGCATGCATCCGTTTCCCTTCAGCGACGTTCGTATCAACGGGACGAAAACTTTGCATTCCATGACTTGTCAATCGTACCTTTATGGATTTCCAAGGACCTAGTCGCGTAGGTAGCGTCGAATACGGCCCGGTTGACGCGCATACCACACACACAGGAAACGGACTCGAGAAACGAGGCGCATCCAGCGATGACACGCGAGCCGACGCCCTCCGTATGGTGCACGGCAACGCCGTTCTGTCTCCGTGCAGCGACCGCATCGGCGCTGTAGGCGCTATTGCTGTCGCTTTCGGCAGGCAGTAGGCACATACGATAGGACGTACGAAACGACCAGAATATCCGAGATCCAGCGAGTACCTATAGGATGACTGAATTGTACAATAAATGCCCGTTTCTTCTCGTAGCCCCATGCAGCGACCGCACCACGTCTCGGCACATCCGCTGGTTGCAGCCGAGCGCGCACATCCATGCCATGCGTTGACTACCTATGCGCAACACAAACCAATGCAAATACCATGCTTCAGAAGGTACTCCAGCGGGCACTGCTGTGATGATCACGAGCCCAGCTGCATCACTGATGGACCAGGGAGCACAGGCGCGCAGCCGCACCCGACGATGATATGCCGCGCCCAGCGGCGCTCGGCGTCGATGGCCGAGAGCAACGCCCAGCGCGCCGATTCGGGTATCATTATTTCTCCTGAAACGTAAACGGCGTATGCAACGGCCGCTTAACTGATGCGGTGGCCCTTCCGAGACAGGAAACATGGTGCAGCAGCGTCATCACCCCAGTCGAGTGTACCGCTGGGGCCAGAGGCCAAAGCACAGCTGCCAGCACCGGCTGTTGCGTCGCCGAGTCGCAGCGACTCGGAACGTCGAGCATCGCGCCCCAGTTCGGTGGCAGCGCTACAGGCACTCGATCGACTGACCGTCATCGAACACAGGACAGGCGCTGAGCGTTCGAGTCCCTCGGCGTTGCAGACAGCGCAGACTGGCCGAATATCTGGCCAAATGGCGAGTAGCGAGCCGATGTCGTCTGGCTTTCCCAGAGCAGCCGAGCGCAGAGCCGGCGACGTGCACCGGTCCACGTCGGCGCGCAGCGCCCACGGGAACAGTGCTGGTACACTGGGCAGCGTCAGCTATCCCAGCAGCGATACGATGACGCGACCTGAGCCGCTGTCTCGATACTCGCCCGGCACAAGCGAAACCGACGACGAGAGCACTTCGAGCGACTCTACAGTGCCGGACGCTGTCGATCAGCAGCGGACTGCGCACCAGGCTTTGGCGCTGGGGACAGCGTGGCCGAGGCCCTGCGACCCGGGAGCCGCCGAGGAGCCCATACCCGAGCCTGCCCTCTCGGCAGCAGCGAGTCACGAGCAGTCGCCCCCGATGCCCATTGCGGGAACATCGAGCGCGTTTGCTGCAGTGTGGAGCCAGCGCCGCGGCCCGCGCCCCGACGCCCCAAGCGACGCGTGGCGCTGGCGCTCTGCCGCCTGGGCGACGGACACAGGCACCCCGGTAGGCTCGCCACCGCCGTCATCCGCTGGCGCCACTGGTGCTGGTACTCCTTCGCTACCAAGCGTCGCTTCGCTGGCAGATGCTGCAAGCGAGCGTCAGCCCGGTGCCGCACCGAACGGCACAGCGTCCTCGGGTGGCAGCGGTATGGGCGCATTCGGCACCAGCTTCCATGCTCCTGCCTCATTGTACGGAGTTGCGGGTGCACGCGCCGCGGCACCACCGAGCTTCCGCGAGAGACGCTCAAGGTCGCGCTCTCGTCGATCCCAGTCGTCCTCGGACGCGGGTCACAGTCGATCGCCCCGCGGACGTTCCCAGGTACGCAGTCAGGACGATTTCCTGTATCAGCTGCAGGCATGCAGCCAACCGTTATACAGTAGTCGCAGCTGGGACGCTCGCCATGCAGCTCAGGTGCGACAACGAGTCGAGGCACTCAACGACCTGGTCGACTGGGCCGAGACCCAGCCAGACGCGTTTGCCCCCGACGCCGCAGTGTACAGCGCGCTACTGATTCTCGTCCATGAGCACTTGGCAGCCAGGGAGCCACCGCCCATGTCCGAAGACGAGCGTCTTGCGCTCGCCGACGACGAGGTCTTCGTTCCATGGAGCTTGCCTGGCGGGCAACCGGTGCCTACCAGCGTATCGAGCCGGAGCCCGGCTCCAGCGGCAGGCGACACTGACCCAACGGCAGGCGATACCTGGTGGCCCCAGGTCGAGTGTGCGTATGCGCTGGTGCTCGAGTTCCTGGACCCCGAACGCCACGATACCGACGTACGTCAGCAACGACTGGCTGGTCTGGTGGCCGTCTCGCCGACCACACGCGTGGATCTCTGGGAACGACTCATTCCGCACATCCTGCGACTGTTCCAGGCACCCGCTTACGAACGCGAATACGTCAAGATCTGTTTGTACCGTATCTATGCGCGTTTTCGGGACCTGCGAACGCTGATCCGCAGTCGCATCAGTTGCGATCTTTGCTTGCCCTATCGCTACGATGGCGTTGCGTATGCACAGCTGGTGCGTGGACTTGCCGATCTGCTGAGTATTCTGGTGCTCATTATCCAGGGGTTGGCTGTACCGCTCAAGCGAGAGCATGCGGAGTTTTATTGTCAGGCGTTGCTTCCGCTTCACGCACCAGATGGATACGTGGTGTACGCGACGGAGCTCATAGAGTGTGCGCTTCAGTTTGCTGCCAAGGACAGCACGCTGGCAACCGCTACGGTGATGTACCTGCTTCGACACTGGCCAGTGAGTCATACGCGCAAAGAGATGCTCTTTCTCGATGAAATGGCGTCGTTGTTGGAGCAGCAATGGCGGGCAGCACCAGCGCGTGGACTAGAGCAGCAGCAGCAGCAGCAGCAGCAGCAGCAGGAGGCACCCGATTCCCGCGATGCATCGCTGGTGCCTCTGGTGTTTCGCCGACTGGCGCGTTGTATGACTTCTGCGCACCGGGACGTCGCCGAGGAGGCGCTTTTGCTGCTCCTGGAGAATGACTCGGGGCGCGAGTATGGCTCAGCGGGCGACCCCTGGGACGCAGTTGGCCATGCGACCCCCAATCGCATTCTTCATGACAATGACGACGATGATGATCAGCAGCAGCAGCAGCAGCAGCAGCAGCAGCAGCAGCATGGACGCGCTTTGCTGCACCATACCGCTGACGAGTCCAGACCCGCTGGACACCATGGAGTCCACCAGCAGACCTATGGACGCAAGCAGCATCCCGCGTTGGAAACACCGCGTTCATGGTTTCGCCAAATGCTGTTGCTGTATCGAAGTGATACGTTTCCGGTACTCGCCGAGGCTATTTACGTGAACGCGCGTCACTGGGACTCGCGCATCCAACAGCTGACACGACAGTTGCAGACCCTGCTCATGAACCTGGATGCCGATACCTACGAAACGTGCCTGCGTCAGCGTCGATCCAGAATGAGTCGACGCGGTGAACGAAGCTCGAGCGTTCGTCGGACACATGCCGCCATCGCTCTCAGCGGATGACCTTCACGAAAGCCGGACGCGCTCCATGAGCATACTGTTCGAGGGATGTTCATTCGAAAAGATGCCGCGTAGACGGGTCAAAGCCGTCATCTATGCAGGTCGCTCATGTTCGGATGCCGTCTCTGGAGACGTTCGCTGCTTCGATACCACCGACCGACCACATGCAGGACTGGTGTCGATAGCCTGCTCTGGTGCAGGCGGGTGAGCGTTCGTCCACAGTGCCAAGGCCGTCGTGCGTCGCACCGGAAGCGTCTCTGCGCCGCTGTCTCTCACGGCAGCGAGAGGATCAGTGCGTGATGCCTTGTTCGCTGAAACAGCAGCTCCGCAACGCATGCCTTGCGATACGCTGGCCTCGGTGGTGAGCTCCTCAGCGTGGCAGTGGTGCGAGCGACAGGCGCTGCTGCGATGCTGGCGAGCAAAGAGACCCGCTGGCATCGTCCGAGGACGTTCCACAAGTGCAGGCGGCGGCGGCGGCGGCGGCGGCGGCAAGTCGCTCGCAGGATAGCCACTGCTACTGCTGCCGCTGCTGCTGCCGCTGCTGCTGCTGCTGCTGCTACAAGCGTCGGCACGCTGCGTACTAGAAAGCTCCAGCCGCGACCCTGATGCTCGCAGGGACACACCTGCTCGTCCAGACCGCAGCCGTTGATGTTGTTGTTGTTGTAGTTGCTGTTGCTGTCGCTGATCCGCTTCTAGTACCAGTCGAATGCGCTTGCCAATCGCCGCAGCCCGATGTTCCAGAACACGGGCGTATGCCTCGAGAATCGCTGTGCCCACATCCGTATTGTAACGAATGGCACACTGATCTCTGGTTGTATGGCCTACCCCCGTGAATATCTCCCGTAAAGCGTGTGCACCTCGCTCACACCGACGACGTGCAGCATAGCAACGCTCGAGCTTCTCCCGGCGCCATGGAATCCCAAAGCGACTTGCTTGGTTCAGTCTGTCAATCTTCAGCCGATACACAAACTCGGCTCTTTCCAGACGCTCCACCAGTTGGGTTAGTTTTGCGTTTTGTGCATCCGCGTCGACGCCCAGCGGCAGCACAGCATCCGTTGACAAGCGGAGCACGGCAGTTCGAGCATAGGCAACGGCACTGAAGGCGGCGTTCTTGGTCACTGCTTCGTAGAGGTCTGGGCCAAGCACCTCGCGGACGCGAATAAGCGGACGTCGCCGTGGGGTCAGCGACCAAGCGCTGGTCAGCTCGCTGAGATCATACCCGAAACAGCTACAGGAATACTCGCGGGTTGGACAAGGTATCGAACGCAAGACCTGTTCGTTAATGCTGCGAGCAACGCGCTGGATATCTTGAGCCTCGGCGAACGAGCGCTGCAACAACGCTCGGATGCCTGGTGATAGGCCCTCGGTGGGAACTCGTGGGCGTTCAATCCACCAGTCCGGTCCTCGAGTAGCCGTTGATTCGTAATGAAGCACACCGCTGAGCTCTCGAAAGGAACGCAGCATTTCTCGGATCGCATGATCCAAACTGCGTAGTCGTGGAAGGTGCTCTCCGATATCTGCGCGCAGACGACTCTCTAACACTTCAACACTGGTTCCGTCTGGAAGTGTTCGTCTGACTGGCGTACGAACGACGATCTGCTCACATGGCGATAGCAGAAAGTCGATTTCCATGCTCCAGCGTGTCGCCGCTTGTGCTGGCAGCGGTTCGAGGCGCTTGAACTCCCCGAATGTACCGGCATGGAGGTTCACGATAGCATGACTTAGCTGAAGCGCATTCGATGCGGCACCGAGGGAACTTGGCGAACTCGCCGTGTGCCGTGTCTGCATTGCAGCAGCAGTCGTTTTGGGTGGTGCTTCGTGTCTGGGGAAACGGGTGGCATCTTCGGCAGGCGCTGCACTCATGACGATCGTTGTCGAGCAGGTGCCCGCGAGCATCATCTTGCCGAGGCGCTCTTTCATGAGTGCTACACGCGTCTTCATCGCTTCGTATCGCGAACGGGAAATGGAGGACTGGTTTGAGCACCACTCCGACGAGCAAGTCGTTTCGAAAACGCTCGGATCCGTACGGATCGACGGGGCTGCTGCTGCTGCTGCTGCCACTGTCGAGGTATCTCGTACATCCAGCTGCTGATCAGTCGCACGGTCTCGTTGTTCCCGCTGCTGTTGCTCGGGGTGTGCGGGATGTGCATGCTCCCGCTGCTGCTGGCGAATTTCCTGGAAACGTCGAGCGAGCTCTTGCTGAATAACGAGACGGGCTTCGGCAGCAGCAGCTGCTGCTGCTGCTGCTGCTTGCGTATGAACGAGAATATCTTCGTCTCCGGCACTGGGGTCCGGGACGATTCCCGAGCAACCAGATGCAGCCACATCCAGGGTGCGCTCGGCTGGTGTATCCGGATTCCGTTCATCCGGCGCCGTGCGAAAGGATCTCATATCGCTATCCAATGAATTTGCAGCGACATGTGCATCGTCTGTTCGTGTGCGTGGTTTTTCTGGCGTCAGTGAACGCTCTCCAGAGGAGACAAACTCCAGGCGTTGGGGCCAGCGGATTTCCGAAGCCTCACTGGGGCTTGCTGATGAACGGTTGCCTCTCACAGCATCGTCGGATGCTGCGGATGCAGCTGGTGCTCGCGCCGCTGCATGCCCCCGCGTGCTTTGTCTGACGTCTTGCTCCGGTTTGGTTGCTTGGCGGTGGATTGCTTGCGCTGAAGAGGCGGACGGGCTTGGCACTGTGGGCGGCCGCTCGTCCACCAGCGTAGGTTTCACAGCTCGCGAGCGATATGAAGCGGTCATTTGCGTCCCGTGAGAAAGATTGCTCTCTGTCGCGTAACTTTCATGACGGGCATCACTGGGCGATCTTGCGATAAGGCGCTCCGGTTCCGTACGTTGGCGAGGCGTCTCGACCGTTGTCGTCGCTAGTATCTGCGGTGTACGAGACACGAAACTGCTGTGCGCACTAGCTGTTGCGGCTGGTACTGCTGCTGTCGCACTAGACGCATCGCTTTCGGATGGCGTGCTCGGTGATTGCATCCAAGCGAGTCCCCGAGCGAGCCTGCGCTGCGCTGGTGACGGTGTACGCGCTTCGTCACCCGGAGAAGAGATGTGGACGGGATCAGAGCCTGGAACAAGATTCCAGCGCTCATCGAATTTTCCCGCTGCTAGGTTTCGCTTTGGCGCTGCTTCCGACGGAACGGCACGCTCGGGGATTTTCTGCAGCGGAATGCGGGCGCTCGTATGATTCCGCTGAACGAGCAAGGTGGCATCCATGAGCCATGCTGCCGAGCGACTCTGCTCAAGCGCCTCCTGCATCGCTCGACACGCTTCTAGGCGCTGGCGAAGTGCAGATCCGACCTGCTCTCTGTCTCCGCTGTCGCTACCGGTACAACGGGGCTTTTCCGAGCGCAGCTTCTCTCCAGGCGAATATCCAATGTGTAGAAAGTTTTCATCAAGCGACGAGTCGGATGCGTCCTCGTTGGCCATGGCAGACGCGTACAGGTACTCTCGAATGGCTTCGCAGCGCGCAATGAGCGCTTCGATTTGCCGATAACAGAGCGTGCGCAACGTCTCACTGGGGAGCGGACTTGAGCCCCGCGCCCGCTCTGGGGTCTCTTTTTGAAAGTCATTACCGTGGACTCTTTCACCAACCGGATCATGACTAGTCAGCACCTGATCATCGGGGCACGCTTCCAAAACTTGTACGGCACGGAAGAGAGCGTCTGCCGAAGCGAAATACCGCTCGTAGGCAGCTTCGTAATCGTTCCGCACCTCCGCAGCAACCGCGTCCTCTGCAAGCAGCCGCGCTAATACAACAGATGACCGAGCCGGACTGTGCTCTCTCCACGCTCTGATCGGTCGTTCACAGAACGCTGTCGAGTAGCGCTTGGCAGCAAGCTCCATACCCCGGAACGCCAGAACCTGCGCAGTACGCCCCCGAGGAACCTGAGGGAGCGCGCCCGCCGCGTCGCTGCACCGCGCCTTCGTGACGCGCATTTCGAATCGCCGCAGGCACATCGAAAAAGCCGCGGCGGCGATCAACGCTGGACGTGACGCTGGGGGGTGCATCCGCCGCACCCAGCAGATACGCCGAGGCTGTGCGCTGCTTGGCGGGACACCGCGAGACCAGCGCGATGCCCGCGCAGAGGCGCTCCTGGAATTGGCAGGCTCCAGAGCAGTCCGTTCATCTTGAACAGCAGCCTGATCGATCCAGCAACTGGACGTGTGCGGCGTCTACTGCGGGCGCGCGCGCCCTGCCACACTGGATACGCCGCTGCGGGCGCCATGCGGAGGCAGGACGCGACGGAGATGGCCCGGATGGAGGCGCTCGGCACTCGGGCGAGGGCGCTGCAGAGAAGTCGCAGCCGGCAAGGTGCGCGCATCTCCATTGGAAGTGTCCTTCTTATCCAGATATATACAGAAAGATTCAGGTTTTAATTTGGTGTCCGGTGGCACGCACGCTCCAAATTTGGCGCCAAAAGGGTTTCGAATGCACGCACGCACGCACGCACGCAGACACGCATGGCCCCGGAGATGCACGCAGGCGCCGTTCATCTGGACGCGCGAGATACGTGCGCGCTGCATCTGCCGCCTCCCTGGGATCGCGTCCACTCACTGCGGTGGTACGCTTCGAAGCAGTGCTGGGGCGTGACACCACAAGACGCTATCGCAGCGCATAAGGAACTTGAGAAAACTTGGTGTATTGTATACGGCACTCGGGGTGTGAGGCGTACTCTCGGTGACGAAACTTCGGAGAGTCTCTGAGGGGAAACGCGTCGGAGGCGAGTGCTCTCCGCCGGGCGCACGCGGCGTCTGGCGCTATTCCTCCGTTTGGCGGTAGTACGCCTCACTTGACAGCGCTGAAACGCAGCGCGCGTGTGCTTTTGCCTATGAGTTGCCACGTGGACAGCTTACCGGACGCAGTTACCTCGGATGAGGACGACCGAACCCCAGAGCAGTGTACGAGCGAGACGGAAGACAGTCTGGAGCGTCACGTAGGTTCCTGGCGCGGAGCTTTAGCCGCTTTTAAGGGCAAGGCAGATTCTGGGCACCAACCATGTGCAAGTTCATGGAATGATTGGGGTAACGCGCTCAACTACGAACTGCTGACCACAAAACGCTGCATGATCAAACGCGGACGACGACCTGCGGCAACGTTCCCTGCACGCTCTGCGCTCAAGTCTAGCCCCGTCGCATGGATCGACGACGCCACAACGGCGACAACGACAACCACCCTGAATTCCGCTGGAGGCAGTCATCTGTTCGTGAATGCTGGAACGGTTCGTCGTTGTGCCCAGTGCGGTGCCACCGTGACACCACTATGGCGCTCTGGACCCGCCGGGCCCAAGTCGCTCTGTAACGCCTGTGGTGTACGCTACAAGAAGCGCCTCCACCACACCGGCAGCGACATCGACGCCAAGCTCGCAATGGATGCGTCCAGCCTGCCGTCGCTGCACCGGACGTCCGTAGATGTAGCAACAGGAGCAGGAGCGCCCCCTTGGACGGGCGCCGAGCGAACACCAGCGCTGCCGGTCGCGCTTCGATCCGGTTCCGGCTCTTCCGTCAATATCCAGCCACCTCGCTCGGCGGCAGCACAGGGCCGGCGTCAGCGGACACGACCTGTTCGCGGTCGAGCGCCGTTTGCGCCCTGTGTCGAGCGCATGACACCGCCTTGCAGCGCCCCAGGTGCCACGAACGCGCTCGGCATAGCCGCAGCGGCGAACGCCAACCCGATACCCCTTGAACGCACAGTGCCACGTGAGGCCAACGCCAAAACACCAGCGTCGTGGCACCTCTTGTTCGATCCAGACGACCGAGCGGTCTTTGGATACTACTGTGCGGCTCATGATGCTGCCCTGACAAGTCTACCGTACGCGCCGAGCGATACCGAATGGGCGCGGCGACACTACTTCGTTGAGCGACCCTCGCCATGAGATCGCCACTGGCTATCGAGTATCGCCATTATCTAACCACGACGCAGGCCACAATCGACTGCCGCGCTGACCTGGGACGCCCCCGCACAAGACACTCGACGGACAGTCGCTCCCGCGTACAACCGCGAGCCACTGGCGCTGTCACATGCGACAGCAAAAGCTTCCCGGCTGGCGCGTGTCGCCAAGGCGGCTCAAGCAGCCTCTCCAAGTCGCAGCTTGGTTACAATGTTCATCGCTTGTAACTCCTGGAACAAAAGTTTGCAGGCATACGGTAACAGGACTCGCTGCATCGCATCCCCTCGACGGCAAACCTGACACCAGTCTCTGGCGCCCAGATACCCGCACGACTCACACACAAAAGCCGTAAAGGCGTCCGAACTGTACATGAGACGCTCGAGCACTAACAAACTCGCCCCGTGACCCAACAGCGAGTCGCGTTCCATTTCACCGAGTCGGAGACCGCCGTCGCGACTGCGACCCTCCGTGGGCTGGCGCGTGAGCACCGCACGAGGCCCTCGTGCCCGCCCGAAGCACTTATCCACTGCCATATGTTTCAGGCGTTGATAGTAGATCGGTCCAAAAAAGACGTGCGCAGCGAGCGGCTCCCCGGTGATGCCGGAATACAGCAGGTCGCGGCCGGCGTAAGAGTAGCCCGAACGAAGGAGCACTTCGGCGCAAGCCTCGGTGCTATCGAGTCCGGTGCGTTCCACAAAAGCGGTTGCGTCGCGCAAACACCCGTCAAGAGCTGCCGCTTTGCCCGCGATCAACTCGAACACCTTGCCAACTGTCATCCGCGACGGCATACCGTGCGGATTGAACACAATGTCTGGGCGTATGCCGCTGTTGCCGTGCCATGGCAAGTCGGTTTCAGGGGGAATCAGTCCAACGACGCCCTTTTGACCGAAACGAGAAGCGTACTTGTCACCCTCAACGACTCGACGCGTTTGCCGCACCATGACTTTGATGAGGCGCAGGTCATTCTGATCCTGTGTGACGAGCACCTGATCAACGACACCGGCACCGCCCGGCGCTCGATAAACCGCCGGTGCCGGTCGTCGAAGCGAGCGTTGCCAACTAGAGGCGAGAGAGCCAGCGGCATCTCGTTGGGTTCCTGTAGTGCCAGCAGCAGCAGCAGCAGCAGCACCAGCAGCAGCACCAGCAGTGAGCGCTGTGGAATGACCTGCCTGCGACTCTGGTCCGGAACGCAGCAACGGCTGGTGCAGCGTCTCGGTCGGCATCACCTTGTTGACCAGGATTGCCCCCGGCGGCAGCGGCATACCCGGAGCAACGATACCGTCGCTATCGAGTGCTTGCTCTAGATAGCGTCGTCTGCGTTCGGCGGCGAGCTCGGGTTCCTGGCCGGACGTCGAACGCACCCCCGTCACAGATATGGAGGCAGTGGTGCCCGGGGCACCCTCGGTGGCAGTTGTGTAGGCCACGGTCGGTGTTGTCGTCGTCGTTGTCGTTGTCATTGCCGGTTCAATGGTGTCACGAGTGCCGTTTGGGTAGACGCGCAGGCTCACGGGGTACTTGCGCAGCACCGTGCAACGCCCCAGGCCGCGATCCACACTGGCCCTGTTCACGACCAGGGCATCCTCGATGTCGTATCCGCTGTACGACATGACTGCCACGACAGCGTTCTGTCCACCGGGTAGTCGATGATAGTGCGTAAACTCTACTGCTCGTGTCTGGACCAGGGGTCGCTGGGGATAGTTCAGCAGATAAAGCAGTGCATCCGTTCGTAGATGCTGATTATAGGCCATTGCACCGATAGCCTGTTTGCTCATGGCACACTGATAGGTGTTGCGAGGTGACTGGTTATGGTTTGCGAACGGAATCAGACCCGCACAAGCACCTAGAATGCTCTCTGGCGATATTTCCAAGTGCGTATAACGATTCGTTTTTTGCGTTAAACGCTGCTCTTGTTCCTGCTGTCGATCGTCCTGTTGTAACTGCGCAATATCGAGAGCGATCAGCGCGTCGTTCTCTTCATTCGGATCCAGATATTCTACAATACCTTGCTGGAGGAGGTCTTCCCAACGCAAGAGCCCGAGTTCCAGGTCCTCCAGGTGGCGACGCTGGAGTCGCAGCGTCCCCCGTTCACGATCTACGACGAGAAGCGGTCGACAAACGCGTCCAGCATCCGTGGCGACGTGCACAGCTCGCCATGCCCGCGTTGAGCTTTCCCATATGGAAAGAAAAGCACCCAGGGCCCCGCGCTGGCGATGCGCTCGTAACTGTTCAGTGAGCGCGCTGGGATGCAGGTGCATACCCAGCAGAAGACCATTCACAAACACCAAAGCCGGCCGTTCATCGGCATCGGGCGCCCCGGCAGGTCGGAGGCCGTCACCAGACGCGGAGCGCCAGCTTTCGCTACTTGCCAAGTCGTAATCGGCGAGGGCTCGGATATCCTGCGTACCCAGGTCGTACACCAGGCGACGCACCGCCGTATCCTCTTCCTCGGTGGTAACGTCGGCCAGCAACGCCAGATTCTTGACGAGGCCGCAGGATTCACCCTCGGGGGTATCACACGGGCAGACCATACCCCATTGGCTAGGTTGTAAAGCCCGTGGTCCGCTAATTTTGCGCGTCTTCTCGAACTGCGAGGTGATTCTGCTCATCATCCCGATGACAGCGACGTAGCTGAGTCGACTGAGCACCTGCGTGACGCCTTGCCGCTCCATACGGAACCGTTTCAGCGCCCAGTTTCCCGAGCTGAGGGCGTGTTCAAATCCGTGGCTAATGGTTTCGCTGCGTATACAGCGCGTCACGTCAAAGTCCTGCGTTCGACTGGGCTTCGCGAGCACCTGATCCGCGTGCCGGCGGATATCCGCATTCAGCTTCTTGAACAGGTCCTCGAAGAGCAACGCCAACAAGGGACCCGCAAGCTCTAGCCGTTTGTTCCCATAATAGTCCTTGTCATCGAGGCTCTCTGGATTCGCCTTGGCCGCCAGGACACCTCGAATCATCAGTGCGAGATATAGACACTTGTCGCTAAAATCGATGCCGTCACAGGGGATGTGCGGGAGCACGAGGGTCCGAAGTAGCGCACGAGCTTCCTCTTCTAGGCTCGGTTTCCGTCGTTGGCGTTGCTCGGTAGCTATCTCCGCACTTCGCCACGCATACAGGCGGCTCAACGAACGCAGGCGCTGCCCTATGTAGCGCAGGGCATCGCTTGCCGAGTGCACGCCGAGTCTTTCGGCGTGCTCTAGCGACGGCTCCAACAGCGATGCATCCCAACTGATGAGCGCAACCTGCTCTGCTGCACTCCGTATGCCCATGGCGCGGAAGATCACCACGATCGGAATATCCTCCGTCAAGGTGTTATGCCGCAGAAAGAGACGCTCACCCCGGTAAACAACCGCAGTGCGTGACTTGCGCTCCGCAGTGGAACTCGTCACCGTCGCACACAGGTCGCCGCGCGAATCGAGCTCAATCAACATGCGATTCTTACAGAGTTGCTCCTGGATGACGATGACACGTTCTGCGCCACGCACAATGAAGTAGCCGCCGGGGTCGAGCGGGCACTCACGGAAGCGCTCCGCAAGCTCGGTGTCGCTGCGAGCCTGCAGGAGGCAGCAACGCGAAGAGCGCAGCATGATCGGTAAGTAACCTATGAACAAGTTCGATACCGTTTCGCGCCGACCGCAGTGATAGTGCTCAATATCGACGAAGATTGGCGCAGCGTAGGTGAGGTCGCTGACGCGACACTGGTGCGGTGTCAGCGGTCGCTGCACGTCAACGTGCTCATAGACGCTGGGCGTACCGACCCGTATATCCAGGTACTTGAGAAACCATTGTGATGAAGCTTCACTGGTTACGTAGCCGTTCCATTTAACGATCTTTTTGAGCTCCGTGTCGACGAAGTAGTTAAATGAGGCAATGTGGTGACGAATGAGCGGCTGTGCTTGGAGATAGAGTGGAATGAGCTTCCACTTGTACTCCAGATCGCGAACAGGTGATGCTAGTTCTAGATCATTCGCCGTTCCAGGATCATTCATTCGTTTCCAGGTGTCTTGGCGGTGTTTTGTGTTTTTTTTGGCGGCTCCAGCACTTGGCTTCCGAGCTGGTACCCTGTGCGCGATGGCGCGATCGCTGCCGCGGAGCAGCAGCGCCTCGCACTGGCAGGTTTCCTAAATTCAGGTCCTTTTGGAACATGTATGGAAATAAACGTTAATAACGGACATGTCGATCTCGTGTCTGAAGCAGTGACTAAACGAACTTTTATGAATATTTAGGGATGTATTGCCCCATGCGGATGTGGCGCATGCGTCCCGCCCCTCTGTGCAGCGCGGCACGCCCCGGTGCGCTCCGGAAGCTGCGATGCGTTCATCTCGACGCACGAGCTACTGAGATGCTTCTGCGTAGCGCTCAGCGGCGCTCGAGAAAGAGCTCCCCCAAACGCAACTTGTCTGTGTGTGTTTCTTTTGCTCAGTGGGTGGGCAACGCGTTTCCGAGTGTCTCTTGGGCCTGTGCGCGTGCGTGCCTCGTTGTGGCTTTCGCTCAAGTTTGTCTTCTGGGGTACTACATCCGGCTTGCGTTACAGGGCGCTTGTCAAAAGCGAATAACACGGAGAACGTTGCCGGTGCTGGTCAAGAGCGCTGGTTGTGTTTCAGACCGCACCTGCTGGTACGCCACATAACGGGTGTACCTTTTTTTGCAAATCTTCTTTGGGGAATACCGTTTAGGGGGTCTGCGCGTGCTCGAGGCGGAACCTGCAGCGCGAGTGCCGAGCAACGACTCGTGGGCCGTGAAGCCGTCCGACCACCACCACCACCACCACCACCACCACCACCAGGATAGGTTCGAGCGTCACTGAACGCGAATGCGTCGACGTCAGAACTCCGTTGCCTCTACAGCAGTTGCAGGCCAGGTGTTGACTGCCGATGAGCATACCACCGAGGCAGCCGGTACCGGAGAGTTCGGCGCGCTGCTCGCCGTAACCTCCGAAACTGAGGCAGCGTCCTCCGCTGCCGCACGGCACGTGAAGCGGGGCGGCACTGCGCACGATACGGAGACCGAGCAAGAGCTCGAAACGCCTCGCTCATTTTCGTTCGGTTCGCATGGACGTTTCACGCCGCTGTGGCATCGTCCCAGCAAAGGCAAATATGAGCTGCAGCCATCGCTCATACAAGAGGTGACGACACATCTGGAGAACTCTCGTCTCCCGGAGAAAGATTTTTGGGACGATAATGAAGTGACGACAGCTGTTCTGTGGGGATTCACCAACCTCCTCTTTCTCATTATCGCGGTACTGGCGCTGCGTCCACTGCTGCTGAACTATATCCGCGGGAAGCCGCCCTTGGATCTCGAGTTCTTGATGTGGTCACTGGACGGCGCAGTGAGCACGTTGCTACTCTATGCCGCAATGGTCGTGGGCTCCTTTTCGGTGTTTGTCCTGCACTGGCTCGCCGCCAACGGTTGGATATCGGTTCCGCTTCGAGAGTTGCTCTATCGTTTCGCCTGTGGCATCCATCTTTTGGTGCCCTATAAGGTCTTCTTTCAGCGCTCGCTTTCACCGGTACCCGCCTTTTTCATTGGACTTCAGAGCCTTTCGCTGCTCCTGAAAAACCATTCCTACTATTTTGGTATTCGCGCTGTCCAACTAGAACGCCAGTCCCTGTGCCCCGAACTCGTCAGCCTGCGACGTTTCCTGTACTTTTTGGTTATCCCCACGCTGGTCTACCGCATTGAGGGTTACCCGCATTCACCCCGCATTCGGGTCGACTTTTTGGTGCGGCGCACGCTCCAGGCACTGGGCTGCATGTTCCTCATCTACGAGCTCGTCGTCTATTCCATGCTGCCGGTGTTTAAACAGGTCAACGAGCTATCGAACGTGGAGTTCATCGTGGAGCTCATGATACCGGCTGTGCTGCTCTGGACAATGCTTTTCACGGTGACCTTCGAGGTGATCCTGAACGTGTTTGCCGAAGTGACGTACTTCGGTGATCGGCGCTTTTACGAGGACTGGTGGAACAGCACCAATCTGAGCGAGTTTTCCCGCAAATGGAATCGACCAGTTCACGACTGGCTCTACCTGCACGTGTACCGCTGTTTGGTGAAGCAGCGCTATCCCAAGGCCATCGCGCAGATGTTCGTGTTCCTGTTCAGCGCCATTTTTCATGAAATGTTGCTGAGCATAACTTTTCTGCGAGTGCGGGTCTGGATGTTCACGCTCATGATGTTACAGATTCCGCTCATATACATGGCGAAGCTCATACCGGCGAAAACGTCGAACAAGCCGCTCATGCGGCGTGGAGCGAACCTCTTCTTCTGGTTCGGAATGTTCTTTGGACCCGCATTGCTTTTTTTGCTGTATTCCAAAGACTACTATCAGGGTCATTAACGGGAGTTCATGATGCGTTGGTTTGATCTGTAAAGCGGTGGCGGCTACTTGTTCATGTTTCTGGGCGTTTGCTTCTGTGTGTATGGGTGTGTGTGTGTAGAGCGTTCTACGCGATGATGTGCAAAGCCGCCGTCCGGTGCATCGGCTGGCATCTCGTTTGGTGATACGTTTCGTACGTATAGGTATACGTCGAGTCGCAGAGGCACGCCCGCTGCGATGATTCGTTGACGACGAGCGCACATTGGCCGAACTCGACTTACCGAGAATGCGTATCGGCTGCAGGTTTAGAGGCGGCGCAAGCTTTCTTTTGCAACGTCAGCCGCATGCGCTGTGGTTCACGGTAACCGGATACCGGCCGACAATCGATATTCGAGGTGAGTGGTTAGGACGCACGCTTGAGAGCGGAAGAGCTGAGTTGCCCGTCTGTTGCAGAAACGAATCGGGTGCTGCATATAGTCATACGTAACGTTGGTCACGATGCAGGCGTCAAAAAAGTTGCACAAGTCGATTGCAACGAACGACGAAATTCCCGAAGAGAGCTCTGCAGTGCGCTTTGGACGCTCATCATGCTTCTGATAGCCGGCATCTCGAATTGCATGTCGAGTGGCCTCGGCTGGCATGCAACGTACGCAGGCACCATCCGGGTAGCGAGCGCCGCATTCTACGCGTGCTTCATGCAATCCAAAAGGGATGAGCTGCACATATGCGATGTTGCATCGCCAGACCAGCGAGCGCGCACGTGTATTCACTGCATCCGCTTGTCGGCTTGCTTATAGCACACGACGCCGGCTGCAGCGGACCGCATTCGAACGCACAAGCCACTTGTTCATGCCCTGCAGTTTCATGAACATCATGCCATAAACGCATGATGATCTGGAATGACGCTAGCCCTGAATGACGGCTTCTGATAGAGTTCGTGCACACGAGCTTTTCAACCAGATCATGTCACCAAAAAATGCCACGGATTCAAACGCGTACCAGATGCGTTCTAGATGCACGTCTTCTAGCGTCGAGCGATAGGCATCGGTCTATGTCCCGAGGTCGTGAGTATTCGCCGCAGCGACGCTCCAGTTCGGGCGTCATACGAACGCATGCGCAGCGGCATGCTTGTCGTGAGATTCTGGTGCATCTACGCATACATCCACGTTGCGTCTCCGTGGCTGCATCGGCACTTTGAGCGCCGCCGCCGCCGCCGCCGCCGCTCCCACCAGTTCCATGCCAGATATAGGCACTGGCAAGAGGCACCACAACGCTGCGTGCGCAGGCGGCTGGCTTCGGTGTGCGATTCGCACCGGGCAACGTAAATGCCGCGCGTCCGTGCTCAGAGGTACCCGTGCGGATCGCTATGATAGCCACGAATTCTTCGTGCAAGGGCGATATCTCGCGGCATGATGGTCACTCGGCGAGCGTGGATTGCACAAAGATTGCTGTCTTCGAAGAGGTGTATGAGATAATCCTCTGCTGCGGTTTGCAATGCCTCGAGCGCACTTGCCTGCCAGCGGAACGCGGAGCTTCCAAACAAACGCTCACAAATCTCTCGTACAAGGCGCGCGAACGGTAAACGGCGGAGCAGCAACTCCGTGGAGCGTTGGAACTTGCGAATCTCCATGATAGCACGTGATCCGGGCCGGAAGCGGTGCTTGCGTTGTACACCAGACCGTGTCGTCCGTCGCGCGACAGTGAAACCGGCGGCTTGCAGCGGTGCTCGAGGTGGAAACGCGCTCGCCACAGATAGCCCTCGCTGAACTGTATTCGCATCAGCGTTGGTAGTGGCGGTGGTGGGTCCCGGTGGCAACGGCTCCGCTCTGCCGGCTGAGACGCGTTCGCTGCGTCCCGCGCCAGTAGGCCTGTTTGCCGCTTCTTCCGTGAGAAGCCTCGTCTCCGCTAGATTCGATAACGACGAGCCGGGCGGACCGGCCACGCGTCGACCGAGCAGTGAACTGGAGCGTGCGACGCTCCCCAGCAGCGACTTGAGGCGCGACTGTGCCTCGTCCGGTGAACTGCGTTCAGGTTCTGGCTCAATGTTTTCATCCTGCTCCGCCACAGTCGTTCTTTGTAGCTGTTCTCTAAGAGACTCATCGCGGTTCAACGCCTGAGTCTGACGGTATTGATGCGCACCCCCGACGGGGTTCCCAAACACGCGCACCATGGAGACCTGCTCACCGCAAGCGTGCTCGTGCGGCACTGCCTGCCCCCTGGTAGCTGGTAAGCGAACGCGTGCTGCGCGCACCATTACACGATCGGATTTGAATTGGCGCGCCGCTGGAGCGTTTGCGAACCCTGTGGCCGCTATATACCTAAAGGTTTATAAAAAGGAAGGATTGATGTCATGGACCTGCAGGGCGATTTTTTTCATGCACAAAACGTTTCCCTAGGCCAGCGTTCTCCGATTATGCGCATTTTTCTTCTCTTACTTTTTTATGTGTGTTTGTTTCAGTGCGCGGTGAGGTATCCATCAACCCCCTATTCCCAAGTTGCATTACCTATACTTCATCTCGGATATTCTGGTCGTTTCATACGTCCTATCGTGTGACGAGCCTGCCGAAAGCGACAGCAATCGCGCCTGCAGGGCGATGCGCCGCACCGATCCGCGAGTTTTGCGCAGGGCTTTCATCGCACCAGAGCTTCGCCCCCGGGAGCGTGTGCGCACATGCTGTTTGGCGCCTTTATAGCTGACGCGTTCGAATTGCGTTCATATTGAAGAAACAAAAATCAAAGGGAAAGGCTTGGACTTGCAAGTCGAGGATTCTGGAAGGCCTGCATCGCTGGCTGCTGGAAAAGAACGAGAGAATCCTCGTTTCGGCTACTATCGAGCGAGGAAAAGCAGGTGAAGAACATGGGAGATAGGCGAGAAACTGTGTTTCCCTGAGGGAGCGATGAAGAGTCTGTAGTTGTTCAGTTGGTTCGAATTGTAGGAATCCTTGCATTGGTGCGTTCAACCAGAGGCAATTGACGAATGGAATTCGGTAACCGGGACTTTAACAACGCTCTCCGTATCAGATGATGTGCGGTGCGGAAGACGATGCCCGAGAAGCTGTTGCGATCCAACTTTGTGGGGCTGCTTCCCAGAGTTGAAGTGTTCAATTAGAAACTGAAGCCGATAGCCGTCGGTCGGTAAAACAATGCTGGGACGCGTCTGCGCGTGGGCATATTCATGTACCCGACAAGTTCGTGAAATATTTTTTGTTTCACGAGGCACGTATAGTTGTCGTATCGTTCTCACGAACAAAGAGACACCCGACTGCCAGAGTGTCGCTTCCGTTCGGGAGAGCACCCATTATTCCGCACCATACATCCGAGTTTCACCGGTTCCGAACTCTGCTTTACTTTTGGGAACACGCTCCGTGCATTCTGTCGCGCGGGCGCCGGCAATGAATCCTATAGCGCTACCGCAGACATCGCACAGAAACGGAACGGCGACGCTATCTCCTTGTTGGGGTCGTCGAGCGCCTGCGCTGCTCGCCGCTCTGCACCGTCTCGAGACGCTGCTGCCCGCCCTGGGTCAGAACACGCCTGCGCTCCAGCGTTCTCTGGCCGCTACGCTTGCGCTTTCACGGGGGTATCGAGCTGCCCGGAGTCGTCCCGACCTGGTGTTTGAAACGACTAGGACCGTAAATCAAAAGTCAGCTGGAGAGCATGGTGTCCAGATTGACTGAATCGTGGTGCTTTCCGCGGTCTTCCTGCAGGAATGCATTCTATCCAGAACGAAAGGATTATCTCGCACAAATCGAATCTACGCTTGTCTCAGTTTAGAATAGAACGCTGAACTGCATGGTGTGTTCTTGGCTTTTGATTCTTTTGTACAAGTACATCTTCGACAGTACCAGTGCAGCAGTCCGGGTTTTTTTGGACTCAAACGCAGGTTCGGGTGTCTCGGTCTTCGTTTTGGAAAGGCTCCTCCGACGCTTGAACACTGGAATTCTTAGCGTCATCGGAATTGCCATGATTCATGACTCCCTTGAATACGGGCATACAACATAACAAATATGATCATTCAAAGCGTACGTACAAGCATCGACTCCTCTCCTCTCTTCATGTGCAGAATGTTCAAATCACGTATACTTCACGTTATCGACCTCTCTGTTTCAAGGCTGATCGTGGGCGAAGCGATTTGCGTGGCAGGAGTAAAACAGCAAGATCATCGATGTCGTCTCTTGACGCTTTGTTCACCAGCGCATCCCAAAGGTTCACTGGACCTGTCGCGTCAAATCGTTGATCTCGTTTGTAAAGGAGACACGTCCTCTCGGTGTGAACATCGATAAAACGGGATTCGAACCCAGTGCGGGGTGCGTCATGTGACATGTTCCCTGAGGCTCGCACTCCTCCGGTTTGCATGCGAAAATGTCTGAAACTCGGATATGAGTCATCGCAGCGATCGCTTCCAGTGCATCGTTCTTCACCAATTTGCACCAGGGTAGTGTACACGGATCATGAGCTCTCGATTTGTTCTCCGACGAGCCTTCGCCGTCCGGCACTTGTTTCATCATGGAAAACACCACGTTTCACAAATCCTCCACCAAGTGGGCTGCAGCCGCTTTTGGTGTGTGCAACGGGCATCGTACGCGCCGATGGAATCGCGCACAAGAATGCCGTCATCGCAGGGTGCCGCGGCTGGCGAGGAAACTGAGGACGGCATCCAAAGGGGCCTTTCGTACCCGCCAAGTACGAGTATCAGGCAATAAAGCAAGCGTTTGCGCGCCACAGGGCAGCACTCGGAGGAAGAGGCGCGTTAGACATCACTGAACACCCGATCACAACCGGGTACGTCATCGCTCCAAAAGAACGCACCAGGCCTGTATACATGGAAGGTGAATTCGGCAACCGAAGCCTAGATCGTAACTTTCACTAGTGCATGAAATGCCTGGGCAACAGCCGGACGCCGTGAACTCGGCACTTGCGTGCCACCGTCAACACCCTTCGAATCCTGACATCGAAGCTGGCTGGTCAGTATCGACTGTCGTATATACGGGCGGAGACAAGAGAGAGGTAAAGAATCAGTGACAGAAAATCCTGCAACACCTGCAATTGACAATCGCAGGAAGATACCCAAACTTTAGAATGTATACCCGAGTTACAGGGCCTGTTCCAGTTTTTCCCGACATGCCTGCGCATTACCGTGCGCCATGCGTCGTCGGCAGCTGGCACACGAAACGCCGCCTACAGCGTCGACATCTTTTCCGTTCGCGTTTGCACAGGCAATGTCCAGGCCCGATGCAGAAGCTCGAATCCTGCTCCTGTACACATGTCACGACCGTGATCTGCCTTGCTCGTGCACAGCCCATAGCGCCGGTTCCGCTTGCATGCGCGTGCAAGAGTCCTATTGAGCCCGTCAGCTAGCGCGCACTGCGACCTGGCTGCGCCTCATGGGCATCGCGTGCCGCAGCGACGCCAGTGGCGACATCCTGCGTGCCTCCGTTCAGCCGCGCTGCGTGCCGGAGCGACGCCAGGCGCTTGCGTGACACGCGCGCTGTCCGTCAACGACGCCTGCCGACTCCGGTGGCGAGATGCTGCGTGCGCGCGTCACGAACCCGATCACGAGAGGCGCAGTGCGCTTGCCGCCACCAGGAGATTCTTAGAAACGGTTCCATTTAGTACAATCATGTACAATAATGCATCTGAGGGTGGTGACGTGCAACGGGCACGCGAGTCCGGCAGCGCTCGTTAGGAGCGCTTCTGGCAGAGACTCCACGAGCTTTGAGTGTAACGTCATTCGTCGTTTTTTTTTGGTGCGCGTGTACCGCACGCACTGCTCTGGTGTGTTGTCTTGTGTCTATTCAGGCAGCGGACTGGCGAGCATAGAGCGTACACGACGCAAAGTTTGCTACCGCACAGACTAGGGTGCGCGGTAGCTCCGTGCCCTCTGAAGCGCTTTTTTGTTCCGGGAGCTTTCGCGGGGCGTACTCGCTTCCTGGACAAGAGTTTTGTATCTTTTGCACAGTTTTCTTGGGTGGAGCCGATCTGTTGACTCCGTGTATTCTGAATTGCGGGCGTGTAACTAGTGAGAATGGCACAGCGTGTGCAGCTAGAGCGAAACTCGGAGGGTATCGTACCTGCCTGGGATCGCACGGACACGGCTGCTTCTGCTGCCGAGGCGGTAGCGAGTGAAAACGCCGCAAGCTCCTATTCTCCACTCGAGTTTGGTCTGGACTTGCAGGGAGCATGGAGTTTGGTGGATAAAGATGAATCCGGGGGTTGGCCGAAAACCTCGGGTTCCGCACGGGACACGCAGCAGTATCCGAGCGCCCGCCGCTCTCTTGCAGGAGCCGCCCACTCCAGCAGCTTGGGGTCTTCATTCGATAGCGTTCTGGGTTCTAGTCACGTCGCAGAGCAAAAATGGCCAGTCACTCGAGCAGAGGCCGGCACCACTAGTTGGCCAAGGCGTGAGCCGCCAGGTGCGAATCTCCCACCGACCAACGGCACTGGAGCGGGACGTGCCTCTGCGCCTCCATCCCCGAACGTGAATGTTCCTGCTTCCGGGGCTCCGGTCATACGGAGCAGCGCATCGTCTCCGCTTCACCCGCGCTCACCCAAGTTCTCGTCGAATAGCTCGCTAGCGACAACAGCGAGCGTATCGAGTCCCGGCAGCTCACTCGCCATGTCTGATCGACGCGGTGCTCCGCGAAGTCATGCATCCAGTGGACCCAGAAACAATGCGTCGGGTGCTGCTGGAATGCTGTCGGCTGGCGCGAACACCGCCCAGCTCACGAGTCGACCGGGCGTCTACCCGTGTCGCGAGGGTGCACCCGATTGTTTGCATTATCTGAAGACTGGCCGCTGCCAGTTCGGGGCTCGCTGCAAGTTCAATCATCCGCCCCGAGACGCACGACTGATTGATTCGCTCAACCGTCGTGACTGCTTCGACTGGGTCATGACCGGCTCATGTCCTTATGGGAGCAGCTGTAAGTATAACCATCCCGCACTGGATCCCGCGGAGCGGCCTATGCGCCTGCATCACGTGAGCGGTTCGGTGGGGGCTGCAGCCCCGCGTGACGCTCGCCGCCGCTCCGAACACGAGCGAGCCGCGGATGCCGCATCCTCCTGGTTGTCCAGCAGCGTCCCAAAACATCGCTCGTGTGACGACGACACCATGTGCCGAGCAGAGAGCACAGTGAGCATTGGATCGGCACCAACGTGCTCGCCCACAGAGCTTTCCTGGTCGCTGCCGTCGCCACGCGAACAAACGCCGTCCGAGAAACATGTTGGCAGTTGGCCAGGTGCAGCGGAGCGAAGTTCGGATCCGCTGCTGTGGTCGCCGTCCCAGCGCGGGTTATCGCACGGCCGCAGTCAACCTGTACTGAAACCCTTCAATGCAGCACCTGGAACACCGGTTCATCGATCGTTACCGCCACCGCCGCTCCTGCCGCCTGCACGTTCGCCACACTCGTTCTCGACACCGGATACCAGCGGGGCGGGTTGCTTGTCGATCGCAGGTAATGCATCACTGGGCAAAACGATTCCAGGGGGCACCACGGGGCACTCGCCGGCCTCGGCAACTCGAGAGTCCATCGCGAGAAGTTTTCATGCACCGCTGGTTTCGAGCGTGTTGGATGTGCGCGACCACGTGCCCGGTACACCGGGCACGAACGTGAACGCAGTGCCTTTTGCTGCAAGCCCGGTGCCGCCAAATACCTGGACAACACAGGGTTACTGGTCGGGTCCGCAGCGCCCGAGCACAGAGCCGGCTTCATCATGGAACGAAGACGGTGTCAGCGCTGGCCGGCTGTCGTTCAGTGGACTCGAAGCGGGTCCTGGACGTGACGCCGGGGCGGACCCCGTCTATACCACGGGCCGGGAAATGCACGAGTGGCAAGCTTCTGTATGGTCATCGAACGATTCCAAGGCGCTATCGTCGAGCGCTCCGTACTCAAGTTGGCCTGTTGGGCGAACACCGAACGAACCTGAGCTAACTGCAGAATGGCTGGATGATTTCTCACCTCCGTTGCGCGCTTCCGCAGTGCATCCGACATCGTTACCGACACCCGGATCCGAGCATGCCGCCGGGAGGTCCACGAACCCGGAGCGCACGACAGCGGCCACCGCAGCGCCCACGCCCTCACTGGAGCGACCTTAACGACCCGTACGATCGGTGTTTGTATGCCCTACCACGGAGCAAGCTCGAAGTCGACGGAGGACTGGATCCATGCTGCTGCCGCACAACGGTGGCGAGTGACCGCGAGTCGCAGGCACGGACGAGCGCATCGACGCTCTTCAGGAAACTAGGGGATCTCTCTCTCCCTCTGTGTGTGTGTGTGTGTGTGTGTGTGTGTGTGTGAATAGCTATCGGGAACGAGAATGCGGGGTGTCTGGATTTGTGTATGCTTTTGTACGTGCATAGGTCTTAAAGATTAATGTATCATGGTCATCATTGCATGGGTGCTAGTCCAGAGTCGCTGTGCGGGCTACAGCGCGTCCGTCGTGATCGCTCACCGTTCACGTCAACGGGCTGTTTCATGGAGTCGTTTTGAACACGAGCGCAGTTTTGTTTGCAAAGTAACAGCAAACGAGAAGCACGTGTCTGCTCTTCGGAACAGTGGCAGTTGCAAGAGCAGCAGCTGACCAGCAGCGGGCAGGATGCAGCACAGTGCATCGATGCTGCGACGCTGGAGCATCGCCTGGCACATCATCAGAGAACAGACTGCGTACCGCTTTACCGTTACATAGAGGTCAGTATGTAGGACGCTATGTCTGCTGCTGTGGTTGTTCTACCTGATGTTCATTGCGGAGGCATCTGGTGTCAAGTCTGCGCTCGCACGCCGTACCCAAGAAGGCGATACTCCGGTTCCCTGGATATAGTGTGCGACACGTCAGGCGGTTTTGGATTGCTTCATCCGAGGGTATACACGGAGACAGCCCCTGTAAAGCGTACACTCGCGATCCGAATCCAGGATGGTGATAATGATAGTGATGATGGTGATGACAATGCTGATAGTGACGGTGATGGTGATGATGATAATGATCGTGATGATGATAGTGATGGTGATGGTGACGCTCTGGTCCAGTTCCCGGCGTTTATACGGCGTGCATCACGTGACGCCCATGTTAGACTAGAAAGGGACGGGTGCTCTCATTCGGATGATCATGCTCAAGTTTGGGTCAGTATACTTTGTCGTCATCACCAGCCTGTTGCGGGGTTTTGTATGATTAGCTCCGTTTCCTCTATCTCTTCTCTGCAGCATGAAAGACGCCGGTCATTCCTGCCCCTCCAGCTCTGTTGTCAGGAGTCGAAGGATGTTGATTGCGGTGTTCCAGTCGCAATGTCGACACGCACAGCTGCTATCGACACACTGGATGCGCAGCTTTTCGTTGAGATGTAAGCGTTGCTTGCCATTTTCATCTGCTTTGTATAAAGCATCGGTGCGCGCTTCGTAGCGCTGACAATCCACGGTAGTTGCGTGTTCTCATAAGTATATCAAACTTTCTCCAACTAGTCCTAGTCCTCCGCTGAGGAGGAAGACGACAACGCTGTGGCGCGTGAAACCTCATTTCATCGTTCGGTACATGCCCTCGACTGGTACAGAAGGCTTCCCGCGATGTGCTTGCTCGTTTTCGCGCCCGCTGCAACATGCAACGATGACAGGCTTCTCGTTTGCGATTTCCTGCTCGAGCACGCTGTCTATTGGACGTGCAAGAACAGGCTATTCCATTCGATAGAGTGTTTATGGAGCGCGATGTTTACCATGGAAAAACAAGTACCGAAACGAACATCCAAAACGGGAGAACAATTCGACGAATATCGATCTGAACACGCTTCGTTCGGGCAACGCAGTGAAGCACGCTCCACTCGAAGCGATCGCTGACTGGAATCCATTCCGATCCCGTGGTCTTCTTCCTGGCAAACACCGAACGAAAGAACGCGTCCTGCATCATCTCCCGTGGGAGGTTTCATGCTGCCGTCCAATGTTGTTCCGTCGATGATCACCAAGAGCGGGGGATTTGCCGTTCAGACCGAGTCGATTGTTTGAGGCGATAGATTCAGGGGGCTTGCTGCCGGAGCTTGTGAGGAAATCGCCAAGGGGCATCTTCGTTCCCGTTCCCCTCATCCATTCCGCAGCGCGAATGGATGTGTCGACAAAGCAACCTGAAACAGAAATATCGGAAACTTGATGAACGCGCGATTCGAGCATGCTGCATGTCAGTGAAAAAGCAGAGAGGAGCCCTGTATGTCTCCATGGTCTCATGATAACCGCAGTACTCTGAATCCGAGTCCTGACCTACCATGAACCATTTTGATGCCAGTAACGTATCGAATTCCCGCGAGAAAGCGTCGCTGAAGTCGCTTGGGAAAACAGACCGAGCATCCCGTACCTATGTATGCATCCACCAGCCCTTGTGCCGGCCCTTGGAATATCGAGTCGGTGCATCTGAGAGAGAAACTTCCCAGAGAGAATCGGAATGCACGAACAGAGCGCACGGGTCGGTGTTCCGCGCTGATCAATCACAGGTGGAGGCTGTGCTGCTTTACGCTTGGCCTGAAAGACGCTTTCGCCGATCGCTCGTTCTGCGCTTGTTCAATCGTGAACTCACGCAGACAAGCTCCGCTCTTTTCCCTATCGTACAGAGCATCCAGGGACGAACCCTGGATACCACGCTTAACCGGTGTTCTGCAGGCCTGCCGCCAACGCCTTGACACTAATCACAAACAAATCGGTGACGTTCGACTCCGGCTCGCTCTGTTGCGCTGCTGCAGTGCGCATGAGTTTCAGCGCTCGCACTTGTGCCAAGTTCATGGGGGTCAACCAAGGCCGCCGCGCATCAATCGCTCGTTGCTGTGGACGGTCGTTATCGAGAAGACGCCGAGAGCCCGACACGCGCATCACCAAAGCGATGGTATGCTGGAGCCGCCTCCGCAGCTCTGACCCAATGGCGTGCATGTCGGGATCCGGAACCAGCACCTCGTCGTACTTGGCAGCGATATGGGTATCGGCCTTTGCGAGCACCATTTCAATAAGGTCCATAAACGACCGGAAGAAGGGCCATTCGAGGTACATTTTGCGAAGGGTGTCGCCATCGCCTCGCTCGATGGCATCCTCGATGGCGTCGCCGATGCCCAGCCAGACCGGTAACTGGAGTCGATTTTGGCTCCAACTGAAGACCCATGGTATCGCCCGCAGCGTTTCCACGCCACCTTCGCGTCGCTTCTGGGGTCGTGACCCAATGTTCAGGATGCCGAGCTCAGGTTCTGGTGTAGCGCACCGGAAATAGCGCACAAAGTTCGGTTGCTTGTAGACGATCGAACGATAGTGCTCACAGCTCACGTGGCTCATGCGGTCCATGATTTCACGCCACTTGGGATGTACGTTGCGGAAAGGCATCAGTTCTTGCCGGAGAACTGCTGTTGTGAAGGTTTCCAGCGTACGATCCGCAAGGGCCGGCATTCCGAAATCCTGCTGAATGACTTCTCCCTGGATGGTTACCCGCAAATACTTGTTGATGGTATCCGGCGGCTGTGACATGATCGCGAGGTGCTGGGGCCCACCGCCGCGGCCCACGGTGCCTCCGCGACCGTGAAAGAAGCGCAAGTGCACGCCGTACTTTCGGGCAGTCTGGGCCAGACGCTCTTGGCCAAGATAAAGCTCCCACGCCGAGGTGATTCGACCACCGTCCTTGCCACTGTCGCTGTAACCGATCATGACCTCCTGAACATTGTCGTGGTCGCTCCTGAGGTGCTCGCGGTACCACGGCACTTCAAACAGGCTTGTCAACAATTCAGTAGCCTTCTGCAACGCTCCGATGGTCTCGAGGAGCGGTACCACCCTCTGAGGCCGTTTTGGTGCGAACTCGCGTTGGAGTACCTCCACACAGAGGACGTCGCTCGGCTCCATGCACATCGAAATGACGTAGGCACCGAGCGCGGTGGTGGATATCTCACGGGAGATTTTCGCGCATACCTCAAAGGTACGCAAGACCTCCTGGACGGCAGCGCTGCAGTCCGGTATGCCGTCGCGGGGAATGAGTGGGCGGCGTCCTTGCAGCGTCTCCGACAGAAACGCCATCCGTTCTGCTTCGGTCATCTCGGTGTACGGCTTCAACCCGCCGCCGATATACCGAGTGATTGCGTCCATGGTTTCGGTATGCATGCTCGCCTCTTGACGAATATCGAGGCGCAAAAGTGATAAACCAAAGGCCTGAACACGGCGGATAAGGTCGGTGAGTCCTGCGCGAGCCACCGCAACGTCACTCTCGGCTAGCAAGGAGGCGTAGATTTGGCGCAGTGGCTCCAGTAGCTCTTCTTCGTGGGTAAGCACAATGCTGGGATCGATCTGATCCGCTAACGCATGATTTTGGGAGAGCAATGCCCCGAAATAGTCTCTCGTGAGACGTACTCGATCACGCACGTGGGCCAGAACCTGTCGATAAGGTTCCGATGGTGGTACGTGGTGCGAAAACTCGCGATATATGAGAGATATTCGGGCGCCTTTTTCAACCAGCTGTGGCTCGGGTAACGTCTGAATGTACTTGCGCAGCTCGGGGCTACAGTAATGCAGCGAGAGATCAAACATTAGGCTCTCGATCGCCTCAAGGAAGAGCTCTGCAGCGCGGAAACGATTAAGGAGCACCGTCTCCCAAGTCACTTGAGCGGTCACGTTGGGGTTCCCGTCGCGATCGCCGCCGGCCCACGAGGAAAACACGAACGGACGACAATCAAGGGGTATCCCCCCCTCGATACCAATCTTGCGGAGCGCAATATCCAACAGCCGTAGGAAACGCGGAACAGAGTCCCATACCGTAGACGTGATGACATTGAGGGCGGCCCGCGCTTCGTCTTCCGGCTTCGGACGACTGCGTCGAACCTCATCTGTCCGCCATAAGGCATTCATTTCTGCTTCAATCCGCATGTGCAAGAGATCTCGCTCCTGTGGGGTCAAGTCGTTGCGATCCAGCTCAATGAGCAGCATTCCAATGCTGTGCAGCTTGCTTAGCAGCGAGCGTCGCACCGACTGCGTCGGGTGCGCCGTCAAAACCATATCGATCGTCTGGTTGCATAAATTGCGATAGATCTCCTCAGGAGTGAAGCCTGCCTTGACCAGGTACTCGAAGGTTTCCGCGGCGCCGTAGTGCAAGAGGAACGAGGACTCGCCCCGCTCGTAAGCTCGGCGGCGGCGGATGCGGTGCACATGGTCTGCAATGTTCGTCAAGTTGCACAGGTTGCTGAAAGTAGAACAGATTTTCACGAGATCATCAATCGGGAGCTCTTGCACAAGCGACCACAGTTCCTCAAAGTGCTTTTCTTCGTGCGTGAGGTCGTAGAGACGCGACAGCGTTCTCACTTTCTCGAAAGCTCCCGCGACTGCCTCACCGCAGTGCTGTTCGACGACGCTCACCAGCAACGAGGTCAGCAACTCGACGTTAGCCTGCAACGGGGAGGTAAAGTCGACTGAATCGACACGTTTCATGAGAGAACTATTCATGTTGTGGGGCAGTTGGGGCAGCTACGACCAATCCCTGAAATTTCAGTGGAGCTCAACGTATGGAAGAATGCCGCCATCGCCACAGATGCATTGCGGCAGCTGCGGCGGCTGCGGCGGCTCGGGGCACTGCGCGCATCTGGATCGCAAGCAGACGTTGAGGGGCCATGAATGCTCGCGCGGCCGCGGCGTCGACAGGCCGGTTGCATGAGAATAGGAACAAGTTTGGATTAATTGGACGTGACAGATGGGCGCTGGTGCGCGTTTGCCCTACTGGTACAGCACATGACCCTTTCGGATTCATTGGACGCCATCGATGGGCGCTGGTGCGCGTTTCGTGCATATAGTACATAATAGAACATTTTCGTATGAATATGACACGAAGGATGCGCAAAGGAGCGCGTGATCGCACGTCCTGGCGCAAGCGACGTGCCGATAGGCGCTGCAGGCAGGCTTCCGTTTCGCCACTTGCGATGGACGTGGAGGAGTTACGCTCGCGAAGGCTCCGTCTATGGTACACGAGAACAAAGTGGAACTGGGACGACCGTCGCTGAGCGCGCAAGAGAAGTTCTATGATGCTCTAGAGGTACGCATCAAGGTGGTTCATGGGTTTGCCTGTGTGCCGCCTCCACTGAAACAGTAGCTTGACGGTTGTTCTCAGGGCAGGTGCACTTGGCGCAACGTCGACTGTTGTCTCCCGATTGTTTGCGGTAGATCCGCTTCACATGTTGGGCATTTTATGCGACTGATTTTTTGAGCGTGCGTCTTTTTCGCTGCGCTAACTGAGCTCGCGTGCGCGGTGCGCCGCTTCCGAACAACCCGCCCGGCGCTGGACAGTGCAGTGGATTACGTCGAAGATTTACGTGTGTGTGTGTGTGTGTCATAACGCATTCGTACTCGAGCACTGCAATTTTAGCTTTGCAACTGTACTTCGTCGTTGCTAGCGCTGCTCCTCTTGGTCGTGAACGTCGACGGTGTCCGTCTATTTTGCTGGTACAGGTGCTCTCTATGGTGTCACGCCTTGTGGTTCGAGGTGGCGCCTGGAACGAAGCAGCCCGCTTGCCCAGATGCGAGTCCGTAGATAGAGTCAAGACGCTCATTGCGATGATATTCTCAGACACGAGGTGAGAATGCTTTTGGTCCGCTGATAATGACGCATTCGAGTCACTCTGTCTGTGGCAGTGTAGGTCTCGCGAGTCGCGACCATTGGGTTCACCAACGAGGATGTTTGTTGGCTGCTTTTGCCTCGTACCGGGTATTGGACTTAGAGATCGAGCGCCTCGTGAAAACATGCGGGGAAAGGATTTGTTGACGGTGGGACTGCTTCGCGAAATTGTTTGGCAGCGTTCCTGTACGACGGCACGGTTGTGCGGTTGTCTGTCTGCGAGCACGCTTCGCTCGGAAGAGACGCCCTCATGTCGTGCACCGCTTGCGGTACCCGATTGGCCATCAAATAGCTCGAGGGTAGCCATATGCAAAGTGTTCTGGCCAAAACTAGCCAATTCCGGTCATGACGACATCTCGTTCGTCCACGGATGTGAATCCGCACCGTTTTCGGTGGCGAGCGCGCAGCTCTGCGAACGCTCTTACCACCTGGAGCACTGCACCAGAAAAGCATCCGCACCACGCCCGTGCTCCATAAGATATTCAAGGAACGAGAAGCGGGAATGTCGCTTTCGATGTGCTCACTACGTTTTTGCGGCAAGTTGCATGGTACCAAAGTACCAAGATCGATAGTCAAGATCTACCATGGGTGCACATCGCACTGCCCAGAGATTATCCCGCGTCGCACAATGTAGGGCCGTCTCTCGAAGAGCGATCCCCCCGATGCATTCGCTGAGATCACCTAGTGATTTATCACAACGATGCACTGGGCCGATGAGGCCACCACCATTGCCGTCGACAACGTTTGTATACAGGCAACCAGCGAGACGCTGAGCGATTGGCCAGCATGATCCATAGCTCGCTGTTTCACTGAGCGCGAATAGGTTATTGGACCCGAGCTCTTTCTCGTCCGCGAGCAGCGCCAGTTGCGCGAGCACATCAAACAACCAGGCGATGCAGGCTCGCGGTACTGGCCGTTCCGGTGTCGTGAGGCTCGCGAGCGTCACCGGTGGACCCCGCGGCTCGCGAAACAGCACCGCACAGAGCGAGCCCGTGCAGATCTTGTCGAATGTGGGCGCTGCATCAACAGCCTCGCAGGGCTCGATACATGCAGTATTTTCTTGAAGATGGAGCACCCATCGATGCCAGTTCAAGAGACAATAAAGGATGCTACTCGTCCGCTTCGGATCGCGAAGTATTTGCCGACTCCGCATGTCTGGTCGACTCACAGGCACCAGGAGCTCGCCCAGAATATGTCCTGCACCGCCGAGGAGGCTCCGCGTTGTGTTTCCGGAACCGCCAACCAGGTCGTCGACGCAGAGCAGGAAGTTGGCGAGGTAGAACTCACAGGCCCAGAGCGCCTGGAACGGATCACTGTACCCGCCAAGTACGCGCTGTTCCACCGTAGCGAGACTTACTGTCGGGCTGGACAAGTTCCCATATCGTTGATCCAGATAACACGTAGCCAGCAGGCTGGCAGCGTCTTGACAGCGCCACGGTTTCGCGTAACTGAGCGCCGTCGTCACCAGCGCTCTTACCAAAACGTCGCTTTGAACTTTTAAGCAGTTAAACGCTGTATCTATTTCTTGTGCACAGCTGCAGCGAGCTTGACCCAGTTTCACTGACGCAGTCGCACTCATTCCACGTCCAGCCTCACGCAAGGCCGATTCGCTCCGGTCGGCGCTGCTCACGAGGTGTCCGGCAGACTGCTCTCGTAACCTAGCCCGAACTTGCCCGCTGAGGCGCTGGTACCAGTGCGCTTCGGGGTGTAGCCAGAGCAGGCCAACGCCAAGCATAACAACAAGCAGGGCAAGGTTGCGCACGGGGTGCCCTGAACGCCCGCCAGTTCTTCGCCAGCGCCGAATCCGTAGCCACTGGTCCGGTGATCTCAACCGCATACCTTGTTCGTAGTATGTTGGAAGGAAATATGTATTTGTTCACGTCGACTAGGATCACTTTTTCAAAAAAATGCACCAGCTTGAACTGAACAAGTAGCAGCACAAATATGCAGTTATGTAGTGGCGCAGATGATGGTGTGTCCGGTGGCGCCGACGTTGCCGCGCGTGTTCCGCTTCCCGGTTTGCTGTGTCGTGGTGCTTCCTCAGAAAAACATTTGGATGCCGTTGGTTGCCGGCTCGAGAGCAAATTCTATGCTATGGTATGGATGATTTAGAGTGGAGTCGTCTTGAGGTGGAATCAGCTTGAACGGATTTTTTACGTTGCAAGTCTGATCATTTTGACCTGAATCCCCCGGGTCGGCCATCGAGCCGGGTGGTACGTTCACCAAGAGCGTGCGCTTTCGTGTGCTCCGTACCTTTTAGGCGAAATTTGGCACGAAACGGAAGAGCACACGAGTTCAGCGATTCGTGCACCTTCTCACGCGCGGGTTCGGAGCAAAACCGCTATTTTGCGAAACGACGACGCTTTCCTCAGAGGGTTGTGAAGGGGAGACGAGCCCCCAGGATTCCTCCTGTAAGCCATGTAACTCGAACGGGTCTTGCCTTTAAGGCACGCCTGCATAGCAAGTCCGCTGGACTTCGGAATGTCTATGAGATCTGACCTCGTGTCGGGTGAACCATGCCTCAAGCCGACGCCTTCAGTGGTTTCCCAAAGCCGCGCTCTCGTCGTGCCAGGTACGCACCGGTGCCATAGGGATTATTGCAAACGCTCTTGGCAGGCTCAGTGCAGGCCGGAACTTACGAAACGGCTATTGTCTCCGACGGGCGTTTAGGAGGAGGATGTCGGAACCTGGGGTTTGCGCGAGGAATGGTGGAATATGGGCGCGAATCCCGGAAAATCACCCTGCCAGCCGGGATCTCTACTGAGTATGTCATTTCCGTCGATCAATGCGGAAACGTTCGAACGCTACGCCCATGTCACACTAGAATGGAATACTGAACTGCTTGGCCAGTGCCGGCATGTCGATATTTTCCGAGCATGTTTTTGAGATGTACAGACTCGATACTAGAAGAGCAACCATAAGGGGATGCGGATTCATACGTCGATTCAGGATTCTCGGTCGTTATTTTTTTTCGATGTAGCGCCTTGGAAGCATTGTCGCTGCAAGGCGTGACACCACTGGAATGAAGAGGATTCGCGACGCAGTCGAACATGGGAACGCAAGAAAGAATCGATATCCGTATGCAATGCAGACGTGCAAGCATCCACGATCCTTCTTTGCTTGTGTGTAGCAGGTTCAAATCACATATTCTTCACGTTCTCGATCTTTATGTTTAAAGGCAACCATCGTACGCAGCGATTCGCGCTGCTGAACTGACGAGGAGAAAATCTCGACGTTGACCGTTGGCGAATTTTTCGCAAGCTCATGCGAAAAGATCACTGAACATACCATGTCCTGTAATAATTTCGGTTTGATAGATGATTGCTCCTCTCGTCGTGGCCATCGACGAATCTGGATTCGAAATCTGCATGATACCTCTTTGGGGATCTGTGCTCAGTGGCTGACGTCGCTTCTGTTTGCACGGGACAGGCGCTTGGACTCCGGTCTGAGTTTTTTTGTATCTCTCGCTCGCAATGGTGCAAGCGTAGCCGGGTCGGAATTCCTCGACGTGTTGTCCAGTCTGAATTCTCCTTCTGGTTCGTGTTTTATCAAGGACAAGATCGCTTTCCACAAAATATCTTATTGGATGCAACAGTACGTTCTTGCGTGTCCAGCAGACAGAACAGTCGCAGAACGAATCGCCAAGAGGAAGGCCGCGACCACAGTGTACGACACCAGGCGTCGAAACGGAGGGGGGCATCGAGTGGAGCGCCCCTGTGTCCTTCAAGGGCGTACACCTTGCGATGAAGCAAGTTTGACGCGACACGAGGCAGCGTCTGGAGGAGGCTGGATGGTGGTGCGCCTATAGAAGCACCCGACGGCACCCAAGTGTCGCCGCTGGAGACGGTGCACTGCTGCTGCTGCTGCTGCTGCTGCTGCATACAAAGAAGATCAAAATGGCGAGCGAAATGTAGATGACGACTTCGGCCTCTGCATGAACGGCATAGATAGATAAGTGCCCGAAACTTCACGTCCGAACTCGAACGCAGCTGTTGACAGCCTTCGACTATCAGGAGGGAAACTGGATGAAAGGACGGAGCAGCGTATAAAAAACTGTATCAACGTCCAAGAAAAAGGGAGCAGTCTCAGAAAACCTCCACAAAGCCTGGTGTCGATGACATTGGAAACAGCCTAAATCTTTAGGGTAGACGCGAGAGTTAGCCAAGTGCACCTGCTCCATTTATACGATGTTTCGTGAAACCAATAGACGTTCTACGACCACGGAGGCTATGTATGTATACGCACGCGCATACGCCTCCCCGCCTTCGTTGACCGGCCGACTTTTATCGGTTTCAGAATATTTCTGGACACGTCGAGTACCAGAGGCTGCCCAAGTTACTTCGATCGCGTCAGCTCCTCGAATCTCATGTTCAGCACCGCACATTTTCTGATTTTAATGACGGTGTGAGATTCCCGGTTCACGAACTCATTGCGTTCATTGCCTCTGGTTGAACTCACCGATGCAAGTATTCGTAAGACTAGCGTCCTATGTATGACATGAGTCTCATTTTCGCACCGTCCGGAAAATACCTCTTCTCGCCCAGTTCGCCCCTTCTGCTTCTTCGTCAATCGCTCTTCTTTGCTCGACGCTCCGTAAGAAGAGGAATTTTTTCACTTTTTTTGTCGAAACCTGCAATACGGGGCCTCTGGGATCCACGAACCCCATGTCGAAACCATTGCCTCTAGCGTATTTATTTCTTGAACTGAACGCACTCCGAATACATCTTCTATGAACCGCGAAACACCAGTTGCGTACTTGCACCTGGCAGTGGAACACAATTGACATGAAACTCTATAACCTCTATGTAATCGAAATCCCCGCGGGGTGGCCGCGCGCGCTCCCGCGAGCGTTACATTAAAGTGTCACAAAATCGAATGCGTGTCGTCGAAGGAGAAATCGACGCTGCGTCACGGCGGTGCACGCATCCGTTCCGTCGGTTTTTCCCGCGCATCGGTCCGTGCGTCGCTCGCTCTTCGAGTAACAGACAATTGTGCCGTTACGTCATATCATATACGGGGAAACGCATACTTGATATCGACGGGCCAAACACACTGACGAGGCGTAGGTTTCGGATTCGAAAGGAACTCGTTGCTACTGCGACATATTCCTTCGTTCGCGAAACCCGACAACGCCCTCGGGGTGACTCGACGACGGTGCGGACCTCTGGGAGCATCTCTACCTGCGTAGAACGAGTTTCACGTCGGACTTGTGCTTTTTGTGGACACTAGCCTCCAGCTACTGGAATCGAGTTGGTGAAAGCGCAACCAAGACGCAGAGTCGCGAGTTTGGTACGTTGCGGGAAAGTTGCAACAAATCAACGACTTTGGTTGTGACTTTGCTCTCTTATAGTGAAGGAGCCTCGGAAACTGGGCATACGAAAGTAGGCTTTTGGAACGAAGACGCGTTCTCGCCAAGGCCCTTGGGCAAGTTCGTGTCCAGCTTTCAGAGCGGACGCGTAAGTGACGACGGTGTCTGACAGCTGGACACGCACTCTGGCACGCTGCAGCGCAAGTGCCACCGTTTCGTTCTGCTTCGTTTTGTGCTGAGTGCTTTGTCCGACTCTTACTGGTAAGAGACGGTTGACATCGCTTCTTTGAAGCCTACTACTTCTTCGTTGCTAGCATATAGATTGCATCTGGGAACATTGGATTGCACAATGGAGCACGGAGCTGGAACTCCGGGTGTGCTGGGCGCAAAGCCCGTATCGTCAGAGCGTCTGGAACGGCGACCATCGGGCGAGCCTCGGATGGGAACGCAAAGCACGGAGCGTATACCCAGCAGCACTGGCAGCTATATCAATGGTCACTTCTCGGTCCGGAATGCTCTCGGGTCAGAGCAATCGCTAGCTTCAAACGAGGAGCAGAGATTTCACAAAGATGCCATACATAGGTCCCAAGCAGAACGCAAGCCCTTGCCCAGCGTGGCTCGTAGATTGCCGGGAGCGGGCGCTGAGCGTTCGGCTGGATGTGCTCGGGTCGGCGGCCTGCGTGCCTCTCGGGTCGCAGAGGCGTTTCAAGCAAGTTCACTCCGAAACCGCGCTTTCGAGACGAACTGCCTACCGCCGGCGTCGGCAACGGTATCGGGAATCCCTGCGGACGTTCATACTCCGTACGCGAATGCAGCCATCCAGGGAGCGTCGGCGAAGGCAACGGGAGCACCGAACCCAAATGCGCCCGCGTTTGCAAGCGCCGCTGCCGTCAGTACACGGAACGAGCAGACGTTCGCGGGGCATATCGCCGGGCTCAGACAGAGTCGCTGTGGAGCAACTGCGCCCGCCGAGATAACGCCGCCTCTATGCTCCATCGATGAGCGAACTGACCCAGCGTTCACGTTCCGAGGCGAGCACACCGGCAGCGAAAGCGGCACCACTGCGTGCGTCTCCGCTGGGCTCCAGTATGTGAAGTGCGCGCCTGCCGCTGCGCAAGCGCTGGCGCCAGGGTTGGTGTGCGCAGTGCAACCAAGCCCGCTGGCAACGGCGGGCGCAGGCACATGCCCTCTGGCGTCACCGTTGTCCACGATCAGCACGCCAACTTCGGCGACCACGAATTACTCGTCCCTGACCGCCATTCAAGGCCCAGTGTCGCCGTCTCGGAAGAAGAACTCAACTCCGCTGCACTACGCATGCCGCTTTGGCCATATTCAGGTTGTGCAGACCATTCTCGAATCGGCGCTGAAGAACGGTGGCGAAGAGCTCGTCCGAATCGAAGCGGACCTCGTTGCCGCTGATTGGAAGCGGATGACGCCGATTCACGTCGCGGCGAAGCACGGTCAAGAGGCTGTGGTTGCGCTCCTGGTCGAATTCGCGAAACATAGGGTATCTGCACTCCTTACGACAGGCACAGACTCCAATGGGACAGTCACTATCACAGCAAAGCGGTGGCTTCAGGCAGTGCTCGATGCACCATGTGGTGAGGGCGCCACCGCGCTCATGCTCGCAGCGCAGCACGGGCACGCGAAATGTGTACGCCATTTGCTCTCGTTGTGGGACGGTGTCGATCCTAGGCGCAGAACTTCCACTCGAGGGTGGACGGCGGCGACTTTCGCTGCACGCTATGGCCATGTCGAAGTGCTGCGCGAACTCATCACGGTCACAGACGTGCGCGCGTGCTTGGGTTTACCACCGGTGGCACAGGGCGTACCGCTCTGGGATGCCGCCGATGTGCTTGACATGCCCGATGCACAGGATGGGAACACGCCGCTTATGATCGCAGCCAAGTACGGTAAGACGGAAAGCGTGCGCCTTTTGCTGCAGGTTGCAGCTTGGATTCGGGGCGCTGGTGTACTGCCCGCCGTCAATGCGCACGCAGCGAACATGAACGGACAGACTGCGGTTCACCTGGCTGCGCAGCATGGCCACAACGAGGTCGTTGCAGAGCTGCTACGCTTCCTGTCGGCAACGAGGACAACGGATGCCTTGCATGTACCGCCGCCGCCGCCGCCATCGTCGTCGTCGTCGTCGTCGTCAACATCAGCATCGACTTCGTTGTCGGTAGCATCGACATGCGCACCACAAACGACACGAGCTTTGAGCCGAGCGCCCTCTACCCCAATGGAGCAGTGCGCTACAGCAGTACCGCCGACACCGATACCGACACCGACACCGCTCATGTTCGCAGCGACAAGGTCACCGTCTCGAGCGATAGCAACGCAAGATGCCTTGCGGGGTGTACGCGCTCGCCAGAGGCTGCTCCCGCCGCTGGAGATTCCAGGCGGAGAGGTCTGCGAGCAGCACCCTGGAGGATTCAGCAGCTCGCTGTGTGTCGCGCCTACCGGTGCAGCTGGTTGCTCTGTTCTTGGTACTCCCAGCAATGATGAATCTGATCAGCACCTAGACCCGTTCGGGCACTCGTTTTACCTGGCCCCAATGAGAGGAACGTTCTTGGAGCAGCCTCAAGCAGACTGGGGCCCATGGAGCTATGCGCGCATATCGCCGCTTTCGCCCCACGCAGCTGCTGCGGCTTCGGCTGCGGCCACAATCACGCCAGGAAGCATCCTTGGGACTGGAGTCGTACCAGCAGCGGTTGCTGAGAACGCGTGCGCTAGCCGCGCTGCATCATCTAGCGAAGGACCGGAGTTTGGAGGAGGCCCCAGCGAGACCGGCACCGGCACATGCACCGGCACACCGTCTCTGCAGACAGAGAACTCGACACCATCGAGTGTATCGCCGCTGCTCAATGGTCCCGAGCCCAGCGACGGAGCACACGAGAAACGGCATGGAGGCGATTCACAATGCCACCACTCGATGCCTGCCCTGGATGCAGGGTCGGTAGCGCCCTCGGCATTTCCGGGATCCACGACAACGACAACGACTACAACAACAACAACAACAACGGCAGCGGCACCACCGGGCTGCTGGGACGCCTGGATTAAGGATCTCGTGGGTGACTGAGTCGGACAGGAACACATTCGGCTCGATGGAAGAGCGATGGTGTCGACGCTTGCGCCTCTTGTCGTTGCCACTTTGCAGCAGATGTACGGGGAGCAGGCTGCTAGTGTATCGAACGCGATCTAGACTTGTCTGGAGTACACGGGGATACCCGTGAGAGCACCTGAGCGTCTAGCAGATGCCTTGGGCAGCAGCGGTGACTCGTCTGCGGCCGAGTCGTCGCTCTGGTCTGTATCCACCGAGATGCAGTCTTGTTAAACTTGGATCCAACTGCGAATGCATCCAATGTCGGCATGCACAGGCACGAACGCGCAGTCGCTGAGGGTATGCGGAAGCGCTGCAGGCAACTCCATGACGTGCAGTACCCCTAGTATGCATGCCTACGTGCATTCGCTACTCGCTAGCACTAGCCAGACAGAACGATAGCGGTAATGTTATCGTATACGGAGGCTGGTATCGTTGACCCGGTGCTGCTCTCCCGAAATTGGGTTTCTTTGTTTCCGATCTGGTAGGTTTGCGTTGACTGCAGTCTAGACACCGTAGAGCGATCTCGAGATGCCTGTTCTTGTGGTGCTGCTCAGCATCACCTGTTCGAAACGCAGCGAACCATAAATTCGAGGTCGGAAGTACTGAAACGCACTATAATTCAGTCGTCGGGAAAGGGGGACACGTGGACTCTGCGGTGGATGCGGGCTCTCCCCGAGAGCCCTCTCCTCTGCTCTATGGGTTAAGTGTCAGTCGAGTATCTCACGAATCCAGTTTCCACAGCTCGGTTTGCTGCAGATATTCAGGCTATGGAGCGAGGAAGTGTTTCCTGCTCCAAGACTTGTTTGAATAAGGAGAACCCGGTTCTCGTCTAGGTCGGTTTTGCGACGCTGCACAGGAGTTCGGGTCTGTGCGCCTGCTTTTTGTAGACCTGTTAAATAGCTCAGGGACCCTGCTTTCTCCCTGGCCCGTCCTTCAAGTGTCTCTGTCACAATTGCACCGTGACACGCTCACCCTCAGGATGGATTACATATCGTTAGACTCCGACGATAAAGGCAGTCATCGACGCTGTCGTTTCCGATCGCATGGCGAAACAGCAGTGCTCGCTAAATGCCACCAAAGATCATGAACGTTGCGTTGTTGTAAGTGGTTTGAATCTATCGAAGCATTCCCTTTCCATGTTGGTGCTGGCTTTGATCCTCTAGACCAATGAAACACAGATTGGATCGCGCTGTTCTTTGCCGTTTCCGAGTCGATTCGAACGCAGCCTCTGTGAACGATGTAGACTTTCGAGTTGAGGCACACCAGTGATCAATTCATTCGCACTGACGAACAACCAAGCCCTTTTAGCATTCGAAAAAGTGTGCGATAGGGAGATGCCACGAATGCGAACTGGAGAAGGTTCTCGCATCTGCTGGGCGACGACCAAGGCAACGTGCCTACCAACAAACCGATAAGAGGTCGATGCTTTCCGAGCACGAGGACGCGTGAATGGTGACGTGAATCCGTACCGTTTCAACGATACCATGAGGTTGAGTACCAGCGTTGTAGAATCAATACTGTACGCTCTGGAGAAAGAGAAGTGCACACTAGTTTGGCATGAAAGCCCATGCGATTTCATCGATAGCATGCATCTTTCTAGCACGAGTCAAGTATCGACACAGGCGAGCAGCTTCCATATCGTTTTACAATGAAACTACTACCAGTCGCCAGGTTTTCTTTAAGCGATTCCCTCCAAAAAGTACTAGTGTCGGTGTTTCGGCGTTCGGTCACCATTCCGTGTACCAGTTGAACGCATGCCTCCAGGCCCGATTCATTCCCGTAGGTGCATAAACGCCTGATGCTCTCTCAGCTCTCTTCGAAGAGAACTCGCGTGAGCACCCCACGACAAGCCGGTGGCAACGGTCTCTGCTGCCGGTGACGACGAGCCTGCTCCAACGCCTGCCCTAGCTCAGCGCACGTGGTAGCGACGAGCGCCTTTCGTTCTGCAAGTGCACGGGCAAGTTCCCATTGGTGGTTATCCATTAAACTTTCGTTGACGACGACAACCAACGGTTTAGCATGTTCGAGTGCTTCGAGGATCGAGCCCGCACCAGCGTGCGAAATGATGAGGTCCGCTCTCTCCTGTTCATCCCGTAATGAATCCGAGTACGGAAAACTTTCCAGGGTCATACCATGACGCTCGATGCAAGCTCTCGCTGGTGCTGGACCTGATCCGTGCTGGACCACCAGTGTGTCGCAGTCCCAAGCCCTGCGCAACGACCGGAGAACCTGCTCGTTCTCTAGCGCCTGAACGAGTCCCGAGAAGCGCGTTGTACCCACTGTTACGAACACCCGTTTACCCATATGTTAGGAAGGCAACAAGTACCCCCAGAAAAAACCGTCATGTGTAACGACTTTGGAACAGCAGTGCAGAAGCATCGACTGGAGATGCCACGCGGAGCACACATGCAAGTGGTGGCGGTAACGCGTATCGCCTGGGCTCGTTCTCAGCCGTTCGAAGCCTTACACGGTAAAGCGTTCCCGGGGAAGCTCCTTTTGGGAGGCGATTCTTCGTAACGACTAGCCCTTTATTCGAGTCGTGTCGCTCAGAAGCAGCTGTTTCTAGTCGTTACGCAGGTAACGCTTCATCGTAACGACTAGCCCTTTATTCGAGTCGTGTCGCTCAGAAGCAGCTGTTTCTAGTCGTTACACAGGTAACGCTTCATCGTAACGACTAGCCCTTTATTCGAGTCGTGTCGCTCAGAAGCAGCTGTTTCTAGTCGTTACACAGGTAACGCTTCATCGTAACGACTAGCCCTTTATTCGAGTCGTGTCGCTCAGAAGCAGCTGTTTCTAGTCGTTACGCAGGTAACGCTTCATCGTAACGACTTGCTCTTTATTCGAGTCGTGTCGCTCAGAAGCAGCTGTTTCTAGTCGTTACGCAGGTAACGCTTCATCGTAACGACTAGCCCTTTATTCGAGTCGTGTCGCTCAGAAGCAGCTGTTTCTAGTCGTTACGCAGGTAACGCTTCATCGTAACGACTAGCCCTTTATTCGAGTCGTGTCGCTCAGAAGCAGCTGTTTCTAGTCGTTACGCAGGTAACGCTTCATCGTAACGACTTGCTCTTTTTTCGAGTCGTGTGGCTCCTGCAGGGCTTTCTCTAGAGCACGTCGCTTCGAGACCGTCGCAGCGGTACCTGAGTGACGCAAAAGCTTTTTCAAACCCAGTCAAGAGAGCAACAACAACAACTACTACTGTTTACCATTCGTAGTGCTAGTAACGACCTTGCTTTCTGTCGGAGGGTATTGTTTGTCTGCGCTGAGGAGGCCTCTGCATTGTGTGGCTGTCGGCAGCGAGCTTTCATGGTGCAGCAGCAAGTATCAAAGCGTCAACAAGAGGAAATCACTACCGTGAGGCCGACAACTGGAAGCTTGATACCAAACCGATGGACCAAGAACCGTCCTGTCGCCTGGAGCGCCTTTTTGGATACAGGAGCAGCCACCGAAACGGATAGTGGTATCGTTGCGAGCCGCAGGCATCCTGTTATGCCGCCCGGCGTGAGGCCCCGGTCGAACGCCTGTTCCATGTGCCAACACTGTGCAATGCTCTCCAGAAGCGAGACGGGTGCGCGTACGTCAACGCTTCTGTCTACTAGTCTGGATAGGTGTCATGGTTTCCCGAAGCGTTCGGATGTGGAGACAGGTCGCTCCTTGGGGATGGCGCGGGCGTTGCGGGCTCGATGGGGTTTCCCGGTACTTCAGTTTTCTGCTCCATTGGTGCGCTGGATCAGCAACACACCTACGCGTCTTCCTGGCCAACATGCATACACCCGCAACCGCTTTGGACGGGGTCGCGAGTCATCAACGCAAATCCTTGCTGATGCACGTCGGGTAACGCCCTACGCATGCAGACACCTGTGGATGAGATCCCGTCATCTTGTTCGATACTCTTTACGTTTCCTCGACCGTGCAGATGAGGCACGAATGGAGCATGCTGGACGAGCCTGGCAAGGAGAGCGGCGTATGGTTACCGTTGAGCCGCTGCGACTCCCCGGGTTGGAAACAATCCGTCCGGGCGGACGGTTCCCGGTACCGGCATTCTGGATCAGTGCCATCGCCCTCATCATACTTGGACTTTTCTGGAAGTTACAACAGCGACTAGACAGCGTCTTCCTTGGTCGAGAGGAGCTTGCAGAGCGATGGCGAGCGTTTCCGCAGCCGTTGCGTCCACCAGCGAAGAAGCCGGCGTACCAGCGAGCTGCGCGAACGCTGACATCGCCTCTGGGTATGGTGTGGGCTCGCCTGCGCTTCCACCTGGAAGCACTGTTGCAGAGGCAGCACAGCGACCGAATAGCGAACAAGACGGCTCCCGTGCCGCGCCGCTGGTTCGCAGACGTCTCCGATCTCTACGAGGCTATCATTCGCCAGTTGCCGTTGAGTATTGAAGATACCCGCTGCCTGTTTACACTGCTGAGCGCTGACGAACAATATCAGTATGCAGGAAAGTCAGGCGCGTATGCCCCGGCATCGTCCAATGAACAGAAGCACTTGCTTCCGGCCCTGTCGCGAGCAGAGTCCATCGCAGTTGCCCGGAAGCTGTGCATTCTCGCGATGGCTGCAGATGGCGTCTTGCACGGCTCTGCACGAGCAGCGCTCGCGCAGTTGCTGCTTCCGCACTTGCCAAAGCTTTCCGCCTACATAAGTGCTCATCCACGGACACCACAGCCTTCAGGGCCGCTTTCCAGATCCACCATAGTAGGGCTGCTCTTCTCCAACGCCATGATTCCCCATATTATGTTGGGCGCTGCCGTCGTTGCCACATCAGCAGGTGCCCGCGTCTGTATCATCGACGACTGGCGGAGCACGTTGAGCACGACTTATGCCCCTTTCCTGCTTGCTGTTGGGCTGAACCCCTATCCGACTCTAGCCGAGTCCTGTGCAACTTTTGATCGATTGCGAATAGCGCTTTATCGATCACCGATAGGTCTCGCGAAGCGCGATATTCGACTCCTACTGAATGAAACGGCTACCGCGGAAGATGTGGCAACATCGCCAGCACCGCTTTTGGGAGATTTAGTGGCTCCGCTCTTGAATGCCTACGACCTTGATCGTTTGGTGACTGCGCCGGGTCTCCATGCTCCCAGTGGAACTGCAGAACTGGAGGCGCTGACGGACGCAGTCGCGTTCTTCCGTCCAGTAAGAGCCTGGCTCTTCACTTGTCTGGTGCCAGAGGCATCAAACGAGGACACTCCAACGGGAGAGCAGCATCTGGGCTGTCTTCTACCCTGGGGACAGAATTCTGTGCGCGAGGTTTGCTACCGCGGCCCCAATGCAGACGGCGAGGAGATCGCCCAGGTCGCCGAGATACCTCTTCAACCGCATCGCTACCAGATGTACAGCAAGGGCGATTTAGCTGCTGTGATTGGTGCCAATGCCGTGGAGAATGCACGACTCCTCGAGGAGGTACTCACGAATACGGGTATCGACGACAACGCTGTCGGAGCAGAGACCAGCAGTTTATCTTCAGAGCACCTGGTATTGCTCCGCGAAACCATTGTGTTGAACGCTGCAATCATACTGTTGGCCTCGGGTTTAGTGCAGACCATTCACGAAGGTATTCAGGCGGCTCGGCAGGCAATGTACGCCCCGTCGACACTAGGGCGGCACGGACGACGCCCTGGAGCACCATATGTTCCGAGCGACGCAGCTGCGCTCTGGCGGCGCATGGCGTACCGCAAGTAACTCGGCCTTGTTCGTCAGCGCTTGAGCGAACGAATCTGCCTGGACATTCTGACTTGCTAGGACGGTTTGGAGTGTTTAAAGTTATTGGGACTTTTTCTCGCCATGATGTACAGCCGTCTGATTCTATTTCAAACGGGGGGCCGCCTTCCGGCTCCATGCTGCGTATCGACCAAAATCGCATCGATGGGCCGGCGCTTCGTAGGCGCTCTCGATGAGCAATAGATTCTGTACGAGTCTAGGATAATGAAATGTTGCGGTAGCTGTAATCCGCAGCATCCTTCGGCGCTACAGCGGACTGCACCATATTCCCCCGGGCACCAAAGGCACTCTTGAGACCGCTTGCAATCAGAGGCAAAGCGATCGTTTTGTTATCGCTCATGAACATCACCAAAGATGCTGAATGAAAAAACTCTAGTGCCGATAACTGGGTTCTCATGTTCATCGTCTCGAATTTTTTATGGACCGGGATCGATCCAGCGAACCAACATAGCCCGAGAGCATCCTTGCTGCTGCCGGCAACGAGCTAGGCAAGCGGAGACTACAGCTCCTCTCAAGCATTCCCCGTATCCTGCGTTGCTGCCTGCGACAACAACCCAGGGAAGCGACTGTGGATTCGATTTCTATATCTCGGGGCGAGCTGCGCCACCAGTGTACCGACTTCCGCGCCTTCGAGGCCATTTCACGGCTTTTCTTTTCTGGTACACACTGAACATGGAGGCCATCATCGCTACGCAAACGACTTTGGGCATATCCACAAACAGCTGATGTTTTTGGCTGTTAAGGATGATGCACCGTGCTCATCATAGCGTCGATCGCTGACAGCTTTTGGCAATTGTGCGTGCAGTCAAGGCCACAGAGCTTGCTCTCGAGCAGCAGCTAGTAGTTCCGCTTGTTGTCTTTTGAGCTCCTCTATGCTCAAACCTGTGTGTTCAAAGCGAGCACGACCAGTTTTTCGCCGTTGGCGTTCCACCTGCTCATCCTCCACACGTTCCAGCAGTGGCTGCAATACTGGGACGTAAGCTTCAAGGCCCATCTGCTCCAAGGCGGCTAGGATATGTTTCGAGAAGATTGTCCGTTTCTGGTCTCTGGCCTTTGCCTTATTCGCCTCAACTGCAATTGACCGAACGAACGTGTTCGCACAGGCGCAGATGAGGTCACGTGCGTCCGGGTGTAGCGTTAGGGCTGGCTCTGGACCATTCTGGGGTGAACTCTCGTCCTTCGAGCACTCAGCGTCCATGTTGGAGCACGCTGTTTCCTCTGTGAGTTGCAGCGTCGCAGGAGACGTGGCGCCCAGTTGCGTTTCCTCTGTGGAGGCTTCTCGCTTGACGTGCTCACGAGCGCCGTTCTGTACGGTTATCGCATCACGCGGTCGCCCCTCTGTTACCATCGCATGTTCTACTCGCGACGGGCTTGAGCTCACGGAAGGCGCGCTGTGAGGCTGCTGTTCAGCGCTTGACGACAGGCCGCCCTCTTGGAGAACGGCCTGAACGCAGGCTAGCACAGTCTTGCGCGGAAGTCCTGCCTCGTCAAGGGACGCCTCCATTGACTGACCCCCCGCGCTAGAACCTGGAGCAGGAAACATGACACGGCAAGTACGTCTCTATAAAGGATACACCTCAAACTTCTCTTTAGTTTGAAATCGTGGTAATTCGTTCTGTTCTAGAGCACGGGCGGCGAACGTTGCCGCAGCGTCTGCTGCGATTTTTCACCGGGCGGCGGGGATTCGTTTCCTGCTGCTGGAGCGCGACACGGGCGAGTGCGGCATCACCACAAGCACGTTTGCTCAGTCGTATCGAATAATGGAACGCTAACCTTCGTCTAGGAATATCCATGGAAAATCGTTTCCGGTATAAAGGTGCAGTGATCCAGCCTTTTTGGGTTGCTGCACCGTACCTTACGGGTGTGTAGCTGCATGCGAGCATCCGATTCCCGCTCTGCTTGTCACAGTTTTTGTCTTGCCTCGGAAGACTCCAACGTTTCATCGAAATGTCTACACCGAGCACGAATCAATTTCGTGGAAAATATGCAGGAAACAAAGTTGATAGACGCTCTGGCAGCAACACACACATTCCCGATTGTTGATTGAGGCATTCAAGTCTCGATGCAGAAAGTACTCGTATGGATGATCGCTGGTGGCATCACACAATAGTACGCCTCTCACCTGAGGATGTCTCGGTGTCTGGCATTTCATCAGCTCGCCTTGCATGATATTGTGTATCGCGCTCTGTTCCACGCTTTTCTTCTCGATCTGTTTCAGTGTGCAGTCGTACTCATGATGCGCATGCGCGTTGTCCTGAACGCCTCCAGTGGGAATCGTCCCGCATAGGTTTCTGCTCTTGGTGAACGCTCTTGTCGATTGAATAGATGTGCAGCCAGTGCGCATGCTGGAATGTCCAACTTCATACTCTATTACCGAATGACGCGCATTGTCTTTCACTCGCTGTTCCAACTCACTGAAGGACCTAGAGAATGCGTGCTTCTTGCGCTTGTACAACAGGAATCGTTTGCGATTTCAGCGCCATCTCATGGACTCCAGCTAAAGATGCCTGCGGGAGCCAGTTACGCATCTGTGTACTCTCTATCTGAGACGCACGAAGCATGCTTCTCTGCTCATCACATTCCTCAGCGCGTACAAAAGCAGTTCTGACGCTATCATTCCATTTGTTGGTATGGCTTCTTTCGTCTGTTCGTTATGACTCGCGAAGATATTACGCCCTGCACAAAATGAGCAGTGTCATCTGCTTGCCTTTCAGAAATCTGATGCCGTTCTCATCATACAGAGGCATGGCGACCATCGCGATATTCTTGTCGACCCCGGATCGATACCCATCACAAATCCTTTCATATCATCTATCTTGAACGATTGAAAATGAGTCCTTCTGCTCGACTTGGGCTTAGATTGCACGAATTGCATGCGGTTTGATACTCTGTCGTTCTCTGTCGTCCCTATTGACTCTTCTATACTTTCTACCAGCGGATGCGTATCGTCGAGCGAGCTCCGCCAATGCTCTTCGAGATGATGCTCGCATGTCCCATGCCTGCTCGCAGAGACCAGCCGTAGCTCACTCCAGACACGATGCAGTACATAACACAAATATCTACGATGGTTGCCTGCGCCGTAATCCGGCATACCGGTGCCGCATTGAATGGGTTTTTCTCAGGGGCCTGGATGCACGGATACAAGGAGGCAAGCAGGTTTTTCTCTGGAGAGCCCTGTTCAGGAACATAAAGTAGCGAAAGATGCAATGAAGGCAGGCATCTCGTTTCAACCATCCTTTGGATATGGCGCCCGTCCGGTTCGAGGTCCAGCATATCACGATGAGCTTGGACCATCTGGAGTGCCGCTCGCCCTCGTAGCGACATCTCTGCCGAAGTCGCTACCAACTCGAGCGATACCGCCACCGGCTCCTCATTTGCATCCATCGAAAACCCGGGTATCGATTCAATCAGTTTCCAAGCGCATGTGCTAGTAAATGTGAGGCTACTGCGCGTACAACGTCCAAAAGGTGCGCTTCATAAAGTGCTCGATATTAACCGGCGATAGTTTTCGATGTTGTTGCTGGGATGTTCCGATCGCCGAGGCGACGTGGCAATCGGATCGAGGTCTCGGAGGAGCGGGTCGGGGGCGGGCAGGCATCATCCATGATGTCACGGTCACAAACAGAGCGACATGCATCGCTGCAGATTGCCGTTGACGGCCGGCGCCTGCTGTGGCGGGATTGCGGCCTATTCTGTCACGGGCGCTTGGCAATGGCGGCTGTCACACGGCCGTTGCGCAGGCCAATGGGAGACACCGCGAATCGCTACCGCATCGGTTGTTCATTCGTGAGCATTATCGCCTGGAACGGAACGGGAGTTCTCGAAGCATGGACACACAGAGCAACGAATGGATTATCGAATGGTGTTTGGATCGAAAGGAGAAATACGGAAGTGAATCATCGCTTGCGAAAGAGGCAGCAGACTCTCAGGTTTCCTGGTGCTCGCCATGCACTACTCCCGGGCGCGCTAGTGAACCCTGGAGCAGCGGCGTTTCTAGCCCAGGCGAAGGCGTTGGGCGCAACACCAACGACAGGCTCGGGAACGACGCTCATCCGCAGCGTCGTTGCCTTCTATTGCCTCGTCTCGTTGAATCTCCCGAAAAGGCCGAGAAGCGGCCGGCCTCAGCTGACAAGCGACGTCGTTGCTTCGTGACCGAGTCGCCACGGAGCGGCAGTGCGCAACGGCGGCGTCAGTTATGGCTCTCAGCAAGCCACTCTTTCGAAGGCAGAGTTTCTCTTGATGCACTTCAGGCAGAGCTTGAGGCTGCAGCCCGCCGCCGAGAGGAGAAACAACGGTATAGACAAGAGCGAGTTCGCCAACATTGGAAAAGAGTGCTGCTCAAGGCAGCTGAAGCTCGCACAGCGCTCGCAGAACGTTATCGACATCAATGGTTAGCCAAAGAGCGTGCCATGGAGGCAGCGGCCGTGAAGCGGGAGCGAGAGCGAGTCCGTAACGCCAGAAGGGTGCGTAACGCGTCGAGAGCGCTGCACCGCCGCCTGGCGATAGTACCCGGCGATGGTAGCCCGTCTCAGTGTCGCGGTCAGGGTCGTTACCCAGAAACGGACGATGCCGTGCAAACTGATACATCGTCCAAAGAGCTTGCCGAGCGAGCGTCTCCTCACCCGGATTCAGCTTCCGCGACGTATTTGGAAAGCGCGTCCGCTTACCCTATATCGGAGCAGAGGATTTCGCCAGAACTCCGTGGATCGCAGGCGAACGCAACAAGAAAATCGAGGGAAAGTGCAAACCAGAATGAGAGCGCAGAAGAGTCGTGCTCACGGCCAGAGCCTCCAGCTCGTCAGGCAACGCATGCGGTGCCTTGTCAGGAGCTCGAAATTGCCGCCGCAGCATGTTGCTATCTACATAGAGCGGGCTTTCCTTTACGGGCTGGAATATCGTTCGAGGAGGCCACCAGAGAACATCTACAGGTACCGGCATGTATTCAGCATGCTGATCAGCTTTTGAAAGCGCTCACAGGTTGGATTCAGGCCCAGGAGCGTGCACTGATTGCGATGGATGCGGCAAACTCGGCAGCACCCTCTGAATGCAGGCTTCACAGCCGAGGTGATGGACGGGTGTTCCTGGCCTCGTTCCTGGTGCACAGGTTCCCAGAATATGCGCTGGGCGACCAAACAGCGGAGCATCTGTGTGCTTTCGCACGCAATTTGGTAGATCGCTTTGCACAGCTTGCTGCTGCTGCTGCCACCAAACCCCGTACTGACAACCAGTTTGAGCGGAACATTGCTGGATTCGTCCAGTCCTGGCGATGCTGGAAACGAGCCTTCATTGCGTGGAAACGCAGGGATGCGGCGCAGCTTCTCGAGGGACTCGCCCACGAACTCGCCGCATTGGACAAGCTACGCGGTACTGTCAGGAGCGCGACAACACATCAATCGGCGACAGTGGCAAACCAGACGATCGGATACTGGGAGCGCGAAGTCAACCAGTTACAAGACCGGCTGCATGAAATGACGAGACTCGTCGGCGGTGTCCAGGCCGAGCGCTATGTCCAGCGGCTGGCAACTCGGTTGGTCTCTGCGGCGCCGGAGACAGAGCCCGGCGCCCTAACAGCCGAACTGGACGCCGTCTCCGGACTGGTGCGCGATACCAACCAAGTAGCAGCCGCTGGTCTCGACGTGAACACTGTTCTCGCGCACGAAATCCTGGTGGACTTGCCATCTTTCCGCGAACGGGTGCAAAGTTCATGCGCTGCCGCCTGGCCGATTCCAAGCGCGCTCTCGAGGCGTATCCACTGCTGGCTACGCAAAGCTTATTTTGATCGTTTTCGCGAGGCGCTTGTTTGTAAGGCCTACGTAACCCTCTTCGTGGATGCAGTGCGCGATCTGCGGGAGGTCTTGCGGCAGTTGCTGCCGCCGCCGCCACCCTCGAAAACGCCCCAATCATCGTCGTTATCCGCTCGGCGAGAGGACGATTTCCCTGCAGAGGATCCACAACGGCAACGCCGTACGCTCTACGCTGCCGAGGTCGAGCGGATGCATGATGTAATCGACAGAGAACTGGATCCGTCTTATTGGCGTCAACGCCTGGAAGCGCTCATCGAGGCAGAGAACTCGACGACATCGACATCGAATCAGACGCTGCTACGCCAAGTCGCACTGGAGTCGCTCGCGCATATCATCTTTATTGCCGTGCAGGTTCTTTTCCTGGTCCAGATGCCGGCTAAGGACGCGTCACTCGTGCAAGCATGGGCACCAGCAGCCGATCGTGCCGCTGGAGTCACCGGGGAGAAGGCGGTGCTACGGCCGCCGACGCGGCACGCGGTCGCAAAAGCCCTGCAGGAGCGCATCAATCAGCATTCGTTGATCGAAGATGCCATCGTGCATGTCTGGGAGGAGCTGTTCGATCTCATTGAGGATCGTCAACGAGATTTGCGTATCGCTCGGATCGAGCGCATGATACCGCTGGTTCAGCAGTTTGGGCCTGCGCGGGAGTACGCTGTCATGATGAACAAGTTCCCGGGCCTGCCCCGAAGTCGTCAGTGGTTAGCGACTTTCGGCGCGTCCGCTGGCATCCAGTCTGGTTCAGAAGGCGCCAAGATGCCCGCTCCGAGGATCGACGCAGAATCGGCTACCGCGGGCACTAGACCTTTGCTGAACCCGCATCGACGAACGCAGCGGGATCTGATGACAACGCTGGGATTCACGCTGCAGCGTGTACTGATCTGGACGTTTACACACCCCGAGGCGGAGAGCCTGCTGAGCCCCGAGCAAATCCCCGAGATGCTCCTCCTGGATCGGGATCGTCTCCTCTCATGGCGAAACGCAGGCAGGTGTCTTGTCGAGAAAGCGGCGATGCTCCTGCGTACGCGCCACTGCGTGTACACAGGAGCAAATCTCGGCGCTCAGCCAGATGAGGTTTGGAGCGCGCTGCACGCTGCCATCAAGGCAAGTGGGCACGGCCTGAATACTTCGAACGTCGCCGAACGCATCCTTGATGCCATCGAATGCACCCTGGTATCGCTGGACCTCGACGTCGCTGCGAGAACAGAGATTATCCGTCGTCTGCGAGCGGCGCAGGTAGAAGCAGATGCGCTAGATACATTGCTGGAGAGGCGCCTTGCCGAGTTGTTGAGTGCACGGCAAGTCAGGGAGCTCCCTGCGACGTATCGCGTTTTTGGCACTTGGCATGAGGAGCTCAGGCATTTCCACAGCCAAATTCAACACTTGGGAATGCATTTGGCGCACACTTACGCGCCTATACTGGAAGTGATCTGGCCTGAAACGGTATCGCAGGTTGCGTCTACGGAAACACCACAAGCTGCATCCGAATACGAGTGAAGCGGCGACTCCGGAGGCAGCCATGCCGACCAGTGGCGCCAGCGCCTGTGGCAACTGGCTTCTGGCAGCTGGGCGGGTAAACTGCATACCAGCAGCTTGGACGTCAGCGGCGCTCCGGAAACGAACGCGCGTTTTTCCATACCGACCGCTGAAGAGATCTCCGTAGCGTGCTCTCCATCTATCGATTCATGGGCTCAGGTATGCGCTTGCCAGGACGCGGTGTTCCAGATCGCCACATCGGTATATAGCCTAGGGAACCGGTCAGCGTGACGCGAATCAACGAGAATTCACCCACAGAATATCCAAAGTAAAGACTGCATCCATTTGCTAGATTCCGCTGGTTGAGGAGCCGCCCAGTAAGGTTTCGCACCGTATGCGTAGCGGCGGCATTTACGCACCGTAGGGAAGCTGGCGATGTGCATATGGCGACGCGGGATCCATCTTGATCAGATGCTTGGCCCAGTTTCAACCGCCGCTCGTCATATCTACCCGCTCGAGAACTAGGGCAGTCGCGCCACCGCCGCCGTTGCAGATCGTTGCAGCACCGTACCGAGCCGTCCGACTGCGCAGGATGTTCGTGAGGGTCACCACAATGCGCGCTCCAGAGCAGCCCAATGGGTGCCCGAGCGCAATCGCACCACCCCAGGCGTTGACGTGCTCACTGCTGATGATATCCGGTAGAGCGGCACTCGAGCTGAGACCCGTTGGTGCAGAGACGCCACCAGCACTGGTTCCCGTACCTGCTGATCCCAACGAACGAGGAAGCGCTGCTGCTGCTGCTGCTGCTGCTGCTGCTGCTGCTGAACTGGAAGCGCTTGCGCTCACAGCAGCTGCGGCGCGCGCTCGTACTGGATCCAGAAAAGCTCCCTCTGCTGCATGTGTTGCGGCAAGCAACCTTAGTACCATAATGGGGACGCAGGCGAAGGCCTCATTGATCTCCAGGTAGTCGAGGTTCGAGAGCTTCAGGCCGGCCCTGGAGAGCGCGAGCGGTAACGCCAACGCCGGTGTCGTGGCAAAGCGTTCCGGGTCTTGCTCAGCATCACCATGCGAAAGCATGCGCGCTAGCGGCAGCAAGTTATATCGACGAACAGCTCGTCCTGAGGCCAAGACCAGCGCTGCTGCTCCGTCGCTTAGCTTAGAAGCGTTTCCTGCAGTGATCGTGCCGCCAGCGGGTCCCTCTGGGCCACCTTTGGCACCCGACGGGCGAGCGCCGGGAAACAGCGGCGCCAGCCTCGGCATCCGATCAATCTGCTCGAGTCGTTCGAGCTCTTCATCGCTCTTGAGCAGGGCAAGGTGCTCGGGACTCACAATGGTGCCATGGGTTTCGGTGTCCGGGCCCCCAGACGTAGTTCTACTAGAGTCCGAGAAGCGTTCCGGGGATGAGTGCGTCGCAAACTCGGTAGGCAGCTCTACGGGCACGATCTCTTTGGCAAAAAGCTGCTGTGCAGTCGCTTTGGCGGCGCGCGAGTAGCTATGCACGGCAAAGTTGTCCTGCTCTTCACGCAGAATACCCATGTTCGACGCCAAACGATCCGCGTAGTAACTCATGGGATAGCCTGCGTCAGCGTTGTCTTCTTCAGCGCCAACTGCCGTTGATGCGCCTTTCAACGAACCCCGCCGGCTGTAGCTGTCCAGGAGCCCGTCCAGGAGCAGTCCGTCGTAGAGCACGCGGTTGCCGAGCTCCCGAGCGAGGCGGCCTCGAATGAGATACTTGCGCCGACTCAACAACTGCTCGTTTTCCATTAGATAGAAGGGTGCATTACTCATGCTCTCCATGCCACCGGCAACAACGATTTCAGCGTGTCCCAGCCGGATTGCATCATACGCTAAAGTGATTGCCTTCATGCCGCTCGCACACACCTTATTGACTGTGAGGCAGCGTACCGTTTCCGGCAAGTTGGCTCGGAGTGCAACCTGACGTGCAGGCGACTGGCCACAGCCAGCTGTAAGCACCTGCCCCAGGTAGCAGTCCGTGACCAGGTCCGGCTCCAGACGTGCAGCTCGCGCGAGTGCAGCGTTCACCGCAATAACCCCCAGTTCAACGGCTGTCAAGTGAGCAAGCTTGCCACCGAAAGAGCCGATAGGCGTTCTTGCGAAAGAAAGAATGTAAACATCCTCGTCTTGCACTGCGCTGCCCGTGCTGGAGAGCGGACGAACGCTGTGAAAGAGTCCCGCTAGTCCACGAAGACGCTGAACGGCAGTGCCACGAGAACACAGCATCGAGCTCGGACGCGAGGCAAACAGTCAACAGCAAAACCCCTATTCAAGAAGCTGTACTCAGTGTCATCAAGTTTCTTTTGGCTTCCGTTGAGGCATAAACGGCCGCAGAGGCCACCAAGTACCAACACCTGAACTCAAGTGGCTGACGTCGAGCTCGTCGTCAGTGGAGCGGGCGACGTTGCAGACGAGCCGCCCTGTGGGGCTGCATCGGTCGCGGGAGTGTTGAAACGGACTGCATGCCAGCGTTTCCGTTTTCTTATGTAGAGTCGACGAGTTCTGTGACCCCGACGCAGACTATTGAGCTTATTGATCGTGAGTGTCGAGATGATGCACGTGATTGCAACAAGTATCGGACCAGGCTTCACGTGGAGGCTTCAGAAGGTTCGGGTCTCGCAGGGTCGCTGAACCCCCAGAGACTTGCAAACAAAAGCTGACAAAGACGGGAGCTCTCGCGGAACAGTGGAAGACTTTTGCCCGATGTCCCGCTGTTTTTGCACATCCGTCTGGTTCTGGTTAGATATCTCGATCTCGCGTTGTGCATGGCAAGCGGGTACACCCGCGCGCGTCTTTTCGCCGGGCGCAGTACGGTACAGCAAACGACTGACCGTGCTTCCAGAACTGGTGGGATCTGCTGAATACGCCCGACAGCGTAGCGATACGGCCCCGAAAAGCAATCTTGCGCGACTTGTGATGCGCTATCATAAGTCCGTCGGCAACGTGCTTCTTCGATGATACGTGCGGTAAATAGACAAGCCCCGTGGCGGGAATCTGCCTCGATCTATGCATTTTTTATGGCGCGAATCCCATGAGTCTGATCAGGTCTCCCACGGATGCGCCATTGCCACCAGAGACCCAGAAAGAGGCAACGGTCCCTGTAGTTTCGCGCCTAGGCAACGCATCCCCAGTACGTGATTCCTCTGAGTTGATGGTAGTTTTTTCACCGACCTGGTGCATGTCGCGCTCACCATGAGTGCCTGCTGCGAAGCGCGTTGTGCCGCTATTACCGTCGGCCTCAGTGGTATGGAAAAGCCGTTCTGTATGTAGGTGATGCATCTGCACCGGCGCTACCGGCGCTATGGCGGGTTCATTCTGCAGGCACTACCATCACGATTGTATGTATGAAACGACCTGTATACTCGAGAAGAAGTATATGTTATGGAATATGGAAGTAGGGGGTTTGTTGGATGCCTCACTGCGCGCTGACAGAGAAAGAAAAGAAAAAAATGGGGCACAGTCTCTGGAAACGCTGGCCAATGTCAATTTAAAAATCCTCTATCTTCGACGCTGTGGAAGCATCCGCGCGCGCGCGCACGCGGTAACAACTGCCTCTCTTTGCCTGGTAGACGTGTGGTGATGGAGTTTCCCCCGATCTACGACTGGTTCCTTGAGCCTGTCCTTGCTGAAGACGATAGAATTTCAGATGAAGATCGAGAGAATGTCTCGACGACAGCAAAGAAACAAAACACATATTTTACAGTGTGGGGCACGCGGGAAGCGGCGGCGGAATCGAACGCCGCTGGTGTTCCTGCACCGCCTCTGGATGCATCGTTGCTGTGGCAAACTTCGGCTGTAGTGGACGTGCAGACAGACGGGCGCGAATATACAGTCATCGAGACCGAGTCTGGTTCTCGGTACCGTCTCTGCGGCCGGATGCGTGCGGCGCACATGGTCACTGCCGGGTGGCCTGTTGCGACCGTCCGCGCCTTTCAAAGCGTAAATGATGGGAAAGGGACAGCGTTTCCGAAAAACTGGCGTGAGATTTTGATCGAAGGCTATCGTTCCTGGCGGGAGGTACGGAATCAAGTCGACTTGGAAAGCCGGCGGGCAGCGAGGCCGCATGCGACGCGAACGCGTTCGCACCAGCGCGGCCCACTGCTCGTAGTGGATGAGGAGCTCACCGGCGAGACCCCAGCCACGAAGCAGAACCCGTCGGACTGGCCCGTGGCCAGCAATACCGCAGAGCAGATGCGCAAGATACCGCAATCGATCTCTCGCGAAGCGCGGCGACTGTTAGAGCAGCTTGTTCGCGTCCGTTTCCACCACCCCGACCTCATCCTGGGTGCGAGCGGAACGAGAAGCCGAACAGGGTCTCTGCAAACTGCCTCAGCTATAGTTGGGTCTGAGGTTGCGACCCTACCGCTCCGCTCGCCGACAAGACGGAAAAGGGGGCGTCCGCGCAAACAACCCGTTGATAGTTCAAACAGCGCGGAAGCGAGCAACAGCAAAAGCTGCGAAAAAGGCACCCGCAGCGAATTCGAGAACATGGTTGCCTCCTCGCATCGAGTGGCTCATGCTGCATCCGCCAACAAGCGGAAAACGTCGTCGCGGGACCCGAATAGAGCAAGCGCTTCCCAGTGCGGGCAACGCGCTACAGAGGATCCATTCTCTGGTGACGCTGCGGCTGCGTCTGTGATGATGCCACTGCATGATCGCATGACCCCGGCAACACGCGAGCACTTCCAAAGCAGTTTAGATCCAGCATCAGGAAAGATCAAGATGATGCCTGCATCCAGTTCACCATCAGCGAGCCGAACTTCAGGCGCTTCTCAGAATAAGCGTCGTCCCAGAAGGGGAGCGGAGCAAGCCCCAAGCGCGAGCGAAACAACGACAGGCACAGAACAACGCGGACGGCAAAAGATTCAACGCAAGTCCGCAGAACCTTTGTCGCCGGGCGCCTCTGGAGAAGAATCTATCAACACCACATGCACGGAGAGCGTCAGCACAGTCGGTGAGCTGAAATCTGAATCCAAGGATGCAGCTACAGCATCGACGGCACTGCACACCCACAAGCGGCACTCGAAACGAGTCCGCTTTGAGATGCATCCCATGCCCACCAAACCAACACGCAAACGTGCTTCTAAATCGGATGCGGCCAACGCGGTACCCGCCGCACCTGCGCTCGAGAAAGCTTTGGCAACTTTGCGCCAAACTAGCAGCGGCCGAGGAGAAATGAGCACCAAACGTCAGCGAGCCGCCCTCCGGCTCGTTTCCGATGCGGCAACCATGCTCTATGCAGGAGACAGCATTTTTGTGCAGGACGAAAATAGACCGCGAGCACTGGAGGCTCCCCAGAGCGCCTCAGATGATTCGCCTCGTCCATCCCGAGCCGGCCGACTCCCCAAGGCGGCCTGGTCTAAAAAAGGGAAACCATCCACACACGATGCTTATCTAGAGCAATTACAGCGCCGCCGTGCCGCATCGAAGACGAAGAATACTGAAAGCCGCGAATCCAGAGGAAAAGTAACCTCATCGCCGAAATCCCACGTGCCAGCACAAACCGCGCTCGATCGTTGGATGCACCGCGTCAATGACCTGGACGCACACGCAGCGTGCGATACAGACTTCATGGCGTCTGACGCGGACGACTGCTTGGACTCTGCAGAGTTCTAGGGATGCCCCCAGCTGCTCGCCGAGCCGCAACCACGCACGTCCAGCACATGGCGATTCCGCAATCACATCGCTCACTAGGCGGCGCCGGTTCGGGTCATAGACGCTATGAACTCGATATTCGCCCCAAGTGAATGCAAGACCCCCTTGAATGGAGAAATCCCCAGCAGACACCAAAAGGAGACTCCACCAGCTCTACCAACGAGGACAGCGACACGCATCGCGCATGCACGCGCACTGCCAATGCGTGTCGCATACCAAAGACACGCACAGGACACGTCACTGCACGCGCGCTGTAGCGGAGCGCCTTGAGCGATTATCGTGCGCCAGCAGCGTACCGCTGCCGCCCTGCACGCTCGCCATTCGGGTACGCGCACGCAGCGCCTGTGCGGCGCCGATGAAGCCCGCATGGCGCCACCTATCGCGTATCAGGCGCTTTCAGGGTATTCGCAGCGCTCGCGAACAGACACCGTGGGCAGTATCGAACCACGGTCGAGGCGACTGCGCGCAAGCGCATATTTGCGCCCTCGAACGAAGAGCGCTCGTTGTACCAGCGCCCCGCACATGGACTTGAGACCAAACCAGAGTACGGGGCGACGCTTGCTTGGTGCTCGTTCGCTGTGGGACTCTGCGGGAGACTCGCCGGTGCCGGTGCCGGTGCACTTTGCGATGGACACCGAACGCGTATACGGCCTGCCTGGTCCGGGGGCTGGGCGCGCGCGTTCACACACACACGTAGCAGCGGGCATCGACAGAGCCAGCTCCGCAACCGCATTTCCATCAGGTGGAGCGCGGGCCCGTTCGCGAAAAGCGCTCAGCAAGTCGGCGCATTTCAGACTCGTCCTCATTAGGGGAAGCATCCTGGTGCTCGTGATACCCGTTCCGCTGAGCACGTTGCAGACGCATGCGCAAACGATCACGGCTCGTGGCCTCTGTCGTGGCGGAGGCGCCCGCCTGGTTGCTGTCACCATCTCCAGTCGATCGATGCGCAGCCCGAAAACGATGGCGTTCCCTTTCCAGCCGGCGTTCTTCAGCAGCTGTACGTTCTCGTTTCCGCTGACGCACTTGCTGGAGGTATTCGCTGCGCTCGTACTCGACTCGCGCGTGCTCTAGCGATTCGAAGAGCCGATCCATACCCTCGCCGGTGGTTGCGCTGACAAACACGCACGGGACCTGTTGATAGAACTCGTTCAGGGCTAGCGCGAGACTACGTGAGAAACTCACCGCATAGTCACCGCCGCCAGGGGTGCGGCTCGCTTCGTTACCGGCTTCGAGGGCTGCATCGAAAGCCTCAAAATCGTGCATCCATGTTCCTAAACGATCTGCCTCCTCCCTGGAGACACAGTCACACTTGTTCCACAAAACAAGGAGAGGAATTCGTGATCTGTACAACATCGAACAGGCGTAGAGCATATTACTCGTAAATGTGAGCACGTTCCGAACACAGCGCGGAATGTCCACTACATACAGCAATACAGTGGGGTACTCGGCAACCGCTGCCAGCGTTTCCGTCACAATCATACCTGACGCAGACCAGGTAAACGCTTCAATCTGCCCAGGTGTGTCGAAGAAGATGAAACGTGGCGCCGTCGAGCTCGCGAGCACCTGGTCGCTTTCATTCGCGGTTGCATTTTCGCGACTTGGACCACAAGCACTCTCTATAAAATCGAGTACACGCTCAAACTGGGCTGCAAAAAGGTTCAACGCCGTCAGAATTGCACCATTCGGACCGAGCCTGTACTCTTCCATGACACGCGAGTACGACACAGTGTCGCGGATATCCAGATCAGCTGGGAACGACAGCGTCTGCACAGCTGGGTCGAGATTGATCGCTTTCCAGGCCCACTGCTTTTCATTCGCGTGCGAGACCAACCGCGAAACCAGGGACGACTTACCGCTCCCAGCCATACCAACAACCAAGCAGTTTATCGGTTTTGCTGTCTGCCCTGGTGGCGACGTGCAACGCTCCAGGCCGGGTACTCGACTGTGTCCAACACCTGCATCGCTGAGACCAGCGTGCGGTTGCGGGTAGACTTCAGCGGAATCGTTCGCAGAGGCTCCATCGACACTTCCAGCGTCTATCATGAGCAACCAAACGGCGACGAACTCAGTCTGCTAGAGAGGATTGCACCAGCTTCTCCCACACCGGAAACGCAAGCACAGCGCTGCTGGATCGTTGAAATGCAAGCGGACGAGCGGCACCCGCTTGCGTAGCGGTAGCGAGCCGCTGACGCCCGCGTCGCTTCCCTTAGAAACAAAGCTGATACAGAGTGCAAACAGACTGCGTGATCAGATTCGATGTAATCCACGGTTAACACTAGGCTTGCTGCGTTACTGCGTGCAAGTGTTCCCAGCGCTCAAAGAAAGCTCCGCCTGTGCCGGGGGCGCCCTCTGCTGGGGCAGGCTTCGGGAGCACCAAACCTGTGCGCTTTATCTCCAGAGGCATGGTCGCACACTTCATGATGCATGGCCAATATGCACGGAAGACGCGTAGTGTATTGATCGATATAACGTATACGTGGTCTGGATAAGGCGAGCTCTGTTCAGCTTCTTCGCAAGCATGCGTGCGAGCGAATGCCTTCGACCTTGCTCGAGTGGAATCCTACGGCATTCTGACGGCCTGCCGCAGCCTTTGACAAGTTCATCAAAGATACATGATCGACGCTGCCAGGAAACGAAGGTCGGTAGGGATTCAGGTCTGCGAATGACTACCAGAGGCCGGTATAAGCTCTCGAGACTGGGCGGCAGAGCATACAAATCCCGAGAGCATTCTGTAGAGGGCATGGCTGGCTCCACTCGGTAGAACGAAAACTTTTAGAACCCTAGGGTGAATGAATACCAACTGGTAGACGCACCACAGCCTTTTTCGACCGGCCCCCTGCCATGCGTTTCATCCTCTCCTTGGATACCTGGAGGCTTCGAGGACACCCCAGGAAGCTGGATCGCTTCATCTCCTCGGGTCTCGTCTTCAGCGCCACACATCGCCTCATATTGTTGGCGACGTTGCATTCTCGGTTCACGAACCCCATGCGTTTATCGCCTCTGACGGAACGCAGCCATGCAAGGAGTGATCGAACCCGTGCCCTCTATGCTACCCGGTGCTCTGTCAGCTCGCCGTGCATATCTGTTGCCGAAGCGCTCCGCTGGCTTATCTCCGTCTCGACCCTCTGAAGTGTACACCCCAGCTCAGCCGTCAGATTTTTTATTTCTTTAAATGGACGCACTTTTTTACGCCTTGAGGTAAGGACGTCTCCGGACAGAGGTGGACTTGCGGAAGAGCGACGAGGCGTACCCGGGCGTCCCGGTGTGCTGAACGCTTCAGCGGTTCGCCCAGTGGAGCGATCACCACGTTCGATGATAAGAAAGACTTCTTCGATGGCGTTAAACTACGGCGCGTACGGAGGAATGAAAAGCGGCTCTATTCCAACAGAATCTGCAGAGACTCGAACGCAAGAAGAATCGTGAAATGTCACGTTGTCCAACAGAGGGTTGTCAGAAGACGTCAGAGAACCGTCTTCAGTGATTCGACGAATTCGTTGCTGCTCTTGTATGTGTCTTGTCTATGAGCGAAACTGAGGCCGCCAAAAGAATCCACTGCAGCTCGAACAGTTGATGACATGCTCGTTCTCTAAAAGTTCGTTCGTACATAGCACAGACGCCATCTCCGAGGATACCCATAAACGCACCGACCGCCTCGTCCGAAGGAAGCCGCATCGACTGGGAAAAAACAAACCGACGTCCGTGGACGTCATACTGATCGCTGAGTTCCAGGAACGCTGCCATTTTGGTGCCGGTGGAAGATGGCCATGCGTGGACCCGGACTCTCTTTAGCGACTGTACCCTAGAGTTTTCAGCACCACACGAACAAGCTGGTGGGAAACAGAGTCGCCCATGGTGGCTACTATCGTCGCTATTTCCTTCCAGAACAGGTGATCAACGGGTGGTTTTCTACCATTGACCGCATCCAGTCTTCGAGAATATCGGCTTTTGGCGCGGAGCGCGTATTCTTGGTTGTTTCAGAGTTCCTCAGCCATCTGAGTCCTGTTGCATAACTGACCTGAAGGAGGAATGCAGACCTCCATGCACTGTTCCTTCACGAGTATATTCCTGCAGGTAATCCCTCTACGATCTGTTCGGTTCATTGGCTAGTCTTTTCGATCTCCTGCTACGCACTGCAGCGCAGACGAAGGAATTGAATTGAAAGACTAAAAACGCCTCCACTGGATCCAGCGGACGCTACTCGCAACACCGTTTGGTGATATCTCTGTACTTGACGTTTTCGTGGTGCCACTTTCTGGACGAGTGCTGAGCAGCGCTCGGTGACGGGGCGCATTTCGCCCTGTGCCTTTAGAAAAGTAGCCGAGAAGACTGCGAACGAACCGAAAGAGCGGAAGTGTCTCTTGCGGAACGAAGACTTGTGTCAACAGTGACGGAACTCGCGTGCGACAAAAGCTGGTGCCCGCCACCGCACACATAGTTGCTGTGGACTTTCGCTCGGGCGTCCTCGATGCAGTTTGGATGGCGCTCAGAAGCGCATCGCGTTTGTGGCTTCTCGAAACTCGCCGCGGCGCCTTCTTGGGAATCTGGAGCGGACACCGGCCGGTCCAAGCCTGACTCTGAGAAGCGCAAGCACACGCTTTGGATAGTGGCCAGAGAGTCCGTCGCGGATGCCGCTGGAAGCAACAGGGAACGGTTTGACAGTTCGCGGGCCGGTGCAAGAGCGCGCGCTTCGAGTTGCTGCGCACTGCTTCTGGAGGCAAGCGGCGAACAACGCAGCACATATGCTGACGAACGAGCAACCACAGGCACGTTTGCGGAAGAGTATCCGAAGCGGGTCGCAGGTATGTGTCACGAAAGGCAAACGCAGAGCGCTGCAGGAGCTCACGCCCGGACGCTTAGCAGCAGCAGCAGCAGCAGCAGTGTTGCAAACTGCTGCGCAATGGAGCCTCCCATGATCACGCAGAGCGCCATGTCCGAGAAGCAGCATTTTTTCGCAGGTGAGCGATTACACTTGGAGCGAACAGCGACATCCTGGGGTTGTGGCTCGCCTTCAGTGCGGGTCGTTCATCGAAGCACTTTACGAGAGCCAAGGCAACCGAACGATCGCCGTCTTTCAGTGCGCCTCCTGCGATGTTTCGGATTTCTCGGTCAGAACAGGAAAGGGGGCTTCCTGGTGTCGGTGATCCTGCCCGGCAAATCCAAAACGAGTCGAGGTTCACTGGAGAACGACCCAACCGATGCTGCATGGCGAGGACAGAGGCACCTCGAAGTGCCGGACACGGCGAGTCAAGTTCGCGAACATACGGCACCGCGGGACCCGCAAGGAAACCAATACGCCGTGTGGCGATGTGCCGCAGACTTTTTGGAGCTCAGGTCGTCGCTTGAGCGAGTCCATCCAGCCTGTATCATTCCTGTGTTACCGTCGATTCCGCTTTGGCTGGAACTCCGAGCGATGTTCAGCAGAGGAATTGCAGCGCAGGTCGCGCGCGACCTGGAGCGCTTCCTGGGCCGCGTCCTGAGCCATCCGGTTCTGCGACAGAGTCCCCTGGTGGATGCATTTCTCAGGTGTCCGGAGGACCTCCGCTGGATGCGTGCAGCGGGAGCGCCCACTTTTGAGGAAGCTCCGCCGGTGGTTGCGGTTGCAGGACGGCACCCGCTGCCCGACGCACCAAGCTGCCGGATGCCTTCAGGTCCGTCCTGGAGGGCGTGGTTTGCGTCGTTGAGGCCGCACGCCTTGGTTGCCGCGCTGCATTTCTGGCACTGGAAATATCGCCTTCGGATCGATGAATGGATCACAGGCTTGATACAGCATCCAATGCAGCGCTCTCGATGGGAATGCACTGCATTCGGCGAAAGCGGCAACTTGACTGCGCTGGAGGGGGGTCTTCCTGACTTGGAGATTTTGCTTCAGACACAAGAGAAACTGTTACGAACCTTGCAGGTGCGTGTCGACAGGCACGTACGCTGCGCCAATCGACTTGCCCGGGAAGCAACTCGAGTTGCTGAGACGCTGGAGCATCTGCAGCGTCTCGAGGAAGCGCTTTCCGGCGAGCAATCGCGACGATGCGGCTCCGATCGCTACTGTCGTTGCAGCTGTTGCCGACTGCAAGCCGGTAGCCCAGCTGCAGAGGTACGTCGCGGAGATGCGCTCGGTGACTTGGCGTTTCTCCTTTGCAATGAAAGAAGCATTGCAGGCGAGGCATTCGTAGACCTAGACACGATATCATCGCCGATCAACGGTGCATGTGTTTTCCCCGATCCGGAAAACGAGCTTCGCGAAGGAATGGTTTGGCGTGCATTCCACGAGCGCATCAAGGATCTGGCGGGCCTCTTCGAGGATGCCCGGAGAGCGCTTCGCGTCATACAGTGCTGGCGCGACCGTTATCTTTACTTGGCCGAGCTGAAGGTCACTGGCACGCAGGGCACGGCGTTAGCGATAACGCCACCCGCACGAAAGGAATCTACTGCCCAGGTGCCCGATCAAGCACCAAACGCAAGCGCGCTGTTTCCGGTCGACACGAGCACCGGAACCCTGCGAAGCACCGCGGAGGCCGTCGGTTGGGATACGCGTGCGCTGGACGCCTCGTGGAAGTTCGATCCAGCATTCGAGGCTACTGAGGCCCGAACAGCCCGCGTGCGTGATCGCTACGTCCAACACTCGACGTGCTTCTATCTTGATCTGCTTCGCTTGCGCACCTATGCACCGGCGGAGCTGGCTGTGGCGGCAAGGCGTCTCGAGCAAACGATACGTGTCGAGGGTCAGCGGCGGGCAGCCCGAAGCTAGCGCATTCGCGTCAGACGCCAAGGAGCGCAGTCCCAGGGATGCTTTCGCAATTCCCAGCCTTTGCAGATTCAAGCAGTGCGTGCACATTCAACGTGCCCATGGGCGCTTTCGTAACTCGGAACCGCTGCGGAACCGAGCAGCGCGTGCAAACTTGGAGTCGCTCTGAGGGCATCGTAAACATCAGCAGGGGCGATCTGCAGCCGCACCTTGGCGCTTGGCAAAGAGAGGCCGTATTGCGCTCCACGCTTACACGCCGCTGCATACGTTACCATACCGTGATGTCGCAGAGAGATACTGCAAATCTCATGCAGCGTCGAGAGATCCACGGGATCCAAACGAAGCTTGGTGAAGAGACGCCGCGCCTCTGCGCACAAATCGCGCAGTGTAATGGCGGTGCTGTGTGCGTTCTGGGCGAGCACCCACAGAATCATCTGCTGCTGCGTCGGCAGGGATCGAATCGTCTCCAGGACGGAATTGGCATTAGGCTTGCTGTACAGTTGAGTGACCACTGCCTGCAGCGCGGCGACCGCTGAATGCGCGCTAGGCCTGGTCTCTGTTGCCTTGTCCACGATGCTTCGACAGGCGCTCAGCATGGTTCGAACATCGCCCTGATGTGCGGCTGCGACTTTACGAGCTGCCAGCTCCAGTGCAGACGCCTCGATGCCGTCCCGGGATGCCGTTTGAGCGCATCCTTGCTCTAGCAACCGCTCCACGGCAATGGCGATCAGATCTTCAGCTGTATAAGGCGTGAAAATGAGCACGTTCGGCTCGATGCTTGTAGCACAGCGCAGCGCCGGCAGCACTCGCTCTGTGAAATCCAGTGCATTCGCGATGCCGATGATGCAGCAATGCTCCGGGAAACGCGTTGGTATCGTTAGAAGCGAATACGCGAGGGAACGTCGTCCACGCTGTGTCAACCAGAGATCGATCTCGTCCAACACCAGGCAGAGTGGTCGACGATTGCCCTGGAGGCGGCTTTGAAGCAGCGTATCGATCGCTTGCGGGTTCGCGCCAAGCGAACGAGTCGCCTGGCGACGCGCCTGACCAGCACCGTTGGCACGCAACCTCGCTCCCGTTGTCTTCGGAGGAGCTAGGGCATTGGCGAGCGTCTCGATCAGCATATCATCTCGCAGAATCCCCGCGAGATTGATATGCACGCCTTGGAGACGTGTTCTGAAAGCTGCGAGGGCTCGCTCGACAACGTAGGTCTTGCCACTGCCGGGGAGCCCTGCGATGAAAAGAGACTCTGAGGTGCCGTCCCTGAGCAGCGTCTCGAGTGCTCGGCAAACGCGCTGGAATTCGACGGCGCGTCCCGCTGGTGGTGCGTCTGGTGCACTCGCTCCAGCCTGAGCCCCGGCCTGTTGCGTTCTTCTGGGCGAGCGCTGAGGCGCACGGCCGGCTCCGGTTCCTTCTGGTGTAGCTCCCAGGCTCGAGCATTGTTTCTCCTTGAGACACTCGGTCGCCGCAAGGCCCTGCTTTGTCTTCGTGGACGTCAAGTTTATTCGTTGACGTTTGCAGCTCTTGAAGAACCCCTCCATTGTGTCCTGAACCTGTCGCGACATTTATGGCTTTCGTAGTATTGGAGCCTTACAGTGTTCGCGTTTTGCAGTAAATAAATAACACCTCAAGCGGTTGCTTCAACAGAGTCCGTCGAATAAGGATCGCCTCCGTTTTGCAGCAAATGACGCTGCACAACTGTAACGACGCAAGTATGACTGCAGAAGTGTACTTGGGCGAGTACAAGAGTGCGAGTATTAGCGCGCGAGTATAACCGCCGCAGCGATCTGCCGCGCATCGCAGATTTCGCTCTGTGCAGCGAAACGCGCGCCTCGCCGTGGCGCGGGATGTACAGTTGCTCGATAAACCGGTGTCTGACTAGCACGGAGTGCTGGGCGGAACGTTCTGTTTCTGCCTTGCGACTTTTTCCGAACTTTTTTACATGTACTGGTTTGGCATTCGAAGCGCATCAATAAGAGATTTCAAATCCTCAAGTAGAGTGAGGACTCCTAGTCTCCACTGCAGCATGGCTCATTCGAGTCTGCCGCTGGAATTCGTAACGTCATCGGAATCAGGACGATTCTCGTTGCCGTCAAGCCAAGGTTTGTAAAATAAGCAATATTGTTATTCATTCTATACTTGCAAGCCTCCAATTTTGATTTTACCGGTCAAGTAACGTGCTGAAATCATCCATGAATCATGTTGTCAATCTCTTTGTTTCGAGGCAACTCGTGGGCGCAGGGATGCTAATCGCTGCGTGGAACATGGAAAACGTGACTTGATGTCGCCCTTCGACTACTTTGTTAAAAGCGCATCACAAAATTTAACTGAAATCGTCACCTCAAAAAATAGATTTCGTTTGAAAGAAAAATCCTCCTTTGTGTTAGTTCATGGACGGAAGCGGATTCCGCAGCAGAATGACGCCTTTCATGGGACATGCGCCGAGAAGCAAGCGTCTCTTGTGTTTGCATAGAAAACGGTCAACGACTCGGGCTTGTGTCATGGCTGTGATCGAAGTCATTGGCGGGTGCGTCACCGAGCTGTACAAAAGGAGCGCATGCAAATCGATACCACACGACTGGTTCTCCGGTCTGGATTTACCCGCCGCTGCTTGTTTCATCATACACAACATTACGTACCACAAATCCTCTGCCGAATGGAACAAGATGCGCCAGCGCATGCAGCGGACAGCGTACTCGCCTCGTGAATCGCCCCGCTGAGGCGTGCGATCACAGGCTACTGTGCCGAGTCCGAAAACGGCAGACGCCATCCACGCAAGACTTCAGTTCCAATCAAGAGCACTTAAACGGCCACGAAGCGAGTGTTCGCGCCCCACATGGCGGCACGTGAAAAAGGATATGTCCTGGACATTTACGGGAACCTTCCCAGAGCAAGTTGATGCAAGTGCGAAATGCGCACCGAAAGCGTACGCAAACAAGATGAAAAAGGTAAGCGAGGAATTCATCGCAACAATCGTATGCGCACGAAACGTGTCGACAGCAACCGGAAGCTGCGAAATCGGGACATGAATGCTCTCTCCAGTATCCTTCGACTGCTGGCAAGGGAACTGGGGAGATAGGTGAGGGCGACGTACTGAGAGCCGGAGATGAGAGAGAAGAAAAGGACGCAGTCGCACAAAAACCCTCTAAGGCTAGTATTCATGACATTCGGAAAACGCAAACATTCGTGTGTTCGTCCGAGTTAGCGAGTTCGAGTTCGTTCTCTCTCGTGTTGACGTGGGATTAGCAAAAAACGCTGCGGGATAATTAAGACTAAAACGCGAGTATCTGAGCGCCAGCAGTGCTCTCCAGCGCAAGTGACGTAACCGCTGAGTCTCTGTACACGGCAAGATGTAACTGCAGCAGAACTATTCATTACCGATGCAAGGCGTCCTCGTCATCGCTCTGGTGCGGCTAGGAGCGTCGTGGCTCGTGCGGAGGCGTCTACGCAGCGCGCAACGCTTATCCAAGCTCTTGACCACTGGCGGTTTCGTGCCGCCGCATGACCTCGTTTCAAGCAGCAGTGAGGGATCCTCATTCTCGGGATCCCACACAGTCGATAATACTAATTTTCCAAGGATTCCACAAAGTAGCTTCACTGCAGATCGAGCTCAGCGGCACCGCATCCGGCCTCGCAGTGGAAGACGTCGGCGGACTCAATGTCGGTGCTGAATACCTCTTTTGGGAAATCGAGTCCAGCGTTCGCAAATGCAAGTCGCTCACATAGAAAAAGACACTTTTGCACGAAAAATTGCAATACAAATTTGAGCATACCTCCGCATTGCTTACAGTATCGCTGCTCCCGCGGCGACGCCTGGCGATTCCGACGCTCGGAGAGTAAAAGCGGCATCGGGTCACCGAAACGCACGCATTGCTGGGAACAGCGTTCGAGACGCAGTCGCGCTTCATTGACAACCGCGTCCTCGTCTTCTGAGTCCGATGTCAGTAGATCCTCGGCAGAGTCATCCATGGGTTCCTGAGTCCACTCTAGCTCAAGGCTACTTTGAACTGAACTACGTGGTGGTCGAGTGGTTTGCCGCTGGTGGGCATCGTCGCCAGGCTCCTCTGAGCCCAGGGTCAACTGCTCTCCAAGCGCCGTAGCTGCAGCCGACTCGGCACGATCTTCAAGCGCGCTCCAAAAGTTGGCGAGCAGGCCAGGCTTTCCATGCGGACGAGAGTTCTGCTGTCCAAGTTCTCCCTTTTGCTCATCGGTGGCGTCCATCGTGCTGAATACGCAACGCCACTCCAAGTTCGCAGTCGTTAAGGACTGGCCACGCAGCAAGCTTTCCCCTGATTTTCCCACAAAAATGAGAAACATTCGGTCAGTAGTGCCTTCATTATCTCGCTCGCACGTGGTTTTGCATAGGCGTGCAGGTAAACGCACTTGAACGAGTAGGCGAAAGCCCTGCGCCTCTAGGCTCCGTAGCGTCTCGTGGACGTGTGCGTCCGTGAGCGGTGGCGGTTCTCCCGCAACACGACTTTGCCACAGCTGACCTGGTCGGCCGGTCGGAACCAGTAGCCAGACCTTGGAAACACTCATCTGCGTGGACGGCTCTGTTCTACGCAACCTCCGTGGGCCGCACCCTCGAGTACAGCGAAGTGGCGTAGTCGTTGGCGGGCCGGAACGCCACGGGCGTTTTCGACGGCGCGGCTATCGCGGGGTGAGTCTGTGTTCTGCGGCACGACGCTAGCTGCATCAACGGGACAACGCGCTTGTCTCACGGTTTGCACAGAGCTAACTTCCAGTCAGATGTGGTTGTATGCAGTAAACAGTGGTTTCACGCAAAGACGCTCGTGCACGAGATGGGAACGATTTTCGTCCACGTGCCCGCGAGCGGTAAGCACAAAGGGCAGAGTCTGCACACGCAGCACGCGGCTCAGCGTTCAGTGCAGTGCTAGCAGCGGGCAGGACCGGTCAGACATGGGCGGGGACGTGCCTCACTCAGCGGAGCAGGCGGAGAGCAAATCGGTGTCCAGTGGGAACGGAAAGAGTCCGGTTGCCGGCGCCAACGCAGGTCGCGCTGACGACCTGTCAGGGCGTGTTGACGACACCCCGGCAGGCGCTCAGGTTGAAGCGAGCGCTGCGCCGCGGCAGTCGCCAGTCCAGCAGCCACCTATTGGGCCTCGACGGAAGAAACCCAAGGCGGATGAATACGAAGAGCTTGGAAGTGCCGACATTGACGTGAATGCAGACTACGAGATCTGGCCCGGAAGCTGGCTATGCGTGGACTGCGGCTGGGAATATTCGACGAAGGCATTCGGTATGCCACTCGAACTGCAACCGGAAACCTTTCGCTGTCCTCAGTGTGGAGCGCGGAAACGGCGCTTCGCCAAGAAGCTAGGCAGCAAAGTAGCCATCACCCGTGATACGAGCAATTTACCCATCTTTGTCATGAGTATGTTGGGGCTCCTGGCGGTCATCGCCTTTGGCATCTGGGCTGCAAATAAACTCTGAGGGCAGCTGTTGTACGTCGGGGCGCACACGCAAGGACTCCTTGGGATGAGAGGTTCATCATGGGCAAGTTTGACTCTTTTTGCTTCCTCGGCGCGAAGCGTTCGATTTCGCGCGCACGTCGCCGGCCGGCTGCGGCTGGCGAGTCTTCGCTACACGGCGCGCGCGCGTCGCCCCTTTACGACTTCTGTGCACCGTTGCTGTGGCTTCACGCGCAGTACAACGTACTGTTTGCGCAGACGCAGCTTTCGGGTCGGTGGCGCTGATAGTCACCTGGTCTGGCAGCGCGTTTGCTGGTGTGCTTGTCTTGGGTGCTTTGCCTCTATTTGGGAGGACTGTTACGGAACGGAGGGCACTGCTGCTGGCCGTTTCCTTGGGAAGCCAACTTCCGCTCGCATCTGCACCGCGTGTACACACTCGTGGCTGCGTCGCCACGGAAGCGAACAGGGCTGTCTGTAAACCTCTTCAACCGTTCACGTCGTGAGGTAAAGAGGGTGTCCCAGGCGTTGCAGTGGGGTTTTCTCGGCACTCGTGGGCAACGTTTGGAACATGGGTTACGATGTGGACAACATTATTGAGCGTCTTCTAGAAATCAGGGGGCGACACGGTCGTCAGGTAAACCTCGCAGAGGATGAAATAAAATGGTTGTGTATGGAGACGCGCCGAATTCTACTCGAACAACCGATGCTTCTCGAGATCGAAGCCCCCGTCAAGATTTGCGGCGATATCCACGGACAGTACCAGGATCTACTGCGACTCTTCGACTATGGAGGCTATCCTCCCGAGGCGAACTATCTCTTTCTTGGAGACTATGTGGACCGCGGCAAACAGTCCTTGGAAACCATATGTTTGCTTATGGCGTACAAGATTCGTTACCCGTGCAACTTTTTTATTTTGCGCGGCAACCACGAGTCGGCAAGCATCAATCGAATTTATGGCTTTTACGACGAGTGCCGGCGAAGATACAACGTGAAGCTCTGGAAAACTTTTTGTGATATGTTCAACTGCCTGCCTGTAGCTGCCATTGTGGATGAAAAGATTTTCTGTTGTCATGGTGGTCTCTCGCCAGAACTCACTTCGATGAATCAAATTCGGCAACTTCCACGTCCGACGGACGTGCCCGACCAAGGCCTCCTCTGTGATCTTTTATGGAGTGATCCGGATAAGGATGTGAAAGGCTGGGGCGAAAACGATCGAGGAGTTAGTTTCACCTTCGGACCAGACGTTGTGAAACGTTTCCTCGAAAAATTTGAGCTCGATCTCATCTGTCGCGCCCATCAGGTCGTTGAGGATGGATATGAATTCTTCTGTGACCGCCGCCTTGTTACAATTTTCTCGGCTCCAAACTACTGCGGAGAATTTGATAACGCTGGCGCGATGATGAGCGTAGATGAAACGCTCATGTGTAGTTTTCAGATTCTCAAGCCGACGGATAAGAAAGCCAAATTCGGCATCTCTGTTGGTTCAGCTGTGAATAATGTGGTGTCAACGTATACTGGAGGCGGCATACCGCGCTCCATCACGCCACCGCGAATACCGACGCGCAAGAAAAAATGAAGGAGCTAAGGCTGGCTAGGATGGTATTTGACACGAGTCGAGCCGTGCTGGGCTCGAGAGGTTTTCAACGAGACTCGCTCTCATGCATCGATGCCTGCATGTGTTCACGAGGGCAACACTCCCTGACCAACGGAGGCCTCGCACTGCTGATTCGGGGCGCGGTGCTCGAGGCACCTGCACGGTGACTGCATCCGAGAAGCCTCCTCTGAATATGATAGAAACAGTCCCGTTTTGGTCCATGGGCAAACTGGATGCGGATGCACAGACTGTACCATCTGCGGGCTATTGAGCGCTCCTATTGCATTGGCAAAGGATGTTGCTGAATGTTTCCCGCAGAGTTTAGAGCCCCAGCGTCCAATTATTTGTAAACTGGAGCACTCGCGGCCGTCAGAGAGTCTGGTTCAAAGACGAATGGAAGGAAGCTGTGCTCTTCTTATGGTGGACGCCGCCAAAAGTTGCTGCGCCTCGGCAATACTTCGGACAGGGCTCGCTCGTATTAGGAACGGGGCAGTTTGGGCAAACGTGACAATCTGGAACCTATGGTGGCCGCCGAACGAACTGATCAATGCGTCGTTTTTGTATAGGACGCCTTCAACAAATGGACGGCGCACTATCCAAGCAGTGGTAGCGAGCACGGATACCCCTCCCTGCCCCGCCCCCGCTGACTGGGACATCACGTCCACCACAAGACGTCTGCAAGGTTAGAAGGAAGGATATACAAGAAAACTGGAGCATAAAAACCAGCGTTTTGTCGTTGGTTGCGGGATAGAACGTGAAATACTTTCCAAAAATTTCCACCAAGCGCAGAACACGTGTTCTTCGCACGTGGCTGGGCTTGAGGCATGCCCGTCACAGACGGACCGGTTAAAAAGTCCACTGTGGTAAATTGTTTGTGTTCAGCATACCGTTACCCATCGGAGAACCTCATCTGGGCAACAACCGACACTGCGCAAGTATGGAAAACACCAAGTAAGAAATATGTGTACTTTCGACGCGCGCGGGTAGCCTAAGCCATTCATGGCGGCGGCGGCGGCGGCGGCGGCGCCATGCCAATCGCGAGTTTTCTTGATTGATGGATCGTTGACAGGGACCAAGGATCCGTGCTTAGAGGATGACGATCGATATCGGCGGACTTTCGCGAGTTTCCTTGATTGATGGATCGTTGACAGGGACCAAGGATCCGTGGTTTGAGGATGACTCTCGATATCGGCGGACTATCGCGAGTTTTCTTGATTGATGGATCGTTGACAGGGACCAAGGATCCGTGGTTTGAGGATGACTCTCGATATCGGCGGACTATCGCGAGTTTTCTTGATTGATGGATCTTTGATAGGGACCAAGGATCAGCGATGACAGGATGATTACCGATATCTGGTGCCTCTGGCGAAGCGTCGGCAGCGCGCGTTCATGTGTTACCATTGGCAGCTGCTGTACGTGGCATTCAGTGGTGTCTGATGCGACAGGCCCATTCGATGTACCTCTACGAATTGTTTCGTACGGCATCCAAAAAAAGTGATCTCAGATGCATCGATTCCAGATGACTAGGAATCGTTCTGAGCGACATCTGAATCTGTTCAAATTGAATCTGCTCCAAAAAGCTTGGAACTGCTCAGTGTTATTTCCGGAAAGATCATCTCAAGTAGATCGATTCTATACGTCATAAAATCGCCCGGTGTGACGTCTAGAAAGGCATTTCGAGATGTAGCGACAGTTCCGTCGGAGATAGCTCTATTCGAGCAAGAGCCTCGATGGCAACATCGCATACCGTGAAGCATCTTTCTCGTGGTGAAGATTTCCGCCAGAAGCGCTTCATGCCATAGGCACTGTTCCTGCGCAGCGGTTCCCAAGCTGAGTTCAGCGCCATCACACTACCGATCCACAAAAAGGGTATCGCTGGTCACGGCTGCTGTGTTGGAGCAACGGCTTGCCTGCAACGATGTTGCCAGTACACTTTTTTTAATTGCTTAAGATCGATGCGTCGTACCAGCTTATCTCGAATGCACAGATCTTAAGCAATTAAAAAAGGCGCACTGGCTTCTCGACAGACACGACGGAGCCCTATCCGCCTCGAAAGTGCTCTCAGCGAGAAACAGAAGCATGATGAGTCGATTGACCCCGTGGATACCCACGGCATACGCGTGCGCTGGAAATCGAGTTGTAGCGTTTACCTGTCTGCCTTTTGCTGGAACCCTATCTGCGTGAAGTCTTTCAAGGCTGATCGAGCCGGTTGCCGAAACTATTCGCATGCAGCCTGGAGATGCTCATCTGCTATTGGGGAAAATCACACTGACCTATCTTTGACGCTTGCTCAGGAGTGGCGTTCGCGATGCGCATCTATACTTAGGTAAGGAAAAGAGAACAAAACGAGCTGCTCTAGAGCAGCGAGGCTCGTTAAAGCACAAGATCTCCTAATTTTGAAGCATGCGCCTGAGAAATGCTCCAAAGACAATGCTGACTGCTGCCGGTAGTTGCGTGCGATGTTCCTGGTTCTTTTTCTAAGGTTCGCGCGAAAATCCCGTCAGGATCAAGCAAGCTCGCCGCTGAAGGTCTATAGTCGAGGAACGCTATGAATGTGTGGAGAGCACGCAAACGAAAGCTTCGCAAAACATCATCCTTTGACGACTTGTTTACAGACTCTTGCGGAAAGTTCACTGATCCTTTCCGATCAGATGATCGATTCCGCTCGAAGCATTATTTCTCATCTATGGATGGCTGCGGGCGGAACGGGATTCCGCACCAGCAAAATATCCCTTACGGGATCTACTGCTAGAGGATTCCATCTCTTCGGCCCGTATGGAAAAAGGTCTCGTACTCGGACTCTTGTCATCTCAGCAAACGCCTCCAGTCGGAAGCGCGCCACTGCTTTTGAGAATGACGGCAGAGACTGATCGAGGTTTTTCGACTCGTTTTCCGGCGCGGATTTTGCTTCTGGTGATTGTTCCATCATGAACATCACCATGTTCCGGAAATTCTCTGTCGCATCGAACAGCGTGCGCTTGCGCTTGCACCGAGCAGCATTCTCACAGAGGGTTTTGCCCAGAAGACGCCCGTAGTTTCAGTGTAAAGCGCCAAGGACGGAAACTGCAGGATGCATTCAGGAAAGCCCTCTGCGCCGGTCAGGGGCTTGTACCAAGCGACGAATCAAGAGTTGAAGGTTCACAGAACGGCTCCTGGGGATGAATAGTCACGGTCGACACGTGCGGGAACACCTGACAATATTCAGGTGTCACCATGGCGAACTGGACACCGAGACTGTATTCAACGAATATGAAAATGGGATGCGATGCAGAATAGTTAGCTCCGCATGTGCGTGACGTGCGTCAAGGACAGCGGGAAGCAGCAAAATCCGAACCCGTAGGGTACCATCAACATTCTTCGGCTGCTTACCATGAAGCTGAAGGGACATGACAGATCTGCATATTTAAAGCCTGGGCTAGGAGATAGAGGAACAAGGAAGCAGTCACAGAAAAAGCCCGCAACAGATCGAGCAGGGTAGTGGAAAGCGACAAATACGCAAAGGGCAGTGGCACGAAAACTTTTAGAACCCTAGGGTTAATGAATACCAACTGGTAGACGCACCACAGCCTTTTCGACCGGCCCCCTGCCATGCGTTTCATCCTCTCCTTGGATACCTGGAGGCTTCGAGGACGCCCCATGAAGCTGGATCGCTTCATCTCCTCGGGTCTCGTCTTCAGCGCCACACATCGCCTCATATTGTTGGCGGCGTTGCATTCTCGGTTCACGAACCCCATGCGTTTATCGCCTCTGACGGAACGCAGCCATGCAAGGAGTGATCGAACCCGTGCCCTCTATGCTACCCGGTGCTCTGTCAGCTCGCCGTGCATATCTGTTGCCGAAGCGCTCCGCTGGCTTATCTCCGTCTCGACCCTCTGAAGTGTACACCCCAGCTCAGCCGTCAGATTTTTTATTGCTTTAAATGGACGCACTTTTTTACGCCTTGACGTAAGGACGTCTCCGGACAGAGGTGGACTTGCGGAAGAGCGACGAGGCGTACCCGGGCGTCCCGGTGTGCTGAACGCTTCAGCGGTTCGCCCAGTGGAGCGATCACCACGTTCGACGATAAGAAAGACTTCTTCGATGGCGTTAAACTACGGCGCGTACGGAGGAATGAAAAGCGGCTCTATTCCAACAGAATCTGCAGAGACTCGAACGCAAGAAGAATCGTGAAATGTCACGTTGTCCAACGGAAGGTTGTCAGAAGACGTCAGAGAACCGTCTTCAGTGATTCGACGAATTCGTTGCTGCTCTTGTATGTGTCTTGTCTATGAGCGAAACTGAGGCCGCCAAAAGAATCCACTGCAGCTCGAACAGTTGATGACATGCTCGTTCTCTACAAGTTCGTTCGTACACAGCACAGACGCCATCTCCGAGGATACCCATAAACGCACCGACCGCCTCGTCCGAAGGAAGCCGCATCGACTGGAAAAAAAACAAACCGACGTCCGTGGACGTCATACTGATCGCTGAGTTCCAGGAACGCTGCCATTTTGGTGCCGGTGGAAGATGCCCATGCGTGGACCCGGACTCTCTTTAGCGACTGTACCCTAGAGTTTTCAGCACCACACGAACAAGCTGGTGGGAAACAGAGTCGCCCATGGTGGCTACTATCGTCGCTATTTCCTTCCAGAACAGGTGATCAACGGGTAGCTTTCTACCATTGACCGCATCCAGTCTTCGAGAATATCGGCTTTTGGCGCGGAGCGCGTATTCTTGGTTCTTACAGAGTTCCTCAGCCATCTGAGTCCTGTTGCATAACTGACCTGAAGGAGGAATGCAGACCTCCATGCACTGTTCCTTCACGAGTATATTCCTGCAGGTAATCCCTCTACGATCTGTTCGGTTCATTGGCTAGTCTTTTCGATTTCCTGCTATGGACTGTGAAAATGCATTCGATTCAACGCAGCTGAGGTTAAACAAATTCAAGTTGAAAGCCAAATCAGCGAGGCCGCCGTTTCTCTCCGCTGGACAACGGTTAACGAAATCTTTGGTCGGTCACAAACTGTGGAGACAGAGATAATAAGTTTACTGAGTATAGCTTTGGCTTTTAGTATGCTCTAGAGATTCGAGTACCGGATCAACTGCGAACCATTAACCATGGAAAACACACAGCTAGAAAACCGCTGTGCTGCTGTTTCAGTGCCGCTGGATATCGAGCTTCTGAAAGTAACGATAGGCAAACTTGAGCATGTGCTGGGAGCCTCAGAAGCCGCTGACTGTTTTCCTGGAGCGCTCGCGTTCGTTTTACGGCACTCGACTGGGGAGGCTGAGCAAGTATCGGCGCGACTGCAGTCGCTATGCTTACAGGTTGAGGCCCTCTTCCTACCTCAACTTCTTGAAGAGTATTTCAAGTCCGAAACTGCTGACACTGAAGCACGAGGTGTGGAAAAGCCCCGTGTCATGGACCCGTCACCAGAGCTCACAGAGATCGTCAGCGCCCTAACAGAGACGAGAAGCCGCCTGGAAGCGTGGTCCCGCGACAGTTCTGCTTCGCTGACTCGCTTTACCAGCGTTAAACCTGAACTGCGTGAGCTCATCTTACCCTATCTAAAGCAGCTACTCTGCTTCGGTAACGCTCTCGCAGCCCGAGACTCCATGGAAACGCTTCGAATGGTCGCGCCGCTGTGGAGCGACCGTCAGACGGCTCCTCTCTATGCCATTTTCAGAGACATTGTTCGTGTCTGGAAATGGTCTGAAAGCAGCGGGTCACGCATCCCGGAGCCACATCATAGCAACCTAGAGACGTGCAGACGCTGCATTGTGGAAGCTGTACTAGTTCCACGCTTGGCGACGCAAATCGGAAATGGTACCGCACCCATTCAGGACAGCGAGCTGACGACGTGCCGTATGATCCAGGACACGGACCCCGCGCTCTTCCAACATTTCGCTCGATTACTCATCTCCAAGCTAGATTACTCGCGGAGTAGGATCTTCATGGACGCAGCTGCAGTCGATCGAGCGACAGCCACAATGCTCCGCTGGGATGAGGCGTGCATGCTGTTTGTGTACCGCGCTTTCGAGGCGATGCTCTCCTGGCAAGAAAAGCTGGCAATGCTTCGAACGTTATGCGAGGGACCTGAGGACACCACCGGTGCTGCCGCCGCGATGCAATCTCTGAGTCTTTGGACCGTGAGTGTCTCCGGTGAGAGACTTCTCGAATCATTCCTACAGGCCTTTGACATCAACTTGACCCCCGACTCGTATCTGGATAATCACGAGAATGCCGAATTATCGCTTACTGGGAAAAGTCAGGAAGCACTCTCCCCGATTCAGTCATTAGAAGCACCGGTTGAAAATCGTTTAACCCGCTTTTCGCGTGAATTTGAGGCACTTTGCCGGCGTCATCGCGAGTCCCGCAAACGAATGCAACGGCAGCAGCAGCAGCAGCAGCACCATCACCAGCAGCAGACCCGCACGCTAAGCACCACGACGCCTTTCGAGAGCATCGTGGAGACGCGTCACTGTCCTTCAGTGACGACACAACAGCAAACGCAAAAGCAGCGGGTGTACAGGCGCGTATTAGACGGCTCCGCTCGTCACCATGCATACACCGAATCGTCTGCCGTGACCGTTGCCGCCGCGAACGCTGCAGGCACGATGACAGTAGAAGAATGGATGGAGCTTTTAAGTCAGAAAATTGCACAGCTCCGGATGGTCGTCGACTCTGGAGGCAAGAGGAGTCCAGAAGAATGGTATCTGTGGGTGATCCGACCAGCACTTCTGGTTCTCGCAGGTGACAATTCCGCGACATTCACTACTTGGGTATCTGAGGCTCTCAAAAAGTTGGAGAAACATTTCGGGTCGAATGCGCTGCGGTGTGAACCTGCGAGTGCGTGAGGACCATTCGCAGCTACGAGCTCGTGCTGGATCGTAAGTTCCATCGAGTCGCGGAGCAATTGAAGTTATGCGGAGCGTCTTTCCGTGTTGAGAACGTTGCGAAGCCCTTTTTCCGTGTAACTAAGGTCGCCACAGTTGCGCGTGAGGCAGCGCCCGTGAAGCCGCCATCCAAGCGAAGCGACTGCTCGTCTAGGTTAGCGCTGTGCACGGCGTTCAGCGGCTCGAAAGGAGGCATTTCTTTGATGCATTGATATCACGTGTGACTGACGCCACCAAGGAGACTCTTTAGAGCGCCTCACTCTGGAAACTCTGCATTCAACCACACGAACTACGAAGCACATGAAACGAAACGTAGCCGCATGCATGCCGTCATCCACTCTCTCCGTTCGAGTAGAATTCGATTGACATCAAGCATATGGCATGCTGTGACTGTGAACGATCTGTGGTATCATCCGGCGTTCTCCGCATCTGCGACGCCCCGCTGAATTGCCTCCATGCATCGATTATCGAATGGGTTGCTCCTCGCTCACCGTGAGTTTGCAGCTGATGCTACCACGTCCACGTACGTTGTAATTTCATGGCGAGTCTTGGCAAACGTTCGCTCCTACTCGGCGTTGTGACGGCTGACCTGCCAATGCGAACGGGCCCTCGAGCATCTCGCCACTACGTCCCCTCGGGCGGAAGTGGCCAGCTGTCGGAAGTCCCACTGCAGCCAGGCGGCCGACATGTAGACTGGCCTCTTGCTGCCATGAATCGATCTTGCAGATACATGCTGCTCTCGTGATCCTGCTTTCATGCGATTGTCTTCGGTCATTACGTCATGCAGTAGTACAAGAAAGGCCGTAAGTGCGTAAAGGCTTACGTGATCAAAGCAAGACGCGTCTATGCTTTTGCAACGAAGCCATTTCAAACTTTCTTCTTTTGACGCTGCTCTAGAGATTGATTATGATGACGGACAAACCGTCCGGTGACTTTGAAATCAACCCAAAAGCGATTGACGATAATATTGGATGGCGTTCCGTCATCAGCCAGCATTATTACTGTGCCTTGTTTCTCGCAAACTGGACTTTCGAAGGTAGCGCGCTAAGGCAAAAACGCATGCTGCGTTCAGAATAACAGCTGCAAATGTCAACAAGAAGGGTTTCATATAGTGCCTCGTCCACGTTCGCATATACCCGGTGATCAGGGCGCCCGCTCCATTCCCGCATAGACCTATCGCAAATAAAATAGACTGCACGAACCCTAAACGCGATATGCTCACAATACGAGGAACGAGCGCGTAGTTAGCATTAAACATAGCTCCATAGCCGGCACCAAACAAGACAGCGAAGCCTAGGAGGCACATCAGCAGGCCAGGTCCATGAAAGGTGCTTTGCGGAACTGCATCCGGAGGCGTATCTCGAAGCGTAAAAATCGTCATAAGCACTGCCCCTAGAACTGAAGCTATTGCGGCTACGACCATGGTAAGGAATCGACCCCAGCGGTCTCCGACGTAACCTCCGACAATTTTGGCACTGAATGTGCTAAAGTAAAGCACAGCAAGAATCGTTGTCGCGAAATGGAGATTTGCTTGCTCATCCATCGTCATGTATATGAGAAAATGTTCATTATAAGAGCCATAGGAGTATTGAAGCAGAAAGTACGACGACGCTAACAACAAAAACGGAAGGCTCGCCCACGAGAAACTAGTCAGATTCTTATCATGTGCGTGTTCCGCCGGTTCTGCAGCGCCAGCGGCTACCTCCGCGTCCAGTTCACTGAACTCAGCATCCTTTCTACGTTCATGATGCGCGAAGTATAGCGGTTCCTTTGCTTCTTCGCCGCGAGACGCAGGGGACTTTACTGCATCCATTCTTGAGCTCGGAGCACTTGAGATCGGGTTCACGGTTTCACGTCCAGAAAGCAGCTCTCCAGGAGGCCGCACCCGCTGAATCCAGACCGCAAGAGGAATTGCAGCCACAATCAAGGCACCGGCAACCGCGAAAGCTGACACTCTCCATGAAGCATGCGACGCAATGGCGCCCAAAACTAGTGCAGAAAGTGCTCCCGCGAGAGAAAATCCCGACAGGACCATGCCTAGAGCCGTGCCCAGGTGCTCGAAAAAAAAATGGCAAAGAAATACGGAGTAAACGGGCACTCCAGCAAAGGCCATCGCTACTGCGTTCACAGCCTGTAGAATAGCGAACTGCGCCATAGACCGCATGAGAGCGAACAGCAGTGCAGACGCCCCGAGCGCACTTACTGCGGCCAGGATGCAACGCTGCGGACCCCAGCGGTCAACTAGCCACCCGCCTCCAGGAAGCGCCAAAACGTACGCTAGACGACTCACTGCAACCATAGCGGAACCGCTCACAACTGAAGCACCGAAGTCCTTCAGAATCGACGGCATAAGCACTGTCGGTGTCATTTGGTAGTAGCAAGTCTGCAGTGTGTGCAGTACTGCGACTGCAGCCGCCACAAACCAACATATTCTCGGCTCCATCAATCAATAATCTCCATTGGAAGAGGTTGCGTCCAGCGCAACTCCGTTACAAGGGCAAGTCGAGGATACCCGTGCAGCATCTCCGCGGGTCTGGAGCGATTGCGCGAAGGCGCCTCCTTCCAGCACGTCGCACCTGCGTTTATCCCTCTGGATGCCTATGCGATGCAGCAGGATTGTGTCGAGCTGGAATGCTCAGAAGCGCAAGATCAACGAGTAACCAGGGAATGGAACAACCCTTCGCCTCAGAAAGCATCTGCACTCCATAGATACCAGTACGAAGTTCGTCTCGGAACTAAAGTTCACGTGCAGGGATCCTTGAACTGCGGTGCCCACACAGGCGCTGCCCGGTGGCAGGACGTCTATGCAGAGCCCCGTTGGGTACGAAAGACTCTGGGCGCCCCATCAGCGTGAGCGTCCTCAAGTTGCTGCATCCGAAATGCTGACAGATACGTGTTCGAGCTGAGAAGCTTACGGTTCCAGCGAGGAGTGTACAGAGAACGCAACGCCAGCACGCTGGCGGCAAAAATGTGCGGGTTCATCGAAGAGAACTGGCCGGGGCCAAACTTCTCTTGGGAGCAGTGACGATGCGCTAGATCCGTGATAGCTTAAGCAAGACACGAGACTGCGATACGTCACAACTAAGGCAAGACGTGCGCCGTTCGCTGACCATGACACGAATGAGGTAAAATCAGTATTATCGAATGATGGAACACCATCATCGTTCACCGTTCACCCGGGAAAATCGTTGCTGGCGTATTTGTACGATGAACCAACCTTGATCGATTGCTGAATCGTACCATAACAGTGGCTTGCTCAGGACGAGAACCCAATGCCGTCAATCCTGGTCAATAATCTGTTTTTTTTCAGTGGAAGTCTTCAGCGTTTACGCGAAACACCCACACTGAATACTAAACGATGATCTCGAAATTATGCTTTACGCAAAGCTTCCGGACACTTTGGAAGCAAGAAACTTTTCCGGATTTTTGTAGAGGCGTTCAAATCTCGATGGAGGATGTACTCGTGCGCATTGTTGGACATGGAACCGGAGCATAGCGAGCCTCCGGCCTTCAATGACACCTTCGCAGCAAGATCTGTCGAGTTACTGCATACGATCTCTTGCACTCGTCTCTGTTTCACACACTTAATCGCTACCTGTTTCAGCGTGCACTCGTGTATATGATGCTTGTGTTTTGTCCAGAACTCATTGATCGAAATCGTGCTGAGTCAGTGCCTGCCCTCGTTGTATGCGCTCGTTGAAGTAGCTCCAGTGCAGAGCTTGAACAAGACAGCACGTCTAGCGCCATTCTCTACCACCAAACGACGAGTCTGACCGCTCATTTGCCTTTTCATTTCTTTGAACAAGTTGGCAAATGCACGCTTCTTGCCTCCGTACCCTAGAATCCTTTCGCAAACAAGGCCCTTTCACGTGCACGACTGCAAAGTTCGTCTGCATCGGTCATATGGATGCTTTTGCGTTCACTAAATAAAACATGCACAGCTCTTTCACAGCCCAATACGGTTCTCAGAGTGTGGAAGACGGTCGATACCCTGTCAGTCCGTATGTTGGTAAGCCTCTTGGCCTGAATCATAACCGACTCCAGATTACATCGAGCCTCTGAAAAGCTGAGCAAAGTAATCTGCATTCTGATCAAATCCTTCGCTCCGTCAACATTACAGAGAGGCATTGCGATAGCAATGATGCCCGTCAATCCTTGATCCACGCTCACCACGAAGTATTTCTCTTCATATATCTTGAACGATTGCAAATGTGTTGCGCAGCTTAATCCGCACCTGGGTTTCAAAAAGTGCGTTCATATTGATATTCCGTCGTTCTGAATCTTTCCTGAGAACTTCTTTCCACATCCTTCCTGTTAAAGTGGATCCTTGAACAAGCTCCACTAAGTTTCTATGAGACTTGCTCAAATGCTGTAAACTTTCATACAGAGAACGATCGCGGCTCCCTCATAAGGCCATACACAATACGACGCAGAAGAGTCTACAGTGATACACTGGGCCTGAATCTGACTTTTGGCAACCAAATCGTACAGTTGCTTAAGAAGGCAATAACGCAAGCAAACGGCGACTTTGATCTGCTCTGGAGAGCTCTATTCAGGAACATACAGTAGCAAAAGATGCAACGGAGGCAGGCATCTCGTTTCAACCATCCTTTGGATATGGCGCCCGTCCGGTTCGAGGTCCAGCATATCACGATGAGCTTGGACCATCTGGAGTGCCGCTCGCCCTCGTAGCGACATCTCTGCCGAAGTCGCTACCAACTCGAGCGATACCGCCACCGGCTCCTCATTTGCATCCATCGAAAACCCGAGTATCGATTCAATCAGTTTCCAGGTGCACATGCTAGTAAATGTGAGGCTACTGCGCGTAAAACGTCCAAAAGGTGCGCTTCATAAAGTGCCCGATATTAACCGGCGATGGTTATGATGTTGTTCTTGAGGTGCTTCTTGGCTTCTGCGCTGTAGATGTTCCATTCTCAGAGGCGGCATGACAACGGGTCGGAGTATTCAGGGAAGCGCGTCCACAAATCACTGATCCATCGATCTGACTGTCTTCCATATTTTCTTTCGAGCATCATTTATGGTGCCGTACAAAGGCTTGATCGAAAGATTCCAGAGGAACGTGGACAGCAGGCAGCCGTACTTCCGGAACTCCAGTGAAGTTTTGCTCGATGAGGTACGTCATGGCGAAGAAAGCTTGACAATTCTACCTCGAGTAAGAGGCTGAACAATCTCTAGTGGAGTGCTGAATCTTACTTGTTGGGAGATTCTAACCGGTGATATGCCATGAGAGGGAAACCTGGATAATCGTAGCATACGAATCTTTCCGCCCCGGCATGTACCCTTTGTATCCATGTCCTCTTTACGGGAGGATCTTTCTCTTCTTCAAACGGTCATTTTTTCATTTTTCTGGACGGTGTAGCATCCATGTGGTCGTTACGCACGATATCGCTCTTTACCATCGGAACCTGGGAGGGCTTGGTGTACGCTGGGACTCAAAAGCGGCGTTTTCGATGTCTGGACTGGTTGTTCCTTCAGTGCTTTCTTTCATCACCCACCTCGTGGCAAGCACCCCGTAGACCGACGCGCCACCCAGTTCCCTCCAGCTTAAGATCAGAGAAGCAACAGAGCGGTATTGCGCTAGTGAAGGTAAAGGACGACTTGTCGAAGAAATATATGTCGATGAACGATTTCCAGGATGCGAACGATGCGATTATGAATCCGTGGGCGAATGATATGTTTGCATAACAGGAAATACGCATTCGACTGCGTTGTGCGAAGAAGACTAGGGTGGCATGAAGAGCGGTTCGATACAAGTCTCAGCTGCGTGCTTGTTGACCACTTTTGCGTCATGAAGAAGGAGATGGTCAAAGGCAGGACAGTAAAGTCTGGGATGGAAAAGCCATGAAGTGCGCATCTTCGAAATATAAAGTGCTAAGGGATCATGTTCATCTGACGATTCGTGGGCGATCATTTGGCTGATATGCTACTAGGGCTCATGATCTCGGCATACTCGTTCGTCTCCTATGTACGACCAGCGGTTTGCCCGCCCTTTAGGAGCCATTTGCAATTTTGCCACTTTTCCCGAATAAAATCTCATCGAGTTTGATGGAAACCGGTTCCCCCAGTGAGAAGCTTTCGCGCTCCAAAAAAAGATCGATATTTTGGTGTTCGAAACGCGATGGTCCCCCATACTAGCGAATATTTTTTGCATTCGCCTCTCTCCAGCATCGTTCGTTTCAACGATACGTAATCTTCAGACCTTGTCGACTCTTTGGTAGTATTTTTAAAAGACCATGTGGGGTGGAGTATACTGAAGAGGGGACAGTCGTCCAGTTAGAGCTTGGTGATTTGCTCTTTGGGTGCCCGCCGTTCAGAGCAAAGATAATGCGAAGGTTGTCTCGTCCAGCTGCTAGCCCTAGAATGTCTGCATCGTTAAATGAAGGCCGCTATTCGCTATCTACACAAATGTTGGAACGAAACGGAACATCTAACCGCTGATCCTATTCCGACCATCGGATGTTTTTTATAGATGTACAGTTTTGATAATTCAAGTTCAGTAATAGGTGCTTATGCATTCATGCACAGTTTCAGGATTCTTGGTTGTGTTTTCAGAGTGGCTCCATCGGCCTTGTGCACCAGGAATTCGTAGCGTCACTGGAATAAAGATGATTCGCGACGCTCTCGAACAAGTGTGATAAAGCAACCGATATCATTATCCAGTTCATATATACATGCTCCATGATTCTCCTTTTCTGATGTGCAGTATCCTCAAATCACGCATTCGCAAAGGTTTCGATCTTCCTATTTCAAGTTGACTCTTGGGCCAAGCAATGCGCTCCAGTGGATTCATGCGAGAAAAACTCAGCATCATCCTTTGACGACTTGTTTACAGACTCTTGCGGAAAGTTCACTGATCCTTTCCGATCAGATGATCGATTCCGCTCGAAGCATTATTTCTCATCTATGGATGGCTGCGGGCGGAACGGGATTCCGCACCAGCAAAATATCCCTTACGGGATCTACTGCTAGAGGCTTCCATCTCTTCGGCCCGTATGGAAAAAGGTCTCGTACTCGGACTCTTGTCATCTCAGCAAACGCCTCCAGTCGGAAGCGCGCCACTGCTTTTGAGAATGGCGGCAGAGACTGATCGAGGTTTTTCGACTCGTTTTCCGGCGCGGATTGTGCTTCTGGTGATTGTCCCATCATGAACAGCACCATGTTCCGGAAATTCTCTGTCGCATCGAACAGCGTGCGCTTGCGCTTGCACCGAGCAGCATTCTCACAGAGGGTTTTGCCCAGAAGACGCCCGTAGTTTCAGTGTAAAGCGCCAAGGACGGAAACTGCAGGATGCATTCAGGAAAGCCCTCTGCGCCGGTCAGGGGCTTGTACCAAGCGATGGAGCAGGGTTGTCTCGCTCCTCAGGCCGGCGCACGGGAGATGATTAGCAGTGGCGGACACTTACGAGTACACCTAGCCATGTGCAAGTGTTTCGCAGCGAATGGCGCACCAGGACTTTATTCAAATAAGATGAAAATGAAGATGCGATATGTGGATCATGACTTGCGTCCGTTGAAGAAATGCTTGAACAACAGCGAAAAAGCCGCGAGCTCGGGACTTAAACGCTGCCATCAGCGCCCCCCTCCCCCACTACAGACTATGAAGCTTTAGGACAACGGGAGTCCAGCGCATTGAAATCTGGAGATTAGATTGAGGAGAAAGAAGCACTCGCAGGAAAATCCTGCAAAGGCCCGGTGTCATGCAAGTCGGAAGGGATCCAGACTCCCTTTGGGCGCTAGGGTGTGGCGACGTGTTCCATTTTGGTCTGATATGGATGTAGACTGACGGAAATGTAAAAAATTGGGGCATTCGCCACGAATTTACGCCGTCATATACGCGGAGGGATCGATGCTCTCGGGCAATTCAGGTATGTTGACCACAAAACGATTTTGCACTGCTTCGAGAACAGCGCTGTCCTCTTCGCTGGAAATAAAACTGATAGCCAGCCCCTTGGTCCCAAATCGACCCGCACGCCCAACGCGGTGAAGGTACTGATCGCTGTCCGCTGGCATATCATAATTAATAACAACATTGACTCTTTCAACATCGACGCCGCGCCCGAAGAGATCCGTGCTCACCAGAATCCGCGCCTCAAAGTCTTTGAACGCTCGATAGCGCTTTATGCGCTCCTCTTGAGGCATTGCAGAGTGAATCGTAATGGAAGGGAAATTGCTCTCCTTCAACATTTGGTTGATAAATTTGGCCCTCTGAACAGAACGTACGAATATAACCAGCTGATTGAATTCCAGAGCGTCCAGGAGATCATTCAACTTCCGGTTTTTCTCTGTTTCCTCTAACTTCAGATAGTACTGCAACAGGCCGTGTAAAGTCAACTTGCTCTCGTCGTCTATAAAGATCTCGTGCGGATTGTGCATGAATTTGCGCGCGATGCTTCGCGTCTCTGGTGGCAACGTCGCACTAAACATCATTACCTGTTTGTTCCGCGGTGTCATCTTGAATATCTCCTGCACATCTGCGCGCATGTCAAGCATTTCGAGTACTTTGTCGCACTCGTCAATGACAAAAAACCGAACCTTGCTCAGGTCCAGCGCCTTCCTTTTCACAGCCAAATCCAGAAGGCGACCTGGAGTGCCCACGACAATGTGTGGAACCGAGCTTGCCAGCTGCTCAAGTTGTTGTTTGATCGGTTCGCCCCCGTAGAACACGCCACAGCGAACGTCTGGCAAGTACTTGCTGAAGCGAACAAACTCGTTTTTGATCTGGTAAGCTAACTCTCTGGTGTGTGCTAAAATAACTGCGCTCACACTGTTCTCTGACTTTTCCGGTTCGAGCTGTTGCAAAATTGCGAGAACGAAGACAGCAGTCTTCCCCAGCCCAGACTTGGCTTGGACAAGTACATCCGTTCCTAGAACAGCCTGTGGCAGCGCTTGCACTTGCACCTCAGACGCAGACTCGAACCCACAGTCTTCTATTGCACGCAAGAGCTCCGATCTCAGAAGAAAGTCTCTAAAGTTGGCCGAGTGCAAGGAAGCATAAGTGCCTTTCGCCAACTGTGGCTCCGCCTGCTGACCCTCCGTAGACTCTGCGTCAGCAACCTGATCCGCGGCGGCATCGTTGGTTTCCTCAGCCAACGCGTTCTCTTCCTGATCCTCCTCGTAGTCTACGAGTTCTTCCTCTGGTGGCACCTCCGCGTGACTCGCTACGGAAGTATTCGCTTTTGCTGGCATTACTCTATTGTATACTTGGTCCGGGTTCGTCCAACGCACAGCATGAACTAACTAGAGTTAGCGGCGCGGGACGGAATACCTACACTGTGCGCGCGCCGCAGCGTCTGCGGCAGGGATTTTCGTACTTGACAAATTGTTGACGCAGGCCGGCTTTCCGCGACTGTGCGCTCGCTATCAGCGCGCGGCGAAGCACCTATCGTTCTGCACCTACCTTCAAATTCCATAACTGATACTTCTTCCCGGGTATACTTGTCGTTCCGTAGGTTCCATTATCTGCTGAATGCCTGCCGGTAGCGTCCGCGATAGCGCCTGTAGCGCCGGTGCGGTCGTCGCACGGAGACAGAACGGTTTTGCCGTGCGACGGAGGGCGTCGGCTCACGATACACATGCACATCATACACACAGGCAAAGAAACGAAAAATGACCTACAACTATCGAGGGTGTATTGATAAAGACTCACAGAAGCCTCTCAGCCAATTTCGGCAGGGCGCTCGATATCGGTTCCAGCTTCTCCCTGTACACATCTAGAATCAGAGGTTGTCCCCCAAAGTCGGATTGTGTCCGCTCCTCGAGTCTCTTCTTGAGCACCGCACGCCGTCTGATATTGATGGCGGCGTTAAAGTCTCGGCTCAAGAACTCCATGTATTTATTGCCACAGCTGGACCTTACCAATGAGAGTAGTCCTCGAACTGGTGCTCGCTGTGCTACTGCAGTCCCGTGATCTCGCACTCAGACAGACGACATTACTTGACAACCTTTCCTCCTCTTCTTCTTCGTCACTTGCTCTTCTTCACTGATTGGTTCGCGAGACAAGGATTTTTTCGTTTCATTTGTCGAGTCTGGCGACATCAGGCCTCGACGATCCTTGACCTCTATGTCCATAGCTCTCGCTTGGATTATGCATTACTTCAATATTAATGCACTTGTTTATGACCCCAAGTGAGGGCCTTCTCGGAGTGCGAAGCACTTGCAGAAGAAAGACGATATGTGCCCCGATGTGTCACTGTGTGCCGAACGCTTCAGCGATTTGTCCTGTGGGGCGATCATTACGTTTCACGATAGAAAACACGCCTTCGATTGGGCTCAACCTCGGGGCGAACGAGGGAATGAAAAGCAGCACTTCTTCAACAAAATCCCCAAAAACTCGAACGCAAAAAGAATTTGCAAATGGCACGTGACGAAACAGAACAAAGTCGCCAGCTGTCAGGGAAAAGTCTTCAATCATTCGACAAGTTGGTTGGAGCTGTTGTATGAGCCTCGTCTACGAGCGACACTGAGGTCGCCAAGTGTATCCACTAAACCTAGAACAGATGATGTCGTCGTTCTCTTCGAGCTCGATCTTACGTGCAACGTGCTCCTGCTCCGCGAATACACATTCACGCTCCGACTATTTCGTCCAAAAGAGGCGGACCGAATCAAAAAACAATCCGACACTCCTGTGCTTTATGCGGATCGAGAAGTGTCAGGTTCATTGTCGTTGCGATTTCAGCGGGATATGGCCATGCGTGAACTAGGACTCTCTTTTTGCGACTGTGTCCCAGTGTTTTCAGGACCAGAACAGCAAACAATAGAGAGGCAGAGACAGCCTTGGAAGCTGCTATCGCCGCTTCTGCTTTCCGTCAGGTGATAGACGGGTCGTTTTATACAAATGCCGGCAAGCAGTCTTCGAGAATATTAGGTTTTGATACGGACCTCATGTACTTTTTTCTTTCAGAGTTCCTCAACCATGTGAGTAATGTTCTATGGCTCACCTCAAGGAGGAATGCAGTCTTCTTTGCACTGTACAGTAAAGAATATATTCGGCAGGCAATTCGACTGATGTCTAAAGGGTACATTGCATATTAATTTCGATATCCTGCTCTTTACGATGAAATAGAATCCTATTACACTCAGCGGGGTTGAAACAAAATTGAGTTCAAAGAATCGTAGAATGGAAAACTGTACTGCTTACCGATTCCTGCTCTACAATTCTCTCCCGAATTTTTTTAGATCGAAAAACTCCACATTGGAAGTGCGACAACAACGGCTCACGGATCCAAACCTAGGTTAAGGATTCCCGGTTTTCTCTGCGGAGTAGCTGCTTCGACGCTTTGCCGTAGGAAAGCGTTAGGTCCCCGGAATAAAATTGATTTGCAACGCAATCGAACATGCACTGATAAAATTGCAGATCTCGTCATCAGGTTTATACAAACAATCCTCCACTCCGCTCCCTTCTTTACGGTTCACAAGCTCAAACCTCGCATTCTTCATAGTTCCATTTTTTTGTTTCAAAACGACTCACTGGCGCAGCAATTATCGCAGGTGGATTGAATCGAAAAGAATCCTCGATGTAGTCCCTTTACGACTTTTTCACAAGCTCAAGCCGAAAGTTCACTGAACGTATGAAACCAAATGATTGATTCCATTCGAAAGACGAATCGCCATCTGTTTATCGTCATCGGCAAAACGCCGTTCGACAGCAGCCTGATACTTCTCACGGGACATGCGCCCAGGTGCTCATGTCTCTTCTATTTTCTTAGAGAAGGGTCATGGGCCCGGACTTTAGCAATCGCAGCGATTGTCTCCAACGAAGATTGCCTCACCGTTTCGCAAGAGCGGAACGTCAACCGTTTGAAGCTTCTCGACTTGTTCTTCAGCATGAATTCCCCCATCGTTCTGTGTCTCGTCATATAAAACATCGCATTGCACAAATCCCGTATCGACTGGAGCAGCGTGGGCTTGCGTGCACAGCTAACAGAGCACACGTCCAGGAGATCGCCCAGCAGATGCCCGTGATCTTCTGGGACGACACCGAGCATCGCAACGGATGAGGGCATGCAGTGGAGCCCAAGTGGACCCGTCTATCGCATGTATCGAGCCAGGAAGCAAGCGTTCAAGAGTTACATACGGCGCTCTGATCTGGACGCGTTATGGTGGCCATGTGGGAGCACCTGACCGCAGTCAACTGCCACCGTTGCGCTGGGCGCGTCAAGCATGCGTGCAAAGACGCTGCGGAAGACAAGTGAGGCGAAGATCGTCACTCCCGCCTGCGCTTGAAATGCGTCGTCAGCGGCGGGAAGCTCCCAGATCCGGACATTAACGCGAATATCAACACCCTTCGACTGCTGACTACGGAGCTGGAGGGGCATGAACGACTCGCGTGTTTACAGCAGGAGATAAGAGAGAGGAAACGGAGGCAGTCACAGATAGAGCCTGTGAGGACTGGTCTTGGCGCAAGTGGGAAGGAAACCCTACTTGAGCGTGTTCGCTCGAGATATCGAACAGGCCCCCTCCCGTTTTATTGTGACTTTGGCGGAGCATGCGGCAATCCCATGAATAGAACGGCGGCAACATGTTCGCTGTCTTGTTTCTTCGCGGAAATGCCGGCGTTGATTTGGAGCCCAAGCATTTTCCTGTACGAAATTTTTTCATTCTTACGTGCTGGTAGGGAAACTTTTTCTTTTTTACGGTTTCTAACGAACTCTTCCGCACGGGCCGCAGTCCTGCTCGTTGTTACCGTTCTCAAATAGTGCGTCCTCGCTGCAGTGCAGCTGTTGGTTTGTGAGCGCACCTCAGGTACCAGCGACCGGCAGAGACCGCCTTAGCGACTATGAGCGAGTGCGTTACCAGCCCTGCGAGACGTGCTGCCGCGTAAGAAATAAATCACTCCAACGGGTAAGTCAGGTGAGTTCGGAGTCGCTTCAGTTTTGGAGAACCAAGTTTTTCAGTCTATTCTGCTTGCTTTTCGGGCGCCTGAGCGGGGCCGACAGGTGATCATATGGTAGAGAAAAACTCTGTTGTAGTACAGCTGGGAGAAGCTGCAAGCTACTGCGGGTCACACTTTTGGAACCTCTTATATTACAATAGCACTCTGGTCTCGAGTGGTGGGGTTTCTCACGAATGTCTCTCGTCTGTCGAGGAAAGGTTTTGGGCAGCGCGTCGGGAGTTTTTCTGGGAGCCAGATGAAGGACCTACTGCTGGCCAAGTCGTGCCGAGACTTGTTGCACTGGATCACTGTTCACTTGATTGCAGTGAAGCTCCTATCAGCAGGGCACTCGAACCGCACGAAGATCCAATTTCGAAGACGTTATGGAAGGGTCCGACTGAACGCCTCTCTTCCAGCCAACATGACAGAAGGCATGCTTTTCAGGTTGATCGACAGGCCGGAACGGTGAAATCACCGGACGCGTATAATTTCGAGGAAAGTGTACGGCACTGGACAGACTTCCAAGCGTTCCCCCTGAGTAGTCGGTCAAAAATTCGAACTCAGACTCTGCTGCACGATCTGGAGTCTACAAAGGCATCCTCGACCACGTTTGCTGAAACCAGAATTCCCGATATCGCAGACACACCATTATCGAACCAGTTTGTTCGCGACCTAGAGTTATTTCAAAGGGGCTACGATGCCGTGCAAAGCAAAAAACAATCCGAAGAGCTCCTGGATGCAGTACGTTATTTCGCGGAAACCTGTGATTCTCTCACGGGATTTGACATCCATGGGTCCCTGGAGCACGCAGGGAATGGTGGTGTATTATCAGGGCTCGTTGAAGAACTTTCGGATCTTTTCGGCACGAAAAAGAATTTTTTTATCTTTTCCATTGATCCGAAGCTGGATGTCAATGTGGGGCAAATTGGAGAGGCGCTACTTGTTAGCAGCTTGTACACGTCGAGTGCTTCGGGGGAAAATGATCACATCGCATACTTGCCTGTTCGTGCGAGGAATCTGCGGAATACGCAACGCGAACGGCTGTGGACGCTAGATGCACGGGGCCTGTCTTTCGAGGATCTTACTTGTAATTCGTTTGGCTGGACTGCGAGTGTTGCCACCGCGCTAGCTGTGAATAGAATATTGGACGCCCATCCGCTGGAGCATAGGCTTCGAGTCGCAATGAGCGGTAACCTTTTGGGCCTTCGCCATCGTTGCATATTCGATTTGCGGGCCGGATTTTCACCATTTTCGCTGTTTAGGAACTCTGCCGGGAGCAATGACGTACCGACGCAGAACTTCGATCTTTGCAATCTATCCACGGCAGGCTGGCTCCGGCAATTCGTCGATAAGGGATGGTGTATGCGACTGAAACAACGGCTGCCTGGCTTCGTCAAGCATCCTATTGCGAATGATGAGTCTACCTTACCAGAGGCTCTCAGCAACTTTTGCCGTGCCTTGGACACCGCCTCCATAGATGAGCTTTTGAATCAAAAAAGCAGTTTTACTTCTGAATCAAAGACGGTCCTAATGCTACCGCATCCATTTCCACGCGAAATTCGACGGTATGCAGCTCACGGTGAGAGACACGATGATCAAGGGAAAAGTTTCGTGCATTTTCTGCATTGCAGGACGAGGCTGGAACAGTCTCGCAGCACCGGAGCCGATATCCATTCTTGGGCATTGCAACTCTGGTGTCGTGCTTGCCTGCCGAATCTGCCGCACGATCCTTGGTCGCGGCAAGAATTGGCGACAGCAGCTGAAAGACTTTTGTGTCTTGCTGAAGCTTATCACCCGTCCGCAAATTAGCGTTTGATTGTTCTTCAAATGCGCGCACGGATTTCGAATTCCGCAAGGGGCATTTGGGTCTTGCTGAAGCCAGTCATTTGTGCACAGAGTACACTTTGAGTCTTTGCTTGAGTGCACGGATGACGAATTCAGTGAGGTCGGGATTGCTCAAACTTTCGATTTCGCTTTTGTATCCCGTCGCAGCCATCCATGCTAGTGGCGGCTGCAGGCTGGCTCCAATGCCGTCCATGCAAGTGATTCGACGTTGGAGCTGTTTCAACAGACTGTGGTCATGATCAACAAGTAGACGAAGTGCTGCAAAGCCAGCGTTTTCGGGGCCATGAAGAGGAACGCCGATGCGTTCTGTTGCACCATCGTACTGGAGCGCAATCGCGATACCGTTCGGATCACAATCGGTCAACAGGAAAACCGGAATTCCCTCCGTCTTTGCGAGATACCGCACGAGCACCTTTGTGGCCCGGTCTGGGTAACCCTTGCCGCTAATCATTGCTACTCTATTTAGCTGCGCGTAGCGAAGAAACTTACCAGGGGGATCATGGATGCCCCTCAGCAGTGCTCGAAAAGTTGTTTCCTTCTCCACGACCAACACTGCTCGGAGCTTTGCTCCAAAATTCGGGTTCCCAAAGTGCGCTTCGTGGAGCCGTAAGCGAAAGGTTGTACTCGCTCTACCAAGTTCTGGCGGCACCGGAACGACGCTACTGAGTTCGAGTTCATGGTGGACATCCCTGTTTGGGCTCCATTGTAAAACGAATCCTGACGGCGCCCATAGAATGCCCTTCGGCATAGGAAGCGCACCCAGCTGGTACCGCAACTCTGGTTCTTGAAAGACTTTTTCGAGCAGCATCAGGCCGCGGCGGGTGCTTCGAACTGAGAGTTTCTCCCGAAATGGGGAAGAAGCATAAGCAGCGCTTGTCCCTGCACCAAGAGGATTAAGGACCTCGTCAGATTTGCTGAGGTAAAAAAGGTCACGAAAGGTAAAACTTCCCTGGTTACATACGGCAAACGGTCCATACTGCTGCCATTCTATGCATCTGATCCGGTGCAAGACACACAATATGCGGACAGCAGCTGCCCATTCTTTAGACAAACCCACTATATCTAAATTGCTTAGTATCCGGAGTGCAAGCCCTTCTATTTTCTCTAGAGGCGACCTGTCCATGTGTCTTCGTCGATACCAGCAACACGCGAGAAGATTAAGAGCAGCTCAGCGCGCCGCTCGCACGTATGGACTGCCATATGCGTGCTCCGAAATCAACCTACACGCATCAGCGTGTCGCTCCCGCCAGTGGCGCCAGTGATGCCCGCTGGGCATAATGATGCCCTTGATCGAGCCATGAATCAGGATCCTTTACGTGCATGTATGCAGCCACCATAAATTCCCTCTTGGAACGCGCTTCAGCCTAAGAGTTGCACTGACTTCAAGAGCAAGCAAACGTTCAAGAGAACTTATTCCAGAGCGCCATGCGGACTCGAGCTTGATGCTGCGGAGCTGCGCGACAAGACTAAATATGTTTTGGTATTGTGAGATGCCAGACCTTACGTGATATAATTCCAAGAATTTATGATCGCGTCAGCAGTGAGTAAAAGACTTTGTGTTACAAAATAACGCACCAGTGTATGGAAAACGCTACAGCGTTTCACTTGTGCAGATGTGCGTCAACAGGCTAGCGTAATCGAGCCCGGACTCTGTTTGTAAATGCTCCCGTGCTGGGAAAATGGTTTTTTGTAGTTTTTCAAAAAAAGCGTTCTGGAAATTCTATGGAAAGCTCCGTGCTCTTTCTTTTGAAAACATGTAATTCGGATAGATACCTAGTCTGCATTGCCACGAGACGGTCGTCTCGACCGCGCACAGAGACCATAGATTCAAGGTCGACTTCACGCCATCCATGACGTTGGTTTATCTTTAGAGCGGGACCGTCGCGTCTTTTCAGCATCGGAAACGGCCCGCAAAGGTTGTTCAAGCAGTCTTGTGATGAAGCTTCATGTATTAACAGTTCTTCCTTCCAGTACCATTTCCAAGAAATGGCACTCAAAAGTGCAGTTCTATTTACAATTTTGAATGCTTACCACCAGTTTAGGATTAAAATGGTGTACCAAGCTGCCCGCCTTATTCATGCCTTTCGAAGTATTTTCCGACCTTCTGCTTCGATTTCCAGACTTAATGTTCCTAGCGCAGTCATGAGAAGTAATGGATGCGTAAGTCGTTTGAGGATTTCGGGTGGTCCTTTCTTCGTAACTCCTTCAGATTGTGGTCACTAGAGTTCGATTCGTCACCGGAGTCAAGATGATTTGCGACGCTCTTGAATAAGGGTTCGTGCAGTAACCGTTTTCATTTTCCACATGATAATCTCAGACCGTCGATCTTCCCCGTTCATTACGCACAGCATTCTCAAATAGAACGTCTCAAAGGTTTCGATCTTGCTGCTTCATGGCAACTCATGAGCGCCGAAATTCGCGCTGCTAGGCTGACGACGGATATTGTCTGCTTGTTCCCTTGACGACTTCTTCTACGCCCCATGCCAAAGGTTACCGATGCTCCCACGTTATCTCATCTATTCCATTCGAAAGACAAATTCTCATTTCTTAACAGCCGTAGGCGCAACCATACTCCGCGGTAGTATGATGAAGCCCTTGAATTTACACCCAGAGGCTTCCGCTTCTTGTGTTTGCATCGGAACGGGTTTTGGACTCGAGGCGGATTCACCTCAGCGGACGGTTCCAGTGGAGCGTGCGTCAACGAATTGGAAAAAGGTAGCGTAGACGAATCGGAATTTCCCGGCTCGTTGTTTACCTTGGATAACTCTTTTGGCCCTTGATTATTCATGGACATTGTTGCGCTTCTCAAATCCCGTATCGACTGGAGCAGCGTGGGCTTGCGTGCACAGCTAACAGAGTACACGTCCAGGAGATCGCCCAGCAGATGCCCGTGATCTTCTGGGACGACACCGAGCATCGCAACGAATGAGGGCATGCAGTGGAGCCCACGTGGACCCGTCTATCGCATGTATCGAGCCAGGAAGCAAGCGTTCAAAAGTTACATGCGGCGCTCTGATCTGGACGCGTTATGGTGGTCATGTGGGAGCACCTGACCGCAGTCAACTGCCACCGTTGCGCTGGGCGCGTCAAGCATGCATGCAAAGACGCTGCGGAAGACAAGTGAGGCGAAGATCGTCCCTCCCGCCTGCGCTTGAAATGCGTCGTCAGCGGCGGGAAGCTCCCAGATCCGGACATTAACGCGAATATCAACACCCTTCGACTGCTGACTACGGAGCTGGAGGGGCATGAACGACTCGCGTGTTTACAGCAGGAGATAAGAGAGAGGAAACAGAGGCAGTCACAGATAGAGCCTGTGAGGACTGGTCTTGGCGCAAGTGGGAAGGAAACCCTACTTGAGCGTGTTCGCTCGAGATATCGAACAGGCCCCCTCCCGTTTTATTGTGACTCGGTTGGAGATGATACACTGACGTAGCTGGCGCGACACGCAGAGAAAACTGCTATACAGTGCTTGTGCGAGCGTCGGGCTCTGAACCTTCACTGAAAGCCGAACGCTTTATCCTGCGCCCACCATTTGCCGTCATGCGAAATCGCGCGCGTAGCCCTTCATTATCGGCGACGTCGCGCAGAGCGGACGCGGCAGACGAGTACACGCCGGCTGGGACTCCTGAGGCTAAAGCACTGCGTTGCTCGGAAGCGGGAGTACATGTTGCAGACCGGGCACGGAGGGACGAACACAGCCGTTTTACAAACTTTGGAACCTGGAACTTTCAGAATGGACACCCGCAGCAGGGTCGAGTCCTCGTTTATTACCGTAGGTGTACCCTCATTGCGCTTCTTCGTAGAGAGCCGCCCCGGAAAGCGTTCCCAGCACGTCTCCAGCTACTGTCAAAATAACAAAGTTTGCTTGAGACCTAGACGACATAATCTGCTTCTCTCATGGACGCCAGCTGGCTCAGTTCAGAAGGTGCAGGTGACCGTCTATGAAAAGGGCAAAAGCGAACCGCGCGTCCTCGAAGCCCCTGTGGGTTCAAACCTGAGAAAGGTCTTGCTTGAAAACAAAATCGATGTGTACACTTTGAGAGGCAAGCTAACAAACTGTGGCGGTGGCGGCCAATGTGGCACATGCATCGTCGATATCACTGAGGGCCAGTATAACACAAATCCCCGTGGCTGGCGGGAAGCTCGAATATTCGAGAATAAGCAAGCGCCGGACAGCTGGCGCCTCAGCTGCTGTACGAAGATTGAGGGCCCTATAACGGTCCGTACCAAACCACAGTAGGTTCGAACAGCCAAAACGAAGGCTTGAGGTTATAGAGAATCAGTTCGTCTTATGACTCGCAGGATCTTCCTTTTCTTTACTACCGCTGAGTTGTTTCTGGAAGATTTTGCATCGCGGCCATTGCCCAACATTGCGAAGCAACTGTTTCGTATTCATGCATCAGTCGCCTTGACGGACGTCTGTTCCGCGGCGTTGTGTGCTGCAACGTCGGAAACTGGCCAGTATACAGGTACGAGAAGCCATTCGACAGAAAAACCATTAGCGGCGGTCGAGACCGAGGTATGGCCTCGATGCCTGCGTGTCACGTTGGCTGTTAATCAGCGTTGCTGCTTCCTCGCAAGACGTTGCTCCATGCTGTCGAACGGAGCGGCGTGCAAAATGACCTATACTCTAAAAGAATGCGAAGAAGAACTAACTCACTGAGCCATTGGAGAGACGCGTTCGTTTCTGTGGAAGATGAGGCGTAAAACTTGCAGGATAGCGGCTTTCTTTCGAAGTATAGGAAATTACTATTTCATATGGCAACATCAAATCACTGTCTTGAGGCCTAGCCGCTGGCACGCATGTGCTAGTGTCCACTTCAAGCATTCCCAAAGCTGCAATCGGATGCTCCAGGCATCCTAACGATCTCTGCCGCCATCTAGGTTGCGGTGCGGCTGCCTTACCTGGACGCAGCGCATCTAAAGCCTAACGCATCTTCGTATGGAATGCTTTCGACAGACTCAGCCCCTAGAATCCACCGGTCTTGGCCTCCAGGAGGTGCTGTTCCGGGAGCAGTGCCCCCGAGATATGTCGTGTATCGGCAATTTTTCAGCGCAATGATTATGCGGGTGGCTTTTCTCTCAGGCGCAAATACGTGTCGTTTACCTTGCAAAGTCGTGTTTTATCAGATCTGAAGTCTCTTGAGTTTCGCGCACGCTAACTGAAGCTTCCAGCCTTTTACATCACAATGCGCCACTCACTGGAAAGCAACCTACCTGTTCCCCGAGAGGTGGTACTGCGTTACGCAGGTCTGAACCCACTCACTCACTCACAGAAAGGTCCTTTACAATTGCCATAAATGCTCCATACGAAGACTTTTATAGTTTTCGGGACTACTCGACGTACGAGATCTCGTCTGCAAATATGCTTGTTCTCCCCATCTACGTATTGTTGCAGGGCCTTCGCAGGGAACAGTGATGAAGCTGACCATTATGTCTAAATACTTAAAAGATCACTTGGATCATCTGCTGCACGGCCAGCTGCATTCGTGGAGGAGAGCGCTGCCACGTGTCCGCCGCGATTTCTCCCGCGCCGCGATTCACTCACCAGGATTCCCCCGCGCATCGAGCCTCCGGATCCACACGTGGCGGATCCTGGCGTAGTGCGCTGTTCGCTGTACGGGAGGGACAGCACGCATGCCTCGCGATCGCCGCGTAATTATTGAGCGGCTGCGTGCAACGCACATATATACTACAGTGGTTGGAGTTTACAAAGGGCGCGCACACGGCACGTAAGTTACAGCACAGCAAAATGTCGATTGCAAAGAATATCATCTGTGTGTTCGTGATCTGCACTGTTCTCTGCAGTTGCAACGTGCTTGCTCTGCCGTTGTGGATAAATCAGGACCGCACCGTCTTGCATCCGATCTTAGTACCTTCACCGTCGCCTTCACCGTCGCCGTCGGCCTCGCCAACAACCACAACGACAACAACTTCTTCGTCGTATGGTTTATATGGCTCACGTCTGAGCCTTGACGATGCACTTGTGGCGGATGATCTGCTTCGTGTGCACATGTCGGCCTCGCCGTCGCCGTCGATGATGATGTCGTCGATGCACTCGGGGAGCCACCACATGCGCCTGAGCCTAGACGATGCACTTGTGGCGGATGAGCTGCTTCGTGTGCACATGTCGGCCTCGCCGTCGCCGTCGATGATGATGTCGTCGATGCACTCGGGGAGCCACCACATGCGCCTGAGCCTAGACGATGCACTTGTGGCGGATGAGCTGCTTCGTGTGCACATGTCGGCCTCGCCGTCGCCGTCGATGATGATGTCGTCGATGCACTCGGGGAACCATCACATGCGCCTGAGCCTAGATGATGCACTTGTGGCGGATGAGCTGCTTCGTGTGCACATGTCGGCCTCGCCGTCGCCGTCGATGATGATGTCGTCGATGCACTCGGGGAGCCACCACATGCGCCTGAGCCTAGATGATGCACTTGTGGCGGATGAGCTGCTTCGTGTGCACATGTCGGCCTCGCCGTCGCCGTCGATGATGATGTCGTCGATGCACTCGGGGAGCCACCATATGCGTCTGAACGTGGTAGATGCGCTGGCGGACGCGGACGTGATACGTGTGCATATGTCAGCCTCGCTGTCGCCGTCGCCGTCGCCGTCGCCGTCAGCCTCAATGATGGCATACTAGATGCAGTTGGAGCACTATCACGCGCCTCCATGTGTGAGGAAACGCGCTCCTCGGATGAGCCGCTCTGCATGCAGGTATCGGCGTGACTCTCGAAGTCGGCCTCAACGACGGTGTCGTCGATGCACGCGGTGAACTTCGATTTGCATGTCGTCGATGATTTTTCGCAGAAATAGAAGATTTACAACACGTTCATTGCCAGCATGCTTTAGCCCAGCGATTGTGTCACTGCACACTTTCGCATTCTCTGCCACGCATACTCATCCTCATTTTCGTTGACAAGAGCGAAACGATGTGGCATGTCTTGATATACCACTCAGAGAGATGTGCACTGGGGCCGATGTACACAAGAGACGAACTTAGTGCATCGACTCGCTGCAGAGCGACCGGACGGCGGCTTTCTTCCGCACATTCTGTAGTTTCGCTATGAGTAGGCCAGCTCAGGTTTGTCTGTGCATAACGCAGACAAAGTAGTCTTCGAAATCACTGGAAAACGCGTATGGAAAAACTCGCTATGAAACAGAGACAACAATTTTGTAACAATACTTGATGGTTTGGAATGATTCCCCCGGAAGGCTTCAAGGACCGAAAAGGAAAGAAATATATGAGACGCTTTGTAACTTTTGAATGTAAAGGCTTCGGGTAGCGCGTAATAAAACCATTTTCGGGTTATGACTTGGTCACCGATGATCTCGACTTGCGCTTTCTCACCTTACCCAAACGGGATTTCTTCGGTACTGTTTGGGTCCCGGTCTACATGCGAGCGTTCGATGAATCGCGGGAGCGGTCGCTCTGGGACTCGTTAGGAGCTGATTCCGCCTCGTAGATCTTCCACTCGAAGAAAACTGTTCGCTTGATGACTGTCGGCAGTGATGCGTACACCAACGGTGGTAGCGGAATCAACGGGCTAGTGCAGTTCTTGTACGCCTTGAATGCTTCTGCAAGTCTTTGAGCTTCCGTTTCACGTCCGTCTCTATTCTCAAACTTCGTATTTCCTTGGTACCTTCGATTCATAGACTGTTCCAGCAAAGGCATGCCGCTGACAAAGAGCAGCAACAACATAACGAAAACAGGAGATGCGATTGCGGCAACGAACAACGGGAATGAGTCCTCGACTCCAGCGTAACTGGATAGGAATATTCCCCACCAAACACATAGCTCCCCGAAATAGTTCGGGTGCCGTGAGAAGCGCCAGACGCCATCCGTGCACCAAGGAGTTTTATTCAGTTCCGGTGCTCTCTTCTTGTGTTGTAACTTTTGAAAATCCGCCACGGTTTCTAACAGGAGACCGCCAAGCCAGAGAAGCCAGCCAGCGTAATCCAGAGTACACAAGGGCTTGACCGGAAGTGCTTGAGAGGTTTCCGAGCCGAGTGCCAACACGGGGAACGATGTGACCCAAACCCATACCGCTTGAACGAACCAAAAACTCGCTAGCTTCCAAATGCTAGCGCGGAACTCCTTCAGACGCCGATCCTCTGACCACAGTATAATGCGGTACAAAAGGAAGCACGATAAACGAAACGCCCAAACGCTGATGAGCGTTGTGAGAACTTTAAGGCGGAACGTCCTCCGTTCACACTGCAAGCAACAGTAGAGGGCCAGGAGGAAAAAGTTCGTGCCACCAGCGAAGTCAGTTAGTTTGTCAGTGCCGAGCACAACCGAGGCAGTGAAAAATAGAAGTTGATAGACGACGCTGTACACGAAGGCTCTAGTAAAGACACTTTCCATATCCTAAACTGTACGAGGAAGAGATACATGTCGAATTCTAATCGGCGCACGCTACAGCACTGCTCACGTCTTTGCACCTGCAGGCAATATCAACTTTGGTTCAGTGTTGAAAAGAGTTTCCTTTGACAAGCATTTTGACCAGATGAAAAGAGACAGGTGCAGCCTCTGCGTCCGAAAAGAGAGGCGATACTCCTGAGACACGCATTGTTGAAGACGAGCACTCGCTAGTCATGGGTTTCGTGCCATACAACGGGTGAGTTTGTCCGCCACGGAGACGTCGTGGATGCCACGGAAGGACTGTATGCGCTGGCACACGAAGCTTCAGGGGTACACTCCACGAGAGGCGAGCTTCCCGAAGTTTCTTGAGGGAAACGGATGCGTGATTCGTTGGAAGGAGAAGTGCCAGGCTCTTTCAATATGTGTGTAGCAGTTGCTGGTTGAGAGTTCAGGGAAGAACATAGAGAGCAGAGCGGCTGGTCTTCAGAGAGCGCGGGGCCTTGTCCTCTATGAACTGAGCGTTCACTAACCTGACTCTGGGTAAAAGTCACGACTTCACCCACGCTTAATTCATGAAATGCTGTGCTTGGACCCGGCTGCACGTCTAGCTCAGGAATCGAGGTCGTGCGCTCTTCGGCGGAGACCGCAATCGAGACTGGTCGTGAGCCTACCCCAATCGCGGCTCTTTTCTTTGGCAGCGGCACCTGAGTCGGCGATTGGTGCGGCCGGTTTCGGGCCGAGGCTTGCATCAGTTCAACTTGAACTTGCTCCCAGAATACGCGCCCGCCTGCACGCGAAAGCGCCCGTCTGCTGGTAGGCAGATGCTCGATAATCGAATTTTGAACGTCCTCAACTGGGACACCTTTGTCGAATGGCATTTTCTGGATGGGGCATAGGTCGGCTGCGGCGATCCTGGTTGCAATTCCAGCCTCTATAGCCGGCCCAAGAATACCGTCTAGTTCATCGCTTTGCATCGCTGATGGTAGCGAATTCAGATGCACTACCTGACGAGTTCTGGGGTCGAATACGCGATGGTAACGGAAAGCAGTGATTGCTTTTCGAAAGCCTCGCTCGAACGCTTCATAATCCTCGGACAGTCTCTTGCTTCGCACAGCGAGCAAAATGTTGTCTAGTTTGCGATACTTTTGGACAAGGGCATGGGCCCTGCGGATTCCTGTCCTGGGAATTCCAGCGAAGAAATCACATCCTGCGAGGACACACATATAGAGAAGCATATCGGGATTGAACGTCAGTAAACTCGGATTTGTGACTGCTCCGAGGCTTCTCTGCTCGACATGGTCACCGTAGCCATAGCGATCTAGCTTGAACAGAATACTCCTTGCGCCATAGACGATTAAATCTGAGTCTTCAGTGATAACGAGGTCGATGAGATTTTCTCTAGAAAGCATCGCCAGCTGAGCGTCTGCTTCATACGGCGCGACGAGAAAATCAAAATTTTCTTTCCGAAGAGCTTTAATAACTTCGTAAGCCATTTCAGGGGTCACGTCGATAGAGCGTTGCAAAAAGCTCTGAGCGAGTTCTATTTCACCACGAGCCAGCGCTTGCGTAGCAAGCTCCAGATTCTTTGCTCTGAGCGTTGCTCGACGTTTTTCCGTCTCACTTTTAGCAGGTATTCTTCCCCCGTCGAAAACAATCAAAGGCGAGACGCCGTAGTGTTGCAGCATACGCACGCGACCCAGAAAATTTTCAACAAAACGTTCTGTACGCTCTACGCGTGGAGCTGTCGTGCCATTACTCCGGTCCAACGCTATACAACAGCCAGCGAGACTCTTGTGCAACCAGCTGTAGCCATCTACGCCGACCCGCTTCTGAGCAAAGTCGGATATGTGTCTGCGGAAGCAGACTGGTTTTATGATGGGCAAGAGGCCTTGAATACCCATGAAAAGTTCGAAACGATCCTGGTGTATTACAGGAAACGAAGCGCGACGTTCAAATTCCCAGTCGGGTGCGTGCGCAGGCGACCTTTTGTGGATATTACACAAATTTGTATACAACTGCGATCACCTCATTTGCGGCCTACGACTCTTGCACGGGATGTTGTGATGAACAGCAACGTGCGAACACAGTTCTTACACATACATCGTCAGTGGAAGAGGAAATGCTCCGCTACAATACAAGATATGTACATATCCATTCGTAGACGCTTTCCAGACATTTTGGACCCGCTCCCTACTGTCGGCGTCAGCGTCTACTTGTATACCTTGACCCTACGAGGCTGCGCCACAAATTTGGCTCGCGTCAGCTCCGCGGGTCTCGTCTATAGCACCAGACATCGTCTGATAGTGGTGCCAGCCTTATAATCTCGGTTCACGGACTCCAAGCATTTACTGCAGCTGGTGGAGCTCATTTGTGCAAGGAGTCCTCGAACTCGCGCCCTCTGTGCCACTACAGTCTCGTCATCGTCCCGTCGGGTATACACTTTTTCTCGCCTATCTCACCTCATTTTCTCTTTTTTTTCAGCATATGCTGTCCTTCGCTCGATGGTCGGCGAGAAGAGGATTTTTCGTTTCTTTTTCGAACCTGGCGACACCAGGCCTCTAGAATCCTCGACTTCAATGTCCATAACTGTTCCTTGGATTATTTATTTTTTAAAATGAACGCACTTGTTTTTTGAGCTCAGTTGAGGACCTTCCCGATGGCAGAAGGATTTGAAAAACAACGAAGGAGTATGCTCCTGTGTCAGCATATGCTCAAAGCTTCAGCGGTTCGCCCAGTGGAGCGATCACCACGTTCGACGATAAGAAAGACTTCTTCGATGGCGTTAAACTACGGCGCGTACGGAGGAATGAAAAGCGGCTCTATTCCAACAGAATCTGCAGAGACTCGAACGCAAGAAGAATCGTGAAATGTCACGTTGTCCAACAGAGGGTTGTCAGAAGACGTCAGAGAACCGTCTTCAGTGATTCGACGAATTCGTTGCTGCTCTTGTATGTGTCTTGTCTATGAGCGAAACTGAGGCCGCCAAAAGAATCCACTGCAGCTCGAACAGTTGATGACATGCTCGTTCTCTACAAGTTCGTTCGTACATAGCACAGACGCCATCTCCGAGGATACCCATAAACGCACCGACCGCCTCGTCCGAAGGAAGCCGCATCGACTGGGAAAAAACAAACCGACGTCCGTGGACGTCATACTGATCGCTGAGTTCCAGGAACGCTGCCATTTTGGTGCCGGTGGAAGATGGCCATGCGTGGACCCGGACTCTCTTTAGCGACTGTACCCTAGAGTTTTCAGCACCACACGAACAAGCTGGTGGGAAACAGAGTCGCCCATGGTGGCTACTATCGTCGCTATTTCCTTCCAGAACAGGTGATCAACGGGTGGTTTTCTACCATTGACCGCATCCAGTCTTCGAGAATATCGGCTTTTGGCGCGGAGCGCGTATTCTTGGTTGTTTCAGAGTTCCTCAGCCATCTGAGTCCTGTTGCATAACTGAGCTGAAGGAGGAATGCAGACCTCCATGCACTTTTCAGTGAAGAACAGATCCACCAGGCAGCTCGTCTATAGTCTGTACTCTACACTGCATCATGATTACGATCTCCGGCTATACATCGCAGCTCGGGTGAAAACAATTGATTTGAATGACTATAGCAACTTACAAGTGGTAATGCTCTCTCCTGCGCGCCATATGCCTATGATTCGCTGAGACTGAGCCAGTCAGAGCGGACAACACTACCGTCTTCTGTGCGTACTGCGCAAAAGCCTAGCGCTTCCATGCAACCGGTTCGTGGACGACTACAAACCGTAGTGGCATTTTGCATATCCTCGGAAAAGGAACGGAGGTGTACCTGCGGCGGCAATAATCCCAACTGAGCGGTGCGTCTGGCGCAAGCAGAAAGCGCCCTAGACAACGCCTCCACTACCTTGAGCAAGCTAGGCTCTATTTCTTGAGGAAAAGAAGCTCAGCTGGTGGAAAAGATCGTCAAGAGTCGTTACTTCTTGCGATTCAATCGTCTGCGCACTTGCGATAGCTTTCTTCTTGTTTAGCGACGTTTTCGCTTCTAGCAAATATGACCCAACCAACTGTGCCTCGACCGCACCCTCCAAGAGGCGTGTTGCCATGGTTGCTTGTTGCGGGCTTGCTCCTGCTCACGGTAGGCTATTATAGTTTGTCAGCTCCACAGCCCAGCTCAGTCGCAGCTGGACGTTTTCGGACACTGAAACGCCTAGCTTCCTTCATCTGTATACGGACTCTCAGATCACCTGTTCTGGTTGGGACGGTTTTTTGGGGCGCCCTCATTGCGCACTTCATCGAGAGTATAGCTGCTTTTTCCTACATTCGTCGACGTTGTCGTTGGGATAGTGGCGCGGGACTCCGAGCAGCGGGATGGGCAGCTTTCGTTCTTCTCTTTGGCTTCCCCGCATTTCGAGAGCTTATCAGAACCATAAAAGAAAGCGAACTTTATCTCGCAGCGAAGAAATGGTAGCCTTGGTGCATAACACAAGCGGGTCACTTCCGCGCATGCTCACTAGACTTCTCTTCGCTGCTGTCTGGTCGAATCGGGTTTCCCAGGCAAACCACCGAAAACTCTCCATATTTGCCAGAAAGCGCACCATGATCCCGTTGCTGAAGCCTTGGTTAGTATGCACGGCAGCCGCCAGAGCATACGCAACCTGCCCTGGCTACGGCTGATTAGTTCGCAGTCCCAATGCAACAAGCACCTATCATAGTTGCATGAAAGCTCGTCACCAACACTCGCGGAGCTCTGCAAAAATGGAGTCAGCGGTGGTTTTGCAGCATCGTTGCCCGGAGCGCGGCGCCAGGCTACGGGTACTATACCACACTCTGATCTCAACAGCATCTGCGCATTCGACGGAGAAAGGGTGCATTCAGCGATTCGATCCTATCAAAGAAAAGGCAATACTCCTCCGCACAGTTACAAGAAGCGCTTTACATTGGCCTTCGACGGCGCGTTTCCATTCAGCGACGGTATGAGACGTGGACGCTGCCGGGCAACATGACATCACGGCTCCATAATGCGGTCTTGCGCGTATGAAGCGACGCTGCTCCTTGGATGTGCAAAACAAGTATACCACATCGCAAAGAGGGAACAGAGCTTCCCTAAGAAATAGATTCCCGATGTGCTGGAAAAGTCCCAGAATCTGAGCCGATATTTGAAGCAGTTTGCTCCGTCTAGAAGTACGTGCCATCAGCGACCGGAGTCAGGTATATTTCACTGCGCATTAGGTCAAATCCTAGCCTGAGTGTGAGTTGAAAGAAACCAGTCTCCTTCGTTGGGGCGGAATACGATCGGCGACTCCTACGATGCGATTTTCTCGGTTTCGCAACGCGAAATCTGTGCTGTACACCAGCAACAAGGTGCCACGGTGCATCCGAATTCGTAGGAATCCAAGAAGCGTGTAGGAACCAATGCGAGAGCTGGGCGTTAGAGTTCATCCATTTTCGATTTGCACTAGCAGCGCATCCTTGGAACGCTCCAAGACATCGCATGAAGTCCCATTCGAAGCCCCACCAGGTCGATGAACGTTCTCGTAGAGCTGTGGAATACAAACGCCGCCGATTTCGCTCTGCAGCACTTTCCCAAAGCATGAGACCCGGCAGGTCAATCGTTGTTCCTAGCTTCAAATACAGCCGCCCAGGCAGCCTAAATTGCTCCGTGTTTACTAAGGAGCTCTTGCGGTTGCTGTCCCAGTCTCCTCCTACAGACCTACGTTCGCCTGCACGGTGCCAGTTGAGAAAAGGCGGCAGCCATCTTTGTCTCCAAGTCTGTTTGCTTCCACTCCAACCAAAGTCGTTGCCACTGTCCTGATCCGCAGCCTCGCCATCGCAGGCACCTTCGGTGGGATGCAGCCGCAGGCGCGCAGAAAGTCGCAGTCGTGGCGTATCCGAGCTGTTCTGTCCCCAGAGCCGCCTAAGACTAAGAACCGCAGCTCCGCGAAGAGGCAAAACGTAGGGGTCCCGATTCATGTAAACATTTTGCAGTAAGAGTCTTGTTTGCCAGACTTGGAAGAAAGTAAGCGCCGGGGCATGCCTCTGGTAGTCCCAGAGGCACAGCCGATCGCTCGCAGCTCGAACTAGTGTCTCGAGCGGAACAGTTCTCCAAGCTTCAAGAGCGGGTAGCGTAGGTCTAAGTTCACCCGCAGTTACCAAGGAGTTCTGAACAGAAACGCTCGTAGGCATGGGTTACAAGCAAGGCTTGCTCCCGTGAGCACGACTACTCGATAAAAAGATGCAGCACTACGTGCGCCTTCAAGGTTCCACACCGCTTATGGCAAAGCTGCCATGCAAGCAGCCTGCCGAATTCCATGATGACGATGAGACCCGGCTCCGTCTCAGTAAAACCACATTCGAACCGAATGCAGAACGTTTATGACAAGTTCTTTCTGTATCTATAGGGAAACCGATGTGTTTGGCGTATAATGCTTCGCAGCAAGCGCAAGCAGTAAGTACTGCACCGAGAGGGTCCGTACACTCGTGTCAGTTTAAAATGGATCACTGAACTGATTACCTGGTTCCTGCGTTTCTTTTCTTTGTCGGAACTTTCTTGTAATACCTCTATATTATAAGTGCATCAAAACGGCTTACGCATTCATAAGTACTTTTAGGATTCTGGGTCGTCTTCTCAAAATGGCTCTTTCGACTCCCAGCGGGTGCAAATCGTAACATGCCCGGAACCCAGATGATTTTTTCATGCCGTAAAAAATAGTTTTGGAAACTAACCGATAACAGTATCCGTTCCATAAGTAAGTACAAGCATCTATTAGTCTCCGTTCTTTACGTGTACCATGCTCAAATCACGCATTCTTCATGTTCACGATCTTCGTGCTTCTTGGCAACGCCTGTACGCGGCACCTCGCTTCGTTGGATCGATGAACAAAACTACTCGAAATCTTCCCCTGGCAAATTCTTCACAAGCGCATACCGGAAGCTAACAGAAATTTTCACGTCAATCAAGTACCGTTGACGTTCGAAAGATAAGTTCTTCTCTCTTCCTGGTTATCCATAAAATAAGATTCGACAGCAGCATCGTGATTGCTGCAACGCAGTATGCTTCCAGAGGCTCCCGATGCTTCTGTTTATACAGAAAAGAGCCTTGGAGTCGGGACTAAGTCATCGCAGGGATCGATTCCATTGCAAAGAACGCCACAGCTTTCCACGATGTGCGAGTCGATGGATCCAGAGTTCACGACTTGATCTCCAAGCTAGATTTTCCTTGCGGTGTTTGATTCATCGACTGCAAAATCCCGTTGACCGAGCCTTTGATCGAATGGGAAAGCGTGCACTCGAGTTTGCGGTGGGCGGAGTACTCGCCAAGGCGTGTCCGAGAAGAAGAACATGGTTCTAGAGTACGGTGCCTGTCACGGGAACGAAGGATGATGTCGTGGCCAGCCTTCCGATGCACCGGTGACAGGCATATGTCGAGCGATGCAGCATGCGTGCATGCGTCACACGACGGACCTCAGAGAACGAGATGTGGTATACCTAGGGGATTAGACAACCACAACCAAGTGCCTCTACTACGACGAACGCAACGAGGTTGTATACAAAGTACATGAGCATCATAAGCGAAGCGTGGATCGCAAACACTAGCTATACATGAGATGCGTCGACAACAGCCGGAAGCAGCGAAATCGAGACTTTCACGCTGCCATCAACTCCTTCGCTTGCTGACAACGGATCTGAAAGGAGTCTGGCATATTTAAAGCCGCTGAGGTGACGGGTAAAAGGCATCAGGCACAGAAAAAGCCGTCGAATGCAGCTGTTTGTGACGCGCATAACAAACTGAAGCTTCAGCAGACACGCCTGCGCGCGGGGACCCGTCATATTTTAATCTGATATGGGTGTAGTCATCGCCGCCGAACTGCGGACGGACATAAAATGTTTCTCGCAATGTGTTTGGTCATACCACTCTTTCCAAAGCGAAGTTTCGTGTGTCAGGGTATTCGTGAGAGGATTTTCAGACAAGCAATCTGTGCCACGCATAGGCCAAAGTCGTTGACTGGTCCAATAAGTCGCTCGTGGTGGAAGGAAGGCGTCTCCCGAGCTGAGGCATTCTAGTAGACAGTACCGACGCCCCGCTGCTTCCATGTTCGTTCTTTCCCCTCTTGCCTGCCCTGGGCGGCCTGCAGCAGCGGCGACAGCAACAGACTACCGAGTTCCTCTCCACAGAAATGGAAGATCGCTTCCGGGGAAGCTGGTTTGCGCTCGTGAGTTGTTCATGGGTCTCGGCAACTCTTTTGGGAGGATATTTCGAATAACGACTTTTGGTGAATCCCACGGTGGTGGAGTCGGAGTTGTCATTGATGGTTGCCCACCACGGCTGCCACTTACTATAGAAGACGTTCAGATTGAGTTAAACAGGCGTAGACCGGGACAGTCTAGGCTCACGACACCACGGAACGAAGCAGATGAAGCGGAGATCCTCTCTGGCGTCGTCGACGGTGTCACTATGGGTACACCTATAGCTATCGTTGTTCGAAACACAGACCAAAGGTCTCAGGATTATGAGGCAATGAAGGTAAGCTATCGACCATCGCACGCGGATGCAACCTATGATGCAAAGTACGGCATACGCGCCGTCGCTGGCGGTGGACGTTCATCAGCTCGGGAAACAATAGGACGTGTTGCTGCAGGCGCCATTGCCAAAAAGATCCTTCGGACATATGCGGGAACACAAATTCTTGCCTACGTGAAAAGCGTGAAGCATATCGAGGCAGCGAATATTGATCCCAACGTGGTTTCGTACGAGCAAATCGAATCGAACATCGTTCGCTGCCCTGATTCAGAGGCAGCATCTCAAATGATCCAGCTTATCGATGAAATTCGCCGAACAGGTAACAGTGTCGGCGGTGTTGTTGAATGCGTTGCAAGGAACGTCCCTGCCGGGCTAGGATCACCGGTGTTTGACAAGCTCGAAGCTGAACTCGCAAAAGCCCTCATGTCGCTTCCAGCATCGAAAGGCTTTGAAGTAGGCTCGGGTTTCGGGGGCACTTTGCTAACGGGTGTAGAGCACAACGATCCCTTCTATATAGATAGCAATGGTAGGACGCGAGCGAGGGAGAACCGTTCCGGAGGTATTCAAGGAGGCATCTCGAACGGAGAGAACATTGTATGTCGCGTCGCCTTCAAACCGACCTCTACGATATCACGCGAACAGAATACAGTGACGCGTGCCGGTGAGCAAGTAGTCCTTCGCGCGAAGGGCAGACACGATCCCTGTGTGTTGCCTCGTGCTGTTCCGATGGTAGAAGCCATGGTCGCGCTCGTTCTTGTTGATCACTTGCTTCAACAGATTGCCCAGTGTTCGCTGCTTCCTATTGATCCATCAACGGCACCGAACCCTCTGGGACCTCCGGCTCCGGCCGGAACAGTTCTTCACGATCTCGGAAAAGATGGCCAACGATGGTGGCCAAGCGCCTGAGTAATTTCATTCAGAAATTCGAATCCAGGATTGGAGTTAAATTGAAGATGCGCTTCATTTTCAGAGCCTCTCTGCATTCCGCGTGCCGCACTGAGTCTCCGCTTGAACGTTTTGGTATATGTGCGGCGTTAGATACAGAACAGAGAATTCTAGAACACATGCACCAACACGCACCCGTTTGGTTTTTGTTTTTTCAGGCATTCGGCATAAGGTGTACATCCTGCAGATAGGGGAACGGTTACGGAAGGGCTTTATACACTCAATGCAAGCTTGAAAGAAACGGATTCACATGTGCAGTTCAGTGATTCTTCGGTCAGCAGGTTGAAGAACCACCCTTCTCGCAGTAAGAATCCTCAACATGGTGCTCCCAAAACAGAAATTATTGAACTCTGTGTTCGCAGCAGTCTCCTCGTCACTCCATTCCTTTCTATACGTTCTCTGAGAAGTGCTATCAAAGGAGCCACTGGATGCGAAATTTCCTTACCGTTGATACGAATAGTGATGAAGAGCCACGGACAGAGGAGAAATGGCAGACTTCAATGGGAGACCGTCACGCACTGAACAACACGTATAATCAATTTCGTACTGAAACGTGAACGCATGTTACTTGAGGCACAATTGTGCGTTTCAGTTGATGGGAATTTGTGTTGGAGAAGTTGTTGGGCAATATATGGATGGTCAAAGAAGAGCAAATCGCTGTTCGGTATAACAAGACAAGCGAGCTTTGCGACGAATGCAGCCATGGCGGCGATTCAATCATACGTTCGCCTACTGCTCGCCAAACAGACAGCATTGTTCTATACCAAATTCTTCTTCGAAGAAATTCGTGGCTTTTCTTTTAAAATTCCTCTTTTTTGCTCCCAGTCAACGCAAGCTCCAACAGCACTCAAGCGCTCATCAAGTGCGCAGGTGGGATGCGCAAGGGGCTGCTCTTCGTGCCAGCCTCTCTTACGCAGCTCCATCCAGGCGAAGGATTCGCCTCCGTTGTCTAAAGCCAGTTTCACGCTCACGGATCAAAAGACGAGTCGTTTGCACCCTTTTCACCAAACGTTTTCCACAAATCTTTCGTCGACCGGTTGCTCTTAACGTTTGCCAGCCGTGGACTGATGTGTTGCTTCTCTATCCGCGCGCAACAGAGACCGGAAAAGCGTGCTTCGGTCCATGCGCGTGCTCTTAACCGAGATCACGACGAACAGGTGCATGAGAAATATTATGCACATGTGTAGAACAGGCGAGATGCAGTCCGAGCGTCCACCGAGTATGATCTAGTCTCGAGATGAAAACGGATATGGGGTACAGTTACAAAATCCTTGAAGCAACCCAAAGGAAAAGGGAAGAAGAAGAATCTCCCGGACCAATATGAGAAAGATACTTCCGAAAAGAGGACGACGAAGGACAGGAATGAGGTACTCGCGGAGCGGAAAGGTAATGCTGGGACCGTTTTCATGGGCTACCTACTGGAACACATTATCGGGGAGACTGTTCTTAAAAGTGAGATACAGCGCCTACTGGATGGGGTCCACGCACGTCACGTAAAGACCCAGTATACCACGGTGGACACTTATTTACTAAATTGCATGGCCCGAGTAGTTAGTTGCTGCTGGTCTCTGTAAGCAAGAAGCATTCAAATGACTTCGAGAAGAGCGCTGGCCGAGCTCGTTCAAGGTTTCTCGTCTACAGGGAAAATGTACGCAAGTTTACTGTGACAATGGAGACTCCCTGAATATTCGCTTGCATGTACTTCAAGATACCTTTGCCGGAACTGACCAAGTTGCCCCATTCTCAACCGTTCAAGACAAATGATGAGAAAGACTTCGTGGTAAGCTTTGTTCCCTGTTTGAAGGGTGTCATGGCCATAGCCGTTTCTCCAATTCAAGAGGAGGCAACCAAAGACCTCAAAAGGAACACAAGCGCCCCTGCTAAGCTTCCTCAAGGCTCGATATTATCTGGAGTCAGGTATGAAGGTCACCAGGAGACGCGATTAAGTACAAGAATGGCGCCAAGACCCACATAGACGCAGTGGTGGCAGCCTCGAATAGAGGCGGATGCTTTGTGCGCTGCATCCAGATATTACTCATCCATAATATGGCTCATGCGAAAGAGCTTTCGCAGGTTTACATGAGACCGTGTCGGGATCACCAACATTTTCGTGTCTACAGAAGGAATAATCGCGCTTTCGAGAAACTCTTCATCGAAATGGTCAAGGAAATGAACCATAGGTAGAGTTGCTGGGCGCAAGCCGATAGCGCTGGACATGCTATGCATGGAAAGACTGCACACCTGCGCCTTCGATGAGCGCGTAGAACGAGTACAGGAATGGATTCTGTGCGAGTCCTACCGATGCGCTCAGGGCGACACACGTGCATGGCGAGCACGGGTGCACGCTGATACTGGTAGAGAAGTAAAGCGTGAAACAGAGCCGGGCGCTCGAGATGGTGTACGGGAAGCTGACCGAGCATCAGATGGCGGGGATATCGAGGCGGGTAGGCTCGCGATGGAGTCTTTCCTCGAGCAAAAATGCACGCGAGCTCTTTATGCCCCGCGGCATTAACGCCACGGTCGTTTACCGGAAATGGCACGTGCTTCGGGAGGTTTCAGCGGCTTTTGTGGCGGACGAGGTTTCGACGTAATCGTTTCGTACTCAGAGCGAGCATCGTGCTGATACGCAGAAGAATTCCGGTAAAAACATCAGTATGCAGAAGAGAGAGTATTGGATACTCACCTGGGGCAAGGCATTTTTACGCTAATGCTCATCGACACAGCAAGATTCACGCATCGTATATACACACTGCGGATGATTATTCTTGGCAATTGAAAAACAAGATTGGAGTTCCATTAGTCAATATTATTAAGTATATACTCGCTCGCTTCCACATCTCAGCTCGCAATAGGCGTCACAGCGATATATTAGAATACAGCAAGTCTCAAGAGAAACTCGAGCTCTGAAGGGCTCTATGAGGAGCTCGCGATCGTCTCAAGAACAATCATATTCTCGCTAGAATCTGCGAAGCTGCATCGCCTCAACGAGTGCACACGATGCCGTTCTTTGTTCTTCGCAGCAGGGATGAGGCATTTAAGATGGGTCCACTTCCCGTGCATCTTAATACAGCATTAAAAGTCACCTGCAAGAGTACAGCGGACTGCTTTTTGCAACTCCAAAGACTGTATTGCCCGAACAGCACGTCATCTGGCTACAAACCGCGCCCGCAACCAGCACTGCATCCTGCCGGTCTCCATGGAAAGAAGGGGCCAACATTGGTGCTCTCGCGACTCGCAGCGGTTTCACTTCTCTGAGAGCTGCTGCACTGACGGCCCTCTCGCAAGCAAACGGCGACCGTTGAACCTCACGCCGTCCACCACCTTTGCTGCATAGCTCGCATCCTCCGTTGAAAAAAACTCGACAAAGGCATAGTTTCCTAGAATTTTGCCTGTAATGCGATCTCTGGGAATCGACACTCGACGCACTGGCGCAAACTGAGTAAAAAGTTCTGCTAGAAGCCGTTCGGGTGAATCCGTGACAGCAGCACCTTCTCCGCTATTAAGCGACTCGTCGGCTGCAACAAAGCCAGAGACGAAAACAGTCTGATCTGGGTTGTTGAGGCTTCGAGTTGCAAGAGAGTATGCTGCAATACCGTCCGCCTCTGGAACTGTTGGAGCGCGCCTCAGCCCAGAGCCGTTCATAAGTTGTGCGGCAGGTCGGAGGACCACCCCGATCGCTCTGGAAGAGTACGATCGGCGAATTTGTTCAGTTTCACCGCAGCCTGCGAGTGCTGCCGGTGACCAGGAACGAGACTTTAGTTCCTCAAAAAATGGTCCTGCGTACTTCAACCCCCTCTTATCTCTCGATTTCCCCGCAGACTCGCTATCCACAGAAGCGGGAATACGAACAGTAGCCGCATGATGGCCGGTTGCGTTGGCGTGGCGCCCAGGCACAACTCGCCGGCTGGCAGCGCAAGGCACCGAGAAAGGTCTCTCGAGAGCCGTTTTCGCCTACTTGACTAGGATGGAGCCCGTTGAGAGCTCGAGTTCCGATCGTTTTGGCGGCTTCAAGAGGTTAAGCAAAGAGTTCTATCAATCATCCTTTCGGATAAAACCTATAGACCAGCTTAATGCGGAGACGAGTCGCTGTCACCCAGAAAGCGCACGTGTGCTTACGCTAGCTGACCTCGTTGTTGTCGGCGTTTCCGGTACATTGGGTGCTGGCCTTTTTTTTCTTCTTGGAAGGGCTGCGCGCACTGCTGTTGGGCCAGGAGTGAGCATCTCCTTCCTTCTTGCTGCAGGAGTCTGCGCGCTTGTAGGGTTATCGTATGCGGAGATGTCTTCACGTATACCATCGTGCGGTGGCGCTTACTCTTTTGCCTATGCAACCTTGGGGGAGCTGGCAGCGTTTCTCGTAGGCTGGTGCCTCTCTCTGGAGTATGGCGTGGCTAGTGCTGCGATAGCGCGCTCATGGGCTGCCTATGTAAGGCACGGGTTCTCGCAAACAGCATCGATAGAAGTTGGTGAGCACAACATATCATTGCTGGCTCCGCTTTTGATACTTGTGCTTACCCTTTTGCTTGCCTCTGGTCTTCGCGAGGGGCGCTACATCGTTGGGTTCTCAACGCTGGTTTTCGGTGGAGTGCTGCTCGCAGTCTTCTTCTTCGGATTGCACCTTATCCGTCCGCGGAATTGGGCTCCATTTCTGCCTTACGGGTGGCGTTCGGTTTTAACCGGATCAGCATCCTTGTTTTTCGCATATGTGGGCTTTGACGAGGTAGCTACTGTGGCGGAAGAATCGCACGCTCCCACTCGCAATGTACCGTTCGCCATGTTGGCTAGTCTTGGCATCGTGGCTAGTGTTTGTATAATCGCCTCAATCATTGTGACCGGAATACAACCGTATTCACAATTATCCGATACTGCGCCGTTTGCAGGCGCTTTTGAGTACGCTGGGAGCACATTCTTCGCGAAAATCGTCGCAATTGGGACAGTTATTGGTCTTCAAAATACAGCGATGATTGCCCTGTTAGCTCAACCACGACTCTTCATGGCAATGTCCAGAGATGGACTTCTTCCGGAAATTTTTGGAGAACTCAGTGGATCCGGGAATACACCACGAGCGGCCACGATTCTGTGTGGAGTAGGATTGGCGATTATTGCGCTGCTATTCCCGCTTCACAGCCTATCCGATATGATCAGCGCCGGTACCCTTGTTGCCTATGCGGCGGTCTGCCTTGCGTTGATTCGCACTCGACTTATCGTCAGTGGTCACGGCCGCGACTCTGGTGGCCTCCTAACTCTTTTATCTGTGAGCTTCGTTTTGTGCGCATTGATCTGGAGAGTGGGAAACGAAAGCGCGGCATCGATGCTCGGTGGCGGCTTCATTGCGGGAGTCCCGCTTTTGCTGCTCGCCCGAGTACCTTTGGCCAGCGAATCGGACCCTCCACGTTTTCTTTGCCCACTTATGCCATGGACGCCGGCATTAGGTGCATTCTTTTCGATTGTGCTTCTGTTTCAGCTCAGTCGTACTGGGCTGTTGCTACTCTTGTTTTGGACCCTTATCGGCTTATGCATTTATATTTTCTACGGATTCCGGCACTCGCACGCGCGAAACTCGCAGGCCACCGATTTCGGGGCAAGTGTACGCAGTGGTCGCCGACTAACGAATGCTCCAGACACATTTGTGGAAGCCGCAACCCGTCGATCGATGCGAGTGCTGAGCAAGAAGCAGGACCCCGCCACCGCTGCAGGTAGCGATCGAACGGAAGAGGTTCAGCTGTTTCAGCGCGACATCGACCTATTAGCGGATGCAATAATCGACTTGGAGGATGAAGAAGACTCTCTAGACCATGAAGATGCCAATGAAGATGACATGGAGCCAGATTTTGTGCAGATTGAGCCGGCTAGAGACAAAAATGAAACGAAGCAGTGAAACACCTCCATATCCGAAGCGATGTACTCATGGACGCAGTTGGAGTCGGCGACGGAGAGCAGCAAACGGCAAAAGCGCGCTCTGTTCAGCAATGGCTGATAATTATTTAGTCCCAAGAGGCAGCTCAGCATGAAATTTGCATGCATTCGAGTGAGGACACACATTTAGCGCCGAATTCACTAATGTAATGGCGGATGGTCGCGCACGGGCAGCAAAGAGGACGTTTGGTTCAGCACATATCTGGTCTGCGGACTTCACCATTTCAGCACTGTTAAGGTCGATATTGGAATTGAGGCGAGGGGCTCAGGTTACCGAGAGAAGATGACGTATTCTAGGGTCAGTCGCTGCGAGTCTTCGGAATACCGGTTTCGAATAAGGCGCCCAGGGCGATCCTAGCGAAGGTTGCTGCCAATAGGGCTGGGCCCATTCTGAAACGCCCCCGTCGTGTGAAGCACTAGTATACTAAGGCTTTGATGGAAGGCGAATTTTCTTTGTTTTTCTTCAGTGGACAATATAGCTGCTCTACCAAGAAGCGCCCACATCCGAATCCTTTACTCGTGGTGGCCTCTCAACGTGTGCGCGGAGGAAACCGTCTCCAAGAATCGCCAGTTATACAACAGCGGATGCACATCTCACTCGTTTGGTGCCCCGCTTAGATTCAAACATCCTTGGAACTCTTCACTTCCTCTGCTCCTCCAGATTAAGCTGCTTTGTGACGGACTGAAGCAGCCCCTCACATGCATCTTCAAGAATATCGAGCACGAGGCGCATGCTGTCACCTCCATGATACCAGGGGTCGGGAACCTCCCGGATATCTTTCCTGTGCCGGCAGTACTTGGTAATTTGTTCCACTTTGCTTTTTGCAAGTTCGACATATTTCTTCCCCCAGTACGCAGCAGCTTTGCGGACCTCCCTCTCGTTTTCAGCATCCATGACAACGATAAGGTCGAATTTTTCTAGATCATCCGGTTTCATGGGCCGGGATATCGAATCAACCTTGATATTTCTTTCTGAAGCGATTCGAACCATTCGCGGATCAGCTCGGTCACCTTCGTGATAGCTCCAGCCGTTCTCTATGTACCAGTCGGGGTTCCCGCCGCCCGTGCCACAGGAGTCCACATAGAACAAGTTTTCGAGCCCCTGTTCCGCGATCTTCTTTTTTAGAATGGCCTCTGCTGCAGGCGAACGGCAAAGGTTTCCCAGGCAGACGGTTAAGATACAAAACTTTTTTTGTGTTCCAGGTTCGTTTTTATTGGCGTTTACTTTGTGCGAAGTCATAAGGACACCTGCAACAGCTGAAATCTCGTGCAACCTGCTTTCCACTCGATTAAACTTTTGTGGAAACGACACAAAGTGTTTGATCGCTGTTCTCGTTCGCTCTGATACTGCTAGTCCTGACCTGTAAGTTCTTCTGGTCCCTGCAAGTGTCTGGACAAAACAAACGACTTTTCTCCTGTGATAATCCATAGATAAGCTCTATGGCACGCGTGTATGTTCACGGCCGATCCGCGCAGCAATTGTTTTTGACAAAACCTTTAGATTGACAATGGATCCCAGATTGCGGGATGGATATTCGCTTCGGGGAAAGCGTCCATCATGATGCACCTTACCTTCAAGTTCCATTCCCCGTACTAACTCTCGGATGTACTGGTCGTTTCGTTGTTCTATCGTGCGCCGAGCATGCCATGAGCACCCGCCTTAGCGGCTATAGCGCGGGTGCGGATGCAACATAGAGGCAGAACAGCATTGCCATACCGTTAAGGGCGTCGGCTCGAGGCGTGGTGCATCTGACACGGACTCGAAGTGCGTATTCATTCTGGGAGTCTGAGAGCTGTGCAGACAGACGTACTGTCTGCGGCAGCGGAAAGCGATATACTAGGAGTCCACTGCGGCCAGGCCGCCGCTCAGACATATCATATCCTCTCCTAGTCCCAAAATAAACTGCGTATCGGACTAGCTGGTTAGATCTCATTAAAGCACCTGCCACCAGGGAGAGCTTGAAGCATTCGCCGGCATACTCGTCGGGCTTGCGGGGCCATGTGCCTGGAGGGCAAACTTTCGAAAATATGGAAACTTTTTCCCCCTTTCAACTCTTAACATACAGGTCGAACGGCATTGTTATGGAGTTGCTAATAAGCGGTTAGATTTGGTTCTTGCAGTCCAGCGTAAATTAATATCCACCTGCAGACGCCTCCCAGTCTGTTTCGAACGGCTCTCTTCTATCGGCTTCAGCTTCTCCTTACACTTCGAGCCTGAGAAACTGCCCCACAAAGTTGGATTGCGTCAGCTCGCCGAATCTCATGTCCAGCACCGCACATCGTCTGATATTGATGACGGCGTTGACGTCTCGGCCTATGAGCTCACTGTGTGCATTGTCGTTGTTGGGATGCAGGACTCGTAGGAATCCTAGAAATCGTGCCTTCTGTACCACCACAGTCTCGTCATCGTCCCGTCAGGCGTAACCTTTTCTCGCCTATCTCCTTCCTCTTCTTCGTCGCTTGATCTTCTTCGCTCGATGGTCCGCGCGAAGAGATTTTTCTTCTCCCGGCAGCTGGCGATGACCGGGCTCCAGGATCCTCGACTTCAATGTCCACACCTTTCCCTTGGACTTTTTCTTTCTTCAAATGAACGCAATTGTTGATGCCCTTAGGTCAGGACCTTCTCTGAGCGACACGGATTTGCCAATGAGAGATGAAATATGTCCCTGTGTGTCACCGCGCTGAAGACTTCAGCGATTCACCCAGTGGAGCGCTCATTACTTTTCACGATAGAAATCACTTCTTTCTGTGAGGTTGAACCACGGAGTGTACGCAGGAATGAACGGTAGTTCTCCCCGATAGACTTGGCAAAAGCTCGGATGCAAACGAAAAGGCCTTCAACGATTCGACAAAGTGGTAGGTGCTGTTGTATGAGCCTTCGCGACGAGCGAAACTGAGGCCGCCAAATGTGTCCAAGACAGCTAGAACAGATGATGTTGTCGTTCTCTTCGTGTTCGATCGTGCATACAATGGGAGTCCTGCTCGGCGAATACCTATATACGGTCCGAACATCTGGTCAGATCAAAGTTACATCGAGTGAACCAAACCGATGTCCCTGCGCTTCCCACCGATAGCGACGTTCCAGGAACGCTGTCGTTGCGATTCCAGTGGAAGATAGCTTTGGTTGAACTAGGACTCTTCTTGGCGAGCGAATCTCAGTGTTATCAGGCGCACACGAATAAGCGGTTGAGAAAAAGAGACGCCCATTGAGGCTGCTATCGTCGCGTTTGCGTCCCATAAGGTTACCAACGGGTCTTGTTCTAAAATTGACTTTAAGTACGCTTTGTGAATATCGATTTTTAGCGTCGAGCGCATCTACTTGTTTCTTTCAGTGTTCCTCAACCATCTAGGTACTGTGGTATCGCTGACCTGAAGGAGGAATACAGTTATCCTTGCACTTTTCATTAAAACATATATCCTACAGGCAATTCGCCTTCGATCCAGAGGATGGATCGCATATTGATTTCGACTACTTGGTACACAGCGCAACCAAATGTAAAGGATTGAATTTCGCTTGTTGAATCGAAGCAATGTCTATAGCTTTTCAGATATTGTATTGGCTCATAAGTTTCACGCTTACGGTTGGGATTTTGTTCATAAATATTATGTTTTTGATTCTTTGCAAAGATTTGGAACAAGACTATGTAAATCCGATAGAGTTTACAGAAAACTTGAACAAGCTCGTTGTCCCTGAATATTCTGCAGAGGGACTACTGTGCGCGGTCTTGCTGGTTGGCGGCCACTGGATCGTAGGTTTAACGCTAGCCCCTCTGGTGTACCTTAACGTCAAACGTTGGATGCAGCATCGACACGTTTTCGAAAGCACGAGTGCGTTCAATGTGCTTCCGCTGGCGAGGAGGCAAAGCCAAGTGAAACTGGGCTGCTTCGCGCTCTTGTTCTTCTACCTGCTTTATAGTTTCGTTTATTTTCTCGTTCATTTCTCAACAAACGGAAGCAAGCTCAGTGCCGATTTCCGTTTCGATATAGCGGAAGGCACCACCGTATGAAGCGGTCCTCAAGAATATCGTACGAGGCTGCTATCGCCCGCGGAACAGACAAGCTCTGCTTGAAGCCCTCCCAGGCAAGCTCCAAGTCAATTTGTCAACGTCTTCCAGGGCCGGAAATTGTATCGCCTGCATCATCTCCACGATATACGACAAGAATGGAATGTAAGTATGCATGGACGCTCTCGGACGAGATGTCCGCTATGCGTGGTACACCAAAGAACTCCGTTTTCAGGCATCTTGTATCATTCCGCATGCGAGTGCGACTTCCGACCAGGGGAAATTTGCATGCGCAGCTCTGCACCGAGAGCCCGTATGTTTTTTTTCACGACCATGCTGTTCTGATTCGCTGAACAATCCGTATCAGAATGGAGAATCCCAATCGATGACGCGGTAATTGCATTCGGGGTACCTTCGCGCGCGATGTCTGTAGGGGATCACGATCCGACACGCTTAGGCGCTGTACCCGATTTAGAGCATACGCAAGATCAGCGGAACAAAAAATGTCCGACGACCATGCAGGGTAAATTAATACCCATGCGCAGACGCTGTCCAGCCTTTTTTGACCGACCGACTGCTATGGGCTTCAACTTCTCCTTCACACTTCGAGCCTGAAAGGCTGTCCCACAATGATAGATTGCGCGAGCTCCTCGGGTCTTTTCCTCAGCGCAACACATCGTTCAATATTGATGGCGGCGTCGAAGTCTCGGTTCACGAACGCCATGTGTTTATTGCTTCTGGTTGATCTCATAAGTGCGAGGATTCCTCGAACCCGCGCCCTCTGTGTCGTTACAGTCTCGTCGTCGTCCCGTTGGGCAAAACTTTTTTCTCGCTTATATCCTCTCGTCTTCATCGTGGTCACTACTTGCTCTTGTTCGGTTCATGGTCGACGAGAAGAGGATTGTTTCGTTTCGTCTTCGAACCTGGCGATGACGGCGGTTCAGGACCTCCGAATTTCACGTCCATACCTTTCCCTTGGATTTTTTTTTGTTTTCGAAAATGAACGCACTTCTAACCCATCTGCCATACAACGCGAAAACCCATGTGGTTACACGCATCTGATTGTGGAACACGATTGAGGCGAAAGGCGTCATCACCTGCATCAAGCCGTCTTTCGATCCGGGGATCCAGACTGCGCGAGCACGTGCTCCTCATTCCGAACCGGTTTCATATCACTGTGGAACACAATACTAATCGCACTGCACCTGCCTTTTGATCGTTTTCCCAAAATTTTGGTAAGTGAATAGCCCCGACATTCGACGGCCAGCAATGAGGGGGCACGGATTCATACGTATTCGTAGGATTCTTGGTCGTAGGCTCGGAGGCGCTCCATCGGCGCTCTGCCTCTGGATTTCGGTATGTCACAGGAATCAAGGTGATTCGTAGCACCTTCGACTAATGGCTCGTAAAGCTTCCGATACAGTTACCCGATTTGTACTTTCAAGCATCCACGATTCTGTTTTCCTCACTTGTGGCATGCGCGAATCATGCGGTCTTCAAGTTTTCGATCTTTCTGTTCCAAGGCGACTCCCGGGCGCCGCAGCGTGCGCCGCTGGATTGAAGAGGAATCATGCTCGACAATAGCCCCAAAGGCCTTCTTCACAATCCTATGTCGGAAGTTCACTGAAAACGTCACTTCAGATGATCTCTTTTTCTCTCGGGAGGCAAAATTTCCTCTCCTTGCGGCCATTGACGAAGAGTTAATCGATGGCAGCATGATCCCTCGAACAGAACATGGATGCAGAGGCTCGCGTCGTCTCTGTATCCATGGATAATGATCTTGGACTCCGACTTCAGGCATTGCAGCTATCGATTCCCACGGAGAGTGCGTCGCCGCTACGCAGGAGGGCAGCGAAGACGGACCGAATTTTCTCGAGCTGCTCTCCAGCCGAGATGTTTCTGTAGGAACTTGTTCCATCATACACAGCCACGCGTTAGATAAATCCCCGATCGAACTGACCAGCGTGCGCTTGCGTGTGCAGCGGACAGGTTTATCACTGAAAGGATAGCTCAGAAGAAACCGTGATCGAAGGATACCGTACCGGCCGCGGAATCGGAGGAGTGCAACGCGGGAATACTTCTGCGCTCGTCAAAGCCATGTACTGAGCGATGAAGGAAGCCTTCTCGCGCCATGCTGCGGCACTCGATGAAGGAAATGTGAGTAGCACATCGGACCATCTGATCGCAATCAAATGTCACGGCTGCGAAAACGCAGCGAGACTGTATACAAAGAAGATGCAATTAGCAAGAGATGCGTAGATCGCAACTTTCGCATGTGCATCAATGCGTCGACAGAAGCGGGAAACTGCGAAATCGAGACTTGAATACTGCCAACCTCAAATTTCGACCGCTTATAACAAAGCGGGAGGGACGGGGGAGACTAGCGTATCTTAAACCAGAATTAATAGAGATGAAAAGGGCTGCGTCCCAAAACGTTCACATAGCCAGGTTTCGGTGACAGTTGGAAATGACTCTAACTTGACGCCCAGGTCAGCAAAGCAGGCCGTTTTCATTTGACTCCGATATGAATGTAAGTGCTTGCAGCGGTTGCTAGGACCATGTTCGTTTCCTCGATGGCTCCTGTGCGTGGTATCGGGCAGTAGTACGCTTCTGCATCCTCTCTTGCCAAGCGAGTCTCGCATTTCATGTTCTCCTCACGTTCAATAGTTTTAAACAAGACCTAAGTAAGCGCAGTGAGTCGAATGCCCGCATCTGCAGACGAACTCCGTGCAGAGCGCCGCTCTGTTCAGGCCTTGGAACTGTTAACAGGTTGGCTCGCAAAAGCGTTCGCCTTGACTATGATCTTTGATCAGATCCACCCTTTGTGAGTCCGGCCATAGTGGCCAGAGCTGCTAAAGTCCGGCAGTCAAGCACAACTGATGAGTCTGCCGCTTGGACCGCAACGAACTGTTGCCGGCGCCTGAACACGGGGCAGCCCAAGCCCACCAGCAGCAAGACCTTTCCAGGCTGCGTCTGTTTCGAGCTCCAAAAACACCAGTTCAGCCACTCTCACTGAGATGCGTTTTCCCGAAGAACAAAATCACCTTGTCGAGGAGCGAAAGCGTGCCAGCCATGTACGACTTCCGGGGGCATGCCGAGCTGATGAGGTTGCACAGGACATTTGCAGCAGCCGACAACCGGCATGAAATGGCGATATTCGATACACGAGTTGTACTACATTCCTGTCTAGACTCGTACAACGCAAAGATCCTCCATAGAATGCGTTTCCGCGATTATGAGGAAGAAAAGAAGTACATTCGAAAAGTTTCAGAGACACGGTACGAAATCGAAAAGGGTTTTGTGCCGAACATGAGAGTCGACGGGGCGTTTTACGTGAATGAAAGTTTAGAAGAACTCGTTTTCGAGGAGCTCCGGGTTGCGTGCGGAAGAGGCAGTGCGGGCAGTTTCCTTCCGGCCGTTAAACAAGTCGCTAACGTAGCTAGCCTCCCCGGAATAGTTGGCTACTCCCTTGCGATGCCGGACTTGCACAGTGGCTATGGATTCGCCATTGGCAACGTCGCTGCGTTTCGCACTGATGATCCTGAGGCAGTCGTTTCTCCCGGCGGCGTCGGGTTCGATATCAACTGCGGAGTGAGGCTTCTGCGCACGAATCTCTTCGAGAACGATCTACAACCTGTGCGAGAGCAAGTAGCTCAGGCACTTTTCGATCACCTTCCAGTGGGTGTCGGCTCTCGTGGTATTATTCCAACAACGTCTCGAGACCTCGAGGAGGCGCTGGCCAGCGGCATGGATTGGTCACTACGCGAAGGCTATTCATGGGCGGAAGACAAAGAGCACTGCGAGGAGTATGGGCGTATGCTTCGGGCAAATCCGGAAAAGGTAAGCGCTCGGGCGAAAAAGAGAGGCTTGCCCCAACTCGGCACTCTTGGAGCAGGAAATCACTATGCAGAAATACAGATTGTTGATGAAATTTTTGATCAGGCTGCTGCGAAAAAAATGGGAATTGAAGAGCTTTGTCAGGTTGTGGTAATGATACATTCGGGGAGCCGCGGGCTTGGCCACCAGGTGGCAACTGATGCTCTAGTTGAAATGGAACGAGCGATGAATCGTGATCGGATACAGGTGAATGACCGGCAACTGGCTTGCGCTCGAATTAATTCAAGAGAAGGTCAGGATTATATCGCTGCTATGGCGGCAGCAGCGAACTTTGCGTGGGTGAATCGATCCTCAATGACGTTCCTTGCTCGCCAAGCCTTCGCAAAAACGTTTAACTCATCTCCTGATGATCTGGATATGCATGTTGTATATGACGTTTCTCACAACATCGCGAAATTTGAGGAGCATCTAGTTGATGGACGCCCAGTGGAGCTGCTTGTTCACCGCAAGGGAGCAACGCGTGCCTTTCCTCCATATCACCCGTTGATGCCGATCTCCTACCAGGAAACTGGACAACCCGTGTTAGTGGGTGGAACGATGGGCACTTGCAGTTACGTACTCACGGGAACGGAGCGAGCGATGGCTGAGACGTTCGGTTCCACCTGTCACGGTGCAGGGCGCGCACGATCGAGGAACGAGAGCCGTCGAAAACTCGACTATCACCAAGTGCTTGAAAACCTGGAGCGGAAAGGCATCAGCATTCGAGTTGCTTCACCAAAGCTCGTTTCAGAAGAGGCGCCGGAGAGTTACAAGGACGTCACAGAAGTTGTCAATACGTGCCATGCAGCGGGAATAAGCTGCAAATGTGTGAAATTGCGACCTGTGGCTGTCATTAAGGGCTAATAACTCCGCGGACGCAAAATTTTTCCATCGTTCATAAAAATGTCTCTCTAAACAAAATAGGCATCTGGTGACATTTATCCGATTTCCATTAATAGCAAGACGTCGCGCTGAACCTTCTGTGCTGGGAGTGCTGAAAGTGCTGGGGGTGCTGCTGTGTTGGTTGCAATCAAGTCGACGAGTTGCGGCGAGCGCGGAAGATTCTCCGGCAATAGTACGGCGAAGAAAGTGTACCCTATGGAAAAATGGAAGCAGGCAGCCCCTCTAAGCTGTGCACCTTTAGAGTTGAAACATCTCAAAGGGGCTATTGAAGCGGAAGTTTGGGGCCGAAGTAAAGCGTCACATTACAATCAACGACTCCGTACCTGTCACGATCAAACAACTATTTGCGGACACTGTTCTATACATGCAAGCAGAACAACTCATTGGCAACAGATATGACGATCATTAACTGTCTGCAAAGAGGGCTTTCCTTCGGTGGTATCGAGTAAGCAAGGCAGTACGAGGTCCCTGTCTGCTTCAACGGTATGTGAAGCATCGGGTTTGTCTTGGGAGGGATTCTATGCGGATTCCGCAACACGCTCCTCAGAATTAAGCAAGCGAATAGAAAGCCACATTGACTAGATGTGCGCCGCGGAATATACTCGACACGAGTCGGTTTTCGCGCAAACCTGCCATCGTTCAGCGATGTCAGAACAAATGCTAAAGGGATTACCGAGCGGGTAAATGGCGCGCAGCTTGCACTTGTAGTCTTTTAAATCCATTTTGTACCACCGCTACAGCGGTGGATAACTGGAGATCGAACTATTGATGCAGTGTACCGCATATCTCGTAGAAGAATTGCCTGTAGGATATATATCTTGACTGTACAGTGCACAGAGCACTGCAATCCTCCTTCGTGCCAGTCATGGCACAGTATTCAGATTATTGAGGAACACTGAAAGAAAGAAATAGATGCGCTGCTCTGCAAAAACAGATACCCTCAAAGCGTGCTTGCGGTCGATGGTAGAAAACGACCCGCTGACCACCTGATGGAGAGCAAAAGCGACGATGGAAGGCTCCCAGGGGCGTCACTGTTTCTCACCAGCTTATTTGTGTGGCCGTGGAAACACTGGAATGCAGTCGCAACAAAAGTCCTAGTCAACGCACGGCCATCTTCCATCAAAATCGCAACGACAGCTTTCTCGGAACTCGGCGATCGATATGAAGCAGAGGGACGATGGTTTGTTTTTCCAGTCGATAAGGCTTCTTCAGACGGAACGGTGAGAGCGTTTTTGGTTATTCGCGGAGATGGAGTCCGTTCGGTGTACGAGCGAGCTCGTAGAGAACGAGCTTACCAACTGTTCTAGCTGCAGTGGATTCATTTGGCGCTATCAGCTTCGCTCGTAGAGAAAGCTCATACGAAAGCGCCCAATTCCTTGAATCATTCAAGACTTTCCCCTGACGTCTGGCGATGTCTTTCTACTGGAAACATGGCATTTCACCATTCACCTTGCGTTTTGTCTTTTGCCGATGCTATCGGGGAGAAGAGCTGGTTGAGTCCTACGTACGCTCTATGGTTCAAGCCTATCGGAGAAAGATTTTCGGTCGCGTAACGTAATGATCGCTCCACCGGGCAAATCACTGAGGCGTTCAGCACACGATGACACCGTGGCAATTCCCGTCTTCCTTGTGCAAGTGCTTCTCCCTCCGGAAATGTCCGTTTATAAGGTCAGAAACAACTGTGTTCGTTTTAAAAATCGAGGGGATGCTCTGTGGTGTACGCTTCAGAAGGTCGAGATGGAGAGAACCCAGCGGAGCGCTTCTGCGATAGAAAAGCACGGAGAGCTGACAGAGCAGGAAGTAGCACTGACGGCGCGAGTTCGAAGAATCCTTCAGTGAATGACTTCCATCAGAGGTAGAGCAAGCTTGGAGTTCGTGAGCAGGGACTCCAATGCCGCTAGCAGCATCAGACGATGTGCGGTGCTGAAGACGAGACCCAAGGAGCTGAAGCGACCAAACCACGTGGGATAGCCTCTTAGGGTTTACATGTGCAAGGAGAAGCTGGAATCGGTAGTAGGGGAGCGACCAAAAAAGGGCGGGAGGCGTCCGCGGGTGGATATTAGTCTATCCTAGAAAGAACAGAAACTATTTCGCTCCACCAGTGATCTGTAAATGCAGTCTCAGTCTGAAATTTGATGGCGCCGTTTGGCGTCCCGATAGCAGTCGGTGTCCTCGAACGCTATGGTCCCAGATAGTGTTCAACTTCGTTTCTATGACGTCTCCGGGGTGGCAAAGTATGCGCATGCTGATGGGCTGGAGATAAGAGTCCCTGTCTCTTTCGGACGCAAGGGTTTAGAGAACATTCTTAGAGAGCTTTTTGGTATTCCGGTGTTAGAGAGCGGCGATGACAGGCTCCTTTTCGATTTCGTTGTTTACGGGGAGCCACCAGTACGACAGCGTGTACAGAGGGAGTCTAGCTTGAGCTCCAGGCTGACAGGGAGCCTACTAAGGGCCCCGTTGGGGAAGTTTTGCGAACGCAGAGGTATCCCGCTTGAGACAACGCTACACGTAGAATACTTTCTCTGCCACGCGGAACCCCGACAAGAAGAAACTTTAGCCGAAATAGACGGCAATAATAACTGGGTTTGGAGCTTGTCATGCTTGAAAAGACAGGGTTCCCGCTCGGATGACGTTGAAATCGTCGCCTACTACGGCCTCGGTGGAAAAGGTGGCCTCCTGGAGCTCTTCGGCCCCTCAGTTGAGGTCATGCGGCGACTGACGCTTGACGAGTCGCACTTGCAAGAACAGGTTCGAGCGCTCGCATGGTTCACCCGACCCGAGGTGGCCTTTGCTTGGGAGGATCCGGAAGCAAAGCCGGATCCGAAACAGCGAAACATGTCAAGGCATTTGACTGTGGCATCCATGAAACCCGTTGACAAAGATGAATCGAAACGAACGAGTCCTTCCAGAGGCGAAGCTGACGAAAGGGCAGGGCTCGCGAGCAAGGATTCACGGACAATCGGTTTTTCCGAACGGATGACACACGCGACTGGTGGGCGCTTGAAGCAGCCAGCGGGTCTCGTTTCTTCCGACTATCCAAGGCTACAACAGAAAGGCTCATTTCTAACAGGTTCGGAATATCTCGCAGCAGGGACCCTGTCAGGAAATATCGTAATCTTTTCGTTCGAGCAAGAGGCGGCACAGTGCACGCCTCTAGCCTTTTCGCAAACTCTCCTTCGGGATTCGAGCACCTCCGCTCTAGTGCGTCAGAGAGCCTCAATCGAATCCATTGATGTGGAGACTGCAGGTAGCTGGGTCACCTATGGAGATTCTAGAGGCAGCGTCGCTGCATTCCGCTGGGATATCACTGCGTCAACCGACGCCGCTGAGACGATAATTCTGGCAAAAGGCCCTGCCAACGGTTTTGAGAGCCGAGGTGCGAAAGCAACCGTTACATCGATCGTCGGCTTACAAGGCCATGGGTCTGGCAGCCCTATACGTTGTGTACGCTGGTTATCGTCGAGCCAGGGGAGCGCTGCTTTAGTCTGCAGCGCCTCCTGGGATGGTTCCGTTCGTATCTGGGACGTAGAGCAGTGCGCTTGCGTGCACGAGATGCTCCTTGCTGGAACTAGGCCAAATTGTTTCGTATCATGGAAAGCCGCAAATGCTGAAAACTCTTACGATAACTTGCTTATCGTTGGTTGCGTAGACGGAAGCATACGTTTGCTGGATCCAAGAGAAGCCCCTGTGGGAAAAACGAAGGGCGCGACTCTTAGAGCAGCTCACGGGAAAACATTCATTTCAGATGTTGCTTTGCTTACCCGGATTCCAGAGTCTGGGCATTACCAGGGAACGGAGGCGATTTTTTCGGTTGGTTACGATGGCGCAGTTCGGGCATGGGACCTGCGGTGCATACCAACAGAGTCCCAGTTTCAGAATCGTGCTGCGGCTATGCTTTGGGAAAAGCCCGATGCTCATGCAGGGAAAGCAGTCCTTAGATGTTCTCCGTTAGAAAAGAATGGGTCCCTTCTAACAGGAGGAGCAGATGGAACCGTCCAGAGAATTGCCTGGTGATTTTGCAGTCTCTATCTTTTTTGGTCATGTGAATATGCCAAGTCGTTTAAAAAGCTGTGTCCGCTGCTCACGCCGAATTCTCGTCAAAGGGCCCATCGATAATAAAATTCCCACCTCGGCTGCTGCTGCAAGCATTTCGTCGAGATCGACTCCGTACTCTGTGGCATACTCCTCAAGAGTCTCATCTGTATACCAGTCAAGAACATCTTCGCGGCTCACTCCATGCAATCGATTGATAAGCTCTTGGATATCGTCGTCTGAGGCGCCCAAGTCAGTAAGAGTATCAGAGAGCCGTATTGGAAGATCAAGACCAATATCCACAAGGACTTCGATCAGCCACTCGGGTGGCACATGATAGTCCTCCGCGAGTTCTGCGATGGAATACAACGAAATGTCAAATTGCCTCGTGTCAGGCGGTCGAGACTTGGGTTTCAAAATAGCTTTCATATCAAGATTCTTTTCTGTTAAGTCTAGGTTTCGTTTCGCTTCTGAGTTTGTGAAATCGACATATTCCCGTAGCGTTGGTGGCAGAAAGTCTCGGATTTCCGCCAATTGACTCTCTGGCTTCGGGTCCTCCTCCGACGAGCGAAGGTAACCAAAAGAGAATTTTTCCTCACTATCTCGGTTGGGTTTCTCATCTGCAACTTCACTCAATAGAAACAAGAGAGAACCTTTATGAGGTGCTTTCGTCCCGTATGGGCGTCTAAGCAGCAGCTTTTCCGGCCTCCCGCGCTCGATCTGTGCGTGACCTTTGACAAAAACTCTTGAAGATACGAGTAAGTTAGTAAACATCTCCGCCGACTCACCCACGGTATTCAAGTATGCTTCGCTACAGTTCGAAGGCTTTGCAATTCCAACCCCAACGGAGTCTCGACAGAAAGTTCGAAAGTGCAGAAACTTGGTGCGTCCGAAAGTATATAGGAGAGGCCTCACGGCTTCAGAACAACAAATAACCGCCGTAAATTTAGGAACGAAATTCACAAACCAGTAGCGCCCTCTCTGGATTTTGAGGATTCAAGCCATCGCGGAAAAATTCTAAACAGTATAGAGGTCAGCTGAGTTTTTGGGCACCAAGAAAGGAATATACGAAGCACGATGTCCAAGCAAATCTTGCACGAATAATCGAACTGCTAGAACTCGTGCAATCCGTAAACAGGGTCCTCAAAAGGCTTCAGAGAAGAGAAAACTTAAAAATCCACAAAATACGAGTAAATGCGCTAAACAAGCAGCTGCGAAACATGGAAAACCTTTCGCAAAAGTAAAAAAGACCTGTTTGCTTTCCACTCCAAAGATCACAGAAGATTTGAGAAGCGCCATCGCGACATTTGGTAAACCATTTAAGGGATAGGCATTCTGTCTAATGTTCACTTGTTACTTGCATGATTCCCTATATATTCGATAGCCAGCGACTCTGTTCAATACATGGAAATCACCCGGATGGTAACTGTAAAAATCGAAAAACTCGCCTAGTTTTCTCGCAGCGCGCACAATTTAATTCGTACCGTGTATTAGACTTTTGGATCGCGCAAATAATTGTGTTCTTTTAGACCCGGACACGAAATCGATGAGCTGGCAGCAAGATTCGTTCTCTACTCCGCATGATTATGCATGAGACACGTTGAGGCGGTCGGAATTGATTTTGCTTGCTCAATATCTAAAAAGTGCTCTGTACCGAAAGAGCGCTCACAAGTTTGGCGACTTTCACGGACGGGCACAGCGTTCTCTCTTTCTAGAACCGCCATGGATGTCACATCGTCTGCGCATGATTTCATGCAACCCCTTGCCAATGATGCTACCAAGTGCTGACTGAGTTCATCACAAACTGCCATGGAAACAGCTGCCTCCCAGTGCCCCTCTAAGTTACGCCAGAGGAGCGCGCTAATGATTCTACGGCACCCCGGAAGTGCTGCGACACGCTTGATCGCTATTTCAAGTCTCGTGGTTCGTTTTGAAGGGACTACCATGAGAATCGGCAGCATATTAAACCACATGACAGCAAAACCGAGAATCGCTGATATCATTCCATGTAATAGGACTCGTTTTGTTGCTAGTTCGCATCCGGCGAAAAACTCGACACTGTTTGCTTGTTGCGCAGTGCAAGCCAATTCCAATGAGATGCGATTGACATAGATAACAATCAGCGCTGTGAAAAAGTTCACAAAAGTAACATCACTCGATAAAACTCCCCATTTCTTCCAGAATGAAGTGAAGATGTATACTAAACATACAGCTATACATGCTAGGTGAATATAAACAGCGTGCGGGTCATTCGCGGGTTGAACGGGCCTCGCTAGGCGTCGTTTCTGAAAAATACTCCCTTCCAAGTGCTCGAAAATGAACCTTGTAGAATCCACGAAAACGAAAAGACCAAGAGAGAAGCTCGCGACGGAGGATCTGTGAAAGTTGCCGCGATCTGTGTAGCTCGAGGAGCTCAACGTGGCAGCAAGCGCAGTACAAGTCCAAAAGACGAGATTCATAAAGAAAGGCAGCTCATATGTGGCCAGGCGAAGAATTCGAAGCAGTAGGTCACCTTCACTCTGCCGAAATGAGCGAAAAGTTGTCAGCAGCTGCAAACCTACGCAGAGTGTGACCGGTCCTGTCAGCACGAGCTTTTCCCAAAGTCGCGAGAGCAGCAAGTGAAAATCAACCATGAGAAACGCTGGTAGGTTTAAAGACACTAAAAGTAAAGGTTTTCTAAAAACTTTTCGAAAACCCGTATCCTAAAGTCGAGCAGAGATACTAAAAATTTGTTGGAACTGTGGCGTAATTTACATCATGTCAGATAAAAATCGGACAGGTTCCCTACCGTAGGTGTTACCTCTTTGCTTTGGCTTCCTTCTCACTGTTATACACAGTGGCCTGACGGGTACTTCGTGCGACCGCTTCCTTTTCTTCTCTCATATTTCTTGTTTCGAATACGCCGGTCTCTATTGTACCTCCAGCTCTCTTGTCAGCTGTCTGAGAACGTTGATGGCAGCGTTAAACTCCCGATTTCGCTGCTTCCGACTATTCGCCAGGGAATTCATGCTCATGCAGGCCATGCGACCAACGAGTGCTTCGCGTTATTCATCTTCTGCGCATATACCAGAGATGCACTTTTCATTGCTGTGACACGTAGCCGTGATGCTATAGTGCCTTACAAACCCCACACTAACTCCTCTGCGTCTCATACCTCAATTCGTGAACGTGAACTTCATTGCTCAAAACATACTCTCAACATGTACAGGAAGGTCCCACTTGTGCATTCCTCCGTATTCGCGCCTGGCGACGTATCTTAAGACCATGTTTCTTTTCATCGACCGCTTCGGAGAGCACTCTGTTCGCCACAAGTGCAAGTGCTCGTTGTTGCATTCGATAGAATATTTGTGGAATGCGATAAAGTACTGTACGGAACCCCCAGGTAAGATATCAATACGAGAAATCGCGATCCGTCAACGCTCCCCTCGTGCAAAACGCTGACCCGCTCACCACTTAACGATATCCCCCGGATGACTCAAGTCTGCATCCAATAGACTTTTCCACGTAAACAACACAGAAAAGAGTTGAGTCCGCGGAGTATGTTTCTTCATAGGTATTAGCTTAATTTTGTTCCACCCGAGCTGAGTGTAACAGAATGCTATTTGACAGAAAAGAGAAAGAAACAGAAATCAGTATCCAGTAGGCCGTAAATTTCGTAAACGAATTGCGTGTAGGGTATACATACTGTACTGAACGGTGCAAGGCGGGCTGTACTCGTCTTACTGGTCAGGTATACCGCAGTACGCAGATAGTTGAGGAACACTGAAAGAAACAAGTAGATGCGCTCCGCGCCAATAGCAGATATTTCTAAAAACTGATCTCGGTCTATAGTACAAAAACGGTACGTTTATCAGCTTACGGAACGCAAAAGCTATGATAGTAGCCAGAATGGGCATCTCTCTTTCTCGACAGCTAGCTCGTGAGCTCCTGTGAACATTGGAATACAATTGAAAAAAGGTCCTAGTTCAAGTGCGGCGATTTTCCACCGAAATCACAATGAAAGCTTTGCAGGAAATAAGCGATCATTATGACGTCCACGCACGTCGGTTCGTTTGTTGTAGTCGATGAGACTTTCTTTGGGCGAAACTATCGAAGCGTGTGTGAGTATTCGCAGTGCACGGCGCCCGATGTACATATGATCGAACTCGAAGAGAACGACGACATCATCTGTTCCAGCTGCAGTGGATTCGTTTGGCGGTATCAGTTTCGCACCTATAGAAGACTCATACAACAGCACCCAATTCAATGAGCCATTGAAGGCTTTTCCCAACGTCTGGCGATATCTTTTTTACTGGAAATTGTGGTATTTTTCCATTCTCCTTGCGTTTGGGCTTTTGCGGATGCTATAGGGGCAGACCTGCTTTTCATTCCTCCATACGCTCCGTGGTTCAAGCCCATCGTAGGAATGTGTTTCCTATCGTGAAACGTGGAGATCGCTCCACTCGGGGAATCGCTGAAGCTTGCAGCACACGGTTGTACCGGGGCACATTATGCCTTCCTTGAGCAAGTGCTCTTCCCTGAGAAATGGTTTTCACTTGAGGGCATGAAGAAGTGCGATCATTTTGAAGAAATAAAATATCCATGGCAAAGGTATGGAAATGGAATTCGACGATCCCGGAGGACCGTCGTGGCCAGCTGTCGGAGAAACAACGAAAATATCCTCTTCTCGCCGACCATAGAGCGGAGAAGAGCGATTGACGAAGAAGAAGGGATATGGGCGAGAGAGGGTGTCTAGTCTAGGGGACAATGACGTGACTGTAGTGGCACAGAGGCACGAGTTCTAGCAATCCTTGCATTGATGAGTCCAATCAGAGGCAACAAACGCAAGGAGTTTGTGAAGCAAGATTTCGACGCCGTCGTCAATATCAGATGGTGTGTGTTGTTGAAGACGAGACACGAGGAGCTGACGCAATCCTGCTTCGTGGGGCAGCCTTTGACGCTCGAGGTGTACAAGAAGAAGCTGAAACCGATAACAGGGGGCCAGTCAAAAAAGACTGGGAGGCGTCTGCGGGTAGATATATAATTACCCATCGGTCGCGAAACTTTCTCGCTCCATTGAGCGTGGAATACAATTGTTCCAGCTTACACGATCACCAGTATGGGCTGCAGACTCGGTGGGCTCATATTCATCATGCGCATGCCCCTGCTTCTGTTATTTTGAGTGCCACATCAATTCGGCATTGACCTGTTCATAACCAGGATTTCACCAGGATCTGACGCTCTGGCGTTCAGTCGACAGTCTTATCAGAGTCATTTTATTGGTCTCGGCAAGGCAATCTCGCACAAGATTTGTGACTCTCATGCAAGCTCTGGCATAAGTCCGGGCGGAATCCCATCAGAATTGTCTGGGTGATCTTCCCTGTCAGGGTTCGTTGAACCATGGGAGGTAGGGCCAGATCCGTCTCTGCTGTCATTACTGACCGACGGACTCCTGTTATGATCTGTTCCTGTCGGAGCTCGCTGTGCTCGAGCTTTCTCAAACGCAGAAACGATAGAATCGTAATCCACTGCCTTTCTAAACGGCTTTGACCCCAAGATTTGGATCAGATCATCCTCACGGACAACTTCTTTCTCAAGAAGCAGCCTTGCCAACGCCTTCAACTCATTCAAATGTGCTTGAAGAAGTTCTTCACAGCGCGAATAGGCCTTGTCCACCATCGTTCGGGCTTCTGTATCGATGATTTCTGCCGTTTCTTCAGAGAAGGGTTTCTGAAACTGTGCATCGCTATCCATCTCTGTGTTGAACGATATCGTGCCCACTCTTTTGGACATACCGAAGCGAGTAATGGCAGCGTAGACCAGCCGCGTGACCCTTTCAAGATCATCTTGAGCGCCAGTCGTAATTCGGCCAAAGACCAATTTTTCCGCCGCTCTCCCGCCGAGGGCGACAACCAGAAAATCTTCAAGCTCTTCACGGGTTTGCAGAAACCGATCCCTTGGAAGATATTGCGCAAAACCCAGCGCTGCGGATCCTCTGGGCACAATCGACACCTTCAACAATGGATCAGCGTGCTTCGTGAACCAAGATGCGACTGCGTGTCCCGCCTCGTGGTGAGCAACTATCTCTCGCTCCTCAGGAAGAACTACTAAATTTTTCTTCTCGAGACCGCCAATGACTCGGTCGATAGCGGACTCAAAGTCAGCAAGTTCCACACTGTCTTTGTTCGCTCTAGCGGCGATTAATGCAGCCTCATTGCACGAATTCGCAATATCTGCACCGGAGAAGCCAGGTGTCAAGGCTGCGAGTCTCTTAGCAACGTTTTCGACACCGCCAGCACTGGATGCGATGCGGATCTTCCGCAGGTGTACCTTGTAAATTTCGAAGCGACCTTTGATGTCGGGTTTGTCTATATTGATACGACGATCGAAGCGCCCCGGGCGCAGCAGTGCTTTGTCGAGGATATCGACCCGATTTGTCCCCGCGAGAACGACGATGCCCTCCTGCGAAGAAAAGCCGTCCATCTCGACTAGAAGCGCATTTAACGTGTTCTCCCGTTCATCATTGCCACCACCGAAACCACCGCGACCGCGCGCTCTTCCCACTGCGTCTATCTCGTCTATAAAGACGATGCAGGGTGCGTTCTGTCGAGCCTGCGCAAACAAATCACGCACACGCGACGGCCCTATGCCGACAAACATCTCAATGAAATCTGAACCGGACATAGAGAAGAACGGTACATCTGCCTCACCGGCAACCGCCTTTGCTAAAAGCGTCTTACCTGTTCCAGGTGGGCCCACCAGAAGCGCACCTTTCGGAATCTTTGCTCCCAGATCCTTGTACTTCTTGGGATCCCGCAGAAAATCGACAAGCTCCATGACCTCCATCTTAGCCTCATCAAGGCCAGCAACTTCTGCAAAGGTTACACGCTCGCTGCCTTTGGCACCTTTTTTGATCACCGTGGGATTCGCTTTCCCTACTTGGAAGATGTTTCTTGCAGCACCTCCGGGTCCCGATAACGCTGAGAAAGAGTTGCGAAACAGCGCATATCCAAGTCCCAGAATGATCAGCGTTGGTAGTAATCTCAGTAGCTCTCCGAACATGCCCGCATTTTCGGACCGATACACGACTGGTATTGGATCGATTCCTAGGGATTTCTCCGCCTGTTCCAACTTTCTTTCAAACGATTCCACAGAACCTAACGTGAAGTAATACATGACAGTTGGCCTGTTGAGTCTCTTGGAGTCGCTAACTCCATCTCCTCGTGGCCGGCGGATGGCAGCTGGTGGTGATTCTGAGCCAGAGTAATCCTCGCCAGTGAGCTGTGGTTGCGCGCTTGTCTCCCATAGGGCGTCTCGCTGGGGTTGATCCACCCCGGTATCAAGCACAACATCTTCAGCTGTTTGTCGACTTCCGGCACTACGCTTCGACGGTTCGCCTTGATAAGTTTGTTTCACGTAAACGTATGCTGTCTGGCGATTCACGATTTCCAAGTGATCGACAAGACCAGGCTCTAACAAATCTCGCACAAACTGCTGAAAGTTAATCTCACGTCGCATACCTGTGCCGCTGCCTGACGAATCGTTTCCCTCGCCCGAGTTGAGTGCGTAAAAGATTCCACCCGCCAGCAGCAACTGGAACAGCCAACCGATATCGAAAGGTTGCTGTGGCTCGCCGCCGTTTGACTCTGGCTTTCTACCCTTCCAGTTTTCACCTTGAGCATTAGTTTGGGATTTTGAATCTGAGGTGCTTCCTGAACTAGAGGACGAGCTCTTTGTGGACTGCTTGCCGGGATGAATATCTTCCTCTGGTGCGTTGCGACTCGGAGTAGCCCCTCGCTCAAAGCGACCGAAGCCCCGATACCCGAGCATTCCAGACAGAATTCCAGCATTTTGTTGCAAGTGCTCGCTGCATGCTACACTTCTGATCAGTCCACGGTAAGTACTGAGCAACGCCACGCAGGAAGGCAAAGATTTCCGGCCCAGCACTGGGGTCTGAACCGCGGAACCAGGCGTCAACAACGCTTTCCATTCCCAGTTACAGAATCGCCTCCCAGTCGATCCTCCGACACGACCTACGATGTAATGAAGAAATCGGTAGCTCGAAGGCGCGTAACCTTTCATGAGGTAATCATTGGTCAGTCCGCTGTATCAGCTTGTGGGCGCAAGTACGCCGCTTCTCAGCAGTGTACGATGAATGGCAGACCAGCGCAACAGAACAAAGCGGTGTCCGGACTTTCACAACACGCCCTCAGAGATCGAACGGATTGATTCAGCAGCTGTGCGCATCGGAACCAGGAACAATGGTTCGTAATTCCACCACACCTGTTTCATATCACTGTGGAACACAATACTAATCGCACTGCACCTGCCTTTTGATCGTTTTCCCAAAATTTTGGTAAGTGAATAGCCCCGACATTCGACGGCCAGCAATGAGGGGGCACGGATTCATACGTATTCGTAGGATTCTTGGTCGTAGGCTCGGAGGCGCTCCATCGGCGCTCTGCCTCTGGATTTCGGTATGTCACAGGAATCAAGGTGATTCGTAGCACCTTCGACTAATGGCTCGTAAAGCTTCCGATACAGTTACCCGATTTGTACTTTCAAGCATCCACGATTCTGTTTTCCTCACTTGTGGCATGCGCGAATCATGCGGTCTTCAAGTTTTCGATCTTTCTGTTCCAAGGCGACTCCCGGGCGCCGCAGCGTGCGCCGCTGGATTGAAGAGGAATCATGCTCGACAATAGCCCCAAAGGCCTTCTTCACAATCCTATGTCGGAAGTTCACTGAAAACGTCACTTCAGATGATCTCTTTTTCTCTCGGGAGGCAAAATTTCCTCTCCTTGCGGCCATTGACGAAGAGGTAATCGATGGCAGCATGATCCCTCGAACAGAACATGGATGCAGAGGCTCGCGTCGTCTCTGTATCCATGGATAATGATCTTGGACTCCGACTTCAGGCATTGCAGCTATCGATTCCCACGGAGAGTGCGTCGCCGCTACGCAGGAGGGCAGCGAAGACGGACCGAATTTTCTCGAGCTGCTCTCCAGCCGAGATGTTTCTGTAGGAACTTGTTCCATCATACACAGCCACGCGTTAGATAAATCCTCTCCTGGTCGGAAAACCCCCAGAAGAGAGCATTGTTCATCTTACACACTTCGATTTATTCTCCATGGATCAACGGGATTAAGAATATCCTCAGGCGCTGAAGAACATCTTCAGGGAAGCAAATGGACGTTTCTGTGCCTCGGATCTTCTACTAAACGAACTGGCGCTCCTTGCTCTTCCCGCAGTGATTACAGCCGCCCAGCTCGCTGGAGATTATTTTGCCGAGTCTATAGAAGTTTGCTGATCGCGCCTTCTCAAAGGGGCATCAAGAAAAGAGAATACGAAAATTATAAAAAATACATATATTTTGTTTTCAGAGGAGGTGCACAGCCACAACACTCCATGTATGACAGCGAAACAACGCTGAAAGGGCAAAAAGGATATCTCGAAGTGTTTGGAAAAGAGGTGTGTATTGCGACCCAAGAAATTCGCCACTAATGGACGTAGCGCCTTCCACCAGAAAGCTCATTTCCCGGGAACCCTTCTGGATACGCATCTGCACTTATCGCCACTCTACTCTACTGTCTTAGGAGATGCCTCGAAACACATATGCGCTTACCAGAAATTGTAGTCCACGTCTGGAAATACGCACTTCTTTGTAGAAAGCTTCAGCGATGCGCGTACCTTATGCTCAAGACACCGTAAATCCAATGCGTTGGTGACCTTACACAAGGGAGGAAATTGTTAGAGGCGTTGTTGGCAGGGACGGCCCACCATATCCTCACTCTTCTCGAATACAAATCGAACAATCCTCATCTGGTCCTTGCTTTGATCGAGGCAGTGCGCTCATCAGTTCCCCAGTGAACGAATTCTCGGAAGACGAGGGCATCACTCGCATGGTGGGTAAAAGTGGTCTGGATAGTATAAAGAAGTACGTGGGCGGAAAACTACCCGCGGCGGCCATGAACCATGTCAGCGTTTAGCCCCACCAGCGCGTTTTGGATTCGATGACGTGATGATGAAACAGCGACGACTAGGATACCAGCATGCGCGGCATGAAGGAGCGCTTCATACTGCGCGCTTTTTGAAGCTTGTGGGCTCGGAGGAGACAAAGCGGGATGAACATTCACTGAATATTCCTCAAAGATGAAGACGCCGAGGAAAAGGTGGACCTACCATCAGCGAGTAACTCGCCCACGAAAGCGACGGTAGCCTTGCATACAGAGCGCGGCTCCAGAGATTCTCTAGAGGGAAGAATCTTTCGTCTTCTGCGATCGCGTATCTCGCTCTCATGTACCGGCGCTTCCGTTCGTGCTTTTTTCTGTTTTGGAGGGTGCACCAGTACGAAGGCGGGACAGAAGCGCCTACAGGACATGAGCCTCGAAGAAGTGGTCTTGATCGCTGAATTGGAGCTCATTTAGCGAACTACGCAATTTCCGCCTGAAGATTCGAAAGCACTCGTAAAAAGCTGCATGAACGGTATGCAAAGGAGTCAAAAGAAAGGTGCGAGAGGGAAAACGGCAGGAACGGGAGGGTCCCAACGCAGCCAGGATTCACATTGCATTGTCTCGAGCCCGATGGCGTGGCAGTATGCATCGTCATCGGTGCGCAAACATACCATTAACTAGTTGAAAATTTCCCAAAGAACTTTAAATGATCTCTAACGAGCAACATGATAACGGCTTCCTCGTCCACGTCAAGAGTTCAAAGATGAGAACGTTTTCCGTATGATCGCAACTTTATGTTGTCAACGGAAGTTCCCAAGAACAGGACGAGTCCACAGGGAGCTCGTAAACCGTGCGCCTCCTCTGGCCCAGTGGTAGGTGCTTTGGCGAGGCCTGACCGGCTGTTCCGCAACATACTTTATCCGGAAGTCGAAGTGTGCGGCCTATGTCTCGGTGCCGCTATGGAAGCCGTGGTCAACCAGTGTGTCGATTCACGCTAACGCCTTCTGTAGGCCTTCCCGAGCGGCCTCATGGATCCCGGCACCACAGCAAACCTGTGCCCGCGTCAGATGAACCGCGCCTCATGATGGCGCCCTCAAACGTAGAGCAAATCCGTACTGTAGCCGTGCGGTATCTCTGCCCGCGCAACAGGCGGTTTGAGGGGCATTTACGGCTGGCATGTCGCACGGTGATGCGCGCAAATGACCAGTATCACACAGGTGATATATGTACATTGGCTGAGGCAACTTGTAGGCACGGCGTGGAAAAATGGACGCTATCTTAGTTGCCGACCTCAATGCAGCAGGCGGGATCCCCTGCCAATGTAAACTTGTCCGATCGATAAGAAATATCGACCGGTTTGATCGCTCCGCAGCGATCGACGCATGCATCCGAATCTGAGCCTTAATATTTATGTACTATATTAGATCTAAGGGACACTTTGGTACAATGGGAGCGGGCGTAGTCGTCGCCTCCGCCGCGGTGCGCAATAGAACACATGAACGTTGCTTGTGACGTATAGGTCGACGTCGAACGTTGTTTCAGCGCTGGCTGCGTTAGAGGTTCCCGGGAAACTTCACGGTCCGTGCTCTCCCTAGTCATGGGTCGCTTGCACTCAAAGGGTAAAGGAATCTCAAGCTCTGCGATCCCGTATCGACGAGCGGCACCGTCCTGGTGCAAAACCTCGCGGAAGGAATGCGTGGACTTGATCGTGCGACTTGCACGAAAGGGTATGACGCCCTCCCAGATTGGTGTGCAATTGCGTGACCAGCACGGCGTACCGCTGAGTAAACCTATTACGGGGAACACGATTGTACGTGTCCTACGTGCACACGGCCTTGCGCCTGAAATCCCCGAGGATATGTACTTTCTCGTGAAGAAGGCCGTGAATATTCGGAAGCATCTCGAGCGCAACCGCCAGGACAAGGACGCCAAGTTTCGGTTGATTTTGGTGGAGTCGAGGATTCATCGTCTAGCGCGGTATTATCGCCGAACGGGGGCTCTGCCACCGACATGGAAGTATGAGAGCGCAACGGCAGCTCAGTTGGTGAGCTGATCGTGGACGACAACCGACCATGAGTGGCGATTAAGTTTGTCCGCGGATAAGAAGATGCGCAAAATCTTGGTGAAGTTCATACCGGACCTCTTGTCATTTGGAGAGTTGCGACATTCTCGGCCAGCACGTAGTAACGACAACCGGAAGACGCAGGAGTTGACACGATATCAGTCATGTCTATACGTGGGGGGCGGCGGTGGCATGACCTGTGCTTCGTCCCGCAAGAGCTGCGGCAGACACAAGGACATCTCCGGGACTACTTCCGTACAATGTGGCGACGGAGCGGTCTAACTGAGAACGCGAACATGCAGTTGGTGGCTAATTGGCGTCGCTGTCGAATGCGTTGTGTTGCTCTCAGGAAAACCTAGCCAGTGCGTATGCCCCAAAGGTGCTGCGCGATGCGCGTCCTGCCTGCCAGGAGGTCCTTGCGGTTGAGCTCGGAAGCGTCCAGCGTCAGTGGCTCGCCGACCGTCGCCCTGGGGCGGCATTCGCAGTTCGTGGTGCTCGCTGCTGCCGACGACCTCGAACCGACCAGCATGACGGCTCGTTGTATCCTTCGTGCTACTCATCGACATTTTCAGTGGCTGTCGTTGGTGCTGATCACCGCAGCACGCGACGTCCCAGGTAACAATTCGGCAGCGCACTCCAAAGCTCGGACAAGAACTTTGACGCATTCGTGACTCTTCATTGAATGTCTGCGCCACCAGTGTGGCGCTCGCGTCATTATTTGCAATGGGGCGTCAAGCTGACTGGCTGAGAGCACTTTATGTGCGCTCTTTGCAGGTCGACTTGAGCGATATTCGCTTCTTATGCACGAGAGGTTCAGGCGCGTAGTCGCTGCATCAAGTGTCTTACCCGTACAATCTAGATATCTTCCCAGCAGGTCGCTTCCCTCTATAAACTCCTGATCGAAAACAACACCCACGTCTGTGGTCGGCAGATGAACACCGGCTACGACATTTTGAGTGTCGAAAGGAACAGTGCAGTGCGCCCTACGTGTAAAACGCGATCACCGAGTTCGCACGCTGACATGAGAGTCAGCAAGACTGAAGGTAATGTGGCCACTACAGTGACACCCAGTCATACGTCCGTACGCAGACACAAAAGCTTTGGGGCTGTGGATATTGTCACCGCTTCAAACCGCTGAGCTTTAGCGGGAAGCGACGCAGAGCACTCGCTGGCAATATGCTGGATCTAAGCTGGAATGTCGGTGACGATTATATGCGTGAGCGCCCTCGGCAGACCGTGCATGAACCTGGTAGCCGTAGTGACGTAGTTGGAGTCGGAAACTTGTTCTGCCCAGGCCTCTGACAATTTGAGAATCGGCTGCGTCCTGTTCTTGGGACGGTAGCTTGTACCGCCCATTTTTCCTTGCGCAGTTTCTGCACTTAAGCGACGTACGCGCTGCTGGTTCATGATGACGGTGACGTAACGAATTCAATATGAAAAGCGTCGAGTGCGACTCTCAGCAATACTGACCGAGAACCTTAAATCATCGCATGAATCCATAAGCCCATAATGCGACACATCGAATTTCGAAGCTGTACATCTGAAAATAAGTTCGGAAGAGGAATTGATGGACAAGAGCACAGTGATCATTTCAACGCTCCATTTTGATCTACGCGGGTGTACTGATCGGTCGCAGCGGTTTGCGAGGCGAGTAAAAGCGCAGAATCGTTCCCAGGCTCCGGAGCGCTTCATCAAGGTTGCTTAAAGGTACGGAGCGGTCGCAAACAACGAAGAAGCGTTGGGGGACGAATTTAAAGAGCTCCGAAAATCAAAGCATGTAACAATTCATATTTAGAAGCTCTTTATCCAGCACACAAAGTTCATCATCCGCTACTCCAACGTGGCGAGATCCCGTAAGCATATCCGCATTTCACCGAACTTCAGGCAGAGCTTCTCAACCGGTATCACCGGGCATGCACATTCAGCACTTAGCATCCACAGCAAGGATCTCATCAATTGCACTGGTCACAACCAGAAGATGAAGCTTACCTTGTAAAAATAGCCAAACTCCGCAGAAGCAAACGTCTTGAGATTCGAGAAGCAGCAGGCTGTAGCTTCGTCAGGCCTTTCTATTCGCTATCCACCATCAGTGCCAGATAGAAACGCACCATCTTCTCATACGTATCGATATGAAGGCGCTCATTTGTTGAATGGATGCGTTGAAAGTCCGCATTGCCATCGAGAAATATTGGTCCGAAGCGATAGTGCCGTTCCCCGACGCCGTAATGTATATACCACTTCGAGTCCGTGCCCCCAAGCCATTCGAATGGCGCACTCAACGTTTCTGTGCCGTATGCCACGCTGATATAACGCTGAACTTTGCGAAAATAAGCATCAAGCTTAGAAATGGGCGATGGCGGCGTGCATCCCTCGCCCATATCTCGCACGTCGATCCGAAAAAGTTTATTCAGCAGGCTTGGTGTCTGCTGAATCACTCTTTCCACAAAATGGGTCGCGTTCATAAGGTTCTTATTCGTCCTCCAGCTCTGGATGAAAGCTACAGAATCGGGAATCACATTCAGTGCGACGCCACCATGGATCATTGTAGTCGCAAAAGTTGGCCCTATCTGGGCTGCGAGTTCATCCCTTTGTCGAGCAAGAAGTTGCAATAAACCCGAAAATATTTTCTTGTTCGAGAGCAGGAAACGCACTGGCTGTGGAAGGTGTGGAGCTAGGTATTCTAGTAGATCGGAGACCGGAGGGTCAATGTTTTGCGGAAGCTTAGCCTTTCTTATAGCCAAAATGAGTCGCGAAGCGTGATCCACAACCGTCCCGTACTTGGATGGAACGGAGGAATGGCCTCCATGGCTCGATACTGTAATGTTCAGGGCGCACCATCCTTTTTCCGACACTCCGATGAGTGCAACTGGCTGTTTCAGCCCTGGCAGGATACCCCGCGTCACGGAGCCGCCTTCGTCCAAGCAGAATTTGGGGTTGATGTTTCGCGCCTTCAGGGTTTGCGCAAGTTTTGCGGCGCCGAGGCTGCCCCCGACTTCCTCGTCGTGCCCAAACGCCAGAATGATCGTGCGCATTGGTCGATAATTTGTCCCGAAAACACGCAAAAGCAATTCAATGGCTTCTAACGGGCCAGCGGCAGTCGATTTCGTGTCGAGAGCCCCTCTTCCATAAAGATATCCGGAAGCGTTGTCGTAAATTCCGCCAAACGGATCGTAATCCCATGAGGATCTTTCTTTTGTGGCGACGGGTACGACGTCCAAGTGCGATATGAGTAAAATTGGATCCAATTTCTGATTACTTCCCTCCCAAGTGAGCAATAGTGAGAGGTTACTGCTGAAAAGCTCCCATTTTAGCCTCCGCGAGCCCAGCGGGAAGCCATCCTCTGAACGAAGAAACTGAAGCAGACTATCGACACTGGAACGGTTCTCCAGGTGATCGGGATTCTCTCTACTTGATACTGTCTTGAAGCTCAATATTCTTCCAAGCCTATTGATCGCTGCACTCTTGTCGAAGCGCTTATTCATGATCTGATCAATCTTATGCCGCAAGTCTAGAAACTCTTCTTCTGGCACGAGCGCTTTTTGACGCGAATCAGTACGGCGGCGCAGTGACAGCAGTGCGAAGACAATAGTTGCAATCAACAACACCATGGCCAGCCTAGACAGGCAGTATTGCAGACTTCCCTTCTTTCCCGAGCAGTTTCGTGCCATCCCCGCGCTGGGCACCGCGCCCGGGTTTCGCTCCGCCCTGGAAGCTCGCGCTTTCCGAGCGCATGTAGCCTTCATCCTGAACAGAGCTTCATAGGTTAGCCGCCCCTAAAAGCTGCAAAGCGGCTCTTGCCAGACTTATGCTCAGTTAGCCTGGTTGCTCAGACGTTGGGGGAGTCCCAGTTTCAAAACGTAGCCTCAAGAAAGCTCTACTGGCTGACACAAGATGTACGACGAATCGTATCCGCATCCGCACATTGGTCTTTCAACTCATTTTTTCCACTCCCGCTGAGTGTGACGGAATGCGATTTCGCAGTAAAGAGAAGAAGTTCGAAATCACTATGCAATGTACCTTGTAGATCGCGGACGAGTTGCTTAAAGGACAGATTCTTTGCTGAACAGAGCAAGGGGGACTGCATTCCTCTTACAGGTCAGTCGTACCACAGAAAGCAGATGGTCGGGTATTACGGAAAGAAACAAGAACATGTGCCCCCGCCAAGATCCGATCTTTTCAAAGCGTGTTTGTGGTCAACGGTGGGAAACGAGTCGTTGATCACGTTTTACAGAAGGCAACAGCAACAATCGTAGCAACAATTGACATCTCTCTTTCTCAACAGCTAGTTCGTGTGGTCCTGAAAACACTGGGATACGATTGCAAAAAATCGTAGTTCACGTACGGTTATCTTCCAACGAAATCGCAACGACCGCGTTGCTGGAACTCAGCCATCCGCATGACATCCACGGACGTCGGTTTGTTTTTCGCAGTCGATGAGACTTTCTTCAGACGAAACGGTCGGAACGTTTATGGGTATTCGCGGAGAGCGAGCCCTCTGTATGAACGATTGAACTCGTACAGAATGAAGATATCATCGCATGCTCCATCTGCGCTGGATTCGTTTGGCAGCATCAGTTTCGCTCGTAGGGAAGGCTCAAACAACAGCACCCACTTTGTCTAATCATTGAAGGATTTTCCTTGATGTCGGCGTCGTCCTTGTATTGGACATGGTGGTACTTCAACATTCCCTTTGCGTTTGAGCTTTAGCGAAATCTATCGGGATAGAGCTGATTTTCATTCCTCCACACTTTTCGAGGTTCAACAGTATCTAACGAGGGTTTAGTATCGTAAAACGTAAAGATCGCTCCATTGAGCAAATCGCTGAAGCTTGCAGCACACGGTGACACAAGCGCACACTTCCACTTTCTTCCAGAAGTTCTTGTCGCTCCGGTAAGAACTTGTCTTAGGTCATATACAAGTGCGTTCACTTTGAAGAAATAAAAAGCCCAAGAGCTTACCTGGGGTACACACTTCAGAACCTCGAGATGGAGAGGCGCCAGCGGAACGCGTCGGTGATAGAAAGGCACGGTGAGCTGACAGGCCAGCAAACCACTCAGACGGCAAGAGTTCCAGGACGCCTTGCCCAAGTAAGTGCTACCTGCAGCAGAGCCTGTGTAGAGTTCGTGAATCGAGACCTCAGCGCTGCTATCGATATAAGGACACGTACGGCGCTGAAGACGAGGCCCGAGAAGCTGACGCAATCGAAATTAGTGGGGCAGCATCTCAGGCTCGAAGTGTGCAAGGAGAAAATGGAACCATTAGCAGGAGGCCTGTTCTAGATGGCTAGGGGCCGCCTGCGCGTCGGTACTAAATTACTCTACAGTCGTGAGACATTTTCGTTTCAGTGAACTTTGCTGGACACTGCAGAGGAAGCGTTCCCCTCGTTTAGTTTTGTGTCGTATTCGTTTTGGTCCCAGAGCTGTCTGGCCTGCACTGGATCGCGTATTATCGCCGGAGGAGGCACAAAGGATTGATTCCTTGGTAGCGGCAGTCTTTGTGCTGTGAGCCTCTCTTTCGTGGAAGCTTGATCGCTCCGCGCTATGCTAAACAAAAACTCTAAGGCTTTATGGACTCCCCTCCGTGACTACGTTCGCCGGAGAAATGCAGGCTTGTCGGGAACTGTCGGAGCACCTTGGACAGTAAGATCAAACTCTGTTCAACGAGGTTGCGAAAAAGAAAATGATCACAGGTTCTGGCACGCACTGAGGGAGGGGGCTTCAGACCTAGCTACAGCTTTGCGAGCAAGAGCGCCTCAACCCAGCTGGAGCCGTTTCGCCGATGCTACGAGTACAACGGCCTATGGATTCGCTGTATGGACTTGGCGTCAAGGCGCACCCTGGTTGGCTCTTATGGGGGTTTCAGCCACACTCGCCACATTGTTGACTGCGAGTGCGCACTGCGAGCGCCAGGATGCTCCCGATGCAACGGCTGCTTCCCCTGTGCTGGGTATCTCCCTCGAAACGCAGCTGGGGGGAATTAAAACTAATGAACAAAGCGAGGCGCCGTCGACATCGCATGGGATGGATTTGTTTAAGCGTACGCTGATACCCTCGCAAGAGGTTTTCGTTGGCTCTGGAGTGCGCCTGATGCTCGGACTAGTCCGGGTCTACTATGTGGGCCTCTATGTCGATCCAGTTGGCGCAAGGAATGTTCTGCTTTCGGACTACTACGGCAAGGATGCCCAGATGATATGCGCTGATACTGCATTCTGGGATGCATTCCGTTCTTTCCGACACTCGGTCGTCATGCATGTCATACGAAGCGTTGATGCGAAGCACGTTGTCCAAGGTCTTGAGCGCGGATTGACCAAAAGGCTGCGGTACGCCAAAAATAAGCTGCAGATGCCTGATGATCGCGCCAAGCTTGCTCAGCTGAAAAACTACTTGCTTGGCATCAGGCAGATTCCGGAAAACTCGCAGATTCGCTTCGCGATCCTGGATGAAGGTAATACGTTAATGATCGAAATGAACTCCGTACTCGTTGGTTATGTTGAATCGTGTCCAGCGCTATGTTATGCGATTGATGATATTTTCCTCGGCAGTAAGCCTGTGAGTGCAGAAGCAAAGCAGAGCTTCTGTACCGGCATGGAGCGCATAATCAAAGAATAGGTATCCAGCGTGGTTATATCTTGGAAGCCATCAAGAATCATGGATATTGCTACAGATCATTTCATGTCTGGGCCCCACTGCAGCCACCCGTGAGGATGGGAGCGCTGCAGCAGCGTCGCTTCCTCTGTTGCTTTAACAACACGGAGACCCGAGAAGACTCATTTGATGGCATGGTCAAGAATATGCAACCCTCACATGTTTACACACCAATACCCTGTTAAAAATCAGAAGGACGAAAGGGCTCGAGAATGCATCTCGAACAGAGATGCTACGCTTTCGTAAATTCTGCATAAATGGCGCAGCGCCGTTTTAGATGCGGCAGCTCTAGTGCCAGAGCGTGTTGCATCTGTCCACTGTACACTTCGTGCAATATGGACAAGTTCCCGTAGTTGCATGCACACACTGCGCTCGAAACGAGATGCTGCCTCGTGTCGGATCCAGAAAGCGTGCAAACTTAAAGGCATGAGAAGCGTTCTTGAAGCGGTGCCGTGGATCCTTTTTGTTGAGGATTATGTTCGGGGTCGACGATGAAGACACGCAATCGTCCAAGTCGGTCAGATACATAGCGATATGTAGGCCAGGCACTGCAGTTGCTCCGGGTCGCACAGAGAGGATCCCATTTGCGGCCAGGCGTTTCGCGACGCTAGCCGCTGCTGCCTCTTCCATTTGTAGCCTGTATGGATTTATGTGGGAAAATCGATTCCTTTGGAGTATTGCGTCCGAGAGGATCAACGGAAGCTCGCGCTTGCTCCGCGATGACAGGTCAACAAATCACCAGTTACGATGCGGGACGTCCTTGTGGAACGAGGCCCAAGGGCAGAGTTGGTGCAAATTCAGGTGCTGAAGCATGCGATTTCCCAATTAGTCGTTTGAAAAGGAATAATGAAAGCGAAAACCCCCACTAGAATCTGCAAATTCTCCCACCTGCCTAAGCGTAGCGCATGATTGATTACCGACCGCAGGGCATAGCGCGTTGCGGGATCCACAGGAACCGCGTTGCCGCCAAGCGTCTTCGAAATCAGCTTGCAATAGGATTCAAATATCGATGCTATGCATTGTTCACAGCCGCTTACTCGTAAACAAGGCAGTGGTATCGGTCAAAAGCTTGTCGCTAGCATCAGTGTATGGGATTCCACTCTCTTGCGCGCAAATCGAAAAGGCCATCGGCTGGGATCGAGTTTCACGTGAAGTTACTATTCCCTCGGAACTGATTGCTTGTGTGTTCACAGACTCTGAGCGAGAGGATCTCGTGAATATGCACTCTCGCAATAGACTTCTTTCAGGCGAAATAACTAGTTCGGATTATCAACCAAAGTTCGCCCGCATGCGGCATCAGCAGAGTCTACCCGACAATGAACCGCTCGTAAAGGCCAAACGTTCGAAGCGCTCTCTTTCACGCTCCATTCAGTTTTTGTTTTACAAAAGGTTTACATTGATCATGGATCGCTTATTGTGGGATCCATGTTGGCTTTCGGGAAAGCGTCCACCATGATGCGCCTTACCTTCAAGTTCCATTACCCATAATTCCTCTCGCATGTACTGGTCGTTTCGTTGTTCTATCGTGCGCCGAGCATGCCGTGAGCACCCGCCTTAGCGGCTATAGCGCAGGTGCGGATGCAACATAGAAACAGAACTGCTTTGCCATACCGTTAAGGGCATCGGCTCGAGGCGTGGTCCACTCGAAACGGAATCGGGATTCATTACCATTCTGGAAGCCCGCAAGCTGTACAGAGAGACCTACTGCCTGCGGCAGTGCAAAGTGATACACATGGAGACCGCCGCGACTAGGGCGAAGTCCAGACACAGGATACCCGCTCCTAGTCCTAGAATAAACTGCGTTGTGGACGAGCCACTCAAGTCGCGCCACATCACCTAGCATTGGGAGGAGCTTGAAACACAAGCCCAGAAGACTCGTCCTTCTCGCGTGATCCTCCGCCTGGAAGGTAAACTTTCGAAAATACGGAAAGCTTTCCCCCTCTCAACGCTTACAGTAGATGGGGAACGAATTCGGTATCTAGTTGGTAGTTAGTGAGTAGTTTTTGTTAATGATGGACCTGACGGCGCTACACACGCACATGTGCGTTGCGGTAAGATATGCTCTTTTACTGCGCACTACTGTGCTGCGTTCCACAGCACGCTTCATTGTACTAACCTTTCGTGCCCGGCACTGCAAGAATAGTGTTGGCAGCACAAGTAAAGTCTCTGAATAGTGCAGACAAAAAGATGCGCTTCTGGTAAACGTATTATACCTGTTACAATCATAAAGCCCGGGTGCTTCGTGGACCGGTCGCACTGCTCAAGCGGCAGAGCCGTCGCTCGGTAAACGCACTCTGTTTCGTATCTGAGGGCATATCCCTCAGATGCTCCGTCTAGCACGTCAAGAACCTACGCTGCAAAATTAAGGATCCCGCGAACATAGATATTGTGTGATCCTTCAAAGCTCCGTTCGCAGGCTCCGTGATGCTGCACCTCGTCTCGACGACTAAGTTTCTTTGAAGCTGCTAAATCCCTCGCCAGCGTTCTACTGGTTACTGCCAAGTCATTTTGGATTCTGAATCGTAAGATTGAGGACTCTCACAGTAACTTCATGTGCTGTTTGAGTGCCACTTTAATATGGAGGGGTTTGGGCCAAGTGCGGCAGCGTAACCCTGCACGGTCGAACCTCACAATAATGCAGGCTCGTGCTTGTTCATGTTAAACCATACTAACTGAGCAGCCGAGCAGAACGCTTAAACTAGCTCTGTCCGCACGTATACGCTCGGGAGTCCCAGGAAAACGTTTCCCACGCGGTGAACCCCGATGCCTATCCGTTGATGTGGCACTCGCGAATATTTCTCCAACAGCCCCAAATCCTTGTCAGAATGAAATGGAACAGTGAACTGCTCGCTTTCATCTTGCCATTCGATCCTTTTTCTGGAACTTTTGACATTGACCAACTCGGCGTTCGAAGTGCTACAGAAAGTGCTTACAGATATACATCTAATTCTGGAGTTCTCGGTAGTTTATTCGGAGTGTCACCTTCGACGCCTTTCCGCTTTCTTCCCTAGTTCACCGGTATCAAGATGGAACGCAACGCCCGCGAATACCGTTCGTAAAGCAACCTATATTATTGTCCATTCACACGTCGATGCCCTGCTCTTCTCTCTCTCCTACGTGTATCAGGCTGAATGCAAGCAGCCAGCAGACGTTCGATTTTTCTGTCCCAGTGCAACTCGAGAACGCAGCGCGCTGCGCCACTGGATCGATTACGAGAAACAACCTCGACGTCACCGCATAGCGACTCCATCACAAGCTTCTTCTGCGAGAACACAGAATTTCTCATACCAGTTAATCTTCGATTCCACCCGCGAGACAGATCCCCGTCTCTTTGCGGCCACCGACGAGACGGCATTCTACAGCGGCATGGTATGCTTTACGGGACGTGCCCCTGGAAGATCCCGTCTCTTCTGCCAGGATGGGATATGGCCCTGGACTCGGACTCGAGTCATCGCAGCGATCGCCTCTGATAAAGAGTGCGTCACTCCATTGCTCGAAGGGAGCGCAGACGGCTCGAAATATCTCCACTTGCTCTGCAGACTGCTTTTGACTTCTGGTGCTTGTTTCACCGTGAACTACGAAGCGCTCCACAAATCCTCCACCGAACGGAACAGCGTACTCCTACGTGTGTGCGTACGGTGTGTTTGCGGTGAGGATCGTCCAGAAGAAGCTCGTGATATTCGGGAACGGCGCCGGGCGCGTTGTAACGGAGAAAGACATCGCATGGAACCCTGTTTACATGTCAAGGACACGTGACGAACGATGGAAGAAGCCTTCACGCGCTACAGGACGATCCTCGAAAGAGGGGTGGGGTGAGCGCACAGGGTCATGCGACCCCTGCCGAGCGCCATCGCTGCACAGGGCACATCGTGGCAGTATGAGAAGAAGATGCTCATGGCTAGGGGTGCGGAGATGGCAACTACCGCCTGCGCATGAAATGCACGGGAAAACAACTGGAGGCTGCGAAATGAGGACGCTCACGCTGCCGTCGTCACCCTTTGCCAGTGAATAGCGGAGCTTGAGGAAACGAGATGCTGGTGTTTTCAATGGAAGAGATAAGAGGTACGAAAAGGAAGCAGTTGCTGAGGAGGCTCCGAAAAGTCCGTTGTTGATCACAACTGGAAGAGACCAAGAGAGTTTGATTACATGCCAGAATAAGGTAAGTGGACCCATTCCATTTTATTCTAATAATGGTTTGGTCGAAACGCTTGCTGGTGACCAATATGCCTGCCTGACGAACTTCTGTCCAGGAAGCGCACTGCTGTCAACCTTAGTGGCAATTATTCTCAGGAAAGCGAATTCTGAATTGCGATTACCAGCAGGCCTTTTTGCATTTGTATGAATTTCTCGTGGGTATTTAATATTAGAATGATGCCTTAAGATTTAAGAACGGTTGCAGAAGGACAGTGCGCAGTCACTTCTCTGTACTGAATGTGACTGTCTTATTTGTAGAATTCCGTTACGCAACCGTCAGCAGGTGGCTGGACTGCCCTGCTCGTTTTCTCTATTTTGTGCATAATATACTCAAACCAGTACTAATTAAACTCTATTTACACGAATTCCTCGTTGTCTATTCATTGCGCTCCATACTTTCGTTGATAAATACCACCAAACAAGCAACAGAATTTAAAAAGTTCGTACGTATAACAAAAATAGTGAAGAGTGGAACTGGTAGGACAAAGAAACTGACGAGCTCCCATGGGAGACCGTTGCGCGTTGAACAACGCTTTATTGGTTCCATCCTGGAACTTGAACGCTTGCCACAGGACGCACGGGTGCTCACCTCTTTGGATGAGAAATTATTCAGTGGAAATAGTAGACGTTCAAATGGACCTTCAAACACGGACGGAACACTGTTTGTGTAGAGGAGGAAAGCGAGAATGTCGATAACGCCAGCCCTTGCTACGATTTACTCGCGCGGTCCCCTATAAAGTGTCAAACGGATGGGATCGATCGACATCTCATCCTTCATCGAAGTTCTCCTTGTGGCTTCTCCTTGCCACATTCTCCTTTCCTGGTATTAGACGACATCGCTTTCCATCACACAAATCTGTCAAGGACTGCTCAGCTGAGAGTGGCGTTGAGCTGATCATCATGCCACCGTGTCCTCCTGGGTAAAGTCGAATCGAATGCGACTTTCCCGTTGTTCAGCGTCAATTTTACGCCTCCGGACCAATAGAAGTATAGTTCGTACAGGTGACGCCGCTCATGACAAGTATTTTCTGCTGTTTCCAGTCCTTACCAGTTTCGTTGCCTATCCGCTCGTATGCAGTAGAGAGCAGAAAGTCGCTCTTCGGTCCATGGGCATTCTCGCGACGGAGAAGGTGAATAAAATGTATTCAAGGCACAGCAATCGCACACATAGAAAACTTAAGCTTCAGTGTCTCCTTCCGATCAATGCGTTTGAATGCCCAAGAAAAGAAAGGGGAAGAAAGAACTCGACCGAGAAGAGCATGATTCTTTCGAAAAGAGGATGGAGAGGGACGCAAACGCAAAAATCTACGAGCTGTAAAAAAGGTTCTGATTCATTTGCCGGGATCTCCCTAGAAAACCATATAAACCAAAGAATCTTACGAAATGTGAGATGCAAGACTCCATTAAGCATCGCATTGCTTCTACTCTGTGAAGGCTTGCACAGCCTCTCTTACCTTGACGCACATCGTGCAACAACTTTTCGTAGGATTCCCGGACGCTGGGATGCCAGCTCTCCAGTGTGCTTCAGAAATTATCGATTAAACTTTCGAGCGACAACAGAACTGGTGCTCTGGACACGATGTGCAACACGCCCCGCTGTTACGATCAGAAATACGCACATTCCGTTCCCGGAATACATTGCTACGTCACGGTGTCTGGGATCAAGAGAATCTACAGCACGGTTGCCAATAATTGTCAATCCAATCTCCAATGCATAAACGGATCAAAGCGGAGCGCACCAGGAGACGCACCTTCTGAGCGACGAACGCTGAACTTACTTTACCAGAGAGATAATGACTCACAGAAAGGATTCTTGTGGCATTGGCAAGGGGCAAATGACGAGCTGGCGGCGGCTTCGGCAGAGATCTCGAACAGAGAGGATGAGTCGCTTTGGAGAGTCCAAGCATATTAAGCTGCTCTGGGCCTCGGACCGATTGTCTCGTATCCAAAGGCTAGTTGAGACCTGATAGCAGCTTGTCTTGCATCTTGGGCTGGAACGCTTTCCTAATCACAGCCCTCCAGCGCGCAAGACAGCAGACTTGCGCCCTGTCGGCGAGCGCCCTATCCCTCTCAAACTTCTATTCGATTTGCTCCCGATTTTCTTAGACCAAGGGCCTTTATGTCACGGTAGACGCTTGTCCTCTGTAGCCTATGGCCCGCCCGGTGAGCCTCGGCTAATCTCTGCCAGCGAGGATGAAGCAATCGTAAGAATGCTCAAACAGCATTTGCGGAGTTATTTAAGGCGTTCTCTTTTACAATGAGGCAATGGAATGTCGCACACAGGAGGCGGAGACCGGCGGGATATCAATCGGCACGTGCCTTTTGAAACTTAGGCCTGAATCATGCAGCGAGACAGGTACTCAAGCTTTCAAGGTGGACGAAGAGGAAGATTTTTCTGTGAGTGTGGATCCTTGTTCAATAAACAACGTCACGTGCACGAACCTCATAACAAACAGGACGGAGCCAAAGATCAGAACGGAAAGAAGGTGAAGCTGCCCAGCTTTTACAGAGCTTGGTATGATCGACAGCAGGGCGTGTTGAATGCGGAAATAAATCCGAAGAAGTGGATCGACTGTGTCATGACCTCATTCTCAAATATCTAGGCGCCGTATGGAAGCGAGGAACATGCTTTGTACAGTTTCATGCACGATGTGCATGACCGTCAAAATGGATCATGCGGACGATCCTTAGCAGGCGTTCATGATATATCGTTGAATTTACGAGAGTCTCGGATAGACGGAGGGAAGAAGCATGCGTTTGCAACTTGTTGAAAAAAAGTCGTAAAAGAGAACAAGCTACGGATCGTGTCGTTCGGTGGTAGCCCTTGGCGCTGGACGTGCTTCAGCGTGCAAACGCCGAGCTCCCGTCCTTTCGACGAGAGCGTGCAACCAGTGCAAGAATCGATGCTGTAGCATCCTTATCGATGCATTCAGTGCGATATGTGCGTATTAATAATACAAATGCACATAGAACAAGTAGAGCAGATACTGCAACAGAGCCGCATGCACTCTATGCAGTACAGAAGGCTGGCCGATCTTCAGATAACAGGGCACTCGAATTTAGGAGGCTCGCTATGGTGTGATTCCACCGGCAACTATGCGCTCAAGCATTTTCATCATCCAGACATAAATGCCTTAATTAACATACAGAAATGTCTCATGCTTCCGAAGAGTTCAGCGGCTCTATTTTAAGCTAAATTTCGAGCGGATCGTTTCTTATTCAGCGATGGAATCGTGCAGAATAGCGTAATACTTCTGACGAAAGGAAGTCACTGGCCGAAAGATACTGGATCTGGTGCCCTCAAAGAACGAGGCACTGCCACGGTATAGTCGGCAACCCAGCGAGGCAGAAGCGCGACAAATGTGCACGAGGAACAATGTTATTGCCGACCAGGGGAGAATACTGTTAATCGTCTACTCGATAGTACTAAATAGAGAGCGGCTGCTCCAAAGTGGCTGCCACTTGTTTTTGGAAATCGTCTATTAGAATAATGGTATAGACGGCAGTCCGAGCGCTTGCTATTGAGAAATGGAGGAAACGAGCCGAGTCTCAGCAGGCGCTGAGCTCGTGCACACCGTGGAGATTGGAGCAGCAGGCCGACAAGGTGCCTGGAGACGACCGCTTTTTGAGGAACTCGCAAGCGTGCACGAGCGATCAGCACTTTACGGCCAGTACTTCGCCAAAAGCGGGGTGAAGGAGCTGGATGTGGCCCTCGGCGGTGGCCTGCGTCCTGGCCAGTACATAGAGCTGCGGGGCCGAAGCGGGACTGGCAAGAGCCTGCTCTGCAACTCTGTTCTCTCGCGAAATATTCACACTTTCCGAATCGTATACTTGGATAGTGAAAATAATCATCAGTGCGTGGATCTGGTTCAAACGAGGTTGCCACAAATCTCATCAAGTTCGTATTATCAGCTTTTCCCCGTTTTTTGTATAGAGGACGTGCTAGACGTACTGCGCCAGACGGAGGCTGAAGAGGAGCGTCGACTTTGTCACTTTACAATGCATGAGCACAGCGGCACTAGTTTGCAACCCCTGCTGCTGATCTTTGACGCTGTCAGTGGTTTCGTTGCCGCCGCAACAGGCACTGATCCCGACCCGCTGATTGAGACTGGGCTACGGCTGCGCTCCCTGGCTTGCATCTACAATGCAATTGTTCTCGTCTCGAATAGTATGCCAATAATGCCATGGATTTCTCGATGTGCACCAATGCCACCGTGCGGCATTATTATTGAAACTGGGCCAGCACTTAGGGTGAATACCGGCAACGAACCAATTGTAGTGGGTAGCCTGCGCGGGCCTCAGCCAACTTGCGGTGCACAACGCAGGGAAGTCTCTCTACATATGTTGGAACACAATGGAAAGGATCAAGACAGCTAACTCGTGCGCACGCACCACGCCCACGTCGAAATAAAATCGAGCAGCTCAATAGACCTTACTTGGCCTACTTTTTTCTGTTTTTGTCTCTTCCAGTTGTGATCAACAACGGACTTTTCGGAGCCTCCTCAGCAACTGCTTCCTTTTCGTACCTCTTATCTCTTCCATTGAAAACACCAGCATCTCGTTTCCTCAAGCTCCGCTATTCACTGGCAAAGGGTGACGACGGCAGCGTGAGCGTCCTCATTTCGCAGCCTCCAGTTGTTTTCCCGTGCATTTCATGCGCAGGCGGTAGTTGCCATCTCCGCACCCCTAGCCATGAGCATCTTCTTCTCATACTGCCACGATGTGCCCTGTGCAGCGATGGCGCTCGGCAGGGGTCGCATGACCCTGTGCGCTCACCCAACCCCTCTTTCGAGGATCGTCCTGTAGCGCGTGAAGGCTTCTTCCATCGTTCGTCACGTGTCCTTGACATGTAAACAGGGTTCCATGCGATGTCTTTCTCCGTTACAACGCGCCCGGCGCCGTTCCCGAATATCACGAGCTTCTTCTGGACGATCCTCACCGCAAACACACCGTACGCACACACGTAGGAGTACGCTGTTCCGTTCGGTGGAGGATTTGTGGAGCGCTTCGTAGTTCACGGTGAAACAAGCACCAGAAGTCAAAAGCAGTCTGCAGAGCAAGTGGAGATATTTCGAGCCGTCTGCGCTCCCTTCGAGCAATGGAGTGACGCACTCTTTATCAGAGGCGATCGCTGCGATGACTCGAGTCCGAGTCCAGGGCCATATCCCATCCTGGCAGAAGAGACGGGATCTTCCAGGGGCACGTCCCGTAAAGCATACCATGCCGCTGTAGAATGCCGTCTCGTCGGTGGCCGCAAAGAGACGGGGATCTGTCTCGCGGGTGGAATCGAAGATTAACTGGTATGAGAAATTCTGTGTTCTCGCAGAAGAAGCGTGTGATGGAGTCGCTATGCGGTGACGTCGAGGTTGTTTCTCGTAATCGATCCAGTGGCGCAGCGCGCTGCGTTCTCGAGTTGCACTGGGACAGATAAATCGAACGTCTGCTGGCTGCTTGCATTCAGCCTGATACACGTAGGAGAGAGAGAAGAGCAGGGCATCGACGTGTGAATGGACAATAATATAGGTTGCTTTACGAACGGTATTCGCGGGCGTTGCGTTCCATCTTGATACCGGTGAACTAGGGAAGAAAGCGGAAAGGCGTCGAAGGTGACACTCCGAATATACTACCGAGAACTCCAGAATTAGATGTATATCTGTAAGCACTTTCTGTAGCACTTCGAACGCCGAGTTGGTCAATGTCAAAAGTTCCAGAAAAAGGATCGAATGGCAAGATGAAAGCGAGCAGTTCACTGTTCCATTTTAATTTGACTTGAGTGTACAGAATGACTGTTGCTTGATCAGGAGGCTAGCATGGTTATATTCGCAATGGTCAGAGAATACATCAATGTTACTGCGCGTAACTCGTCTCGCCTGCGATACTGCCGAAGTTCTCACGAAGTTTCTGAACGATTGGGGATTTCTGGATAGCATCTCGCACGTCGTCTGCAGCAGCAATTTCTTGGAGGAGCGGTATGAGCGCTTCGAGTGTGTTATCGGATTCATCGTTAAACCACGAGACAACAGGAATCGCATTCTCAGCGTTTTTCAAGTAGGCACTCGGCGAATTATCAACAATCACTATTTTTCGAATATCTCGACCAAGATAGTGCAAATTTTTCACAAAACAGAGGGCGTCAACGTCGAATTCGCAGGAGTCTCGAAACAAGCGGTACGATATTACGTCCCGGCCTACAGACTGATTCAGCAGATCACAAACCGCATCCGCATACTTCGCTAGGGACGCAGTAAACACCACGATTTCGAAATAGTCTGCCATTTCTCGCAGAAACCGATCACAGCCGGGACGTTTCTTCACGTAGAGTGTTCGAAGAATGCCGTTAACCTCAATTTGAAGTACATAGTCAGGCCTGTCAATTTTGTCGAAGCCAGAGTGAACAAGGGTCTCGTCGAGATCTAAAACCAGAGTCTTCAAGCCCCTGTGGATATCTTTCTGAGGAGGTAAAAGCGGAGTTCCCGTGCTGGGATTAGAGTCTCTCTTATGTGGTTCCTCGAGCAATTGTGTGGAGCGCAGGGAGGTCGCTTGCTTGGATTGATCATCGTCTCTATCAGGCCATAGACTACTTGCGGGGAAAAATTCTGCTGGATATGAGTCTGATCCGGGGCAATGACGACTTCGGCACAAATCGTCTTCCCGGCTGCCACATTGCACCTCAGAAGTTGGAGCAGTCTCGGCCACGGGAGCGTCGAGATTCTTAATAGTGCCCGAGCGCGCCTGCTGCTCACTGTCACTTCCGCGAACATTCCCTGGATCCGTTATTTTCTGTTTCAGGGAAATTTGCGGGTTTCCCAAACTCTCTGTTGAGGTTTGTGGGACTGTTTTTCGGAGATTCTCGGCGCCTTTGGTTTCCATGCCTCGATTGTTTCTGTCGTATTCAAAGCAGGTTCCAGCGCATGCGCTCTTAGAATTCGAATCTCGGTTTCTTACGGAAGGGGCTCCCAAACGAAGAAATGAGCGCATGCGTGACATAAAACTCCAGCTCTGGCTGTGTTGGTTGCCACCCGATGCATATTTTCCTGCGTTCACTGCTCGTGTACCTCGAGCCGCTCGTGCGCCTTGCTGTGCGAGTCGTTCCGTAGAGCTCGCAAGGAGTTTCTTCTCAGTTTTCTGTCCCTTGGAGCACATATTTGAGTATAGACTGTGCGTGAACAATAGTATACCTGTTTGTGTGTCAAATCACGTAGGAAAACGCTCCCTCAGCCTTCACTGCCAGCGTTTTCCGTCAGGAAAGCCAATCTTGGAAAGCAGATGCCCAGCTAAAAAGGCACCTTCACTAAGAGCACACAACACAAGGGGCGCAGCCGCCCGAGGCGGTAGCAATGCTGGTTGCGCCTGGAGTGTTCTAGCTGCCTTCTGAACGTTCAAAGGTGTCAAAGCCTCTTGAACGAAGCACCAGCGGGTGCCTCCCTGAGTGTCGTCCTAATTCCGTCTAATTCTTTCCCTGAATCATTATGCTGGTCCCCTGTTCGTTGTTCCACGCGCCAGGAACACACAAGGGAAGCACGACGCAGTGCTATGTCAGATAAGCGCTTAACGGAGACGTAAACCACCAGTTGCCACACCCGCGCGCCACGCAACTCGAGGCCCCCAGAATCTCCGCCTTGCAGCCAGTGGTGGCAGGGAACGCGCGCCGCTTAGGAAAATATCTCGAGGTTCCTCTACTCTTGTATTGCAACCGAACTAGGATATGGAGCGGTAGCTCCAGTGCGAGTTTTCTCTTTTTCCGGTGACTTTGACCGCGAATTTTCTTGATGATGAGATGAAAGAGCAGATTCGATAGGAGACGCATGAGATGGTCAGAAAAGCACACTGCAGTTTGGAAAGAGGGGGCGCAGTTGTCCCTGGAAGAGTACACGCTCTGGCTGTACGATCGCGCCCTGTCCCCGTGGAAGCGCTAAACAAGCTCCGTATCAGAAAAGGGCCAAATTGCTTGACGGAGAGGTTTGGCGGTGGCGAGCAACGCGCGTCAGGCCGCTACCGGCACGGACTGGTGACGTAGCGACTGCGGCATTGAGGTCGATACTATGCTTGCGCAGGAGGCTTAGCAGCAGCGCGGTAGTTGCGAGCATAAGCGTCGCCAGTGAGGTCCTGGATTCTGAACGTCAATGCACAGCGATCGCGTTGCCTTCGTTGAAAATATGGTCAGGCAGCGCATACGAGATGCTGGCCAGAGTCTGTATGCTGAGAAGCCGGAATTCATATAGTGGTTCTGCACCAGTGCCCCACCGATGTCCGTGCATGAGCTCTCCACAGTGCAAGAAGTCGAAGAAAGTCAGGGGTTGATTCAGAGATGAATAAGCGCCCGAGTGGCACCCAGATGGGGCTAGCCTACATTTCGAATGTGAAAACCCTGTGATAGGGTGCAGACAAAATCGCGCGAGTGACGAAGGAGCGTGAAGTGCAGGGATTCATATTTCAAATAAATGGTCGCTGGCCTGTGTGTGTACAGCAGGACAGATATCTTCTATTCGATTGCAAGTTGAAGCATCAATGGCGCCCCGATAACGAGGGCCGTTATTTCCACGGAATACGCCGCATGCTAGCAGTTCTCTTAAGGAACTGGCGAGCCCCCTGCCCAGAAACGTTCAGAAGCCGATCGAATATCTCGCGTGTTCTACGACTCAAAGTCTGGTTGTCGTATGTCCCTTTCGAGACTGTAGATTTGCTTCGGGTGCCTAGTCGCTACCATTGAATACGAGGCATCGCACTTGAGACCGCTGTTAGAGCGCATTTGCTCGCCAGTTAATGGTTTTTGCGCGTAACGCGCAGCGGCTTTCATTCGCAAGACCGATCACTATACTAGAGTGCACCTCTGAGCGTTCAGCCGCGATACCAAAAGACGATTACGAGACTCCTTAAAACAACGAATAGTCAACATCAACAAAGCAGCGGTTGGAATTCGTCCAAAACGTCCGTGCAAGAATGCCTGGAGCGCCCGGCCCAGACTGTCGGCATGCTCCAGTTCTTCACGCACGTGATTTACGGCTCATTTGGTATGCATCCATCGATACAGCTTTACAAACCATGGCGGACACACTGAAACCCTGAAAACTCAGATCGGCTGGCGTTTTGCATCATAAATTTCACAAGAACTTGGACTTGCGTTACACCGTACCCCGCACGGATATGCGTTGCTGGCAAACAACAAGAACGTCATCACTGGCAGTCGCCCTCCCTCTGATTTCATACCCATGTCAGATAAGGATATCAAACAGTGAACTGTCTGCTGTGTTCCAGCTTTTCGATTCTTTTAGAATTTGTTTAGGATGCAAAGACTCTAAACTCGAAGTACTACAGAAAGTGCTTACAGATATACATCTAATTCTGGAGTTCTCGGTAGTTTATTCGGAGTGTCACCTTCGACGCCTTTCCGCTTTCTTCCCTAGTTCACCGGTATCAAGATGGAACGCAACGCCCGCGAATACCGTTCGTAAAGCAACCTATATTATTGTCCATTCACACGTCGATGCCCTGCTCTTCTCTCTCTCCTACGTGTATCAGGCTGAATGCAAGCAGCCAGCAGACGTTCGATTTATCTGTCCCAGTGCAACTCGAGAACGCAGCGCGCTGCGCCACTGGATCGATTACGAGAAACAACCTCGACGTCACCGCATAGCGACTCCATCACAAGCTTCTTCTGCGAGAACACAGAATTTCTCATACCAGTTAATCTTCGATTCCACCCGCGAGACAGATCCCCGTCTCTTTGCGGCCACCGACGAGACGGCATTCTACAGCGGCATGGTATGCTTTACGGGACGTGCCCCTGGAAGATCCCGTCTCTTCTGCCAGGATGGGATATGGCCCTGGACTCGGACTCGAGTCATCGCAGCGATCGCCTCTGATAAAGAGTGCGTCACTCCATTGCTCGAAGGGAGCGCAGACGGCTCGAAATATCTCCACTTGCTCTGCAGACTGCTTTTGACTTCTGGTGCTTGTTTCACCGTGAACTACGAAGCGCTCCACAAATCCTCCACCGAACGGAACAGCGTACTCCTACGTGTGTGCGTACGGTGTGTTTGCGGTGAGGATCGTCCAGAAGAAGCTCGTGATATTCGGGAACGGCGCCGGGCGCGTTGTAACGGAGAAAGACATCGCATGGAACCCTGTTTACATGTCAAGGACACGTGACGAACGATGGAAGAAGCCTTCACGCGCTACAGGACGATCCTCGAAAGAGGGGTGGGGTGAGCGCACAGGGTCATGCGACCCCTGCCGAGCGCCATCGCTGCACAGGGCACATCGTGGCAGTATGAGAAGAAGATGCTCATGGCTAGGGGTGCGGAGATGGCAACTACCGCCTGCGCATGAAATGCACGGGAAAACAACTGGAGGCTGCGAAATGAGGACGCTCACGCTGCCGTCGTCACCCTTTGCCAGTGAATAGCGGAGCTTGAGGAAACGAGATGCTGGTGTTTTCAATGGAAGAGATAAGAGGTACGAAAAGGAAGCAGTTGCTGAGGAGGCTCCGAAAAGTCCGTTGTTGATCACAACTGGAAGAGACCAAGAGAGTTTGATTACACGCCAGAATAAGGTAAGTGGGCCCATTCCATTTTATTCTAACTGTGATATATGAAAACGGTACATCGAAACAGAGTCGACAAACGGGACTAGCGCTTCTGTGGTTATCCTACAAGGATACCGCCGCTACACGAGGTACACCTCTCCGTTCCAGAAACTCATGGCGATCCAGTTGGTCAGGAATCGAGCTTCGGACGAGTCAGCAAATGTTCGGTTGCTGTGTCTGTGCATTTGGCGACGAGCGCCCCATGAGACCGCGAGCTGTAGTGCTCCCGTCCTCTAGTGCGACCAGATGAACGGCAGTTGCGCCGGCACCGCCACACTAGCCGTCGAAACGCCCGGTGTGGCAAGAGCGCACCGCGCCGCACGCTCAGCGCGTAGTGGCTCTGTGATTGGACCAGCGCTGCGCTCGACAGACGACAAGGTACTCGCAACTTCCCAGTAAGCGGGCAGAATGTACACCAGGTTCGGTCAATGCCTTGTCCCTGTGAACCAAGCAGGAGGCTGTTGTACGGCCGTGAGCCTCGGACACGGTGCGCACCAAAGGTTGACTTTGCAGCGCACTTCAAGGCATATGTTGGGCTTTTGTGTGTTGCCACAGTGGCGACTGAACGCCCGCGTTAGGAGTGCGTGTCGATTGGTGCGGAACAAAGCCTTTCAGGCGCATCAGCGAGTGGCGAGGTACATGCTCCGTGTCTCGCACGCATCTGTTACTACTCAGGGCGAGCAGTCCCCTTGGACTGCGAAAGACAAGAGCGTGAAGGAGGCAAACGACTCGCCGTATAAGCATACAGTTAGCCTACCTGAGACCAGCTTCTCTCAGAGAGCAAACTCAACTGAGAGGGAGCCGCAGATCCAACGCTTCTGGGAGGAAAACCGCATTTACGAAGGATTGTACGAAGATAACTCCAGGAACGCCGAATTTTTGTTGCATGACGGCCCACCGTACGCGAACGGGTCCCTCCATATGGGGCACGCTCTAAATAAGATACTTAAGGACATTATCAACCGCTATTTCATACTCTGCGGGAAGCGTGTCCGCTTTGTTCCCGGCTGGGATTGCCATGGCCTCCCCATCGAGCTAAAAGCCGTGCAGTCGGCTAGGTCTAATCATCGGGAAGCACTTGATCCATTGCAGATTCGACTGCTTGCGCGAAAGTTTGCCCTGGAGGCCATCGAGGAACAACGGAAGGGTTTCAAGCGCTACGGTGTCTGGGGAACCTGGAATGCGCCATACTTAACATTGGACCACCAGTACGAAGCCGCTCAGGTCCGTATTTTTGGTGAGATGTTTCTGAAAGGCTACATTTATCGTGGCAGAAAACCTGTGTACTGGAGTCCAAGCTCTCGCACAGCGTTGGCAGAGGCGGAGCTTGAATATCCGGACGTGCACGTTTCGCGATCGGCGTACGTTGCTTTCGAGGTTGTAGACGCTGGGAAACTGCGTGGGATTATCAGTGAGCTCGAATTCGATTCGTTCAGAGTTGCAATCTGGACGACCACGCCCTGGACGATTCCCGCGAATCGGGCTGTAGCGGTGAATCCAAACCTGCCGTACAGTATCGTGGCTCTCGAGGATGAGCAAGGGAAGCCCTGCACGTTGCTTGTAGTAGCCCAAGACCTTGTGGAAACTCTTGAACAAAAGTTGCATAGGCCTCTCTCTAACAAGAAGATTGTACCTGGCTCTGAGTTAGTCGGTATGACCTACAGGCACCCTTTGTATCCAATGGAGGTATACCGCGTGGTTGCCGGTGGCGACTACATCACGACCGAGAGCGGGACCGGCCTGGTGCACACCGCACCTGGGCACGGCCTAGAGGACTATAACGTTGGATTACGCGAATCACTCGAAGTCTTTGCGCCTGTCGATGATGTCGGAAGATTCACATCAGATGCTGGTCCCGAGCTCGCGGGGCTCCCTGTACTTCAAGAAGGTAATGCTCGGGTTTTAGAATTGCTGCGATCGAGTAATGCTCTGCTGCTCGAAGAAAAATACGAGCACAAGTACCCGTATGATTGGAGAACGAGAGAGCCGACTATCGTTCGTGCCACAGAGCAATGGTTCGCCTCCGTGCGTCAGTTTCGTGACAAAGCACTGGAAGCGCTCCAGAGCGTCCAGTGGGTGCCACCTGCCGGAGAGAATCGCATCCGGGGAATGATCGAGTCTCGTGATGATTGGTGTATATCGAGACAGCGCCCGTGGGGAGTGCCAATACCCGTCTTTTATGATGAAGACACCGGCGAAGCCGTCATCAGTATGGAAATCATCCAGTACGTGAGCGAAATTTTTGCAAAACACGGATCTGATGCTTGGTGGACGCTTCCAATTGAGCAGCTCCTTCCAGCGAGTATCATTCAGACGGGGCGGAGACTGCGTCGTGGCTTAGACACCATGGATGTCTGGTTTGATTCGGGGAGCTCCTGGGCCTCACTCTCCAAATCTCATGGCGAAGGCTCCAGCTCGAGCTGGCTTCCGTCTGTGGTCGCAGATCTTTACCTCGAGGGCAGCGATCAGCATCGGGGATGGTTCCAGTCCTCGCTCTTGACATCCGTTGCAGTTCGCGGCTATGCTCCGTTTCGCGCGGTTCTCACGCACGGATTCGTTTTAGATGAGAAGGGGCTGAAGATGTCCAAGTCGCTTGGTAATGTGGTCGATCCCTCGGAGATCATCAACGGCGGGCAAAACCAGAAAAAGCAACCTGCCCTCGGCGCGGACGTGCTCCGCCTCTGGGTCGCCAGTGTTGATTACATGAGTGATGTGCTGATTGGTCCAACGATTTTGAAGCAAACTGCTGACGCTTACAGGAAGATCCGAAATACACTGCGCTTCCTGGCCGGCAACGTTCCACGATGGGATGAAACGTGCCCTGTGAGCGTGAATGCTTTGAACGATGCAAATCTACCTTCACTGGACCGCTATATACTGCGTCGCGCTGCAGCAGTGTTGAAGGATATTGAGGACGCGTACAAGAACTTCACGTTCAACAGAATATTTCAGAGCGTCCTGCGTTTCTGTGTCGCTGACTTGAGCAATTTCTATCTAGATATTGCCAAAGATCGCTGCTACGTTGCCGCTCCGGATGAACCACGTCGCCAAACTTGCCAAGCAACAATGTGGGCGATCTTAATGGATATGGCACGAGCGTTGGCACCCATTCTACCGCACACCGTCGAGGACCTGTGGCAATGCCTACGCAAAGATGGCAAGTTGCCCTCTGGAGCGCCGATTAGTATTTTCCAAAATGGTTGGTATTCTTATGTGCCACAGATTCTCTCAGACGAGTATGAGGACAAAAAATGGACCATCGTTCGAGAAGTTCGCGAACTTGTGAATAAGGCACTTGAAACAGCTCGCACAAACGGGCTAATAGGATCGTCGTTGGAGGCACGTGTCATCATATATCCGCATGCACGGCACGTAGAGGAGGCGCTTACAAGCTTTGATCCCTCAAATGGGGTTGATGATTTGCGATACTTCTTTATCACGTCCCAAGTTGACGTCGTCCGTTGCTCTGGGAATGGGGAGTCTCCAGGCGCTGCTAGCGAGACCCACGTCGAGGTACAAAAAGCGTACGGTTCGAAATGTGCTCGCTGTTGGAATTTCTCCGAAACTGTGGGTGCACTTCATGAGCATTCACAAGTATGTGAGCGCTGCGTGCGTTCCCTCAAGCACCTGGGCGTCGAGCGGGTTTAGGTCAAGGTCGGTAAAGCGCGGAGCGCTGTTTGTTGGCTGAAGCTTCAGCTCGCTGCGGTTTCGCGCGAACCGCACGAAGCCCAAAACACTCGGCCTTCGGCCAAATGAAAGCCGTCGTTACGCAACTTCGCTCGCAAAGTATCGGTCACCCTGGTTTCCTGTCACCTGAAGTTGAGGCAAGAGATGCTTGCCGGTGAACCCAGCGTGCCAAGCTGCTGAACGGGACTATGGTCCAGAAGCCGAAACCCGCTTCGAGCCGGTTGCGACCTCTCGATCATCGGAACTCGTCTTCATATTTGAGGTAACACGCGAAACCTACACCGTCTCCATTTTCTGCTCCGCGGCTCTGCGCGCTTGTCTTCGTGCAAGTTTCAGAGCCAGCACCGAACCCTTCCGGGCAAACCGCTGGTTCCGCAGAAACTTTTGGTACATTCCTTTCGTTGACGCGTACCGGTGACTACGGGGCCGCTTTATTCCGTTGCGATGCGCTTTCCGTGACTGATTATGGTTTGTGTGGTTCTTTGACTTTGCCATTGAAAATCAAGTCCTAGCTTTCCAACGCTCTAACAATGCAACGTAGGAAAAAGGCCTCTATCGCAGGATCGTTCAGGACGACGGTGGCGCCGAAACAAATTCCCTAATGGCGAGGTATTCCTCTAAACCAGCGAGATGGACATTGTGGTTCAGACGGAAACCTTTCCGCCGCGGAAGGGAATTCCCTTCCGGTTAGCGTGGCGCGATCTTCGGAGTGCTGTCATCGCGCCAATGACTTCGGCTGCGAAAATAGACGGGCAGAAGGCTGGATCTATCGGGTTTCTGTATGGACGCCAGACGGGTATGATCGGCATATCACTTGGAAAAGCATCGTTTACTCTCCACGTGACTGCGGCGGCCTCCATTTGGTCAAAGCCAGCACGGTGGTATGCGAAACGCTGCGCCGTGACGGTTTACGGAGACTCTGTGGATGAGGCGTCTCCGCGGACATCACTGAGCTGCCCCCTTCCACCGGTCACCGACGTTGCCAACTTTTGGTACGACTGAAGAGCTCCATGCATGATGCGTGGAGTTAAATGCAATATCCGCTCGATACCGTACAAGACCGCCCGTTTCAAATGATTTGGTCTGCCAACCCGTCCCTTGAAACGATACGCCACGCCCACATGATCGACTGTTGACAGCAAAAACAGTCGCAGCGTGTGAAAATGACAATCGTCTCAGCTTTTGTCTCACCGTTGGCAGACCCGTATAGAACACGGTTCATCGACTGGATGCTCCTGAGGGCCGCGGGCAGGAACCGCGATCGCACGCGATCTGTGAACGAAACGATCCGAATTGCATGTTGCCTACAAAGGAAGCCGCTTGCCAGCTGGCGACAACCTTCTCGAATGGTTGAGGATGAAAACATGTTTAAGGCCCTCTTTACACCGTACAACGAGCGAACACGCCACGATGTCGCTTGGTCTCCGTATAGGAGACGCTTAAAGTGGGACTGGCACTTGCGCAACTTTCTCTACGCACTACTTCCAGCTGCCGCGATTTTCTTGTTCTGCGAGGCTGTAGAGTATAGGTATGACTTGAAAAAGTCCTTCTCTTCCGAAAGCTCGAAGAATGATAGGAAAATTAGGCATTTGCAAGATGCAGCGGCACAGTCAACAACAGAATTGAGGCATGATCGCGAGGGCTCGTTGACGCAATCAGTTCAAACTTCGCGCGCACCGTGAAGCGCTCCTAACCAGAGAAGTCTCCTTTCTAGGTACATGGACGAGCTACGAGTTTACTTGTCGTGAAGTTTGCGGGAAAGGTTTCTTGATGGAAGTTTAGCTGGGGCGGTTACAACACGATCAGCTCGCCTCCGTGCCCGGGAACCGTCTTACCTCTCGCGGTTCAACAAACGGCATAAGTTGCCTTCGCTCTGGCTCTTTCTTCGCCACTGGAAAGTGGACTCGCAATGATCGCACATGATTCGCATCATCTTGCTCGCTCGTGTGATAAGAGCCACAATATCATAGCATTGCCTATTCGTGCTGTTGTGTCTCCACGCACAGAAATAGATACTCTAGACGGACTCTGTAGAATTTCGATGCCCCGAGACATCTTTCGATAGCCAAGTCAGAGGAAATCATCATTGCGGCATATGCCTATTACGGCAGCCGGCTCCGGACATGAATTTCCGAATGAGATGCATGGACCTCGGAACATCCATGATGTCCCTGACTCCATTTGCTGGAGTCCACACTGCTTACCTGCTCGAGACACAGGCCCAGACCCTCAGTCGAAGACAAAGTGTCGTCGAACCGCACGCAAACGCAGATATCCTCCTGCATGGCGCCGGAAATTGCAGCGACGAGGCCCATATACGGATATGTCGCGAAAGCGGCTGCGAGCTACCTATGGCCGACTCCGCACCGCAGCCTCTGCATCCGCAAAAGATTAATATGGGGCACTGAACCGCTAGCTCTGTTACCATCTTTGGATTTTAATGGAACTTTGTTAGGCGTGCAGCGTCGGCATTTGAAGTGCGGCAGCAAAAGCTTACAGATTCACGCTTCGTTTTAGGATTCTCGGTCGTCTTTAGGGAGTGACCTTTTCGACATTTTGGAGCCGGAATTTGTTACGTCACTGTCTTTAAGTTGAATAACGACGCCGATGAACATGATTACGTCAAATTACCTATATCATTTACCAGTTCATACGCAGAAGCCTCCGTTCTTCCCCTTTTTTCCTGTTTAGAATGCTGAAACCATGCATTCTTCAAGTACTCGATCTCCCTGTTGTAAGTCTACTTGTGGCCGTACAAATTCGCGCCAGTGGATCGGCGATAAATAAATATCGACGTCGCCCTTTGGCAACTTTTTCACGAACTCATGCTGAAACTACGCTGAATTTCTCAACACAGTTAATCCCTTCAGTTTGAAAAGCAAATTCTCCAATCTTTGCAGACATCGAAGAAACCGCGTTCGGCAGCAGCGAGATATCTCTGGCGGGATATGCTCTCAAAGGCTCCCGACTCCTCTTCTTACATGGAGAATTTTCTTGGACTCGGACTTGATTCATCATTGCGATCGCTTGTAGTCGAGTGTACGTCACCGCTTTGCGCGAATGGAGCATTGACGGATAAACACTTCCTGACTTGTTCTCTATCCATGATTTTCTTTCCGATTTTTGTTTCATCATCAGCAATATCGCGCTCCGCAAATGCTCTACCGAATGGAACGCCATGCGGTTGCGTCTGCAGAACGGAGAGTACTCGCTAAGTGGCTCACGTACAAGACTTCCATGATAGCGGGATACGACAGCGGGCTCTAAAATCGATGGATGTATCGACAGGATCGCTCTGCGACCGTCTAGGGCATGGATCGAGCGCTGAAGCGAGCGTTCACAGGCTACAGTGTGAACCTCATTGGGGAAGGCGCGTTGCACATATAGGAACACCGTACAAAAGCCAGGTGCCACCGCTGCAGAGGACGCTCCTTGGCCGTACACAAAGATGAAAAAAAGGCAAGCGAGGCGTAGATCGCAACATCCGCCTGTGCACCAAACGCGACGACAACTACCAGAAGCTGCGAACACGGGATTTTAACGCCGCCATCAACATTTCTAGAGTTCTGAAACGGGAGCTGGAGGGTCACGGGAGACCGAAATATTTAAAGCTGCGGCTACGAGAGAGGAAAAGGCAGCCCTTGGAGAAAAGGACCGCAAAGGCTGATTTTTTCGACAGCGGGAGCATTCCCAAACATTAGTTTTTACGACCGAATTATCGGAGGCGGGCTGTTACACGCTGACTGCGAACTGGGTGTGAACGTAGCACTTTAGAAGCAGGATTCGTTGGCGGCTGTCGATGGTTCCAGAGTCGAAACTCGAACCTCCGCGCCTGGCCAGAATATTTGCATCTGAATCATTTTTAGTGAGATCTAGCTCGCCTTCACGAAGCCAGGTACTCAGAGCTAAATCATCCGCAAAGCGGCGATATTCATCCCGACAATGCTGCGCGAATCGCGTACAAAAGCTTGTGCTCGCTGCCGGAAAGTCGAAACGAATTTTCTGGTCTGGTTTCCTTCGGGACCTGCAATATGAACACAGAATTCTCGAAATCGATCCTTGATCAATTTCAAAACCGTGCGAATGAGTAACTCTCGATCACTTAGAGAGCACTGGATGAAATCTTCCGGGTGTTCCGCCGTTTCGAGGCAAATTCGAGCGAGCATCAATGCTGAGCCCATCGGTAACGCGGTGAGCGCCGCATTGTAATGCGTTGTGCGGATACTCCGCAGAAGTGGAAGCAATTCGCTGATGCGCTGTTTTTTCGCGGAGGACCCATCCAAACGAGTTTCATCCTCGAATCTCGCCATCTGCTCAATGATTCGATCTGTAGCAGCAATACTGTCCAGGGTTTTCAGAGAGTTTGGTGTGTTGTGAATGCTCCCGACGCTGGTCGCTGGCTCGTAGGCTGCTTCACTTTCATTCTCCTCTGCCTCAATGATTCCTATGTAGTCCGATTCTTGATCCTTCAGAGCGTCCGTTTCGAAGTGCTCTCGAAGAGCTCGTTCGCCTTCTTCTCCAGCAACAATCTGATCATCCAGACGATGCCAAACACGGATGCTATGGTCCGTTCCAGCGCTGACGACGATTTCCCCTCGACCGCTTGGCGCGATGCTTGTGACCGTACCGCTGCGGTGGCCCCAGCCATTTTCAGCGAGCACATTCTTGCCGTCAAGTGTGCAAATAAAACTTCGATCAGCAGCAAGATCAGCGTCCCAGTAGCGCAGACTGCCGTCCCGTCCGCCAGACCAAAAGCAGCGAGGATTACTATAGTCGAAGCGCACGCATGTGACACCATCTTCGTGGGCGCGCGAGATGCATCTAATGCAGTCGCCGAATTGCAGCCCCCAAAGTCTGATCGATTTGTCCATGGAGCCCGTAACAAGCATCTTCGAGTCACCACTAATGTCCATGGTGGTTACCGGCAACTTGTGTCCATAGAAAGAAAGTGCAAAAGAGAGTGAATCCATTCGGAACGCACGAACCGTCATATCCGTGAGCGCAACAAGGATGAGTTCCTCGTTAGGCGTGAAGCATAGCGCTGTAATTTCATTTGCAACCTCGAGTCGAGGAGCATCGTGAACGCTCCAGGTTGTTCCAGAGAAGCTCAAGCGGTGGAAACTAACAAAGCCGGCGTTGCCGCCCACTGCTATGAAATTACCCGAAGCTGATTGTGCCATCGCCCGAATGACTGGTCCTGTAGGTGCCCCATTCGCTGGCGCTATCGATTGCTTTTCCAGAATCACTCCCGATTCGCAGTCGAGAATCATGACGGCACCTTTGTTCGTTGCTACAGCTGCATACTTCCCCTCGACAAAGGAAGCTCCCGCGTCGGACGGCGGGCGCAGAAACATGACAGCAGTCACGGTTGGTCTCTTCCTTTCACCTGCATCCGGAAGCTCTATAGAGCACAGGCACTGCCCTGTGCCACTATTCCAAATTCGAATGTCCTGCGCCGCTGATAGGATCAGCGGATGGCCGACTCGAGGTAATGGAACGGATTTCATACTGGCGCTCAGAAACTGATCGAAGTCATCAGATAGGGCAAGGGCGGTGACAGGTTGCGGATGCCCGTCGCCGCCAATATACAATGCGCACTCCACTCCAGACACTCGAACGGGGGACGTTTCGAGCCTGGTCTCGCGAGTAGCATTCGTCACATTTGCTAGGCTTATCTCGCCCGAAACCTCGTTTTGTGTGTCTCCGAGAATCATGCATGCGTTTTCAACGCTCACAGCGTTATTTGCGCGATGAACGATAAACATTAAGTTTTCCATGCGATCTTTTCCGAATCTATCACCGTTTGTAATACATGCAAGTGATAAGATCTTACACTCAAACTTGGTTTGCAAGCGCAGACAGAGAAAATCCGACGCTTCCAGCTCATTGCGCATCGCATCGTCTCCGTCACCGGATTCGCCCTCGAGGCATGAATTCGCACTTGAAACATGCTCCATCGCATGTTTTTTCGCTGCCCGTTTGCGCCTTCTCTTGATATGTCGCTTGACACCACTCTCATCACGTACCTCGTAAAACTCCAAGTTTCGATCCGCATCGAAGCCGATCACAAAAGAATCATCAGGCGCCGCGCAGAGGCCCAAAAGTCGCGATCGTGCGCGGGCTCGATGCACGACGCCGATCTTCGTGAAATGCGTGCCATGCGACGGCGGGCGCCATGCGTGCGCGTCACCAGAGGCCGCTGCATTCTGCCGCCAAAGGTGAATGTCCCCGTCGTTATTTCCAGCGAGAAACAGTTTCCGCTTCGCTAGGTATACGGTGCTCCATATGGCGCTCTGTTCACAAAACAGCGCCTGAAGGCAGTCTTGCGTTTCCAGATCCACCAGTTTAATCACGGCATCCTTGCCGCTGCTCAGAAGCACTTTTCCTCGGTACAGCGCGTTACCTCGTCTGGTGCTTTGCATTGCATCGAACGTAATGTTGTCTTCGGAATTCCCAATGAAGCACAGCGAGGTCACCAGATCCGAATGAAGACCGCGAAGCTGGAGAATGCACTGTTCCGACCAAATGTCCCAGAGGCTGACATCTCCGTTTCGGCATCCGCAGGCGAGATGGGCGCTGTCTCCAGAGAAGGCGAGACAAGTCACGCCACTTCGATGCCCCTGAAGCCGCTTCGTATCGCAGAGTCTGAACACAGCGTGATCCACGCCACCTGATGCGGCTGATGGCTCCGACTGGGTAGCGTCTCCTTGGGTTTGCCCAAACGGGTACGCTGCTTTGTCGTACCAAGTACTCCTGGCTTGTCCTTCGCTCGCTTGGAGCACGTAGAGCGATATCGTACCGTCAGCATGGCCGGCAGCAATCATATACCATACAGACGACACCATTTGTGGACCCGAAGAGCGTCGTTGATCCTGGTCTGTGTGCTTAGTCAGTGACCCGAGATCCAGGGTGCAGCTGATGCACGTTACCGGAGATAGCACTGACACATTGGTCAGTCTCGCGACAAGGCGGGCACGTCGTGTCTCCCAAACGTGAACGGCCTCCACAGCGGCCACTGCAACGTACAGAAGTGGGCCACGCTTCAGACTCCGATCCTTTCGCGGTTGCGAGTCCAGGTCTGAAACGCTTTTCCGCGTACTGGATGGTGCGCATGGCAATCGGAAGAAACCTATCGTCTGGTTTCCAACGAAGTAACTACCACCCCCTCCATGTGCGCCTATGACAGTCCCGTACGGGCTAGCAACCACCCCGAGGACTTTTTCTGCCTTGAACGTGGGGTATAGACGAACCATCTTCGGCACTCGAGGTACGATGAAGAGTGCGGATCACTTCCGTCACAACAAGTCGGTCCCTACAGCGTCCCGCGGCGTGATTCTTGCGAACGCGAGAACAGTAAGACGGGTGCTAAGAATACCCTACGTGTTATCACCAAAATCCGGATTCTGCAACGCCGTCGCCCGGCACGTATTTTCGTGCCTGGATGGTTCTCGGTACGCGTTGCTAGGGTGCGCGTCAACCAAAGACATGCACGTACCGCTTCTTGAATCGAATGACGAGATTTTGTGGTAACATTAACTTTCTGAGCGTTTGGTCTCGACTGTCTCTAGACGAAGGCTACGCCCTGCTGAGAATGTGTTTCAAATCGAACCTATATATAGAGCAAAACGGAAAACCGTTCGCTACTATAGAGCATATATTTCTATTTATGTAACCCACTCGCAGACGCCTCACAGCCTTTCCCGAAAGGCGCCCTGCCATCGGCTTCAGCTTCTCTCTGTAGACTTCGAGCCTGAGAGGTTGCCCCAGAACATTCGGTCGAGTCAGCTCCGCAGGCCTCGTATTCAGCACTGCACATCGTCTGATATTGATGGCGTCGTTGAAGTCTCCGTTCAAGAACGATATGCATTTGTTGCTTTTGATGGGATTTAGCTGTTCAGGGAGTCCTAGAACTCGTGCCGTCAGTGACCCTACAGTCTAGTTTTTGTCCCGCAGGGCAAACACCTTTCCTGGTCTATCTCCCCTCTTCTTCTTCGCTCGATGGTCGGCGAGAAGAGGATTTTTCATTTTCTTTTGTCAGCCGACGACATGTACCTCCAGGATCCTTGACTTATATGACCGTACCTTTCCCTCGGATTTTTTATTTCATCAAATGAACGTTCTCCTTTATTCGCTTAGATGAGGATCTTTCCGGAGTGAGAGGCACTTGCAGAAGAAGGACGGAATGTGCCGCTGTATCACCGTGTACAGAAAGCTGCAGCGATGCGCTCGGTGAGGCGATCATAACGTTTCACGATAGAAAACACTCCATAGATGGGCTTCAACCCTGGAGCGTGTGGAGGAATGAAAAACAGCTCTACCCCGAAAGATTCTTCGAAAACTCGAACCCCAGGGGAATGGTTATACCCCACGATTTCCGATAGGGGAACGTCGCCAGACGGCAGGGAAGAGTCTTCAATGGTTGGACAAAGTGGTTGGTCCTGTTGTGCGAGCCCTCTGTGCCAGCAAAACGGCGGCCGCCAAATGAATCCACCGCAGCTAGAATAGATGATGCCCTCGTTCTCGTCGAGAGCGATCGTACATACAACGGGCTCCCTCTCCGCGAATACTCAAATATGTACCAACGTTTGGTCCGAGGCAAGTCTCATCGACTGAAAATACAAATCAACGTCTCTGTACTGCATACCGATCCCCGAGTTTCAGGAACGCTGTTATTGCGATTTAGATGGAAGATGGCCGTGCGTGAACCAGGACTCTTTTTTCGCGACTGTATCCTAGGGGTTTCAGGACCAAGCGAACAAGCTGTTGGGAAACAGAGACGCCCGTGGTGGCAACTATCGTCGCTCTTTGCTTTCCGTAAAGTGCTCAACGGGTCCTTTTCTACCATTGCCCACAAACACGGTTTGAGAATATCGGTTTTTGGCGGGCAGCGCATCTTTTTCTTTCTTCCAGTGTTCCTTAACTACCTGATAATTATATTATGATTGCCCTGAAAGAGAAATACAATCATCCCTGCACTATTCGGTGAAACATACATCCTAGGGGCAATTCGTCTCCGATCCATAGGATGCATTGCATATCGATTTCAATTTCCTTCTCTAAAAAGGAGAGGAACAGAGTTCAGCTGAATGCGATTCGGCCATGGCGCGCGAGCGACTCCAAGCATGTGCGGCGGCGGACTGCCGCGGCGAAGTAGCCGTGCGGCGGCCGCCATCCGCCGCCAATCCTCTGGACCATTCAATCCGAGTTCACTGGTGAGAGTGTGTACGTCCTGGTGATGGACGGTGCGGCTGCACCTCGGGGAGGAAGATAATTTGTGCCTTTCGAAAAGATGCCGCGTAGAACTAGTTCTGCGCAAAAAAGGGAAGGGGCTACCACACTAGAACCTGGAATGTTTACGAGAGTGGTCGACCAAGGCCAATCAGCTGGCACCGAAGCGCATTCTGGTGACGCACAAGCGGCTGAGGCACTTTTCCGACTCTCAGCCTCGCCCGCAATAGGTGCGCCGTCCTCGGTACAGGGCGCCAACGGTAAACCGTTGTTTCCCGGTTTGGCCCTGAGGAGCTCACCTTATTTTGAGTTTTATCCGCGTAACGGGACTGCCACGCCCATGTTTTCTGGGATTCTCGGGGGCAGTATCAACTCTGCCGCTCTGACACCGCAAGCACTGAACGACCAGAGCGTTTCCGGCCTTGATGCGTTGGGCGGAACTTCGCCCCGATGGCAGACTTTCTCAGGTGCTCTTCAGCAACAGTATTTCGCGCCAAATAGTCGAGACGGAGACGCAAGACGTCCGACCGGTGCGCCTCTTTCAGGAAGCTTCCACTTGTTGCAGTCGACCCGCCTGGGCAGCCTATCCCCCTGCATTCGCGACCTAACTGAAAGCGGGCCTTTCCACGGAACGAGGAATTTTAACGCGGAGAATACACCTCTTCCAGGTGCCCGCTATGCACACAGCTCGACTGCAGCAATGCTCGACGCGCTTGTAGGAGAGAGCGCATCGACGCCCGCTGGGCTCGATGACGAACCCAATAGCCGTTTTCGCTTGCACGGAGAATCGCGGGCTTCTGGGGAGATTACAGGGGCTGATACTGCGGTTCCCCATGACGGAAAACGAAATGCGGCAAGTTTGCCTATGTTCAAGAGCAGCCCCGACGAGGCAGATCAAAATTATGCTGTGCAGCTCGATATCCTGCAGCCGACATCGGAACAGCTCGCGTCGACCTTGCCGCAGAAAAGAAAACGCACGCATCTCGATTCTCACAGTCGGAAAGCAAATCCACAGGACAAAGATGACGAGCAAGACGCTATCCCGGAGAGCTCTTCATGCATTGATAGCTATCTCGAACTCATGCACGGGAAACATGCATTCCCACCAGATTCACTGCAAGAATTGTTCAATGAGCTTGTTGAAAGATATCGAAGAGCGCAGCCTCTCTGGCTGCAACCCTGGGATCAAATACGTCCTGTCGTCGAGGACCGATACAATCCAGACGGCAGCCAGATGAAAATTGTGTACATTCCCGTGCTCGTCCCTCTTGTCCAGAATCCGTCGACTCTTGAGTCAGCTCTGGTTTCGGAGGAAGAAGGCGCCAAAATGGTTCAAGCCTGTGTTCGGGAAAGCGGACTGTCGGGATCGCAGACCGTTGGGCACTGCTACTCCAGCCGGGTGGGCGCTTCGATTGGCAGCTGGCGCTCGGAGAGCGCTCTTGCTGCCGAAAACTCGGAAAGAACCTCCGAATGCGAGGATATTGCGTACGTTCCGTCACCTACAATCTACGCGCACCATCATATTCCTGCGGTACGGCCGGATATGCCCGAAGGAACTCGGAAAGAGATCGAGAAACTCTTCTCCGTGAGGGAATTCAAGCAAAAGACCAGACAGGCTGCCATTATTCGCTATCGTCAGAAGAAGAGAGAGCGGCGCTTCATCAAAATCGTGAGGTACTCTTGCCGAAAAATTTTAGCCGATAGCCGCCCTAGAATTCGCGGTCGTTTCGTGAAACAAGACCCCTTAGGGTAGTGCAAAGTTGCCCAGGAAGGATTTCTTCGGCAGTCGTCCAAACCGTTCGAATCTATCACAGCAAACCGTGCTCTGTGGACATCTGTGGGATTGGATTATCAGAAAGTGTCTACGGGACGCGCCGAATGGAATTGCCCCAGAATTTGAACAGTATCATTTTCTCGTGGCAATCTTCCGCCTGTCATCTATTGTTTTGTGGCGATCCAGAACATCTGTAGCCCAAAACATGGCTAGATGCGGCCACGCACGACGCAGCTCGAAGGCATGCAGGCCGTTTGAATACTCATCGAACAGAATACGTGAATCTGTTCGAGATAGTGATACCTGGTGTGCAGCTGTATCGCCTTGGCACCTTCCGTAATCCGCGAAATAATCTTGTTCCTGTGAGTTGCTTAAACTTATACTGTCCAACGGGACAAGGGTCGCAGCTCGGCCGCGTCCATGAGCGTCTCGAGCGTTTTGAGCGCGTACGCTACGTTTGCATCGTCACCAACATGAGGCGCGCTGGGAATCATGCGGCAGCTGCTTTTGCGGATAACCGGGAACGCACGATGCTGGATCTTGCAGTCGGGAGCATGTGGACGCTTGCCGCTGAACAGTTTCTTACTGCATTCTTTGATTATGTAATACCATGCGTTGCGGGTCGATTTATCCTTTGATCGCTGCCCGATCCTCGCCGAATAGTAAAAATACTGTTATCTCTCAAAAGTATGCAACGCCCGAACTGCATGATTGCTGCTGGAATGAACGGACAAGCGAGCGCATAGTGACCTGTCTTCGCGCTGCAACAGTGCAAGCTAAGGTTGCGTCCACCCACGCTAGATTAAAATGGAACACTGAACTGCATGATCTGTGGCTGCATTTCGATTTTTTACGAAGCTTTTTAAGATGTCTAGCCTCGATATCCGGAGTGCAGTGATGCGGGCTCACGGTTCCATGCATAGATTCAGGATTCTCGGTAGTGTTTTCGGAGTGACTCCCTCCGCTCTTTGAAGCTGGAATTCGGTACTTTATCGGAATTAAGATGATTCGTGACGCCATCGATCAGCGGTTCATAGAATAACAGATGCCAATATCGAGTCTATACGTACGAGCGTCCACGCTTCCCCTTTCGTTACGTGTAGCGTGCCCAGGTCACGCATGCTTCAAGTCTTCGATCGCTCGGTTTCACGGCAACTCATGGGCGCAGCGATCCGTGCCGTTCAACAGACGATGTGGAAGATTCGCCTTAGTCAGTTGACGACCTGTTCAGAAGCTCATGCCGGGAGTTCCCTGGACTTTTCGCACCAAATAATGAAAGGACTGTTCGGAAAACGAATCCTATGCTCTCTGTGGATATCCACGCAGAGGCATCCCATTGCAGCACGATACCTCCCGCATGATACGCTCCATGCGGCTCCACAGTCTTCCGTCTACATCGGAAGGGGTCTTGGAGTCGGGCTCGAGCCATTGCTGCGATCGTTTCGAATAGTGCATATGTCACCGGAGTGCACTAGCGGAGCGTTGAAGGATAGAAACTTCTCGTCCTCTTCTCTGTCCTGGATTCTCCTAGTGGTACTTGTTTCATCATGGTCGACATCGCGTTCCACAAAGACTCGATCGAACGTGACGCAGAGCGCTTTCGTGTGCAGCGTCCAGACTGCTCGCTGAGGGCATCGACCCAAAGAAACCCGTGATCATCGGATACGACACGAGGCGCAGAAACAAAGCATGGCATCAAGGCGAGCCACCTGTACCCGGACTGGGCATGTACCGAGCGTTACAGCAAGTGCTCAAGCGCCGCAGTAAAGTCCCCATAGGAGGAGTCTGGGTATTATTTCGTAACACTTGACCGCAGCCAAGTGTTACCGGCGCGAAGGGCTCGCCGCAACTGTGGAGAAGTAAGATGAGCATGGCAAGCGAACCGTTGATCGCCCTTGCATCTTTGCACGGAATACGTCGATGACAGCCTGAGGCAGTGAAATCGAGGCTTTCGCGACGCCGCGAACCCACTTTCACTGCTGGCAATGCAGCAATACCAAAACAGAGACGGCGTATTTAAAGCGGATAAAAGAGATCGGAATAGGAAACGGCCTCTCGTACAGGCCCGCAAAGGCTGGTGTTGATGACTGTGGAAAGAGACGCAAAATTTGGTATGTATGCCGTCTTAGGTGCTGTTTCCATGTTGGTTGGACAACAGTGTAAAAGGACACGGAGGCGAGATGCCCCTGCACCATTATGCCAGATATTGTACATATCGATCATGACGCGGCGTGCGAACACTTTATAGCATGAATTGCGCGGGCGGAGTTCGGGTTGATCTTGGCGTACAGGATGCCAGTGGCCGCTGGACATTTGATCGCGCTAGTGGTGTAATGGTAACATAATTGCCTTCCAAGCAGTTGCCCCGGGTTCGATTCCCGGCTAGCGCATCGCTTTTGACTCCTAAAACGCAAGTTGCACAAGTACGACTGAGGCAGTGCGTCTGTGACTGCATGGTTTGCACGCCCTACATGTTCACTGGCAAACTGCACCAGACCTCGAATACCGCGTTACATTCGCTGCGGCTTGGGGCAGGGCTTTTCTTTTTTGTATGTACTTTCGAAACGGTGGCACAAGTACCGAGTCCAGTCATTGCTGCACTCCGAACAGTCACCCGAAGCTATCCGGATGCTCAACGGGCATCAACGGCGCGCGACTCGAAGCAACAGAGTTGCGCACCGCCAAGACTCACCCGCATACAACGCAGCCGCTTGCTTCCAGACAATGCAGGCCTGTGCGTGACCATCTTCGTTCTGGAGACTGCCCTAGGGAAACGTTGCACCGCTGCATCCTCGAAAGTCTCGGATAAAGACAGTTACCGTGGCGACAAGCTCATTTGATATTCGCCGTGCGACCTGGCGGACCTGCTTCTCAGGCTCCTGTCTATATTCGGAGTCGAAAAAAGCACGCAGAAGTTACAACTGGTCCCCATACATTTCCGCAGCTTGGACAGCCCGAAAATTCGCCAAGATGCCTCAATATGCTGCTGGCGTTGCGCAACGCTGAACGCTCCGCAGAAAAGTCTCCTCAGATTCATTGGTTTCAAATGCAGACTATCGGTCCATGCAAACATAAACGGTTTCGCGCTCCCTACCGTGAGTAGACGCTTTGCTTGCATAGTCATTACCGATCTCTCGTGCTTCAGACCGGCTCCCGCTACAATCTGGCCTCCTGGGCCGTGTCTCCGGATCGGTGCATGTCGTCTGCGTCGCACTGGTGTTCGGGGATGCGCGGCGCCGGTAAACCGCCCGCAGGCTGCGGCAAACTCGACCCCCATCTCAAGCCCACTGTGGTCTACAGCAGAACATTGTTTTTCGGGGTTCCAGGATGATTTGCGCTAACCATAGGATTCCCGATAGCTCGATCATTTTCGACAACTGCGAGAGCATCAAACATGCCGCACTATACCATTCATTGCACCAGAAATCAATTCTGCTTCTCCCCCGATATCTTGGTCAGATCGTTCGATTCTCTCGGTGCCGAGTGCCTGTCGTGAGCGTCCACCACGAAGCCTACAACGCCTACGCGTATGCGGAACACAAACAGTACTGCTTTGACATAGACTTGTGCGCGTCGGCTGAGGCACGCACCGGCATGCTCCGTAAAATCTCTTTGCGATGATTGCCGTGTATTCTGTTTCCCTAAAGGTAAATGGTCCACTAAAATTTCAATGTCCTATGAGAACATGGTAATGGGACTTGCAGAGCATGGAAGCCTCCGGAGATAATCGTTGTACGATTTCTTGGCAACCTGCATAAACGAGGCATTCATCGCAAAGACATCGCGCTCCACAGCGCGCCCACACCATGAAACGTCGCACGCGACCCCCCGCCGCCGCCGCCGCCGCCGCCGCCGCCGCGCATCCATTCGATGCCCTGCAGCGCCTCAATCGATGTGAACTGATGTGGTACGCGGGTTTGCGAATCATAGAGGCCTAGAGCGAGAAGCAGCTTCTTGTCAGAGGGCTGCAAACAGGGTGACACAGTGTGGTTCACTCTGCGTACACTTTTACCCCATGTTCACTGCAGCCTTTAGCTTTAGTTTACCCAGGAGTGCTTATGGGAAGCTCTCCAAGTCGGGTTTGCGGGGTGCTGGTATTCACGCGAAGGGTTCTCGGACAAGTCGGCAAGTGCTCTGTGCGGGCACTGGCGATGAACCGCGCTTCGCGGGTTTAGATGAGTTCAGAAAAGACATAGAAGCTCTCGGTCTCATCACAGAGCCAGCTGACACAGACTTTGCTAGAAAGTTCGCACCTTTTCGAGGAAAACCTGTGCGCACCGTCAGCGAGACCGTGACCCGTTTCTATCGGAATCTAAAACGTCCTGTGGTATTCTATTACCAGCAGGCTGTGGACGAGATTCTGACAACTGCTCATCTCGCGCTCGTTTGTGCCATGTTTCGATACGACGTCATCTTCGCGCTCGGTTTTGTATCCGTATATCGCGATTTTTTCCGCTCGTATCCGCGACCGGACGAGCGAGAGAGCCTCTTCCGGTGCATTTGCGATGCGCTGGATCTTGACGTGGGCCAAGTCACCAAGGAAGCTGACGACGCTTTGGCATATGTGCAGGGCAAGACAGAGGCAGAGCTCATAGAGGAGATCGAGCGAGATACCGGGGAAGACAGTGCCGAAGCGCAACCAGTCATCGCAGCGCTCCGCGCATGTCGTCGGGCAGATGGTGAATATTACTACACACGGTTATTTGGTATAGGTTTGATGAAAATCATGAGTTCATGTGGAGTGGAAATCAATCTCGAATCTGTGAAAAAATGGGCCAATATGCTCAAAATCTCGTACGCACGGCTCGATCAGGATATTGGAACATATCAAATGAGTATGGAGAAGCTCACCCAAGCAGAGGTTATGTTCAAAGAACTGGAGGCACGGGAGCGCGCGCGCATTGCCGACGAGCTAGCACGAAAAGCTCAAGAGGCGGAGGAAGAGCTACGGAAAAGAGAGCAAGCCGTTTCAGGGCAAAACAAAGAAACGACCGGGTAGCCGTGCTAACCACAAAGAAAAGGTCCGAGGCTTCATTCAGGGATCTATTCAGATGCGGCCGTTGGGTAAATGTTTCCAGCCTGTAAAGCTAGGGCATCAAACACTCTCTGCATTTCGAGCGATGCACCTTCGCAACTCTTCACGCCAACACAGCACGCGGGGCGAGCGTTCAAGCGACTAGCTTGAACTCGACGCAGAAGTCGGCATAACTCAGTTGCCGAAATATCTCTGATTATGGGCACAGAGTGCTCTTCTGCTAGAGCGAGCGTTTCTTGAAGATTGGCTGCCGCACATGGCAGTATTCCATTCGAGGGCACAATAAGTAGCAAACACTGTTTCGCGCGCAACAAACGAGTGCATTCGCGAATGCCGCATACGTATCGTTTATGTGCTCGCAGCTTCCGGCTTTGGTCTCGAGCGAGGCGTGCTTGGAACTTTATAAGCTTCCGAAGCAGCTGCTTCACTGCGGTAACCGTACCCAAGCTCTGGCTATTCTCTGTGGGTAGCAGCCCAGGAAAGCGACGTTCAGGGTACGTAGTCCCAGGGGAACCTCTAGCGCTGCAAAGCGGTGCTGAGGCTTCCTCCGACCGAGCTGGAAATGGCAGCGATAAATCTTTTTCGGGCGATTGACTGTGAGAACAGCTAAAGACAAGCTTTTGCTCAGCTTTCTTGCTGTCGTTCGAGTGCAGGTAGGGTCCTGACTTTGAGAGAAAACGTGCAGCGCGCGAACGCTTCACGCTCTTCTTTCCGCGATGCCGAACAATCCAGCGTGTGTTATCCAGAGTATTTGGGTTCCGAACAGTAATCGATACACCCCGAGTCATGTCAAAACGAGTCTGCAGAGCTCGCAAATCGCAGACGAGCGTTTGCCACTGCCGTGCGCGAAGCGACTACCCGGAACCTGATAGTTTTCCAAGTCAACCGTGTTCTACGCGCAGATGGTTGTAATCAAATTCTTTATCGTGGTTTACAGCAGGCACGTTCGAAGTGCGTTGATTGTGAAGAAAGAAAAATCTAAAGGAAAGATATGGGGCTGCAAGTCGATGATGCTGAGGGCCTGGTGTCGCGGTTTCCGACGAAAAACGGAACGCAGTGCCAAGCAAAGAGGAACACGACAGGACGAAGAAGCGAAAGAAGGATGCCAGACGTCAAAAGCTGCGAGCAAGTCGACAGTACGACGAGATAGGAGCCAAAGCCCTTCTTCTACGCCGCAGCAAGGATCCCTAAAGCAAATAACGCATGAGGTCATCAAAAAAAAACGTGTCGCGTCTTACGCTATGAGTATTATAAAGGCTTCTTCAGGACTGATGCATTGTCGAAGATGTACGACAACGTGACGGAAATTCGAAGAGTCGAGGTTCCGGCAGAGTTTATCAACAGGACCTTTATTCGCCTCCTGATGGTTGGCACAGGGGAAACGCCGAGGAGAAATGAGCGAGTGCATGTCCTCCACGAAAATCACAAGGAATACCGCTTCAACGGTACTCGGCACAGGGACGGCGCGGATATCTACACATACGGGGTGAAAAGTACCTCACGAACCTGAAGAACCATTTCATAATGAGCCTCAAACGCTTCATGATACGCGCCGTCTTTGCACTCTACCCGGGTATCTCTCGCAGAGGCAGACGGGCCAGCATCGATGGCATCACGAACGACAGCAGGAGTGAACGGGAGATCGAATTCGTCCACGAGGAGACTTCAAACCGGAGTATGAATGAAGCTTCCGTGGCCCGTGCGGCTATGCAAGAGCACCGTGCGGTCTTAGGGCTTGTCAACCCAGCGGAAAAGATATCAGATATGAAAAAGGATGGAAAAGGTGCGATTCCCTCATCCTGCGTTATTTCGTGTTCCTGAACCGAGAGCGCGAACGCAAGGCCGATATGGCGCCGGCCCTAAAAAATCGAGAGTCGGACAAACGGAAGGCTTTCCTACGAGAGAAGCGCTTCAACGTTGTTTGGATTTGCGGGATCAAGTCGGATTTCGTGACCATCAACTCCAGCGTCCTCTACTGGATCATGAGGAAGATCAGTCTAGAGTTCTGTGTAAGCAACAAGGAATTCATCGGCGAGAGCCGGGAAACGTATTGGAAGAATATCCTCGATCTGAAGCGTCTCAAAACGAGCATGCGAGGGGTATCCGCGGGGATCGTCGAAACCGATAGGGTATCCATAGGTGTTCACTGACGGCGCCTGAGGACGGATCGCCCGGTTCCATCTTCGTTGTCACCCGTGACGGAGCATGAAGGAAAGAAGAAGGCGGATCCTGCGACGCCGGCGGTGCAGGAGAACGACCGTGTCGTTGGCACGGACCGCGGAAATACGAATACCATAATCATCGCAGTACCCAAGCCTGGGGAAGATGGTATTGACGGCAACTTATGCGAGAAAGACACGCGACTTTTGGAGTTCGCGAGAGCGAGCTATGACCGAGAATCCGGTATAATGAATGCCAGGAAGAAAATTGAGACATGGAATGCAGGAGTCAAGGAAGAGCTGGAAGCGATCAGCCAGGTGCGTATCCGCGGAGCGGACTTTCGAGATTTTCGGGAGCTCGTGAAAATTCGCGTTGCTCATTACGAGGATCTGTGCAAGGGGTTTCCAAAGTACCGGCTTGGTGGGCTCGTCACCACACGAACTTGTACTGTGGGGAGCAGTGTCTATTCGCGAGCTTTTCCAACCAGTTGGGCGCCCTCAAGGAAGACGATAGTCAAAGGCTCGTAACAGCGTGTGAAGCAGAGCGCTGGGCGCCAAAACAAAAGGAGTGTACGCCCGCTCCGTCGCCACGAGCGTACAAGGAGTACGCACGGCGTTTTGTTACGATACATGTAGATAAGTTCCGAACTTCATGCATACAATACGAGTTGGGGTGTCCGCTCCAGAGGGACGAGATGGAAAAGTGCCATTGACGCTCTGAGGATATGGAAAAGTACGGACCGCTGACGGAAGAGCGAATGGAAAGGAGGGCGAAAGTTCGAGGACTAGTCGCATTCGTAAGTAGAAACAGAGGCGAGAAAGGTGTGGAGTGTGCGAACCGAGACTTTAATGCCGCTATGTATATCAGGAGATGCGCAGTGCCGGAGAAGAGACCCGAGCAGCTGACACGAGCCATCATCGTTTGGCAACCTCTCAAAATCGAAGTATACAGCGAGCACCTGAAACCGATTGAAGGGTCAGGTCGAGAAAGGCGGGTAAGAGTATGCGGGTGCGGACTAATTTACCGTATATGATCTTGGGATATTCTTTTCCACTGAACTGGAAAAATCATAGGCATGGCCCGCAAAGACAACCTACGGAACCGGAAACTTGCACGTATTCTACAGTGCTCATATGTCCTTCAAAATGCCGCAGGGCTGCACTTGGCTACGGATTGAGGCATGAGTGCTAGTCTTTCTATGCACGGGATCTGCTGGATGCATTGGGAACTGCAGAACGGCTTTATAGCGAGCACGAGGTCGCCTCGGACAGAGTTCTTAAACAGTGTGCTTTCCCGCAGCTCGGGACGACGCTTGCAGCTGTGTTGAGCGCCTGGAAACATCGTTTGGCAGAGCCGCGGAGCACAGGGCTATGAGTCTCGCAAACTTGACCCATCATTGAGCCAAGAGTTTATTTACAAGCGTGACTACCCGAGCTAGAGCCTGTGCGCCCAACGTGACCAGAGCAGGCTTCGTTTCTGTATGAGACGCCCACGTATTACGTCGCTCACACCTTGGGTGCACCAGGGAAGACATCCGCCGCTCACTACACTCAGTATTGATAGGTGCAGAGTTCATTTTTAGAGCCTCTGTCGAGTCCAGCGTTTTTTGAGGGGAAAGTGCTTGACACTGGAGAGAGCTGGACCGTCTTCGCGTGTAGAAGACGATGCATCCTCCAAGATTTACCAGATTTCGCAAAAAAAGTGCGTAAGAGCTCCGATAGGGTGTACAGTTGTCTTTGCAGAGTCCGGAATCAGCACATGCTGCCAAGCTTAACGCAGCTGACAGCATTCTTCTGCGGTGCCGTACAGGCAGTCTCCTCGTGTGTAATTCCAACAGAGCGGGGTAACGATACGAGGCTTTTCGCCATCAAAGATAGCTACATAGGGAATTTTTCAGAAATACTCATACAATGCGAGTAGATGCAAAGTAACCAGGAGTTCCTGCCGAAAAAATGCGCTGCATATTTCCGCAGAATCTGTGACTTTTTCGAAAGTGTGAAGGCAAGTTTCAGACATGTGCCTGCCTAGTTGCCCGAACCGGTGAACAGACCAGTCCATTACAATGTTGCTCCGGTGAAGCAACTTCCGCACTCATCATGCATCTTGGATGCGAAGCGCGAATCCATCGCGGCCTATTACAATCCGTGAGATACCCGCTCCGAACTCGATGTACTTGGCGTACCTACTGCGGAGCTCCTGAAGAGTTTCTATTGCGGAAAGTGCGCCGCCACTGTCAGAGTCGGCCTTTCGAGGTTTTGAACCGCTGGTATAGGCCATGCGTTTCGGGTTCTCTCTGCCGTTTTTCGTGGCGATAGGGGCATTTGTCAGGTTTCTTGAAGCGACTTCAACTTTGTTGGTTCCAGGTTTCGAATTGCTGTGCATTGAAACCGCTTCCATGGGTGCTCCCTGCTTGGGCAAGAATTTCGATCCATTTTTGCTCTTGTCGCGAGCCGACCTACTTTGCCTCTGGACGACACATGCGGGGCAGGCTACGCCACGCCGATGATAGTGGGCATCTGGTGAACGGGGCTTCCGTATTTTGACACCATTTGGGTTGCATACCCTGCAGAGGACGTTGCGGCGATGGACATGTTTGAGCTCTGGCATACTAAGTGGCCGTGTCATGTGCTTCGGTGGTTTTCGAGGTGCAGTAGAGGCGTCAGTTCTGTGCTCTGGCTTGGGTGACATCCACAACGGACCACTGGCCAGACGGCGTGAACGTCTACCGGCGCGAGGAGCGGTTTCTATTTGTCGCTCATGTCCGTCAGCGCCACGCCCGCCTCGGATACGTATTCTTGGGACTGCACCGCGGCTCTTTTCGCTGCCGAGCTCTGGTGCAGGAGATCCAGAGTGATCCTCGTCGGAGGAGCTGCCCTTGGATTGGGCGTCCTCTGTTTGAAAGAAGCCATCGAGACTGTTCTCTGCGTCCGAGAGCTCGAGTAGGTCGAAAGAGAGCTCCGGCGGTGGTTTCCGAAGGTACACTTTTGTCACCGCTGGATTCGTGACAAGGGCGCCCTCTTCGATCCAATATTGCACAATGTCGCTTGACCATACGGGCTTATGTGCTCCGTTGGGAAACTTTGTGTATCGCTTTGTGAGGATTTCCAAAGTTGTTGGCGCCTGTTCGTTGTCCGAGATCAAAACCATAGCTTGCTCCGGCTTTTCCACGACTTTGCCACCGTGCTTCTTCCATAGCAGGAGCACCTCGCCGGGGGTGCCCTTCTCTGCCCAAAGCCGAACTTTAGCAAAGAGCGGCTGTTTTCCTGCGTCCATTGAGCTCACTGTTGAAGCTGGCAACAGCCGGGGCGCGCACGAAAACGTTCTTGGATTTTGGCGCGCGGGATAGCGCTTGCACTCCGTGCAACCTCTGCGGATATCGCTAGCCATCGAGGAGCATGCCCCTTTCAGAATAAAACGCAGGTTTTTGCATCAGTCGAGAGTATAAACTTAAGTTTGCGTCTCTTACCATAGTCATCAAAACCAGCTCTGCGGAATTTTTCTACAAATGCTTGCTTCTCCTTTGTCTTATCGATGGCTTTTAATACCTAGTTCGCTTCTCTCCAGCCAGCTCCATGGTTTGGAGTTGAGCACTGTTGGTGGCGGCGTCTGAGTCCCGATTTCACTGCCTCAGGCTGTCATCGACGTATTCCGTGCAAAGATGCAAGGGCGATCAACGGTTCGCTTGCCATGCTCATCTTACTTCTCCACAGCTGCGGCGAGCCCTTCGCGCCGGTAACACTTGGCTGCGGTCAAGTGTTACGAAATAATACCCAGACTCCTCCTATGGGGACTTTACTGCGGCGCTTGAGCACTTGCTGTAACGCTCGGTACATGCCCAGTCCGGGTACAGGTGGCTCGCCTTGATGCCATGCTTTGTTTCTGCGCCTCGTGTCGTATCCGATGATCACGGGTTTCTTTGGGTCGATGCCCTCAGCGAGCAGTCTGGACGCTGCACTCGAAAGCGCTCTGCGTCACGTTCGATCGAGTCTTTGTGGAACGCGATGTCGACCATGATGAAACAAGTACCACTAGGAGAATCCAGGACAGAGAAGAGGACGAGAAGTTTCTATCCTTCAACGCTCCGCTAGTGCACTCCGGTGACATATGCACTATTCGAAACGATCGCAGCAATGGCTCGAGCCCGACTCCAAGACCCCTTCCGATGTAGACGGAAGACTGTGGAGCCGCATGGAGCGTATCATGCGGGAGGTATCGTGCTGCAATGGGATGCCTCTGCGTGGATATCCACAGAGAGCATAGGATTCGTTTTCCGAACAGTCCTTTCATCATTTGGTGCGAAAAGTCCAGGGAACTCCCGGCATGAGCTTCTGAACAGGTCGTCAACTGACTAAGGCGAATCTTCCACATCGTCTGTTGAACGGCACGGATCGCTGCGCCCATGAGTTGCCGTGAAACCGAGCGATCGAAGACTTGAAGCATGCGTGACCTGGGCACGCTACACGTAACGAAAGGGGAAGCGTGGACGCTCGTACGTATAGACTCGATATTGGCATCTGTTATTCTATGAACCGCTGATCGATGGCGTCACGAATCATCTTAATTCCGATAAAGTACCGAATTCCAGCTTCAAAGAGCGGAGGGAGTCACTCCGAAAACACTACCGAGAATCCTGAATCTATGCATGGAACCGTGAGCCCGCATCACTGCACTCCGGATATCGAGGCTAGACATCTTAAAAAGCTTCGTAAAAAATCGAAATGCAGCCACAGATCATGCAGTTCAGTGTTCCATGTTAATCTGACACATTGGCGTAGCGTTGAACCACAATTGGCATTCGCTTTCAGTGCATGGCATCAGTGGTTGCCAAAAGATTAGCAAGAAGCGCCGATGACCCTATCCGGGCTCCGCTGCATGGTCGAAAACAGCAGGATATTCGGGGTCTCAGCATCGTGTCTTCTTCGGTTCTTCAAGCTTCATCAACCTTGAAACAAAGTTTCCCCTAGCTGGACAATTTAGATGTCCGGTTGCAACGGGTTCGCGCTAGGTTCCGCTGCGGCCATGCGAGTGCCTCCACGAGCGACAATGCGCTCTCGTTGCGGAAAATCCCAAGCAGCGGACTTGCGAAATTTCGCGCCTTGAATGAGCCCGGATAACGATGATCTCGTCTCAGTTTCATGATGAAGCGTGTATTCTCGCCGAAGCGAAGGCTCGCGGCACCTCCAGTACGTCGCGGTAGCTGGTTGAGCTCCATTGATGGGCGCGGGTGCGCGGCTCCTTCAGAAACTCCAGCGATCCGATTCTTTCAATAGAGCGTATCTCGACCGGACAGCTTTTAAGAGAGTCTTGTGATTTCGGGGCCTTGAGCGGTATCTCGCACCGCAAAGCCATACAATCTCAACTGTTCCCTCAACTTGTCTGCCATAGCAAAATCCCTTCGGGCACGGGCATCTGCTCGAAGTCGCGCAAGTTCGAGGACTTCGGGTGGGATTCCGGTCGAACTTGGTTCACTGGTTTCAGACAAATGCGCGAGCTCCGGTTCGTAGAATACACCAAAAACGCGGTCCATTTCACGAAGCATTCCGAGAATCAGACTCGCGTCTGCGGGGCGTAATCGCGCATCGCGGCGGAGCGCTTCGAAATGCCGCAGCGCTTCGAAGATCACCGCTGCAGCACGAGCTGTGTTCAGATCATCCGCCATGTGGTCGCAAAAATCACGCAGGTATGCTTCACAGCTCGCTCGCAGTCCTTGATCAGCCTTTTGACCCGGTGTGCTTGCTTCTGATCGTTCCAAGTCAATGATGCTCTTTCGGAACAGATCCAGTCGGCGAAGTGTCGTTGCCGCTGCTCCCAGAGTATCGTCAGTGAAATTCAGCGGCATTCGGTACAAGGATGTGATAACGGCGTAGCGGAACGCACGAGCATCCAGCGGATCGCGGACCAGATCACGCAAAGTGATATAGTTCCCCAGGCTCTTGCTCATTTTCTCCCCATTGATATTCACGAATCCGTTATGGATCCAGAATCGAGCGAACATCGTTCCGGTTACCGCTTCGCATTGTGCGATTTCGTTTTCATGATGCGGAAACACCAGATCTGAGCCTCCGGCATGGATATCGACGCTCGAGCCTAGATACTTCATTGCCATTGCTGCACATTCCGTGTGCCAGCCGGGCCGACCGCACCCAATAGGCGTATCCCATTTGACATCACCGTCATCCGGCTTGTGACCTTTCCAGAGAACAAAATCTCGTGGATCTCGTTTCAAAGCAGTGTGTGGGCCTGCATCCTCTTCTTCACCGTTTGAAGACAACAAGCTCTCAAAATTTATTCGCGCCAGCGTGCCGTATCGGGCAAATCTCTCAACCGAATAGTACACAGAGTCGCCTAGTTTGTATGCGAAGCCTCGCGAAAGGAGCTCCCTCACCAGATCAGCCATATCATCAATGTGCGCTGTTGCACAGGGATACGCATCTGCTGGAATGATGTTGAGGGCCTTGAGATCCTGGAAAAATTCCGCAGCGAATTGTCGAGTGATATCCTCCGCGCGACGCTGTTCCCGCTGAGACCTCTGGATGATTTTGTCGTCGACATCTGTTATATTCATGACATGACGTACCTTGTACCCACAAAACATTAGCCAGCGCTTGACGAGATCATATGTGAGAAAGGCACGAAAGTTGCCAATGTGCGCATAGTCGTAAACTGTCGGTCCGCACGAGTAGAAGCGAACGACGCCGTCCGCCGAGCTCGTCTCGAAAGGCTCCTTGCGCCTACTCAGTGTGTTGTAAAAGACTGTCCGTGCCCGTGCATACCACGCAAGATCATTCTCGGCACATCGGAGGCGCCCATGGGATCTGGAGCTGGAACCGCGTCGCTGCATTGTAACCTGTTTGCAGACTCTCCGTTTCGGTACGAACTCGACTTTCCCAGTAAAATTCGCGGCGCTTCTAAAGCCAAACCGAGGTCTATCCTGCCAAACGCTCCACAAAACTAGGTTTGTGTGCATAGTGTAGCGTAAACTAGTCTCTTGGCTAACGCCACCCCGGAGCGACAAAAAGCAAGGGAAGCGGAAGCGGACAGCTTTCAGCTACCAGTGCAGTATGAGCTCCCCATCGCGGCGGCCGCGCCTGCGCACCTCCGCTCCTGCAGTTGTTCGGGTACTGGACCAGATTGTCGGGCCAAGCACTTTGTGGTGACCCTGCTCGCAGTTGTCGCCGATCAGGGCCCCAATCGATAAAAGCATGTGCGTTTGCATGTGCATCTTGTAGAGTAAGAGCTACGTAACTTGAGTTCTGAGGAATAACTGGAAAACACGACTGGCAGCAGGACAGCCTAGAAGGTTCGGTAGAGGAGTTTAACTGTGGTGCGCGCAGCTCCTTGGTTTGGACGGCTTTATGGTCGTTGCATTTCGGTTTGCAAGACCAGCAGGAGAGTTGTATGTGCCGGTTGCTGCACGCTCGTTCAACGCTTAACAGATTTCGGGTGACTTGTTCAGGTGCGCAGTGTGGAACGGGTTCGTTCGGGTCGGGGTGTTGACAAACGCGCAACTCGCGGCGTCACGAAGCGGAAAACTTTCTGGTGTCTGTGTGTAGGTTGCGGCAGATCTTGACAAGCATGATGTACGGGCGTAATCCTGTGCGTTTCGAAGGCGAGCCTCGTTTGGCTTTCGGCGTTTCGGCTCGATTCGGAGACAGGCAACAGGACAGGCGTTGGCGAGCGCTGCTCGGAAGCCTGCCCCAAGGAGGTCTGTCTGTTTCTGAGACTGCCATGAAGGCGCACATCTGGCAGCGAACAGACAACCTGGAGGTGCGTGAAGCGACAGGGGCAGGTGCATTCGTCGATCACGGTAATCAGTGCTTGACAGAAACTGTTTCTTTTCCGAGTTCGGAACGAGAGCTCTCTTTCGAGGACACTACCTGAAGAACAAGCTTACCTGGACCAAGCTGTGATCACACAGCAGCCGAGAAGTACGCCGTTAGATCTGCGCAACCTTTTGTGACGCTCTCCCCGGTGCCGATATCATTCTCGCAATCGGGAATCGCTGGCCCTTGTAAACGGTCTTACACTCCAGTAAAACATCCTTTACGAAAACTGTGCAAAATAGCTCCAGCGCAGTACGCGTGTGCCCAGGGTAACTTGAAAGTCTGCTGGGCGTTCGCAAGTAGCGCGCCTTTTGCGCTGACTGCGGTTCTTCTGAAAGGGGTAAGCTTTGCCATAGTACGATATAAATTTACGCTATGTGATTTTTCATTCCGAGACGAACCTGTTTCCCCGATGCCTCCAGAAATCCGAAGACGGCCCATGATGCTCTATGATGCATCTACGACAGCTACTTTTTTCTGTTCTTCGGTGCCTGGAGACACTGGGCTCTCCGCAATGGAATCTAGACAATTCATTCTCTTTTTCTTCATGACCTGCCGATTCAGGCACACGCGGCGGTCAAAGTCTTTGAGCGCAGCTACGAGTCCCTCGTCCATGCTTAGAGACCGACGCACTGTAAGAGTTCGACAGACAATGCCCGGAGAGGCTGCGCGATCCGCAGCGGCAACGTGCTGGTCTGCCGAACTCGTAAGTTCCACGTGCCTCACAGATGAGCTCATTCCGTTCACCGTTAACTCGGAATCCATGGAGCGCGAGCGCGGCATTGAGGAGGAAACCAAATCCGTGATCACGAGTCCCTCCATATGCGACATCGAACGAGATAGCCGCTCCGGCGCTCTTGGATCAAGTCCACAGCCGCCATGCAGCTGTACGCGATGGTTTGGAGGCTGTTTTGGATACACGGGCGGATGCGAAAATCCATTCAAACGCGATTTGTGAATATTACTCGAGGAATAGAAATGCGGGATTCTCTCGTGAAGGCATCCATCTCGATGTAAAGAGTTCCTCATGTGGTGCCGCAAAAATTGGATATTGGCATGTTTGGCCTGAACGGACAGACTCAGACCACTATCCACGGAATAGGAACGCACCAGGCTCGGAGCCATTACCTGGTGCGCTCCATAACGGAGCGCTCTGAGGTCGCCACGGACCAGGACCCCAGAGCGCGAAGGCTCCCTACCAAGCAGCGTCGTACTACTGCTCTTCAACCCTGGGTCAGAAGCATCGACTGAGTTTTGAAACACGTTTTGTTCCGCCCTAGACGGAAGAGCAACATGGTCCCGTTCGCGTTCATCCGAGGCAGCACCGTCTGAGTCTGTCGAGTCCGGCGAGCTTGAACGCCTACTGGTCTGCTTCCACGGCTTCGGCCTACCTTGATCCTTCCACGTTTGAATCACAAGTGACGTCACTGGAGGTCTCATGGTGTCTCCCTCTCCAGAAACAGTGTTCCTAGGATTTACGAACACGACACGCCAAGGCTGTCAGTTCAACGTTACTGCCTTCGCACCAAACCGCTTCAAATGGGTTGCTTTTCACGGGCAAGCGAAAGCTCTACAGAGACATTTTACCCGCTAGAGCTAATAACTTCATGATGGAACAATCATGTTCAAAAGCGCATACAAACATTCCAAGCTTTCGAACTGAAGCTACACAAGTATTGTTTCGCGCGCCCGGAACGGAAACGATAGCCGTTTCGCGACGTGTACACGTGTACATCGCACAGCGGCACGTCGTTACCGCACCGCCGCCGCTATCGGAAACGTACCGACACGTCGCGCTTTCCCACCTTTCACCCCAATTGTGTTCCACCCCAGGGAGCGCGTAATCGAACGCTGTTTCGCGATGAACAGCAGACGCATTCCTGCCTGCCCTGTGCTTCTTCGTTACTTGCTCTTCTTCGCTCGATAGTCGGCAAGAAGGGCATGTCTCTTTCCTTGTCCGGCAGCTGGCGATCAAGGCCTCCCATGATGCCCGGCTTCCATGTCCTTGCCTCTCTCGTGGAGTTTTTTCTTTGATCATAGACGCACGTCGAACACTTCTGCTAGAAACCGCGAAAAAGCGTCGGATTCCATTCACCTGGAGATGGAATACAATTGAGCTTAAAGCCTATAGGATGGTTATGGCAAGCTCGACACCCGGAGGGTAGCTTGATTCTGCTATGATCTTCGAATGGGGGTGCGGATGTTGGTTGCAGGTGGACCTCGGAGATCTCGTGCGAACTGCGGAAGGTTTTCCTAAATGTAGATAATCATCGCTTAGTCGGTATCCCGTTGTTCGTGTAAATAAGGTTACATCCTACATACGTAAAATCATGCGTGAGTAGGAGTATGATCCAGGTACTCTTCCATGAAACAGGTGCGGGTCTGTAACAGGGCGCAGAGCGTTCAACATCGCCGTGGTGTACAAGCACCCGCGCTCATTCGTTCGGAAGGATGTCGCTGGTTCGCCGTGCTGTTTGTAAAGATACTGCCCGCGGGCTTCGTCTGCACCCCAACTCCAGTATGCTGGTTGCGTAGACCACGAGCACTTTTCCCTTATTTTCCTGGTGCGCAATATCCATCTCATGACTTAGTTGGAATGACGGATACAACTATACTGTTCAGTATTCGTGGACGATCTCAAGAGGAAGAGAAGAGGCCTCAGTCAGTCCACGGATGCTTCGACGCTTCGGGATATCCAGCGCAGCATTCGACTTCGAAACTTGGCATGATGAATCCGGAGATGCTCCATGCGCCGAACGATCGCAGGCGCTTACTGCACGGCCGGATGCGTCGTCGCAAACGCCATGGAGAGATGCCAACGCTTCTCGGAGCCTCTGTGCACGCTGGCTTTATGTAAGCGCTCAAGAAGCTTGAGTCTGGAGCCCGTCTAGTCGTGGCGTCTTCTAATGCTGGCCCTACTGGAGAACGGGCATCGCGAGCAAACGCGCCAGACGCTGGTTCGAACCGCGCGCGTGCCCATGGAGAACGGTTGAGGACGTAACGTTTCACAGCATCGGTGTTCGACTCACTCGAGGGGCAGAGTTTGCGGCGCCCTCGGGCAACGAATTTGCAAATTGATTTTCCGACTCACGGCATCCGAATCGATCGAGAGGACGAAGGAGTTGTAGCATAAGAGAATGAAGAGCGGCCAGCTGTCCTTCGCTCCGTTGTGCTGCTTTTGTGGTAGCACTGGAAAGCGCAACTGCTCTAGAGTAAGACCGGGCGAGTCCTGCGCGCGCGGGACAGGGTCGCCGCCTCAGTTGCTCAGATGGAGGATACAGGCGCGCACGGGCGCTAAGAAAACAAAAAATGCAGGTAGGTGTAGCGTTGCCTTTTTCAGGAACAACAGTAGCGTTGAATCAGTTTTATTTAAGCCGCGACGCAGATGTCGGTCAGTTCCGCTGTATCATAGACATAAAAGCCATGATACTTTTTCAGAGAGAAAACTGCTATATTCGCCATGCTCGAAAATGAACTGTTCCACTAGAAAAGGACCCATGCGGGCAGCAGTTCGCGAAATGCTCAGCGTCGTCTGCATGTGATACGCATCGTCTTCCAAAGGCCGGAGTCATCGAGCGCTGCAGTCCGTGTGCCTGGCCGAGAGCGCAGTATCAGGCTGAGCAGTGAATTTTTCGGCACACATGCACCAGCACGCACTGTTTTGCCTTTTGGTTGTTTGCTCCATAGGTACTCAAACATATTGCGTTTTGTGGGTTGGAGAAACATCACGGAAAGATTTGATGCTGTGAATTTTAGTCTGCGAAGAACGACCATACTTTGAGTCAGTCATTCAACGGTCAGCAAGTGGACGAATCACCCGTCTCGTAGACAATATTCGGAACGTTGTGCGTCCAGACCAAAGTCGATCAAACGCTATCAGCTCGAACCTAGCCCCGTCAATCTTTTCCACCCTCTATGTCGTCCATGAAAGGCTATCAAACAACCCACGCAACATGAACTTTCCATACTGCTGATACGAACGGTGACGAAGAAACACGGACGAACAAAGAGGAACGCACACTTCTAGGCGAGACCGTCGCGTGCCTCACAACACACACCCGATCGATCTCGCACTGGAATACGAACGCTCACTACACGAGAGGCGGGTATTCGTCTCATTCGGTGAGACCCTATTCAGGAAGAATAGTGGACGTGTATATGGCATCTCCAAGAAGGGCAAATCACTGGTCATAGAGAAGAGACAATCGAGCATTCCGAGATTCGTAACGCGTATAGGTATTCATTTGTAGAGTCGCCAACGGCTCGTAAAACGGACAGGGTCATTGAAACCCCATGCTTCGTGAGACGCAATGCTTGGAGCATCTCGTTCGGCAATTCCCTTCTCCTGCTCTTGGACAGAGCCGCTATCCGTCACTCAGAAGCAGTCGAGGAACACGCGGTTGAAATCGGCGTTGAGTTGCTCTGCTTACCAACCCGTTCGAATGGTTCAGTCTGTCGAAGGCGTCGTCTCCGTTTCCATAAGTCACTTCCACACATAAGAATCACTAGTTGCTTGTCTCGTATATGTGAATCTGTTCTCCAACCAGTCGTTCTCGAACTCAAACCAGCCCCGGATGACTGTTGCTTCTCTGCTCGTCCGCTGGATGGAGCAGAGCGACGGCTCCTTTACATGGGCTTGCTCACGGAGGAGACGGTGCCCAAAGGTACTTGAAGTGTAGTCGACTCTTACATAAATAAGTTGGGCGAGTTCCTGTCATGGTATCCACCTCGCGCGTCTAGATCCCTTGGAAGAAAAGACTGGTATAGAGCATAGTGACCACATGCATGCCAACAGGTCAAGTAGAGGAGAAGAAGAAAGAGTTGTCCTTCGTGAGCAAGTACAAAGCATGGGCAAAAGTTTGCGACGAGCACTGGCGGATATTGCTGAAGATTCCCCGTTTACAGGGACGGAATGGACAGAGGCTCATAGAGCTGATGAAGGACGATGGAGAATATCAACCAGCTTTTGTTTTGAAACCCAAGCCTGTGTCGGGTAACGAGACTCATTTTCAGCCGTTCAAGGTATATAAAGAGAAAAAAGTCGTCATAAACGTTTATCACGGTTTCAAGGGCTTCGTGGCCGTCGCCGTCCCGTTAAATCAAGAGGACGCAGTCGAAGAACGCGAACGGAAAGCGAACGCATCCGTTCAACTTTTCGAAAGCTAGGTTGGACCCGGCGCCAGGCATGATGCACCTCAGGAAGCATACGAACAACTGGGATGACCGCGTCAAAACCAGTATCGTTGCTCTGGTCACCATAGTGAGCAAAGCGGAATGCTTTGTGCGCTTGGCGAGCACGTGAGTCTTCGAATGACTCGCGCTGGGGCCGCCAGCGGTTGCCGTCCAGCGAACGCAAGAAACGTGCATTCCCCGATTCATTTTTATGAGCTGGAATATGAAATGACTGCAAGTCGTGTCGTTTCTTTGGTGCTCTGTGGCGCTAGACGTTCCACAGCGCGCAATCGCGACATTCCTGCTCACTCGACGAGATCGTACAACGAGACCAGGCATCGGTCGTGTTCGACTCCGATCGATGCGTTCAGGACGACATAGATGCATCACGAGCACTGGTGCGCGTTGAAACTGGCAGAGACGAAGAGTATGAAGCAGAGCCGGATGCACGAGATGGTGCAGATTAAGATGACCGCTCGTACGATGGCGGCGCAGTCAAAGGTGAGCGGCCAACGATTTCGTGATTCCACCCGCAACAATGCACACAAGCACTCCCGCACCGAGAGTCGAGCGCCTCGGTCGAAATCCGGAAATGTCTCGTGCACCAGAAGCCTCTAGCAGTTTTGTTTCTGGCAAACATGCGAGGGCATCGTTTAGTTCTCAGTGCATGCGTTGTGCTGAAACGTTGAAGAATGTCGATGGAAAGAATCCGTTTCCAAGAGATATGGCACTAGTGTGACACGCGGCAGCAATCCAGCATGATTCGTGCGCTTCACATACACAGGGAAGGCTTTTCATGTGCAGTTGGGGTACGATAATGGTGTTCCGTGATTCGGTATTACTGAGTATTGACACTGCTTTTAAGCAGCCGAGCAAAATCTTCCCATTGGACGCGACCATCGCCGTCTTCATCGAGCATACGGATCATTTCATCGGCCTCGTCCTCGGAGAGCTTTTCACCTAAAGTAACCATAAAGTAGCGCAAGTCACTGGTGCTGATGGTGCCGTCCCCGTCGCGGTCAAACACACGAAACGCTTGTCTCAGTGCCTCCTCAGTCTCAGCTGGATCCTTCGCGTGCTGTGTCATTAGCGCGAGGAACTCTTCAAAGTTTACAGAACCTGCAGTTCATAGGGACGAACACATGGGTTTTTTGAACTCCACCAGGCCCCTTGGTTAGTTTCTGCTTGACGGAAAAAAGCAAGGTTTCTCGTACACGCGTCAATAAATCCCGTCTGCTTTGAAGACCGCTCTTGTACCCTGACACTTACCTTTACCATCCGAGTCCGCCTCGGCTATGAGAGCCTGGATCTCAGCCTCAGTTGGAGTCTGTCCGAGCGAGCGAAGCACTGAGCCAAGCTCGCTCGCTGAGATGAGGCCATCACCGTCGCGATCGAACAGGTTGAATGCTTCTTGGAACTCCTCCCGATCCTCATCAGTAAATTCCTTCCGTCGGCTGCCTGACATGGTCGAAGTGCTCGCCATACTCAAAACGTTCAGTAAGCAACCGTTGTACGTACTACTTGAACGAGCGATCGAAAGCGAGACGAGTGGGCGCGAGTCGCGCGCTGACGAATACACGCAGCTCCTGCGGGCGAAGCGCAGAACATCTTTGGTGGTGTCTTCATTGGGCAGGATGGCACGTAAAGAACAAAAGTTCCTACGCCTGAGCCTCCATGGAGACAACCACAGCGTTTCATGGAGTCATCCTCAAGGTCCAGCAATGCGATGCGGAGCGAATTCACCAGTGTCGCTCCGCTGCGGAGCTTGCGAATGTCTCGGGATTTTGCCGAGAGCGTCGAACTCCATGAGGTATCCGCTGGCCCATTTCACGGAATGTTCAAAGCCGGAACCCTACGAGCATCTCTTTGGAACGCTTTTTTGTGGAAATAGGATCTTTTCCATTGTAAAATTCCTGTCGTGACAGTTCGAACGAAAGTAGGAACGAAACCACGAGGTCGTCGTAAGACTGCGTGAAAGGCGGCGACATTTGATCTGTGTTTCGAGCCTCGAAAAAAGGTGTTTGATAGTGCGCACGCGCATTCCGTGTTGAAGGCAGATGTTTGCGGAAATGTGGGAAAATACGTCGGCACAAACAGACGTGTTCGCGTATGAGCTGCGCATACGCGTCTCTGTACTCAGCATGGGAGGATCGCGAGTACCCGAGTTGGGCACGCTTTCATAGACCCGGATGGGTCACGTGAAATTCAGGTGCCAGGAGCACAGCGGCTAACTGTCCGCCGTTTTTCTGATCATCCGGTGCGAGAGGAAAACCGGGACAAGCACTAGAACACACTCGATTTCCAAAACAGTTTCCCTGCGAATGCGTGAACGGCACTCCGAGCCAGCCCCGTCTGGTCTCAATCGTTTCTGGTTCAGCGTCGATGAAGCTAGCTGCGTAATCCAGAAACACCGCTCAAGCGGTCGATCGAGGTGTGAACCTCGCCACTTCCGCGAACGCTCAGATTTCCACTCCGCCCGGAGCATAGCAGACTTGCGTCCAAAGCAGCATGCCTGTTGGTTCAGAGAGTGCGCCCGGACATTTTCACTGTCATTTCATAGAAGCGCTCGCTCCCTGCTCGATAACTAGAGAAAATCAAGGGGTCGATCTCGAGTTCTCATCTGAACCTTTGCACCCAGTCGGTACTCGATGGCTCACCGCACGCGTGGTTTCACGCTTCAAATCTGGTTGCTCAGTCGACAACAGCCGGAGGAAAACAAAGGCGGGTATCTAGAGTTCTCATCTGAATCTTTACACTATTCGGTACTCGATAGCTCTTTGTAGGGGTCGTTCTTTGACTAAAACCAAACCGATCGTACTACAAGGCCGCATCTCTCATGCGGACACTCTCGACGTAACAGTGCTCTCTCGGTTTTGGTTCAAGACTGCAGTCGTAGCTGTCTCCGGTGCTCAAGGTACCGTGAGACCTCGTCAGAAGAGAGCGCGCGTTTCTGGGACGCCCTTCAGCCTCCATTCCCTTTCTCATCCCGAAACACACCGTAGAGCGAACGAAAGCGCGAGGTCCGCTTTGTGTGGGAGAATCCGATGTTGACATCTGCATGGAGTGAGAACGTGTTGACGTTCTTCGGTGGACTCGCGTGTTTGTTATGGCTTCCATTTCCAGGAAATGGGGTACTGCTTCCATGTGCCGGTGTCGTCCGCGAAATTGCGCTCTGCTCACGACTGCACTGCCCGAGGAGCCACAGCGAATACGACACCGCGTGCAAACGAACCAATATAGGTCGCATCGCGGTCATGGAGCTTTCCTGTACCTGATTTCTAGATTGTTACCCAACCCGAAAGCGTTTGCTTTTCATTGACAAGGGGCGATTCGGTTCTACCGCTTGTAACACGCTCCAGTAGAGCGATGTCACGAACTTGCCGCAGTACCCGGAACCTGCCTCAGGCTCTGCTCTCTGCTCAAACACAGCACGCGTTACTCCTGGTGACATGCACCCGTCCATGAAAGCAGTCTTGGACAAGTAATGCCATGTCAGGTCCGGGTGATGGCCGAGGAACGGAAATCGGCCGCATCGCTATTCACGCGGTGAAGTGGAGCGCAGCGCGGCGTCCTTCTGCACAAGCGGAGTCGCGGGCGCCTCTGCTGCGTCTGGAAGCACGCTCGCGCCCCGGACTAGTACGATGATGCACATGATGCTCGCTAGGTGATATGACCTCGCCGGGCCTGCGCCTCAGTCATCAACCGCTGATCATCGAACATGAACGAAGAAGTGGACTGTCGGTCGTCTCGGATAGAGGAGCAATCAACTCCATGCATCATATTCTTAAGACGGTGATTCTCGAGGTAAAGTGCGCGATTCTTTCGCTCTGCTTGGAGATAAAGCATCTTCCACCGCTGAGACTCGGCATTCGCCACGCTGAGTAGTTCTTCCGAGCGCTGTATTCGCAGACGAAGCTCCGACTCATCCTCACGTCCAGCAGACGAACTCTGGGAACTATCCGGCAAACTAGGTACGGCGTCCGTCCCTCCCAATCCAGCGTGTTCAAATGCTTCCGCTGACGGCAAGAGTTTGTGTAATTCGATGGCAAGGCTTTCCAGCCTCTCAAGCTGAATTTTCTCCGGAATGTGTTTCTCTGCGATGGCGATCACGTTCTTGATAGCGCGCAAGGAGATAACGAGTGCGTTGTAATGGTGCAATAGAAAGCCGCAAACATGTTGCATGACCGAATAGTGATGTTCATCTTCGAGTGCCTTTGCGTGAACGAACAGTTTCTCTGTCACGCGTTTGAACTCTTCCTCGTGCTCCGCAAGCTTGGCCACGAGCTTCACCTGTGCTTCCATAGAAGGAACCCGCTTCGCTTTCTCCGATGCCAGAGCTCTTTGTGCCTGAATGTACCTTCGCTTACATCGTTTGTAGAGCGACTTGAGCCGTCGCAACTCATCGTACCGCTCTTTAAACTGACGGCCCTCGAGGATAATCGGGGCCGAAATACGTTCTGCGAACACAGCCTGTGCCTGGTGCGCAGCGCGCTCTGCTCGGCCGAGCTGCGCTAGCACGCGACGTTCGTCGCTCCGGTACAGATAGAAGGATCCCGCTCCTGTGCTCCGGTCACTGGCATCCGCCGTGCTAAGCGAGCTTATACTCCTGGTTCGAAACGAACCTTGCGCCTGCGCCAGCCGCAAGTCTGACTCTCCCGCGACAGCGCCGCCAGGGAAGCTTCGAAAGCTAGCTATGGACATGTACGTTTCTCCGGCTGCACGTCCCACGGATGAAAGGTCCCGCAGCGACGTGTCATATAGCTTGGCCTGCTTGATAATCATATCGTTCACATCCTTGTACTGCTTGCAGCGCTGAATGAGGCGATTGAGCTCCTCGTCGTAGCTGGCGTCCGCCGCAAACGAAGTTACGTTCTGGAACGCCCCCCGAACTTTGGCGAAGAAGGCACTCATAAGCGGTGATGACCACCCGTTTAAAATCCCAATCTCATCGAGATTTACAGGAACGACCGGTCCAAACTCTTAAACTCGACTAGAGGAACACCGGCAGCAACGACTCTCTTCCAGGCGGCAAACGCTGCGCTTCTGGTGTGCAGTGGTGGCGGGCAGCGCGCCGCCCGGCCGTAGGCTGGATGTCCACGCACCGGCGTGCAGACGCCTACCCGTTTTCCTTGACTGGCCACCTACTGCTGGTTTCAACGTATTCGCGTGCAATTTCACCTCGGGGCGGAGGGGGAATAGGGGTGCCCCACAAAGTTGGCCCTCGTCGACTCCTCGGGTCTCTTCTCCGGCACTGCGCATCTCCTGATATACACAGCGGCATTAAAGTCTCGGTTCGCACACTCCACACCTTTCTCGCCTCTGTTTCTACTTACGAATGCGACTAGTCCTCGAACTTTCGCCCTCCTTTCCATTCGCTCTTCCGTCAGCGGTCCGTACTTTTCTATATCCTCAGAGCGTCGATGGCACTTTTCCATCTCGTCCCTCTGGAGCGGACACCCCAACTCGTATTGTATGTATGAAGTTCGGAACTCATCTACATGTATCGTAACAAAACGCCGTGCGTACTCCTTGTACGCTCGTGGCGACGGAGCGGGCGTACACTCCTTTTGTTTTGGCGCCCAGCGCTCTGCTTCACACGCTGTTACGAGCCTTTGACTATCGTCTTCCTTGAGGGCGCCCAGCTGGTTGGAAAAGCTCGCGAATAGACACTGCTCCCCACAGTACAAGTTCGTGTGGTGACGAGCCCACCAAGCCGGTACTTTGCAAACCCCTTGCACAGATCCTCGCAATGAGCAACGCGAATTTTCACGAGCTCCCGAAAATCTCGAAAGTCCGCTCCGCGGATAGGCACCTGGCTGATCGCTTCCAGCTCTTCCTTGACTCCTGCATTCCATGTCTCAATTTTCTTCCTGGCATTCATTATACCGGATTCTCGGTCATAGCTCGCTCTCGCGAACTCCAAAAGTCGCGTGTCTTTCTCGCATAAGTTGCCGTCAATACCATCTTCCCCAGGCTTGGGTACTGCGATGATTATGGTATTCGTATTTCCGCGGTCCGTGCCAACGACACGGTCGTTCTCCTGCACCGCCGGCGTCGCAGGATCCGCCTCCTTCTTTCCTTCATGCTCCGTCACGGGTGACAACGAAGATGGAACCGGGCGATCCGCCCTCAAGCGCCGTCAGTGAACACCTATGGATACCCTATCGGTTTCGACGATCCCCGCGGATACCCCTCGCATGCTCGTTTTGAGACGCTTCAGATCGAGGATATTCTTCCAATACGTTTCCCGGCTCTCGCCGATGAATTCCTTGTTGCTTACACAGAACTCTATACTGATCTTCCTCATGATCCAGTAGAGGACGCTGGAGTTGATGGTCACGAAATCCGACTTGATCCCGCAAATCCGAACAACGTTGAAGCGCCTCTCTCGTAGGAAAGCCTTCCGTTTGTCCGACTCTCGATTTTTTAGGGCCGGCGCCATATCGGCCTTGCGTTCGCGCTCTCGGTTCAGGGACACGAAATAACGCAGGATGAGGGAATCGCACCTTTTCCATCCTTTTTCATATCTGATATCTTTTCCGCTGGGTTGACAAGCCCTAAGACCGCACGGTGCTCTTGCATAGCCGCACGGGCCACGGAAGCTTCATTCATACTCCGGTTTGAAGTCTCCTCGTGGACGAATTCGATCTCCCGTTCACTCCTGCTGTCGTTCGTGATGCCATCGATGCTGGCCCGTCTGCCTCTGCGAGAGATACCCGGGTAGAGTGCAAAGACGGCGCGTATCACGAAGCGTTTGAGGCTCATTATGAAATGGTTCTTCAGGTTCGTGAGGTACTTTTCACACCGTATGTGTAGATATCCGCGCCGTCCCTGTGCCGAGTACCGTTGAAGCGGTATTCCTTGTGATTTTCGTGGAGGACATGCTCTCGCTCATTTCTCCTCGGCGTTTCCCCTGTGCCAACCATCAGGAGGCGAATAAAGGTCCTGTTGATAAACTCTGCCGGAACCTCGACTCTTCGAATTTCCGTCACGTTGTCGTACATCTTCGACAATGCATCAGTCCTGAAGAAGCCTTTATAATACTCATAGCGTAAGACGCGACACGTTTTTTTGATGACCTCATGCGTTATTTGCTTTAGGGATCCTTGCTGCGGCGTAGAAGAAGGGCTTTGGCTCCTATCTCGTCGTACTGTCGACTTGCTCGCAGCTTTTGACGTCTGGCATCCTTCTTTCGCTTCTTCGTCCTGTCGTGTTCCTCTTTGCTTGGCACTGCGTTCCGTTTCTTTCCGACAGCCGGAGAAAACGGCCCGCCGGGATCCTCTACTTTCCTTTCTATATCTTTCCTTCTTTAATTTTTTGAAAAAGAAGACTCTTTGAAAGCTTCTAATATACACCGCGAAAAATCACTTGAATACACTCCCCTGAGAATTGAAATAGAATTGAATTGAAAGACTATAATTCGCTATGATTTTAACCCAAATATAACTTGTACATTAGAGCAACACGGTATTGATCAGAAACGTGTTTCCCTTCAACGGCGAGATGCGCGTCGTGCCTCGTGACGGCCAGATCTCCCAGATGCGAGTATCAACCGCACTATTTAGAACAAAGAACAGAGAATCACTATGATCCACTTACGAGATTACAATTCCTTCTCTCCCTCTGTGATAAACATTAAAAGGGGGAAAAGGATTCTATGTTGTCGAAAGTTTTTCTTCTAGGTGAACAGTGCAGCGCGCCGGACGAGTTTGCCGGGCTGGTGCTCGGTGTGCCTCGAAACTGGCTGGTGCTTTAGAGAGATCTGCGTAGCTCGTCCGCAACGCAGTCTGTTCTGGGACTAGGGGCAATCAGGCTGCGTCTGGACGTCGCACTAGTGGCAGTGGACTCCTAGTATATCGCTTCGCGCTGCCACAGGCAGAATGCTGTCTGCGCAGCTTGCAGACTCCCAGAATGATAATTTGCCGTGACTCCCTGTCAATAAATGTAGCATTCCTCGATTCGACGCCGTCAGTAGTATGAAGAATCCGCTCTGTCTTCGCGCTGTATCCTTACCAGGGATATAAGCGCTATTGCTGGTGCATCAAGGCAGATACTCGGCACACAACAGAACGTACGAAACGACCAGTGCATCCGAAAGGAAGTATAAGCAATGGAACTTGGCCGTGGATGCATCATCGTGGAGACTTTCCCCAGAGCCATTGCCCATCGCGCAATCTGGGATCCATGGCCCCTGGAAACGAATTTTGTGATCGAAGTAAAATCACGCCCGCGCTGCTGCTGTCGATGCATGGCAGGGTCAGGGCGGCGTGCATTCGTACAGCGTGCCATATGTGACGCGCTGGATACCGCAAGGGTTCCAGATACCAGGGGAGCGTTTATAGTTTCTACCTAAATGCTTCTACGTTTTTGTGGCCTCCACATAGGGCTTGCTTTTGGTATCGATGCTTGATTGGGTCCAAAGAACGAACAGGCGCCGGGCGTGCCGTGTCCCTTGTTTTGAGATAGCACGGGTTTTAGAACCTTTAGAGGTATCAGCGTTACCCAAATATGGACGATGCTTTGAGATACGACTGCTTTTCAGTACCTCCACGCGTATCGATTCGAAATACTGCAAGCGAATTGGCGACTGTGCGGAACCATAAAGAAAGATTAGAATCTCTCAGACACTAGGAAAAAGCGCTTGAAGAATCCCCATACAGGAAGCGAACTGGGTCCGATAGCGCCCCATTATCTAACTGCCCAAAAACGTAAGGTGCTTCCTCAAACGCAAAGCTCCGAACGGTGCAAGCTATAGCCTTGAACGCAGAGGAAAAGGTCGTCAGAAATTCCTGCACCACTGTCAATCGTCGACGCTTATCGTAACGACCAGCGAGCCACGGGGGTATCTCACTGACCTGGGAGAAGAGTATCTGGGCGTGGCTTCGATGGAGGCGGGTAGAGCCCAGCATCTCCACCGGTACCTCCTGTGCCTTGCGCCCATACCAGGAGCCAATGATCACTCGACCCGTGGCGCGGACTAGTTCCAGCGCAACATTGAGCCCCGCCGTCGTTCCAGACACCTCCAGCACAATATCGAAGCGAGTTTCTGATGACGATGATGATGATAAGTACGCCTGAACCTGGTCGGGTGCCAGCGTTTGGCAACGTGTGACTGACGCTTCTTTCAGCGCAACAGCAAGCTGCGCCCGTCGTTTTGCATCTGGCTCCACCACGAGCCATGTGCTCAGTGGGAAAAGCAGAGCTCCGCCTACCGCCAACACAGAGCCGTAGAGTCCAGCACCGACCACTGCAACCCGGTCGCCGAGCACCGGGGCAGCGTCCTGTAGCCAGCACGTCACCGTCTCGCTGACGGGAATCAGCTGGGGAACAGCGAGCACTAGCTCCCGAGTGGCCCCGTTCCAGTCGTCTGCGAAAAAAAGGACGTCACTGGCTTTCACAATGTGCTCCTCGGCGTGCCCAGCGAGGAGAAAAACAACGCTACCGACCCAGCGCTCGCGGTCCAACCCAGACCCAACAGCGACCACCTCTCCCCAGAGGCAGTAGCCAAACGTCGTTGGGTACAAGCTACGATGCTCCCGCCGTCCCGCATCTGGGTCTTTGTACGCCGCTATGGTCGCGTCCAGCGCATCGTCCGCCACAATCTGACCCCTGTACAACAAGAGTTCCGTGCCCGCGCTGACGCCCGAGCACAACGCTCTGACGCGAACCTCGTCTGGCTCCAGAGGGCGACTCAGCGACCCATCCGGAACAACTGCAAGTTGTCGTGGACCCAGAAAAAGTAGCTTTTTGGGACAATCGCCCGGCACCGGGACGCTGCCACCACAGCCACCCGCTGGTTTGCTCATACCAAACAGTGACCGCAGCGTTTGCGCCGGCGCCCTGGACGAAGCTGCCGCCCACCTCGTTGGCGAATGGTAGGGCAGACACCCTGTCGACGGCGCCCTGTTTTACCAGAAAACATACTCGCATTGGAACCCATTCCCATCGAGTGTATGTATATGTGTTTGTGTCTGTTCGTATGAGTGCTCCCCGGTGGAGTCCGCGGCATGCCATGAGGCTCGGCAGGACGACGACGTTGCGTTGCATCGCCTTCGCTCAAGAGAAGCTCGCTCGCGTCGCTCCACCCGTGCATCAATAGACGTTGCATCTGCACGTGCGCTGGAGTCTACGACATTCGCTCATATCAGTAGCTGAACCTGGAACACTGAACTGCTTGCTCTGGTCCTGCATGGCGATTTTTTTACGAAATTCTTTCCACGTAAAACGACGACATGCAACGTGCAAAAATTAAGGCTGAGAGATTCATAACTAATTTTGAGCGTTCCGAGGGTGTTCTCGGAGTCACTCCTTTGACGATTTGCTGCTGGGATTCGTCACGTCATCCGGATTAGCTCGATTTTCAACGCCTCTGAACAACGGTTTCTTGAATCACCGGTGCCATGATCGACTGCGTACGAATGAGTCATCAAGCATCACATTTCCTCACAACTAGCATGGTCAAATCAATGCATGTTGATGTTCTCCGTCCTTCTGTTTCAAGGCAATTCGTGGGCGCTGGAATTCGCGCCGACGGATTCACGTCAAAAAAGGAAACGGCGTCGTGGCATGGCGACTCTTTTTTACCTACACCTGCCGAACGTTCACTCGACTTGGGACTTTCAATAACCGATTCCGTTTGAAAGGCAAATTCTGCGCGCTTTGCGGACATCGACGATACGGCATTCGACAGCTGTTTGGTACAGCTCATGGGATGTGCTGGCAGAGGCGGCGGCCTCATCTGTGTGCGTGGTAAACGTTCTCGGACTTGCATCATCGCAAAGATCGCTTCTCATGGAAAATGCGACAGCGCTTTCGACGAAGTGAGCGTTGACGGATCGAAAAAAGTTGTCTGGATCACGAGTATAGATTTTGCTTACGGTAATTGTTTCATCATGGTGAACATCGCATTGCACAAACCGCCTATCGGATGGAACAGCGTGCGCGTGTCGGCATGCAGCGCCGTCAATCGCCCAGAAGAAGCCCCTGATCATAAGTTATGGCACCGGGCACGAAAACGGAACAAGGTATCGAAACGAGCCGACAGTATCGTCATGGGGATGTACCGAGCGATGAGGCGAGTATTCACGAGCGATAGGTCGGCGCTCTGAGAAGCAGCTGCTGTGCACGGATCGGAAGCAACACGTGACCACAGCCAGTGATCATGGATGCGAAGGGCGCAACGAGACTGTATGCGCAGGACATGGAGATGGCAAGCGAGGTGTCGATCGCGACCCCCGCCTATGCATGACAGGTTTCAGCGTCAGCCAGGGCCTGCAAAATCAGCACCTCAGCCGCTACCGTCTTCCGGCCACTGCTGACAACGGAGCCGGCTGTGCACCAGACACCCGCGTATGTAGAGCCAGTTACGAGCGACACGAAAAGAAATCAGTCTCAGATATATTCCGCAAAGGCTTCTGTTTCAAGTCACAAAGAATCGACCCAAACTTCAGTCTCCGCACCGCAGGTCGCAGCGGGATCCGTTCGAGTTAGCATTGATTTGATCGTTCCACGCATGACACTGCAAATCGCAGTGCGATTGCGCGCATCTCGCTCCGCGGAGCAGCAGGCCACCAGGTACGCACCTTTGGTACCTGTTGGTTACAGCGCCCTACACCCATTTGTTGGCGAAAGATCGCGAGCTCCACAGCGGCCACAGCGTGCGCACAATGCGGCCCAGCCGCACCAGCGGCGTACGGGCGTGCGCGCGCACCCGAACGGTCGCTTGGACTCGCGTGCCTACGACGCCCGCCTGCCAACTGGGGTATCTTCCGGTGGGCAATGGAACAGGAGGCATTCTCCTGTCCCATTTGTTATGTAGACGAGGTGCCCGAGGACGACCAACTGGTCTTACCCGAGTGCGGCCACCGGTTCTGTGCGCTGTGCCTCATCGCCTGGGCAGCGGTGCGCCCGACATGTCCGCTGTGCAAGGGCGCTTTTGAGGCAGCACTGGTGCGTCGGCTGTTGGACGGTACACCTCTCGCGCCGGGACGCTGGCAACTGGAACCTTTACCACTGCTTCGACGAGCGCCGTGGCTGGTACAACGCTACGGGCTCGCAGCGCACGGCGGGTACGCAGGGTGCCGTGGAGACGCCCTGACGTCGTCAGCATCAGCGTCAGCATCAGCAGCTACTGCTTCGTGGTTCGCTGCGGAAGCGCCAGGTGCAACGAGTGCTACCGCCACCGCTGCCGCCGCTATTGGCGTCGCCGTCAACGACGATGAAGACGACGGGGAAGAGGCTCGCGAGCAAGCCTTCTGGGAACAGGAAGCCTACGAGGCCGAGTTGCAAGCGAATCGGTTTCTGTTCGGAAACCGCCGCTTTGGAGCCGGCGGGTACATTCGTGGAGAGCGGCTTTACGGACGGCCAGTGCGACCGCACCGTCGAATGGGGCGCAAGCAGCGGTCGGTTTCATGACAGCCGACCGAGAGTGCGCCGGCTTCTCGTCAAGGTCACGCAGCGTAGTGCTTCCACTATGTGAATGCGACATCCATTCGGGTCTCTATACCGTCCACGGAGCGTTGCGACAGAGCCAGCGCCGACTTGCGCTCAACGGCCGCAGCTGGTGCCGCAGCATCCGCCACGAATGCAACGGGCTGGTTCTCTTTGTCGACGGGGGCATCCGCGGCGCCGGCCGACTTGAGGGCAACAGCGCCTGGATCCAGCGCGACACTGTAACTTGTATGATGAATCTTGTAAATGCCCACGAGACGGCTGGCTAGTTCGAACATGTCGTTTCGCAGTGATATGATGAAGAACTGGGCGTCACGGGCACGTTCCCGAATGTAATGTGCAACAATACTGACGTTCTTAAAGTCCAGGGCAGCATCAATTTCATCCATGACGTAGAAAGGGGTTGGTTTGTAGTGATGCAGGGCAAAGACCAGCGCTAGGCTGGAGAGCGTCTTCTCGCCTCCGGAGAGGTTGGCGATGTTTTTCCAAGTCTTTTTGGGCGGTCGTACCGTGAACGCGATCCCCTCGGAAAACGGATCCAGCGAGTCGATAAGCTCCAGCTCGGCGTCTCCCCCGAGGGTGATCATTTGATACATTTCCTTCAGCTTTGTGGCGATGATGGCGAAGCCAGCCATGAAGCTCTCCAGTCGCCTTTTTCGGAGGTCATCAAGATCGCGCCGCCGTGCGTCTCGACGCTCCGTGAGGGCATCGAGCTCAGCCATTCGCGAGCGGTACTCGTCCTCTTTCTTCTGGTACTCTTCAATAGCGCTGAGGTTGGGTTTCAGCTCCGCGAGGCTCCGCTCCAGAGCGGCAATTTCCAGACGCAATCGCTCGGCGGGGTCGATGGATGCCTCAGCGCTAGCCGCAGACGAGCCAGCGTTTCTCCGACCTCGACGCCCTCGTCGCTGCGTCTGCTTCTCTGCTGTGCCAGACTCTGAGCTAGCGTCCGTGATGCGCGGCTCGCCGTTGCGGGTTGCATCGCCCTGGTCATCATCATCATTACGATGATCATCATCATCATCATCGTCGTCGTCGTCGTTGTCATCGTCGTCATCGTTGTCGTCGTTGCTGGCAGAATCTCGAACAAACAACAGGGGCATGCTTTCCTCAAGCTCCAGCATGGACTTGCGAGCCGCGTCCGCCTGGCTGCGATGCTCCTGAATCTGCGACTGTAGCGCTTGGAGCTCCCTAGCAAGCTTCTCGAGGCGATTCGTTAGGTCAAGCTCGTGGCGACGCCAGCCCTGCAGCGCATGCTGATGCTTCGTGAGCTCCGCCTCTATTTCCTGGAGATCCTTTTGCAGCGCTTTCTTTTGCGCCTCGTGCTCTTGCTGCGCTTGCAAAACAGTCGCTGCTTGTTGCTCGAGTTCGCACAGCTCCGCATCCCGCTGCTGACGTTGCTCTTCGAGTTTTTGTCGCTCTAGATGAGCACGTCGAATTGCCTCGGAAGATTTCTCCAGCGTTTTCTCATTCGACTCAAGGGCGATTTCAAGCTTGCGTATCTCGTCTGCGATAGCCTGCAGCGCATCTTGCAGTTTCTTGACTGCATCGCGGGACTGGACCAACCGCTCGCCGCCGATAGCCAAAATGCGCTCCTGCTGTTCACGAATGAGCGCTTCAAGCGCACTGGCAGCGGCGTCATGCTCCGCGCATTCACGCTCAAGATGCGGTATGCTTGCCTGCAGCTCAACGAGCTCACGTGCCTCATCCACCTCGAGTACAGCTTGACTGCTCCGCGTATTCAAGGATTTCATTCGATTCTTAGCATCCTGGAGTCTCTGTTCGAGACAGGATTTCTCCAGGCGGGCGCGCTCTAATTCCTGATTCGCCGACCGCGCCTGTTCGAGAAGGCTATCTCGCTCGCGTTCGCAAGCCGTGAGCGTTTCCAGGGCCTTTGCAGCGCATTCCTCCGCTTTCGCGAGCGCCTCTGCCGACGGAGGTGCCGCCTGAATGGCATTTCCACCACATGTCCGCGACTGCTTCACGTTTGAACGCGAAGTGCCACGCCCCGAGGCTGCGCTGCTGCTGCTGCTGCCGCCGCCGCCGCCGCCGCACATTGTTCCGGATGTTTCAATCAGCTGACCCGACAAAGTGACGACCCTGTTCCGCCGAGTTGGCTGGAACGCGATTCGTGTCGCTTGCTCCAGATCTCGAGCAACCAACGTGTTTCTGAGCACGAAATAGAACGGCAGCCGGCCGGCGGCGTTCGAGATGTCCAGCAAGTCGAATAGGCGTGGGACACCCTCCGGAGCAGGAAACTTGCTCTGCTCGATTTGTGACTGCAGGTAACGAATTTTCTCCAAGATAATGAAGGTAGCGCGCCCCATCTTGTTTTCACGGAGCATTTCAATGCACGCCTGGGCATCGTCGACGTTCTCGACGACCAGATGATCGAGAGCTGACCCAGCGGCGGCCTCTAACGCAGCGACAAATGCGTCCGGAACAGTGCCCAGGTCACCGAGACGGCCAATGAACCCACGAATACTGCCTCGCTGTGACGCTTTCCACAGCGCCTCGAGCATTCGGTTTCGACCGCTGCTGGCGGCATGCGACGCATTTGCTTCCTCGTTCTGGCGTCGGAGACGACTGAGCTGCTGTCGAGCTTCTTCCTCAGCTTTCCGCGCGTTTTCGAGCCGAACTTGTGCATCGCGAAGTGCTCGTGTTTTCGCGTCAGCTGTGGGTTCAATTTCGCTTGCAATGCGCGAACCAAGCTCGCTGAGCTCCTTTTCCAGCGTCTGAATGAGCTTTTCCGTGTCTACGCGGTCCTGCTCGGGCGCAGCCTGCTTTGCGACCAGCAACTGTAAGCGCTGCTGGGCTACGGAGAGTCGCTGGTGTGCAGCATCCGCTTTTTCGCGGAGAGGTAGCAATTCCGTCTGTTTGCGCTCCATATCTGACCGTAAATCAGTCGTTTCGGTTCGGAGGGAATCATAGACGCGTTGCAAGGCCGCCTCCGCGTTCGCAAGCTCCGTTTCTAGTTTGGGCTGTTCCTGCTGGAGCTCACCCAGCCGAGCCCGAGACGCCCGTTGGGCCTGTTCCAGCTCCGCATGCCGACGCTCTTCGTTGCGAATGTTGGTGGCAGCCTTCTTCTCGCGCTCAGCTAAATGCTTGAAGTCTTCGCGAACACGCACGTCGCGGCGCTCGAGCTCAGCAAACGCCTCCTTAGCCGCCTCAAAAGCTTTCGCCACCTCGGTGTGCGCCTGTTTCGTCTGATCCCGTCGCTCGACCAGATGCTGCACAGCTTTTTCCGCCGCTGAGAACTCGTCGCGCTCCGTCTCGAGCTGCTTCTTAGCAAGATTATACTGCGCCTCGTCAGCGGCCTTCGCCTCTTCTAGCTTTTTGGCGTCAAGTTCATGCAGTTGCAGCCGTTTCTCATAGATGTCGTGCTCCAACACGAGATACTGCTCTGCTTCAAACTTGGCTTCCTCGAGCGCTTCGCGCTCCTTATCGACAGCCTTCAGGCGATTCAAGCGTACGGTGCGTTCTTCGGTGAGTGTTTCGAGCTCTTGAATGGCCTCCTCAATGGGTGCAACCAGCTTGTTCGACCCGATGATGTCTTCGAGGTACTCCAAGAGACCCGTATCGTGCGGGTTCACAGCCTTCGGCTTCATAAGGGATATTTGCTCGACCTCCCCTTGAAGAATGAGAAAACGATTGTTGTCCAAATCGATGCCCTTGCTGCGAAGAAACTGTTGGAGCTCCGTGTAGGTGATGCTCTCATCATTCAACAAGTACGCAGAAGTGTTGTTGCGCGCCGCTGTTCGCGTGACGGTGAAGCCGCTTCCGGGAACCACCTCATCTGGTTCGTTTTCACTCGCGTACTCTTTATCAATGATCTGAACGAACTCTATGGTGACGGTCGCGCTAGCCGCATCCGGGTAGGCCTCGGAGCGGTGGATCAGCTCGCTTACGCGGTTGGAGCGCATTTGCTTCGCACGCTTCCCGAACACGAACAAGATAGCGTCGATGACGTTGGATTTCCCGCTTCCATTGGGACCGACGGTAGCGTTGAACTGTCGATGCAGGGGACCGATACAGACGTGACCTCCGTATGACTTGAAGTTTTCCAGCTTGATGTAACGAATGACGAGGCGCTGCTTCTTTGTCTCCTCACAGGGCGACTCTGTGGGGTGCGTCCCTTCGTCCTGAGCAGAAAAGCTATCGCTTTTTTCGGTGCTCATTCGTTCAGAAGCCTAAATTTTAGAAATCGGCTGCAAACTGAAGGTTTTCGCGAACAGACCACCGGCACCCGTGGAAAGGCGAGACTGCGCGAAGAGGCGCTGTATCGCCGCCTCAACGCACTGGCGTGTTTCGTGGCCGCCCGCGCCGAGGGATTTGAAAATCAGAACGGTTCGACGGGCTATGTCTATGATGTACATATTTAGAACGAATAGTACAGTCTGCGATTCTGGTACCACGGCACCGTACTGATTTCCGTGTGCTTTTCTCACAGCTCTCCAGCAAAAGCAATGAATTCGGCAGATAGGGGATCTGTTGCGGGGAGACTGTGTGCTGTCACTGATAGCTAGCGAATACCGAGCTTAGCGCTACTAGTCAGTCATCGTATGGAAGGCAGGTGGATGAACCCCCTTTGTCGTTGTCGTTCACCTGGGCAGCGTGCACCCTAAACAGAACTTATCTACCTAAAGCTATACCCGGGGTTCCATCTCAACCCATTCCAGTTCATATCTTCTCTACGAATATTACCAAAGAAACCGTCGGGTACGAGGGTTTCGGACCGCTGAAGTGACCTCTGATGCAGCGACGCGAGTGCGCGTGGAAGAAAAGCACGCCTCTATTCGAGAGCGCTGCGCGTTGAACAGCAAACGAACGTTTCCATACGGAAACGCTAACACTTACGACAGGAGCGACGGGTGTTCGTAACGAGAAGACATGCGAAAACGACAACAGGATCAGCTCTAGAAGCGATTCAATCATGTGTTCGCCTAACTATCGACAAACGGGAAGAATCGTTCAACACCTCATCCTTCGTCGGAGGAATTCATGCTCCTCCGTCTCACGCACCTATGTCCTGCTCAGAGAAACCGTCGTTCTTCCTGGCTCGTAAGCGATCAAGTAGTACGCAGCAGATACATGCGTTGATCTGCTCTTTGTGCCAGCTGAATATCCCTGGTTCCATCCAGACGGCCGATTCTTGTATGTTTTCAAACGCTTTCTCTATGCTCACGGATCCATAGATGAGTCGTTCGCATTCAGAGAACCGTTGAATGCAGAACGGCATCAGGAATCATGTGACTTTTCGACGACGTCGCGCTTAGCCTCTCTCGCCTTCTCACACATCGTCATGCAGCTGTTCATACGTTATCCAGACGCAGGGCTTCCCGCTGTCCCTTTTCCTCTCGTACATAGGTCTATAGATCAAACCCTCATGCCGAGACGCAAATAATGCTCTGAACAGAAGATGAAGTACGGCCTGCTCGTAGGGTCAGAGATTCGCAGACACACGCTTCTCTGCATACCTCGACGCGTCCGCGATCGGGGTATCTACAGCACCGATACCGACATTTTATCAAGCAAAAATCAAATTATACGCTGGTCAATATCGAGCGCCTCGTGAGGCACTCCTCATGAGCGTTGTAGGTTCACCTTACTGAACCAGAAAATCTGGGACTGATGGAGGGTAGTCATCTGATGTCGATGGTGGCAAAATGACGACCAATTGCCGGAAGAGATCGAAACGGTAGCGAGCTCGGAAGAGGCATGGCAACGAGAGCGAGCGCCGCTTGAAATCACTCGAGCTCATGTCGTTTCTCTCTGCCTCGGACCGAAGAACATCGTATCTGACGCAGTGTTGGGAGGTGATGGCTGCTTTCCTCGCATCTTGCGTTTCTTCGTGCTCCTGGACGGCGCCGTCCAGCGCAAACAAGGCTCGCTGCCCGCATCAGAGCGCCCCGGCCTTCTCAAGCGTCTATTCATTGTGGTTTGCACGTGTCACATCATGGCCTATTCTATTACAGTTGGAACGTGTGTACTATATGACCACGTCAGTGATCTACGGGTGGCACTCGCGCGCACCTTCGAAGCATTCGAACGACCTCTCGAAGAGCAGTGGCGGTTCTCGCCGATGGTTCTGTGTTCACAGAGATGGAATGGAATAAAGTTTACCCAGACATTGGAGGTCAACGGAATATCTGTCTCCATGCACTTTGTTAAATCGAGGCCTGCGTCAAGCAATGAGACTCGTTTTTCTACGGTCCCAGGCCGACAATGAGAACGACTTCGCGGTGGACGTGGATCCCGGATTGATGGGCGTCATGACCGTCGACGCACCTCTCTAGCAAAAGGGGATGAGCCAGTTGCCTGAATGGAAATTAGATGGCACTGGTCGACTTTTCCGGGGCCAGGTGATTGCAAGCGTCGATCATGATAGGCGTCGAGAGGTATATCGAACAGTAGAGGGACGGCGTCAGGACCCATGTCGACGCTCTGAGCACCGCACCGAAAAGCGGCGGATGCACTCTGTGCTTCATTTTCACCGTGGATCAGCGTCCAAATCGCTCGTGCGGGCGACAGTTGGCAGGTTGATCCGGGATTGTGCAGGCATTGCCAATGATCTCTGTCGTATACAAGCAAGGCGCGCTCATTCGCCAACTTCAATGTGTTGGGGAAGCAAATGACAGACACGGAGCGTTGCTCGATGCTCGTAGCCTATGGTGCTGGGTGTGCTTTAGCGCTTAGGGGCTGCACTCGTGCTCGTTCGACACGAGCGTGAAACGAGAGATCGAGATATCGATCCTGGATGCTTCTCAACGAGGCGTTCGAGATGACATACAGGCACCGGGTGCATGTGTTACCGCTGAAACAGGTATATAAAAACGGAATGCAACAAAGCCGCTTGCATGAGACGGTTCACTGTAAGATAAGCGAACGTCAGTTGACCAGGCAATCGAGGGTGACAAGCGTGCCATGGTGTGACTCTACAAGCGACCATGAACCCACGCGCTCTCCGCACCGAGACTGGAATGTCTCTATCAGCCTATGGAATCGTGTCATGCTTCCGGAGCGTCCAGCAGCTTGATAAGGAGCGAGCTTTCGGGCGATTCGTTTCCCACGGAGTTTGGTCGTTTTGCTGAAATGCGGAAGACTTGCGATAGAAACATGCAATGGTCATGCGAAAGGGCATTGGAATCCACCGGGGACACGGCACTCATACGATACGTTCCAGTAACGCTGCGACGCTGAAGCGCTGTGAATATACACCAGGAAAGATTTTCCAGGTCAAATGGCGAACGATATCGATGTACCATGATCCAGTATCGTGGATAATGCATCCATCATGCGACACGGGGCGGGGCGACAGCGAATGGCCCCAGGATGCTGCGCAAGATTTTGATTTCTTTCAAGCAGAACAGGGAAATCTTACTCAGAGCCCCCGAGGTGCACGCAGTATTCTAACGATGTACGAGTGATGTTCTGTAACCAGAGGTCCCGCAAGCGCCAACTGAACGAAATACCAGGGAAGAGGCCCTGATTGCTCCAGATACGCTTCTGCGTGGCCCGGTCCCCTTGTGGTGTTTCTGGAAGCAAATTAGGCCGAATCGATCCAGCGAACCTCTGGATGCGGAGCATACCCCAAAAATGCTTGCTGCTCTGTCAGGTGCGCTGCCGCTGCGGTTACCCCACAGAGTCAGGAAAGCTTTGCAGTGACGCCACGAGCGTCGACTTGAGGCGTCGTCGACCGTTTGCGGGGTCGCGACTCGCTGTCAGTCCTTGGGAACCAGCGTGTCGCGCGGCTGAACGAATTGCCGCGACGACGCGAAGCGATGCGCTGAGGAACCTCGACGCTCTAGTCAACGCCTAGACGCAGGGTGCACCGTTGCGCGAACCCCGAGAAACTGCGCTGCGAACGAGCCGCGCGCTTCAAACAGCAGCACAAACCATAGCATAGGCGCCTACAGCACCAAACCAGCGATTCTCCTCTGTGTGTATAAACGTTCACCTTGATAGTAAACACGCCCAATACAGGGAAAACACCTCGCTCTCGTCCATGATGCCGTACACGACACGAGCTGCGCCCAATTGCCTGTCTAACGCCGATTGCGCAGGCACGCTCATCATTCATGCATCGCCGGATGCGTGCGTGCGTGCGTGTCGCCGAAAGACACGCATCACAACCTACGTGTCCCGTGTGCGTGCCACGCGCCTTTGCCATGCCATGCGCAGCGTGCAGGGCTGCTCACATACACCAGCGTCACCTGATGCTATAGGAAGCGCTGCTTCACGAGCATGAAATGCTTGGGTGCGTTTTGTGCAGTGCGTGGAAGAGCGCGTACGCTAGACGCGGAGTTGACCACGCTCAAGTCGATAGATCTGCATAGTGCTACGATAAGCAGTCATCTCGGGAATACCGCTGGTGCCGGCACACGCTTGGCATACAACCCCTGAACACTGGACGCCGGCGTTGCGGACGTTCGCTAATGCCGTCGCGGTGTCTCGTGAGCGACTAGCCAGGATGGCTGCGGTAGCAGCGACGCTTGCAGAAAAGCATATCGATCGGTCTGAGTACCCACGGCAGTGGCCGAATGCACTCGCGACAGCGAATACCACTTGAACATCGATCGGGAAGTCGTGCACAACGCGTCCGACGTATGAGGCGATGCCGCATACTCATGACGTGATGCGTTGCGTTGCGTTGCGTGCAGAGCCCGTCGGAAATCGGTACGGTTTAGAATTCTCCTCCGTCTTGGGTTGTGATGCTCAGTTTGCAGAACAACTTATCGCGTGGGCGTCATTCAAACGGATTTTTCTCACTTACTTTGCCGTCCAGCGCGATCGCAGTGGCGCTCGCACCAACGCCTCCCTGCCCATCCGGGGCTGCTGACGCGTCTCCGGTTTGTGTCTCTGCTCGAGCCGTCGATTCCTGCTCCGTTCTCGATACCTTTTCCTGCCACAACTCGTCAAACAGCCCCGAATCGCGCGGTGACGTGCGCGATTGCGATTGTAAAGCAAGCGCACCACGGCTCGTCACAACTGGTGGCGGCACCGCAGCCGCTGCAGCCGGTACCGGCATGTCGGCCGAATGCGACGCTGACGGCTCCGCCGCCGTCAGCGACAACAGCGCCGTGTGACCCACTGCTGGCAGACGCGTGGTTTCGTTCGACCACGCCCCGGCAGCCTGTTGCGCGTCTTCATTGCCACCATCGGACTCAAAGGGGTTCCGAGCCGCTGACGTTGAAGCGGTTCCGGGCATGTTCGCGGCATCTCCCGCCGCGTACATCGCATACGCATTTCCACCAGGATAGGCGCCGTACGGCATGCCATACATCATGGACGCACCGGGTGGCGCTTGGCCACTGGGAACGTTGCCCATCTGGGGCGCCGCGCCTCCGTACCCATAAGCCGCCGCATACGGATAGCCGTACGGGTTCCAGGCAGCACCAGCGTATGGATACCCCTGGTTGTAATACGCCGGGTGCATGTACGGATAGCCGGGCGGCACACCGTAGGCATTCTGCGCAGCGGAAGATGCCGAAGCGTAAGATCCGTACTGTGTACTGGGCGGTGACTCGATGTAGTACGCTGGCGGCTGCGCTGCCGCTGTAGCCGCCGTGTCGGCTCGGGTACGGCTCGCTTGACTGCTGTGCACTGGTTGCGGCTGCAACGCCGGCTGTTTGTGCTTCCTGGAGCTAGAGGCTCCGCTGCCGCGTCCCTGTCCGGAAATCGCACTCGAGCGCTCTTTCTCAAATGCCTCGTCCTCGTCATCCTCGTCGTCTGAATTCAGCCAGAGCAGTGTGTCCTCCTTTGTCGCTGCGCTGGATTTTGTAAACCTGCTCGATTCCGCCGCCGCCGCCGCCGTTGCCGTCGCTGCTGCTGCTGCTGCTGCTGCGCCGCCTGTGCCGCGCGCACGCCGGCCCGCTCCACTCGAGTTGCTTGCTGGAACGCGCTCATCATCCTCGACGCCGTCGTCGTCGCCTGCTGCGTCTTCACTCTCACTGGAGCCGTCCGAATCTTCCTCGTCGCTCGACCCAGCCGTCTTGCGCTTACCTCCAGTGCGCGACTGCATGGCGCCCACATCCGTGGCCTCGGTTGCGGCATCCACTGTTGCTGGCTTCTTGTTCGTACGGGAAGCCTCTCGAGCCGCTTCTCGATTCAGGACTGTTTTCGGATCCATCAAGCAAATATCTTCGAACCGGTTGATGACCAGGAGCAATTTTTCATTCACAGCAATCGCCTCTACCACACTCTTTTCCGAATCCATGCTTGCCACCATGTTTTCCATCTCTCGAAGCATTGCCTTGCAGGTCGTGATCAGCGATGCTATGTCCTCATCATTGGCGACGGTACCGGCGTCCGGTGCGGAGTCCATGAGCGCAGCGGCAAGATCAGCGGCTTCACTGATATCCCGCAGCTCGTAGCGCGGTCTAGTTGGGTTCCGCGCTGCCGAGCCTGCCGCCGCGCCAGAAGCTCGCGCTTTCATTGTGCTAGGACTGCTTCCTGAGAAAGAGTCAGGCGTGGTCGGGTTCTGTCCAGACTCACGCTGACGACGGAGTTCGATGGCACGCTCTGATGTGCCCGGCCGATACACAGCCGGCACCTCAAGTGCGGGCATAGGCGGGAAAGAGTATTTGCGCGACTTGTTGCGCCAACGCTTCACAAAGAACTGCCCCTTGCTATCGTAAGGGCGGAAACGCTCAAATTCTTCGCCCCAGGCTTCGATCAGCTGCATCACTTTCATGGCCACCGCCGGGTAGTAGATTGGCTTGTCGATCTCCCCAGTGGCGTATTTGCGCTGGAGGGCTTCCTTATCGAACGTAGCGTAGAAGCGCTCGCGCATAGAGTTTTTGTAGTCGGGAACAACTAGCCGCCACATTCGGCGAAAGAAACGCTTGTTTGCTATATGCATATAAAAGTTTGGACATTCCTCCATCAGTCGTTGGAGCAACGCCAGCGTCAGAAGCAGCGTGCGCTCGTTCTTCACTTTCAGACGGTCTTTCACAGCACGCGCCGTGATTTCTCCGCCACGCACCATCGTCAGCACTTGTCCGATGATAGGGTCAAACTGCGGGTACGGCGGCTCAAGCGGCAAGTCCGGACGCGTCGCTTCATCGATCATGAGGTGCATCTCGCTCTGCGGCTGGCCCGTAAACGCTATCGTCGACGTTGACTCGTACGGATTCGTGTAAGCAGCACCAAAAGGACCTGCACCCGCAGCAGCGCCTCCGTAGCTACCATAGCCGCGAACTGGAGTCCGCAGGCCGTCCCCGCTGCCCCCAGCGCCGTTCACGGGCCCGGACCAGGAACGCGACCCAGTCGCCGGCGCCGCCTGCATCCTCCCTGTTTGGTCAGGGGAATATCCGCGATAGTTCGACGACTGCGCGCCTTCTGTCGAGTTTTGACTCTCGGAAGAAAACGGGAAGCGCCCACTCCCCGACGATAACCAGTTTGTCTTAAAGTTGGCAAGGCGTCCAGAAGCCGGCCTCGCCGTAAAAGTCGAACCCCCTGAGGGATACTGCCTTCCTTGTATATTCGCTTGATGTTGTCCTGAAGTGCTGTCGTAGTAGGACATGAGCCTGCTTTCAAAGCACGACGCGCATGGACGATACCGCACTCCTAGAAACAGGATCCTGCCCGTTTGCCGTTTGGCGACGCGCACACACAGCGCGCTGCGCAATTCACCCGCCGCACGGATCCGGATGCGGCACGCATCGCAGCGCTGCGTGCTGTCGAGTGCGACGGCCGCCAGGTGAGCGCCCCAGCGCCGCTGCGCCGTTCCACCCGCGAGCGCCGATCGAGGGAGCAGTTGGTGTTCCGCGAGCGAGTGGCGCAGCGGCACCTGCATGCACGCGCGCGATCCGTTCACGAGACGTGTCCGGATCGCGCGCGTCTCACGTCGACGGGCTACAGATGGGTACTCGGGGGGCGCGGATGCATCGCGGTCGTTTTTTGCCTGGTTGACGGTTATCGGTTTCAGTTTATCCGTGTTCATTTGGATCCTCAGGGGGGTGTCCCGCAAAGTTCGCTCGTGTGAGCTTCACAGGTGTCGCGTTTCGGAATGCACATCTCGTGATATTGATGGCGGCGTTGGAGTCGCGGTTCACGAACTCTATATGTATTTTACTTCTGGTTGATCTCGCCAAACCAGAGATTCCTCGGACTGGTTTCTTCTGTGCCATTTACTGCTCTGTCAGCTCTCTGTGGGTTTCTATCGCCGGAGCGCTCCGCTGGCTTCTCTCATTTTCGACTTTCTGGAGTGTCTGTTCTGGCTTATCCCTTGGATGCTTTATTATTGGGAATGATCGCACTTGTTTATGCGCTTGGGTTAGGACCTTACCGGAGGACGAAGGACTTGCGGAAAAAAGACGACATGTGCCTTAGTGTCATCGTGTACTGAACGTTTCAGCGATTCGCTTACTCGGGCGATCATGATATTTCCCGAAAGATAACACTCCTTCAATACGGTTCAACAAACGAGTGCACGGAGGAGGAATAAGAAGCTGCTGCTCGAACTTAAGGGCAACGGTGAAACGCCATGTTGTCCAGTACGAGGACATCGCCGGACGTCCAGGACAGGTCTTCAATGATTCGACGAGGCATCCGAGGTGCTAAGACCAGAAAGTAACCGCTTACTCGTTGCAACTGTGCCGAAAGACAGAAAATACCCACTACCGAGCAACTCGATAACAGTTTCTTTCCCCTGGACGAGAAACGGTAAAAGGGGGCAAAATTTTCCACATTCCTGCAAGTTTACCTTCCAGGTGGAGCGTCCCACGAGCCGGACGAGTGTGCCAGGCAAGTGCTTCGTGCTGCCTCCCGCGGCGGATACAGGGGTTGCGACCTGAGCAACTCGCCCGCGAGGCACTTTCTTCCTGGACTAGTCGTGATTAGGCTACATCCAGGTATTCCACCGGTCGCCGGATCATCCGAGCAAATCGCTCCGCACTGTCACGGGCAGTAGGTCTGTCTGCGCAGCTTGCTGGCTCCCAGGTTGAGGATGAGTTCCTACTCCGCGCCCTAGGCACTGCGCCTCGAGTGGACGGCCTGAATGGCATGGCCAAGCCGTTCTCTGTCCGTGCTGCATCCGCCCCAGCAGTACATTCGCTAGCGTAGACGCCCATCGCATGCGCTCGGTGCACAATGGAACGTACGAAACGACCAGTACATCCGAGGGGAAGTATGGGTCATGGAATTCGGAGGTAGAGTGAAGACTAATGGACGCTTTCCCGAACAGCAATATCCATCCCAGGATCTAGTATCCATGGTCCAGATCAACGTTCTGCCAAAACAGAAAACCACGCGCGTTGTACGTCATCGACCCGCTGCGTGGTCAGTGCCTCTAGCACGTCCACCAGCAACTGCTGCAGCGAGTTGTTGAACTGGTGGCGGGAAACCACAAACCCGGAGCTTGCGGCAACGACAGGTTGGTATTTTAGGCGTACTCCATAGAGTGCCCTTATGGCCTCCATTGAGGACTGGGTGGAAACACAGTTCTGCGACTGCTGCGGACGCTACAGGGAGCCAGTCGAAGCCGGCGAGCCAAAACCGTGTGTCGGCTGTGGCTCGTTGCCGCCCTTGCCTCAGAAAACCATCGTGTACGAGGTCCCTGTGCGACCTACACAACTTCTTTTAGAACTGCAAGCGGCGTATACGAAGCGTGTCTCCGGTGAGGACGGGCGCGCTGGGTCCGCCGCCGCTGCACTGACCACGGATCCGTCCATGGAAGCAACGCGTCAAGTCGTTCGCGGGGGCGAGTGTTGTCCCAAATGTAACAGTCAGGAGCTCTATTACGAGACTGTGCAGATGCGCAGCGCAGATGAGGGTCAAACCATCCTCTATGAGTGCTGTCGCTGTCGAACGCGCTTTACACAGCACTCGTAGCTACGGCGGAGCACCGTGATTTGCAGGTTGTCGCTGGGGCCCCGTTTAGACTTGGATCGGGCGCTTCCTATGTGGTCACGGGCATACGTCTGCTCCAGCATGACATCCGAATGCCACGAAATGAACGTGGTGCCGGTGGCGCTTGTGTTCCCGCATGAAGCAGCGTGAACGCATAGGTAAGCGCGAGCGGTGCACAGGTTTCCGAGCCAAGGCTGACCGTATCTACCTGCACGGGCCCCGTTGTTGTTTATGCTCATCATGTCATGCGAAGCGTCCACCGGAAGGAACACGGTGCTCCAGCACTGCAACGCGCGATCACGACAGGGCACAACGCTCATCACCTGGAGGAGCGCATCAACTCCGGGTATTTGAGCGGGATCTGTGCACCTGGAATCCGTGGATCGGCATCAGCGATCCCTGCTCAAACTGCGTTTGGAAGACGCTGGATGTTTCCTCAGCGCGCTTTAAGAAGAACGACATGCAACAGTGGAATTAGTCGACGCGAGTATTCCGTTGTTGCGACGGACATGACCTGGCCGGGTCTTTTGCGGTACGTCGTTTGTTCCGCCCCATTGATGAAAAACGGTGTGCAGGCACCCTGGACCGCGCGACTAGGAACGCGCTCACACGACGTATCCGACACAGATGTTCAAATAAAATGGGACACTGGACTGCTGGCTCTAGTCCTGGCTTGACATTTTTATCGGAATGCTGTTCAGGTGTACAGCTTCGATAACCGAAGTGTAGCAATGGGGTCTTACGGATTCGTCCGAATTCTTGGGATTCTCGCTTGTCTCCTGGGCGTGGCGCTCTGGGCGCTGTGCCACTGGAAATCGTTGCGGCACCGCAAGACCGATGCATGGCGACGCCCTCGAACGAGGATTCGTAAACCAACCGGTTTCATGGTCCAGGTCCTGGGTAGCAATCTGCATGCTTTTCCGTGTCAAACAGACAGGGTATGCGCAGACTTTGCATGCATCAGGTTTTCTACCAATCAGGTTGAAGAGGATTTGTGGGTACAGCGATTCGCGCTGCTGGATGGACGAGAGCAAACACCCGAGATCTTCCCTCGATGACTTGATCACATAGCAATGCTGAGATAGCGCTGAACTCGGCAATGCGAATCATCGATTGCGTCCCAAAGACCAGCCTTTTTCCCCCTATATGTGTTCATCGACGAGACGCCATTCTACAGCAGCAGCACGGTATCCGCGATGCTGAACACGGCCAAGTACCAGCCAGCGCCCTCAGCGCACGCGCCGCATCACGCACAGTCGACGACCGCTCTGACGCTAGAAGCGAAGCCCGTGACGCTCATTGCCCGCATTCGATCCACAATAGAACAAATGAATAACCAGTATCTTAGAGGGAACGTGCTGGCAGTTGAACTCGGAAGCAACTCGTGGAACGACGGATGCCTCACCGCACACCGAATACCGAGCGCTCGATCAGGTATCCCGCGTGTACACGAGCGTGTCAACGAGCTGCCGTGCACATTCGGGAAACGATGGCTGCACGCATGAAGCGAAAGATCGAGGCGGCGATGGCTGCACGCATGAAGCGCCCGTCGAGGCGGCGATGGCAGCACGCATGAAGCGCCCGTCGAGGCGGTGAATGGCGGGCGAATGGGCGGGGTGGGCGGGTGAATGGGCCGGAATGGGCCGGCGAATGGGCGGGTGAATGGGCGCCCTCTGCATCCGACGGGGGGCGTCGCCGCCGCCTCCATCCTCGGCGCCACGCATCGTCCCGCGCGGGTCGACGGTTCCCCTGCCAAACTGGTACAGGGCTTGCCTCGCTTGTGCGTTTTATTCGTAGAACCAGGGTGTGTTTCGGTGTTGAGGCACGTTATACGAAACAGAACGGAACAACTGTGCTTTGTGTGCTGTGCTGAGAAGTTCTCACGGTCCGATTCGCTTTCGACGAGTGCTTGTTCGAGGCATCCTCTGATTCGAATTCACTATTCCATGTTTGGATTCGTAACGTCGACAAGCAGTCCACTGGGACTGCGTTTCTCATCGTTTCATTCAAACACAATCACTTGCTTTCATCACGTATCATCTGGGAAGAATCAGTTTGGAGGCACCTGTCGCACAGCGAACGGTGCTCCAGCACGACTAGGAAGCCGACGACTCGCGCCTCCGCGAGTGTTGCGAACCCTGAATTGCTCTACGATGGACTTGACTGCGCCTGTGACGTCTTCTGGGAACAATTCGATAGGCGATCATAGCGCACAGGGTCGTCTGACGCCACTTGTGCCGATTCTCATGGGATCCAAGGCCGACAAAAAACACTGTGATCAGATCGCCGCAGCCTGCCATCGCTTCGGCCTGGCAACGGAGATGCACGTGCTCTCTGCCCACAAGGTGCCTACTCGGCTATTGGAGGTTGTCGGTCGACTCGAGGCCGATCCTCGACCCAAAGTATACATCTCGGTCGCTGGTCGCTCGAACGCACTCTCGGGGCTACTCGACGGGTCGGTGGCGTCGCCCGTGATCGCCTGTCCGCCGCCGTCGGATGCCTTTGGCGGTGCTGACATCTTCTCGAGCCTGCGTATGCCGGGTGGCATTGCGCCGGTGGTCTCTCTGGACCCCGGCAATGCAGCCCTAACAGCTGCGAAGATTCTGGGCATTCACGATCCGCTCGTGCGAGACCGGGTTCGGGCGTTCCAGAAAGCGAATCGCGATCGGCTGTACGTCGATGACGCGGAGGTCGCGACCAGCGCCTACCTTGCGGATATCCAGGCTGCAGCACGCGAAAACAACGTGCTGGTCTCGACGGATGGAGTGCTGTCTGCGCTGGTCCAGCAGCATGCAGGTACCTGGCGAAAGAAGCAAGGCAAGGTTCGAGATCAGTTCTACTCGGACGCTGCCAAGCACATGATTCTCGTAACCACAGACCGTCAATCGGCATTCGACCGAGTGCTGGCTGCTGTGCCCTTCAAGGGTGCAGTGCTTAACTTGGTATCGGCGTGGTGGTTCCGCCGCACCGAACACATCGTGCCCAATCACCTGATCGCTGTACCACATCCCAATGTGACAATCGCCAAGCGCTGTGATCCGTTTCCGATTGAGTTCGTTGTCCGAGGATATGCAACGGGCTCCACATCGACATCCCTGTGGAAGAACTACGAGCGAGGCGTTCGGGAATACTGTGGTATTAAGCTCCCCGACAATCTTCACAAAAACCAAAAACTCTGGATGAATTTGGTGACCCCAACAACCAAGGAGGACATCGGCGATGCCCTCATCTCTCGTCAGGAAATCATCGACCGCGGTCTCATGAGCGCGGTCGACTTTGACGCCTGCGCAGCGTACGCGTTGCGACTCTTCGAGTACGGCCAACAAGTTGCCTCGGAGCACGGCCTGATCCTAGTGGATACAAAGTACGAGTTTGGACGCGATGCAGACGGTCAGATTTGTTTGATCGACGAGATCCATACACCCGACTCGAGTCGCTACTGGCTCGCCACGTCCTATGAAGAGCGTATCGCCAGCGGCAAAGAACCTGAAAATATCGACAAAGAGATCCTCAGGCTCTGGTACCGCGATCATTGCGATCCCTACAAGGACGAGAAGCTCCCAGAAGCACCGCTCGAGCTCGTAACCGAACTCAGCCGGCGCTATATTCAGCTGTACGAAATGATTACCTGGGATAAGTTTGATCTGCGATTGTCGACTCCGTCGGAGTTGCAGCAGGCATTGGGACCGTGGTTTTCTGGGCAGGGCGCCAAAGCCAACTTTACGATGTCGTCTCCATAAAAACTCGTGGTACGGATGGAAGCGGTATCGACATGCGCTCGCTCGACGCCGACCTGGGGCGACACGCTCGGGGGTGGTCTGTGCTCGCGCCCCACAGTCGCGTTATCGCAGATACGCACCGCTTGCCGCACCGCCTGCCTTCATACGCTGCTGCTGTTGTTGTTGCTGCTGCTACGGCCGCTGCCAGAGAGAACAGAAACCTGTGAAAATCGGTCTCCCTCATGCTCTAACGACCGGTGGCGAGCGCGTCCCTGCCGAACGCACCGTCGGAGCGGGAGCACCGGGGATCCACTGGCGCAGTCGTCGCGCCAGCAGTCGCCGAAGTAACCAACGTGCATCATCTCGATGCGTTTCCAGTTCCTGGTACAGCCAGTCTATCCAGTGACGTGTTCGCTGCGAGGCAACCTGCCATGGTACTGCAACGCCTGCAGGTGACGGCTCAAAAATCGCTAACAGGAACCAGAGCGTTCGCTCGAGCACCTCGCGGTAGCGCATCGCTTCTAGTTGCTGCTGGCGCTCCAGCGCCCAGCGCGGTCCCGCAGCCGCATTTCGATGACTAGCCCCGCGCTGAGCGCGTTCCGCAGTGATGCATTCGCTGGCGAGCCGCAAAAGTCCCAGCGATAGATGCTCGGCACGTATCCGTGGAGGTGCGGGAAGCGCTGTGCTGCCAGCACTGCCGGCAATGAACTGCGCCAGTGGGCTGGTACGAATGGGGTCGCCTCCGGGTACCGGATCGCTCCAACCGCTGACTCCGGGCACCTTCTCGTGCATATTCAGTTCAAGCATGATGCGTAAAAGCTCGAGACGACACAGCAGGAACGACTGGATGCGGTTATCGTTCGGCCCTGGCGCCGCATGCGATCCATTCAGGGCCTGTGGGGTACCCGCAGGCGACTCGGGGTGCTCGCAGTTTCGATGCCAGCGCGGCAACGACGTGGTCAGCACGGCATCGGCGGCAGACCGGGTTGCATCCCAGGGCGCTGTGCCTACCGTCACCGCGCCTGCGATGCCTGCTACGTCGCCACGAGTCGCAGTGTCGGGTTCATGCACCGCACCTGCTTGGTGCGGAAGCAGCTCGACACACTGGAGCACAAACGAGTGACGCATGGCCTCCAGGGCCGACTGCTCCGCGTAGAGCGCTGCGGGAAGCGCACACAGCAAACGCCCATACCAGATACCGATCTGGAGCGTCGTCAGCGCATGCTCGGTATGCATCAGGGATCGGCTCGCTAACCAGAGGCTACCCAGTTGGAGCGCGATCTCGACAAGCGCTCGCCACGACGGCGCCGCAGTCGCAACACCAGACGGTAGCTGAAGCGCGAGAAGCGCAGCGAACATAATGAGGCGACGCACCAGCACCGCTCGTCGTTGGAGAAGCGGCGATATGTTGCCGGATCGCTGCGCCAAAGAAACCCCCACTGGAAACAGCAACGCCCCTGAGTCGACACCCTGCCTCACCCAAGCGTGCAGTGCCTCCAGCAAACTCGGCAACAGGCGGATCGTGGTGCCCTGCCTCGCAGCGCTCACTGCCAGTTGCACAAAAAGCGACAAATGCTGTTCAAACAGATAAAGGTTGCGGACGGCAAGCGACACATGTGTCACACTTGAACCCTCGTGCCCAATCACCGCATCCTCACCGAGTGCAGCTGCACAGAGTCCGAGTCGCGCCATCGCACTCGCCTGTCCAATCATCATCATGTGGGCGAATCGATTCGCCTGCACCTGCACCTGTGGATGTCGATGTGAAGATGAGCTTGCGTCCCTGTTGGCAAGCACACGCTCGCCTGGTGTCGATATCGCGGGTACCGCCTCACCTGCAACCTGTACCGCGACCGCAGTGCTCATCTGTAGTGCATAGGTCAAGGTCGCTAGTGCGATTGCACGAAGCGCTGCTTCGCCATCGGCGCTCGCGTCGGTGATCCATACGGCTGTTTGTTGCTCGAAGCGGGCAAGCGATGTCGTGGATGCTTGGAAATACCTCACGAGCTGTCCAGTGATTTTGTTCACGCGATGTTCCGGTTGGCAGTTCCATTTCGAGAGGTGAACCGGTGCATCCATTGCGTTCAGCGTAAGCGGTAGCGGTACGAGCATCTCGATCAGGGCGCACTGCGCAGCGTAGAGGGATCGTCGCGTCTCGGTTGGAGTGTTTTGCTGTGCTGCTGCTGCTGCTGCTGCTGCTGCTGCTGGTGGTGGTGCAACTGCACCTGCAATCGCAACTGCAACGCTCGCCATACGATGGAGCGCTTCATCAGCAGCGACCGCAGCGCCACTCGCGCCCGTTCCGTCGGTTTGCGGATGCCGCGCTGCGGTCATTTCCGCGTCCTTCGTGGTCGCTAAAGCGTCGCTTGCCATCACCTGGTACCAAAAGGTGCGACAGGAGCGACAAATCGTGACCAGCGCAGCAGCAGCGTTCGCGTCCAACACCGGTGTCGTCGACAGAGGCTCAGTGAACGTCGATGCTGCTGCTTTCGGAGGCTGGAGGCCACTCAGCGCCTCTTCCAGCGTCAAACTAATCCCGACGAACGTTGCCGCCACATCCGTATGCGTTTCCGAGCGCGTGTCCGAGTCCCAGGAGAGCCAGTGTTCGAAACTCGCAGCAATCGCTTTGTGCCAGGCGCCAAGTGCCTGATGCACCACGTGTGCCGATACACCTGCGTTGCTGAATGCACAGATTCGCTTGAGCAACGGGGTCGCAAACAGTCCCAACAGATCCCGAGCCAGGCTTCGCAGAATGCCTGGCATTGCCTCAGGTCCAGCGATGTCGCTCAGACTAGACTCTGGGCCAGCACAGTGCAGCGCAAGTCCGACAACCTCCAGCACAGAGGTCATGAGCTGCAACTGCTGCATCTCGTGTTCTTGTTGCTGCACGCGATCCATCTGCGGAACTTGCGTCTCGCACAGCACGCGCAACCACAGGGTCAGGATCGACCGCCGGCTTATTTCACTACGAGGGAGTAGCTCTGGCGCCAACTGCATCACCAGTTCGGGAGCGGAGAGCAAGCTCTGCAGCAGCTGGAATAAAGGCGTTGCAACTGCGGCTACCGGCCATTCCACCAGTTGCCAGAGGCGTTGTAACACCGCCATAAACGGTGCTCCGACTCGCACGTGATACGGCCCAATGCCGACTAGTCGTCGTCCAGCGGGATGGACACGCGGGCCGAATGGCAGGAAACTCGGCCTCGGCCAAGTTGACGACTGCGCGCCCGCGTACACACAACTGCTCAGGAGTTCACCGACAGCGCGCAAGAGGCGATCATCTGTACTCGAGAGCAGTATCTGCGCACACTGACGCGAAAACAGACTGTGATCGGCAAGTGTCGTTGCCACTGCTGGCGCGTGTCTACAGAGCATCGTTAGCAGTGTCGCTGCGGCAATCACCAGATCATTGCCCGAAAGCGAGGCATGGATGACGCTACAGAGGACCAGCGTCTGTTCGGTGCATTGGGCCAACAGAGCAGCGACTTGCTGGCCAGCATCGATCGCTCGCCGTGAAGCCGTCACCGCGGAGCTCGGTACCGGCTCTTCAGCAACGAGTCTGCAGAGGACGCGCAGTGCGCAGACAGCCGCCTCCTGGGCTGTTGATGGGCACCACCAGTCGTCGCGGAGTACAAGACAGGCACGTGCTGCAATCGCGAACATTGTCCGCGAAGCCGATGATGCCGCACCGGTCACTTCACTGGGCCTCTGCAGCAATGCCCAAATCGATTCAGGAGCAGCACCAGCACCAGCACCAGCACCAGCAGCAGCGGGTACGTTTTGCTCCGAGTGACGTTCAACGTCCAGTACGGTGTGCACCAGCTCCATGAGCGCTGCAGTGAGCGCCCATCCGTCGGTAAAATCAAACGCAACGAAGCGATCCCAGATACCCAGGATCTGGGTAATGGCGTATCGCGCACAAGCGGAAGCATCAGAGGCCACACCAAGTGCTGCTAGTCGCAGCAGACTAGTCAGAAACCCGCAATCTCCGGTCTCGCGTGCTCTCCAAAACGCCTCCTGAAGCACGGCGAACGACGTCTGGAAGATGCCCTGCTGTTGTAGTGCCCGCTGGAGCTGCAGTGTGGCGGCAGCAGGGCCCCGCTCGCCTAGTTGAACGAGCCACTCCGCTGCAGCACGTTGCACTACGGTCGGCAGTCGGTCGCTTATGAGGCGAATGCAGTGCTCAACGAGCGCACCCTCTGACCGCAGTAATGTAGCAATCTCCGGGGATACTTCCGTAAGCACCGTCAAGATGCGAATGAGTCCAGCGAGGACCGCTGCATGGCGAAGTTGCGGCAGCGAGAAGGTGCCCGCGGGTACCGCCCACCGATTCGCCATGGCATCTAGACCGTGCATCAGGTACGCATAACTCGCCACTGGATGACCGCCGTTCTCGAGGAAATCCCAGACTGGCTCAGCGCATACGGCTGTATAACGCAACAACTCCAGAAACGCTGTGATCATCGGAAACGAGACCGATGCTATGCGCTCATCGAGTATGGTGAGGGAGCCCTGGTCACCCGCAGCCACCAGCAGGTCCTCACCGGTGATTCGCGCGTAGAGCAGCTCGACGAGTTCCAAACAGGCATCGCCTACGATGCGGATGAGGTCCACCTGAAACTCACCCATGGGTTCCGTGACGAACCGATACGCATTTGCGGGCGCTAGTCGTGCCCCTGCTGCCAGTACTTGTACGATCTGAGCACATAGGGCGGTTTCAAGTCCGCGGTGTGTGGCAGCTGCGGTATCCGCGGGCGCTTGGAGTCGCGGGTCCAGTTCGTGCCTGCTGCCGTGCCTGGGAATAACGGACTTGTCCCACAGGTCCACGTCGGCCATCGCTCGTGCAGCGGTTTCGAAGACGCGCGTGACGAGCCCTGCAGCGCCCAAGTCCATCACCAGGTCTGCAAACAGATCCACGGTAAGGGGCGCAAGCGCACCGACACCGGGTCGACGAAGTGCATCCCCGTTCAAGCCAGGCTGCTGGTCGAGCCATGGTACCCAGTGTTCAAGGATGGCTGTTAGCGCACCGCGCTGGAGGCTCTGATAAGCCATCTCAAGGTATTTTTGAACCAGCACGGCGTTCTTACCTGCCTCTGGAGTCCCGATCAGGAACAGCGCTCCAACGAGTGGAACTGGCTCCAGCAGGTGCACCAGATTCGCAGCGTGCCGCTGCCACGTCGTCACCGACTCGCTGTGCGCTACTGCTCCGCTCGGCGCCTGTTTCGTGCCTGACGCTTCCGCAGCCAGTGCCGTTCGATGCATCCACGTCGAATCCGCTGACGCGTCCGCTAGGTCCACGTACCAGTTCTCCAAGCAATGGACCAAATCCGTGACGAAAGCCTCGTCTTCTAGGAGCTTATTCGCGGAGAAGAGCCCAGATGCAGCACGCTCATGATTCAAGTCTTCCAAGGGATGGTAGCGCGTCGGATCCAGCACGCCTCGCAAGCTCAACGACATGAGCATCAGCACATCGATCGCTTCGAAGAGGCCGCAGCCCTGTAGAGGTCCACGAGTGATCTGTGCTTTGGAGTCATTACCACTGATTCCGCTGCCGATCGAAAGCACAAAACGTTTGAATAGGTTTGTCAGCGACATTGCATCCGCGGCAGTGAACTGGATGCTGTAGGCGAGCGTGAAGAGGCACTGGGCGAGTGCGCGCCGCTCCCCAGGGAAGAGACTTTCCGGCGTCTCCAGGCGCTCCAGCAGTTTCGATACCAGTTTGTAGTCCGAAACGAGTCGCCGCCTCGTCTGCAGAAGACATTCGATCTGCGTCCACGGAAGCTGTGACGCTGGCTGTCGCTCGGCTGTGCGGGTCCCGTTTCGCTGCGGCCGAGCAGCGACAGCGGTACCAGTCTGCGGGTCCAGAAAAGGCGTCGCCAGAATAAGCCAGAGCGCCTGCAGAAGCGCCCAACGCTCCCGCAGATACTGTTCCTCAATATAAGAGACCAGTGCGGGGTCGGTTCCGGTTACCGCTTCCCGAACACCACCGACGGAAACGGTGACGAGTTCGTCCGCCCAACTGAGTACGAGCTCCGCGGCCTCCGCCTCGCCGATCCCGATCCTATCCGAAACCGCAACTGCCAGTCGACCGATCTCAAGAGGTATCCGCCGGGCAACAGCTCCCTCACCTATGGTCAGAATAGCGGTGCCATTCCGAAGCTGCTCGGCAAGCTGCCGATCACGCGGCCTACCCCGAGCCAACGGCGAGCCAAGGCTCGGCTCCAGAGGCAGTAGCTCAGCGCCGAGTAGGTCTTCAGAGCGTGTGCCAAGCACACGAGCCGATTCTATCGCTCTAGTGAGACGACTGTACCGTCTCTCTATCAGGGCCTGTGACATGTGGTGCCAGGGCTCGTAGTGCCCAATCACGCACACAGCGGCAGACTAGCGCTGTTGGGCCGTCGTACTCGTGCAGACGCGAGTCTGCGTCGCGCCTGTGGGGATTGCCGCTCTGGCGCCTCGACAGCGTTCGATTTTTATTTCTTCATTCACAGAACTTGAAGTTCGGCCAGCGTTCTCCGATTATGCGCATTTTGCTCTTCTTTCTTTTTTTTTCAGTGCGCGGTGAGGTATCTATCAGACGCCCTACTTCCAAGTTACATGACCTATACTTCTTCTCGAATATACTGGTCGTTTCGTGCGTCCTATCGTGTGTGCCTAGTGCCTCCCGAAAGCGACAGCAATGGCACCTATAGCGCCGATGCGGTCGCTTCACAGAGACAGAGCGGCGTTGTCGTGCCACACACAGCGGGCGTCGGCTCGAGGATGCGACCGATGATATCTTTTCATCGACGGATCGTTGCCTTTGCCCACAGAGAATGATCGATAACGCGATGCATATCGGTATCTAGAGTCGTGCGTATGATACCGCACCATCCATCCAAGCTCTACCAGCTAGCACTATTGATCAGATCGAACGATACTTTCTTTTGGAAGAGATCATGCTTGGTTCGTACGATCCTATGGCGTACCGCTTGCCTGCGACGATCGCCCAGCATGACGTATGTAGCGCCGCTCCGGACGCTGCAAGGAGATGGAGCAGCGTTCTCGTATCCTTGGGTCAGCATACGGTGTTGGCTCGGAGGTGCTGGAAAGTGCGCAGTGCGGCGCCGGGTTCGGTACGACGCCGTGCTCCAGCTGCACGTCTGCTATCTAATGCTGCTGCATCGTGCCGCCGTGCTGCTCGTCGTGTCTGAGAAACTCGAGGGGAGTTTCGAAAAGCTGCTTGACAGATAGTCTCTTTCTCTTGTAGGTTGAGATGATACGTTTATGCTCATTGTGAGTGGGTTATATTCCTAGTACACGGCCAGCGCCAGTCGCGTATTCGAGCTCCGCATTGAGCTCCGATATCGACACTGGATGTTCCTGGGGTAGTCTGAACGCTCCCAGCACCGCGTTGATAGAGCACGGTGTTCAGCGGGCGCACCATCCGATAGGTTATTCAAGGACGCCGCTTCTGAGCGCCTACGCTATGTCAGCGCGCTCGCAGCTGCATGGCTGAGTGGTCGCTCGAGAATTCTCGACCGCATGACGCGAATAATCGACGCATCAGGTACTACCGCTGGGTCAGAATGAACACGGGACACTGGACTGCTGGCTCTAGTCCTGGCTTGACATTTTTATCGGAATGCTGTTCAGGTGTACAGCTTCGATAACCGAAGTGTAGCAATGGGGTCTTACGGATTCGTCCGAATTCTTGGGATTCTCGCTTGTCTCCTGGGCGTGGCGCTCTGGGCGCTGTGCCACTGGAAATCGTTGCGGCACCGCAAGACCGATGCATGGCGACGCCCTCGAACGAGGTTTCGTAAACCAACCGGTTTCATGGTCCAGGTCCTGGGTAGCAATCTGCATGCTTTTCCGTGTCAAACAGACAGGGTATGCGCAGACTTTGCATGCATCAGGTTTTCTACCAATCAGGTTGAAGAGGATTTGTGGGTACAGCGATTCGCGCCGCTGGATGGACGAGAGCATACACCCGAGATCTTCCCTGGATGACTTGATCACATAGCAATGCTGAGATAGCGCTGAACTCGGCAATGCGAATCATCGATTGCGTCCGAAAGGCCAGCCTTTTTCCCCCTATATGTGTTCATCGACAAGACGCCATTCTACAGCATCACCATCACCATCATAGCTCTCTTTTGATGCGGTACCAGCGGCTCCCATCGCTTCATTTAGCATGGAAAAGGGCATCGGACTCTGACCTGATTCATCATATCGACTGCTTCGCATGGAGGTAGCGTACAGGAACCGAAATTTTTCCAAGTCTACCCAGGCCTTCACTTCCCGTCGGATACTTGGTTCATCATGGACGACATTGTGCATTCCACGAAATTCTCTGCCTTATGGAACAGCGTGCGCGTGCGCCGTGCCGCAACGAGGGTACTCGCCGCGGGCATCGCCCAGAGGCTTCACCGCAGCAAAGCATCGAGTCGCGCTTTCCGTATCCGTTGAGGCAATGCATCGAGCGCTGAAGCAAGCGTTTCCACGACAGAGGGGAATCGCTCGGACGAGGGAATTTGTTGGGCGCATGCGAACATCTGATGACAGGCAACTCTCACCGCTGCGACGAGCACACCGCAGTTCTATCCAAAGAAGATCGCAAGAACACAACGAAAGCGTTGATCGCAACCTCCAGTTGTGCATTAGCGGTGTCGAGAACAGCCTGGAACTTCAGAATCGGGGCCTTCAAACTGCCATAAACGTCCTTCTTTTGATTACAACGGATCCACAGGAAAACAAAGGACTCGCATATTGAAAGCCGGAAATCCGAGAGACAGGCAAAGGAAGCGGTTACAGACAGGCCCGCGAACGCAAGTATTCAAGATCGTTAAAAAAGAGCCCGAACTTGAGCGTTTACGCCCTGGTCAGGCAACATGCTTCATTGTATCCTGGAGAGGGTCAGGAAAACAAAAAATGTCCCTCGACCGTGAATGATATTTACATTCCTACGCTCAGACGCCTCCCTGCTTGTTTTGACCAGCCGCCTGCTATCGGCTTCAGCTTAACCCCGTACACGCCGATGCTGTGAGGCTGGCCCGCAACCTTCGCCCGCGTCACATCGCTCGCGTCTCTCGTCTGCGGTACCGCACCTTTTCTGGTATCGACGGCGGCGTTGAAGTCTCGCTTCACGAGTTCTCTATGTGCTCCGCAGCAAGCTGAACGCACCACTGCGATGATTCCTCGATCTTGCGTCCTCTCTGCCACTACAGTTCCGTGATGATCTCGTTAGGCAAACACACTTTCTCGCCTACTCTGCCCTGTTCTTCTTCGTCTTCGTCGCACGATCGTCAGTCAGAGGAGGATCGTTCCCGTTTCTTTGCAGAACCGAGCGATGGCGACGCTCCAAAATCCTCCACTTTTACGCCCATACCATTCTCCTAGATGTTTTAAATCCTTCAAGTGAATCCAATTCGACCGCGTCTGCTATAGATCGCAAAAAAGCACATGCAGTGGCACGCATCTGCAGCTGGAACACCATCAACTGGAGAAAAACGCCACCGCGAATGCATCGCGCCCGCGCAATCCGCCGCAGCAATCGACGACTTCCAGGGACGTGCCGCTGCTGCCGCTGCTGCCGCTGCTGCTGCTGCCGCTGCTGCCGATCAATCGATCGATCGTTCATGAAACGGTGCGGTGCTGTCCTGTACACTCAGTGGACACGGTGCGCCGATAACCTGGCCTTCGCGCGCCGGAACGCACGCTGCACTACGCTTCCGCGGCTACCAGGGTTGGAACCGAGTCTCGTGGGTCTCCGCCGAGTCGCACTCGACTTTACTGGTATTCCGTTGAGCGTTCCAGACGCCTTGTGCGTTAAACGTCTGGGACGGGCGGGACACCTCGCAGGTTACTTTCCGCGAAAGCCGGCCTTGACGACGCCCTCGACCGAACGCGCGCTGTGCCCGGACTTGTACGACATGAAGCGAATAACGCGGCTTTTTGAGAACCGGTCTCGCCAGTTTTCACCTGCACGGGCGCGTTTACTCTTGCAAGGGGCACGCGCGCGCCTAGCTCTGCGCAAAAACCGGTTGCGTCAAAGCATAATCACTGCCGAAAGGGAAGTTGCTGCACTCCTGGCACCCGAGAGCGAGCTCAACGGTGCTGCGTTCGCATCGGCCGGTGCGCGGCAAGCAGGGCGTGCCGAACTGGCGCGCGTTCGTGTGGAGCACCTCTACCACCAGCTGGAGCTCGAGGAGGCGCTGCACTTGCTCTTGCTCTTCACGGAGCTTTTGCAGGCCCGCTTCAACTTGATTGAGCAATGTTTTCGGATTTATGAGCGAGATCCCCGGAAAAGTGTCGTGCCAATTCCGCTCGAGATTCGAGAAGCCGTCAACAGTATCATCTATGCCTGTTACTCGTTCGCGGGAACGCGCATTGCCCCTCCTGACGCCGCCACTGGGCCGCTAACCGGCACAGTGACGGAGCTCGATGAAGTCGGTCACATATTCGTGAGGCTGTTTGGGGGCCCCGATTTCGCGTTGTTCATTTTTGAGCGTCCGCATGCGAGCGGTGTAAATTTGAATCTGATTGGGTTATTGGAATGGAGGATTCCCCCCAGAGAGGTTATTGTACGGGAAATGAAGCGCATAGCCGAGCACTATGAGTTACAATGGGAACCTTCCATGGATCTCTTTGATAGCGAGAATGGTGCAGAGATTGCGGCTCGGACGGATGTTTTCGCGGATCGCCTGCAAGAGCGATCGTATCCGGGGCCACAGAGCGCCATGGCCGAGGAGCTCGATCTCATGCAACGATTAGACCGACTCCGAGACCTTCGGATCTGAGCGTTCCTTGTTGTCGACGCAAGCGATGACGAGTCTACCTCGGCATGTTTCGGACGCTTCGGTACTGGATTCGCAGCGCGTATCGGCGATGCGACCGGATGGAGCGCGATGCTCTGCAGCCGCGTTTTGGTCATTCGCCACCATTCGAATGGTGCATGACGTGTCGATGTGTCGTCAAGTGAGATTTTTCAGGCATTGCAGGGGCAGACATCAGGATACCCTTGAAGTGAACATTGTCTGTTTCGATACCTATGTCCGATGAACATGGGACACTGGACTGCTGGCTCTAGTCCTGGCTTGAGATTTTTATCGGAATGCTGTTCAGGTGTACAGCTTCGATAACCGAAGTGTAGCAATGGGGTCTTACAGATTCGTCCGAATTCTTGGGATTCTCGCTTGTCTCCTGGGCGTGGCGCTCTGGGCGCTGTGCCACTGGAAATCGTTGCGGCACCGCAAGACCGATGCATGGCGACGCCCTCGAACGAGGATTCGTAAACCAACCGGTTTCATGGTCCAGGTCCTGGGTAGCAATCTGCATGCTTTTCCGTGTCAAACAGATAGAGTATGCGCAGACTTTGCATGCATCAGGTTTTCTACCAATCAGGTTCAAGGGGATTTGTGGGCACAGCGATTCGCGCCGCTGGATGGACGAGAGCAAACACCCGAGATCTTCCCTGGATGACTTGATCACATAGCAATGCTGAGATAGCGCTGAACTCGGCAATGCGAATCATCGATTGCAGTCAACGTTTTTCTACGCCTTTTCCAGCCTGGATTTCGCTTGTTGTACTTGTTTTACCATTGACAAGATCGCGCTTTGCAAATCCTCTATCGAATACAACAGCGCGTGCTTGCGCTTGCATCTCACAAGAAACGAGCGGAGCGGATCACCCCGAAGATGCTCGTGATTCGTCGGGTATGCCATCGAGCGCGATAATGAAGCATGACATTCGTGGTAGACGTCGGTAACTGGTCAGCGTCATGTATCGAGCGATGAAGCATGCGTTCAGGCACCACTGGATGACGCTGGAAGGCGGAGGAGGCGGAGGCAACGCAGGAGCCAGACGAGGAGTTGGATGCGGGTGTGCGGTGAACGCATGGGAACACGTGACCGTAGCCAAGCGTCTACGGTGCAAAAGGCGTGTCGAGGCTGTTTACGAATGAGCTTCCTGGTCCGCAGCGTCCGCCTGCAGTTTGAATGCGTCGACAACAGCTGGGTGCGGCGAAATCGGCAGTTACGAGCTGCCCTCAACGTCCTTCGACCGCTGACAACGACTCGATATGGAATAGAGCCATCTGCGCCATTGAAGCCGGAGATCAGAGCGAGCGAGAGAGAGAGCGCGCGAGAGAGACGGAGAGAGAGGGAAAGCGTGCGGTTGCCGATAACGCCCACCAATGATGGTACTCATAATCGTTCGAAAAGCTGCCGAATTTTGAGCATATACGCCATTGTCAGTCATCATGCTGCATTTTACGCGAACACGTGTATTGAGGCAATGAGACAAGCGCTCGTCAGGCGGTGCGGCCGTGTTCAAGAGAACGCTTGTTGTTTCAGCAGATACCTGTTTTCTAAGAAGACGCTGCTACCGCTGATATCATCCACCAACACCACTATGTACCTGATTTGGCTTATATGGATCTGAGCTCCCGGTATCCTCAGTTACGGTAGCTCGCTGGTATCCATACCGGCAACGACATTCACCGTTCCAGGCGATGGGCATGCTCCGCATTCAGCACAAGGCACAGCAGCTCGCCCCTGTCCATATCGCTCGACTGAACTCATGCAAACACGCATCGAATCAGCGTACTTGCAGCAATCGACCAGGAGTCTTGCGTCCGAAACACAACACGTGGTTTGCTCCGGCCCGGAGCAGCGTGCACGGCATTGCCGGGCGTGCTCAACTACCGATGGTGGCCAGCGCTCATGCCAACGCGGTGCTTGTCGGTGTTGCTGCAGAGATGCGGCGATATCTGGGGCGCACATGTATCTGCTTCAGCGCTGGGTACGGTCTGGAACCCCGTCTATATCGTTCGGATAACGATGGCGAGCGCTGGGCCGCTGTGCACTCGACGCCAACCCGCTAGAACGCATACGGGGAGCGTTACCTGCCCTGCCAGCGTCGCGGTCATCGTAGAACGCGTGCAAGGAGCAGCTGCCTTTTCGATCCACCGAATCTATATACGAAAGAGGGTAGCACGCTTGCTATAAGCGACCGAGAAAGCGTCCATCATTCCATGGCATACTGCCGAATTCCATCAACCCTGGTCCCTTCGGAGATACTGGGCGTTTCTCATGTTCCATCGTGCGCCGAGTCTGCCGTGGATGCTCCCAGTGGCGTCGACAGCCCCGGTGCGAACGCAAAACTCGGAGACGAAAAAAACAAGAACACCTTCCCGAAACCACTGAGCGGGTGTCGTTGTGGGCGCCCCCCGTGCATGACCGTACGCATCCATGAGCCGTTCGCAGTCGTTCGCTGCAGCGGATACGCTTTTCGCAAAACGCGACCAGCATCGTCCAGAACGCTGTGCTGAGATCCTGCTCCCGGATGCCTGAGGCAAAACTGGTTTACAATCGTTCGAATATGTGACGAACGCGCACTAAATCTCCTCTTTGACGTGAACGTCTCGAACCTCGTTAATCACCGCCATACCGCGCTGGAGAAGGTCCACCATTCGTTTTGCGGTTGCACGTCGCTCCGCTACGTCGCTTGACTCGTTGAGCAGTTCGCTCATACGTTCGGGTTTGTAGAGATCAGCGACCAGACGCGACTGCATCCGGTCGCGGGCGCGGAGCACCAGGAAGCTCATGATTGCCTTTGGTACCATATCCATCATATTGACCCGCACAACATCGAAGTAACTCGCAAGAAGCGTCTGGATGAGCTCGATATCATCCCGATCGCGGTCGCTCGATACTTCGCCTGCTTTGAGGTGTTCCGGCACCGACGGGAGCGTGTGTAAGCCTCGGTTCCGGCGTTCGTTGCCGTCTTCCTCGTCCTCGTCCGCCTCATTGAAAAAGTTGTCCATCGTTGGGTCACCGCGCGGGTTCCGGTCAGAGCGCGCGTCCTTCTCGGCGTTCGACGCATCGGTCTTGTTCGGCGACTTGTCATCCTTGCGACGGGCATCGTCGTTCTTCTTCGCATTTTCGTCCTGGTTTCGCCGGCGAGGTTGAAGAATGCGATTGTCGTTTGCGTTGCTCTCTTTCGGTGCACTATTCGCGGCGTTGTCCGTACTGTTCGCAGCTTTCGCGGATCTAGTTCGGCGCTCTTCCTCTTCCATGCGAGCGCGCACAAGCTGACTCATTGCTTTGTTGCCGCCGATGAAATCCTTGTGATTCACGGAAATGTAGGATGTCTCCATGGCGATGAGGTTTTGAACCATCTCCAGACACGGTTGTTTCAACTCGCGTAACAGGTTTTGCGCGCAAGCCAAGATTTCGGAGCGCAGATTCTCATAGCGTTGCAGCAACTCTGTTTCACAGTTCAGCGCGAGACGCACGAGTTCGTCGTAGACCAAGTCAACGCAGGAGTAGGCCGGCGGGACAAAGTGGGTAATTTGTTTCTTGACGAGCAGCTCAAAAGCGAGCTCTGGTACGAAAAGCGGGCTGCGATGACCTGTCGCGTTGCGGATTGCTGTGCGGATATCCTCGCGAGTGAGGCCTTCGAACGCATTCATCGACTGCAGCTCCTTCGCGTAAATGTCGTTGAAGATGTAATTGATGCGCGCACCGCCATAAAGCTCCTGGGTATTCACCGTCTGCTGTGAGTTGCCCTCCAGCGATTTTGCAAACTCCGACGAGTATCTATTGATAACATTGAGGAGGGCGCCACCGAGATCGTCAGCGCCCTCAAACGCAGGTCCCAGCGTCTGCAATTCCTTGCGCCACTCTGCTAGCTGCTGCGACATTTTCTGGCGTATGCTCGGCAGCGTGTCACGAATGTGCTTCATAAGAAGCGTTGACAGTGTTCGTGCTAACGTATTCGTTCCCAGCTGTGGCAGCAGACGTCTGTACACCGGATGGGAGCGGAAGAAACGGATTTCATCCTCTCGCGCCTGTTGAATAGATTTACCAGCTCGCAGGTCTGCGGGCCCACGACAGATTACCCCAATGTAACCCAGTTTCAGAGGGATAACCTTCCCGGTCAGCATCTCCATGGCATCCGTTCCTTTGTCCATCAGGTCGAGCTTGGTGATGACACCCAGCGTGCGTCGCCCCTCTGGGTCCGCCTGGCGCGCTATCTGCAACGCATCGCTCGTAGCGAGATCCATTGTAGCCGGGTGCACAGCCAATATAATCGCGTTGGGACGCTCTATGTACGACAAAACCATAGCGCGAATGAGACGCTCGATATCCGACGGCTGGTCTCCGACCGGGACCTTGGTGAGTCCGGGCAGGTCGACGACGGTGAGGTTCACCACGTGCGGTGAGTACACCCGCAGGTTGATCGCTTTCGGGCTTATTCCCTTGTTTTTTCCAGTAACGCGATCTGTCTCTCGTTCTATTTCTGCGCGCACGTCGTCAAAGTTGTAGAAGCGCACACCGGGCTTGTGCAGAAACTCTGCATATGCCTGGTTCTCCGCGCCCGGCGGAATCGACCGGGGGTCCGTTGGCGCTCCATCCGACAGCACATAGCTTCCGTCCTCGTTAAACATGTTATCCGGGGCTCCCGACTGATTCAACCGCTCCCTCGCTGTGCAGTAAAGCTGAACAACGATGGGGCGGCGCGTTACAATACCCGTACCACGCGGAAAAATGGACTCTCCTACAACGTTCTCCAATACGCTCGACTTTCCCGAGGACTGGGCGCCCACCACCATAATCTGTGGCAGGTCGATTGGGCTGTCTAACCCAGTCTCGGCGAAGAGGTCTTGAAGTTTGTTTACGATAGGTATTAGGCGCTCCATGAAGCCTGTCGCGTTCGCCCGAGCAACGCGTACCCAGAGCGCCAAGCCTCGTTGTCAACGTTTCGTGCAGCACCGGGAACGGTGGCGTACCGTCCGTTTCGGACATTCTGGACACAGCATTAAAGCGGACACCAGCGCGATCGCTGCCCTGCATCGAACGCTTTCGAAGGCACACTGCGATCCGTGCACGCGCGCATGGCGCCGGTGGCGCCCACGGACAGCAGCGCGCTCCGATGGCGCGCAGGTCCAGTGCCAGCGTGTCCGATTTCATCGATGCCTTAGCTTCTGGTGCTGTGGTGGTTTTTTTTGATGATCGGTGATGCATCCGTGCATGCAAGCATCCGTGCATCCAAGCATCCGTGCATCCAAGCATCCGTGCATCCGTGCATGCAAGCATCCGTGCATCCAAGCATCCAAGCATCCGTGCATCCAAGCATTCATGCATCCGTGCATCCAAGCATTCATGCATGGATATTGCATATGCTAGGGGCGTGACACGGGGCTCCCGCTACCCGAGGAAGCGTGGCATGCTCCGCTCCAGCGTCCTCTGGGTACCAACAACACCACTCCTGGTTTTCCATCGGATAGAGGCGGTATTTGGTAGTATTTTCGAGACTTGGACGACGCTACATTCGATGCAGAGAGTTTTTGTGAAGTGTACCCATCAGTCTGTACAGTGGTCAGCGTACTTGCGCAGTGGTGCGTGCCGCTGCGTCGCTCGCGCCGCTCCACAGCGTTGTACACATGTTCCTGCGACTGTGAACGGGGGCGGACTGTGCTCAGCGCCTCCGTTTTGCTGTGGTCACTGCGTTCCTCTCGTGTGGCCGTCCGCGCTGCTGCATGCAGCGAAGCTGTCAGTAATGCCAGTTGGCGTCCGAAGCCGACGACGAGCTCCGAATCTCCCTGTTGAACGAACCTCGTCTCTAGTCGAAGTCCGCTGAGGCGTAGCGGCACCGTCACGGCCTCGCAAGGCGTCCGCGGTATCCGCATGGTTGTTGTGGATCGCTCAAGCCTCTCTTGGCATCGGCTAGGCTCGTCTGGACAGCTTTGAAAGAATGGAGGAATCTAGAAGGGAACGGCGGTCGTTTGCTCCTAACTGCCCACTAGATCTGCGCAACTGGGGTTCTTCGGATAGGGTCCTCGATCCCGCGGCAGACGTCATGCGTCGCTGGTTGCCATGCGCTCGACATCCGCGCCAAATAAAAATAGAGCACAGAACTGCTGGCTTCTGCCTGCCTTTCGATTTTTCGAACCATTATAAGATGTACAACGCCGACATTCGAACTGCAGGAAAAAGGGCTTACGTGTTCATGTGCAGTTTTAGGATTCTCAGGAGCCTGTTCGGAGTCGCGCCGCGGACGCTTTGCTGCAGGATTTTTTGTAACGTCATCTGAGTCAGGATGGCTGGCGACGCTCTAGAACGAGGGTTCGTTCAGTAGTGGATATCATCATGCAATGGATACGTACGAGTATCCGCGTTTCTCCTTTTCTTACGTGTAGCATGCTCGAACTACATATTGCTTAACATTGGATGTTTCTGTTGCAACTCGTGTGTGCGCAGCATTTTGTGTATTATGATTTCGGAGAAAAAGGGCTCGACCTCATCCATTGACGGCTTTTTTCACGAGCTCATGCAGAAAAATCAGTATAGTTTGCGCGTCAAATAATCGATTCCTTTCGATACAGAAAATCGTCTTTCTCTATGAGCATGGACGAGACAACATTCTACAGCAGCAGCAGCAGCAGCAGCACGCTTTTGAGCGGATATGGTGCCAGAGGCTCCCATCTCCTCTGTTAGCATGGAAAATGGTCTTATACCCGGACCGGAGGCGATGCAGGGATCAACTTCATTGGGGAGCGCGGTACCGCTTTGCACGAATGGAGCATAGATTGATTGGAAGTTTTTCGACGCCTTTTCCAGCCTGGATTTCGCTTGTTGTACTTGTTTTACCATTGACAAGATCGCGCTTTGCAAATCCTCTATCGAATACAACAGCGCGTGCTTGCGCTTGCATCTCACAAGAAACGAGCGGAGCGGATCACCCCGAAGATGCTCGTGATTCGTCGGGTATGCCATCGAGCGCGATAATGAGGCATGACATTCGTGGTAGACGTCGGTAACTGGTCAGCGTCATGTATCGAGCGATGAAGCATGCGTTCAGGCACCACTGGATGACGCTGGAAGGCGGAGGAGGCGGAGGCAATGCAGGAGCCAGACGAGGAGTTGGATGCGGGTGTGCGGTGAACGCATGGGAACACGTGACCGTAGCCAAGCGTCTATGGTGCAAAAGGCGTGTCGAGGCTGTTTACGAATGAGCTTCCTGGTCCGCAGCGTCCGCCTGCAGTTTGAATGCGTCGACAACAGCTGGGTGCGGCGAGATCGGCAGTTACGAGCTGCCCTCAACGTCCTTCGACCGCTGACAACGACTCGATATGGAATAGAGCCATCTGCGCCATTGAAGCCGGAGATCAGAGCGAGCGAGAGAGAGCGCGAGAGAGACGGAGAGAGAGGGAAAGCGTGCGGTTGCCGAGAACGCCCTCAACACCTGATGTTGATAGCACTGGGAAGAGACCCAAACTTTTGTGTGGATGCCAGTGCTATGCCCGTGCACTCGTTCCGATTTTTTCAGACAACGATGCAACGTACTCTGCAGTGTTCGGAGCAGTGGATCCGAAATACGCCGTTTCCTGCGGCCTGACGGTGCGGTGTCGGGACCCGTCGAATGCTAAAAATAGATATGCTCCCATAGCCGGCCAAGATGAACTGGTAGGCAACCGTTGAAGGCCATGTTGCTGAAACATGCGGAAGAGTCCTTGTCCATGACCAGGGTCCGAGATGTTTTCTCCCCTGCACCCCAGTAGCAGAGCTGTACCCGCTTCCTCAACTGCGTTGGTGGCGTCCGCTCACGCTGCAAATTCCCAGACTTGGGTTTTTGTTGCTGTCTAGCCTAAGAGGCATGTCCATGAGCAGCGCTTGGCGACCAGGTGACCTTCGTTGCCGCAGGGCGAGCTCCGAAAGGCATCACGTTCAGGAGTCACATGCTACGGTCGGAGGCGAGCTCGCTTACCAGCAAACCAGCGCCCCGTCTATACTATCGTCTGGACGAGCAATCGCTGACCGAGCCTTCCGACCGCCAGGCTATCCAGGAACTGAACAATGCCCAGAATGCGAATCGTGCCTCTGCTGAACACTAGGCGCTTTGACGACAGCGCCTACGCCTTTGACTGGACTGAGCTAGACAGCATTCGCTGGCCCGAACAGCCGCTCGCTACCAGTCTCCGCTGGGTCCTCCGCGACCACCTCTGAGCGTTGCGAATCGTCATTGCTCAAGAACAGGACAGAGAAATCTGGGAAGCGAAACCACACACTGCTTCGACTGAGGTATTGATTGTTAAACGATCATGCCCATTTCGTGATTTATAGACGAGCGTCCGGATGCATCGCAGCTAAGGCTAAAAGTGTCGGCATGCTCGCTTGTCTCTGACTGACAAACAGCGAGTTGCGCGTCTTTGAGTTCCCGTAGTCAGGTCCCTCGTTGGTCGCCAATGACGTTCCATTGAATGAAATGAACATCTGCCCCGCCTCTGATCATCCATCGCGACTCCATTCGACTCGAGGATGACGAGTTCCGCGCGCGACGCACCCGTGTCGAGGCGTGCTTTTTTTCTGCGTCCATCCGAGTATCTTCATCACCGTTCAAATCAACTTCAAATGAACCTCGCACCCTGCTGCTTTCTCGGTAGTATTTCGTAGGGATCCTATGTGTGAAATGGATTGATGAGAACAGAGTCGTGAAGATGGAGTCTTACAAGTTCCGTTTTGGGTGCACCACGTTCATGAGAAGGACAACGCGAGGAGTGATTCATGCACCGGCTGATCGTGGAGCAACTGACCGGTAGGGGTCAGGTACCTGTTCGCAATCCACCAGTGTCGCCATACAGTCTTTACGCGACCTTTCCCCAATTCACAGGACACATTACTTTTCTTGAATACCTGTGAGAACAAGAAAAAGTCACAAAAACGGGCCCCTGGCACAAATATCCAGCATACATCGTTCTGAGGTGAACGTCCACCGATGCCCTGCATTCTAAAGCGCATACGATGAGATACCTGCTTCCGCATATTGAAGCACGGAATCTCTATCCGCCAAACAGCGAAGCGTCTCCCACAACGTCCCGCGGTGGCGATTCCGACACCGTCAGCGTCTGTTGCATGCGTTGAGCGAGCGCATCATGGGGATGCTCGGAAGCGGGATCCGTATGCTCTGCTCTTTGCCGCTCGGTTGTCTCCTGAAGCGCCTCGTCGTCGCTCGCATTGGAGAGAGAATCCGAGCTAGATTCATAGTTGCGTTCTTCGTATTTGGTCTCATCCGCATTTGCATCATCGACGAAGAGCTCTGGCCGGTATTCGAAAAGATCGCGGCCTGAAAGGCCATACGCCAGTGCCACTTTGTGCCTGACGTAACTCGAATTGCCCTGTGTGCCCATGCGTTTCAGCGCCTGATCCCGTTTGCGTTGCTCGCGCTCCTCTCTTTCCTTTCGCTTCCGCTCTTTCCACTCGAGAAATCGTTCCAAAGTGACCGGCGTATAGGTTGAGATGAGTGCGCGCTCTCGCTCAATCTCGTCCTCGAGGGCAGCAGCCTCAGAAGCCGCGGTCTGATCATTCACACCCTCGTCATTCGCCTTTTTCAGCTTCAGAACGAAACCAGGAGGCAGTGCATGGCGATATGGGCACTTGTCGCCACCATTTGGACACGTCCAGAACCAACCGTATCGACCAGCCTCAAGCGCATCTAGAAAATATCGACAGACGATTTGCGTAGCGTTCCGTTGATTCTGTGATCCGTGCCGCTGTTGAATGACCTCCTCCAGCTGTTTCATATCCCAACTGGCCATCTCTGTTCCTGACGGAGCTGGTTGACTGTTCGAGGTTGCTGCTTTCTGCTCCCGGAGATCCGTGTAGAGATCTACCTTGTCGTTCTGACGCTGCGCCTTTGGACCCGCGGGAACTGGCCGAAAGTACTGAGCCAGTTCTGCCGCTCGGGCTGCCTCTGCTGCCTTCCGGGACTGCCGCTGCGCAGGCTCGGTCTGATGCGAGCCCTTTCGCGAGCCGCCAACCATTTGTTCCGCTTGCTTCTGGACCTGTTCGACGTAGCGTTGCACTTTTTTCGATTTGTTCTTGTTTTTCATTCCGAAAGTCTTGTCCTCTACGATCTTCTTCTTCTTCTCTTCGGCAGCTTTGCCTTTAGGCGCTGCAGCTTTCTTTCCAGCCATGATGATGTATTCAAAACTCTCAGCAGTTTCTCTCCAGTATTTCAAGCTCTGGACTGGTAGTTGTCGCAGAAAAATTCCCAGGTTGCGTCCGCCGATCCCTGTGTTCGACGTTTGTATTCGTTTCGCTGCACCTCTCCTTGCTATGTCTCGGTTCTAGAGAAAGCAGGTGGCTGTGCTTGCGATTGCGCTCTGCACTATCGTACTCTAGTAGAGCTCAGCGTCGAGCGCCGACCGCGCGCTGGCGTCCTCTAGTCTCTCTCCGAGCCTCCAGTCTAGCTCGACAATGTCGGACAAGAGCGTTGCCCTGAGTCAAACGCGTAGCGCGTGGTGGTGCTCTCAAAAGCTCACAGGCAGCCCAGGTCTGCGGCACCACTGCCGCTGCACGTCGCCAACGTGTACGCAACTTTGGCAACGCACAAACCAGACCCAGTCTAGTTCAATCTATGTCCAGCAAAACAGCTGGCCTCGTGCAAGCCTCTAATCGCTCGTGGCAACGACACACACTGCGTCCTGCAAGTGTTCGCCGCGACTCCGTCGTCGAAGTCGTTGTCGTTGTCCTGTGCCACACCGCGCTACGCTGCCACAGTACGAACCGACAACGCCTCCTGCGCAAGCAAGTGACCAAGCGGTTCCCAAATCAATCCAGCAAGCGTCTGTAGAAGAGCGTCCTCAGCTAACCGCTGCTGCACGCTCCTTTTCAAGGTTCAGTGTCCGGCTTGTTCGCCCGGGCGCGCCCCTGCGGCAGCCGGTGTCTAGTACCGCAGGCGCCTCCGCAGCAGCCCTGAACGGAGTGTGTGTATTGCCCGCTCTGCTTATGGTGCTTGCCCGGGGTGCTCGTCTGGTAGCGCTAGCAACCCTCGCTGGAGTCGCTTTGAACACAAACCTTCGTCGCAACGCCATGTACGCACTAAAGGCGGTTCAGTTCCTGGTACACGGCTCGTGGTCGTATACACGCGGTGGCTTCGAAAAGCACCAGCGAGCATACTTCCGAGCGGAGGATGTGGCGGTTGATCTGCACGACAAGCACGTGCTGATCACTGGAGCGAACTCCGGTATCGGGTACTGTGCTGCGGAGGCGTTAGGTCTACGCGGAGCCACAGTGCACCTGCTCTGCCGGAACAGCGAGCGCGGTGAAGCCGCCAAGATGCGGCTGGTGCAGAAGCTCTCGGAGCGCACTGGTGCCGCTACAGGGGTTTCGGTGTCGACGTCAGCGGCGGAACGCGTTCATCTGCACGTCGTGGACGTGAGTGAGGCGCACAGCATCAGACGGTTTGTTCAAGACTATTTGGAACGCGGTTTCCCAGCGCCGAACGTGCTCGTGCACAATGCAGGCGCGATGACCAGTCCGTGGAAGGCGACCAGCGAGGGCGTCGAAGTGAACTTTGCGACGAACGTCATGGGACCTGTGCTTCTCACAGACCTCTTGCTTCCGTCGATGCTCCAAAGCGACGGCGGAGACCATAGAGTTATTTTCGTAACGAGCGCCGGTATGTTGACCGAACGATTGGAGACGAAAGATCTGGAGTGGCGTGATCGGGCGCGTTTCGATGCCACTCGCCAGTACGCTAAGAACAAACGACAGCAGGTTGCGATTGTGGAACAGTACGCCCGCACCGTATCACCGGACAAAGTACTTTTTGTTGCCTGCCACCCAGGATGGGCAGAAACGCCCCTTGTCCAGGAGGCTATGCCAGGATTCTATGCTCGCCTCAGAGGTAGTCTTCGAACGGCGGATCAGGGTGCAGACACCATCGTCTGGCTCTCGTGCGTTCCGCGGAGTCGCATAGAAGATGGTATGCTCTATTTTGATCGCAACATTGTTCCCAAACACCTGCCGCTCTCGGATACATCGTATCACGTTCGAGATGCAGAGGAATTGCTCCGCAAAGTTCGCCAGCGCATTGACGAAATTTCCGCAAAAGCGGAGTCATCCGCTGCGAGAGTAGCTGGTGCAGAGACCTGATGCACCACCTATGCATCAAGATCGTGTCTAATGCGGAATGCACGACAGGTGGGGTATACGGATGTGAGCCCCCGGCTCAGAGACAAAGGCCAGCGTGCTGCTTTCTCCAAATCCTGTTGATGCATCAGCAGAGGCGCTATGTTGGCCTGTTCTGCTTCCGAAATGTGTATTCGTTGTGCGATACAGGGTACCGACACACCGCTTGTCGTTTCCTGCGAATGAGGGGTAGCGGCAAATTCGCGCTGCACCTGTTGCACGTTCTAGCCCTGTGCCTTCTTTCGGGGCACATGAGCAGCCTATGCGCGTGCTCGCAACCATTGACGAACGTTCCGTGGATGCATGCTTTTGTTAGGCGCTCCTCTTGGCACGCCGATTGCACACTGAATCCCATGGTGCGTTGAAATATCGTCGATGCTGTCATCTACGATGCTCATTTCATTGTCAAAATACGCTTGTGCACTGTTACGAGTCGCGGCATCGAATCCAGGTGCTTCCTCTTTCTCTCGAAATACGATCACCGCTTTGTAGTGGCGTTCTTTTTGTACAGCAAACGCGAGCTTGCTGAACCCAGAGCGCTCGCCGATCCGTTTGTGAGCGCCGCTTGGACTGCGTGGAACCCCCTGCCCCCGTAAAACCGTAGACACACCGATGCTTTTGAAGCCGCACCATCGCTTTCACATACCAGCGATACAATCAACAGGTAAAGAACAGCGAAAAGCAGTCCTTCCGTGGAATACCTCGCGCTTATATGCAAACTGGCGCAGCAGCAGCAGCAGTATCTGTCGCAGGCGGCGGCGCTGCACGTCAGGACTGCATACAGCACCGAAGGATTCCGCTCCCGAGTGCTGATTTTACAGAGAAAACTCCTGGGGGTCTTAGAATGCTTCATTGGACGGTCGTTTCTGACATAGACGAGAGACGGACTGGTTCAATAGGGCGCTCATTTGAGCACGATACCAACCTTTCAACGCGTGGTACGCCTCGGAGCCAACTATACTCGCTTTGGCGTGCGAGAGGCCCACGTCCATCGGAGTGAGCCTGTAATCGTGAAGGCACCATCGATGTGAACAAACCACCAGGCACTTTTGCTGTCAACATCTTTTCAGAAAACTATTTTCTAGTTCCAAAATTGTTGGATTCTGACACTTACTGGCACTTTTTCTGTCAACATCTTTTCAGACAACTGTTTTCTAGTTTCAAAATTGTTGGATTCTGACACCACCAGGCACTTTTTCTGTCAACATCTTTTCAGACAACTGTTTTCTAGTTTCAAAATTGTTGGATTCTGACACCACCAGGCACTTTTTCTGTCAACATCTTTTCAGAAAACTATTTTCTAGTTTCAAAATTGTTGGATTCTGACACCACCAGGCACTTTTGCTGTCAACATCTTTTCAGACAACTGTTTTCTAGTTTCAAAATTGTTGGATTCTGACACCACCAGGCACTTTTTCTGTCAACATCTTTTCAGAAAACTATTTTCTAGTTCCAAAATTGTTGGATTCTGACACCACCAGGCACTTTTTCTGTCAACATCTTTTCAGACAACTGTTTTCTAGTTTCAAAATTGTTGGATTCTGACACCACCAGGCACTTTTTCTGTCAACATCTTTTCAGAAAACTATTTTCTAGTTCCAAAATTGTTGGATTCTGACACCACCAGGCACATTTTTTCTTTAATATTTTTGCAGGCAACTGTTTTCGTTTCGAACTCGCTCCATCCTGAGGCCAGGCAACGGTACATGATCCGCGGGCTACCGCGGCGAGGTTTACGAAACATCGCGTACACGATGACACTTGGGTCGGCTTCGGATACCAAGGGACGGAAAGCGCTGAATGAGTGCGTTCCGCTATAGCAAGACCCAGTAGACAAGCTTCTCCGCAATGAACTGGTTCTGTATTTTTCATCTGGGAGGACTTGTTCTTTTCTTTCGTGACCTTAGCGAAGCGAGCGATGCGGGAACCGACGACCAGCACACAAGCGCACAGCCCGAGAGCGTCCTCCGCGACCTTGTCCGCACTGTGCTGCTTGCCGAGAAAGCTGGAGCCCGAATCGCACAGCTACGCAAGCAGCATCTCGTAGCCTGGCGGGCAGCGAACCAGTTTCAACTGGTGTTTGCAGCAGAGGCCCCCAGTACGCTCGAGCTGCACCTACTGGAGCAGTTTCTTGAGTGCTGCCGTTCGAGTTTCTGCCAAACGTACGGAAGCTTGCTTCAGCGTCGACGCTGGTCGACCGAGAGTGACTTTGATAGCTTTGCTGAAACTGTTGATCGTGCTCGTGCAACGCTCCAGCTCGGTAACACAAGGGCAGTGTTCGCGGCAGACGAGCACGCTCACGTTGGGGCGGCCCTCCAGCGGGGGCGCGTTTCGAGCCCTACACCAGCCGCTAATACAAGGTCCTCTGTGCAAACTCTCGAAGATTCACAGAGCGCCGTACCTTCGAGCTTGTCTGCACCGACTACTGACGCACCCGACGTGCATGCACCGGGACATGCTGGCAGCATCAAGGATACGCTTGCAGATGATGACGTGCCGATACGGTCGAATGCCGAGCCCTTGATGAATGCATCCATACCCGTGGAAGCAGCAGCGCTCGAAACGAGTACACACCCGAGCAACCAAGCGAAGAAGCTGTCACGAGGGAGCATTCAGCGGCACTCAGCACGTCCTGAACAGCGACGTCCGCCGAAGAAACATACCAAACTAGCGGCTGGACGCCGTTGGGATGATAGCATCCCGACTGCCGAGGAACTCGCTGCTCTGGACCTCTCCGGGGAGGCGAGCTGTCCGCTGGGTAGCGCCGATGATGTGGGGCGCGCTCGCGCCGCCTACCTCGAGACACAGCCTCGCGCGTCTATTTTCGAAAACTTAACCACAGATGAGGAAGCTACAAACAATGACATGGAGCGCGACGTGGGAGCAGATGGCGCAAGAGGCAGCGGGAATCTCTGGAGAACCCTCGGTCGGCTCGCTGGTTCGAGGCCATTAACCCGTGCCGATCTTGAAAAGCCTCTTCAGTATTTCCGGGACCGTCTCATTGCACGGAATGTTGCTCCAACTGTGGCAGAGAAGCTCACCCAGTCGGTTGAGGCTTCGCTTGAGAATCGAACTTTGGATGCGCTTACCGTGCATCGCATGGTTCGCGCTGCGGTCGAGGATGCGCTCCAACGAGTGCTGCAGCCTCTGCACGGAACGCAGGATCTTGTTCTAGCTATTGAACAGCATCGACAACGAGCTAGTATTCGTCGTCCTTTTGTGATCGTCTTTACTGGAGTCAACGGTGTCGGAAAATCAACGACGCTCGCGAAGATCGCCTTTCTTCTCTTACAACACAATCTGCGCTTGCTCCTGGCAGCAGGCGACACCTTTCGCGCTGGCGCCATTGAGCAGCTTCGGATTCATGCGCGCTGCCTGAATATTCCACTTTATGAACGAGGCTACGGTAAGGATCCATCGTCTGTAGCTGCGGCTGCCATCTCCCAAGCCGAGCAGGAGCAGCGGGATGTCGTCCTCATTGACACCGCCGGTCGCATGCAAGACAATGAGCCGCTCATGAAAGCATTAGCTGCATTGGTGCAGCGAGCAGCTCCTGAGCGCTTGTTCTTCGTAGGCGAGGCTCTGGTCGGGAACGAGGCCATCGACCAGCTGGTCAAGTTCAATCAGGCGTTGCTCAGGTATCAGCAGGGCAGCGGTGGCAAACCTCGCCTCATTGATGGCATTATTCTGACCAAGTTTGATGCCGTCGACGAGAAAGTCGGTGCCGCTGTCACGATGATGTACACGACCTCGATACCGATTGTCTTTGTGGGCACTGGCCAGACCTACCATGACCTGGAACCCGTCAACATCCCGAAACTTGTCAAAGCGCTTGTACGCTGAATGCACGGGGCCCTACACCTTGCGCATATTATGGCGCTTTACGATCATCCGCGGGGGCAAGTGCCGCCCCTGCAATGACACGGAAATCCACACAAAGAACACGTTTGATGCTGACAAGAGCATCTACGGATCGGGCATGATTCTCCTTCTTGTCGCTGTCGCCGTACCCCATACGTAGAAGGTACCTCTTTGGCGCCAGGGTACACCGAGACGATGTCCGCTGACTCTATGAAACGGAAAGCAAATCAGTGGCACATGGCTCCACTGGGTCTCTGGTGCGCATCTGAGGCAAGTCGTGGCATCATTATGAACTGGTGTCCGGTTGCAGGACGCCAGCACTACCTGAGTCTGGCAGCGCATTCTCCCGGCGTTGTTCACGGGACGCGCAAGTGCCTGCGAAAGCGGTGACGAGGATATCCCCTGAACCGGAGACGACAGGGGGCGGGGGTGGTCGTATCCCTGGCAACCGACAGCGCTGAAGCATCCGAAAGCGTGACGGCAGGTGCACGATTCCCCCAGTATCATACCTGGCAACAAGTGCGAATCTGGAAGCGTCTGTTTCAAGTTTTCCATCAGAGACCAGAGAGAACCGCCTATTTTGACGTGGATAAAGTGCAGCGCAGTGCAGTGCAGTGCAGTGCAACTCGAGTAGACGACGCTTGCAAGCCTCGGATGGTTTTGAGGATCAAAAAGGACGCATGCTCGACGCCCTGATGTGAGAGGTCTGCTCGGACTCTACGAGGAAACGCGAGCTCCTTTGCGCATCTAAACTTTACGTCTTGCCGTTGATTGCGCAGAAAACCCGGCAAGTACCCTGCTTCGAGGGCAATGAGACAAGCTGTTTAAAAATTAGCAGTACTTTGGTGAAGCTGGCGCTGTTCAAGATGCTCGAAACGCATCTTTTCTTCCAGGTTAATGCATTAACATATATGAAGCATTTGCCGCTGCAGTTCAACAGTCCAGAATCAAAGAAAAATGAATAAGAGCAAACCTATCATCACGCTTTGGAAGGCGTGCGTGTTCACAGCATTTTCTTTGCTAGACCGCATGCCTTGTCAAATGTGTCAGAGGCGCGGTTTCCATCGGAATTCGTCCTACAATTCTAGTTTTACGTTGGTGAGAAAAACAATCTCCACGGTACCATTTCCTAGAGCAGGGTGCAGCTCATCACGAAGAACGGTACTTCTCGGGGTCTTTGGTGTCGAACGATTTCACCGGCGTCTTCGAATATCTCCCAGAAGAACAGGGGATGTGTGTGCTACTTTACCAGTACTCCGGTAAAAATGCGAAAAGTTCCACTGCTACGAGCGCCCGCGCAACGAACACACTAGGTCAATGCTGCGTCGCACGCGTACCAGCTTCTGTCTGCAAACAGGGTGTTCAATGCCTGCTCCTCGTCATGTTTCTCAACAGATGCTATGGATGCACAGCAGAGTTCCAATGCCTCTGCGAAAACGTGTCTTATTGTCTGCTACTTGTTTAGCGTCCGAGTCTGTTCCATGCGCGCGCAGCGGGTCTTCAACGTGTGTCGCATTTCAAACGCATTCAAACACCAGACAAGATGCAGCAGTGTCAGTGCCTAATCCGCCGACACGCTTTACGAATCCTATTCTAGACGGGGAAACACTGGCTCTGGGGTGCGAAAACGCACACCAGGCTGCAACAGGTCTCTGCGGGCGTTCCACTCGGTGTCATGCCACGAAGGCACGAATGCCGCTGCTGTGCTCGCTACCTCGCCTGGCCCCGCTACAGGGTAGCAGAGCGCGCGCAGCATGCGCTCACTGGTCTCGGGGATCAGTGGCCACAACGCAACACCAAGGACTCGCACGGCTTCGAGAATAACGGCGAGAACAGCAAAAGCTTCGGACTTGGTCTCTGGATTGCGTAGTTTGGTCCATGGTGCTTCGTGATCGATGAAGCTGTTCGCTTCCGAGGCGATACGCATGAGCGCTTCGGCTGCTCCTGAGAAGTCCAGTTTCTCGTATGCAGCTGCTGCTTCAGCGGTGCACGTTCGGGTAAGGTCTGCCAAGGGATGCGCACTTGGTGCTACAACCGGCAATGATAGATTGTTGTGTCGTTTCAGAAGGTTCAGCGTTCGATTGAGAAGGTTGCCAACACTATTCGCTAGTTCAGCATTCACTATCTGGATGAAGCGATCGCGCGAGAAATCACCGTCGCGACCAAACTCGATACCACGCAGGAAGTAGTATCGCACTGCATCAGCGTTGAATTCATCCACCAGGGCATGAGGATCGAGGGTGTTTCCGAGGGATTTGCCCATTTTCATGCCATCCTTGGTGAGAAATCCATGACTAAATAGTTGCTGGGGTGCGTTCAGTCCTACTGAATGTAGCATGGCAGGCCAGTAACACGCGTGAAAACGCGTAATGTCCTTTCCGAGGACGTGAACGTGCGCCGGCCAGCCGCGTTCTTCGACTTTTTCGAGCTGCGGCGGTTCATCTTCATCGAAGAGCGCAGTCAGGTAGCCGAGCAGCGCATCAAACCATACATAGATAGTTTGGCTCGCATCGTTCGGCATTGGGATACCCCAGGGGTTCTTGGCTCTCGAGACGCTGAAATCGCGGAGACCTTCGCGGACCCAGGAGAGCACCTCGTTGCGGCGCTCGGCCGGTCGCATAAAGTCGTCGTTTGCCAGCAGTGCCTCAACCTGGGCCTGATATCGCGATAGACGGAAGAAGTAGTTTTCCTCCGCTCGCTGTTCGCAGCGCTTGAGATGCAGTGGACACTGGGTGTCCTCCACGAGCTCCTTGGGGTCTTTGTACTCCTCACAGCCGGTACAGTAGAGTCCCTCGTAGCTTGCCTTGTAGATGTCTCCCCGCTGCAACACTCGTTCCATGAATGTCATGACCATGGCTGCATGGTTCGCCGATGTTGTCCTAATAAATCGATCATATGAGATGTTGAGCTTCGCCCAAAGCGCCCTGAACTCCCCGGAAACAAGGTCGCAGTGTTCTTGCGGTGTGCGACCCGCAGCCGCAGCTGCCTGTGCAATTTTCTCACCGTGCTCATCAGTACCCGTTATAAAACGCACTGCACGCCCCTGCATTCGGTGGTATCGAGCCAACGCATCGCAGGCCATAGTAGGGTAAGCACTTCCCATGTGAGGAGCCGCGTTGACGTAAAACAAGGGCGTCGTGATAACGAGTGGCTGAGCCGGACGCGCTTCGGCCCCCGACGGCTGATGCCGCTGCCTCACACTTGCCTTTAACCAGCGCACGTTTTTGGATCCAGATTGCCGACAGCGGCACCCGTCTGGAGCACCTCTCCAGCTGAGGAAAGCGCCAAGCAGTTGTACTGAGGTGCGCGGTGCTGCAGACCAACGCTCTGTGCCCGTCAGGGACACGCCGTACGCCAAAATCGGACTCCAGCTGGTCGCCTTCCGTCGCATTTTCCTCCAGTCTATATTAAGTTTGTCTAGATCGTCTTGGTTGAAATAGAAACGGGGTCAGCCGCAGCGCACCCGGAGACGCGAAGCTGCTCGAGACTAGTAGCAACTTTTGTACACGAGCGCGGTGGTGGCGTTCACGTCACAGTGCGCTGCTCTTGTACACAGGTCGACGGATCGAGTGCCTTTCGTGTTTGCTTGGGGTATCGGATGGTTGAGATGGAGTCGGTATCCAGGAGGGCGTCGATGATGGCGCACCAAACCACCCAGGTCCAACAACGACTATCACCCATGCTTCCAACTGGAGTTTGAACCAGTTTGTACGATCCTCTGGACGCTGAGCTTGCCGTCAGTGCCTGCTATGCCGCTGTACACAAACAGAATCGCTTTGCTGGACTCTTTTGGGTTTAAGCTCCAAGTTCGAGGCGGGCGTTGGATGCATCCAGTGCGAGTGCCCGGTTCGTGCGGATAATACCCGATACCAGAATAGAGGTCACAGGTCGTAGACTGACATTCCTGTGTTCTATGACTTCGTGTCTAGAATTCCCGTATGGAATGGAGACAAACTGCATCCCGCACAACTAGGGATGCTGGGCAGCATTCGCGGATGCCCTGTGGAGAATTCCCGTATGGAATGGAGACAAACTGCATCCCGCATAGCTAGGGATGCTGGGCAGCATTCGCGGATGCCCTGTGGAGTATTCCCGTATGGAATGGAGACTTCATCCGTCGTGCAACCTTGTAGATGCTGGACACGTCGCAGGCCTCGCACGAAGGCAGTGTATGGCATGTGATGCATCTGCGAGTGTCAGCTCGAGGCATAAACGAGCCTGCATCCTGTGCAGGTGACGTTAGCAACAACAGGAACGCGCAGTGCTCAACTATTCGTTAGCGCTGTGTGGGTGCTTCGCTAGGAGCTGGCGCTTTGTCTCCAAAGTCGTTCATGAGCACGAAGCAGTCTTCTTTGGTTGCTCGTGCATACTTTGGGCGGAATCACCGTCCCAAAGTTTTCAACTGGAAAACTTTTCGCGGAATTTGGGTAAAGGAGCGGCGAAAGAAAAGGATTACGCTCGAGTACAGCTCTCTGCCGAGCGCGCAGCCCTTGAATAGCGGTACCTGGTTTTCTGGACACGGGGCGACTGCGGCTTTGTTGACCTCGTTATCGCTAGGTATGCTTTTTTTCTCTCTGCGCACAATTTTGCGCGGGTAGGTACGAACCGTCCCTGTGAACGATCCTCGTGAAAGGTCGCTTGCGCGGTGGCGTGTAGGAAGCGAGAACGCTGATCGGTTGAGGTAGCGACGTGGGGCTTCCTGCGGCTGGCCAGACGTACTGCAGAAGCCAGACATGTGGCTAATTGAAAGGATACACGCGGAAATCTGGTTACACAAGTAGAACTAAAGCGGAGCGGTGTTTCTCAGGTTCGACACCAACCTCAGGCTCGCGTTTCGCAGTCAGCAGTTGTCGAGGGAATATGTCCCATTCGCTCCTGTTGTGAGCGCGGCTGGCAACTTGTAAAGGGACGGACGACGAAGTGGCAATTCCCTTAGAGCAGGATACAGCATCCCTGAGAATATACAGCGCGTCAGCTGCGAGGCATACATCTCAACCGGCGATGCCATACTGCACGCTTTTTGCGAGACGTACAGCTCATCTGTCGATGCAGGATGGCGCTTTACCCGCACCGGTGCACAACACATCCACCAATGTATAGCGCTTCGACTGAAATCGGATGCATGCCGTTCGTTCGTTAAGCGAGAATCGTAGGCTCGCTGCCAGTGCCCAAGAAACCATTTTTATGACCGAAAGCCTGCTTGCACCATTTGTCTTCATAAGACTGGGGCTCGTCATCTATATGCAGTCGGCAATGGTGCACAGTGAGCAAATCCTCAACCGGATTGCAGTCCGCCAATCCTAGTCGAGTTCGGGATGAATTCGAACGTCACGATCATCATCGTATTGGAGCAGCAGATTCGCACGCAGCAGCAATTCACCGATGCTGTCTTCATCAGTGGCAGAGTAAGGAACGAATTGTACGATTGCGTAGTCTTCTAGCAAGGCACCTATCCGTTCATTGAGAGCTCGGTACCGTGTATCCATCTGTTCACTGAGCTCCGAAACAAGCGACTGTATATCAGGATTGAGGAAGCGCTCCAGGAACTCATCAAGTGCCTCGTCAGAGTTGGGTGCCTCAGCGTCCGAGGACAAAGGCTCCAGCGTGTTATCGCGATGCTCGATCCTGTGTCGCAGCAGGTCCGCTTTGCTGAGGACGTTAAGGTGTGGCAACCCGAGATGCAGCATTGCTGCCATGGCGGTAAGCGAGCCCGCGAAAAATTTTGATGCATCGGCGAGAAACTGTGCATCAAGAAGGAATATGCTGCATACACGCATGCTGAACTGGCTCTGGAGGACGTAAACGAACTGCCGAACGCACTCGAAATGCGTATACAGTTCTATCTGACCCGGCATATCAAAAACCAGGTAGTCGTCCTCTGCTGTCTCAGAGAGAACTTGCTCTAACCAGTCTTGATCTTCAAGCAAGTACTCCATGCAGTAGACTAGGGATCCGTTCGGGCCTAGACTAAGTTCTTCCGCAACGTCTGTGACAGTGATAAGATCCCGAATATCCGCAACAGGCTTGTACTCGAAACGCTCGGCAGCAGGGTCAAGGTTCACTACGTGCACCAGTTGGCCGACGATCTCACCGTGTTGCTGCAGAGCATGGCAGTACGTGGACTTGCCCGAACCGGCCGGTCCCATCACCAGCTGTGCAAACATAGCGAACAGCTCCAGAAACGTTCTCCACCCGGCGAGCTTTCAGTTTCGCTTGCACGTCGTGCTCCCAGCGCTTTGAACGATCCTCCGCAACTCAGCGCATACAGCAAGACGCTATTGCGTGCAACAAGCTTGAAAGCTCAAGCTTGCACCAGTGGTGCTCCGAAAACGCCCAAACTGGTTGTGCTGCGTGGTACGCTGCCACGCGCTGGTACTCACACTCAGTTCAGCATAAAATGGAACGTCCCCTGACAGGGGCGCATATGCGAAAGTTTGGATATCTGACCACATTCATCGAGCCCAGCCTTTGCTGGCATTATCGGGGACTGCTGCGCGTTCCTCTCTATCATCTGAGGCTTCAAATACACCAGTTTGCATTTTCGCTCCCGTTTGGTTGTCAAAACTCGAGGCATGTTGACACCAGTGTCATTCTCAAGGTCATTGCTTTTCGCTGTTACTGACGCTCTGAATGAACAGGCGGAAGATACGATATTCGCTTCGCTTGCCATTTTCATCTTCTACACATACAGCCCTGGTGTGTCCTTTGTCGTGGTGACACTTACCTGTGGTCAGGTGTTACAGTTTGTCCTCAATATCTCCTCCTCCGAGCGTTGCCCGCCGGCACTTGCTTTATCGCTCGACAGATACCCCTGCCGGATGCAGATGTCTGCATTTGATGGTGTCCTCCGTTTCTGCGTCGCACCCCATACCCAAAGACGATGGCCTCCGTCTGGGCGGTGCCGTTGGCAAGTACTCCGTGCTTTGCGTGCACAAGCGCACGCTCCCCCAGTCCATAAAGTATTTGTAGAATGCCAGGTTGTTCTTGACCAAGCTAGTACTGGAAGCAGGATCTAGCCTGGAGAACAAGTCGACAACTTGTTTTTCTATTCGGCTACGGTCCCTTCTTGCCGGGCGATGAGGTATTCCCTTCCAGGAGCGATCACTGCTATGACTAAAATCCGAGTCCAAGACCCTTTTACATGCAGATAGAAGAGAACGAAGTCTCTGTGAGCACCTCCCGTGAGTTTTCTCATGTTGCCGTCGAATTCAGCTTCGTCAATGGCGACGAAACGAGGAGGATTTCTCTCCCGAACAGAGTCGAGGATTTGGAGTGACGCATCCCATAAACTTTTGGCGCGAGCATTTGAAGAATTCAGCAAGAAACGACGTCGAGGTTTTTTCGTCATCAATCCAGCCGACCTCATTCGTACGCTAGCCAGTTGCTCTGTAAGAGAAAGATCGAGAACACAAAGAATATATAATATGAGCACACTACATCTATTATGAAGAGAACAGTGGTGGTCTGTACTTGTGAATTGGATGATGTCATTGGTTACTTTTCTGGCACTAGTCCAAGTCTATTGTGAGTCATCTTGACTCTGTAGCAATTTCCGACTCTAAATCGCCAAAGTACCCGCTCAGACTAGACGAACAAGAATCCGAAAACTAGCTGTGAGTCCGTAAACCCTCACTCCTATACCTCGAATTTTCGAGGCTCTACTACTAAAAGGGTCTGTAAAAGAAATCGAAAGGCACAGGCAACTCGAGCTGTTCAGCATCCCATTTTAATCTGGTCTGGCCTTAGGTGCTTGTCATGGAGACCTCGCCTCTCGATGGCCAGAGGCGCGCTCGAGCGACAGCGGTGCCATTTGGGAGTGCTCCGTCCCGGGACCGTACCGGGTTTTCGTGTTGGTGCAGTACCCGTGACTAGAACCAGCGTATTCGAACGCGCGAAGAATGCTAGTAATGTTGCAAATGGCGTCAGTTCTCGTCATAGAGATGCTTCCACATTTCACAAAACCCTTGGAATCTTATTTTCCGCGTACTCTTGTATCGCTCAGCATCTGTGACTTGTTCAACCATCCGGCATACGACCTACGCCGGTTGGTACCGGGTACGTCGGCCCTCCTTAGCCAGAGTCTTTTAACCCAATCTTTATCCACCCGGCTGCGGTGTATATTAGGCGGTCGCAATCACGATACAATGCGCTGGAAAGATGGTAGACGAACTGCCTGAAGTATACATATTTTTTACTGAACAGTGCAAAGAGGACTGCATTGCTCCTTCAGCTCAGTCATACCACAGTACTCAGATGGTTCAGCAGCATCGAAAGAAAGTAGATGCACTTCGCGCCACAAACCGGTACTCGTAGAGACAGCTTGCAGCCAATGGTAGAGAACAACCCGTTGGTCAACTTTCACGGAAAGCAAAAAGCGAAGATCGTAGCCGCTATGGGCTTCTCTGTTTCTCAACAGCTTGTTCGTGTGGTCCTGAAAACACCGGGATACACTCGCCAAAAAGAGTCTCAGTTCAACTATGGCCATCTTCCACCGAAAACGAAACTGCAGCACTCCTGGAGCCTCGCGAATGGCATGAAGCACAGCGACTTTGATTTGTTTTGCAAGTAGATGAGACTTTCCTCGGAGAAAAACGACCAGAACGTACACGGTTATTCGAGGAGAAGGAGCGCGTTGTATGTACGATAGAGCTCGAAAAGAACGAGGATATCATCTGTTCCAGCTGCATTGGATTCCATTCGGTTCCTCAGTTTCACAAATAGAGAAGGCTCACACAACAGCACTCTTTTTATCGAATCATTCAAGACTTTTTCCGTGACGACTGGCAATGTCCTTCGATTGGAAACGTAGCATTTCACCATTCCTGTTGCGTTCGAGCTGTGCCAATTCTGCGGGGGTGAGAGCAGCTTTTCATTCCTCCGTACGCACCGTGGCGCGGCCTTATCAAAGCACTCCTTTCTAATGTGGAACGTGTGATGATCGCTCTACTGGGCGAATCGCTGAAGCGTTCAGCACACGGTGACACACCGGGGCACACGTCGTCGAGCTTGCGCAAGTCTCTCTTTCTTCGGGAAGGTCCTCAACTATGCGCATAAACAAGAGCGTTCATTTTCAAAGATAAAAAATCGAAGGAAAAGGTATGGACATAGAAGTCGGGGATCCTGGAGGGCCTCCATCACCATGTTCGACACACAAATGGAAAAATCTTCTTCTCATAGATCATCGAGCGAAGACGAGCAAAAGACGACGAAGGAGAGAGGATATGGACGAGAAAAAGTGTTTGGGCGACGGGACGATGACGAGAGTGTAGTTGCGAAGAGAGCATGATGTATAGCGCTCCTTGCAATGATCAGTTCAAGCAGCAGCAATGCACACAAGGAGTTCGTTAACCGAGACTTCAACGCCTCCGTCAACATCAAACCATGTGTGGCGCTGAGGAAGAGACCCGAGGACCTGACGCGAGCCATGTTTGAGAAACATCCTCTTATGATCGAAGCATACCTGGATAAACTGAAGCTGATAGCAGTCAGTCGGTCAAAAAGGCTGGAAAGCGTCTACGATCGGGTATTCATTAACCATCATGGATCGCAATCCATTCTTGACCATGATCGCGACACTGCGCAGCAGTGCAGTGAGTGCCCCGGAGGGTGTTGCGGGCCCGCCATTCTCTCTGACAGCTCTACTGCAGGGTTACTCGCTAGAGTTGGGCGCGCTCTACGGACTTGTCAGAATACGAACCGTGCATGCTCGCCCTGGTCCCGTTTTTACGTATTGGGAGGTCAAAAGCGTGTTTCTGGAAAGACTAAATTTGTAAGATTCACAGCAAGAGACAGCCAGCAGCTGTCGACGACTCGCACGCATGGCGTCCACAGCACCCGCGAACACCGCGGTTGCGTTGAACACGCTCGACTGGGTGCTGGTTATTGTCTATTTTAGTGCACTGGTTCTGGCAATCTGGCTTTCGACTCGGAAAAGTTCTCGCGCTGGGTCAGGTACTCAGAGTAAGCCAGCCTCTGAAATGTTCTTCCTTGCAGGCCGTTCAACGACTTTTTTCGCAGTAGGTGCTTCCCTATTTATGTCTAACATAGGAAGCGAGCACTTTATTGCTTTAGCAGCTGCAGGGGCGACATCCGGTCTTGCGGTGGCATCTTTTGAGTGGATGGCGTCTATCTTCGTGGGCGTTGTGCTCGGAAGGGTCTTTGCGCCATTCTACCTCCGCAACAGCCTGCACACGGTTCCCAAGTTTCTTGAACTGCGATACGCAGCGGGCGCTCGGCGGTACCATGCCCTAGCAACGATCATGATGGCTATTTTGACCAAAGTCAGTGCAACGTTGTACTCTGGGGCGATCATTCTGCGGGTGCTGCTCGGTTGGCCTGTATGGTTTTCTCTGATCATGATCCTAGTATTGACGACACTCTACACGAGCTTGGGCGGTCTGCGGGCAGTGATATGGACTGAAGTTCTGCAAGCGTTCGTTTTACTCGCCGGCGGGCTTGCGCTGGCAGTCAGAAGTCTCCAGGCTGTTGGGAGCCTGGCCGGCCTTTCTGAGCTGCTCGCAGCGCAGAATCGGCGACAAATGTTGGATCTCTTGCAATGGCCCTCGTCGACGACTCCCTGGGTCGAATACCCCTGGCCAGGAATCATCTTTGGCCTGCCTGCCTTGGAAGTTTTCTACTGGTGCACGGACCAAGTTGTGGTGCAACGCGTCCTCTCCGCGAAATCGGAAGCGCACGCACGTGGCGGAAGTCTCTTGTGCGGATTCTTGAAGACGTTGGTACCCTTTATGATGGTGATTCCTGGTTTGTGTGCATTCCTGTTATTTCCGGAAGTAGCTGCGAACCCAAATCAAGCCTATCCGACGGCAGTGGCACGACTTTTACCCCACGGCCTGCTTGGTTTGATGGTCAGTGCTATGCTGGCAGCACTCATGTCGTCGCTTGCGTCAACCTTTAACAGCACTTCAACCGTAGTTGTGTATGACTTTGTCATCGAATGCTGCGGCTTAAGTCGGCTCTCGGACAAGACGCTTGTATTGCTGGGTAGAATCGCGAATATCGTATTGTGTGCCTTCAGTCTCGCCTGGATTCCGATCGTGGAAGGCATGGGCGAGGAGCTCTACTTCTACATCCAGTCCGTGATCAGCTACATCGCTCCACCGATCGCTGTTGTATTCGTGGCTGGTATTGCCTGGCGACGGGCAACTGCGACTGGTGCGCTCTGCACGCTGCTTGTTGGTGGCGCACTCGGGCTGGTGCGCTTCGTTGTCGAGGTCGCGCTGCGTTTGGCGCACCGAGAGGCACCCCTCGGCGCTCTTGGCAAAATCTTCTTTCAGAGTAACTTTCTGTATTTCGCAATTTTCTCCTGGGTTTTCAGCAGTTTGCTTCTAGTCACAGTGAGTCTGTTCACCGAACCGCCATCGGAGCAGCAGCTAGGGCTGCTCTTCCAAGAGGCAGGTGCGTCAGGCTCGCACGTACGAACCACAGCAGGGAACCAAATCGGTGAAGCGTCTTCGAAACAGGTTGTAGGAGCGTCACGCTACGTGGCTGACGAGCCGAGCAGCTCCGATCCGGCTGCTAGGCAGCAGACAGTCGAGCTTGAGATCGAGTCATTTTCAGGGACGGAAAACTCAGACGAGGCTTTTTCGGTGGACCCCGAGCATACGGCGCCGTCTATGAAGCGGGTAGCCTCGAGAGATACCCTCCTCGCTGGAGAGGCGGCTAGTCAAGAGCCGCTCTTTAGCCCGCAAGGCGAGTTCTCAGCTGCACAAGAGACGTTTTCGAGCGCTGCGCCATCGCGCTTAACATCGGCGGCACTCGACGTGTTATCCGTGGTTCTTGTGGCAGAAATACTAGCCTTTTATATTCAGTTTCGATGAGGCTATTGGCCGAAACGGCGGACGGCAGGCACCCATTACGCTGTCGCCTCGGGATTGACGACGCTAGTATCAGCCGAAACATTTTCCTCGCTAATGCATCGACTTGTGATGCAAAAGATGCACGGTAGGTTCATAGAAGATGAGACGAGTCGTGACCCAGATGCACACGGAAGACGATTTCGCCCCGTCGTGCCGCGGGAGTTGACGACAATCGCTCTACTTCTATATCAGAATAAAATGGTACGGGTGTTCTCACTCGGGCGTGTTCACTGAGTTTTGGGTCGTTCCCACTGTCATCAATACCAGACTCTGTGAGCGTTATCTGCGGCTGCTCTCTTTTTCCACTGTCTGGTTCCCGCTTTTAATCATGCCGGTCTTTAGTGGTCCTCGAGCTCTGTTGACATCATTCAATGGATTTGCTAGAAGCGTAAACGTCCCGATTCCGCTCCTTCTAGCTATAGTCGACGCATTGAATGCGCAGACTGTCGTCAGGATTTACGCTTCGTTGGCAATTTTCATCTTCGTTCTCTACTGCACCGGTGCGCCCGTCTCAGCTGTGACTTGACAGTGGTCACGTGTTCCCATATTTCCACCACATGCTTTCCGGGCGCTGCCCTGGGTAGCGTGGTGGCACGCTTCTGTCGCTACGGACAAGCGCTGGAGGCGTATAGACGGTCCCACTCATTTGTTTTGAAAATACGTTTACTTTGGCCACGGCTATCAGCTTGCGCGATAGGTAATCGCTTTCGGGAAAGCGTCCATTATGCCGCTCTCTACCTGTAAGCTCCATTACATCCTCTCGGATGAGATGGTCGTTCCGAACGTTCTATCGTGCGCCGAGCGCCTGCCTTACTGCACCCGCCATAGCGCCCATACGGCCGGGCGGATGCAGAACGGAGACAGAACGGCTTTGCCATACAACTGAAAGCGTCGGCTCGAGCTGAGGCTGATCCCAAACGGGATCGGGATTCGTCACTATTCTGGTAGTCTGTAGGCTTTGCGGACAGACGTGCCACCTGCGGCAGCGCGAAGCGTTACACTGGGAGTCCACCACAACCAGACCGACGCCCAGACGCAGCAGCCTGCTCCTAGTCCCAGAATGTGCTTTGTTACGGACAAGCAGCTGAGGTCTCACTCTAGCACCCGCCAGCGGGGGGGCACGGAGCGAAAGACCGGCAGCTTTGTCCTGCTCGCGAAACCTTGTCACTATAAGGATCCGATAGAAAACATGGGAAACTTTTCGACGTACCACCGCTCACCCTAGAGCGGGAAAGCAATCTTGTACAGAATTGTCTATTAGTCGTCATTCTCTCTTCTGGTGTCGATGACAGTCGCGCGATGCGCATGCATCGACGATCATGTGTGCGGGAAGGTAGGCCTTGCGAAGCAGCCAGATGTCTATTACGCTAAAACATCTTCACTGTGCACATCGCTGCTGGCGCTGACAAAGCAAGAACGTGTATTTGTTCAGAGTGGAACTGAACGGCTATTTTGCTGCGAACCATGCCGTGCAGCTGTGCCTCTGGTTGCCAAAAGTCAGAGAATAGTGGCTCATCTCCGTCCATTCGGGACCACGTGGCGGACTACTACGGCAAAACGCTTCAGTCAAGCACTGACCTAAAGACGAGCGCTTGCAAGCTTGCCGCGGCTGTCCCGGAGAGCCATCGCCAAATCCTGGCAGAGATCGCTGATGAGATCCTGGAAAAGTTCTACGGTTGCGGGTCTACGCTCCCGGATGATAGCTCTCTCGAGGGCGCGACGGTACTAGATCTGGGCTGCGGCACAGGTCGCGACGTGTACCTCGCTTCAAAGCTGGTTGGCGAGCATGGTAAAGTCATTGGGGTGGACATGCTCGACAGTCAACTTGAAGTCGCCCGGAAATATACAGAATATCATGCAGAAAAGTTTTTCGGGAGTCCGAGTCGGTCGAATGTGCGTTTTCTTAAGGGTTTCATCGAGAACCTAGCCACTGCGGAACCGGAAGGTGTTCCGGACTCCTCGGTCGATGTCGTGATAAGCAACTGTGTTTGCAATCTATCGACGAACAAGCTGGCGTTATTCAAGGAGATTCACCGTGTTCTTCGCAACGGAGGCGAGTTGTACTTTTCCGATATGTATGCGGGTGGCAGGCTGAGCGCAGCGGCCAAACAGGATCCGGTCATGTACGGAGAGGGCCTCGGCGGTGCGCTCTACTTGGAGGATTTCCGTCGCCTCATGGAAGAGGCAGGGTTCCGCGACGTGCGATTGGTTGCAGGCAGTCCTGTCGATGTCATTGATCCGCAACTACGAAAGCTCGTGTCGAACGTGCAGTTCTATTCATGCACTTATCGATGTTTCAAGATCGCAACACTGGAAGGAACCCGGGAGGACTACGGACAGTTAGCTACATACCTGGGCGGGATTGGCGAAGAATTCAAGCTCGATCGCTTCTTCACGTTCCCCAAAGAGAAACCTGTGCGCGTGGATCGGAACACCGCTGAGATCATCCGCCAGAGTCGTTTTCATCAGTGGTTCTCTGTGAGCGCAGAGCAACAGCACATGGGATTGTTCAAAGCAAACGTTTCTTACGCGCTGCTGCACGCACCACTGAGCATGCAGGTTGAGCAGCTTGTATCCGGATAGTAGATAGGGTCCACCGGTACCTGCCCGATATTAGCCTTTGCAAATAATGCCTCTTGGTGTTCGACAGGGCGCCGCCGCCGCAAACCTTCGTACAAACCGATCGCAATGTCACTGGGCAGGTCATGCGAAAACACCTCATATGTCGTAGTTTACCGAACGGGAAAACTCTGCTGCGATGCATCGAGATGAAGATTCGGCATCGCAGCGGTAGCTCTGAATCCAAACCTGGAAACGGTGGTTCATGACACGCTGAAAGTATTCCGACATTGGTGCCTTTGGGCACAACCCTGTAGATACTTAAAGCTGCGGTTCCAGCTCCACAGCACTGAGCTCGCAAAGACGTCACCCCATGTAACTTCCGGTACGTATCGCTGGGGTCCGGATAGCGTTGACTTGCGCATTCACAAAACTCGTGCGAGCGCGCTCGATTTTGCTTCTTTTTGTTTGACGGAATGTTCACGCAGACCAGCGATCCCCAACAGTGCGCTTGTTCTCAGCGCACGATGAAGCATCCATCGTTCCATCTACTTCCAAGTACCACTAACCATCCTTTACTTCGGGGATACCGCATATTGTTTACGCTCTATATTGCTCCGAGTGCATATCGCGAGCGTCCGCCATGGCACGTACACCACTGGTGCTGATGCAGCACGAAGGCAGAACAGCTTTGCCATACCACAGAGGGCGTCGGTTCAGAGCCTGCTTCACCCGACACATGATCGAGTCTCGTTGTCGATTTGTGCTCGGACAGTTTGCGTATGCAGACTTGCCTCCGCTGCACGACGCGTTGGAGCAACTTGAATATTAGGTTCCGCTCGATGCCCTTTTCCGTTTCTGTACCCGGTGCCGTAACCTGAAATCACAGGATTCTTTCGGGTGAAAGTCTCGGCTAGTGCGTTGTCCGATGCACACGCAAGCGCACGCATTTCCATTCGATAGCTCACCACCTGCTTCCTTTCTTGAACCCGAACACGTTCTCAGTCGGGTTGAACCATGGCATATAAGTTGGAGTGAATAAGATGATCCATCCCGTGTTCGTTGCTGTTGTCAAAAAAAGATCCAGATTTGTGTTGGACGGTGTTGTCCATGATGATACAAGTATCGGAAGAAATTCTTGTTGGAGTCTATGTCGAGAGGCTTCAATCTTTGTGCGCGCGTTCATGCAAAGCGGCCTCGCAAGCTCCACTGGATGCTATCGCTGCGATGAATCAAGTGCGAGTCCAGGGCCCATTCCGAGGAAACAGAGGTTGCCGTAGCTTTTGGGCGCATATCCCCTGACAGGTATCATGCTGTTGTGGAACAGATTCTCGTCGATGGCCACGAAGGGAGCACGCTTCTATTTTCGAATGGAATTGATTATTTGACGTAACAATTTCAGAGAACTTTCGGCACGAGCTTGTGAAGAGGTCGCAAGCGTCATCGTCTAATGTACTTTTTTTGTCGATCGAACGGTGCCTATTGCTACGTCCATGAGTTGCGTTGGAAAAGAAAGATCGAAACCTCAAAGAATGAGTTATCTCGCCAGGATACACCTAAAGAATGGAGAAGAGTGGAGGCTTGTTCATATGAGTTGCATAATGATATCGGTTATTTTACAAACCCTGATTCGAGGCGTCGCGAATTATGTTGGTTCCTGTTACTTTAGGATTTCCAGCAGCAAAGCATCGAATGAGCGCTCCCGAAAACATGACCACGAATGCAAAAACTATGGATGAATCCGCAAGCTCTTATTGCAGTACCCTGAGTAAGCATGTTGCACATCTAAACAAGTTTGGAAAAAATCGAGAGCCAAGGACCGAAGCGAGCAGATCAGTTTTCCTTTCTAGACTGACACCGGTGTGGTAACGAGGGAGCGCCTTTGCCGTAGCACGCGGCCAAATCGCCGCAGAGCTGGCATCGTATCAGAGTGGTAGATTGGAAAATGCGGTCACCCGTCTTGTTGGATATGGGTCTGAGGCATACACAATTGCCTGCGGAATGCGCTCTCCGAATTAGAACACATTTCGTACCTCTCCCCTCGGTGAGGAAACGAGCGACGAACATGCTCTTGAAAGGCGAGCGAGCGGGAGGTTGCGCGAAAACCAAGAGCATTGTGCATCATCGAATCTGCTCGGGTCAGGCTGAGCAATGCAGCTCCAGAGCTCTATCATGAGTGTCGCTGAGCATCCGTGATGTCACTGGAGAGGCCGCGCTCTCCGGCACTGTCCTTGGGTACAACCTGTGGCCGAACTATATTCTCCTTGCCGGTCCACGGCTACCTTCCTTACCCATTCCAAACAAAGCCTTCTTGCGAACAGGTATTCCAGGAACTATTATTCGCATAATCATGGCTTGCGGGCCCTCTCGAAGTAAAGCAAGAGCAATGAGCGGCTAGTTGGGGGCACTTGTGCTTTTTCTTCAAGTCCCCCAGCAATCCTCTACCTTTGCTCGCTCGGGGCTATTCTAGTGAAGACAGCGCCCGTTGGAGAATGCGCCACGGCTTCTCTGCTGCCGCTCCAAAATCATCACCGTCCGTTCGGTAGGTTCGCCTCAAAATCGACTTCGTCGTTGCACTTGTGGCACGCGCTGTGCACCAGCGCAAGCAGTGCGGCCACTACCAGTGTTGAGGATATCGTGCCGATAGCGTCGACGCCGTACGCAACCAGGGCAGCCGCGACACCGAAGGCAACGTGCTTTCTTCGCGTCGTCCACCATGGATAAAAGTTCTCCAGTTGACCGTAGAACAGGTAGGAATACAAAAGAAACAACAAGATTGCGGCAACGACGATGACTGGTCGTAGCAAGGCTGCCAGAATAAGAAGCCCGCATCCCAGTATTATATAGTTCCCTCTGTAGTACGGAATGTTGATCGCAAGTCGCTCTTTGAGCTCTAGTGCACCCTGCGGCGCGGTAAACTGCTTTGTGTCGAAGAACGGCGGCCACGGCTGCGCTGCGCTCCAGCACTGCCAGATCCATTCAAGCGCTGTTCCACTGAGCCTGTCCAGAGCTCGGCTCGCAGCACTCGGAAGTGCCGTAGCGAGCATTGGTTGCTTCCTTTCCCAGTGAACTTTTCCGCGCAAAACGGAAAACATGGTCCAGCAAGAATGTTCGACATTGATGCCACAAGCTGGGCTGCGGCAACGTGCCGTCCGGTATGCCTTGTTGGCGCGAAACGATCTCAGCTACATAATAGTATATATTTATGTACACAAATGTATTTGATGGACATTGCTTTTCATGCGTCCATCCTTCTGTGCAGCCAGTGGTGGTACATATATACAACAAATTACATTTATGGATAGAATTCTATTTCCTGGACTTGTGTCAGCATTCTCCGGATTGTATTCTTGTGGCATCATGCGGGCGGGCGCGAACGCCCCATGAGCACGGTCGGTTTGGGGTACGGGCGGATCTTAGCTACTGTGTCTTGCTCAAGAGAAGAGTTTAGCGCGGCTGGGAAAAATTGAACTGCACAATCGGCCGAGAACCAAAGTGCCTCTTGCGCAGGACGGCGTACGCTGCGTCAGCGTCGACTCGGAGACACTTGGAGAGTGCTTGAGCGGTGTGCCTGAGACCAGTCACGCAGCACGCCTCGGTTGGGTTGTTGCCCCTTATCAAATCCAGGTCTCAGCGTAAAGAGCCTGTGTCACGTTTGGAAAGCTCTCTATAGTGCATACGCGGCGAAGTTCAGGAGGCTTGATTTGTCGCCGAGAGCTCGTTTAGCCTTGTCGCCTATTCGGCGTTCAGAAGCGGGCCACTTGCGACGCTTTGACGACACGCGTGCGCTCTGCAGTTGTTTTTGCGGCTGGCGATATACTTTTGGAGGCTGGTGGTCATTCGGTGCTAGAAGAGGCTCGTCTCGCAGTTAGCAACAACAACAGCAGCGGCAGCAGCACTCTTCCACCTGTACGTGGAACAAACCAGGACGCTTGGAATGGACCGCACCACAGGCAGCCCGTTGGAACTTGCGAACGACAGGTTGGACGAAGATGCGCCTCATTGGCGGAGCCACGTTGGGTCTATTCTGCTCTCTGAGGCCATGATAAACGCCCGCGTCTCGGAGCTTGGTCGCCAGATCAGTGCTGACTACAGTCGCATCGCCCCAGAGTTTGTCATTATAGGCATTCTCACCGGCAGCTTTATTTTTCTTGCTGATCTCGTACGGAAGATTACCCACCCAGTGCGAATTTACTTTGCACGCGCTAAATCATATGCTGGAACACATTCCACTGGGTCCGTATGGCTGCATGACTTTGATTTGTTGGACGTCCGCGATAAGCATGTGCTCGTCGTTGAGGATATTGTCGACACAGGCAAGACACTCAAGGCAATTCACGAAGAACTCGGGCGTCGCGGCGCCTTAAGTGTGCACTTTTGCGCCTTTATCTCGAAACAAACAGAACGCAAAGACGAAGGGGTACCAGAAGTGCGATACGTGGGATTCGTCTGCCCCGATCGATTTGTAGTCGGTTATGGTCTAGATTGCGATGAGCGGTTTCGCCAACTTCCGTTTGTTGGCATCTATCGACCGTGATTTCCTGACACTCAACGAAGAGACAGCGTAGGAGGTACTGTAAAAAGACGACAAGCAATGTGACCGTGCGCGGTCATTGAGACCAAGACGCGTCGAGTATGATAGTCGCGTTCTGGTCGCGTGGCGTGAGCCACCTAACTCGACTCGTTGGAAACGAAAACGAATCAGCGCGGATGCAAAGCGCAGACCTATGCTGATCACCGTCATCCATAAACGGCCAGCTGGCTTCGCAAAGCAGCAACTGGCCGACTTGGCAAGTGTACCGTCTCCGTGTCTTGCGCATTATTTGCGGCGACTTTATATAGCTCGCACAGTGCGGACCCTGGCTCGAGAAGTTCCGCGAATGGCCTTGAAGAAGGGTAGGCGGCTCGTATGCGTAGCCGCTCTGAAGCTGGCGGACAGAAAGATACTCTAGATACGCACGAATCTCAACGATAGATCCGCGTCGTTGTCAAAGCCTGCTACGAAGCCGTTTCACTATTCCGCGAGGCATTCGTGTGCAGCGTGTCGCGAGTATGCTGGGGAGATAACGCAGTGAACAGCGCTTAAGCCTCTACCTGGATGCGATGCTGATTCCGCTGCTCAACGTATCTGGAGCGACGCATGCGAGCTGCTGAGGATTATTATACAGAGCGGCAGTCGGTTCATCACAGATCCCACCTGGATGAGGCGCTTGGAACTGATGCTACGGGAAACAAGGAAGTGCACGGGGGAGCATTCGCTCCGGAGTTCGCATCAGCGACCGATTCCCGTCCGCAGTGTAGGAGATTCCAGAAAAGCCCCGAGAACGAGCGTTTTCGAGACGTGATGTGGAGGCTTGCCCACTGTGGATGAGCCGGTTACTCGAAACCGGCTAATCCGTGTAATGCATCTCAAATGGGTGCATTCCTGTTTCATAATGTCTAGTGCCACGGTGCTGGTACGCTATTTCGGGACGTCGGATTCACCAGCGAGCCCAAGCGACCCGACAATAAGGATGTACGGCGTGATGTGGTATGTATCCCTACTCGTGATACGTGCTTTTGGGGCGCGAATAACTCTTATTGTCACGGAAGGTTCCGCTCGCTCCCGTCCGCCACTGACCCTGGCGGCTTCCTGTGTTTCGATCGATACTGGGCATACGTGTGAGAGCGCCGTATCCATTCAGGTGGGCATATGTCACGCACTGGTGCACCAGGGAGCGCGCTTCCATGGGCCGCGATGCCCGTAAGTTTTTGTGTAGATACAACCGTATCAGCTTATTCTGGTATGCTGTGTGTACAGGCGCTGCCATTCGTAGTAGCGCCAACTCAGAGGCTCTTAACCGCATGCCTCCGTAATGGGAGCATGTAGCTTGAGAGTGCCCTCGACTTCGAGGCGTTGAACAGGTCACCCTTCAAGCCGTTTCACGGTAACGCCACCCTCGCAGTGCAAGCAACCTCCCGCTTGAGCGTCTCGAAGAAGCTGCCCTTTTGAGGTTGCTTTTCTTGGCAAGATCAAGCTATTGCACAGCTCACGATCCGTGCTGCCTGACAAAACACGTGCCGTAGCGAGTGATTGCCCCGCAATTTCGGCTTGAGAGTACGTCCGCGCTCGTGCTTTGTTCGGGCGGAGCCGGAGCTTACACAGCCAAAACTCTATGCAAGCAGCGGGAATGATCGCTCCATGTCCTACACGAACAACATAGTGATCCTTTAGATTGCCTGTGTCTGGTGACTCTGGGGAGGCTGCTATCCAGAAATAGAAAAGTAGTTTCCAACTGATCCGGGTTGCAGCCGCAACACCGTTCTGCGCCCGGCTGCGTCTCACACGCGATGAGCGACTGCGATTTGCGGCCGAAGCATCTCAGGTGTGCGAGGGCTCCAAGCAGACCGCTGTTTCCTCTGGGGCGCCTAGTGGCGAACGCTTCATCGTGTAAACTGGACGGTTTAGAGTGGCTCTTTTATCGGCGCCTCTGATCCTCTGGTCTGTACCTCCAGAGTAAGCGCAGCATGGCGCCGAGCGCCTACCGGAAGCGGCCGCGTTTTGTGCTGCGTACGAGTCGCCCTAGTGAGAAGCTCAGAACGGTGCTTCCTTTCAGGGTTACTGCTTCGACTTCAACAGGTGCAGATCACGTCGTCATCGTAAGCGGATCTTGGTTGGCACTATGGGCTTTTTCTTCACGCGGTCCTCGACTGGTGCATAGACAAAACATCAATATGCAGCTCCTGGCTGCGTGTACGGTGCCGCTTAGGCGACGTTCATCAGGAGCGCCTCACTCGCAGTCGGCCGAAGCGCGGTGTAGTGATCCTCCCTTGAAAAAGGGCGACGTCCTGCTGTGCTTGGATAGGCGGCTCGTCTTGCATGCACTGTGGTTTTGCGCTCGAAACCCGACGGACACGACAGGGTCCGCTTTTGAAGTGGGGTTCTTTCAGCGCTTCGCCTCCCGCTCGCTCTACACTGAGTGCAATGAGCTGGCTGAAGCGATCGAAAGGGAGCTGCCAACGACTTTCCAACTCCGCTATGCGGAGAGTCTCGATCGTTTGTTGCTCAATATAGGACATCACATGTTCTTTGGCTTTGAAGGCATCAGATGCTGGTTAGCAGAAAACGAACCGCTGGCCTTGGCTGGGCCTAACTGGGAACTTGTGGCGCCACCGGTGCCTCTTTCAAAAACTGAGAGCTGCGATGCTCCGCTTGTACCGCTCGCGTGGATGGCCTATCCTGCGCCGGGCTTCGTGCACGACGTCTGCAGTCTCGCCGTGCCTTATCGCCCAGACGAATGCACTGAATGCGGTACAGTGACGATCACAATAGGCATTTCTTCGATCGAACGTGAGCTGCGCAGTGCAGCGTGGCGGGCCCCAGAAGACCATGCACCATCTATCCTGCTTTCTATCTTTGTCGACGACGTGCGATGTGCCCAAGGGGCCGATCAAGATGCTCTGCTTACCCGTCTAGAAGCGAGTGATCACGGAGCGATTCTGAAAGACGAGGAAATACTGCCGAAGAGTGGTGACAAAGAAGCATTGATACAGGATGACGAAGAGCCGGCATCGATGCACGATAGCCACGGCGGGCTCCAGCTTCGATACGATGCCCGCACCATGTGCTTCCGGGCGGCGCTGCCGTCTGCGTACGTACTCGGCATTGAATCGCATCCCTTTCATCCGGACCCTACAGCTATCGATTTCTCTAATTCGAATGCCTCGGATTTCGATTCGCGAGACCGTTTGGTTTACGTCGTCACAGATCGATATGTATTGCCGCTGCGTTTCCAGAAACGCTCTTTACGTCCGCAGTTTGGTCCATTGCAGGGACCCCGCACAATGTCGAACAACGAGCAGACGACGGCTATGCACTCGTTCCTCGCATACTGCGCTGTATCCCAGCCGGAAACGGGGGATTTCAAGTTATTGCTCGTCCGTCAAGATGGCACGCTCGTCCAGTGTGATCTTGGAGTCGTTCGCAGCGTCCGTCTACAATCGGGGGACCCTGTTTCATTGCCGCGTGACGCGCGAGACGCAGCCGGACTGGTGGCTTTCGGCGAAGGACCGCATGTGAACATCCTCTGCTGGGACTTTTTCGGTCAGATGGACTGGTTGCATCTTCCAGATGCGTGGACCTCCGGAGTCTTGGCCCCTGCTTCACGATTATTCTGTCCCGGTCCGCAGGCTCTCGGTCTCGTTCACGCGGCGCACCGGAGCTTGCGCGCAGGTGGCGCACCACCGAGCGGCGGGGGCCCGTCCTCATCGACAGCGGCCTGCGCGGACGGGAGCCGTGGCCCTCGCGCGAAGCGCCCCTCCAAAAGAGATGCAGCCACCACGCGAGCTTTTGTATGCTGCATCAGAGCTCTGATGGTGTGCACTTGTCGTCACTGGATTGCGGAGACTATGCCACGCTACAGTTGGAGAGCGATCCGAATCTGCTGACGGGGTCCTCCAGAGTGTTCTGGCTACAAGGCGGCCGCTACCTACTTATCTGTGACCGTGTCTTTAACAAAGAGGATGATTTAGGAGCACCAGTCGTGTTACGTATTGACGAAGCGCAACGGACGGCTCAGGACGTTAGCGACTCGTGGCCCTTATCCATCGATATCATTGCGTGCTTCTATGAATCCGTTATCGTAGCGCGCGATTGCGTCGCACGCATCGCAGAGCCGCACGCAGTGCATGGCACGCATGGCGCATGCAGCGCACTGCGTGCTTTCGTGACGTCACGTTGGCAGGCACCAGGAAAGATCACGCACGCCGACGCATCGCCTGCGGGCGTGGCAGAGGCCGTGCTGGCGCTTACCTGTGTGATCGAGACTGCTACTTGTCCACTGCTCATTGTGTTGGATGCTGCCTCACTTACGGAGCGTTGTCGATGTGATCTCTTTGATCGTAGTGAGGTGACAGCTCTCGCTACAATTGCGTCAGATCGGCGCCTGCAGGGTGTCGCTGTGGCGTCTTCTGATGGCGCTCTTTACATTTTCGACTACGACGAGCAGACGGCGGCTGTGAAACGTCGACTCCGTATTATGCCGCACGTGGCAACCGGCGACTTGGACGCTGCGGCGGTGGAGTCTGTGTACAGCGTTCGCGAGGGTAGCGCTCTGCTGGTTTCGCTTCGTAGCGGCTGGCTTGTCCAGCTCGACCGCTTTACGGGGCATCTCTATGCCAAATGGCACCTTAGCCACCAGCCCCTGAAACTCTATCGCATTTGTGGAGGTCAGCCCGCGCATCCAGAAGATATTCTCGTTGTAGGACACGAGCTATGGAGGGTGTTCTGGGATGCACATGCGGCCCTCGGCCGCCGGGCGATGCGAGTTCGGCGCGTGATTTTCGATCCTTTAGCTGCCTGGGGTGTCCCAAGCGCGATTCTACCGAGCCATCGTCAGTACACTGGGGAATCGCTTCTCGAATATGGTACGTGCAGTGACCATTTGGTCTCATGGATGGGCGAGTCTTTTGTTGTGAGCGGTGATGGGCGGTTGCAAGTCGTGCGTTGGCATTTTTACCATACCACTGAAGAACCGTGGCGCCTAGCGTGTCTTGATGAGCTATCTGCACCCCTGCGCCAAAATGATGCTAATTCGGAGGACGCATCTTCATGGTTCTCGTTCTGGTGGTGGTGGTGGCGTTGGCGGCGTCAGCAGCAGCGGCAGCGTCTCCTGCACCTTCGTTCGTATGGTCCATTACCGTGCAAATTGCCGGAAAATCCCGCGGCACAGGAGCACCGCGTTGCGCAGCGATACGCTTCCAGGAATCCGCCCTGCATCGCTGGCAGCTTTGACCTGCCTTCAGCGAGTAGGCCTTTACAAGAGCAGCAACAGATGGAGGAGCCGCCATCTACACCAGCAGAACTGGACATACTCGCAATGACACCGATTCCATCATGCGAGATATGCATGCGAGGGGATACGCGGATGTACCTAGGTGTAGACGCGTCAAGTACGCTTGCAGTGTATGCGCCTGCTGCTGCTGCTGCTGCGGCGGCGGCGGCGGCGGAGGGACAGCTACCGTTCCTGGTGGATCCAGCCTGGACCGGTGTGTGTTTAGAACGAGACGGTCCGCACCGCTGGGCTGATATCACGGTGCGTTTGCTTGAATGTGACCATGCGCAAACGGAAGCCAGAGACAAATCTGGCTCGACATCGCTCCTTCAGGTCGTAGTCACACTCGGTGGCGACACCCTGTACCAGGTCGGACTAGTGCAGTACCATGCTGCGGAGACGGCCTCGGCGACATGCCGATTTGTGTTGCGCTCGTTAGGAGTTATCCAAACGGGCATAGAGGAAGTCCGCAGAGTCAGGTTCCTGCCAAATAGGATGTTGCTCGTTGCGAACGACGCCCAGGTCGCATTCCTCGAAGAGGTGCCTTGTGCTCAGCAGCAGCGAAGATATCGACCCGGATCAGAGATTCCTGATGAACTCGAACTGCATTCAAGGGCTCTCGATGGAGCGGCAGGCGTACGTGATACCACCATCGTTGATGAATTATGTCGCTGGAGGCACGATGGACTCACACTCGAATTGGGCGGTGCAGTTGCCTCTGTACAAGTCGCGTCTGCTCCACTGCCATTCGCAGAAGGCGACGCGAGTCAGCGGACAAGGATGGCTCGATGCTTTCCGCAGTGCAGTGTCTTCCTGACGACGGACAGTGGTGCGATCTGTCAAATCGTAGACTGGGCGGCGATATGCCCAGAGTCTTCAGGAGGTGTCGCGGATCGCAGCAATGAAGTTTGGTCCGCACTTAACCAGCTGCAGCAGGAGCTTTGCGAGCGATGGCCGTTCGTTGTGAATGTACAGGCGCGCTCGCGAGCCTCCCCAGAAAGGAATGCGGAGGTGAGCGCAAGCGCCCCGGCGTCTTCGGACGATCGACTTTTACTCTGGGACATCCTCCAGTACTGGTGGGTGTTACTTCCGGGACCATATGCTTTCGACTCTTTGCGAGCTGAGCATGTCGGTGCTCTTCTGAAACTCGAACTCGAGCTTGATTTATCGAACTGAATCGCTGTTGAACTTTACGGACCATACGTTCACAAACAGGAGGCTCGCAGTGCGTACACACGACAGGACTGTACCCGACTCTTTCCTTTCGACCTGTCCAGATGGCGTGCATGACGTTAGTCCCTATGGGGGCGCCTCGCCAAGGGGCACAGGGACTGTTGCGCAGGTCACCCGTTGTCCACGTCCGCCGTGGCTCCGCGCACGCCCGTAGTCGCGTTTGGTCCTACGATTTAAAGCATAAAACGAAGTGCGTTCGTTCCTCACAGTACAGCGGCTAGGAGTTTCCTTTTATAGACCAGAAGCATAAGAAGAGCGCACAGAGTTCAGGTGCGCACCTACGGCAAGGCGTTTCACCAGCCTCCCTGCTGGAACAACATTGCGTCGATCGAGTCCATATCTTCCATACCGAGTTTTTCCGGGGTATCGTCCTCATTTATTCTATTCCCGTCGAACAAGAAACGATAACTGTGCAAGTCTACTCCCTTACGTGTGCAGTACGCATCCATGAGCTTTCGCAGGGGCGTGTGTTTCTTGATCCGGAACTGGACCTCGTTGCCGTCGGCATCGCGCACTCTGAGGTTGATTTGGTCACCTCCGGAAGTTTTACCCTCAGACACTACCGGTTTCTTATCACTGGTCTCGGAGGACATTGCACGAAATCGCTTTTCAGAGTACCGAAGTTTTGCGGTAAAGTGAAACGCGGCCAAACGCCGTTCTAAGTCAAACGACGCCGACTGTGTACAGTAGACGCGCCAACCGGCGCCTTAGACCTGATGTCTCCGACTGACGTGCAGACGCCACCCCGTGTTTTTGGACCGGCCACCCACTACCGCTTCCAATATTTTCTCAAATAATTCAATTTTGGAAGGTTGTACAAAAAAATTCACTTTTGGCAGCTCTGGAGGTCTCTTCTCCAGCACCGCATATTTCCTTATATTGATAGCGGCATGAAAGTCACGGTTCACGAATTCCATGCGTTTCTTGCCATCATTGGTTGTACGTACTAATGGAAGGAGTCCACGAACTTTTGCCCTCCTTTCCATTTGCTCTTCGGTCAGCGGTCCGTACTTTGCTATATCCTCAAGGCTTGTCTGTTACTTTTCCATCTCCACTCTCTGGAGTGCACAATCCAGTTCATGATGTGTATACGATGTTCGGAACTCGTCTATCCGTATTGTATCAAAACGCCGTGCACACTCCTTGTACACCCTCGTCGTTGGTGCTGGTGTAGTCCCTCTCTTCGACGCCCAGCGCCCTGCTGCATACGCTATTACGAGCCTCTGACCATCATCCTCCTTCAAGGCGCTCAACTGATTAAAAAAATTCGCGAACGCCCGTTGCTTCCTACAATACAGACTCAATCGCAGACGAGCGCACCGGGGCTTCGTATACTCCTCCCACAGTGCATCCCATTGGGCAACACGAATTTCCATGAATTTCCGAAAAGCTCCAAAGTCCGCTCCTCGGCTAGTCACCTCGCTTAAAGCTTCCAGGTGATCCTTCATTCTTACATTCCACGTACCAATTTTCTTCCTCGCATTCATCATTCCCGGTTCTCGATAGTATCTCGCTCGTGAGAACCTCAAAAAACGCATGTCTTTCTGGAGTAAGTTACCATCAGCACCATCTCTCGCGCGCTTGGGAGCAGCGATGGTTATGATATTCGTATTCCCAGGGTCCGCGCCAACGACAAAGCCGTTATCCTGCACTTTCTGTGTCGCAAGATCCGCCTCCTTCTCATCTTCATCCTTCGTCACGCCAACGACGAGGTCAGTCTCCTCCACCTCCTGCGTCGCAAGATCCGCCTCCTTCTCATCTTCATCCTTCGTCACGCCAACGACGAGGTCATTCTCCTCCACCTCCTGTGTCGCAGGACGAGCCGCCTCCTTTTCTTCATCCCTCGTCACGGGCGCAGCCGCGGGAGGGACTGGCCGATCTTTCTTCAATCGCCGATAGTGTATACACAAGGCTACTCCATCGGTTTAGATCAACCCAGTGAATACCTTTTGTTCGCTCACTTTGAGACGTTTGAAATCGAAGATACTCTTTCAGCACGTCTCTCGGTTTTCACCGGAAAATTCCTCCCTGCTAACATTGAACTCCGGACGGATCTCCTTCATGATGCCGTAAAGGACTCTGGAGTCGATAGTCACGAAATGTGACTTGATGTTGCGCATTCGAACTACGTTGAAGCGCTTACCCATTAGGGAAGCCTTCCGTCTCTCCCACTCTTCATATGTCTTTTCACTCTGCTTCATCTCCGCTTCGCGTTCGAGCTCTCGGTCCAGAAACATGAAATACCGCAGGACGAGGCGATTGTATCTTACTTCATCCTTTTCAAGTCTGATACCACGTCTTTTGGATTCGCCAGACCCAGTACCGCACGGTGCTCATATAGAACCGCACGGATTACAGAACCTTCATTCGTGCTCTTGTTTGACGCCTTCACGTCGACGAACTCGATCTCATGTTCATGCTTGCGATCATTCGTGATGCCGTTGATCATCGCCCCTTTCCTATTGCAAGAGATGCCCGGGTAGAGTGCAACCACGGCGCGTATCATGAAACGTTCGAGGTTTGTTGTCAAATGGTTCTGCAGATTCGTGAGGTACTTCATCGCCCCGTATATGTAAATATCCGCGTCGCCCTTGTATCGAGTACCCTCGAAGCGGATTTTGGCGAAGTTTTCGTGGAGGACGTGCATCCGCCCATTTTCACTCCGCGCTTCCTCTTTACCAAGCATCAGGTGTCGAATAAAAGTCTTGTCGAAAAACTCGTCCAAAATCTTGACTATTTCCATGTGCGTCACATCTCGATACATCTTCCCCGCCAAATGCATCAGTCCTGACGACGCCTTGGCAATACTTTTGGAGTATGACGCAGCACTTTTTTGATAGCGTCTCGCAACTTTTCCCTGTACGGATCCATGGAGTGTTTAAGAAGACAGGCTTTCACCACCATCTCGTTGTACAGTTGTCTTTTTGGCGCCTTCGTCGTGGGGCCTCCACCTTTTGCTTCCTTTTTCTCTACCTTTCCTTCTGGGTTCGGTATTCTTTTTTGTTTTTTTGGCAGCTGGCGACTCCGGGCCCCCCTGGATCGTCGACTTGCTTTTTCATAGCTTTCCTTTTTTTGTTTTTTTGAGAAAAAACACTCTTTGAACCCTTCAGTTATTTACTGCGACAAGACGCTTGACTAGACTCGTTTTAGGGCTGAAACAGAAATAAACTGAAAAGCCGTACTCTGCTATGAACTCAACGCAATAAAAATATTTACAGCAGAACAACACGCTTCTGATCGAGATCACGTTTCCCTTCCACAACGGCATGCACATCGTGTTTCATGCCTGCCCGATCTCCCAGTTGCGCTCACCGGCGCGATGCACGCACCGCGCGAGACGCCCCACCGATCGATGAAGGACACGTGTCCGACGCCCCGCCTTGGGACATGCGTGTTCGCATCGCGCTGCAGCGGAAATCAAGTGTCCTAGATCGAAAACTCACGTAGAATAATTTCTTGCTATAGACTCTGTCGCTGGTGCCGAAGCTACTGCCCATCGCAGCACCGCAGTGGCATACATAGAGATGCAGGAGCCCGGCACGAAACTCCGCGATGATTCCAGCATACGCGTAGCCACCGTAGTATCCTGCGCTCGTGCGGATGAGGTATCCAGCACTCTACTCGATAGGATTTCTGTTAGTTTTATTGATCGGAAAAAAAGGCGCGGTAGGATTCCTGAACACGGATATACGTTTTATCCGGGTGCTTGTTATGCATACTGAACGGACGCTGGAATAGGGGACTGAGCCGAATTTTGCTTCTGCCGGGCGTCACGGCCTCGTACTGATGAGCGTTCAAGCCATTTGCATGCTGCCGTCGTTGTCTAGCTTATGGTGCCTGCCTCGTCCTCCGGATACGGCGATCTTGGTAGAGGCATATCACATATAGAGCGTCCATACGTAGCACGGCGTTTGACCGACGCATCTCGCCTGGCGCGATCGAGGAACCCGACAAAAGCGCCTAACGTACTCTAGTCTACTCTATAAGATTATTTTCAAGAGCCTAACCCGTACATCGAGCCCACACCGCCAACAACAAACGCCGTTCTAGAGTCAAACGACGCCAGCGGTGTACAATGGTGGAGAGAAACCCGCCCTAGGCGAATCGTCTCCAACTGACGAAGCTTGTAAAATAACATACCACCGGAGAAAACCCCCTTTCACCTCCCTTACGTTATTCGTAGGCGAGCTACGATGAAGTTCATCTACGACCGCCGTGATCTCCGAGCTCAACGTTGCGAAGCGCCTAGCGACTAGTATTGGCGAGATTGTTGCTCAGAAAACTTAGAGTTTTGCCTAGCTTCTACAATGGACACAGAGGGCTTACGCGAGTTGCGCTCAACGCGATGCAGTTTACGGGAGGTCGAATTCGGATTCTGTGCAACTGACGGGCGATCAGTCGTGTAGCTACGCAAAAAAGTTTTTGACTGGTTGAGCACGCATACGCAACCTCTCCAGTTGGTGACGTAATCGGAGGCTTTCGCACCGGAGCTGACTTAATCCAAGAAAGTATAAGCTCGTTTTGTTTCTGTTCCGCTGTACTAGGAAAGACACATTTTTCGCGCGCGCGCTGCAACTCGTGCACGGTTCCCGCTGCGTACCCCACGTGACGGGTGCTTCGCAGCTGGACATCGTCACCACTGTCAGCATCCGCTTCCTTTGGTAATGCAGCGTTCGCCTGTAGCGCGCCGACACCACGCGCTACATCTTCGTATAGGTCCGAAACAGTCGCAGATCACCGTGATCACCGGCGCGTCCTCTGGAGTCGATCTGTATGCAGCTTCCGCTCTGATCAACAAGGGCAACTGGCATATCGTCATGGCATGTCGTGACATTGATCCGGCGGAACGCGCAGCAAACAGCGTGAACCTTCCAAAGGACGCCTATACAGTGCTGTATTGTGATCTGGCTGATTTCGCCTCTGTGTTGGAGTTTGTGAGAGGGCTATCGAGAGTAGCGCGCGTTGATCACCTGGATGCGCTGATCTGCAATGCCGCAATATAGCATCCGCGGTACAAGAAACCGCGTTTCATGGTGGACGGCATCGAGAAGGCCATACAGGTTTGCCATCTGAGCCATTTGCTTCTCTGTCGGGAGCTGTTGCCGAAGCTGAAAATATCGCGCGGGCGCATTGTGTTTCTGACGACTCAGACCCATTCGCCGAATTCGTTGCCGGGAAAGATTCCCCGCAGGCTCGTCTCGGTGATTTGTTGGGTCTAGCCGCGGGGCTTGATCCGCAGACGACGGGCATGGTGGACAGTGGTCCGTTTGAGCCCACATAAGCCTACAAAGACGCCAAAGCGGCGAACGTGTTGACAATGAAGGCGCTTAGTGGTTGATACGGCCGCGACGGGGTGACCTCTGTAGCGATTTTCCCGGGATGTGTCGCCGATAGCAACCTCTTCCGTGAAAAGCGTGGCTGGTTCCGCTACGTCTTCTTCCCGATTCTTCAAAAGTACATCACTCGGCAATACGTTCCGAATGATGGGGCCAGCCGCCGCGTAGCCGAAATGGCGACCCAGGGACGGTTCTCTGACTCGGGCTCGTATTATCAGTGGCGTGGCAAATATACGGAAGGTCGAGACAAGACGAAACCGCAGGTCATTGAACCAACGTATGAAATCGACAAGGCAGATCAGCTTTACGAACTGAGCCTTGATCTGATCGACCAGACGTTGCGGCGGCGAGGTCTCAAGTCGGATACGTTTTTCCTGAATAAAGTGTGTTGGCTTCGAAGATGAGAGGCGCCTTCGAAGCGCAGACCGCTGCATCAGGGACGGATGTAGGGGCAACGGTGTAGCGATGAGACGGCCTGCTGTATTCACTATCGTATGGTGAACGGGTGAGAAGGCATTCCTCCTGAAGGGATGTACCAAAAGCGTCTCGCGAGCCAAAAAGCATATTCCAAAATGTGATAATTAGTGCAGTAACTATGAACTGCTTGCCATTGAATGGGCCAGAATATGCTGAAAGTGGTCGTCCATGAGAGTAGAGCAGATGTGTGGCCACTGCAGATAGCGCATACCTCCTGGAGTGTACGGTAAAGCGTTCCGAATTGGGGACATTTATTGTTGGAGCCCATAGGGGATCTGGAACTGACCATGACATGCATCCGATGCTGCTTTTACGGGCGTGAGACAGATGCATCGAATCAGGTTTTCCTGGCCCGTAAGAGCTGCCCGGGTACAAGGAAAGCGACGTATGGCCCCTTCCAAAGATGAATCGGTTCGACGAGTTGCAGAGCAGTCTCTCTTTTTGACGTAGACGGCCGTAATATCCGGAAGCTGCACTAGGATATGTCCTTAGTCCGCGCAAGCCGACCGGATTTCACAGAGCGTTGAGCTAGAAGGTGCTCGACTACCAGGGTGCAATGCTGACAAACGGCGCCCCCCAGCATACTGGGAAAGCAGTGCTGAAGAAGAGCAACATGGGTCGTGTTTCATCACTGCCATCACGACAAGGAAACAGGAACCACCATCTCTACAGAAATTTTCGGTTCGAGGCAGATTCAGCCAAGAAGGTAAATTGTCAAATAGAGGGAAGTTTCCGGCTTCTATCATCTACTGCCGGAGATTACTGGCAAATACATTGAGTTGCAAGAACGGATTGAGCTTCTGTTTTCTCTCCATACAGAATACAGCAGGGTAACCAGCTGAACCACGCAAGCAGTCCGAAAGCTAGATTGTGCACAATATTGCAGAGGCTGAATAGTAGCATGAAGAAGCTCTCCACTCTTGAAAGCGCCTTCACATGCGAGAAACTCCAAATAGCCTCCGATGAGGCGGTAGCAGCGAGGCATCGAACAGAGATCAATGCAAGAGGCCCAGGCATTGAATCATGGCTCCGCTGACTGACAGAAACGGTGATCGTGCCTCGTGCTAGTAATTCGAGAAAACAGAACAAGGTATATTTGGCAAAGTATCTGGGTAGAGAGTTCTGGGAAATAGGATGCGCGCTGGGGAATGTGCTATATGAAAAGCACATCGCGAGACAATTGCTGGCATAAATGCCTGAGCAAGGTGGAAATTCGAGATAAAAATGGTCTGTAGACTTGGTGGACATGTTTAGTTGTTGGATCGATAACTAAGCGGAGACGTTCCTGGAGCTTGCCGGGGAAACTGTCGGGTAGCCAAAGATTTGTACTGGTCCTCTAAATTGCTTGCTACTCACCAAAATAGTTACGGAAAGATGCCGCTGGGAATATGATCTTTCAAGAGACTAAGCTCCGTCTTAAAAAAGCCGATACATATTAAGCGATCCTGATCAAGCAGTTACGAATGATCCGATGTCGATTAACGGACCCGCAGACTTCGGAGGGTTTTCTTGGCTGCTGTCGAAAGACCAACGCAGACTAATGCGTTTCCAAAGTCCATACAAGTATCCAATCTGAGAAGCGAGACCAGGTATTGATTGGTACCGAGATAAAATGGGGTAGGCCCAATACCGAGAGGCTGACACTCATGTAGGTAGAGTCATTTGCAGCAACGGAAGATTGTTTTGCAGGTCGCAGATGTAAAGGTAGACACCATGGAGTCGGTGTCGGAGAATTGGAAGAAACGTCAAGAAGTCTCCGATCGGGAGAGCATCCTCCACGGATCACTGGTCTGCACCATCCCTGGAAATGCTTGGTGATGTAAGGCTTGCGAGCCACGGTTGATACACATGGCTCCTAGCATAGGCCGAATGAGGTTCGATGAACAAAAGACATAGGAGTTCTCGCTTTGTACGTTGAATGTCCAAACATGCGTACGCGTATATGCCTGTCACTTCGAACGACGACATCCACTCCCTAAGCAGAGACCATTTTCCTTTCGAGCGATATTTTTTAGGTTTCCTCGCAACAGAGATATAGGAGCTCATTATTCGATGTTTTCTGTATAAAATAAACACCAATGGTACAGAGGAAGACAAACCTCCCATGTACTCTGCCTGGCTGTCTCCACCAGAAAAGGACTGCTAAACACAAACAGTAAAACGGAATACTTCCACCACAATCGTCTTGCGAAAACTTAAGATAGATGAATCGCTTTAGGAATACATCTGCCTTTCGGCTGACAGACGAAGCTCAGTAACCGATAGTTCATTATCCGCTATCCTTCTTACCCAAAGCCATAGTCTGTTGAACCCTGCTGACTGGCACTCGGAAGGAGCAGTACTCGGGAGTTACTCATTCGAATGAAATCCCACTAGCCTATATATAGCTCTCAGTACCTCTCTCAACTTGGATATTTCGGACTATGTACCCCGAATTCCCTACGTCCGTTACGCTCCAGTCTCGACATCAACGTGAATTCTTCATCGCATCATGATGACCCCAATTCAAATTCCTCTGTAGTGCGCGCGCGTTTCGCGCTTTTGGCGCTATCAAGCTGTGCGTTGTTGTTCTGGCTTTCACAACACACGGCGGTTACGTTCGTGTTGGCCATAACGAAAAAACAATAGTGAAGATATATTCACTCGAGAAAGAACAAATATCCGTATTTATTGGACTGAGAGAGCGTCGAACGAGATGTTTCGAGCTCTTTCTCCGGCGCGTGGCCTGGTTGTTGCTGTTTGTCTATTGTTGGCGGCGACGTTTTCCGTGTCGCTTGTAGCTGCGTTGTCGCCTGTGAGTACGGTTAGCTGGACCTGGATAGGTGGAGAGACGGGTATCAATAATCCTGGTACTTATGGAACGCTTAACCAAACTTCTGCTGGGAGTGCCCCAAGAAGTCGTGAATATCCAGCAGCTTGGGTCGGAAGATCAAATACACTTTACTTATTTGGTGGTTTTAGCAGTGGAAACCCATCTGCGAGCTACCTAAATGACCTATGGACCTTCGACTTGACCTCACTTGAATGGACATGGATTGGGGGTTCCTCAGAAGCCGACCAACCGGGAGTGTATGGCACAGTCGGCACAGGCAGCCCAAATAATATACCCGGCAGCCGTTACGGAAGTGCGTATTGGCAGACGGACGACCAGCATTTCTGGTTGTTTGGAGGACTCGGCTTCGATAAGACTGGAAACGGTGTTGGCGACCTGAACGATATGTGGCAGTATGATACTGAAACGGGAATCTGGACGTGGTTCGGTGGGAATGATACTTTCAACGCCATGCCAGTCTATGGACCGAAGGATATCTACAGCCAAATTTACAATCCCGGAGGCCGAGATAGCGCGGCATTTTGGCTGGGCGCAGATGGCCTGCTTTGGCTGTTCGGTGGAGAAGCTTTACATCAAGGATCATTTTCGGACCTTTGGTCATTCAATACTACCACATTCCAGTGGGCGTACAGAGACGGATCGCAGGCTCCCAACGAGCCTGGTAACTTTAGTGAACCAGGTGTTGCTAATGCCACGAATGCACCAGGAGCACGTCGAAATGCTTATACGTGGACAGATCTTGGTGGAAATCTCTGGTTGTTCGGTGGTATTGGATACGGAAACAGTTCACAAGCTGGCCCTGGTCTGTTGAATGATCTATGGGTCTACAACATAAGTCAGTTAACGTGGATTTTCATTGCAGGGAATACCACGATTCAGAATCCAGGATCATATGGAACTCTCGGAGAATTCGCACCGACTAACTATCCTGGAGGAAGAGACTCGGGTTCAAGTTTCGTAGACTCATCGGGTAATCTGCAGCTCTTTGGCGGTGGCGGGAACGCAAACGACCGTGTGAATTTCGTTTTTTTGAACGATCTATGGGTTTTCGATATCGAACTGGGTCAATGGGCGTGGATTAATGGAAGCTCAACGGGGAACGCTGCTGCAGTATACGGGGCATTGAACGAGTCCGACCCGAGTGTTGCTCCCGGCGGTCGAGCAGGACCAGCTTTCTGGAACACCAGTGGAACAGATCCGGTCATGTTTGGCGGATTTGGATACTCAAACACTAGCGGAAATGGCTTTCTCAATGATGCCTTCGCTTTGAGAGAAACGTTCCCTACACCTACCCCTCGATCTACGCCAACATCAACGCCAACTCTGACACCTACAATTACGCCAACTGCTACTGCGACCCCGACACCCACGCCGACACCTACACCAGTCTGCACCATTGAGATCTGCGGCTCTCCAGGACAGTACACCAACCAGGACGCTTGCGAGCAAGTCGGATGCTGCTTTAACTCCCAGACAAACGCGTGCACCCTGAAGAGCGTCTCAGCGGCGTGCAGCGCTGTTCCAGTGACGCAACGTGTCCCCTGCGGCTGGAGCTACATCTACCCCGACGAGTGCACTGCGATACCGGGATGCTGCTGGCAGCCTACAGCGAACGGCATCCTCGCGCCCTGGTGCTACTACGACATCGACCATGCACCGCAGGCCTCTGTAGCGCTGCAGGAGGTGCAGGCACCGGTTCCCGTCTGCCCGTCACCGGGAGCGCAGCGCCAGCCGTGCGGCAACGCGGGTATCAACCAGTTTACGTGCTATGCCCAGGGCTGCTGCTACGACTCGCAGGCGCAGAACCAATGGGTGCAGAACGGCAAGCAGCAGAGCGACTTTGCGTCGAACCCGTACTGCTTCCAGCCCGAGAAGACGTGCGCGGTGGGCGAGTTTGAGCGCCAGCCGTGCACGAACGCGGTGAATCAGAACCAGCAGCTGAACAATAACATCAACAATAACCAGTTTGTGCGTCTGCTGAACACGCTTCTGTACGGGGAGCAGCACGGGACGCAGCGCACGAGCTACTCGCCGCAGCAGTGCCTGGAGGCTGGTTGCTGCCTGGGGCTCGGCAACGAGTGCTTCCAGCCGATGACCGAGTACGTGTGCCAGACCTACGGGTATGTGTCGAACTCGCTGAGCGGCACGAACGGCAACGTATCGAACTCGAGCTATATTGCTTGCGGCCCTGAGTGCTGCAACGCCGAGACGCAGAACTGTACGTACAACCCGTTCAGCAACAACAATAACCAGCAACTGCAGCAACAATTGCAACAACAGCAGCAACAACAACAGGTGCTGCTGCCGTCATTCTGTGTGTGCAAGGACCCTACGAAGCAGTGCGGGACGTACCTGATCCCTTCGGATAACCTTGTGAACAAGATGCGTTGCTGCCGCGCTGACGAGGAGTGCATCAACAACCAGTGTGTGGTGATTAGTCCAACACCGACTCCGAGTCCCGTGGCTGCGACAGCGACACCCTCTGCGACGGTGTCTGCGGCGGTGTCTGCGACGATGTCTGCGAGTGCGTCAGCATCGGTTTCGGGTTCAGCTTCAGTGTCTGCTTGAGTATGCGCGTTGACGATTACGTCGTTTAAGGTCTATATCACGTCTATGCTGATCCTCTGTTAGGACAATGTTGCAGACATATACACAAGATGAGTGAATACGTATGAATGAATAAATGAATACGGCTGCAGATGTGCGCGGAGAGTGTTCAGAAATCCTGCCCACGGGTCGTGATTCAGAGGCTATACACATGGAACGACTGGACAGGAAATCTCTCTCGGAACGTAAAGGAATGATTTCCTATGAGCACGACCGTGCCTATGAATATTGCTTTTACGGCGACGTCGTTGATTTGGAAATCTTTGCTGTCGTTGCCCCGGAAACCCGGTGCACAGGTTGCGACTAGCGAGTTTGGCCGCAACGACACAGACGGATGTATGCAGTATAGGATTGATGTACTAGCATGGGTTCTGCCCACGAATAGTAGTTCCAGAGCAAGTGCAATTCGATCCGTGCAACAAACATTTCACCAGAATACGGTATCCCTAGGGTAAGCGTACATATCAATGAATCCATTTCATCTGCAGCAGCGTCGCTGAGTAAGCAAGTCGCAGAGTTACCAGCATCAGAGCGCATGTACAGCTCTAGCATCGAAAGCGCATATTGCCTGCTCCAAATGCGGAAGGGTCGTCTCAGAAGTTCCCAGACTCTTGCTTGCTCTCTGTTGGACAAAACGTGTACAAGAAGGACTGTAGCGCAGTGTTGGGATCCAGTCCCGATTTGGGCTTGTTGTCGAGAAAATGAGTCCAAGCAGAGGGCGCAAGTAAGCTATAAGACCATGGAAATGCCGCAAGCGTGCTAAAGCGTAGAGGCAGGATAGAGCGCACAGCGAGATCCAGGGGGCGAATCTAGCCAAAGTGAGAGTTACCGCAGCACGGCGAGCAGAATTGAAGGCAACCTAAGAGCTCTTACTTTATAACCGTACCTATCGAATGTGTGCACGGTCGTGGCGAGATCCCCGACGATTGAGACTACTGCCGATGAACGGAGACTTGTCCTCCTGTTAAGAAAGACACCGAGATGCAGAATAAGATGTATCGAATAAAAAAGATCTCAAGCTTCACGATTGACACAGTCGCGGCTTCTTTGATCATATGAACGCCATCGCAGCAATATCTTAACGGGGCGGCCACCGACTAATAGTGTAAAGGATTGAGGTGCTTTTCGCAGACATGATCTTAATAAGCGACGCCAACCTGGATGCTGACCTGAACTAGCGAGACCCTGCAGTGCCGACCAGGATCGCTTTGAGTGTAGACGGAAGGCAACAATAGCCGGCGCGATCGGGGCTCTTGGTTGTTGACGGTGTTTTCGTTGGTTGACCCGGGTCGCATGTGTCGCAAGAGACGGCGTGCGTTGTGCTCTGGCACGCTTGCGAGCACCGGTGCGACGGATCTAAGATGCAACCCTAGGCAGAAAGGGTACCAGAGGTGTCATGATGATAGCCGAATGATAGTACCAGCTGTGGACGGGCGGAACATCAAATTTACGCTTCATTCGTGGCGGCCATGAAGTAGGTGCTTGCAGATGAGGTGAATGGATCGCTAATGCAGTAGTTTGTCATAGTCAATAGACTTGGCATACTGAAAGTGGTCAAAAGAGCTTGTCAGTCTGCATAATGATGGTTGGAATAGTGATTTTGGACCGATAGGGGTACGCAACGAGAAAATGCATGATCAGGCATCTTGTGCAGCGATAGCAGCCTGGCACCGAGTACAAAAGCAAAACCTTGCATAGCAGCTCGCAGTACTGTAATCAAGATAAGGTCCTGGTGATGATCCACTTCGAGAGCACATATGGGGTTAGTGCGGGAAGAGGATATCGGAATGGAAGCCAAGGATTCCAGTTTCACGGGCATGAGCCGTCGGGGCAGTGGATGCATCGATGGTAAATCAGGATTGAATGACTTGTGCCTGAAAGTCTACGCCTGGACCGAATGTTTATTCCTAAATTTTGACTCTCATATTTGCTGCCACACAGTTATCCTAAGCGGTATGGTATTGTGCGTTATCTTGCGCATAAAAAAGGGTGACAGAGTATGTAATAGTGTATATACAGACTCAAATAGAGTAGGAGCCCACGAAGCATTCGATATCTATTCCAGTGATTGCAACCTGAAGCCCGAGAAGCAAAATGTAAATGGTGGAACAGTTTGTCCTCCTCGCAGATTCCAGAGGCCGACGATGGAGAATATGTCGGAAGCGGAACGCAGGCAATATGGATCATCGGTGAGTCGATCGCAGTCGATACAATGCATGCACTAGTGCGACATAGGTAAAAGTTCCAATAGCAGCCAATGGACAACACAGAAGTACCCGCGACTGCAGTATCGTTCAGTAGAAAACAGCAATCGTACACTGTTGCCCAGAAACATTAAAGAGAGCGCAATGCGTTGGAATCCATGATGAATATGAGATGACATTCTACATGGATTAAGCAACGCACAACGTCCAACCTACATGAAATAACCCGCCAAAGAAAAATGCATATACTTACTGCTGCGAAATCCAAATGTTGGGCGCTAAAAGATGCAACAAAAGAAGAGTATTGAAGCACCATACAAAGAACTCGCAAGGACCAGAAAATGCCATGTGAGAAGAAGGTAACGTCATCCGAACCGTGAAACATGCTGGTGCTCGAAGGAGTCTGGGCGGTCAACCCGGGACGCCAAGGCGCGCTGGGCTGCAAACGCACAGAAAAACCAAGGCATAGAAGGAAAATGCAGTTTCGGGCCATGCGTCCTGGACATAAAGACAAGGCTCACACCAGGCCAAGAAATACAAAAACAAGAAAACGACCGATACCAACTGTTTCACAGCACTTTACCGATGTAAATAGAGTCGGGCAGTACACCATGGCTACGGAATCGTAGGCCATCGGCGAAATTCAGCAGAAGCTCATACTCCCTGGGTGGCAGAAAAAGGAAGGCTGAAGTACAAAACGTCATCAAAGAGAGCCCGAGGAATAAAATGGCAAAGAGATAGAAAGACGTAAGCTGACAGAATGGAGAGTGCTGAACGTGAAGAAACTGAAACCTATCGGATTTGAACAAAACTATACCAGCTGGATAGTAAGCGGAATAGGTATAAGTAAGCAGAAGATTGGTCTCCAGTATCGCTACGGATGTCTAAGTCACATTCCAAAATACCGTTTACTGGAAGTCGAAGTGTCGACTGCGGCTATCGACCACAGCTGAAATGTAAGTGGATAGCAATGATTGGACAATGCCAAGTGAAATCAATTCCACAAGAGAAAGCCATGGGCAAGCAACGCAAACAAGGCTGGGCGCCGTTAAACGAATCTCCGAGAAGACCGCGCATCGAGGACTCGTGCAAATGGGGGGAATGGGGGG